TATAATAATCTACTAGTAAGTTATTTTAAAGCTAATAAAATAAAGGAGCTATTAGCTAGAAAGTATTATTAAAAAAGCTTAGTAGCCTAAATTAATAAATATATTAAATCTTATAATATTTACTAATATATTAAAGTATTATATTATTATCTTTATAATATATTTTAATTTTTCTTAAAATTTTAAAGTTTATAAAAAAAATTACTATAGATTTTATTATTAGCTTACCTCTTAATAAGTATAGAAGTAGTATTTATAATATTATTTTAATAATAATAGACTATTATATTAAAATAGCTAAATATATACTAATAATAAAAAAGATTAATAGTATTTTACTAGCGGAAATTTTTTTTAAAAAAGTTATCTTATAGTATAATATATTTAATAGAATAATAAGTAATTATAGCTCCTTATTTATAAGTATATTCTAGTTATTTTTATATTATATAATAAAGATCTATAAGTAGCTTAGTACTATTTTTTACTTATAAATAAATAAATAAATAAAATACTAAAACTAAGTACCAAAGTACTACTTAAAAAGTTTTATTAATAAAGAATATAATAATTAAATAAAACTACTTTTTATAACTAAGTATATATATATAAATAGTTACTATAATAATATAAATATAATGCTTTTTAAGCTTATATATAGTTATTATCTTAAAATATATTAGGAAATTAAAGATAATTCCCTTAAAAAAAGTATTTATTATAAATAAATATATTAAATATTTTATAACTACTATAAAATTAAATAGCTAAGTATTAGTATACTATTAGTAAAAGCTAAGCTAAGTACTATAATTAAAAATATACTTTAAAGAAGTATTATATAAGGGACTTAATTATATTAAATACTAAGAACTTTAAGTAAAAGTATCTAAGTAAAAAGCTTTATTTAAAGTTTATTAGGCTATTTAGAATTAAAAATAAAATTAAGGTATAAATATATTATTTAATCTTACTTTTAATATATTAAATTTATTCTATATTTTATATATTATTACTTAAACTTTATACTTATTAAAATAGCACTAAAATAGTATTTATATAAAGATTAAAGCTAGTTAATAATAAGGAGATATAAAAGATTAAAAAGGTAATAAATAAAACTAAAAATAAGAATAAAGTTTAATATAAAATAAAATAAATAGGTTAAAGTATTAATTATAACTAATAGTTATTAAATAAAGAATTAAATATTATAATAGATTTTTAGAAAGAATTTAAAAAGCAAGTAATATATAAGTAGAAATAATTATAATAATATTTTATAAGCTAGCTAGGGTATATAATATATATTTAGCTAAGTTTTTATATTTAACTATTATTCTTTATATATTTTATTTCTTAAACTATTTATAAAATATTATTTTTATTTATAGCTATTCTATTAATATTATTAGCTAAAAAGAAAGTAAAGGCAATAAATTAAAAAGCGCCTTTTAACCTATAGATTAAAAAGTACCTATAATAACTTAAATTAAAAAAAGAAGAAAGATAAATAAAAAGTATTTATATTTAAAAAGTAATATTATTTTTAAATTAAACTAGCATATTAATAGTGGAAATAGTAGAAAATAATTAAATTATTAATAATTAAATATAATTAAGTATTATTTTTCTAAACTAATTAATAAAAATATATTAAGCTAATACTTAAGTATTACTATTAAATTAAAGTCTAATATAGATTAGAAAGTACTTTAATATATAAGTTAAAAATTCTAATTCTAAACGCTATCTATAATTATATATTAGAATTAGCTTAATAAAAGATAATTTCTAATTACTAATAATATATTAATATAAATATTTTATTAATAAGATTATTTTATTATTATTTTAAATTTTTAATATTTACTTTATAGGCAATATAATTAATAAGACTATATTACTAAAGATATAAGTATATATAAGTTTAAAAGGAAAGGCTTACTTACTAGCTTATTATTATTTTTTTTTTTTTTACTTTCCTCTTTACTATTGCTAGTACTACTATTACTATTTAAGCTAAAGCTTAATATTATCTTATTTATTAATATTAATAAAAAGTTAGTAAATATAATTTACTTTATTTTCCTTATATATTATAATATCCTTTATATTTTTTATATTTTTATTATTATTATTTTTGCTTTTAGTAGCTATTAGCTCTATACTAGTATTAGTATTTATTTTATAATTAGTTATAGATTTATAGTCTTCTTCCCCTTAAATCTATAAATATTAATATTATAATAGCAGTAAGGGGGATTTATATTTTAATACTATATAAAGTAGTATTATATAAAATTATACTTTATATATATAAAGTTATATTTATATATAATTATCTTTAACTTTTTTTTTATTAACTTTACTTCCTTTATTAATTCTTTAATCTCCTTCTATTAATAAGCTGCTTGCGCTTAAAGTATTATTACTATTATTAAGGTAAAACTTTAAGCTTTCTATTAAATTTAATACTTTTTAAAAAGCTTTTTAATATAATATTTACTATTATAGCTATTATATTAATAGTTAACTAATACTTATATTTAATTTTAAATTTTTTTAATAAATTATACTTTATTAGCGCTAGTAGCGTATTAATACTTAATACTTATAATTAAATAATAATCTCTATTATAATAAATTTATTAGTACTTAATATATATAATAAAATTATAATTATAATTAAGCCTATAGCTAATAGTTAAATAAGTAATATAAAAGAGGTTATAGTAGCTTATTTTAGTTAGATTTACACTAGTATTAAGCTAGCGCAATTTATAATAGTAAAGCTAAATAAAGTAAATTATAATAATATTTATTATAATATAATTATTCTTATAAATAATTAAAATAAAAATACTAGCTATAAGCTAGTAGAGGCTAGTAATATATAAATTAAAAAAGTCTTAAGAATCTTAAAACTATATTAGTAATTAGCTAGTAATTATATTTATAGATAATAAAGCCTATAGAAAATAACTATTAAAATTACTAGAAAGAGAAAATAAATATAATAATAATTTTTTATTATAATAATAATAGTACTAGCTATTTAATAGTAAAGTATTATTCTATAGTTCTATTAGCTTAGCTTTTTATTATTTATATAATAATAAGAGAGTTAAGTATATAATACTATTACTATATATTAATACTTATATTATAATAATACTTAATAATAGAAGACTTTTTTCCTCCTTTTTATTTTTAAAAGTTTAAAAAGTTTTTAATAAGCTTTTATAAAGTAATTTATAATGTATTTCTATTCTACCTTTATATACTAGAGACTAGTATATAAAAAGGGAAATAATTATTAGCTACTAGCTATTTATAAGTGCTAAAAAAGCCTATAGAAGCTAAAGTAAAAAAGGCTTAGTAAGCTAAGCTTATTAAAAAGTTTTTTATTTATTTTAGTAAGTAAAATAAAACTTTTTATAAAGGGTATTAGCCCCTATAAATAATTCTTTAATAATTAATTCTTATATATTATTATAAGTTTATTTATATTCTATATCTTCTATTATAATCGCTAGTAAGGAGCTAGTATATTAGTTTTATAATTTCTAAGAATTATATTAAATTAAATATAAAGAAGTAAAAGAAGCTATAGCTTTTATTACTATAATATTAAAATTATAATATAATAAATAATATATAAAAATTAATATAAAATAAGAAAATAAAATATATTTTATTTTTTATTAAGGCTATACTATACTAAGCTTCTTTAATTATAAGATTAGCTTTTAATATATTAGCTTTTTCTTTATTATTAAGAAGGTTAAAAATCTAGTTTATTATTTTAAGCTTCTACCTAATATATATATATATTTTATTATATTAATTATATAACTTAAGTTTTTTTTTATAATAAAGAATCTATATAGTTGCGCTCTTAATACCTATTAGCTACTAGTTATTTAAAAAGATAAAAAATATTTTAATAGCCTAATTTATAAAATAGAAATAGTAGTTAATAGGTAAATATTCTTATAAAAGCTTTTATACTATCTAGTTAAATAAAAGATATATAAATATAAAAATAATCTTTAGTATAATATAAAAGAGTTATATAAGTCTAAAGACTTTATTAATATTTATAATAAATATTATCTTTTTATTAAAGCTAAAACTAAGAGGACTATACTCTACTAAGCTAAAACGCTATTAAAACTTATTTAAATAAAAATAATATTAATACCTATAGTAATATTACTTTTATTATTAGCTTTTATAATTAAATATTAAGTTCTTTAAAAAAGGGGTAAGCTATAGAAAATTAATAATATATAATATATAATAGATTATAAATAAGGCTTTTATTTTAAGGAATTATATACCTTATAACTATAAATAATCTTACTTTTAATCTAATATAATTATATAGTACTATATATATATATAGCAGTAAGGATACTACTTTTATTTTTCTATTATTTATATTAATATAGATATAAGATATAGGAAATAAAAGTTTTAATATAAATAGATAGCTTTATATATAAAGTGAGAGGAAATCCTTATTATTATTATATTAATTACTATATAATTAAAGAATATCTCTTCTATAACTATACTTTAGTACTTGCTTTTATATTAGATAGGAATATAAAGTTATATAATAATAAGAAATATTAATAATATAAAGTAGCTTTATTAGTAGTAAAATAATATACTAAAAAAGAATTTAATAATTATATAAAATAAAAAGAAAAAGAATAATAAAAATATAATTAATAAAGTTAAAAAATTCTAGCCTAATTAAAATTCTAGAGGGTAGGTCCCCTAGAATAATTTTATAAGGGGAGCTTATAGGGGCTTATAGGGGGCCCTTATAGGGACTAGTTTTTAGAGGGTTAGAACTTTTGACTCCACCCTACGTACTGCGCTATAGCCCTCTTAGCGCACACAGTATACTCGGGCTGAAAATCAACCCACCTCCCTTGCTTGCGCTGCTTCTCGAGCTCAATTCGTACATATCCCGTGACATCCCAATGCCGCAGTCAGCCCTCCTTCTCGGCTCCGGCTTCGTCGCCACGCCCACTGTTGATGTTCTCTCCAACGCCGGTGTGCACGTCACAGTCGCCTGCCGAACGTTGTCCTCCGCCCGCAAACTTGCCAGCGACTTTACCAACACCAATGCCGTCGGCCTCGACGTGAATGACACGTCCGCTCTGGAGGACGCGATAGCCAAACATGACATCACAATATCGCTAATACCATACACGTGCCATGTTGCTGTGGTGAAGGCAGCTATTAAGGCGAAAAAACATGTCGTCACTACATCATATGTGTCACCGGCTTTGCAGGCTCTGGACGAGGAGGCTAAGGCTGCGGGTATCACGGTTATGAATGAGATTGGGGTGAATGAAATAAGGTCAATCGCACAGCATGGCTTGCTGACGATTCTAGCTTGATCCTGGGTATGCCCTTCAACCACCCCCCTTAATCCAACTACTCTTCTAAGGCACCCTTGTCAAGACTTGATCACCTTTATGCAGTGGACCTGATCGACCGCGTCCACAAGGACGGAGGCTCCGTCCGTGGTTTTAGGAGCTTTTGTTGCGGCTTGCCTGCCCCAGAAAGTACGAATTAGATCAGAACACATAGGATCATTGAGGCTAATCATGGTGTTAGACTCGGATAATCCTCTAGGTTCAAGATCATCAATGCACTCTCGCGCGCGCTGACTATCGTCAGGATATAAGTTTAGCTGGAGTAGCCGTGGAGTTCTATTGGCGTTGAAAAACGAGGCTAGGTACCTAGAGAACGGTGAATCCAAATGTGTGAGCGGTGGAGACCTTATGGACACAGCGAAGCCATATCACACGGGCTTTCTGGGTTTTAACTTCGTCGCCTATGGAAACCGAGATAGTACTGTCTACCGCGAAAGGTAAGGAGAAGTGATTGTCCGTTCCAAAGTGGTGTCCAATGTTTTCCAGGTACAACATTCCAGAGGCGCAAACAGTGATGCGTGGCACTCTACGTTACGCCGGCTTTCCGGAGCTGATCAAAGTCCTTTTCGACATCGGCTTTCTCAATGAAAGGGAAGAGAAATTCTTGAAAGAGCCAATCGCCTGGAAAGAAGCAACCAAGAGAATCCTTGGTGCAAGTTCGTCGAGCGAGAAGGATCTTGTGTGGGCTATTTCATCCAAGACAACGTTCAAAAACACGGATGATAAGAATCGGTTGGTTGCAGCTCTTAAGTGGCGTGAGTAATGCTGTACCTAAGCGGACAAATTGTTGGCGGTCTTAACATTGCAGCGCAGTCGATATATTTTCAGAGTCAAAGATTACGCCGAAAGGTAATCCTTTAGATACGCTGTGTGCCACCCTCGAGGAGAAGATGGCGTACAAAGAGGGTGAACGTGACTTTGTGGTAAGCATCAACGATGTGCTCTGATGTTTGACGAAGACGCGAGTCTGACGCAAAGCGTAAAGTTCCTCCAACACAAGTTTGAGATTGAAAATAAAAATGGTAGTAGAGACACCATAACATCTACCCTCAGCGAATACGGTGCTCCCATTGGAACTCGAGGTTATTCGGCCATGGCAAAACTTGTTGGTGTGACATGTGCAGTAGGCAAGTCTTCCAGTGCTGCAAAAGTCCTTTGTAGTTCGGATGGGATGACAGGACTGCCATTCTCTCAAGACAGATTCTTTGACGGTCTTCACTGTTTCACAAAGCTCTATACCTGTTATGGTTTTGACGAGAAGATATACTAATGAAACAACTCGAACAGCTGTCAAACAAGTCCTCGATGGCACGATATCGGGAAAAGGTATCCTTGCGCCGATGACGCCAAGCATAAACAGGCCATTGATGCAGGAGCTAAAGGAGAAGCATGGGTAAGCCCTCTTGGCCAGTGTTATCAGGAATGCTGACGTAGCGTTTAGCATCGAATGCAAGGAGAAAGTAATCACGTAGCACCAGTATGTAGGCTCTCACATGGCATTTCATCAAACCTCTGGCCCACCCTTGTGACTCCTGCCTTAACAGCCCGCCCGTCTCCGTTCCTCGTCTTTTCTTTCTGCTATTTGTGCTTACGGCTCTCGTCTGCACTGTCTCTCAGTCTCATTCCTAACACGATTGCAGGACACCTTTGCACCTGTCAAACGGGCATTCCACGCCTTGGGAGAAGCAACATGCCTTGCCATACGCTTGCCGAACCACCTCTGACAGGTCAACGGTCTAGTCAGGTAATAGCGTCTATTGCCCGTAAAACTACCGAGAGCGATCTGGGCTACCCTCGCTGCTCGAGTAGCCGTAGCAGCATAATTCCCTCCGCTGGAAGCAAATCTCTTGAATTCAGTGCCCTATTAATAGCTAAGTCATTGAACGTAATTTCGATGGATCTGAGGATCTTGAAGAGTAGGGACTCGGTCAGTCTCAGGGTTGGAGTGGGAATACATCCGAACGCAAGAGGATGGTTAGCTCTCCTCATGAGTTGCGCAGGAACACCATAGACGAAAGCAAACGGACGCCATTAATGAGGATCCAGATAACCGGATGGCCCGTATCTCACCTCTATCAATTAAAAGCGAAGTATTACTGTAAAATACAAGTTGCCATTCGCACTCATGATCATTTTGCTACGCGGAAAACCTCCATTTAGAGGTTGGACCCATGTCCTATGGTTCAAGGACCTGAAAGCATTTCAGACACGGTCGCTCTCAGACACTACGGCCGATGGTGGAACGTGATTCCTTAAGTACACCAGAACGTAAGTACAATGGGGTCCGCACGAATCTCCCATCTTCGACCCTAAAGAATATGGAGCAAGTTGATTGTTCGATGACGTTGTGAGATTACCCATTCTGGGGCCTCATGATAATTTGTGAAGCAGTGGGATAAAGCTTCTTCCCAGCAATAATGATGCTACATCGTCATAGGGATCAACGCGCTCAACTTGGATGATATTTTGCGACGAGACATCGGTTGTAGCATACCCAGAATAAGTCGAGGCCACAGATCATGAAGGACTCCCCTTCTTCCACGAAGATGGCTCCCGTCAAGATTGGCAAGCATGGAACCCTTGATGCAGAGTGGAAATACTGAGGTTACATGACCGATGCCATGAAAAGCCTGCTGCAGTATTGTGGTCCCATTTAGTGTTCACTAAACACATGATAGATACCCTGACGATGAAGGAGAGATTTTCATGAGGGAAGCATTCACGAGCCTATGACAAGAATAGAAAACAATTGAAACAGACATTAAGGGGAAAACTGCATTCGGCAATGCTGCCCACCATTTCGGTTGCGAGCGAGTGGCTAGATACTGGCCATATGGACTGATAGAGGCGGTCAAACAGACGTCAATCGTCCTTAAAATACCCCTGGTCCAGAACGGCGGGGTCTCTTGGACACTTCCGCGCCGCACGCACAACACTCACTAATGAACCCTCGCGCAGTTCGTTCGCGGCGGAATTTCGCAGACAAGGAAGGTGCCTTCACTTTGTTCTCTGACCATCCTACCACATAAGAAAGTTTCGCAACTGTAATGTTGATGCAGTTGCTCGTCGGCCAGTCTCCCCATGGCTTTTGCGATGCGCCTAGCCTGCTGTTGAGAAAGGTAGAGGGATTTTTTGGTGCATAACCGGCATAAGCCTCGAATGACGCGACGTGTATGACTGACTCTCTCATTTCATGTGAGCCTCGCAAAGCAACAACGGTGACCGTGCCGCTGCCGCTGATAAACCAGACCAACGCCTTCGGCGTAGTCAAGGTCGGTCCTGGCCACCATATTCAGATACGATGTTCCGAGAGGCCCATGCGGCCCTAGGTTGCGGCGTTGGTCCGACCTTTTACTGAGCATTCAAACTTCTCCCTGGCTTCAGCCATCTGTGCGGATTAGGATCTGAGGATCTCCCACAACTATACTTGAACTGTTTTAAGTACGGCGCAGTTGGCAGGCGCGCAAGTCTCCCCTCACCTGGGCTAGCATGCTTTGTGGACATACTGAATAGATAAACGGCGCCGTCTTTCTCCTTCTTCAAGCCTTCGCTCGCTCGCTCTTTCTTTCCTATTCACACCATGATCGACGAGCCGCAGACGTTGCGTACCTTGACCACCCTTACTGACTATGGCGACAATTGCGCCTCCCCTCAATGCACCTGGCTTTGATCTGTATGCAGAACAGCAGGGGAGATTGAGGGGAGCTAATATCGTCTTCATCATTCTGCCTACCATTTTTGTCATCCTGCGCCTCGTGAGTAGAAAGATCTCTAGAGCTGGATATTGGGTGAGCGAATCCACGAAAGCATTGGGATTGTTGCCTTCGGACTTACTGTTTGCTTCACAGTGGGATGATCTCTTGATCATACTTGCATTGGTTTAGTTTCCTTACTCTGCTATATGAGTCGCGCTTACGTGATCAAGATATTCTCATTCGGACTGCCGATCAGCATCCTTGTGTGTTCGTCTCCTACCATTACACCTTCTTGTTTAGGTGGATGCTAAATAAAATTAGCTGTTGAGCGGTATGGCTTCGGACGTCATATCTACCTTCTCCCGAAAGATACAACGACCAGATTTCTCAAATTGCTTTATGGCTTCGAGATTCTTTTCTATTTAACGGCATGCTTCAATAAGCTATCTATGTGCATCTACCTTCTCTTCTTCTTCTTCTTGCTCATGGCTAACCTATCTAGCCTCGCTTTTTACCGACGTATATTTCCTATTGCGCAATTACGGGTTGTACTTTCTGCCACCACTGCAGTAGTGATATGCTTCACCGTAAGCTGCTTGCTGGTCGTCCTTATGCAATGGTTAGCTTATCTCAACCCTCCGCCACATAAAATCTGACGCTTCGGTAGCCTCCCCATCCATGCTTTCTGGGACATACAGAAGCGAGCGTCTGCGCGTTGCGTCAATGTGGACCGCCTTTTCTTGTCTAGTGGCGGAATCAATTGCTTTCTAGACGTTTTCATTGTCGTCATCGTAGGTGTCATCTTGTCAAATCTGCTGGCAGATTTCTTGCTCTTTACGTCTTCTAACGAGACCAAGCCACTACCCTTGCTCTGGCGACTTCGTACAACAGACGCTCAGAAAATGGTTCTGACGTCTATCTTCACCGTCGCCGGATTGTAAGTTAACTTTCTGTCATTGCCGTTCTCATACTCACGAGTGAATCCAGCGTCTGCCTTGTTAGCATTATCCGGCTTGTGGTCCTCTCCCGCCTGACGGAACTTGATCTGACTTGTAAGCTTTCGCAGTCCAGATATGGAACCTTGACTTATCAAATGGTGACAACAGGGAATTACATCAATGCAGCAATCTGGACAGCATGCGAACCTAGCATGGGGGTTGTGAGTGCCTGTTTGCCAAGTTTACGACCATTGTTCAAAAGGGTATTTCGCGGCACGTATCAGGGGCCGACATTTCATTCTGGTAAGAGTTCGCGTGCGTATGGTAGCGGCAATTCCTCAAGGCAGGTGTGGAGCCGCAGTAAAAGCGAGGCGGATGACCTCCGAAATTTCTCAAAGCTTGATGAAGCGCCAAATGAGACTCACAATTCCTGGGGACACAATGTTCAGGTGCAGGGGGGAAGGTTTGGGCGACCTGGTGCAGACGACGACGTCAGTCTTGCAGAGATGCAAGTGTCGCCCAAGAGAATCAAGGTCAAGACAGAAGTTATCTTGATTAGCACAGAAAGGTTAGAGTACCGAGACCAGTTGTTCTAGTTAGGTGGTAGCAGCACAGCTCAAACACAGCAGCCTTTCTTCCAAGAAAATAAATGTACGTTATGAACAGCCTGTTGGGTTGTTCGATATACTAGATTCTGGCGGTTATAACGAAGCCTTGCAGAGCACTGAGACCAAAGCCTCCGACCCTGGTTGGCGGCGTATCCTGCGCCGCATCCGACCGTCCGACGTATCGAAGCGAGCTGATATGTACTAACAAAACTGTCGCCAAATTGAACTTTCGCCTTCCATGCTAGCGAAAACGTTCATCAATGATTGAAGCTGAGCAGAAACACTCTTCAGGGTGTCTTACTCCTCCAGAGCTCTAAACTGATACCGTAAAGCTTTAATGTCCTGCACTGCAACGTTGATACTCCTAGCTCGTGAATTCAAGATCTGCGAATTTTCGTTTCGTTGTAATCATGGGATGAGGCTTCTGAGCACCCCTTTCAACAGGCAAGCTTGACTGCTCAAGCATGACGTAGTTGCTATATGGAAGCACAAATACGAGCTACTCTACTTATTCCAGGCTAGATCCTCGTTTCAAAAATACCTAGGATCCACCTACCATTAAATGTGAGTGATTGCACTCATAAGTGAGTCCTTTGAGCTGAATGTCTAGCTTCAGTGCCAGACATCAATATCAGCTTCGCCCCCTTGGATGAGAGAATCTTGAGCTCTTGGGATACCAATGAGCGCAACACCCCTTGGAACTTCCACGTCTGTCACGTTGAAGCAGCCAAAGGCCGTCACCTTGGTAAGTCGAAGACAAGATTTGAACATCGCAGCGACGACGGTGGTGTCAATCTTCGTCGAGAAGGAGATATTCACATCTTTTAGACTTGGGTACTGAAGCCTTCCATCGAAGACTTTAGAAAGCGCCTCGTGACTGATATGTCGGCATGAGCAAATATTCAGCACTTCTAGTGTCGAGCCAGAATGCTCCATTAATGCCTCAAAACCGGCAGAGGCGAGACCGACAGGCTCTTCCGGTCCCTCGGGCACCGTATTGTCAATAGAACGATCGTGTGACAGATCGATAAACGAAAGCGATGGGGTTGCTATGTCAGAGAATAGCCTCTTGAATCCAGCATCCGTACAACAGTCATTTTGAGTAAATCGCAATTTGGCGAGTTTCGAGCAGGATGATCTAATTGCCGCCAAAACTTCATCCTCCGCTTCGGCGAAACCTTCGAGGGATAGAGTCCGAAGATTAGAGCCGACGGTCAAAATCAAGGTCGCTAAGGTCGCTGAAGACGTAGGCTGCTCAAACTGGAGAGAAAGGTGCTCCAAATGATCCAATCGAGAAATGGCAGCAAGTGACCCATCCCCAAGCTTGCTACATTGGCGCAACTTGAGTCGCTGGATTTTAGGGCAATGCTGCACTAAGTGCGTGAATACCTCATTGTCGAATTCGTCTTCCAGGGCCGATAATTTCACCGTTCTGAATCGATGACCAGATGTGGAAATATATTCTATCCACTTGTCTTTCGACACCAGGTTCGCAGCATCGAGTTGCAGTTCCGTAATTGGCACGTCACGCTCCATGAGGTAATCGAGGACTTCATCCTTGAATTGGCCAGCGTTTCTTAGATTCAAATGTCGAACAGTGGGCATCATAGATATTATAGTCTTGTAGTCGCCGGTCTCAAGATCTAGCCAATTCATTAGCTCACTAGACTCCCCGAATCAACGGCAATATCGAGCTCACTTGCACAGTCGAAAAGATCGATATTCTCGAGGCCCGGCCGAAGAAAGAGGCTAAGGGTCCGCGAGTCAAGTACTCGTTTTTTGGAGAATAGCTGGCTCAGGCTCGTGAGTAGCGCGGGCGGGAGGTCACCAAATTCGTCGATGTCATGGACATTATTCGCAACCTCCTGTATCTTGATGAATAATGGAACAAACATGAACATTTTCGAGTCTTACTTTGATACACACTTCCAGCAACGTGTTCGAACCGAAACGAACGATACCATCCAAAAGGTTGCTCTGAACTTGACGGCGCTTTTCGCGTACTACGTCGTTCCTCTTCGCCTTCTCGGCTTGCTTCCGTCCTGCTTCTTGCTCCTTAGAACATTTGGTACAGAGTAGACCACCATCTGGGCCGGTCTTGCTGTAAGGCGTAACCGTAAAACGTTTTTCACACTGTTCGCAGTTGTCAAGCTGCCCCGGCAGAGGTTTCTTTTTTGCGTACAAATCTACAGATAGATCATAGTCATCATCATCATCCTCAAAAAGCTTGCCGCCTTTCCCCTTTTTCTTCTTCTTTGAGTTCTTCCCATCCTTTATTCTGGCAAGTGCTTGCTCCTGATCACGCTTTCGTTTTTTCTTCTGAGTAGTGACCTCTACCTCGTTCTCCTGGGCTGTCTCGGGAGCCTCGGTGTTTCTTCTGCTGGAACTAGCTTCTTGCTGCTCCTGCTGCTGGGCTTCTCTTTGCCGACGTTCGTAATCGGCATGGATCTGAGCAGCGGAGATATTATTTGAGGCTAAAAAGTCGGTCAAAGCAGACTGTGGTCCTCTAATACGATTGCTGGCGCCTCTTCTCCCAGTCCTGGACTGAATCAGCAAAAGTAGGTGAGCTGTGCGGGAGCAACTTGCATCGTGCCTTGATGTAGTGCTAGTGATTCGGCTCCTTCGTGAACAAGAAATGTTTGAGTCGAGCTCTTGGTGGTTTGAAGTCAGCCTTTGTGTGACTAAAGAACGTTTCGAATGCAGGTCAACGCAGGTCAGCGCGAAAAAGATCGTAAGAGGTGGTGGGTGGGATGGTGGATGTTGAAGTTGAATGCAGAATTGATTGGCTAAGATGTAGAATTGGTCGAACTAATCGCGTGACGCGACTCAAAGCGCGATTAGAGTGGCAAAATTTTATACTTGGATTTAGACCCCGTATTCCACAACATCTAATCACTTAGGGGTTTGTTGCCTTTTGATCTCTCCTACACAACCTCTATATGATTCCTGTCCTTGATTCTACCCTCAAGTGAAGTCGGTTGCCCAACTTGAAGGATGCCTCGTGGCAGGCCGCCCGCCGCACGAGAGGCCCGTAGTCGCCCTAATGATGACCAAGGTGGGGTCTCCCTTACGAAAGACATCTTGCGATATTTTACTCATTGCAGTCCACCAGATGCACATAATGCTCGTACCTCGATTGATAAAAGCATAAATAACACCGCCCTGGCGTCCCATAACCAGCTTCGAACTTCGAAACGAAAGAAGGTGGATCATGTCTTTGAGATTGATACGATTGAAATCAATACCCTCACTGCGGCGACCCCGACACCTCAGATAATGAAGAACGTCATCATACCAGCGTCCCGCTCATCCCTCGGATCTTCGTTGTCGAGTGTCCGAGGATTATCAAGCGAGAGTGATCTTACCCCCGCAACAAGCGTTGCCGTCACCCCTGTAGAGTCTGTCAGTAGAAGTATACCAAAAGGAAAGCGCAAGCGGACTGCAGAAGATGATTTAGTAGAGGCTGACGAGCGCCTCGCGTTTGCTCTACAACAAGATGAGTGGAGCGTTGACGCAGCAAACAAATCCGTATCCACCAGGCATCCGTTCCAGGTCACCGATTCAGATGACGAACTTAGTGAAATCAGCTGTGGATCTCCTGCAGACATCCAGAAACGTGATGATGACTTACCACTGCCCAAGACACGAAATGATTCAGCAGCAAGAGCAACCTTTTCGTCTATAACGGAAGGTGGCAGCGCGCGAAAAGCGACTAGATCTAAGCTTTCACAGTTGGTACAGGATAGCGAGGGCGAAGGCGAGGGCGACTCGGACCTCTCGGAAGCTTCGATTTTTACCCTCCTCGAAACCGAAGCAGGTGACTCAGACGAATCGGACGTTTCAGAGGCTGACTGGGATGCTACTAATCAAATTACTCAAACATCTTCGAACGTGGCTGCTGTTGGTGCTTCAACACCCCGAGCCATCAGCACGACTGTAGTCCATCGTCGGCGTGGAAGACGCGGTCAGACAAACAACCGACAGCGCAGAACAAGATGGGATGGCATGAATGACCGAGCGGCGAGAGAGCGCAAGAAATTAGAGAAGGCCCACCCAGAGATCTTGACTATGTGGGACGAGCTTCGTGCTGTACCCCGTATCGCTCCGACGCCAGCTGAACAACCAACCACAATCACTCGTAAGCTCAAATCCTTCCAACTTGAAGGACTTGACTGGATGGTTAAACAAGAGAACTCCCAATGGAAGGGTGGCTTGTTAGGAGACGAGATGGGCATGGGTAAGACTATTCAGGCAGTCTCTTTGATCATGTCCGACTATCCAGCCCGAGACCCTACTCTTGTAGTCGTCCCCCCTGTTGCACTCATGCAGTGGCAGAATGAAATCGGTCAGTACACTGACGGCAAACTCAATGTTCTCGTGTATCACAACACCAACCCAAAGGTCAAGAATATGAAGGTCAAAGCACTTCGAGAGTATGATGTGATCATGATTTCCTACTCAGGTCTTGAATCGATCTATCGAAAGGAGTCGAAGGGTTGGAAGCGGGAGGACGGGTTGGTCAAAGAGAACAGCAAAATTCATGCTCTTCACTACCACCGCCTCATTTTGGACGAGGCTCACAACATAAAGACAAGGACGACTTCCGTGGCAAAAGCTTGTTTCGCCGTCAAAGCTGATTTCAAATGGTGCTTGTCAGGGACTCCGGTGCAAAATCGCATTGGCGAGTTTTTCTCGCTGCTCCGATTCTTGCAAATTAAACCATTCGCTTCATACTTTTGCAAGAGCTGTCCTTGTGCCCAGCTTCACTGGAATCAAGATACGGAGAAGAGATGCTCCACCTGCCAGCATACCGGCTTTCAACACGTTTCGATCTTCAATCAGGAATTGTTGAACCCCATTACACAACAAGGGGACCCCCAGCTTCGTCGTGAAGGTTTACAGAAATTACGATTGATAACTGATCGCATCATGCTTCGTCGAATGAAACGAGATCACACGGCATCGATGGAGCTGCCACCAAAGAAGGTTGTCATCCACAATGAATTCTTTGGCGAAATCGAGCGCGATTTCTCTTCGAGCATCATGTCCAACACTAGTCGACAATTTGACACTTACGTTAGTCGTGGTGTTATGTTGAACAACTATGCGAATATATTTGGTCTGATCATGCAGGTAGGGCCTTCTGTCTCCATTTATCCACTTCAAGATTTGATGCTCATTAATGACTTCATCAGATGCGTCAAGTCGCAAACCATCCGGACCTAATTCTTCGCAAACATGCGGAAGGTGGTCAGAACGTCTTGGTCTGTTGTATCTGCGATGAAATTGCCGAGGAGCCGATTCGCTCCCGATGTCACCATGAATTTTGCAGAAAATGTGCCAGAGATTATGTCAAAACATTTGACAACGAAATGCCCGACTGTCCACGATGCCATATATCTTTGTCTATCGACTTCGATCAGCCAGACATTGAACAGGATGCAGACAACGTCAAGAAGAATTCTATTGTCAATCGTATCAAGATGGAGGATTGGACTTCCTCCACCAAGATCGAAATGCTCGTCTACGATCTTTACAAGTTGCGGAGTAAAAAGCAGACCCATAAATCGATTGTCTTTTCACAATTTACATCTATGTTGCAGCTTGTGGAATGGCGCCTTCGACGAGCTGGCTTTAACACAGTCATGCTAGATGGCAGCATGAGCCCAGCTCAGCGTCAGAAATCGATCGACTATTTCATGACCAACGTACACGTCGAGGTTTTCCTGGTGTCTCTGAAAGCCGGAGGTGTTGCTTTGAATCTAACGGAGGCTTCAAGGGTTTTCATAATTGACCCGTAAGATACGAGAGTCAACAACCTTTCCTATTTTTACTGACAATGGTTTTAGGTGGTGGAACCCAGCAGCAGAGTGGCAGTCTGCAGACCGTTGCCATCGTATCGGCCAAAAGCGTCCTTGTGTCATTACTCGTCTTTGTATCGAAGACTCTGTCGAGTCGCGTATGGTGATGCTGCAAGAGAAGAAGGCAAATATGATCAACGGGACTATCAATAACGACGATGTTGCAATGGAGAAGCTAACGCCAGAAGATATGCAATTCCTGTTCCGCGGCGGCTAGACATTCAGCGCACTAGGAGCGCTTTTCACCAAAAGGTAAAATTGATTTACTATATTTGTATCGCTTGAAAGAAGAACACAGGCCCGAAAGGGCACCTTGACATGGCATCGGTCACGAGCCTCCAAATTGTTATGAACATTGGGCGTAGCTCACTCTGTGTAAATCTTACAGTGTACACTACCTACAATACGATAGAGCGGTCTCTTAGCCACCTTGACAGTCAGTCCGCTGGAGTGCTGACTTTGGATTATATAACGTCCAATTATAACAGTATTTATAGGAAGCTGTACATAAAAAAGTCCAAATCCACGTCAAAAGGCTGTCATCAACAAGTTACAGAGAATTCAACACGTTCTACATCAAACCATAGAAATTAGCGTCGAGGCCATCCATCCGACTCAGGACCATCCCCTTCTTTTCCTGCTTCCCACACCGTCTCCTCCACCTCAGGGGCAACAGGACTAAAGGCATCGACTTCTTCGATCTCTTCCTCATCTTCTTCCTCGATTATCTCTCCGCTCGTCCTACCAGCAGCACTGGCGCTGCGACTGACATTCGTGCTTGAATCTCGCGCTCTCCCGGAAGGACTGGTGCCAGTATTGGTGCCGATGCTCAGGTGGGGTCCTCGGAAGGGTGTCCGTTTGCGCTTCGCAAAGACTAGATTCGTGGGAGATCCCCAATTTGCAGATTCATCATACTCTGGAGGAGCACGGACTAAGCGAATATTGGATGGGAAATTACCAACCGTGGGAGTGGATTGTAGCACTTTGACGGAAGTGTGAGGAGAACGCGAGCTTCTGTGAAACGGTAATGAAGAATGTATGGAGTTGGTGGTGGAGGAAGTCGAAGAAGCCTTAGAGTGGCTTGGAAGATGACGCATGCTCCGTACCGATGAGACGGACGAGGACGTGGATTTGCGACCACGAAGGCCACTAGGACCGGAAGATAGTCTATAGGAAGATCGAGGGGTGATCGGCGCTGGTGATAATGATAACCGATGTCTTGGAGTCGGTACTTTCGGTCGGATATAATTTGCGCCAGACGTTTGGCGAGGAGGCGTACCTCCTGTTGCTGCCATTTGCCGCACAGGTATAATTGATTGCTTAGTTCGCTGAACATCTAGAGCGACACCCTTGCCGGGCGGGGAAGTCTTCAAGACCGAGGCGTCACTCTTAGACGCTGGAGATTTGGCCCGCTTCGCATTTTCCTTGAACCAGTGCTTGATAGACGCTAATTGGCTCAGAAAAACATTCTGATGCTTCCTTGTGCTTCTCATTTTCATTATACCGTTTGGGGGTGCTAACAACTCAGGATTTGTTGATACAAGTTGAAGCGTGCTGCCACGAGATCTTCTCCTCTCCTTTGGAGGTAGAGGTGGCCTTCGTCTGGTTGAGCTCATTGAACGGGTACGAACCGAATCTTTTTCGATAGGGGGCGGCGGTTTTGGAGAGTCTGGAGAGTCGAGAGTCAGTCCTTCTGGTAGTTGAGGCAGTTCAGGCAGTATGAGTTGTGCTGTGCTGCATTAGCAGGGAAACATTAATAGATGACTCAAGAGGTTCTCCTACGAGTCGGAATGCTTCGTCGTTCTCTTCTCCCTCTACTGTTTGACGCATGCAGGCTTGGCGAGGCTTGACCATCCTCGTCTACTTCCTTCAAGGTCGGGGTCAGGCGTTCGAGACGGCTACTTGCAGCGCTAAGGCGACGTAGATTCTTTGCCTCAGCTTCCTTTTCTCTCCGTCTACGTTCCCTTCGCCTGTCTTTTCTCTGTTCTTTCTCTATGAGCAAGGCCCACCAACCAGCAAGAGCGTCACATCGTTGAGCAAGAACGCTTTCAATCACCTTATCAATATTGACACCAGCGCTCCGCATCCGCTCGAGAGTCAACTTTTCCAAATCGGTAGTGAAGGGTGCAGGTTGGGTCAATTTCAAAATTGCTTGCTGCTGAGGGGCATGCTCCGTCAAGAAGGAATTCATAAGAATTTCGTTGATTGAAGGCCGAATAAGAGGTCTTCTTGAGAGCATTTGAGTGAGAAGTTCTTTCGCATCGATAGGCAAAGCTTCCGGGACCTTGATGTCTTTGTTGAGAATACACCATTTTGTTTTTGCATCGTCATCATCATCATACGGGAGCTCACCGGTCAATAGGGCGTACAGAATGATGCCCAGACTCCATACGTCCACCTTCTCAGCTGCATACTTTTCGCCCTTGAGCATCTCAGGTGCGCTGTAGCACACGGTTCCGCAAAAGGTCTGTAGATAGCTCAATTTACCCTCGTACTCTCGGGTAAAGCCAAAGTCGCAGAGCTTAACATTCTCATTCTTGTCCAGCAAAATATTCTCTAACTTCAAATCACGGTGGACGCAAGACTTGTTGTGTACATATGCTACAGCACCAACAAGCTGCGTAAAGATCTTTTGCACTTTCTCCACGGGAAGTGATCCGTGGCGCAAAAGATAATTATAAAGTTCGTCGCCTATGCAGCTTCAGCACACGCAGCTCCTTCCTCAAGAGAATTAGACTGACCGGGGCAATACTCTAGAACAAGCCAGACTAGATTCTCGGTCACAATGACTTCGTACAAGCGAGCGATATGTGGATGTAGAAATTGTCTATGATGGTGGATTTCTCGGGCGAGGTTCGAATCACTCTTATTGGCAGACTTGAGCACTACCTTTGGTCGTTGAAAATTTGGTCAGATATATTGATCAAGATGCTTGCTCAATTGGCACACCTTAGAACCATTGGTGAGCTTGTGCGAGGCAAGGTAAACTTTTCCAAAAGATCCTTTTCCAATCAAGCGTCCCGATGTATAGTTGCCGACACTATGTAATTCTTTCGACGAGAACTCTCTGTGCAATGATTAGGACCGCCGACTTAGGTAGAGTAAGACGGAGAAACCAACTCCAATAGCTCATTATAGGAAGTAGCAAGCTGCCGGACATCCAAGTTAGCATTCGAACTGACAATCTAAGTTGCGAGTTGTCTCTTGAGAAGTTGATGCACGGTCATGTCTCGTACTTTTGCCCTCTGATTCTCTGTTTCTGTCTTTAATCTAGTCGCCGGCATATGCTGCTATCCTTCCTCGACGATACCCTAAGCGCAAAACTCCTCTTGGGGCGCCAGTGACAGCCCGGAGAGATGGGAGAGAAGGGAGAAGGAAGGCTTGAGGTGTCCAAAAAGTTGCGCATGGCCTTTGGCGGAGGGGCACTGCATAAGGTACTTTTCTCGTCAACGAGAGTTTGATATCAGGGCCAAGGATCTAATCATTCCTACATCTCTGTCGCAGGTTTAGCGTCCAGAAGCGCGGCTATTTAAAGTTGTGGCTTACTATGTTTCATGATCACGCCCGATCTTAATCGGCTGTTTCATTATTATCATCAAGATTTCAAACCCGGAGTGCCACCACCAATTCCAATCTTCTTCAAGACATAGATCAGCATATTTTGGTATTCTCGGTGCAGGACTCTACGCTCAGTCAGCTCCGGGCGGCACTGTTGATGAAATGACAAATATCTAGAGCAATGTCATGATTTCTAGTTAAACACACCAATGTGTAGTATGCAAGTTTAGGGAAGGCTGGTAGGTGACCGGTCAGATGTATCTTTCTGTATGATCGTTGAGTTTGATCCGGAGAGTAACATGATACATATGTCCCTAGCCCAGAGAAGGAGTCTTAAGAGTACGTGTGCGATCGTCTCGCGTGTGCTGAAAACATGCAGTGATCGTTAAAGAAAGGGCCCACGAGCATTTGTTTTGTCTCTGTGAAAATATGGATATATCCACGTGTGCTGTGTAAGCTAGACGTTCCTTGACTAGAACTGCTTCCAACTCCCCCCCCAACACTGTTGCATGATGAACAGCCTACCAGTGCAATTTCGCGTGGAGGAAGCACTCAACTCCTTTTCTTCATTGAAATCATCATCTTAAGTCGTGATCACTCATTGTCGCCACTTGATCATCACTGCCCCAAGAACCTAGAAGGAATTCGAGTTATGTGATATCGTAGACCATCCCGAGCCTAATTTGTGAGATTTGACTCAGCTAACCTCGGGCGCTGGAAAGCGTTAAGTAGTCATTCCAGGGCCAAGCTCCCGCCGACATTTGTGTCGTGCCTATCTATGTCCTTTCGTTTAATCACATAAAGTCGTCATCACTGTCCATATCAGCTTGGCGTTTACCCTTGATGCGTTGGACAGCAGCTCACCCTAAATCGTCATAGGCCGTTGTGTCTGCCTTCTGACTAGTATCCCGGTTGGCAACCAAGGTGGCTTTGCTTTTAGCCGCTTTGGTTTTCTTCCCGCCTTTCTCGGCTGCTTTCTCCTCTTTCATTCGCTCATTCGACAGGGTTGTCAAGCCACTTGCAATCTTCTTGATATGTTCACTTGGTAGATCTTTGACAATCTGTTTAGAGAATTCTTGCATGAATAACGGATAATGAGCTTTTTGGGAATTGGCAATCAATACCGGCACCAGGGTCTCGCGTAGCTTGGCAAACTGATCCTTGGAAGTAGGTTTGAATAACGGCAGGGTTGACAGATCAATGGCACTATTAGGGTTTGAGGGATCTGTGACCACGACGGTTTTCACGTCGGACCGGCTCTTGTTGATACCAATATTGCCAATCAAGTCCTCAGCATGTTTGAGATCTGCGTCTTGTTCACGCTGTCGGGCTTCAGCTCGAGTCACTGAGGTATCTTCCTCGCTTGTTGAATCACCATCATCCTCCAGTTTTTTTTTCATATTTGCCGTTCTTCTTTCTTCGATCCTTTGCGCTTTCGATTTCTTGTTGGCGGCTGTCTCCAGGTCCGCTTTTGCTTTTGCCTCGGTAGCCTTCTTCAACTTTTCTCGCTCTACCTCAGAGTCTTCGGCAGCATCCCACGAATCAAGGACCTAGGGAGTTCAGTGTGCGCACGCTCCCGGGTTGAACAAAGCTTGTACATCACTATCCTCGTCTTCATCGTCGAATTTGCCCTTTCGGGCGATTGGCGGTGGAGATGACGAGTCCTCGTCAGAGCTTTCCTCCGAGGATGTTTCTGAAGAAGAGTATTAGCCACCCGACTAGTAATTATCATGTTCCTGGTCGCACCTTCTCTTCGTTTCGATGGAGGCATGCTTGTATGGCTTTCTTGACCGTTGCCGAAAGGATTTTCAAACACTTGTTGACTCTTTGCGGTCGCGAAAGACTTGACACGTTTGAAATATTATGAAGGTAGTGCAGATTGTGGCGAAGAAGCGAGGAAGATGCACGCGGGTAAAATCTAGAACGCGGCTCAACATCTGGCGCTAGAGCTAGTTCTATCATGCTGCCCCTGTGGCCTTAGAACTACAAAAACTTCCTCGATGATTGAAAAGACGGACTTCCTAGTGTTGCTGTCTCTGCTACTCTACTAGCACCCAATCAATTTGTATTTACTAGTGAAGCATTGATATCGAAACCTTGTCCTGAATCGTTTTTGACAGATGTTGTGGTTGGCTGAACCCTCGGGATGCCCCTTCTTCATCCCTACAGATTAACGGCATTTCTAAACTTCTCGCCGACGAAAATTGCAGGTGGATCAGCACCTTGAAGTTCCTCCTCGATGCGGAGGATTTGGTTCAGCTTCGCTAGGCGCTCAGATCGACATGGTGCTCCAGTCTTGATCTGACCACAGCGCAGGCCAACAACGATGTCTGCAATTGTTACATCTTCGGTCTCTCCGCTTCGATGTGAGACCATGACACCCCTGTGAAATAATGTTAGCCAAGTTCAAACAGAAGAGATGCCCAGAGAGAAGCGGAAATTGGGAAAGGCAACATCGTACCATCCGGCGTCAAAAGAGTCTCTGGCTGCTTGAATGGACTCTGTCAATGTGCCAATCTGATTGACTTTCAATAGCAGGGCGTTGCATGCCTTCGTCTCAATGGCTTTCTTGATGCGTACTGGGTTGGTCACAGTGAGATCGTCGCCAACGATTTGGAAATCCGACGTTTTGAAGAAGTAGCTCCATGCCTCCCAATCATCCTCTGCGAACGGATCTTCGATGCTGACAATCGGATACTTCGACGCCAAAGACTTATACAGATCGGCAAGTTGCTCGTATGACAGCCATTGATTTGGGTCAGAATCTGGGTTCTTGAAGTCGAGATCGTACTTTTTAGCGTCCTCCTTGTAAAATTCGCTTGATGCGACATCAAGAGCGATCTTGACCTTGCCTTCATATCCGGCGTCGCTAATTGCCTGTGTTATCAATTCTAAAGCCTCTTCCGCTGTCTGGATGTCTGGCGCAACACCACCTTCATCCCCTACGTTACCCGCTGACTGCCCATACTTTTTCTTGGCGAGTCCTTTCAATTTCTGATAAACTTCACTTCCTTGCCGCAGAGCCTCGGTGAACGAAGGTGCGGTGCTGCAACTTTCAGAGAGGGCGGCGCAAAACAAAGGGGTGTTGCTGACCTTGGTACAACCATGAACTCTTGGAATGCAAGCCGCCCTCCGGCATGGGAACCTCCGTTCAGGACATTCATGAATGGTATCGGCAAGACATATGGTTTCTTTGTACCAGCAAGATCGGAGATATGTGAGTATAGAGGTACGTTCTACCCATAATTGTAAGCTTGCTGGCTCCATTGCAGAAATTTATTTGACAACCTTTTCAGCTGCCCCAGCCTTCGCAACAGCCAGGCTGACACCGAGAATAGCATTGGCACCGAGATTGGTCTTATTCGGCGTCCCGTCCAACTTATTGAGGAATGCGTCGACTGCAGCCTGATCTTTGACGTCGATACGCTCCTTGATCAAAGCAGGACCGATAACCTCATTCACATTCTTGACCGCCTTAGTGACCCCCTTACCGGACCATCTGCTTTTATCACCTGTAATTGCTCAACGTTAAATTTTCTCAAAGCAAAGAAAGATCCCGTAAGAATCTGCTACAAGGCCTTACCGTCTCTCAATTCGTGAGCTTCGTGTTGTCCTAGGGGGTACCAATTCAGCATTCGTCAGCGAGTAGCATTGATGGAAAGTGTACCTGTGGAAGCGCCTGATGGAACAATGGCTCGGTGCAGGCCTTTGCTGTCGATAACATCTACTTCAACCTGAGTCTATTAGTCACCGAACACGCCTGAGATGCAAGCACGGGGATTTAACCGTGGGATTTCCCCGCGAATCGTAAACACTACGGGCATGAATTTTTGTGATTGCCATCTTCGTGGCTTTCTTGAACTTTCGATTGCGTTGATACAGCAAATTTGGCAAGTAGGTGTTCAATGAATGAATGTTTGTTTAGTGCGGATGGAAGTGGGACGGTGTTTCTGGCGGGGCTGCCAAGACTCCTCAACGAAAATAATTGCCCGCTTGACTCGCGTGTGGCTTCTTACTCACATGAAATTGTCAAATCATTGAGTAGATAAAGTAGTTAAACTAGTTCCGGCGAATGCTCGTGATTTCAGGATTCGCCAACACAGGGGGTTTCTCCTGCATTCTCTCTGCCCTTCCATGGGTCAACCTACGAGAGACAAGGCATTTTGGGAGCTGTTGCACAATGACGAATCAAGCTTTCTGATTTTGAAATTTGCAAAAGACCATCGCTCATTCCGATTTCACATATGTGTCTATGTGATCCATGTCGGATATCTCTGTTTCCCGAATGTGACACTCAGGGGTCAACCGCTCACCGTCAAAGAGAAGGAAGACGTCCCTGTCCGGTCCAATTTCGTTGGTGCTACGGAAGGCATTGGTAATCTTCGACACGAGTGTAGACTTTGTCACTCAAGTTAGCCTGAATTCATAGGAGACTGCGATGGAGAAGGTTACCGGCTTCACGATAAGCTTGAAATCGTTGAAACCTTTGGCTTTCAGTATTATTCTGATTTGAGCCTCTACACTTGGCTCTGCAGCGGGCGCGACATCTCTCTCTTGCTCTTGCTGGGTCACATGGCTTTCTTTGGCTCTTTTGTAGGCCTCGAAGAGCTTAGGCGTCATTGCGACCATGTGCAACCGACCTTCCTCATCCCCCAGCACGTCTCCCTTTGCAAAGACACGACCTTCTGCATCCACTTTGATGCCAAGACTCTTGCAGTTGGTAACGTCGAAAAGTCTCTTTCCACGCCATGTTAGGAACAAAGACCCAATCACATCATTGCTGAGCTTCTGACGTTCCACCCAAGCAAGCTTGACTTCCTTAAACCTTTGTGACAGTCGTCGACTGACTATAAGTGGAGTCGTATCTTCAATGCTTGACGTTATTAAAATCTGCAGGGTTGGATCATGTGTAGAAGCGACAATTGCAGTTTGTGGCATGCTCGATGGTGCTGGCTTCGCTTCCGCCGCCGGAGACCACTCCTTTCCAACTAGATCTTCTTCAAGACGTTTTCGTCTAGCTTTCTCCCTTGCTTTACGTGCGAGTTCTGGGAATTCCTCGTCGCGTATCATATCAAGTTCATCAGGTAACGGCTCAGCGACCTTAACAGCAATCACGTCTCGCGTGACTGGGGAAGTCGGTGTCTCACCCTCGCTATCATCCTCAAGGTCAATAATATCTGCTTTGAGGCTCCTAGACTTGGCTTGGGTAGTATGACTTCCCTGCGCAAGTTCTGACTCATACTGCTGTAAAAATGAAGGCTTTGCTAAACAAGCTGGAGACTTCTTGGGGGAAGGCTCTACCTGACGACTGGACTTCGAGGTGAGGCTTTTAGTTTCAACTTGCCTAATATCATTCTCGTCTGCCGTATCATCAACTGAGTCATCGTCACCTTCATCGTCATCCGAGAGCCTGAGTCTCTTTGGAGAATGTGCGTCGCTTGAGCGAAGCTCAGATGCCTCGTCAAGTTTCTTGGCGGCCTTCTTCTGTAGCGCGCGTTCTGCTTCGGCAGCGAGATCAACATACGTGTGACATGATCGGCGGAAGATGTCACCTTCCTCTACAGCGTTTGATCTAGCCCATGCCGGCCTATTGAACAGTGGACGTTTTGGAGCGTTCGGGTTCCTTATTTGTTTACCCTGTTCCACAATCTGTGCAGTCATTTTACCGAGAATTTTGCATATGGATCTAAGTCACTTAAGAGGGGAGAACGCAGTATATCTACCATGATTTCGGTCTCCTTTTGTACGACACTCTGACCATCCAATAGCTTGTATTGGGGAGGAAGTACACTCGAGGCGTCTGGCGCGGTTCCGTTTTAGCGCCTCTCATTTGGCTTGGCGTTGGACATATACTCTTCGTTTGACCCTTGTCTAACTCACGCTGTTTGCTATTCTATTGCCTTTTATCAAGATGGAGAACGGCCCAGCTGAAGGCTCAGACCCATCAACTTTCCTAACGGAAATCATTGGGTCAAATGTGAAAGTGAAACTAAACTCGGGAGTCGAATGCACAGGTATTTAAAATGAATCGTTCCTAACGCTAATTCGGGATCTGACCAGGACAGGCTTGTTGTCTTCTATTGATGGCTATATGAATATAGCTATGGAAAGGACAAAAGAATATGTGGATGGCTCGTTACGCAAAGAATATGGCGACTGTTTCATTCGAGGCAACAATGGTAAGTGCCCTTCATATTTTTGTCACTCCTTAAATTAAATATAGAAATAGTGATGTATATATCTGCCTGAAAGTCAGCCGGTCGAATCTTTACACCTCGAATTTCTGAAATTACTTAGGATGTGCACTCGAGTGATCCGAACTTGCCCAAAAGCATTGACCATCTCTCGAGTGCAGTGTTCAGGGATCTACCCACTTCTTTTTCAGTGCAAACGTTTGCCAGACTTTCAAAGCTGGCAAAAGACTAAGGAAAGTCTTCGCAGACTTATGTCAATCTCATGAGAGCTACTACTACGCCGAGATGAGACGTGAGACCCTGCTTCAAGTGTATTGATCCATTGTTAGAGCAATAGAGTTCCAATCTTGAAGCTTTGACACGCGTATCGTATTACTTTTCACTCAGGAAGTTGTTTGCGTGATAATTTGTACTCTCAATCGAGGTTGCGGTCTTGTATCTGTAGGAAGATTTTAATATATCTTAACTGGGCTTTCTTAAAGTGTTTATTAATAAACAAATCGTACTGGCACTGCCACCGATCGTTCCAGTTTATGAGGTACAGAGGGCCAAAAGTAATTTAGTCATGATACAGATTTAATTGATTGCCAATGACGGGAACCTACCGCTTGGGGAGCATTCGTCAGCACAAATACGTCAAACTTGAAGCTTGAAAACAATCCTAGAGAGGCGTTGAATCCTTTCGTCGCAGCTTTGAAACAGGAAACCATTGGCGAAGTGATCTTACATTGAGAATTGTGATTGGTGCTACTACTTGAGTGATGAACTGCGCTTGATTGACTTGAAGGTCCTACAGGACAGGTGGCCAGAAAGGTGGATGGCATACCTCGATCGCTGCAAGTCAGAAATTGGTATTCAGACACATATCTGTGGGTACAGAACGGGAGGAGAGGACGAAATAGATGCAGAAATCGACGCTGTTTGAAAATCTTGTCTCCTCGAACTGTTGTATCTCCAGCAGTGAGGTGCCTATGATGATGATCTCATGAGCACAAAATATGTACAACTATTGCCACCGCGTATTTCCCTTCCCGTTGCTTGAGTATCCGACTCTGCACCCCAAACGCCACCGCCATTTAAAGAAGCAGGGTAGGGTCCTACGCGAAATTGCCCGCCAAACCTACAAAGAACGCCTGTGCAGCAAGCTGCAATGACCAAAGTCCAACCTTTTTAAAACGACGCATTCGTGCCTGGTTATCTGTCACACCTTCGGCAAAGGCTCGATAGGTTTCTACAGAGAGGTCATCCATGAGGCCACTATCGTAGATTGTCCAGCTGCCGTCAAATTCATCAATGTATTTGACAACTTGACAATTGATTGGGATAAAGGTCCTTCTCGAATTCATGTACGCAACGATCGGTCTGACGAGGGCATTGTTCACGTAAGAGATGTCTCTCGTGAATATGGGAACTGCAGCCCGGATGTCATTCAGCTGTAATTTTAGATCCAAGGTTAGAAAGCGCTTCTCGGGCTCCATAGTCTGCTCATTGAAAGATTCATGAGTCTCGTGCGGGTGATTGGAAAGGACTTGAGTATTACGCCTCGAGTGTACTGCAGCCTCCATTCGATCGTAGAAGTCGCTCATGAGTTTCGTGATACTTTCGTCACTGTCGGCTGGAAAATTCATGTCGGCAATTATATCGACGTTCCCTTGATGTATCCACGAGAAGGGACCTTCTACACCGCGATTCAGGTGGTTAATGTTGAGGCCCGCAATCCGGAGCCGGCTACTTTTCTTAAATGGGTGGTTATCGTGCGTGCTTTCGGAACCATGGTTCATATGGCCTCCGACGTAGCCATGCATTTGGGCGGGGTGTATGGTGAACAGGGAATTGTCAAAGGATCCTGACACAACGTTTGCAGACAGAAAATCGTAGAAGAGCCACTGGCGTCGAAGCTGCGGAAGATCGCAATTGTATATGCTCACGGGAAATGGTCGGAATCCCCCAGGCTGGTGGATAGTCACAAGAAGATCCTGTAATTTGAAGGAATCGATCTCGAAGTCTCCTGGATTGTGTTCATGCTTGTATCTCCGAGGATCGATAGGTATCCCGTCGTAATGAACAGACGTTCTGTCAACGATACCTCTGATACCCTTGATATCTACATCATGTAGAAGGCCCTTCCCATTAAACCATTTACGGAATGACAAAGTGACGTCCACAGTATCCAGAGAAAGGTCAAATTGAGTATAATTCCCGTCGTCCGCGTCGCCCTGAGCCTGTTGGAGATGGCCCGAAAAGTCCTCGGATTGGACAGCAGCTGCAGCAGCTGCAGCAGCTTCCTCGCTTGCCGGCCCTTTACTTACTTTCCCTTTGCCTTGCCCGGGACGTCGGGACACAAAGACATTTCTAAAAGAAATCACCCCACTGCCCCATTGCGGTACAATCGCGGACTCAAAAACGACCTTAACTCCAGACGATTTGGTAAGATAATTACCAACCCATCTAGCCAGAGTTTCCTGGGCGAAGACTGTGTTGACGGCGAAGATGGCTAAAGAAAAGAATGTGGTCGTACCCAGTATGATCCACAAGACATGGCCGAGCAGGACCCATGAAAACAAGGCGCCAATCTCATCGGCATTGAAAGGTCGGACACTTCGTATTGAAAACCACTTGAAACGAACTTTCAAACGAGACCAAAAGCCGGTTGCGGCCGCAAGAAGCTCCTCACGACCGGGTCTATGGATGTGGGCAATGTTTGGTAGGCGTTGGCGCAGATGCTGATTGATTGTCGGGGCCGTAGGTGAGATTGGAGGCTTTGAATCCGCTTTTCGGACTTGTTCAAGGGTCTCCTCCCCCCCTTGATCTGATGGAGCCTTACTCCAGGCGCCCGGACTCGTATGAAAACGCCGTGTGACGAGTTCGGTAGCGCCAGGCGTGTTGCCATTTCGTCTTTTGGCTGCGCTTCTAAATATGCAAGTCTTGAAATCAAGGTGCTGTCGCAGATACGGCGACTTAGGTGAGGGCACCGAAGGCACACATCGCCTGTGGATGAACGATGCCTGGTTTACGGGAGGAATAATTGCTCTGACTACCTGGATAGCATAATAGCTGGCAGGCGAATAAAGTGACTGGTTAGAGGAGAGGTGGTTTGAAATGTTGGAATAGGTTCTGCTTTGAATCCCAGAACGTGCTGGGCTGCATAGGAAGGTGGCGTGCAGTCTGAAAGCCACATTACTGCTCATTATCATAGGAGTCTGCCATTAAGAATACCATCGTCGAGAGGAACCAGGAGCATGATATGGAACGCTGTATGACGGAGGGACTTTGATATTGAATTATGGGCGAATGGAGAAGCTTTGATGCGGTTGAGGGAGCACCAGTCCGCCAGAGTCGTGAAAAGTTGCCCAGGCAAACCCCAAGCCCACTGTGAGAATCCCAGCTTCATGTTTTCCCACATCGTATCTCCCTCTACGCATTTCCTCTGAGTCTCATGCCAGCGCCAACTGCGCTGCTGAGGCGTCCGAGTGGGCTTGCTGAAACTGCAAATGATCTAAGCCACGGGAGCGAGGATACTTCAGCAAACGTCGATTTTCATTTTCAAACGCAGGGGAAGACAGCCGACTCCATCAAATCCCCTTCGCAAGATGTGGAAATGCAGGACGATGACGAAAGTCGGCCTCAATTTCCCCCGGCAAAGAACGTCGCGAAAAACCACATTGTAGAAGTCCGAAAAGTTCCCATCCCACCTCATCGTATGAGTCCTCTCAAGGCAGCATGGCCTAAGATCTACCCTCCACTTGTTGAGCATCTGAAGCTACGAGTGCGCATGAACCTCAAGGGGAAGGCGGTGGAGATGAAGACATCAGCTCACACTACAGACTCCGGCGCTTTAACCAAGAGTGAAGATTTTGTGAAAGCGTTTAGTCTTGGATTTGACATCGACGATGCTATAGCTTTGCTTCGGCTTGATGACCTCTATATTGAGACCTTCGAGATCAAAGATGTGAAAACGCTCAACGGAGAACATCTAGGTAGGGCAATAGGCCGTATTGCAGGGAAAGATGGAAAAACCAAGTGAGTTCATGGCTCTCGCCTGATTAGCATGAGCTAATGCTGACATTGGCGTCTTTAGATTTGCAATCGAAAATGCGTCTCGAACGAGGGTGGTGCTTGCCGATCAAAAGATACACATCTTGGGAGCCTTCAAAAACATTCATATTGCTCGCGAAGCCATCGTGAGCCTTATACTCGGTAGTCCGCCCGGCAAAGTCTATGCCAATCTGCGAACGGTGGCCAGCAGAATGAAGGAGCGATTTTGAACGATCAAAGGTATCTGCAATGGTCTAAGCTTGTTAGCGTGGTGTTTGGGAAGCACTGATTTGATTCGCACAGAACGCCATCAAAATCACTTTAGGGACTTCGTCAATGCTTTCGACGTGACGTTCAGTTTCATACTTTACAAAGATTGCGCAGTCAGAAAAGGCTCTCTAAGCCCAGAGCTTCTGCGTTACTTATTTCGATCTAGTCTTTCTTTAATGGGTGATACATCTCTTCTATACCTTCCTTTGTGACTACGAGCATCTGGAGCCCATCTCCGACCTCAATGTGCCTCTCCGTCGCACTCGTAAATGCATCTTTCACCAACCGCTCAACCTCCTCCCGTAGTAATGGCTCTGCTTCTTTCGCCTTCAAATCATGTCCTGCTCCGGAACCGGGCATATATTGATTCTTAAAATTGACTTGATTGTCCAGAAAGGGCATGATTAAGCTTGCTGCAGCACCCGCCGCCCGACATTGCTCCCGTTCATACGAACCGACGGGATCGTAACTGTAGAGTGCGCCCTTACCATCCTCATCTAAACCTCCTAATATGGCTTGCACGTAATATGGGAAGAACCTTTTACTGTAAAGAATCGTCGCTAGACGCTGAGCACAGGCTTTGGCGGTCATATCCTTGCCATGTTGATATTTGTACATTTTCACGGTGGTATTTAGGCGCTCTTTTAATGCAATTCCATCTGCTGCATAACCGACGAGCGAGAGTACAATATGTGCACCCTTTCCAGTATCATCATCGCCCCCTATGCGGTAGACTTTGGGAGTGTAACGGGAGTTGATGTTGTACCCGGACGTTGAGCGGGTGTCCCCAGCTAATATCGCAAAGTCCTTCCCTGAGATACCTAGCGTTGAGCCTCCATTGTCTGTGTATCTGAAAGCTTTGTTAACGACTATGCAAAAGCAAGAATTAGAGGCTTTACGGGTAGAAGCTGTGCTGTTTGTTGCCGCTGGCATCTGATACAGGAGGATGGGAAACCTGTGTGAATGAGTATCCTGGTTCTGAAAGGACACTCGGGTTATCTAGGATAGACGCCATGTGTTTAGAAAGAGAATGTTCGTTTCTGAGCTCTAAGATGTATTGATATTAGTAATGTGGAGGTGACGGGGGGGAAAGCTTTCATGCCAAGGCTGCAGCTAGACGCGACTGCCCTGCTATGGAAGCTTGTCAAGACTCCGGGTGTATTGCTACACGTAATTTCTCAAGCTTAAGCCTCCTTACTACTGCGCCGATTTTGTGACACCGTCTACCTGATCATGGTGGGACCCAAGTGTCGATATCATAAATTTTGTTATGCTAATTCTCTGAAATTTAAAGACCTCCATAGGTACTGGGTATGACCTCCAAAATTCCGTCTTCTCACCAGATGGCCGAAACTTCCAGGTAATTCTCAGCTGATCTTTGGATTACATTACGTTTCTGACATCTTGGAAGGCCGAATATGCTGTCAAAGCTGTAGAAAATGGTGGTACATGCATAGGCATACGATGCAAAGATGGCGTGGTCCTCGCAACCGAGAAAATAATAACCAGCAAGCTCTTAAAGGCAGGCGCAAATAGAAGGATAGCAACCGTAGATCGGAACATTGGTGTTGTGAGAAAGAGTCGCTCAAATCCCCCAGGTGTACTTACTGATGTACGCCCCCTCAGGTGTCCGCGGGCTTGATTCCAGACGGCAGGCATTTCGTATCAAGAGCAAGAGATGAAGCGTCATCGTGGCGGTCGACCTACAAGGCACCCATACCGGTGAAAGCGCTAGCAGGGCGACTGGGTAGCTACGTGCAGGCCTACACGCTGTATTCAAGTGTGCGGCCTTTCGGAGTCACAGCAATAGTCGGCGGCTGGGATTCAGAGGCAGAAATTGGAGTCGATGCGCAAGTGGGGAGTGGTCCGAGCACTGGTCCTGGGGGCAGAGAAGAAGGAGCTCGAAGAGGCGGACCGGGCTTATACATGATTGAGCCTAGTGGTCTCTACTGGGTGGGTCATGAGAACATCTCCTGGTAAAGTCTCACTGACAGCAATACAACAGGGCTACTACGGCGCAGCGACTGGTAAAGGGCGACAAGCAGCAAAGGCTGAATTGGAAAAGCTCGACCTGGCCTCAGGTATGCTAGATTTGGAGGCAGGAGTTAAGGAAGCTGCTCGAATTATATATGTTGCGCACGAGGACAGCAAAGACAAAGAATTTGAGTTGGAGCTCTCATGGGTGAGCTCGTTAAAGGGACCCACGAAAGGTAGACATGAGCCGGTACCCAAGGAGCTGGTGGAGGAAGCTGAACGATTAGCGAAGAAGGCTATGGAAGGTGAAGACGAAGAGGAAACGGGAGCTGGAGAGGGAGAGAAGATGGAAGAGTGATTATCAAGCACGACTATGTCAGACTCAATCCACGAAGAGCTAGATGCCTGCCTGATTTTGAATCATGCACTGCATATGGGTGTATATCTGTCGTGTCTCGATGCGCTTTTGCCTTACGTCTTTGGAATGAACTTTCCCTCCGCCCATGCCGCTTTCTTCATGGCCAGCTCCACCGCAGCTTTACCCCAGTCTTCACCATGGCAATGAGAACCTGAGCTTAAGCCAGCTCTTGCCTTAGCTTGCTCTTCATTGAGCACGGTCAATAGTCCAAATATGACGGGTACTCCCAATTCTGACTGTACTCTCATAAGGCCGTGACTCGTAGCATCTGCTATATACTCAAAATGCATCGTCTCGCCCTTAATCAAGACGCCAATCGCAATGATTGCGTTGAAAGGCGTCTGCAATGGCTTTGAGGGAGCCGATAGGGAAGACTTGGGAGGATCCTGCTGGCTAGCAGCTGTAGGCTGTGGCGTGGAGAGGTCTGACAATGGTGCAGCGGATAACAAGTCTGTCACCGCAGAAGCGGAGATTGTGGGCACATTCGCAGCCTGGACTTTGGAGCTTTCGTAGGTCTTATGCACTGCATAAGGTAATTCAAAGCTTCCGGGGACATCTTGAACAACAATATTCTCTTCTTTGACACCGGACTCGAGTAATGCTTTGCGGGCGCCGTTGACTAAGGCGGTGATGATCTGAGTGTTCCACCGTGCGTGGACAATTGCAATTCGAATGCCAGAGCCTTTGCAAACGATAATTTTAGTGCAATGGACGCGATATCAAATGCCAGGGTCACATGATACCATCGTAAGACCGAGCTTCACCAGGGCCCTTGAGGCTGGCCATTTTCCAAGCCGCAGTCGTGTTATATCGTTCAGAAGATCAAAAGGTGGGTCGTTGAATTTTCTACTTCAATGTAGTGCTCACAATGTCTCGAAAGAGCACAATTTCAAGCTTGTTCGAGATTTAAATGCGGGACAACGAAGGGCTCTTAATTGATTGTCTATCTGCTATCCTGTCCACACTGAACAGTTCATTCATGTCACGGGCCCATCATAGTATCGTACGCTTCTGCACCAATTTTCGTCTCACGCACACCCTGCAAAACTGCAAGACCTAGTATTCGTACACTTTTCATTCGACTGTCACCGATTTTGCGAGATTGCGTGGGAAGTCAACGTTGAGACCCTCGCCTACAGCGAGCCAGTAAGCGATCAGCTGAAGTGGAATGACATTGAGCAATCCTTGCAGACAGTCGACGGTCTTCGGAATTTCGATTTTCTCTGTCTGCTCTGATGGGAACTCGTCGTCATTAGGATTGCAAATGACAATGGGCCGTCCACTGCGAGCAACCACTGAGCAATGTGTCAGTAAATGCCCACGAGAGATCAAGCGATTGGATTGGACGAGGAGGTTTGACCGAAAGAAATGGGTACATGGCTTAAGGAAGTGCTGAGGGTGTTAAGGACTTACCCTGCTGATACGCGTTAAGAGACTTCGCAAAGAGGTCATCGCGAGTAAGAATCATGATGATTGGAAGGTTCTCATCCACCAATGCAAGAACACCGTGTTTCAGTTCTCCAGACATGACGGCTTCACAATGTAGATAGGATATTTCCTTTATTTTCAGAGCACCTGAACAAGCCGTCAGCTGCTAACCCGACGGTATGGGAGGGATTGACTAACCTTCCAATGCAGTCGAAAATTGACTGCCACGCCCAAGAAGAAGCAAGCTTTTCTGATTTTTGAAAAATTTGGCACACATTGCTTTCACCGGGTCATTGAGCTTGAGAATCTGCTTGAACTGGTCCGAGACAAGAGCCAACCCATTCATGATATCCTCCCGTCGCTTTTGCTTTGAAGCACGGTCCTCGCTAAGGGAAAGAGCAAACATCATCATAGCTACAAATTGAGAAGTGTACGCTTTAGTTGATGCCACGCCAATTTCAGGGCCAGCATTAATGTGCACTCCGCAGTGAGTAAGAAGGGAGATAGATGAGCCAACGACGTTGACAATGCCCACCGTAAGCGCGCCACGCTCAAGGCAGTAGCGGAGGGCCAGTAAAGAATCCGCTGTCTCACCCGACTGGGAAACGAAAACACAAGTATCATCGCGGAATACTGGAGCTTTCCGGTCCAGAAAGTCCGAGGCTAGTTCCACTGCGATTGGAATTTCTGTAAGTTCCTCGAACGCTCCTCGGACGGCCATACAAGAATGATAGCTGGTCCCGCAAGCTATGAAGATCAGTCTCCGGCATCGTCGAATCGTGCTAATGTACTGTTTCAGACCTCCCAAGGTCACGGTTTTGTTTGCAACATCAAGCCGTCCTCGCATGGTGTTGATGACAGATTCTGGCTGCTCGAAAATTTCCTTTTGCATGAAGTGGTCAAACTTCCCCTTCATGATTTCCTGCAACTCTAATTCAAGTGTTTGGATAGCTCGCACATTGGAGGCACCATCATTTTTATTTAGGCGGTGGATGTTGAGCGACCCATCGTGAATGTGCGCAATGTCATCGTCCTCCAAATAGAGAACTTTCTTCGTGTGCTCAACAATTGCGGCAGGGTCAGAGGATAAAAAGAACTCTGTTGGGATTGGCTGGCCATCGTCTGACAGGAAAGCGCGGGACTGCGATCGGTGAAGGAGTGACTTATCAGGCGGTGCAAGCAGGTTAGCTGAAGCTTTCTTGACTGCTACGTTCTGTGAAGCTTGCTCCGCAGGCAAGGGTCCGTCCTCGGCGTATTCTACGTCAACGAAATCAACCTTCATCTTCTTTTGGGTTCGCACGCCAACCACCAAGGGAGAGCCTTTGCGAGCGGCAAGGACTTCGTGCGGATAATGCACAGATGTCAGCAAGAGGCCGAAGGCTCCCTGGAGCTCCTTAATGACAGCCTTGGCCAGTACAAGGAACTCAATGTCCGGATGCTGATCATAGAGATATTTCGCAAGCTTGGCAATGCACTCCGTGTCTGTCTCGGTCTCGAACTTGAAGCCCTTGCCCTCCAAAAGAACACGAAGCTCCTTGTAGTTAGTTATGATCCCGTTATGAACAACTGAAAATTGCCAGCTTGGGTCAGAACTTGGAGGCCACGTTAGCCAAACAAATAACAACGGACAACGGATTCTACCTACCGATGTGGATGGCAATTGGTCCGCGAGGGCGGCCCATGTGTAGCCCAACGAGTATGGGCGATTCCAGCATGACTGTCAAAGACCTTGGTCATGTCTGGTTTTATCTCGGCAATGAGCTCTTTCAATTTGGCTACCTTGCCAACTTCCTTGAAAGCGAAGACTTCATTTTTCTTATCTCCATCCACTGCGAGCCCGGCGGAGTCGTAGCCTCGATACTCCAGGCGGGCGAGGCCTGTACGAGTTTAGCCCAGTAGCCGAAGCAGAAGGATGGAATTCTCAGCCTCACCATTCACGAGAGTCTGGATGATGGTTTTGCGATCCTTCTCAACAAGGTAGTTGATGTATCCGAATATGCCACTTGACGGAGTCCAGTTAGCACTGCTCCTGATGCGAGAGCAAGACAAAGACGACCCTTACCACATGTTTGCAATAGATCTATTGGTAGAGGAATTGAGGAGGTAGCGATTTTGCAACGAGAACAGACGGCTGAAGTGAACGTGGGGGGCTTCTTGAGGTTGAGAAGCGGTAAGAATCAGTGGGTAGGGTTGTAGAGCGAGAGATGGAGCAGTACAAGCTGTGCTTATGTGTCGAAAGAGCTCTGTGAGCTAGGAGTGTTATTTGTCCTGAATCCCTTGTTTCAAAGGCTCGGCCCCTAAAGCGTGCAGGAATATCTTCAGCCCCGCGGCTCGCTTTCTCGTGCTCGCTCCTGGCCCCGTATCTGGGTAAGCAGTGGCGCAATCAGCTGTTTGCTGTGGTCAGAGAAGGAGCGTTAGATAGGTTGGTGACCAACGTTGGTAGGATCAAGAATTACGAAGCTGCACAGGCTGAACGAGGTGTGGGGTGTATAAATATAGCTATGCCTGCAGGTAGCCTGGACAGGCAATGGACGGTACCCTTATTGGTGTACGCTAAGAGATTGGCTTGGGCAGCCAAGGGAGTGGTCCGACGTAGTAGGTACGTTAGGGGGCTTGGTAAGCCCTAAAAGATCCCCCGTACTTCTGGCAGGCAAAAATGCAGGAACGTTTTGCGCCAAACCCAGCGGAGACTAGCCGGGATGCTGCTTGCAGTTCCCCTCCTCCCAGCTCTTTCAGCTTTTCCTCTCCTTCTTCGTGCGAATACTCAGCCGCTTCTGTTCTTTGTAACTCAATCACCCAATGGAGTGGCACTATTTCCCCCAACGACAGTGTACCTGATCTTTGAGACTCGCGACTTCTGCTGCCAGCCGCCGTTTGTGGTAATGTGGTCACCGGCTGTGGACCAAACGTGTGGGTTGGGGCTTTAGAAATGTCCACTGCCGTTACGGCAAGGGAGCGCTAGGTAAAAAAGCAACTCGCAGCTATCAAAGTTAGTACGATGTACTTGGATTGAAATCTACATCTACAGAAAACCACGTTGTTGTATGCTACGGGAATTACGAGTCTAGGAATGCTGGATATCCATTGACGTCTTACGTCTTCCTCGTGACATGCGGCGACACAGTCTTACAATCTCCTCGCGACATGCAATGCATGACAGAAATCGCATACGTAAACGACATCAGATCTTGAGCGAACGGCACCGCTCGTCTGTCATCCCATCGCAATTGTGCCCGTCTGTTAGATGGCGTTCTATCTGTTGTCACAGCTGGCGCCAAGCAAGGCTGGTCACGGCTGACCCTGAACATGTCTTCTCTGGCTCCTCTCAATTTTCAACACCCATCCCTACAAAGCAGCAATCATTGGGTTGTGATGAGGCTATCCTAGAAAGCTGCAGAGGGTCTCGTCAGGTGAAGGTCAGAGTGGGGTGGTCAGATGACAGCCTTTTCAAGAGTAGAAGCGGGCAAGAACAGTATATAATATAGTACTCACAGAGGCAATAAACTTGCAGCTGAATGAGGGAAAAGTCGGGCTGTAGCAGCTTTATCTAGGAAAATTCAAAGTGGACAGCGCAATGCCAAGATGATAGGTGACGACGCGGAAGTTTTCCGTAACTACAAGGAAAATGCGTATTTGTCGCGCGAACACCAACCAATATCCTTCCAGCCCAGAATTCCGTGAAGACCACACTGCCTTGATCACGCAGTCCATACGCATCGTCTACCACTATCTCAGCTCTCATTTCAGACCCACAGACTATTGCCCTTCCAAGGCAACATACCCAAGTCCCTGAAGACTGCAAACCGCGCCAGCCAACCCCTCCCCTGCACCGCGTGCAGTTTGTCTTCATAAGGGAGACTCGATTTTAGCTGTGTCAGGCCACACTTCCTTATTAAAGACGCATCTGGAGATTCGATGAGCCGCCCTAAGGTATCTAGGACAGTCTCGTAGCGGGATGCACTGAGGGTTATGGTAGAACGGTCAAGCTAGCATGTCGCGCTCTTCTAATGCCTTTGCGAATTTCTTTCCAACAGCACCAGCCGTCTTGAAGGCAAGAAAGACCTCAAACTCACCAAAGGCAAGCAGCCTCAAAACATCTCGACGATCACCGGCCAAGGCAGATCCCAGATTTTGGGATCATGAAAGGGTTGTTGCCACATCCATAGGTGCGCGCACCGAACGCAACATAGTTGCAGAGCAACGAAGAAGGCAAGACGAGCGGGAACCAAGTCGTGTAGATCTTGTCCACGAGGACGGCTCTGCTAGTTCGACTAGCACTGCTTCTTCGGTCTTTAGTACTAATAGGAAGACCGGCTTATCTGAACCAAGTAATGGTACTCAAAATCCAACGGACCTCACGCCATTGACAATCATGGATTCTTCACCGCGAACGAATGGAATGGTATCGCCAGCAAGAAAACCCGCAAAGAGCCGTACTGTTGTCGGGCGACCGGCATCTCCATCAGAGGAAAGCTTAGACAAGGTCTACTCACCCATAGATTCAGAGATCGAGCGAACTCCACAGCCGGACCGACTTCAAGCTCGCCCCAGTAAAGGTGTTGAAAAAGGTTGGCGGATAACGTATGATCCGTTTACCGACAAGTCTAGCAAAAGCAAAGACAAGCGTCAGAAGGAGCCGCAGTATGAAGCCTTCGGTAAAAACGTAAGCGGAATCGTAGATATATTCAATGGATTCTTGCTAAATTTCAATTTTAGGATGCAGAGCCTCCACCGCCAGATCCCCGGTTAGGTATCAGGGGTTACACTAAGGGTGCTGACAACAAGACGAATCGAAGGTTACGAATTGCTCCGTATAGGCTACTACCATATCCATATGATAAGAGAACATCAACAGGTCAAGGACCCCCAGTCCGCATAGTCGTCACTGGTTTTGACCCTCTTACCCCCACTAGTCAGGTTTTGCAACTTTTCTCGAGCTTCGGAGAAATCGATAAACATATAAATGAAACAGACCCAGAGACCGGCAGTTTCTTAGGAGTCCTGCTAATCAAATACAAAGACAAGCCATCAAGAATCCTCTCGCCAGCATCTGCAAGTGCGGCTGCCAGTCGCGCTTTTGGGGAGTGCCAGAACGGACAGCATAGGGTTGGCCTCCACACCGTCCACGTTGAACTCGATCGTGATGGGACCGTTGGAAAACGCGCGAAAGCCCGGGCTGTTGAGAAGCAACGACCAAAGCTGCAAAGTAGCAAAGCGATTGGAAAGGATGTTTCTGCTGATCAATTCGGTCCGCCCCCTACAGCCCCTAAGGGACCGTCAGCCAAGTTTGTCTCAAGGTTAGGCGCTGCAGCCCCTTTATTGTCTTCTGATCCTGAACTTGCTTGGAAACCGCTGGATCCTAACCAGACAGCCGTGGTGGAAGACAAGCCTATCTTAGAGCAGCTCAAACGCGAACCTTACATATTCATAGCTCATTGTTACGTACCCGTCATGGGCTCGACCGTCTTCCACTTGAAAGGTAGAATGAAAAGTCATGGATGGAATAACATTCGGTGCGACAGTACCGGATATTATATTACTTTCGAGATCTCCAGAAAAGGTGAAGAAGACTGCCTTCAATGCTTCAAAATGTGTCACATGAAACCTCTTTTTGACTATGTAATGAATATGGAGATCAATCGGCACGGACGCTCCGGATACGAACGAAGTCCTAGTCCCGAGAGGATGCTTGCTGAAGAGCAAGACCGTGCAAGGCATGAACGGTCAATGAGGGATAGAGAAATGAACTGGGACGAAGAGAAACAGGATAGGGCACTAAACGTTGATCCAGTTCGTGCAGCAATACAGCTCATAGAAGCAGAGCTTAAAGAAAAGCTTTTGGAGGATGTCAAATCCAGGATGGTACCAGAAATGTTGGCTTTTTACCTAGAATCGGATAGGCACGCTGAAAAGCGGCGCAAGCTGAACATTGCAGCCCCCGAAGACCAGAGCAACAATGCGCACCATACCGTTGGAGGGTTTGTAGAGACGCCGCCCACAGGAACCCCTGATCCGTACAGTACAATGAATCGACAGCCTCTTGGTCTTACGAATCTCAATGTGATCGCGCTCCCCAGGATCCGTAAGGCTGTTGGCAACAAACGAGAGAACCTCGCTTTCGCAGATGAGCGGAGGAAACAAAGGCCGGTTAAAAAGACTCAGGTTCGTGGGCTTCACCACCGTCTACACCAAATCCACCAGGATGAAGATGAATCGGACGATGATCACCAAACAGCTGTTACTCGCGACACGGAGGAGCCAGAAAGCAGACCCATGAGTCGGATGAGCATTGCCTCAGATGTGTCCGATGAGGAGAACGAGCGACAAACACCAGTTACCGCAATCACAGCAGAGGCTGAGCCCGAGATTTCATTAGCATCTGATCCACGGAAAAGAAAAAGACAGGCACAAGATGTTGCCTCGAGAAAGCGGCGGAAAGAGGATGATGAGTTATTTGGTCTTGATAAGGAGGAAGTTGATGGACTCGTTCGAGAGTCCGTGGACCCTCGAGTAGAGTCAGAAGCTCCAACCGCCGAGACTGTACTTGGTAAAGATGGTGATCTTGTGGTCACTAAGGCTATAGTGAAGAAAACTAAATCGAAAAAGAAGAGCAAGAAGCAATTGGAGGAGGAGCGTGAATTACTCAACGAACAAGCAAAAGCTGAAGCAGAAGTGAAGAATCAAGGCTTACCAGTGGATGACCATAGCAGGCCTGAGATTGTACCCGAGACGGAAGATAAGATATACCCCAACGTCGATTACGCTGCCACAAAGGGACAACCAAAACGTACAGTGGAAGACCAAACGGACGTGGTTCTCGATTTGGACGGGTGGCAATACAGCATCAAGGACGATGAGGACTTCCGCTATTTGAGAAGAATCTTGGTTGACAGGGCGGCAGCACCTCTGCGGCATATTGCATCTTGGGCTTGGAAGCAAAAGGAGATCAAATCGATCAATCGTGGTGGCGAGACAGGCGTGGTCCGGGCCGAGATGAAAATTGAAGGCTACTACATTGCGAATCCGACGGGCTGTGCTCGGACAGAAGGTACGAAAAAGATCTTCGAATCGGAGAAATCAATGTATCTCCCACATCGCATCAAGGTACAGAAGGCTCGTGAAGAGCGTGAGGCAAAGGCCAAGGAGGATCCAGCAGCCGCAGCTGCAGAGGCCACAAGACTCGCTCTAGCCAGGAACAACGCGAGTGCATCTTCACGGCTGAATCGGGTCAACAACCGACGCCTAGCTGCAGAGATGGAGGCCCAAAAGCAGGTGTTGACCATGGCGAACGGCGAAGGCGAGGCGATGAAATTCAATCAGCTTAAAAAGCGAAAGAAACCGGTGAAGTTTGCAAGGTCGGCAATACATAATTGGGGTCTTTATGCTATGGAGAACATTGCTGCCAACGACATGATCATCGAATACGTGGGTGAGAAAGTCCGACAGCAGGTTGCGGATATGAGGGAACGACAGTACCTCAAAAGTGGAATCGGAAGCAGCTATCTCTTTCGGATCGACGAAAACACGGTGATAGACGCAACAAAGCGGGGTGGCATTGCGAGATTCATAAACCACAGCTGTACGCCAAATTGTACTGCAAAAATCATCAAAGTTGAAGGAAGCAAGCGAATCGTCATTTACGCATTACGGGATATTGGACAGAGTAAGTCAAAGGAACAGAGGTCTTACTCAAAGATCAAAGACTGACTTTCATCTAGATGAGGAGCTCACTTACGATTACAAATTCGAACGCGAATGGGACAGCGACGACCGAATACCTTGCCTCTGTGGCTCGACAGGATGCAAAGGTTTCCTCAACTGAGCCTCCTACAAGATTTCGTTACATTTTGAGAGAAAAACCGAAAATTTTGATTCTCACAGCGGTCAACAAGATTCTAGTTCAGAGAACATGACATAAGCGCAAGTGACTATAGTGCATAGGATGGACGGCGTTCTTCAGATGTGAGCGGTCACAAATTCCACCGAGTGAGCATCTAGCGACTTGCGTTCAGAGTCACTTGTTGGAATCGATAGCTCAAACCAGGCGCGCGCGCTTTTGATGGACTGTAGGTTATGTAGAAGCAGCTTTGCTTGGTGCGGCGTGCCAAGGAGGCCTGATATCCCCAATTGCAATAAGAATGATTACCTTTGACCATATTGCTGCAAGCTACCCTTCGACACTGCCCCTCTGCCTTCGTTCGAGATGGTCAATAACGGCGGCAGCTAGAGTCAATTCTATAGCCTTCGATTCACAAGAGAGACCGTTGAGTTTCTGACCCTCGCGTCACGGTACCTCACACTAGAATTGAGAATTATCAGCCAGAGCCCGTAAGGCACAACTCATCGCTGGAAGCGTCCTATTTACCCAAATGACTCGGTAGCAAGAAATTTGCAATGCCTTCCTTGATTCTGTACTCATGTCCACAATTGCCACAAACCATCTTTCCCTCCATAACTTCCGTCTCCAACAATAGTGTGTGGAGGTCTCTCATGACCTTCTGGTCGGCTTCATCCTGCTTGGATGTGACCACATGGTCGTCATCTAGGGCTACAAGATCTGCTCCTGGCGTAGGCTTTGCAGCAGGAACTTCGGAGAAACCAAGCTGCTTTGCATCAATAAAATCGAGTATATTCATCCCAGAAGCTGGAGATAGTCTGGCATTCGCTGAGGTCGACTTTAGGATGAAGAAAGGTTTATTACGGTTTCACAGTATGATGAACGGGAAGGCCATTCAGAGAGTAAGAATTACCGAAACTTTAGGCATATCGCCATAACGTACCTCAGCAGCTGTTGTCTTGAAAGCTTCCCAGTCGATTCTAGGCAGAATGTTTTTCAAAAATTCCGGGTTATACTCGATTTCAGCTTGCTCCAGTTCGGCGTCTTTGAAGTGTAAGGGGAAGGAGGCCGCTGTGCTTTTACATGCCTTCACGGCGCATGTGAGAAAATTGACTGTCAGTATCTTCATTGTTGTTTGGTCTTTTGATGCTAGTGTAGACAGGAAAAGAAACGGAGGCCGAAAGTGAGGCGCGCTGCGGGGGAAAGCTCAGGGGGAAAGGGGCTTCAGGGAGTGTGCGTCAACCGATGGTTCTAAGCGAACAGCAAACAGTTTGCTATCAAGGACAGGGACACAGCCTCTCGTCTTTCATACTGACACATGTTGCTCTGACTGACCTGATCGTTGCATCTAGAAGACCCCGCTGGCGTTAAAGGGAATACTTTGAATCATCTGCCGTCACGCTACTAATATGTTGGCGCTATCTATGTTGTCGTGCACTTAAGATGCCCAAATGACCACACGACCGTCTACACCACTGGCTACTGGACATAAGCTGAAGATAACATAGATGATAAGAAGGGGGCAGACTTACAGCTGAAGTTCTTGACTCCATTAGCCGTAGCCTCAAAGGGTCTTAAGGTCGAGATTGTATTCTGATGAACAGTCTTGAGCTGTGTATCGCTTTGGGCCTTGCCCCTCAAATCCATCTGCTTGAACATGTTCAGAGCGGACTCCTCCCGTATCTCGCCCATGCCCGGTCTGCCCTTTGACTCCATTGACTCTGCAATCTGCCAGCCTTGCTCGTTGCCGCGAAGCCGATAGACTTCGCAATCCTAGGTGCGTAAACAAGGCGATCAGTAATTCTGGTGAGATACTTACGTAACCGGCAGCAATGATCTCACTCTCACCGTTCCAAATGAGGCTGAGGAACGGTAACAATTGTGTACTCAGGCTGACAACGGCTCTTGGGGGCTGATCTGGGCCGCTGGGATAGACAACCGTGACGCTACTGTCGTGCGCTGTGAATGCTAGAACATCACCGCTCGGAGAAAACGCACAGCCGTGGACCCAGCCGGCGGAGTTGTTGAGGTATTCCCCGCAAATCGTGTTGAATGGCAGGCGCTCGCCCCAAACGCTACTTTCTGGCCTCTCGTCGACCCCTTTGATGAAACTCGAGAGGACTCGAGCATGGGCATCAGTGGACCCAGCCGCTAGAAGAACCGAATTAGGATGCCACGCAACGGTTGTGATGGTACTCCGAATGGGCTTCTTGAGATGCTTCGAGACCCACCAATCATTCTCCTCTTCAAAGTAGCAAATGGCGATTACACGAGCGCCCGACCCTACCGCAAACTTTTTCTCGGAGGGTGACCAGCGTACGAAAGTCGCAGCACGGTTGATACGGAGCAACACTAGCGTAGGTTTCCATCCAGATGGAGATGGCTCCCACACGTAGGCGTTCCGGTCTGCTCCATATCAGGACACGGTCCGTCTGAGAAGACTCCACCTCATACCTTGAGAACAGGTGACTATTCGTCCAGCGGTAGGCGCAATGTCGACGCCAGTCACAATCTTATCATGGTCTTTCAACTCAGTTTGCAAGCTAAATTTGTTTCCTGATCGTTGATATAATTCAACAGTGGTGTCTTTGGCAACGGCCAGTGTCTGCCTATCGGCGGAGAAGGAATGGTCTGCTATTGGGTGATGAAACAGGTGATGGACCTCAGGGTTTGTCATCTTGATGACACAGCGGAGGAGACCACTCTACTACCACTATCTCATCAAGTCCCAGACAGTGTGAAGGATTGTAGGATTGAGCATTGGCCTGTACCTATTCTACTTAGATGCGGAGCTTGCGGAGCTTGTGGGGCCTCTCCGGGTAGCGGGTAGGGGCCGTCCTTCCCCCAGGCTGCCCCAGAACATTTTTTATAAATCAAAACATATGGTATCTGATCTAGCATACCTGCTTCACGAAGCTCTTGCTATTCCAGCGGCTCTTCAGTTACGAACATGACTTCGAATATCGTTGTGGTGGATACCAGTGCTCGACGGGCAATAATCAAGACGACGCCTGATAAATATTTGATTGATATACTTCGTGAAGCTTGTAAGAAATTTGGTCGCGACGCCGATTCGTATGAGCTAAGGTAGAGCCACCGTTGTGAAGACATCTGGCGTTTGCTAATGTGACGAAGGCACAACGGCAAGCTCATCGACTTGTCACGCAACGTTCGGCTGGCTGGCCTCACATCTGGGGCCAAACTTGAGCTTGTCCTCTCTTCACGATCGCCTTCTGCCGTCTCCATCGCTATTCAACTTCCTGAACCGGATCATCACGGGCATACCCGGCTTACGGACAAGTTTTCAAGCAATACCACTCTTTGGAAGGTTCTGCGGAGATTTGAGTCTGAAGATGGCGCCAGGCGAAATTTCACTGGTCGAGGCCAGCCTGTCCTGAATGGCGAAGAGGTCGGGGCCGGCAGGCTTTTCTTTGAGACACCTGTGGTACAGATCCTGGGACGCGAGCTATCTTCCTTTACAGACCTGCAAAAGAACCTTGCACAATTAGGTCTTAACTCTGGGAGCGCTCTTCTTCGTCTGAGCTTCAGAACAACTGAGACGCCTCTTGAGGATGCAATGAAGCAGATAACCCAATATTTTTCGGAAATTGACGGCTCTAGTAGAAGGACTACACCTACAGGCCTTCCGGCTACATCAAGACCAGTATCTGAGACCGAACAGCTGAGCGTCTCACTACCTAAAATAGCAGGTGCGCCCCAACCATTGGAACCAAGCCTTCCTTTTTCAAATTCGCCACCAGAGCCCATACTGGCACCACAACCATCTTCAACTTCAAGCGACCCTCCAGTACCGTCCGCTCTATCACCAGATATCACGTCGGATCGCCCCATCACCATTTTTGCTCCACCCTCCGCTGGTACGCCCAAGGCTGCCAAAGAAAGTTTCAACGAGAAAGATTTCGTGCCCACGATCCAGCACGCGAAATTGCATCAATCAAGGCTACAAGCCGCCTCGACTAACAAAAAGCTCTTGTCCGATGCAGAGCTTAATGCTAAAGAAAAGGCTCGAGAGCAAAGAAGAGACAATATCAAAGAGATTGAAATAAAAGTCCGCTTTCCCGACCAGATGCAGATTGTTTCGAGATTCACAGATGCCGAAACTGCAGATGATCTCTATACGTTTGTTAGGAATTCAATGGAAAGAGAGGGTGAGCCAATCACCCTACGCTTCAGCTCGTCAAGTGGGCTAAGAAGTATACTCTCTGGTCAGCGAGGCAGCGCTAAACTCATCGGGGATCTGGGAATGACGGGGCGTGTGCTGGTAAATGTGCTGTGGGATGAAGGAGCTAGTCTCGAGGCTAGAGCGGCGCCCGTGCTGAAGGAAGATTATCGCGAGAAAGCGCAAGAGATTGAAGTGCAGAGGATAGAGGGAAGTGTCGAAGAAGAAGGTTCACAGCCTGCTGAGAAACCTTCAGGTCAAGAGGAAAAAGGGCCCAAAAAGGGCTTGCCAAAATGGCTTAAGTTGCCGGGGAAAAAATGATCTTTATGTCTGGCAAGCTCTCGGTTTCGCGGATGTCATCATTGAGTACTTGGCGTAATGTGAGATGATAGAACGATTGAAAGAAATGTCAATGTTCTTCAGCATGGCGTGGGACGGCTACACACGAATAATGGAGCCTTGAGGCAGGAAGCTTTAGAGAAGCGAAATCGACTGAATCTTACATGACAAGAATTGAATCCGATGTCTGTAAATTGTGGATTCTTGTGCCAATGCATGTCCTACTGTGACTCACGCAAGAAGCAGTGTAAATCATTTAGCTAAATGTGTCTCCCACATTATTGCAATATGCAATTCAACCGTTCAATGCCCAGCTCTCCTAGACTCAGCGATTACTCCCTGTAATTCATCGACCTTCCGTTTCGCCCGTCCAAACGTCCCAAGCTATATTCGTGAGCTGGATTCTTTGCGCAGTTGCAAGATTGGATTGAGGACATACTCTCTTCTTTGCCAGTTTCCTTGCGCGCTTATCCTTGCTGTTTCGTAGAAGTTCGATCACACGGCGCTCATATGGGGCAAGTCTATTCATGCCATTATATCAGTATCCCGTCTCCTTTCATCCCTGCATCACTTGGACTGAATTTCGATGCTCCTGACTGCACATACCCAGATACCTCTTTCACGATCTCTCTCACGAACGCAGTACGTTTGCTGAGATGGCCTTTGGTGCGGGATATCCGTGGCTTAACATTTTCGCGAGGGCTCACTTTCTACACGTTGACTCGAATCAGTCTAAAGCTTGTCTTGGAGAAATTGCACATTCACTTACACGACCCTTGTTAAGCCCAACGGCTATGCCACTCTTCTGTTTGACGGCCATTATCGTCGAGGTCGAAAAGATAAAGATAGCTCGTAACCGAAGTGCGGTCAAAAGTGCGTGGAGCTCGGCTTGATAGGGCTAAAACCACACTAAGCCTACAGGGGCTAGACTTGATGCGTCAAGCGCAGGCTGCCAGCACTTACGCAGGCGTGATGAAAAATGTGTCAAAGCTCTACCTGTCTCTTGCTTTAAGTACTTTCAAAGCCGGGAAAACCGGGACCAAGCATACGCGTAGACAGCTAGCTATAGCTTCAAGCTATCACTACCTCTATGAGAGCCTGACGTGCATATCTCAGCCAGCTCTAGTACGCTCGCTACCATGGTAAGCTCTTCTCAAATGTATGCAGTTGCCGAACCGCTAAATGACCCCAGTCGTCCCCATTCTCGATCAGTATGCCCTATGTTGCGCTCTGTACTACTTCCTCACAGCCTACTAATCAGGAGTCTAGACGGAGGGGCCTGTGTCGCCATGACAGGTAAAGACTGCGTAGCCATAGCTTGCGATCTCCGACTCGGAATGCAAGCCCTCACCATTTCCAACAACTTCCCCAAGATATTCTCCTACGGCGATGTCTACCTCGGTCTCACAGGTCTAGCTACTGACGTCTCCACCGTCTCCGACCTCTTCAGGTACAAAGTAAATATGTACAGACTTCGAGAAGAGAGAAATATATCGCCGCAGACGATGGCGCAGCTTGTGAGCACGAGTCTTTACGAGAAGAGATTTGGGCCGTACTTCGTCAGTCCGGTTGTTGGGGGGATCAATCACACCACAGGCAAGCCGTTCATCTGTGGCTTTGACAGCATAGGGTGTATAGATTATGCGAAGGATTTTATCGTTTCTGGGACGGCTAGTGACCAATTGTTCGGAACGTGTGAGGGTCTCTGGGAGCCAGATCTGGTATGTTCTGAATGTATGTTTTGTCGGAAATGCCTATTGATACAACTATATAGGGACCAGAGGACCTTTTCGAGACTGTGTCGCAAGCGCTGTTGAATGCAGTAGATCGAGACGCGTTATCCGGCTGGGGTGCACATGTCTACATAATAGAGAAGGATAAGGTGACGAAACGATTATTGAAAGGAAGGCAAGACTGAGACGGAGGGTCAACGTAAAGGAGCTCGGTAACTTCAATAGCAGCAGTGCTTATTGCCATTAGAGGTCCATGCTGTGACAATCATCTGGGCACTTGAAGCCTCATCATTCCATGCAAACACCAAAAAGCGCCTCGCTAAACCACATACGTACAAAATTCTACTCTATCAAGCCTAGAAAGAAATATGTCTCTTTCGCCCCGTATACTTCGAAGTCCTCTTCACCACCTTTCCCATCCTCTCCATCTTTGCCTTCTTCTCCAAAATCCACCCTCTCCCTCCCTTTCTCTCCACGCCCCTCTTCCTCTCCCTCCTCATCCTCTCCGTTACATCCACATTCTCCATCCCCTCCACCACCCCCTCCACCCCACCCTTCAACTCCCCCCTCCCACTGTCAAAACCAAGTAAACCTTCGAATTCTTCGTCCCTACCCCATCCTCCAACAACCCCGCCCCAAAGCCCGCTTTAATCGCCGCCTGGCTGACCATCCCCTTCTGCTGCTCATTCTTCGGATAAAATTGACATACCGCCCTCCCTCCCCTCCTCAAACTCGCATAGAGCCCGCCAAAGAACCTCGCCAAGCGGCCCTGCGGGGACGTGTCGTTGCTCTCGGCATTACACAGCCATTGCACGGCGGAGATACTGATCGCTGCGTCGAAAGCGCCCGCGCGAAAGGGGACGCCTTGGCCGATGTCGCTGAGCAGTAAGTCTCCTTCCACGTCGCGCTGTAGAGCAATCTCTAGCATGGACGGGGAGATGTCCATGCCCACCCAGATGTGGGGGCCGCCTCCTGACGGAGGGACGGAGGAGAGGATGGAGCCTGAGAGGCCGGAGCCGCAGCCTATGTCGAGGATGAGGGAGGGAGAGGTGAGGTGGATGAGTTCGAGGGCTCGATGGGTCATTTCCGCTTGGATATTTTGGATGCGAGAGGAGGTGGTGTATTTGCGGGACTCGGCATCGTTGTAGAAGAGGTCTGGTGGGCTATTTGGGGGAACATGGCCGAGGTCAGGGAGGGAAGACCACGAAGGTGGGAGGCAACAGGCTTACAGTGTTTCTTCTGGGCGAGACATAAGGAATGATGCGGGTAGCGGAGATTCAATAGTGCAGCATCCGATAGATTATTTTTTTTCGGTGGCTCTCAGCTGCGGAAGCGAGCCGCTCCGCAAACCTTTTCGCTGTCATATCACCGGAAATCCTCTTGATCCCATTGGATTCGCATCATTCCAGTAACTCTTTCTACCATGTGGATCCTACCCCTGGTGGGCTATCTTGGTGTAATAGTGGGCTTTTGTTTCCTGACTCTTGCCATTGGTACGTATACCCATGCCACCATCGACCCCTGTGATTGAAGCCTCATAGCTAGTGGGCTTTACTATCTGTCGGAAGCTGTAGAAGAGCATACGGTCTTCGCCCGCAAGGTGCTCACGCGCCTCATCTACGCTATCGTCGCTATTCAGGCCTCGCTTGTGCTCATCGACCACTTCTCTTTCTGGCTTTCGGCCCTCAGCATTGCTAGTCATGGCGTGTATTTGGCAAACCTACGGCATTTCCCTATGGTGAAATTGAATGACCCAGTTTTTATCTTCTCTTGTGGTTAGTGAATCTGAAAAGTTGTCTATCTTTACCTGGTTTAAAGGTAGCGCTTGGTTTTGACGGTGAACCTGCGCTTAGTTCTGGTCTTTGCAAACCACTTACTATGGTTCCGGCACTTTTCACATCCGCCGCCGCCTTCTCCGTCTCAGTACAATCGCTTTGCAGTTCAGGACTTACCGACTTTCACCGAGATAGCGTCGTTCTTTGGTATTTGTATCTGGCTTGTTCCATTCGCACTGTTTGTTTCTCTGAGCGCAGGCGAAAATATTCTGCCCAGTATGGGAAGTGAATATGCTACCGGAGGTGAGATGAGCATGGGCGGTCTGAAAGGCGTTCCAGGTGGTGATGGAAGGGTACGGAAAAAGGGATTGGTGAGGGCTGGGGTGGATAGGGCAGTGGACTGGATTGCCGAAACAGGGGAGGCGGTGGGTTTGTGGAAGGGAGAGCGAACTAAGAGGTTTTAACTTGGATAGACCTTAAGATATCGTGTAAGATTTCAGCACAACAGAAGAATCCGCGTGCGATTGCTGCAACAAAACGTCACGACTACGACTGCAAAGCCTTGCAGAGCTAATTGGGGGACACCTTCACTAGTGCCAAAACCGTCTTGGACGCTTCGCAGTCGTTCTTAAGAGCTAAGGCAACAGAATCTTCAGTCAAGCAAGTGAAAGTATATTAATCCAGCTTTCCACATACTGAGCAATTAGGGTATATCAAACCAAGGAAACAACAAGAACAGGTCTAGGCAATTCGACAGCCACATTGAAGGGACCTGCAACCTAAAACTGTCTTGCCCATCCCCTCCAGAAGAGCCCTTGTGGCGGACATCACGACGTTAAATTGCACACTATAAACGAAGACCGTGTTGTGAAGCGCAATAGCTTAATGATACCTCGAATGATGACACGTTAGGGTGACGAAGGCTGGGACGTGGGAGAGTCCTTCATTTCGTGATCAGTCGAGTCGGCACGTGCCGCCTCCGCCAGTATTGAAAGTGGATCAGTTCGTGTGCTACTCTGGGTATTCTCGCCTCTGAAGGACCCTTGCTTGTTGTATGAATGTGGATTTCTAGCTTCTGAGACATTTTCTTGCCAATCGCATTCATCAGAATGGTGTACAGTATGTCTCTGGGCAAGTTTATCTGCTTTAGTTTCTAGACCTTATTAGCTGCTTGAGATTTATAGGACTCTATAGGACTCTCGGGGAGACATTCGCATAGAGTATATTGACGGGTCCATAGGTTGCCATACCATTTAAAGTCGGCAGCGAGGAAGGCGCCGCTCTGTATGAACTATAATTTCCTGTGCTTGGAAAGCTCTGAGCATGCCGATCTGTGCAGTCCATAAGATGATCCATATGTGTAAGGTCCTGCGAAACACCCGTCAAAGTCGAAATAGGCGGCAAAGTCAGATTCTGTCTGTCACCCTCGGCAGAGCCTCTAGCGAAGGGTAGAGAGGAGGCGGTAATGGGACTACTCGTTTGGCTTAGCGTTGCTGATGCTTTTGAGGAACCAGGCGCCAACGACATAGGTTGATGCGTGAAGCGAGGAAGCTTGTCAGCACTCCTAGATGGGCTTTGGCCAGGCTGCAAGGGCCTCGGGGCGTTAGGTATGCATGAGGTGTTACTCTGTGGATGAAATCCTGAATCATGAGATATTGTATGGGGAAATGTCTGCTGTGGTCTAGTGGGAAACATGTTGCAGTCGTGATACGAATCGGTGGTCGAGTTGGCGATGGTAGGTGATGAAGTCCTGCGGTCAACGGACACTGATGGTGCTGTAGAGCTTGATGATTCTCTAGCTGACCTTGAAGATCCAGAGGACAGCTGAGGAAGCGATCCGCTCGAGCCACTAAAATGTTCAGTGGTATTGGAAGTCATGGACCCAAGCCTTCCTCCGCTCTGATCATAAAGGCTCGATGGACGCCTAGAAACTTCGGCACCGCTACCCATACTTGGGCTGCTTGAGTTGCTTTGCTCATGCTCGAACGGAAGACGATGCTCATCTGAATATGCATGAGAATTGACCCCGGCAATCGCTTGGAGGCGTACCTGTGTTGTTCCCATGCTTCGCCTTGAAATCAGCCAAATACCTTTGGTACTCTCGGTACAAGTCGGTTATCTTGTAAGTCGCCATCTCTCTGTTGTACTTCTCCTTCGACGCTGCTGCTTGCGTCTCATAGCGCTCCTTCTCTCCTGGGGAAAGCAGCTGCCAGCTTTCGCCGACTTTCTTCGCAATAACCGTAAAGGAAAGTTTGAGCGGTCGAAGGTCCTCTCTGACCTCTGATGTTATTTAATTAGATGGGACATTTGGGGCGGTCTTCGGAACGTACTATTTGAGAATACTACATAAGCCGAAGGCGGGCGCTCTGGCGCATTTCCGTCCGGCTAATTCGGGCGACAAGTCAAACCCTGGAGCAAGAGTTGAAGCCATGAAGTTGATTCAAGGAACAGCTTACCTTGGGGTGACGGCGATAACGTCTCTTCTGCCGTGGAGCGGACTGGAGTCCAGGGGGATCCATTCCATCCTCGATAGTATCCTGGTGTGGCTCGGACGAGTTGGTGGTTTGTGAGGGAGACTCTGGTGTTGTGTCGTAATCACCTCTGTGACTGGACGCAGCCAGGATTTCGCGCTGCAAGATCTACCCATAGATCAGCCATAGGACGGCATTCAAGCAACAAGACGGCATCTGAGCGAGCTCAACGCTGTGATTTTACTGACCCGACGGTGGCCAAGTTTGACTTTCAGTGCATCCCTACCTATGTTAATGGTGTTGGTATCTGCACAGATTACCTTCCCTACAGGTCTGATTCTGTAATTTCGAGAATCGTCTCCCACGTATCAAAGCCTTCGTCCGCAAAGGGCGCCAGGTACTGCTGAAGACCTAAGCGAGCTAATATAGGCCCCGGGTCCGTCATCAACGCCGAGGTAGTCCTTGTTGAGCAAACGGCTGTTCTATGAGATGCTTCGTACAAGACCGTAAGGTGCGGCGGGACCCCACGAATTGCGCGTGCCCGAAAAGAAGCCGACGCATGCGACAGTTATCTGTACCTGGCCAGAAAGCTTACAGACTATCCCAAAAAGCATATGTTAGTAGTCAGAGCAGTTCTGAGGGAATCGAATGGCGCAGTGAATGCACCTTTGCTTCCAGATTATGAGCAGGTTCATTTTGCTTCAGGGGACAGATTCACAATGATATTTCATATTTTGAGAATTTCCAACAGAAGAATCTGTACCGATGTTTCCAAGACTTACATGGGGATCTGTCATTTGATTGATGAGGTTGGATTGATGTCTCTCTACGCAGGACCACACTGCGTAGGGGTTCTACTTGAGGGGTGCAAATCTGTGGCTTCACCTTCCTTTTTTATATGCGGATGATGCAATTGCCATCCTTGGGCCCTGAATTACGTATAGGGTGGTATGCACAGAGGTACTTTAGTTTCCGGGTGTATCAACATGTAATCGATCGTGGCGTAAGAGTATCGATAAGTCGCAAAGTCGATCATGGTCGAGACCCTGGGATAAAAGCCGATTGATATAGGGGACCATGGTGGGTGAAACACCCCATCACGACAAGGTGCGGCTTAAGATAGGGTCCACATGCCGTTCATGGGGCTGTCAGTGAAAAGATGCCATGCACGCAACAAGAAGCATCATTGGACAATTGATGCTTTCCCCAGATACAGAATATTGGGACATCATTGGTCGGTCTGGGACGAGATCATCGATGTGCAATCGCATCTCCCGATCGCCCCCAGAAGATTGGAGAAGATTGAAAAGATTGCAGCGCTCGCTAAGGGATGAAGCGTTAGCCTTCCCGTGAGTCCAGCAGACCTCGAAGCTTTATCCCTCTCCAACATATGTTGAATGGATGATATGAGACATTGTGGACGACGTTCTAGGATGATGGGAAATCGTCATGTCGTCAACCTCGTCAGACTCATGACCTCAGCAACCTCCAGCATAAAACACAGCCTTCGAACAAGATCGGGGGGGGGTTGCTTCGTATCGACTTCGACTCCACAAATTGCTTGGCTGTGAGAAGTGCAACAGAGGAGAAGAGGACAACGGCCTGCAACCGACGACCATTGAATGGTGGGAATTGGGGGGAGATCTATCATCTGTGGGCATGAAAACGCGCCACAATTTTCATTTCAAAGAACGGGTCTCTGGGAGTTTTTGACTTTGCGGCCGTGTAACAGGGTCTTTGACCCCTCCAAAGTCTAGATTTCCCTAGGCCTTCTTGACAGGTCCCAAGCTCCATTTCTTTTTTCTTTTGAAGAAATCGTTATTGAAGAATTGCATCACTACTTTCGCACCAGAAGCTTTCGAAATTGTCAATCAATCCTAGCCGTGATGACGACCAAGGCTGACGCGAAGGATGCGCATGTGGCACAAAGTCAAAGCCACATGCAGGAAGCTGATATAGCGCAGGTAGGTATTCGAAATCTTTCGTCTCAAGACCTCCATCAAAATGCTGGCTAACAATGCTCGCATATGCAAGGCTTTCAAGGATGTCGTGAGGTGCGCATCGCTTTTGGCGCCCAATATCTGTCTTTGCCATTTGGGCTGACGATCTCTTCTCCATCATTAGAGGGGAGAAGACTGCTACGGCCATGGAGCAGCAGCTGACCAAGCTAGAGTCCAAGATCGACGATCTGCTGGCAAGTGCCGGAGAGCAGAATCACGATTCCGCAGCCCGAATGCTTAGTGGAGATCAACGCATCGTTGGGGAGGACGTCGGAGAGTAAACCCGAGAAATGGTCCTTGCTCATGTCATTCTCGAAAATCTGCGACTTGAAGACTATAATGCTCTCAGTGCGTTGCGCACACTTGCAGCACTTTCAAGTCGTCGGTACCGTTCCACCTTCCATGTCTACTCGTCTCCTTGATGCTCAAAGGCAATGATTACAATTATTTGCATGGTCTTCATGCTGGATGTATCTGAATGTATCTAGAGTTTGGCCAGCCTGCTCTATAGGGACTGCCTCATTGCGGCCATTGATTGAGAATGTCCCGACTTATCACCGCCGATTCACATATCAAATGCTTATCCCTAATGCTCCGTACTGCCAAATCGTTACTTACATTTCATCGCTAATCTCATTATCCTATCAAAGCTCGATCGGCCCTTCGACTGACATAATAATGCCATGTCAACCAGAGCGGACCGCCAATTTTCCACCGACGCTATTCTTCTTTTGCAACTTCGTTGCACCTTCCTTGCCAGCATCGCCGACATTGAATCCTGCCCCCGACGCACGGCCAATCTTAGGTAGAGCTCCCAAGGTGTCGGAACCACCTTTTCCAGATCTTTGGTCGACGTATAGCTGAGCGTGTTGACTCAGAGGGAAAGCAGGAAGCGATTCAGGAATCAGGCCACCGTTCTGTACCAGTATCTCAGCAACTGGGAATGCGTGCACCGACCTGTTGCTAACACCCTTGGAAGATGGAGACAATGCAGGCGAGGACGTGAAGGAACCACCAGGTGGTGCAGGATCAGCAGCCGCCAATGCAAGGAAGATCGAATGCGTGTTCCGAGATCGATCTGTAGCATTTGGGTTTGCACGCAAAGCAAGGGCGTACAGAACACCGTGGATATCATTCCTCTTGATTGAAGCCAGAAGTGTTTCGTCCGCAGTAGCATAGCGGAATTGAGGATTGAAACCTATAGGAGCGACAAAATTTCGAGCCACGTACTTTGAGGTGATGAACCGTAGCCGCTGCTCTCGTGATGCATGTGCAGCGGGCTTTTGGGATTGATCAAGTTTCGCCTCCCAAACCATGTTACTAATGCGATTGCCAATCTGGAGTAGAGCTTCTACAATGTCCGTTGTGAAAGACGTTGTATCGAGGGTAAGAGAGCGGATTTTCGAGATGTGGGTCCCCAACGACCGGTGTATGCCTGAGCACTCAATACACAGCACTATGCCAAGATTGATCGAAACCCAATCTACCTTAGCTTCGGAATTGCAATCCGCACACCACCGGTTGCCCTGATCATTTTCTCTGATAAGGTTGAGAAGTTTGGATGGGTTTTCTTCGAAGCTGTTACTATCAGTTCGCACGTACTGCGGTCGTGCTCCGACTGTGCGGTGACGGTAGACGCTGTTTCCGCCGCTTGCGTTTATCGGCGCCTGATGGTGATGGTGGCCGGAGTAGGAGGAGGATTTCCCCGTGAGGACAGATCCGATGTCTCGGTTACTGTTCCGATCGGATGTGGGCTTGAACTGCTGAGGCTGAGCTCTGCCCTCGACTGCGTTTTGCAGAGCGTTGTTCAGGGCATTGATCCAGCTGTGCATGTCTTCCTCGGACGGAGCTTGATAGACACGCTTGGAATGTGGCGTGATGACCTCGAAGCAGAATCTACGCTCAGCATTGCGGGCCTCACGCACTGAGGCCATCCTGAGGTCGATGGGCTCCATGTGCAGGTCGAGGCGCTGCTTCCAATTGCTATATTCGGAAAGCCTTCCTTGGTCGAGAACGATCCAGAATCTGAGATGTCAGCGTTGGATCGACAGAGTCTAGAGCGGCCGACTTACTTATGCCATGCCTGTTTGTTCAGGCCTTTCATGTCAACATGTGAGTCTGGTCGACTCAAAGCCCAAAGGAGACCCTCTTTCCTATGCTGAACAGTATCCGCACTTCCGTATGACAAGTGGTCTTTCTCCTCCAAATCTCGGATTCCTTTGAACCTATCAGGGCTTACGAGGGGTACACCACTGGTAGGTCGGCTACTCGCTGTGCTTGAGGCCCCATTGCTCGTGGCGGAAAGAGTGGAGGTATGCTGAGATGCAGTAGAGGATGAATAATGAAGGCCATTCGCGCCAGTGCTGTCTGATCGCGAGAGATCTGTCTCGGGGATCGTGCCGCTCGAGGCATTTAGAGTTGGTCCTATACTAGTCGATGCTTCTGGCTCTACATATGTTTTAGTGCTTTTTTCTAACGTCCTTCGCTTTTCCTCCCTCTCGGTTCGTTTGTAATTGAATTCTTTGTCCGCATCCCGCACTTCGCGAATCAGCGCGTCAAGTTGCGGAGTCATCTCTCCCACCTTCTTGGCAGTATGGAGATAGCTCTGAGATTGAGTCTCGGCGTACTTTGTCAGCTGGGAAAGCACCTCCTGCTCCTTTCTCCCTCCGTGCAAGTCCTGCATGAATGAAGAATAGTCAAATCTTTTCAGCTCGAATCTTCGGCGCTTATCCTGATACTTCGTATCGCTTTCGTTTCGCTTTTTCTCCTTTAAAGAGTCCTGTCGCTGACCCAGGTATCGGCTGACATAAGCGTAGTATTCCTTGCTCTCCTCTTCGAAATCTTTCTTCTTGGCCTCTGCTTGTTTGATATCGATATTATAGATCTTACTCAGTGGATCAATGATCGATCTCTGAAGATTGACGGTGTTCTGCCTTTCATACTGCAAGATTTGCTTCGCTATTCTCTCAAAGTAATGATCCAAGGCGGGCTGGATGGCATGTGCATTTGAAATTGAAGCTTCACGTAATGCTTCCATAAATGCTCCTGCAGCCCCATTGCACTCTACCTGAGCTGCCTGAGCAGCTTCTGCCTTCCTCAAGACCTTTTTCATTCGTGTTCGCATGCTCCCGGTCTTTTGCTCAAGCGCTTTCATAGTAGCCCGAAAGAGTGGGCCATCATCGACCGCGCTCACATCTTCTCCGGGCCTCTGACAAGTCACTCCTAGGACGTTAGGGTCTTTGAGCGAAGTTTGCGTCAAGGTGGGCTCTGCATATTCAGGTGGTGATGGAGGGCCAATATCGGTGTGATCTGATTCACTTGGGGCAGAGATGGTAGACTGGGAGGATGGGATTCGCATGCGAGTCGGTACACTCAACTCCATAGCGGGTGTAGCGAGGTTGGACATATGAGGACTCGTGAATGTTCGCCGTGTGTTCTGGACCCAGAAGCTGAAGGTTGCAAGAGTCTGAAGCTTGTGGGCTCTTTGATCGTATTCAGAGAAGCTGCAAGAACTTCGCCAGCCGCCACCTCTGTCTTCGAGAGGCTTTGGGGGTCGCCATTTCCAGGACCAGTCAAATTTGGCACTTGCGCTGTCGCCAGTGGAGTAATCACCAACGAGTTCGACGTTCGGGTTCTTGTGGATATTCGGATCTGCATGAAACTCTCTGATGACCAAGTTGTCTAGGTCTTTTGTTGTTGAGGCGAAGGCGAAAGTAAGTCCATTTACTAGGGTCTCTGTAGAGGAGGTGGATTGTTGCACCGCAATTTGGGTCTGTCTTATAATGAAAGAGAAGTTGAAAACGAGTTCGTCATCATTGTGTAATCGGGCGAGGAAAGGTGGCAGAGGTGATGTTGGGGTTGATTCCGGGTCCTGTACAAACTCGACGAGATTCTCATCACTGTAATCCTTTCGAGCGATGACCCTTGTTGCAGGGTAGACGTTTGGGACTACACTTAACAGCACCTTCCCCCTTGCATTTGTGACAGTCAACGATGCAATAGAGAGACGACTCTGATCTCGAAGGACCAGGACCCCTCCGTCCTCGACACGACTTGTGACGTTGCCCATGACTTTATCGTGATTCTGATTGCTCAAAATTGCTTATATAGGTAGTAGATCGACAGACCCGTAGCAGCTCTTGTTTGGCAATTACAGTCGCAAAGCTGGCGACATCATCGCTGGACGATCGTCCCAGGCCTGGATGGTATTGGTGGGGGGCTATGGGGGGCGTCTGCCTATTGTCGTTCTAAAGCCTGGAGGCTGAGGGTATTGCAAAAGCAACATTAATGACGAGGAAGGGTTGTCAGTGTTTGATTGAAAGGGCGCCCATCGAACCTCTAGAAAAATGTTTGCAGAGAAGTGCGACCATACAAAGCCCTATTCAACAACGATCGACGCGGCGGCCGTTACGCGCCAAGGAAGGTCTAGCACAGCCATGAGGTGGGCAGCGGACAGAGCTGTCCTTAGTCTTACCTCCGGTGCAGGCAGGTATTGACTTTACTACAAGAGCTACGTGGAGCTAATGTTCATAATACAACTATTAAGGTCGAGGTGCCAATGTATTTGCTTCCAATATGGCTTCACTGATTGAAAAATGACCCAGCCCCTATATGGATGTCGAAGGGCACGATGTATGTACAACCCCAATTTATAATTCTTCCATAGCCCCCAATACTGCCCTGGTGAAGTCATGCGTAGTGCTGTTGCCTCCCATATCTCGTGTCCTAACCTTCCTGTTGAACCATCAGCGAATTCTTTCAAGAAAGGAATTTCCACCCTGACTTACCCATGCCTTATAACATCGTACACGCCCTTTGATATGCGATTAGCATGCTCATCTAGGCCTATATGCCTTAGTAGCATTGATCCAGAGAGTAGCATCGCCGTCGGATTGGCTTGATCCTTCCCTTTGATATCCAGACCAACATGGCGACATCCAGGTTCAAAGACAGCTACTTCACGTCCCATGTTGCAACCAGGGACAATGCCTGGACCCCCTACAAGGCCAGCGCCCACATTGGACAGAATGCCTCCGTAGAGATTCGGCATGACCATGACATCGAATTGTTGCGGCTTTGAAACACATTGCATCGACGCATTATCAACAATCATGTCGTTCACCGTCAAAGATGGATATTCCTTAGCGACTTGGTGAAATGTATCCCGAAATAACCCATCTGCTAGCTTCATGATATTTGCCTTATGTATGCACGTAACTTTTTGCCGATGATTGGAAAGTGCGAAGCTAAATGCGAACTTTGCGATTCGTTCTGACTTCGCCCTTGTAATTATCTTCAGCGATTCCACAACCCCAGCGACCGACTGGTGCTCCAGGCCGGAGTATTCTCCCTCCGTATTCTCTCGAATAATGCACAGGTCGACGTCTTTGTGCCGCGTTTCGTAACCTGGGATATTCTTGATCAAGACAATTGAGGCATAAATGTCGAGCTCTTGACGTAGGGCGACATTGAAGGACTGATGGCCGGAGCGCTCCACGGGCGTATGGAGGATGCCTATCACAAAGTGAACATATGATGCAAGCATCATTCTCTGTCATTACCTTTTAGACCCAGCTTATTGCGCTTTAAGGAAGCAATTGATTCTCTGAACAATTCCTCTGAATGTTTACCTCCAGACTCCACACCGCTGACATCGATTTGCTCCCATTCGATAGGAACGTTGTCAGCTTTGAAAATCGTCTTGATCGACTCGGCGACCTCTGCGCCAATACCGTCACCGGGTATCAGGGTTGTCGTGTATTTCCCTCCGTACTTAGTAGGCTTGAAGATATCGGCCTGTATCGTAGCATCGGGCTGCAGTGTGGCGTAGGCTGGACGCAAGTCAGCGACACCCTCTACAGATTTCTAGGGCCAGGACTGACAGCGTGCTGAACGGGAGGCAATCGACTGTCGTTTCGCTGTGTGCCAGACCCTCCCAAAGCCCTGCCTCCAAGTGGGTTAGCCCCTCGCTTTCTGTTGTGCCACCAAATGCCACAAGTCGAACGCTGGGAGACCTACACGATGCACTCGCATTGAGCTCGGAGACAGCATAATTGACTGCTGAAGAAGACTTGTTCAGGCCAGCGGCGGCAGTGAAGATTTGCTTTGTTGGTCCTCTACCAAGCTCGAGCTGTCGCCTCGGTCGGAGGGTGCATGCGGCATTCGTGGGGGCTGAACCTTATTTATCGACTTCCGCTGCCCTCACGATTATTCTTTGGCAGGAAGGGCTCGCCAGCCATCCACCCATCCTACCTAAGCCTACACTCACAACTATGTCCGTTTAGCAGTGTTTCAATTAATATCCTGGGTCAGTTGCAAGTATGACTAGATCCCATGCCATCTCATAATTAGAGGCTTGACAGCTCCTACTTCAAGCGGATCTCCGACATGTCGGTAAATCCCTTGTGCATCCTCTTCTTTCCAAGGCAAGCTGCCTCGGAATCATAGAGGGTTCACCGCTTGAGGGCGATTTTTAAAAGAAACATCTTCGTGTAAGCTCGCACATGGAAAACACCGAGCAGGTTTTGATCTCCTCTTCAATAACCTGAAGCTCGAATTTTGCCCTACTGCAGTTGCAAAATCTCTTTGGTTGTTTATTGATGAACACAACGGGTTAGCATATATTTCGGCAGACCGCATTTAGCCTTCAATAACGATATTCTCAAGCTCTTGGCGAATTGCTTTTCGACCTACGAATGAACATCCCGTGTCCTTAGCCTTTCCGATTGATCGAATCCATCTCGAATACCACGGTCTGTGCATGCCATTGCCCCAGTGGAACAAGATACGCAAGGACGAAATTACCACCGTTTCCGCCTAGGCTCTACCTTAGGAGCACATCAAGACCACCCACCGCGCACTTATTGACAGTCTTTATCTTGTTTGCCATGCTCAACAATGGTGTGTTACGGTCACTACTGCGATGTGCTTGTTCTCTAGCGCCCCCAAACCCTTGTGCTTATTGACGGCTATATCGGAAACTCCATCCTATTGACGATATTGCAAACCTTACAAAGTCCCGAGTTATCTTTGGACAATGTGACCCTTTATTGAGCGAGAATGGAGTATCTCGGTCTTGTTGGCTCATGGTAGAAGTTGGACCCTCACGTCGATATTTAATCTTCACTTGTCCTTGCTCTTCAGTCTCATTCAAACATCACAGCATCTTATCTTCTCAACTCTCGTTCCTTCAGTCTAGTATTTAAACACACCTTTTTCGAGTACAACCATACTTCACTACTTTACTTCACTATCACCACGATGAGGACAGGCATCCTCGCCGTTACACTTCTTGGTATGACCGCAGTGCAGGCGGCTGCGGTACCCAACCCCAGGACACACCTTCCCAAACTGCCAGAGAAGAATATGTGTCACGAATTTGGAGAAGCCTGCACTAAGCTCCGACGCGCCGTCGACACTGCTGCAGCGGCCATCGATTCGGCCGAGCAGCCCATCTACGCGAAACGTGCGGCACTTGCGCTGGCGGAAGCCGCAGCCAACACACTCACTGCATACGACCCCAACGCTGGCTCGTGCTATGCTACAAACGGAACTTGTAATGTCGCCAAAAGCCAAGAGCTCGCTGAAGCAGATGATGACGATGACGATGTAGAGGTAGATGAGATCGAAGTTGAAGAGGACTTGGAGAAGCGCGAAGCACGGCGTAAGCACTTTTAGTGACTTTCACTCATGATTTAGCTAACTAGAAGGTAGCTCCAAGGTTTAGGCTCCCGGAGAAGAACATGTGCCACGAGTTTGGAGAGCCTTGCACCAAGCTCAAGCGTGCGGTGGAAGTTGTTGACCAAGCTCTCACTGGTCCCGGAGCAACTGATCTCTCCTGCGAGGAAAACGATGAAACATGCGAGAATGCGAAGCGCAGTGTCCAGGAATTGAGTAACTTAGCAGGAGAATATCGCCTGTAAAGAGGCGCGGAGATATGAATGAGCAGTATCAGGAGGAAAGTCTGTACGTCGGGAGTCGGCGACTTCTCTATCTTCTTTCCGATTTCTGAAGGGCTAGCCCCTAGGTCCTCACCTTGCATAATACAATGTCTGACGGCTACATCATCATCCCTCTGTATTTATACAGCATATAGTAGCGTGACCCTCTTCTGTAGTTGCACGTCGCAGCATGTCCTGGTTCAGATTTAGTCAAGCGTTCTCTTCGGTGCTGCACCGCTGCACCGTCACATCATCACTCGCGCATTGCATGCGGGAGACCTATAATCAATTGCGCCACGGCGGAGTACGAAAGACATAAGACCCGATGTTATTTCAGTAGGACAGCTTGAACCAAGATCTTCCGGAGGGGTTAAGGTAGGGGTTTGTGGCGGCCATGACTTGTCGTCATTCCCGCAGCAAGCTTCCAAGCCACGGCGGCTGACTGCCTTAGCGTCCTCTAGCTCGTTCAGATGGGTCTGGCAAATGCCGCTCTCCCGGAGTCTAGAACGGTCCTTTCCCTATTCTCTTTCCTGGTGCAGTGAACTGTTGGACCTATGCGGAAGCCGCCCAAACAGGCTCACTCTCGCTCCGATGCTCCCATCGGCAATGACCACGTATTGATAGTCAAGCTCGTTTTTCTTGCCTTGATGGCATTCACAATCCGATCAACTCAACATGCCGCGCTGCGATCGATTGCCTCAAGAGGGATTGTTGCAGTCCTAGAACGTTACTTTTCAAGTCATGGCGCAAGAGTCTAGATCGTAGCCAAGACACCCATTACCAGCTTACCGAAGCATCTCATCGCCTGCTCGTGTCGCTTCCGGTCTCTCTATCGTCTAACAACCAAGTCTAGTAACTCGCCTCAATACCCCTACGTCCACAGGTCACACAGCTGCTTACCCTGCCAGTGCGACCTGCAAGTCTGAGAGGAATTCTACTGTGGATAGCACTTTTCCTGCCAGTCTAGAAATGCTTTCACTTCGGAAGCGAATTGTGCACAACCAGATTCCGCCTCAAAATATCTACGCAAATGAGTGGCGCCGTTATTGTGACTGAAGAGGCCGAAAATGAAGCGGCAGCAGCAGGGCGACGACGCTCTGGTACAAATGCTTGACAGAGCGACATTGTGTCTTCCAGGCTCCAAGCCTGGCGTGGCGCTGCAGCCAGGCGAAAGCGGCTTCAGGGATACTGTCAAACAGCATTACTCGACTACTGAGAACAATACGTTGGAGAAATTGATCCACTTGAAGAGACTATTGAGAAACGCGTCGAGGTACGATTTTTGGCGGATCCTCATGAATGGCATGACCGATATTGCAGGCGCTCAATACGGCTTCGTCTCAAACCGAATTCTATTCGATGATGAGAAGCCCACTGTGGAGATGCCCCCTATTGGCGAGCCAGGCTCCTGTCTGCTTGGTGTGGCCTTCTACTGGAACGATGGGGGGAAACTGCAGAACTTGGCTAGAGACTATAAGTATTGGGCTTCCGGCTCGCCTTGCGCCTACTTGAAATATGAAAAGGTCTTTTTGATACCCGATGGCCTGCCTAAAGTTATACCAAACAATCCGAATCCTTTCCCGTTCCCGGCTGAAGCGTATATTGGTATTCCTCTGTTTGCCAATGAGAAATGTTTTGGGCATTTTGGAATGATGTGGAATCAGAAAGGCCTTCAAGATCTGAAGTTGGGTTGGGCCAATGTGGAGATGCTCTTGCACTCTCTTGAGGACCTTGTCCTTGACCGCGCATTGGGGGGCCAAAGTCTGGAGAAGGAACCATCTACAAACGTTCCAGCTACAATACAATCCACGGAAGCTGTGTCAGCCACTCAGCAGTCTCTGAAGCCGTACGCTAAGAACTTGTCCCATGAGCTTCGCACTCCCATGCAGGGGGTTGTTGGGATGCTAGATGTAATGCACGCTACTGTGCAGGAGTCCTTGGAGGAGCAATACGATCCCAATGTAAGGCAGATCTTCAAGGTTCTACGTGAGAATATTGAAGTCGTTCAAGGTACGTCTTTAAGAACGCCATAAGATAGTGAGGTGCCATAATGACTTCAGTGATAGATAGCTCCCGCCGTGCCGTCGAAGCTGCTGACAACGTTGTACACGCGTACGATCTGAATATGCAGGTGCCGGATACACATTTGAATCCCATTGACTTCGAAGGCGTTGAAGCGACGTCTAACATGTCCTCCGATCAGCATCAGGATCGCCAAATTGGAAAAATATCGGCTGAATCAAACAGCAACAAGCGTAGAAGGACCAGCGAGTCAACCGAGGGAGCTGTGAAACGTCCTCCCAAGCACCAGATGTTGCAGTCCTCGTTTATGCCTTCCGAACATCGCAGATCTTCTTATACAGCTGGTACCGTACACAACACAAACTTTCAAAATATAGACTCGGATGGGCTGGATGGACCTGAAATTGATTCGGTGGCAACACCGGGCCTCCGCCAGACCCATTTACGCGACTTGTTGCAACTAACGATCAACGAGTCTTTGCGCGTGGGCGAGCGACCAGAATCAGCCTTCGCCCAGGAGAACAACGGTGGAGAGATTATCGAGGTGAAAATGAGAAACGTAGATGATCAGCCTGTTCTGAAAACTATTGACTGGTCTATGGATGCGGATGTACCGGAAATGATACTGGTGGACGAAAGGGACCTCGCTAAGCTTATTTCCTGCGTACTACTTAATGCTATAAAATTTACGGAGGAGGGAAAGATCACCCTAAAGGCCTCTTTGTCGACAAGGGCGAAATTCATCATTATCAAGATCACTGATACGGGGGCTGGTATCCCCGCAGACTTTCTCCCGTATCTTTTCCAACCCTTTTCTCGCGAGGATGACTCTCTTACACGTCATAAGGAAGGACTTGGTCTAGGGCTGCTTGTTGCAAAAGGACTGGCTCGCAAGATTGGTGGTGATTTGGTGTGTGTGCGATCTGACATTGCGGGACCCCAGAGGGGTTCGCAATTCGAACTTCGTGTGCCCATATCATCCGGCGAGATATCTAGTCGGGCCTCGACACCAAATAGGACGCCGACCCCAGGACTAGCCTCTGCTCCAGATCCGACATCAGTATCCTCTTCCCGCCGAAAGTCTGCTTCGAAGCTGCAGCGGCACTCCCACTCTCCAAGAAGTTCTCCACCACCAGCTCAGGCAGAAAGTTTAAACCCTGCTACTCCGTCACGGAAAACAATCATTCCAGCTACAAATGATTCACTGTCTCGGCGGCAATCGGTCAAGTCAGCACCCACGTTCGATCGAAAACTTGCTTCAAAGCACCCTTTGACTTTCCTCGTTGCCGAGGACAACACGTTGAATAGGAGGCTGCTGGTAAACATGCTCGGCAAGCTTGGCTATACCGACGTACATGAAGCCCATGATGGCGAGCACGCCGTCAAGCAGATGAGTGTTGACCGTGCAAGGCGTGGAGAGAAGCCTATTGACATTATACTGATGGATATATGGATGCCGAGCATGGATGGTTATGAAGCAACGGAACGAATATTTGAGATGGAAAGACAACGACACCAGAATGCCCACGTGGATGGTCAAAATCATCAGCAGTATCGGAAGAAGGGGGTAGCGGTACTAGCAGTTACCGCTGATGTAACAGACAGAGCGTTAGAACGAGCGAGTGAGGTTGGTATGTCTGGATATCTAACAAAACCATACAAGTTGCTCGATCTGGAAAAGAAAATACTCGATTACTGCACCGGTGGTGGGGCTTTAGAGCTGTTTTGAAGGTTTCCTCAAGTCGTCCGCAACATTGGACAGCTTTGTGAGCAATATTATTTTGATGAATATAGGCAGCGTTTGATTATGACGAGCGAGGAGTTCCGGAGTGCACATTTACCTGCCTCACGCATAGCGAGCGACTAGAGACTAAGAGTCGTAAATCTGGACGCACCAGAACAGCAGCATTCATAGAAACGAGCCTTACATCCATAGCAATATGGCATCTAGCTATTCAAGAAAAGGCCAACCTTTTCCCTAAGAAGTCAGTCACGCGTAAAACACATAGACTACCTTTGCCATTCGTCTCCATCACTTCCGCCGTTTCAACTCTCGTTCATCCCACTTCCGACCAAGCCCCTCTCGTTTCACCGACTTAATACCTCCGGCTCTCCTCTCCGACGAAACCCCAATTGCAGGAACAAATGCCCTTTCGCTACCCACCCTCTCCTGCTCCCTCCTCTTCCTAAGATCCTCCTGTACCTTATCTAACTCCTCCGTATACGCCCACTCGGGCCACCCATCAGGATCCCACAACTCCTTCGACAACGTCGTTGCATACTGCACACCATTTCCACCTCTGCCACCACTGCTTTCACACCGACCACCGTCCTCCTCATCCAGCCCCGCAGCCGCCATCAATTTCGGCAACAGACTGGGATTCTTGAGCGCCGAAGATGCCGCTAGCTTCGCATTGAAATGCACGCCCTGCGCTTTCAACTTCAGGAATTGATAAATCTTGATGTCATTGCCCGGGGGTGGAGAGGCCGGTGGTGAAGGCGGGATGTCGAGGTTGGGGTTTTCGGGGAGAGTGAGCGTACGTAGGATATCGCGGTTCGAGGTGTAGGGGGATTGGGATCGGGATGTGGCGGGGACTAATTCGAAGGCGTGGGGAAAATAGGGACCGGTGGTAGGGCCTAATGTTGCTGCTCCATTTGTTGGTTCTGGAGGGGGTAAGAGTGGAGTTTGAGAGATGGAAGGAGGTGCTGCGCGACCATCTAGTCGAGTCAGCCCTTGGAATAAAACAAAAATGTGAACAATTACTTCACCTTCCAATGTCGTGTCGAGAGCTAGAGCGGTGTCTACATGTTCCGGTGTCTAGGTCTATGCAATTAGCAAGAAAAATGGGATTAGTTTCGGGAGGGAAGTGCATACTTCAACTTTGATCGAGACTTCGTCCTCTTCACCCTCACTGCTTCCATACCCAACCAGCCCAGACATTTTGTCTTTGGTCACAAGAGACTCCTTCCTATGCTATCAGAGTTGTGAGGGTTGGTCGAGGGCAGTACCTTGCCTTAAACCTTAAGCCTTGCGCAGGGGTCATAGGTTCCTCCCGTCACCTGCCGAAACCCTCTTTTTGGTTAGGCCGAGAAAGAATTTCCAGCACGCACAATTTCTTCTACATAATTGCTTTCCCCCAAAGAGAATAAAGAACATGGTCATGGAACAAATACATACTCATTTCTAAGTTTCAATGTTATTTCATTTGATCATTTTGGTGTGAATCAGCTGTTCTTGCAAACTCGAAGGTTCAACGTTGGGTACTGCAAACGTGAATTTCTTCACAGATCATATTACGGGGCTACGCAATTTGTAGGCAAGAATAAGAATTTTGTTTTGTCTATTGGATGTCAGGCTTGTGAAAGCTTGTACTGTCACTTAGGAAAAAAGGTCTCAATGAAAAGAATCAAGGTACCATGCTCTAGCGCGGTAAGTAACGAGAGCACTTCTTCTGCCCGTTCTATAGAGGCATGTGGCCTTTAGACCTGATTTCTGACTTTGCCAAAAAAAAACAACAGAACCTAGGACCTGGTTTCGATATCTTCGGTCTTGCTCTCCGGTCGAATCCCACGGCCACTTCAAGATTCAGCGCCTACCTCGAAGTGCAAATAGAGAGGCTATCACGTGAAAATATCGTCTCACCTGAGTGCAGAATTATTTGTGAAGGTGAAGGTGCAGAAAGTCTCAGCTGTGGCTTTGAAGAAAATTTGATAACTAAAGTTGCGCTTTATGTCCTTCGCTGCCACAGCTTGGGTACTTCTACACTATCTCATTATCGAATCCGTGCAATATGTGGTATCCCTCAGTCTCGAGGACTAGGATCTTCGGCTGCCGCTGTCATTGCCGGAGTAATGCTGGGCAATGAAGTGGGCCAATTGAACCTCTCTAAGGCACGCATGTTTGATTATTGCTTGATGATTGAACGTCACCCCGACAACATTGGGGCTGCCCTTTTTGGCGGCTTTGTTGGAACCTCGATGAGGCCTCTCGATCTGGAGGAGAGAGCCCGCATGGAGACTCCGCCTAGTGAGCCTAGTGAGGTTTTTTCTGATGGTTTCAAGAATCTAGGCAACTCTCCCCTCGGAGTGGGAAGGTATCACCATTTTCGGTTGAATGCAGATATCAAGACTGTGGTCGTCGTGCCAGACTTTCGCTTGAACACAGTAGATGCGAGAGCGCGGCTACCGAAGACTTACACGCGCGAGGATGTCATATTTAATGCTCAGCGTTGTGCTCTGCTTCCTGCCTTATTAGGGCAGTCAACTCTAGATACAGCTAAAATTTCAGACGCCATGCAAGACAAGCTCCACCAACCTTATCGAGCTGCTTTGATTCCAGGGTTCACTGAGGTACTGAAAGACCTTACGCCCAAAACCTACCCTGGTTTGTTGGGAGTTTCTCTCAGCGGAGCAGGACCGAGTATTGTCGCACTCGCAACACTCAACTTTGAGCTGATCGCCAACGCTATCATCACGGTACTATCTGAGCATCAGGATGTCCATTACGACTGGCAGGTATTAGAGGTAGACCAAGACGGAGCCACTTGCCATGATTCCAGATGAATCTAGTGCTATGGCCTATGGGTATTCAGCAACTGGCAAATGCTTCAATGTCGTTTAGAGAAATGGCACTACCTTGCGATCATGAGCACTGTGGTGCCTCGGCAAGAAGACCTACGCGCTTTAATCGAGAGATGTGTTGTGGAAAATTGAGCACTTGGTTTGATCGGGAGCTTACTTCTTAGCAACGTGAAATTGAGCAGCGACGCTGGTCATATGTTACATCACCATGTTCGATCAACATGAACGATGACGATGCAAAAAGCCCTCCCATTGCCAGCAATGACCTGCTTCGACTGCGGTATAGCACAGCGCTGGATCACTTTGTCCACGCTTTGCACCCGACATGTATGACATGTGGCCAAGAAACAAGCACGACGAAGACGAATGCTGATTCAGGGGATGTCAATCCGATAGCAGAGAGCCTGTAAGTATCCCAGAAGTCATTTGCGAGGGTTTCGTGGGAATTGCAGAAGGTAAAGCTAGAATTGCGTCCAGGTAATATCTAATGCCATGAGCCTTCATCAGGCAGGGCCAAGTTTTGGGTGTCAGTAGCCCACAACTCAAAGTGTGAACACTGTTGTACGTAAGAGGCGTTGTGCATGAAAATCAGCATGGTCAAATTCTAATGGAAAATCGTCGCTTGGAGGCTTTCGATTTAAAGTTGTACGAAATGATGGTGAAGAAGTGAGCAAAAAGAGAGCAGTTTCTTGATGACTAAATTCAAGAGACTTGTACGTAGTAAAAGTGTTCTGGCATTCAAATAACATCGGTGAATCCTGCATTAATGGGGATATGTCTGGATCCAAGAAAACGGGGTTTGGGACCTGCCAGAGCGTAGATCAGCAATCCAAAGTTCCGTGTTGTACATGTGCTATCCTCCGATCACCGTGTCACTCGCGTAACCTTCCGAGGAGCGTTTGATGTAATATAGACGTACGGTACCAGAACAAGCATATAGACATTTTTTTCGTGCTTATTTGCTGCAACCAATAAGCGTGAAGCTGAATAAGCGTCTTGGCCCGCTCTCCGTCTTGGGCGGCAAGAATAAGTCCGACTATTGTCGAAGGCATCCCATGATCCTGTTCTAGAAATGTCCTAAAGACGCCCTCGACAACATCTTTGTGACTAAATGATATATCATGCAGATTAGAATATGCTTCGTACTTCATATCGCGGCTGCCGTGGGCAGCGTTCTTCCTCAACGCCACCTCAAATCTCCGACTGCAAGCGTTGGACACAGAGAAGTTTCCACTGAATTATTCAATGAGCTTGAAGAGTTTTCTCGCATTATTGACATATCCTACTGCGTCGGATCTACTAGTGCTGGAATACAAAAGCCATTCGAATGCGCCAGTCGTTGTTCGGATTTCGAGCACTTCGAGCTTGTCACAGTATGTGTTTAGAATGCTTCCTGGACCAGAAGGTCAAACTGAGGCTTTTAGACATGGAACACTGGACAGCTACTATCTGATAGTTGCGGCTACGTTGCGCTGTCGCATGCACCAACCTCCCGTCGGATCCTTCTAGCCTTTCGAGGCACTTACTCAGTAGCCAACACCGTCGCGGATCTATCGACCATCCCTCAAGAATATGCGCCATATCCCGGCGATGACGAGGAAGATATTCGTTCAGGTCTGGTCAACCTCTTGCCACGGGATGTCAGCCCCGAAAAAGCCGAGTGCGCGAACTGCACAGTTCATATGGGCTTTATGAGATCCTGGCAAAATACCAAGCCCGAGGTTGTGCCCGTAGTTGAAGAGCTTTTGAGACGCTATCCAGAGTATCGCTTGACCCTTGTTGGGCACTCGCTCGGCGGAGCCGTCGCAACGCTCGCTTCTTTGGACTTTCACGGACGAGGGTGGAACCCGAAGCTAGTGACTTTTGGAGAGCCTCGTGTTGGCAATGAGGGCCTAGCAGAGTATATTGACAAAGCCTTCGCAGCTGGCGATGATCGTATGGATATGATTAGAGTCACCCATGTCGATGACCCTGTTCCTCTCTTACCACTGACCGAGGGGGCTTTCGACCTCATGCTGGGGAGGTATATATTTCAAAGTCAGAGCTACCTCCCAAAGTTCAGGATCTCCAGATCTGTGAAGGCGCAGCGGATCCAGATTGTCTTTCTGGTGCCGAGGTTAGCGCGGAGAATATTGGAATGTTGTCCATGGAGCAGCCGGCGGACGTTGAGGGACTCAAAGATTGGTGGAAATCTGCGAAAGGTTCTTTATCAATTCCGGCACGATGGAGAATTTGGCAGCTTTTCTTCGCCCACCGGGACTATTTCTGGCGGCTCGGGCTATGCGTTCCTTGGGTTGGATCAAAAGTTCTAGATACGCATTTGCCCGCACAGGCTGATCAAAGTCCTCTCGAACTATGAATTTCGGACCTAGGCTTAATGATGACTTAGCGCTGGTGTATGGGGAACCTGTGAGTACGAAATAATGCCATATGTTGTGTAATTTAAAGGAGAGAGCAATACCTGATGGTCAATGATGGATGTTTTTTATGCTAGCATCGGAATAAAGCTCAAGCTGCCTCTGCCCTTTCCTTAAATGATACTCAATCGCACTAAAGTCCTTCTTGTCAAGCTTGACGTTCTTCTCAAATTCGCTCCTGCTTTTATGGTCAGAGTGGCTTTCAGTATGCTACAGAGCAAAACAGTAAGCAGCAATTTTGCCGAGAAAGAGAATAAGTTTGAGTGTCTTACCTGGCAAAATGTCGAAAATGATGTTGTACGTCCTGGTAAGCTCAGCAATTGGATAATTTCCGGAATTAAGTGTAAACCCACTGCGGGCTTCTTGCTAGCTGCGTGTAGACACTGTCGGTATAAAGAAAGAACACTCCTTTGCAATCCAGAATGTCTCATTGCTGTAGCAGTCTTGTGCAGAACTAGGAGTATTTCGCATTGGAGAGGAAATAAGCGTCTCGGAGACGCGGAGATAAACACCCGATGACGATGCTGGTGGAGAGGAATACTTACAGAATCACAACTACCGAAAGACTATTAGATATGAACAACCCAATGTGCCTGCTGCAGTGCATCTCGCTGCAGTCTCAAGATTCTATCTCTGATGACCCCCAACTAAGACTGCAATGCGAAGGAAGTCTCACTGACACCCAAAAATGCCTTCGTTCTCCGTGAGCTTCCCCGCTCCTCAATATCCACAAGCACTCTATTGACACGAGGTATCTACAGAGGCTAGTACGGTTCCTCGCCCGCAATGGGCGCACCTTCTACGGCGACGCCATCTTACCTCGCGGAGAAACGGACATCTCCAAAGCAACCCAAGCACGTGTGATCAAGGGGGATGTTTTCGGCGCGCACACAATCACCGACCATGTCGCCGTACGTTCCTCCCTCTCTCTCTCTTTCAATGAACAATCTCTCACAGAATTCACAGGATATCCGCCTTCTTCTCGCTCCCCTCTCCCCAGACGACGTCCGTACAATCCGCTGTCTCGGCCTCAATTACGCCCAGCACGCTCATGAAACCGGCATGCCCATTCCCAAATACCCGGTCCTCTTCTATAAACCAAGTACCTCCCTCACAGGGCCCCGTGACCCCATTCCCGTGCCCAAGCCCACGCAGATCGACGGACTCGACTACGAGTGCGAGCTTGTCGTCATCATCGGCAAAGAATGCCGCGATGTCAGTGAAAGTGAAGCACTCGACTACGTCTTCGGGTACGCAGTCGGCAATGATATCTCGCACCGCGAATGGCAGCTCAAGCGCGGGGGAGGGCAATGGGGATTAGGCAAGGGTTTTGACGGGTGGGCGCCTTTTGGGCCGGGGATCGTGAGCGCGGAGTTGATAAAGGAGCCGCAGAAATTGAAGATTGGGACTCAATTGAATGGGGTGAAAGTTCAGAACAGCACGACTGAGGATATGATATTTGGAGTGAGAGAGACGATTGCGTTTTTGAGTCAGGGGACTACGCTTTTGCCGGGGGATGTGATTTTTACGGGCACGCCGCAGGGAGTGGGGTCGGGGAGGAAGCCAGAGCCGCTTTGGTTGAAGGATGGAGATGTGGTAGAGGTGGAGCTTGAGGGCGTGGGGACATGCGTGAACAGAGTAGAATGGGTGAGGGAGAAAGCAAAGCTTTAGATACGGTACCTCGAAAAGGACATATTGATACCTAGACTCCCATAGCCAAGCCCTAGGATACGATCCTCTTTAAAATTCAAAGCTAGTCCGCCTTTAAAAAGATCATGTTTTTGGCTCTTCTGAACAAAATCCGAACTGTCCCTTCGTTACGATTTGGTTCAGTGTATGCAAAAGTGTGGGTGGAAGATGCCATATGTATCCTGTTTTGTGAGACATTCAGATTCTTTCTTGTAATATGTAATTAGAGATGCATCGCTGGCGAATTTTACGATATCCGAAATCAAAGAAGACAAATGTACCGCCACGTTGATCCTTCCATCCTTTTTTTCATAGCAGTCATTCAGAACCCGAAGATCAAGCAGTAAGTTGATGTAAAAAGACATCTCTCCAGGTCGAGGAAATCATTTCCGAAGGCTGTATCTCACCTTCTCTATCAAGGTCAAAGATGGGTCAATTCTTCACAAGATTAGCAATTTGTAAGTCCTTGAATATACCATCCCCTTTCTGCCTCGCAGGGAGGCAGCATCCTTAGACTGGGGCTAGATCTGCGCGGAAGATATGCAGGAACACAATTGTCCACACTTTAATAAGCCACTAGTTTGCAAAACAAACATCAAGGCTGCTCGCTTTGACAAAATTCAGGGGCACACACTGAGGTCCGTCATGCAATGTGGGCTTCAACACGAGCAGCATCAGCAAGTCATTCTTCCGATTTACCAGCATCGTCATGAAATGATTGACTGACTAGACATTATATCAAGCCCAAACATTTGGCAGTCTTCTAGATGTAGCCAATCAGCAGATAAAGCGGTAGCATCGGCGTTCGAGGATTGTTAGTTTATTGGTGTACCCAGATCAAACATCCATTGAGCGAATGTCTTGTGTTGCTCTGCTTTCATTCCGACGGCCTGGTCCCAACTCATCGATGGGTTATCCCCGTTTGTCAACTGAGAAGAATTGGTGCCATAATCTGGTGTTGAAGGAGATCGCTCCTCGTTCTTGAAGATGTTGTCGAAGTGAAAGGTTCCGCCGGCGCCCTTCTCCATGACTCCTTTCTCAGTTATGATACCATCAATGAGGTCTGCGGGAGTAACATCAAACGACGGATTCCAGACATGAGTTCCAATCGGTGCAATGCTAATTCGTTTTGCCTTCTCCTGCGTCAACACTTCACCACTAGCAGACACCTCAGGTCCCTCTACTGTTATCATCTCTTCCGGCGAACGCTGTTCTATTACAATGTTTGCACCGCAGGTGGTTTTGAGATCAATGGTAGTTCTAGGAGCAGCGACAAGGAATTTAAGACCGTGATACTTAGCTATAATTGCAAGACTGTAGGTACCGATCTTGTTCGCAGTGTCTCCATTTGCTGCGACTCTATCAGCACCTACCACGATGCATCCAATACTATCTTTGTCTTTTCTGCGACCGAGGAGAGCAGCGACCATAGAGTCCGCCACTAATTCAGCCGGAATTTGGTCGTGTAAAAGTTCAAACCCAGTCAGTCGAGCACCTTGATTGTATGGTCTAGTCTCTGTGTAGAACACTCGACGAAGTAGCTGTCTCGAGTGAAGGCTTCGCACCACACCTAATGCTGTTCCGTGGCCAGCTGTGGCCAGAGAGCTATCTGTGTAAGTCAAGATGGGACCCCATTCAGCAAGCCAACGACTGACCCTGTATTGCAGTGCGTAACCACTGAAATTTGATCATCAGAACGGGAACCTAGACATTTGTCCGTGATCCATTGTGCACCATGGCCTCCAATGCTCTCATTATCTGAGATGTCATCCCGAAGCATGTTCTCAGCGGCACTCAAATATGCTTGCACAATTTTCCCGAGACTTGATCCTGGCCTATTGCGAGCAGTAATTATCGTTCTTTCTAACTTCAATGCTGCATCAAGTAAATTGACGGCTGTTGGCCGACTGGTAACGAGAAATTTTAGACTATTTGTGATTACAGTAACGATAGAGAAATCGTTCGAATATTTTGACACATCTTCATTTGAAAGCCATGCAGCAAGACTCAGGGTCGCTACTATGGCGATTGCTGGAGCACCTCTTACTTGCATAGACTTAATAGCATTCCACCCATCTTGGGGATCACAAATTTGAACATAAAGTTGTTCATGAGGTAGCCGAAGCTGATCAAGGATCTCGAGCTTTCCATTTCTATACTTGATAGCTTGTAGCATCATGGCACAGTGTTGACTTTTCTTTTGGGAGACTTTGGTCAACGTATTGAATGCCATTTTAGGGGGAGATAGAATCCAGTTCGGAAAGTGCGCGTGCATGATCATAAATGCGCATTGCCAGCTTGTTGTTCCAGGGGCTCAAAGGGCTGATGCGCCAACCTAGCCGCCTAGCCCGTTGATACGTCAAATCTTCTTAGGAAATAGCCCATAACCTTCTCGACTGCAGCATCAGTGTTTCCGCCTCACCACACATTTAACTTCGCCTGTGCCGATTACGAATTATTCTGTTCTTAGATCGGTCCACTCCAACCACTCTCTTGTTCGAGCCGGCTGTGATCTTTCGTCATGGACGCTGAGAAAGACCCCGAGAGGGCGGACGCGTTGGAGCAGTACAAGAAGAAGCTGTTAGAGTTGAGAGAGATGGAGGCGAAGCTGAAGACACTGCGGATGGATATCAAAGGGTTACAGAACGACTTTGAAACTACTGAAGACAACATCAAAGCGCTTCAAAGTGTTGGCCAGATAATAGGAGAGGTGCTGAAGCAGCTAGATGAAGAGAGATGTGGATCAACACTTGTAAAGAGATTAAAGAAGCTGCTGACTGAGTCTGCTAGTCATCGTCAAGGCCTCATCTGGGCCTCGATACGTCGTCGGGTGCCGGTCGAAAGTCGACAAATTGAAGCTGAAGCAGGGGACAAGAGTTGCGCTTGACATGACGACGCTCACAATAATGCGGATGCTCCCTCGTGAAGTCGACCCTCTAGTCTACAATATGTCATTAGAAGACCCTGGACAAGTCAGCTTCGGTGGTATTGGCGGACTGAACGAGCAAATCAGAGAGCTCCGGGAAGTTATAGAACTACCACTCAAAAACCCTGAGCTATTTCTGAGGGTTGGAATCAAACCACCGAAAGGTGTGCTTCTATATGGTCCACCTGGCACAGGCAAAACCCTCCTAGCAAGAGCCGTGGCAAGCGGGTTAGAAACAAATTTCTTGAAAGGTACGAGATTTACTCGTGACAGCTTATTGGCCGTGTGCTGAATATTTTACAGTGGTATCATCAGCCATCGTGGACAAATACATTGGTGAATCAGCCAGGCTAATAAGAGAAATGTTCGGCTATGCGAAGGAGCATGAGCCATGTATCATATTCATGGATGAAATCGACGCGATTGGCGGGCGACGATTTTCAGAGGGCACATCTGCCGACCGAGAGATTCAACGAACGCTGATGGAATTGCTCAACCAATTAGACGGCTTTGACTATTTGGGGAAAACAAAGATCATCATGGCAACGAATCGACCAGATACGCTGGATCCTGCGCTATTGCGGGCTGGGCGATTAGATCGTAAGATTGAGATTCCGTTGCCGAACGAAGTTGGCCGGCTTGAAATTCTTAAGATTCACGCCAGCGGTGTATCAATGGATGGGGAGATTGACTTTGAGAGTGTGGTCAAGATGAGTGATCAGCTCAACGGTGCTGACCTGCGAAATGTCGTGACCGAGGCGTAAGTCTATCTCGGGTGTATGTGAAGATCTACACTGACTTGGATTATCAGCGGTCTATTCGCGATTAAGGAATACAGAGATTCAATAACTCAAGACGACATGAACAAGGCGGTACGCAAGGTAGCAGAATCTAAAAAGTTGGAAGGAAAGCTTGAGTACAAGAAATTATGATGGGCGCTGTAAACATCTTTCCCTTGAATTGCATAGCGAAAGGCGTTGCAGGTACCAAGTGAAACGTTGAATATTGGCTCAATGCTTGACTGATTTGCTTCCCCAAAGTCATCTTTCTCATCCCATATTATTATTATTAGTGCCAGATGCTGTCAAAGATAATCTTATCGCGGAGTTGCGGAGCGGGATGGAAGTGGAATGCAGGGACGAGGCGGACCCCTGCCAAGATCCCCTTTTCGAAGCTTATTTATGGCCACGTTCGAATAATTTCTTTAACAGCACTTTTCGCGTTACGTCCTGAAGCTCATCCAACCTATCCATAAATGCCTACACCCAATTGTCCCGGCCTGGAGCCTAGTTGTCATGGTTGAGATTACGCAAGCCTCCCCACCAGCATCGTTTCACGTAAGGATAGGCTTCTATCCTTCCGCTGAGGGCTGGATTCGCAGCGACATCGTACGGACATCTGGATGGGAGTGATCGGGTCCTGCTAGGCCATGTCATTTCAGCGGCTACAAAATGGTCACGTGCGAGATTCACTGGGGGGCAAGATTGATGAATACCTTGATCATCGAGAGTTGCCAATGTACAAAGACAAGCCATACAATTACTCCGCCTCGAGTAAGACGAAACCTATTTATAAGCGATGGAGAACGATCGCTGGCATTGCTCTTGCAACTGTGACTCTTCTTTATTGGCTTGGATCCTCAAATTCAACTGATTCAAAACCCCATGCTAAACCCAACAAAAGTGGCTCGTGGGGCTGGTCTAACAAGAAACTAGGCATTGACTGGAACTCACGTCGTGAAGAGGTCAAGGAGACTTTCGTATACAGCTGGAATGGCTACGAGCAATATGCGTGGGGCTTTGATCAATATCGACCGCTCTCGAAAGATGGAGCGCAGATGAATGAGCAGGGGAAGGGCCTAGGTTGGATTATTGTCGACGCTTTGGATACCATGATGATCATGAATTTGACGTCTCAGTTATCACACGCTCGAGAATGGATATCTACTTCGTTAAATTATGACCAGGACTATGAGGTCAACACCTTTGAAACAACAATCCGTATGATGGGTGGCCTGCTCTCCGCTCATTATTTGTCCAACTCGTTTACTGATTTGGCAAACGTGAAAGACGACGATAAGGGCGCCCCTGGTGAGGACCTGTACCTTGAAAAGGCCACCGACTTAGCCGACAGGTTGATGGGTGCCTTTGATTCTCCAAGTGGGGTGCCTTTTGCTAGCGTCAATCTTCAGACCTCCTTAGGCAAAGGATCGCATGTAGATGATGGCGCATCATCGACAGCAGAAGCATCAAGTCTGCAATTGGAGTTCAAGTACTTGGCCTACCTAACTGGGGAGAAGAATTACTGGGAGAAGGCAGAGAGGGTGATGGAAGTTATCGACGATAATGGGAGGCAGGATGGTCTCCTTCCAATCTTCATATATCCAACAACTGGTACCTTTATGGGAGAGAACATACGACTTGGCAGTAGGGGAGATTCATACTACGAATATTTAATCAAGCAGTATTTGCAGACCGAAGCAGAGGAACCCCTCTACGAGAACATGTGGAGCGAATCCTTAGCTGGGATAAGGAAACACTTAATAACTTACTCGAACACGTCACACCTGACCGTCCTGGCAGAACGCCCCAGCAATCTTGAGGGCGCAATTTCCCCAAAAATGGATCATCTAGTCTGCTTCATGCCTGGTACTATTGCACTCGCCACGACTGGAGGTGTGACGGTCAATGAAGCCAAAGCTGCCGGAAAGTGGAACGAACAACAAGAAAGTGAGCTGCGCCTGGCCCGAGAATTGACGAAGACTTGCTACGGCATGTATAAAGTCATGGCTACGGGTCTTGCCCCTGAGATTGCTCACTTTGCGTTGAGCGAGCCACCACATATGGAATCTGACGGCATTCTTGAATCAGCCGAGCTAACCGACGACCCGGAAGCTGAATGGCGGAAGGATTACGAGATCCATCACCAAGACAACCACAATTTACAACGCCCTGAGACGATCGAGACCTTGTTCTATATGTACCGCATCACTGGGGACGAGATGTACCGCGAATGGGGGTGGGAAATCTTCCAGAATTTCTTGAAATACAGCAAAGCAGATGATAACGCTGGTTATACAAGTCTAGCACACGCGAATGAAATACCGCCGATAGAAAAAGATAATATGGAAAGTTTTTGGCTGGTGAGTCATAGCAGGATTTGCAAGGTGAGTTGGCGCGACTGACAACTGGCAGGCCGAAACGCTCAAGTACTTTTACCTACTGTTCTCACCCCCTGACTTCCTACCGCTGACATCGGTTGTCTTTAATACTGAGGCACATATCTTTCCTCGCTTCAAACTGGCCAGAGGGCTGCAAACGGGTTGGGAACGGACACCTCGAGATGCGCAAGGTGTTATGCAAAAGGCGTTTAAGAAGTCCAAGACTCTTATTGTCCAGAAGCCGTTGCAGCACGAGACAGCGCCCTCCTCTCTACCAGACGAACAAAAAGCGGGGGAAGGTCATGTAGGGTTGTCAGGATAATTATCAATGTTGACTAAGATCAATTGGATCGTCTCCGGATCATAAGCGCCAATGACCGGCAACCATTTCCGCATCTTTGAATGTTCACATGGTCCAGTTGCCAGTTGCATTATTGGTGTCCTCAACGTCTTCCACTTACACCTACCAGGACCAGCTTCTTACCTTCTTGTCTCGGGAGCTGAAGCATTCCTGCACACTGGACGTCGGCCGCTAAGCTCGGAAACGATCTCGGCTTCTCTCAGCGAATGAAAGACCAGGACGCTCCCACATGTTTCAACACATGGTCACGTTGTGTAAGATATCGATGTGCACCTGCAATCGCCTGTCAACACTAGGAATCAGCGTGGCGTCGATGTGAATGCGCCGAAGCTTTTCCCTTGATCTGACAGCTCACTGCTGCACTCGTTCCTGTGGCCCAAGTCGTTCGTCATGTTGCTCTTGATTTCTGTCTACGCTTTGCTAGTAGCCTTGATATGTGCAGCATGGAATGATCAGGACCGTAACATAGGGTACTCGACCGTCACTGCTTACTTTGTTCAAGATGATAATAGCACTAATGCGACTTCATTCGATTTCCGGACCACAAATTTCGGTCTCATCAATAGGACCTATGATGATTATTCTGACGGCGGCGGTAAAAAGACGCAATGGCAGCTTTTTGCGAAAGAAGTCTCAAAGCTCCAGCATAGAGCGCAGAATCACGTACATTACAAAGTGCTCTTCTTGGGTCGTCATGGCGAAGGCTTCCACAATGCAGCAGAAGCCTTCTACGGCACCCCTGCATGGAATTGCTACTATTCCATCCTGAACGGCAACGACACTGTCACATGGGCAGACGCAGAATTAACGCCCACAGGCATCAATCAAGCTTTGGCCAATAACAAATTCTGGGCTTCAGAGATCGAGACCCAGAAGATCCCAAATCCAAACAGCTTCTACACCAGCCCATTGACACGCTGCCTTGCTACTGCCAACTTGACCTTCAGCGGTCTGAAGCTTAAGCATCCATTCATACCGACTGTTAAGGAACTCTTACGTGAAGGCATCAGCGGCCATACTTGCGACCGGAGAGGTAGCAAATCGTATATTCACGCCAATTTCCCGACGTACGAATTTGAAGAAGGCTTCGCAGAGACCGACCAATTATGGGAGGCTTTGCATGGTGAGACTTCGGTAGACCAGACAATAAGATCAAAGACAATTCTCGACGATATCTTCACGCATGATAAGAGCACTTACATCTCCATCACCAGCCATTCTGGGGAGATCGCATCCATCTTAGGAGGTCAGTATCTTTGCCCAATGCTCGAAGTCCACTAATTGCTCAGTACTCAAACATCGCCCGTTTCCACTCAGCACAGGGGCTATTATTCCAGTTCTCGTCAAAGCCGAGAGTCTGGATCAACCGCCACCAAGTCCAGCGACTGAACCCTTCACTGGCATTTGTACCTGCACATCGCCGCCAGCGAAGGGGGCGACGAGTTCTGCATGCGTGACGGCTACTGCAACTGTGGCTCCAGTGGGAGGTTGTCCCTCTTAACGCTGATTTTCTACATTAGAGCAACCATAATAAGGTCACGTTTGATTGCTGACAAGAAATCTGGTCCATCACTCAGTCCAGGTTTCCCTTCAGGTTATTGAAAAATTTCATTACTTTTGCTATCTTCGAGAGTTACGATAAATCTCCTTTGCTCCACGAAGATATTGCAGTGTTTGCCTCCCTTATCAAAGGTATCATCTGCACAGGCATTTTACAAGTCTCAATGCCGTATGGTATCCTGTTCTTCAGCCAGACATCTCTCTCCACAAAAGATATTCAAACTCGATCCTCCTTCCCGATACATTGCCTCCGGGTCAAAATCATCTGATTGTCCAACCCTCATCCCTACAACCCCAGATACCGTCCCTTGTCCAACCCTTCCACCTCCTATGTTTGAGACCTGGAGAATCTCTCCATCCTCTCAATGACCAGCCCAATCATCACTTCCGTGCCCCCCTTTCAACGCCCCACTCACCGCGAGAGCAATCCACACGACAGAGAATATCACAACAATGACTAAAGCCGAATACAGAACCTTTGGATGACGGATATGGCAGCCACAGACCCTTGTGGCCCTCCCTCTTCCCCCTTCTCTACCACCACCGCCACCGACTCTTCCTCCACCCCGACTATTCCCATAGAATCCATACCCGCCACGCGCGCCTCCGCTGCTAAGCCGGCTATGTCTACTAAACCACGTATTCCCCTCATCCCTCCCGCTCCCGGTGAACCCCAAGTCGCCGTTCCAAATGCGTGCGCCCTCGGAGTTCGGGGCGTTAGTAGCTGGAGAGGGGGAGTACGCGATCGCGGGTCTTGGTCTCAGGGCGGTGAGGGGAGCGGTGGTTGAGCTGCGCAGGTCAATGTCGTGGAAGGTGTGAGAGGCGAAGTTGCGCTGGAGGGGGGACTCGGTGTCGAGCGTTGGTGTCGTCACAGGAAGGGGCGATGGATGTTGGAGGGGTGATGGATGCTGGAGGCGCTGGCCGTGATGGGAGCTGGCGAGGGGGAGGGGGAGGGGGAGGGGGAGGGGGAGATGCTTGTAGGGTGGGGTGTCGGCTTTTGTGGTTGGTGGGGTGGTGGATGAATTCGGGAGAGGCCACGGGTCGTTGAACGGGTCGTTGAACGGGTCGTTGACCGGGTCATTAAACGGGTCGCGGAGGGTGGAGGGGTAAGGTGATCTGTTTGGTGGTTGGGGGAGAGCGTGTCGGTGGGCTCCGTGGCGGGTTGGTGGATGGAGTAGGAGGAGCGAGAAGATATACTTGGGGTTTCCGTGACATAGCGGGATAGTAGGGTAGTTGGGGTTGATGGACGGCTTGGGTGCTCACTGGCAGTAGATATTTGTGAAGGATTGACAGTTGTGGTGATCGGAATTGGACGTTGGTCTGGAGAATTGTTGTGACGAAGTGGTGGAGTCGTTGACAAAGACATTGCGTGTGATGGAAAACGAGGACAAAATATTGTTGACAATTGACTCTCAATTGTTATGAAGACATAGCACAACAACGTAAGAAGGTTTCAATTGTGTAGAGAGTTGATGGTGGGCTATTTCTAGGCACGTGGAAAGGGTCAATTGACACCTGAATTCATTCGTTCATTCATCGGATGCGTTGCTTCCGAAGTGTCAAAGAAGTCTAATAGATCAATCATATGGCAGCCACGCGACCATCATCCGCTATCAATGAGGCTTTGATGAAAGCCAGCTTGTTGCTTTGCCTGGTAAATTGATCTCCATTGCTCAACATTGACGTATTATTAGAGTGCTTGATGTCAGCTCATGCTGTCCTAAGCACTGATTCAGTCAACCAAGCATCTGTAACTAAATGTGGAAGTCTTACCTCCATTCTATCTCTAGTCTACATTTCCAACAATCTCCCATATAAGAGCAATGAAGCAACCTCCGATGAGGAGGAATAGAAGGATCAGGACGTAACATCTGAGGAGCCACAAATATACAGCATCTAGATCAAAGCGAATCCTTTGTTCTGCTACGTTCTCGACGTCAAATTGGTGGTGCTCCAACAGCCAACACTCCTCATTAAAACTGTCCTGCAATCTGCGAGACCAGCTATGAAATATCGTCCGGGCCAGCGGTCGAGGCGGAGGAGGAGGAGGTAACTGCCCTATCGGTACTGGCCTAGGAGGCCGGAAGACAAGCACAACAGCTCTGCAGAGAGCTCTCATCGGGTCAGGCATTTCCCGGGAGAGATGATTAGTCCTGAACTTTGGCGTGCTGGAGGTGCTGCTCAAGGGTCCGGAGGTCTCGATGATGGTTTGATCCTTGAACTGTTTCGAGCTGACGAGAGACTTGGTGGCATCTCGCGTAGGTAGCAAGGTTCCGTCTCGGCTTCATGTTCAATGAACGTTGGCAAAGTATGAACCCTTGACACCTTTGGTGGCTCCAGTCGCCACACCTTAAGACGCCTTCTGGAATCTTGTTTTGAAGGTGCTCGTTATCTTATCATAGATGATTTTGACGACAAGGAAACGAGTGGGGCAGCAACGATCAGGTAGGGAAGCTCAATCTTAAGAGATTATCACGCACGTCTTCCATTCAAAGTGTAGGCCCTGCCCCCTTAAGCTGACCCTAACGCGACCACAACAAGGGAGCCTCCAACTGGTGTAAGGAGATCTTGTCGATAGACCATCACGCACCCAATATAGCAATGAGTTCCCCTTAAAAATTCTCTTCTACGATGTATCTACTCGAAATTAGCTTTTCCGAGATAGAAATCTATCATGTCCGGCTTCCAAGCTGGGGACTTCGAAATCTTTGACATTTTTGGCTGTCGTTGATGCTCCTTTTATTTCGATCAGTTGGAAACCTCTCTGTCTTGGGCGGTGCTTATGATGAGTCACGAAAGCATTCATGTGAACACAGCCAGCAGACGTGAAAACCACGACCAGACTTTCATTCCGCGTAATTTGTGCAAAGTCCGGGTGTTGCACTTGCTTTTGAGGCAGTGCTTCGGGTCATCTTGGAATTGTGAAAGGATCTTTACTTTCGAACTCATCTCTAGCGCGGACACTCATGCAAAGAATAGGGTCAATGCTTCTCAAATCAGGATCATGTAGACAAGCCAAAGCTGCCAGGCCGAGATATGAGTGAAGTATATCTATCAGGGGTCAAGTCACAAGTGGCCCCAAAATAGAAGGGTTTTCGAAAAGCCGGAAGACTTACCAGGTGTATCACCCACTACTTTGCCGAATCCGCCAATGGCGTGCTGTGTCTTGTTCAGCAAATACTCACGCATTGCATTGAAGTCTTGCAGGTGAACTTTGTGAAGCATCTTGAAACAGATTAACATCAGAACCCTCAGGTGAGCGAACAGCTTACGGCTAGGGACGCTCCCACCCAGAATGCGTAGCAAGTGTCAGCAACTTTGTTGCAGCGACCACTGAATCCAGCACAAGGTAACGGTCCTGCGTCTAGTTCCTCTAATGCTATTCCCAGCGACTCTTCTCCGGTGAGCTGGTTTTCCTTCTCCTCGAGGTACGATGTTTGCCGAGAGACTAGCCACCGGAGGAGATCTTCAGACAAAGGATTCTCTGCCGACCCTATTGTAGATGTGGCAGAATTGACCTTGGGCGATACTGGCAGTCTTCCGAGCAGCTTCAGAACTCCAATCCCACAGTATGTCCATCCAGCTATGACAGGGATGAGCATCTATCTTCCTTATCTGGCAACACAAGCTACGGATGGCGTACCGTGTGCTTCGTGTAACGGCGCTTTCGCTATGCCCCCTTCATACGACTACCAGTTTCAGTATTGGCTTCATTCATGTCGAAGATAGCCTTACCACACTAATCTTCACGTAATTTTCTAATGCGTCTGCATTGATGTCACTCGTGTGTTCCATATATCCTTTTCTTAACATCCACCGTACTGCAGCAGCTAGATAACACCATCTGACATCACCACCACCTTCTATACTACCTCTTCTTCCCTTGGCTTCCCCAAAACTTCCATCGTCCTGTTGTAATCCTCTCACCCACTCAAGGCATTCCCTCCTTTTCACCTTACCGAAATCATCGCCTAATACCATCAATGAAGAGAGCGCAAAAAAGGTTGCGGCCAGATTAGCTGGGTCCCAAAATTTGCCCTCCTCTGTGGCGTTATCCCCGCCATCTGCGCCGGTGAAGCCTTTGAACCCACCTTCCGGGTGTTGGCAATAGTAGATCCAATCTATGTAACCAGTCCTTTCTTCTTCTGTAGTATGCTCTTCTAATGCAGAGAGTAGATCGAGAGCAGAGAGTGTGAAGAAGGCAAAGGTCATGCGTTGAGAGTCATTGGATGTAAATGCAGTTGGCAGGAACGTTTTTAAGCAACGGAGCCAATACTTAATGTGACGAGCCTTATTCAGAGTCGACTTCGACATAGTGAAGGCGCAATTGTTTCCCAAGACAGCCTTGAAGTTTCCACGTCACAAGGGTAAAGGCTTTACAGTCTCTCTTTCCTTACGGATGGGTTCATGCTGTTGATGACAGAATGTTCCCCTGACGGTGCCCGGATCTCCCGCGGTTTGCTTCTGCTCCCTCGGCCCCAAAGATTTCTAATTTTCCCAACCTGCCTTTATTGAGAGCAAGGTTTATTATATTGATGGCTCAAGTATGATTCACCAGGTACTTGAGCAAGAAATCTATCAGCAAGAGAGCTTTGTAGGTCTCAGTACTGGATGCCTGGATTACAGGAATTGCTGCAAGAGATTATCACGATCATTATGCTCCTGGCGCTGGCAAAGCACTCTCCTTGGTACTCAATCCATGAGATTTGCTTGGCTTGGATGTGGGAGACGGTGAGGCCTGGTCTATTTCGACTGTGCTTGCCTGTAGGAAAGCTACAGTTAGAAAACAGGGGAGCTTCCAAGGATTGGTAAAGCCAGCGGAATGTGCCTCATCGAGAAAGACAACGTGGACAATTATCTAACGTGTAGAAGCTTTGTCCCATTGTTTCTATGACGAATGCTAGTAAAAGTACGAAGTGTCTCAGGATTTCGATTTCGTACACGGTTTCTGTTTTTGAAGATGTCTTTCGTGTGATTGAAAAGTCCATTATACGTGCTTGATAACTCTATAAGCCCAAGGATTTTTTTTGCTCAAGTTCTCTATCAATGTGACCCTCCTACACGAGAGAGCAAGTCAGAGATACGTCCCCGAGACGATCTCGATTGATCTGCCGGCGGGGTCCGTCCCCTCCTCAGCCTTGTGCATCCCCAATCGTGTCTCTTGTATTTGACTTTTGGTAAAACCCCAGCTTCATTACTGCCAAGAAACAGTCCTTGTACCGTCAGACTCCGCTTTGATTTAGTTGTTCTTGTTCATGGTCAGGATTAGAGATTTAGTAAGAACAATATGAGCTTCTACGAACATCAACTTGAAAGGCGACAGATACGTCTGGTCACAATTCTTCCATCAAATGATTCATCCAGTCTCATCGAATGCACGATACGGATTGTGCAGATCGACGACCTTCTGAATTACGAAGCTTTGTCTTACGTCTGGGGGACCACTGATGATTCGGTTCGAATCCTTATTGAGACTGAACCCTTCATTGTGACAAAGAATCTTGGATCAGCATTGCGGCAACTACGAGATACAAAAGAGGCACGAACAATGTGGATTGATGCCATTTGCATCAACCAAGATGATAACGCTCCCGAAAAGCCTCAGCAGCTACTCCTTATGCGCCCTATCTACGAACGAGCTTCAAAGGTTGTGATATATGTCGGTGATCAGGAGATTGACAGTGATTTGGCGCTGGATACAATTTCACGAATCAATGATGAACTACAGCAACAACTTGACAATAAAAGGCGCGATCTTGCTACTTTTTGGTCATCTTTAAACCTGGGTGAGACCACATTTTTCCGTACGCAGCCGTTTGATCCTAGACCCTGGGTAGCAATAAATCGCCTCTTCCAGAGGCCATGGTGGACACGAGTCTGGACAGTCCAGGAGGTAATTCTACCGCAAAACTCCATCGACTTTCTTTGTGGGAGGAAGAGCGTTTCTTGGCTTGCTTTACAGAGAGTCTCCCTTATGTTAGCAAAATATGACTTCGAGTCACACTGGCAAGTGCTGTCTGAGAAGGGGTACAGTCTCTATCATGCCGCTTTTGAGCAGCCTATTCACGCAAGAAAAGAGATTCGCAAGGCAAGCACACGTGACAGTACGTTGCTTTCGTATCTGGTTGGATTCTATCAGCGGCAATGTACCTCACCGCTAGACAAGATATACGGTTTCTTAGGGGTTGCTTCCGACTTCCAAGAGAAAGACATTCCGATCAACTATCAGCTTCCTGTTCAAGAGCTGTTTGGCAGCGTGGCTGTCTTTTTTGTCAACCGTTACGAAGGCGCAAAGTTTCTCGCACTCTGTCAGCGAAAGGGACGTATGACGGATTTGCCGTCTTGGACACCAGACTGGACGATCCAACAGCCTGATGTGGAGCGATTGAAGAAAGAAACGGCCTTTGAATCTCTATTCAAGATCCTGGGCTCGGCTTCCCGCCCCCAATTGCTATTGCGAATTGGACTGGATCTACTGTTCATTCCTTTGGTGCGGCAACACGTATTTTGCAATCTAGCTTCATCATAGAAAGACCTCGTCTGAGTCCCAACAATAGGCTCCTACATGTAAAAGGGTTCAGGCACTCACGGGTCCAAGCTGTTGGGGAAGATCCTTTTGAGACACCTATGGGAGCTATCTGGCATTGGCTGTCGCTGGTGAATGCCCATACTCCCAATCCTTACCCGACAGGACAGTCAAATTTTGAAGCCCTGTGGCGCACACTGGTGATGAATCGCACGTCTGACATGCGTCTTGCTGAGCGCGGTATGTTCGAGCACTTACTGATACCATATGCGGTGGAGAAAATCAAACAAGGTATTGACAATCCTAGTCGCCAGTTTGCGTTGGGGGCATCTTTGATGGCTCCCTTTGTGGATATTGTTTGGCTTGCTTTAAGCGGGAGACGCTTCTTCGTTGCCGACAACGGTTACATAGGATTAGCACCCAAAGACATCGAGGTTAGTGATTGTATCTGCTTGATATTTGGCGTTGAGGTACCGATAGTCCTTAGAGCACAGGAAAATGGATGTATGGAAATTATTGGAGAATGTTATTGCCACGGCATTATGGAAGGCGAGGGCCTCAAGGATTACTGGGACAGCAAGGCGGCACCTGAGGCACTCATCCTGAATTGACCGACGGCTTCTCAAATTCCTGTCCGGCAGCAAGCGCCAGCCTTGTCAAGAGGATCGACGGCATTCAAGACATGCATTCTATCTTAGCTATGTTCAACTATATACTAGATGTTCACCTGAAACCAATATTCTCACTACTTTTATGATTATATCTTCTGGGTGACTGGAAGCCCCAATCCGCCACCGTCGACCGCAGACCCAAGTGCCGGGCACTGAATGTGGACGACGCGCCTCGCCTCGCCTTGCTCTCGACCAAAATCCAGAACTCCCCTTTTCCTTCACATCACCCATTGCTCCACATCACCGCCTCCAAGATGGCAATTCTAGGCACCTCAAACCTCTTCCGCGCCCTGTCGATTTTCCATCTCACTCTAGCCTACTACCTCCTCACATCCCCCTCAACCCTCGCGCAGCAAAACCTCGTGATAATTCTCGGCGCTGCAATGGACATCCCGCTCCCCTCTCAATCTCTCTCCGGGGGCCCCTCCTCAGCCACAGCACTAGCTGCGTGCCTCCTCATATTTGTCGCGATCATAGATCTTACGGCGCCCGGGATGCAGGATGAGATTGGCAGCGCGTATTGGAGTAGCCAGGCCCCGGTGAGGGTGGCTTTTCTCTTTGCGTTGACGGGCGCTGTGTATGGGGGGAAGTTTGGGTTGGAGGGAGGAAAGAGGGGGATAAAGGGGAGTGGGGAGCATCAAGGGTTCGGGGTGCAGGCGGAGGGCATGAGGGAGGCCGCGTGTAATAGCTTGGTATTTAGTTGGGCTTTTGTGGAATTGTTGCTTTGGTTTTGGGTAAGTAGACCTTAACAGATCTAGAGTATTCCGGCTAATGGTCAACAGATATATACCACCGTAAGGGAAGAGCGGAGGGATTTCCTCGCAAAGAAAGAGCTGAAGAGGAAGGCTGAAGAGGATAGATCAAGTTGAGTATTTGAATTAGAAATCCAAGTTCCACTATTGCCTAACGCGTGTATTCATTGTCTTGCCCATCGCGTGCTACTTTCTACATGTTGTATCGCTTCATTTTGTTGCAAAATGCGGATACGTCCATCGACGCCGAAGTCATCTACTTGTCGTTCTGGCCACACCGTCAAATGCCTCAACATAGCTTTCTTGCACCATAGAGCAGATGGCTGTCACCCTCTCCAATCCGACCCCCTCGGCAACCTCTCGACCAATGGCATCAGATGTGTCCATAGTATTCAGCTCAAGAAAGCGTCCGAATCCAGAGCTTGATAAGTACTCCTTTTCATTTTCTGCTCTTGTTTCCAGCTCGGATCGTATCCTGTCACAAACTTCTTCAACAGCATTTACTTGCTCGGTGAAAGTTGCTCTTTTGGAAGATTCTACTTGAGCGATTCGAGGCGCCACACACTTCATACACCTTGAGACAAATAGGGTCACCTCAATCCGTATGAAGCAGCCATGAAAGGCATACCAAAGGGGTAGATAGCGGCCTTCAGAGAATCGCAAACACCCAAACCCAAGGCCGGTCTCAGCCAAGATCCCTTTTGGGTCTTTCACATATTGGTAAAGCCTTTGTCTAAGAAGACTTATTTGCTTGAGAAGTTCTTCATCATCTCCAGCTTTACCCGATGGCCTGTTCGACACCGCAATTATATCTTGGATGAGCCGAAATATGATTCGAGCACGTGATTCGGAGGGTGTGAGTCCCGCTCCTTGTTTAGCGCAATTATTATTTGGCTGATCACTTCGCGAAACATTGATTGAATCCAAGTCCTCTTCTCCTAGTTGATCCCAAAGGTCCGTCAGATCTACCTCCTGAGCTAGCCATGCCATTTCGTTTTCCTTTTTAGGTGCTGCAGTTGGCAAAATCTCTTGGAAGCTTGGCTGATTTGAGGGCTGGTAATTCGGAAATGCAGATTTGTCTCGATTATCACGTAGCTGTAAGGGTTCAAATATTGGATGATTCTTCGATTTGTCTCCGTGGCCATTCAAATGGTCAAGTCGGTTACTTTCAACTTGCAATATTGCTTTGCTCATACCATTCTGGATAGTTTCTTGGGCTTCTAGGAGTCCGAGTATTAGACGATACTGTCGGTTATCCAACGTGAGGGCTAGTGATTTGTCTGTCAACAATGTTGATCCGCGATGCCATTTGAGCGCTTGATTCAGCTCCACCGTAGGGTTGTCGATTGTTGAGTGGTGACTGTTATGGGACGCCCGGACCGACTGTGGATGAATGGTAGACAAGCGAGTGAACAAAGCCCATGACATTGACGCATGCTGGATATTCTTGATGGAGAGCCGGGAGTATCGATCCAAGGCTAAAGATCCGAGGCCCAAGTACGCATAGAGCTGCACAAGGATTAAAAGAGCTTCGTAGTTATGTCTTGATTGAGACAGAAGGTGCTCTAGAATTACAATGCTTTTCAAAACGGCATTTTTTTGGCCCTGACGATATATTTGAATCAAAACCATGGCAGCGAGAACGAGGACATCGTCAGCCGGGCTGCGATCACTTTGAGGGAGCTGTAGGTTTAGTAATGTAGAAGCCTTGTAGAGTTTTAGGCAAGTAGCTATGAAGGGTGCAGCTAGATCCAGCCGATGTTGGGGGCTGCTCCGTATTAGTAAAAGATAGTAATTCGTTTTTAACAAATTGATCTGTGATATGATGATATTAACGTGTTTGGCCTAGACTAGTCAGTTACACTCAGTATAAATAGGACGGTCGATAAGTATACCTCATTCGAGGGCCGCGAGCGACGCATTTCTTGACTTCGACGAGTCAGATTCTGAACGAGTATTCCTTGCTGAGCTCGCGGCAGCTCAGCCAAATGGGTCTGGAGATCTGCAAAGCAAGCAAATTTGCTTGAATTATCCTCGAAGTGTTCTTGGCACCGCTCCAGAAGCGTTTCACAGGCAGTGTTTAGCACTGAGCGGCATTGGAGTAGCATGGAGGCTAATGATGCATTTCGAGACTTGGGATCTGAGAATCGAATAATAAAGTCTTCCACCTTGTTCAATATACTACAATCGTGAGTAGTCTCGTAAAGCCTAGATTTGATGTACTCACTCTGGCTGATCAGTCGTTAATTTACTAGTGGCAGTGATGAATGTTTTCCAGATCTTCCAATCGTCTCCTCTTTCGCCAAACGAGAATTGTAATTTGGATTCTTGGGATCTAAATTTGGAAGGCCGGCTTCCCTTTAGGATGTCTAAACAATTGCACCATTGAGATTCCCACTTGTTGCATAGACCCTGAAAATCCAGCATTTCTAGTACCAATTCCCATGAACTTTTGCCAATTGAGGAGGCGAAACCCCTTTGCGGATCCTCAAGTATATCTAAAGCTTCTTGGTACTTGCCTTGATCTTTGTAAACCCGTAAAAGGAGTAGAAGATCTTCTTGTGTTGTGATTACCCGACCTGTGTTCTTGACGGTTGCGTGTTTAGCCAAAGAATCTAACGATGAGATATGACAACGTGACTTACAATTTTGCCGATCTTATCTTCTGTATCACTAGCAGCCCCAGCAAGCGCTTTGAAGGCTAGCATCTGGCATAGGCGACGGTCTGTTTCTGAACTCGATCGCAGCCTTGAAATGATAAAATTGACCAGAATGAAGAAGTAGAATGGGGCATGGGCCTTTGGATAAGCCTTCATCCAGGCCATACTCGCCTACGTTTCAGCGATCAGCTTTAAAGAACAAGCTATCTTTAAGTGCGTCCTGAAAGCAAGAATGCGATACTCAAGATAGAAGTGTGAAATCCGCCCTTGAAAGGCCTGTATCAAAAGGACACAGATAGCCCATCAAGAATTAGGATTGAGCTTGACGCGAAATAACCTCCTCACAGCCCCAACTATGCACCAAAAGCGTTAAAGACTTGACGAGGTAGGAGCCATACCTGCTTGGCTTCGAAGTACAATGCTCTTCTGAATTTCGCTTGAAACCATGCTTTGAGAAGCCCATCACCGAGCTGGGTAGATGTCGCTGCACGTTCCCACGCACGTTGAAGCTTTGTTGCAAGCAATTCATTTGGGCTAATGGCATCTTGTAATCCGTCGAGAAGCGCTAATGCAGATGGCGTATTGACAGGTGGTGTACGGTCCAGGAGTGCTTCTAGCTCTTGGCATCCTGCATCTTTCTTACTTGGTCGACTATCGAGAAGAAGCGCGATAGCTCTGAGACACTATATCAGTCAGAGCTAGCGTATTTACAAATACGTAATTGCAATTCCTACCTGCAAAGTGTCCCCTTGGTCACCTTTCTTAGCCTTCCTTTCACAGAAGTCTACGACTGCAATCCATTTCTTCAAGTTTACCAGCTCTCTCAGCTCACCAGTGCCATCTAGCGACCGAACTATGTCATGGTCTTCCATGAGGGTATCCATCATTAGCAGGATCTACAGTACCCACGTCGTGTCAGACTCTAGCTCCATTAGGACATATACGCGAACTTTCAATATCAAACCAAAAAAACAAAAATGCAACGGATACTTTTTCATTAATTGGTCTAGTCTAGGCTTATTGATTGCCTAGCCAAGATACTACAGCTTGTCGACTTCTACAGATGAGAAATGAAATTTGTACAGATTCTTGTCATCAAATTGCTTCGTGACATTTACCAATCCCAATATGGGCTTTCGTCACACAATCGAAATGTACGACACCAATTACCCAGCCATTCCTCCTGTCACTACTTTCGGTTCATCACTGAGAGTGATTTCCAAAACAAGGAACTTCGACGTGGCCGGGATATCCAAACAAGGGAGACACTTTGCCCAAGTCCTCTTTCAACATGGATGGAGTGCAACCTGCGAGTAGGAAGGTGCTAACTGTGAGTAGACCAAGAGGGATACTGCCCGCTGTAATGACGGCGTAACACCAAAAGTACGGGCAATTCTTGGAACATTCATAGCGACTGTTGCGAGGGTCATGCTATAGTGATGATAAGATTGTTGGTACGAAGCATCCGCCGCAAGCTGGTCCACCTGAGCGACGGTGTCATTCATTCCGCGATAAGCTATGTTTGGCGCTGCTATTCACGAGATTGACGGAGATTATTCATCACTATCCAATCAACTCCCTTTGAACAGCGTTCCATACCCATCTTTGGGTAAGCTTCCCCGATACTCTTATCAGTGAAAATATGCAATCAAGCTTGGTGCCTGACTCTTCCGTAGCACAGCGTCGGTCGGAGGCCGGGGTCTCTGATGTTTTCAGAACCAGGAGCCAATTTTTTTCTTCTTCTCAGCTCTACGCTCTGCAACCTAAGGGGGGATCATCAGCATTGACGTAGTGCAATGTAACGACGATCGCCCTTACCCAAGCCTTCTTGCAATCTCGGTATGCCCTGTGTGAAGATACAGTATCAGCAATCGCTCTTTGCGCATGGAAAAAGGCCCCACATGTCAGACCACGAAGAATACATTGCATTTGGGTTGATCATAGAGCAACCTACTGGAAGAAGTCTAGACATAGCGTCCGGTCTCCCCCATTGCGATTCATACATCTGATACTACGAGACGCTGCATCTTGACATGGATCATAGAACTTGCTTTCGTCCTTGCTATCGACGGTTTAGTCAATGCGTCCGAGGAAATGATGTAAGATGGGGAAAGGTGGAGTACCTCTCGAAAGCCGCCTTGTGGACCTTCCACGAGGCAGAGTCATCCTCCTCCTTTGCAACCATTGACTGTGTATCGGAGAGAAATCCAGCGCTGATGGCCTAGTCAGGAGCAAGTGAATAAGGTCGTGCTTAATGATTATTGCCGTAGTTGGAGCACCGTTCGAGATTCTTTGGCGGACCACCAAGGCGCTAATTTAGCGTTGGTCCAGTCGCCAACCACGCTCCCACTTAACAATTGTTATTTGTCCCCAACTTGCTGTTTCTCCTCATCAGTGCTGCTGGCCCACCCCAGCAGATGTTGATGTCCATAATGTAGAAGGCGCGGCTTGCTGCTTGATGTCTGAAGCGGCATGAATTCACGCATGACGCATTCCCCAAAGCGACTGGGCGCGTGGCAACCGGGTCTCTGCCCCCGGTCCCTCGTGGGATTCGAAATTGCATGTCGCAAGTGTCTGGCGCACCATGGTCTATAGGCTGGCTAAGGACACTACTCCGCGGCTCCATATGGACTCGGAACGCAGCCCGGGGCCGAGCAAGGATTCAAGTCGCAACTAGCGTAGCGCAAAGAGGCTCGGTTCGAGTCCACCTCCAACATCAAAGCTTACTGGTAACTGGTGGTCTCGCCTGCAGGTCCCGAGAAACCTCATTAATTATTGTTCGGAATTGAATCCCCCATGATTTTGAGCTCCGTCCGGCGTAAGCGGCTCGCCATGTCATCACACTTTCGGTGCTAGCTGAAAGTCTGATCTACCTAACCCCACCAACTTCCGAATGCCCTGATTCACGGTACCTCCATATCGGGTAATCGAATCCAGCGGGATAAGACTCGGGTGACAATACCCAAGCTCGGCGGGTGAAAGACGAAGAGCATCAGCAGTCTCCATACATGAGGTCAGGGTGGTTTTCGTGCGTTGAAAATCGAGCCAGAAACGGGCTGCTTGCTTCGCCCAAGCCGTGAAATGAGATGGCGGCATTGCATTAAGCGCTAGCGCGCCTAGATGCAGGGAGGATTTAGGGAAATTTCAAGACTCGTAGCGCCCGTTTCAAGACCATATTCGTAGGTCATTGGCAGGCATTTGAGGGGGTTCCAACTGCAACGCGCCATACCCGAGACGGGAAATCGATTCCAGCAATTCTTTAGCCTCTATCAGGATGGCCATGCGCCACTCGACCGAGTCTTCCATGATCATGATGATCGAACAACCTGGCCCCCGTGGCCCTAGGCTGGGAGGGCCCCATGTGCCTTGACATAACAAGACTTTGAATTCTGCCCGGTGAAGCATACCATCACGCTGTAGGCTCTATTTGACCTCAAGCAGTAATTCTAGACGAGTCCGTGAGACAAATTAACCTGGCAAGGTGCATATTGCTGCCGGACCAGGAGAGGGATCGCGATTCTGATCTTGGCTCGAGGAATATATATATCCTACCAAAGCGCTTGATCTGTCTCGCAAGGACTGACGATGAAATATTGAACTGACTTTGCGGGAATCGGAGTATTTAAAGATAAGGGTACTGACCCAGATAAGTCAGTGTCGCACAGCAGAGCCTTATCGTGATCATTTTATACACTTATTAGTCCAGGACGCTCCCTGATTCTAGCCCACTTCCTGTTTCGGCACCCCTGTCTCCTTTTTACATTCACACTTTGGCTTCTCGACACTCCTGCTAATTTCATTTGATCCCTGCCACGTGTACGCCTAGTCTACGTTTATATTGTTGTACTGCAAACAAAATCTTAAGACATTTACTTTCTATAGTCCTATTCATCATGGCAAGCATAGCTATCACAGAGACTATTTCAACTGCAGAGGTTACCTCACCTGATTTTGCAGATATCAAACGCAAGTTCGATATGACGCTTGAAAAGACCATGGTCAGCCAATCTGTAGGAATGTTCGACCCCCAGAAGCACATCGACTTCAAGCCACCATCTAAGTGCTACACCATGAACGACATCAAATTGCGCGACTCGCCCCTGTCGGGCTTTGCTGTGTCCGAACCATTCCAGCTTTTTACGCCCGAGGCTGTGAAGCGCATGCGAGCAGAGATATTCAGCCCAGAAGTCATGGAAAACTTTTCGTATGCGAGCAATCTCGCCGAGTGTCAGCTTAGGGGCTATGCTGCTAGGTGAGTTCTTACCCAAAGAAACCACCCGTCGATTCAGCAGACCAGCCGGTATCGGAAGCTGATACCTCACAAGCGCCGCTCCTTTCATCTATGACACGTGGAAACATCCAGATACGCTTGCAATCATATCGAAGATCGCCGGCATTGAACTGGTGCCAGAAATGGACTTTGAGATTGCCCACATCAATCTCTCGAGCAAGAGTGAGGCCCAAAAAGCTGAGGAACTTGCCACCGTTCGTGAGCGCCAACTGACCGAGGAAGATGAGGGCATTGCTGGCTGTCCCTGGGAGGATGACAAGCCGATCGTAGGCTGGCACACGGACTCGTATCCTTTTGTGTGTGTTACCATGCTAAGCGACTGCACGGATATGGTCGGCGGCGAGACTGCTCTACGCACTGGAGATGGTGAGATGAGGAAAGTCCGCGGGCCTGACCAAGTAAGCTGTTCTATTACACTCCAGTGTAGTGCATACTGAGTGCAGCACAGGGATGTGCGGTAATTCTGCAAGGCCGATACATCGAGCACGCCGCTCTCCGCTGTTTCGGTCAAACTGAACGCATCACATCCGTCACGTCATTCCGGCCAAAGCATCCCTCTTATCCAGATGATTCCGTACTGACCACAGTCCGCCCTATTTCTGACTTATCCGAGTTGTATTTCCAATTTTCTGAGTATCGCCTCGAGATGCTGGAGGAGCGTCTCCGAGATCAACTAAAGATTCTCCGCGATAATCAGCGCGGCAAGAAAAAGTTCCAAACTTCTGCTATGAAGACCTTCCTTAAGGAGCAGGAACTCTTCTTGGCTCATATGAATGAGCAATTGCTCCCTGATGAGCAAGTTACGAAAGGCCACATTCACCAGGACATTGACCAGAACGAGGAGCAGTTTAAGCGACGGAAACTAAGCGAGTCGAAATGAAAAGTGACAGAAGATGCCGACGAGAAAATGAATCTCATTATTTGAAGTGACTTAGCAGGGCGTCTCTTGGGGTGGCACAACTAAATTTCAAAATGATGCATTAATACATATGCTTGGACAGGTTCACGATTGTGCCATCTCACAGCCTCATCAGCATTCACATAGACCTATTATGATTGCATTGTTACTCTTTCCTGGATGTGATAGCGGTGATGATATCTCACAGCCTAGCCAGCATTCACAAACGCTTTGGAAAAACAGGAGATCATGCAGTATGTGTGTAGACAGAGGACGTAGATAGAAGTTGATGAAAAGCATAGATAAGAGAAGATTGCCAAGAAGTGAAGAAACAAGGTCTTGCAATCTACAAAACGAAAGACATTTGATACTGAAATTTTCGTATGTGTTTGGTCGCTACTTCCATTCAGTCTTGCAGCCGTTTACCCTGATTTTGTAGCCCGGCTAGAGGGCAAAACCTCATTAAAGCTAAGTGTTTAGTAAGTGGCCAGTAACCGAAGCAAGAAACTCCCTTGGTTTGCTTTTGCACCCCTAGTGATCTGCCGAAGTAGCAAATTTGGCTAATGGAAATCAAGGTCGGGCTTCAAGCTGGACTATTTCAATTGCATTGGCAAAAGAAGCAAGGGCAAAGTTACTCGGTTTATGTGTCAATTCTGTTTGGCATAGGCTTTCAAAGCATGCAAATTCAAAAACCCCTATTTGGAATAAACGGGAATTAATCTGGATTTGGTAAGCACGTACCAAACAGACTTTAGGGAAAGTATGCGGGAGCTAACCTTAATCCATGATCGGCAACCGCGTCTTGAATTCCGAACTTCTTCCCTAAAAGTCGTGTCAATTTCGGCACCTGCAGTGTTGCTGTGGTTCAAGATCCAAGACTCCAACGAGACAGTCCTTGATAGTATTCCTTTGCGGCTGGGGAGACTCTACAAATACAAGCGAAGAATGATGAGTGTGGATTAACTTAAGCACTTTCCTGACATACCCAGGAAGTGATCAGCGTATCCCTCTTAACATGGCCGATGGTCTAGCTAAACGATCCAAGACTTCCAGCATGCAATCCTCCCAAGGAAGCAAGAGAAAGTATGAAGACACGTCAGGTGATGCAGCAATACGACGGGCTATGGAAAATGGCTTGAATGACATTCGTGAGATGATCAGCTGCCGAATCTGTGTACATCCAATGTTTGAACCCTACACAACAGAATGTGGACATACTTTCTGCTATGGATGCCTCATACGGTGGTTTGAACAGGACAAGAAAAGGAAATCCTGCCCTGACTGTAGAGCGAATGTCACGACACAGCCATCTCCTTCATACGCGCTTCGAGACATTACACATGTCCTTGCTTCGAGAGCAGAATTGCTGCCAGCAGGCGAGACTACGGAAGAGAACAATGAGCTGAAAACCCAGGAGAAGGAAAAGGTCGAGCTGGATCGTGCGAGCCGTCAGGGTTTGTTCTCTGGTCTTTTCTCACGTCGTATGCCAGTGGTCAGCATCCCTGATCATTCAGACGGGGTTCTTCGATGTCCTCATTGTACGTGGGAGGTGGAGGGAGGGACTTGCAGTTACTGTGGTTGGAGCGACGGCGTGGAAACAACAGGAGGCACTTCGGACGACGGTGACAATAGTGAGAATGACTGGATGAACCGTGCACATCATCACCTGATAGATCTTGGTGATCGAGATGTGATCAATCTGGAGGAGGAACGCGATCTCATTGGGGATGGACATGACCTTCAATACGATGGACACACCAATTACGATTCTTTTCTGGACAGTACTGAAGAAGAGGACGATGACGATACTCTGGGCGGGTTTGTCGTAAATGACAACGATGATCGTACTGGAGACGTGACAGAATCTCATCACTCATCTACTGGAGGTAGCAGTTCTGGCTCTAGTGGTGGAGAGGAGGTCGAGACTTCGGAACCAGATTCAACAGAATCGGATGAACCGCAGAGACATATTCGTCGAGGTAGCTTGCCAGTCAGGGGTGCAAATCCTCACTTACGGTGGGCGGAACATCTCCCCGCACGCCCCTTCCAACGCTACGAGAGCTCGATGGATAGTGATCGGTCATCAATGGAAAGATCGTCCGGTCCTTCTCATCGAGTTCCTGGCTTAGGAGAAGACTCCTCAGATAGTGATCCTAGTGAAGGATCAATACAGAACCCAAGATTTCGACGTGGTCCTCGACCTCGATCACGCCGGGTAGTAGATATTTCTGATGACGAACATGATGAACGGGAAAATAGTAACGTCTCTCCAACAAGCCGACAAGCATATCAACAAAACCGGATCTGGAGCTCCCGAGGGAGACAGAACAACACTCTCACCTCAACTCGTTCCCCAATCTTTGTTGACTCAAGCCCAAGCAGACCTGAGAGCAATGACATCTCTCAGAAACGACGCGAACAGTCAATTCCAGGTGCTTATCCACCGTCATTTTCGCATTCGGAGGCCTCTCAAAATGGAGCTTATAATTCCGGCCCCCGAGATCTGGCGGATCTGGCCTTTGAGACATCTTCATTACATGCGTTGCTTTCCCAAAGTTCTGGGAATGACGGCAGCTCTCGGCCAGGAGACACGCGCTCAGATAGTCTTCAGGGTTTACAGCAAAGAGCACGACCGCTTTTCCCCCCAAGGCCGCCCCAGCGCGCTCACACTACATCTTTTCTACCTGGTGGACGTCACAACACAAATGACAGTAATAATGTCAACGCTCCGGAAAACGTACGGCGACAAGGATCTACAAGTGCATCAGGATCAATTGTGCCGAGAGTTATGAGTCAAATCCAAGGACCGAGCAGGAAGCGTCAAAGGGCAGAGCCTGTGATATAGGAAACACGATGGGAATTCTCTAGCACAACCCTAAAGGGCTTGCGTTGCGCGCGAGCAGCATTTTATGATACCAATTTCTGTTATGGCTTATGGATATATGCTAATAGGTTCACGTCACCGGGCTGTAAGGGAAAGCGTGCCCTGACGTTGCGGGCAAGAATAGTAACGACTTGCATATAGTTGATGTACATCAATTCACGGTGGCTTTCAAGCCATGTCTGTCATGTCTGTCATGTCTAAAGTATTTCCGCTCTTTTCGTGGGTATCTTCTTCGGTTGCCTTCGCTGTCTTTCCCTTCTTGATCCACTTCCTGGAAACCTCCCACATGACAGCACCATTCTTTCCTTCAGCTCTTCGCCATCGCCCTAGTCTATGCTCCTTTCCCACAGCAGCAACAATAGACAACCCTTCCTTTCCCCTTTCTCCTTGCTCGAATATTTCAACATCATTCACAACGCCTTTGATCATCGAACCAGACTCTACATCATCGGTCTCAACGCGGCCTAGCGCCCCCAGAGGCTCCAGAGCTCGCTTGCCCTTCCCAACTTTCCACACTCTGATCCACCCGTCCCAGCTACCACTAACGATCAAATCACTCAACGGCAGCGCTTTGAGCGCTGTAATCCACCTTGGCTGACACTCTGGCAATTTGAAATTTGGTCCCAGATGGAGCTCTGCCGACGCCTCGTTGTATCTCATCGGCTCCTCCAGTCCATGAGCTAGAGGGAGGACAAAGACCGGCTTCTTCTTCTGCAGACTCCACAAGCATAGCGAGCCGTTGTCGGAACCTGTGACGAAGGTCTCATTATCAACAATGGCAATGCAATCAATCGATCCTTCAGCAAACGTCTTGACCTCCTCACTTCTGTTGCCAGCTCCATCCACGCCTTTACTCGGGGCCTTCTTCCCCCCCCCCCCCTCCACGAAACACCAATTGCGTCTCTTCCACCACTTTCCACACTCTCGCAGTCCGATCCCTGGCTCCCACACTAACGCACCGTTCCATACCCGCATAGGTTGCCCCAACTCCTACGATCTCGTCCTGATGTCCAAACAGTGTCTCCACGTACGCCCTTTCATCCGCTGCCCACACTTTGACCGTCCGGTCTCTACTCGCGGAAAACAGTTGGTTCGTACCCTGTCGGAATATGAGGGATGTGATGGAGTCACGGTGATGGGAGAAGGATTTAAGGGGCTCAAGGGAGGAGTTGTATAGGGTCAATTTGTGGTCGAGGGAGCCGGTGGCAATGTATTTCCCTGTGGAGGAGGCGGCGACAGCGAGTATGGAGGCGGTGCGGTGGGGCGTGTTTTTATCGGTCTTTCTCGAAGGACTTATGTGCGCGATGTGTGTTGGTCGGCGACGGCTGGGTTTCAGGGGCTTCTTTGGGCTTTTATTTGGATTCCTTTGGAATGAAGGGGGAGGAAGCTGCCACTTTGTGATACAACCGTCCTTGGAGACGGTGTAGGCGTACGGAGGACAGACGGCGATGCCGGTCACTGAGGCGGTTTTCATGCGGAAGTCCACTTTGTTTGCGCGTGGGAAGTCAAAGTCGGAGGCAATATGCTTGTACAGGCGTCCTTTTGTCTCTGCGACATCTTCTTGGAGTCGTTCGGCGATAAGATCGCGGTCTACGTCCTCCGCATTGAAGCCCACATCTTCTTGAACGTCCCCTTTTATCTTCTCGAGGTATTGCTCGGCAAGACGGAGACGGCGTTCAGCTGCTGTCTCGTCTTCGGAGGACGATCCTTCCTCCCCTTCATCTATTGCGTCTGCCTTTGAATCCTCCACCTCGTCTTCACTTCCCGAAATAGATTTATCTCTTTCTTGACTAGGTTTCTTCGACTTGACATTGGTCGCCCTAGATTTTTTGGAACTTTCTAGTTGACTTACTTGTTCGCGCTTACGCTTCCTTTGCGACTTTGGGGTGGTGAAGAATGATGACATCCTAATGCCGAAAAGCACCCGCAATGACAACGAAAAATGACGCAGAAATTGCAGAGCAAAACCTTTTTGATATCTGTAGGGCTGAGTGCGGAGCGCCAAGACTTTGTCCGCATTTTGGGAGCTCCAGGCTGGGAAAGCTCACGCGTACGAGTAGCTTTTCTTCATCTCTATCACCTCGCCCTACCTTTACAATCTCCCTCGCAAAGATGTAAGTGAAGACTTTTGACAAGACTGTGGTCTTTTCTAAGGACTTTTCAGGGAGGTTCTACTAGGCTTCACAGGCAAAGATTACACAGTCATCGCCGCTTCGAAAGCGGCGATGAGAGGGGCAACAATACTGAAGTCCTCGGACGACAAGACTAGAGAGATGAATAAGCATAGTCTTCTGGCATATTCAGGAGAGGCAGGGGATACAAGTGCGCCCATCTCTTCTATGATCGGCCATCCGACTGATTTTTGCAGTCCAGTTTGCAGAATATGTCTCGGCCAATTGCCAGTTGTATTCGATGCGTAACAATACCGACCTACGTCCCGCAGCTGTTGCAAGCTTTATCAGAGGAGAGTTGGCAAGGAGCTTGAGGTCAAGAAATCCGTATACCGTCAATGTCTTACTTGGAGGGATGGATCCTATCACACATGAACCACATTTATACTGGCTGGACTATCTAGCGTCATGTGCACCAGTTCCTTATGCCGCTCATGGATATGCGCAGTACGTCTTCGAAGTCGCATGATTGGTCAAGATTGCAAGAAGAATGTTAAAGGCTAATACTGAGCGAAGATACTACTGTTTGTCTATCCTGGACAAGCACCACAATCCGAACATCGATTTCGAGCAAGGCATGAAGATTCTTGAGATGTGTGTGGATGAGCTCAAACGGCGTCTACCGATAGACTTCAAAGGAGTGAGTCCGCCTTACATCCAGTCTTCCGACAGCATTTTTCTGACATTTCTATACTAGATGGTGGTGAAGGTGATAGACAAGGATGGCATTAGAAAGGTTGAATTGGATGATAGCAAGCGGATCTATACAGCTTGAAATGAAGCGTTTTGAGCAGACGAAACAATTTGGGCTTGGCGAGTGGTCAGTCTCGTGCATGCTCCTCTGTGTATATGACTTGCTCCCGCGTGCATGTTGCCTCTATTTAAATGAGATGAGCACAATCTTTGAATGACCATGGTTTGTATGTGCTAGGATTTTGCAGCATCTCCGGAGTGCGACACAGTATGATAGATACCCACAGTAGTACCAAGGAGGTCTAGCTTCCGCTGTAATAATTGTTTCCGCTCCGCCCTTGATCTTTATCTTTTCCGCTGCTTCAAATCCGGCTCAGACCTCGTTCCTCGCTCATCAAGGCTTAACCTCTTGAATCTCGTGCTGCTATGGCAAAACGCGCAGCAGAAGAGGCTCTGGAAAGCGTTGTTGGAGCAGATTCACCAGCTTCAAAAAAGACAAGGACGAACGGGCAAGCTATTCAGAGAGTCGACGCGCATCGCAAAATCAATGGCCATGCGGAAGAGGCTGATGAAAGGAACGGCAAAAACTTCTTAGCTGCAGCATATCATGAAGAGGAGGGGCTAGAAGAAACAAAAGCATCTGAGGAAGAGGACGACGCCAATGAATCAGCTTATACCTCTACCACGCGACAACAGGCGCCAACAGAAGGCTACAGCGACCTGTATCTCGACACAATAGACCGTACAGTCCTTGACTTTGACTTTGAAAAGCTTTGCTCAATCTCACTGTCAAACATAAACGTATATGCTTGCTTGGTCTGCGGGAAATACTTTCAAGGACGAGGTCCAAAATCGCATGCATACTTCCATGCTCTGGATGTCGGTCACCATGTGTATGTCAACATGTCATCGAAGAAGGTCTACGTGCTTCCAGAGGGGTACGAAGTGCAGAGTAAGAGCTTAGATGATGTCAAATTTCAAGTCGATCCACGGCTAGCAAAGCAAGAGGTCACGCAACTTGACCGTGAGATCAAGACCGCATGGGACTTGGCAGGAAAGCAGTACAGGCCTGGTTTCGTGGGCATGAACAACATCAAAGCCAATGACTATTTTAATGCTGTTATCCAGGCCCTCGCGCATATAACCCCTTTACGAAATTATTTCATGCTTGAGGATCTCTCTAATCGCTCGGCATTAGTCCAACGTTACTCGGTCCTGATCCGGAAGATTTGGAACACCAGAGCGTTCAAAAGTCATGTATCTCCTCATGAGCTCCTTCAACAGATATCCCGCCAGTCGGACAAGCGCTTCGACCTTCTGCACCAATCTGACCCAGTCGATTTCTTGAGCTGGTTTCTCAACAATATGCACCTCGCTCTGGGGGGCAGTAAGACGAAGCCGGGTACTAGTATACTCCAGCGAATATTTCAGGGGAAATTGAAAGTCGAATCGCAACAAATTACACCACGAGCAGATGCTGGGGACCGCCTACGCTTTGAAGACGCAGACATCAACCAATCTGTAATCCACTACATGATGCTGACCCTGGACCTACCAGCCGCACCTTTGTTTCAAGATGAGCTAGATAAGAATATAATACCCCAAGTCCCACTTACCAACATACTCTCCAAGTACGATGGCATAAAACCGCAAGAACAGATGAACCAACGAAAACGCTACCGACTACTACATCCCTTACCACCCTATCTATTATTCCACATCAAACGATTTTCGAAGAACAAATTTGTGTCGGAGCGGAATCCGACCATCGTCACCTTTTCAACCCGCAGTCTAGACATGTCGCCATACGTGGAGCCCAATCTAAAATTACATCCGCTAGGCGAACCAATATGGTACGATCTTGTAGCGAACGTGACTCATGAGGCTGTGCGAACAAGAGACGATAGTGTAGAAGGCGAGGCAGAGAGGAATATCTGGAAGTGCCAGGTCCGCGATCGAGCGAAGGAGGAGTGGTCAGAAATCCAGGATTTATTCGTTGAGAAAGCGGCAGCTGAGACGCTTTTTACGAAGGAGAGCTACCTGATGGTCTGGGAGAAGAGGAGGGAAAAGGGAAAGACTAAGTCATGAGGCTCGCTAGAGCTTGTTCACTGGCGACTTGATTGTAACATTGACATTCGCAAATGATACCCTACTTTTACGTGCAGCAGATCAATAAGATCCCAAAGCTCCTCAGCACCTGATTTATCCCTAAATTCCAACTTCGTACGCACCAGAATGCCTATGACATTAGCATATCTTGCTCCCTACGCTTCACAACCTCCTCACCACCTTCTTTCACACCCATCTGCTCCATCTCTCCTAACAAAAAGTCAATAATGAAACTCTCACTCCACAACTCCTCGATCCTCTTGTAGTGCCGCTCCGTGTACACTTTCAAGGCCTCTACCACCTCCTTCCCTCCCTTCCGTCTCCCCAACATAGCTAGCCTCTGGGCGCTATACTTTCTTACAACCACATTCAAGACTCTCTGTGCCACCGGCGCCGTGCGGGCATTAGTATTCCAATCCCGCACCCTCATCAACAAACTCAACAACTGCTCATCCGCCAGACTCCCAACGACCTCATCTACTGCCAGGACACCCGAGATCGAACCAGGCTCCGAAGGCGTTGTATCAACAACTTTCTTGAACATCCCCAGCAGCCTTGCAGGGTGGTTCAGCTGCAGAGCTAACACGATACCCTCTCTCCACCGCCCATCGTGCTCACAATTCCGTAGTTCCTGATCCTGCTCCACGCGCTCGACTTCGGCTTTGCTTCGCTCGGCTGCGGTCTCTTTCGTCGTGTCTTTCCAGAGTGTGATCACGCCATCGCCACCGGCGGAGACGAGGGTGCGTGTCGCGGAGTTAAAAGCTAGGGCCCAGATACGGTCGGTGTGGTTGTCGAGAGTGGCGACGCAGTCGCCTGTGGTGGAAGACCATATTTTGACGAGGCCGTCGGAGCCAGCGGAGGCGATTGTAGATTGTTGTTGATGCTGCTGAGGTCTTTGGGAGGCTGAGTCATCATTGCTTGGAAAGCGAAGCGGAGGTGGTAGCCAGAGCACTTTTAGAACGCTATTTGTGTGGCCCTCAAAAGTGCGGATGCAGCTGTAGTCGTGCAGGCTCCAGATCTTGAGGGTTTTATCCCCACTGCCGGTGAGGATAAGGCCGCGGCTGTTGCTTGCTGGAGCGCCGCTTTCATTAGAAATGGAGTTGATGTCTTTGGGCGCGAAGGTTGCGGACCAGACGCCTCGTTTGTGGCCTCGCAGCACACCTTGAGCCCCACCCTCTTCGACTGACCATATCTTGGCAGTCCGATCTTGAGAGGCGGTTACAAATAAGTGAGAGGTAGGTGAGAGAGCCAAGGCATTGATGTCTTTGTCGTGAGCTTTGCGTGTGTAGCGAGCCTTTGGGGTCAAAGAACTGGCTGTGGGAATAGTCCAGCACTTGATTGTGCGGTCTTGTGATCCTGTGAGTAAGAACGCTGGTGGTGAGGAGGATGTGCTGGCATTCTGAGGTAGGGCGATCGCACCAATGGACTCAGCATGGCCGGTAAATATGGCATGAAGCTTATATTCACCAGCGGCATGATCGATACTCCAGAGTCGGGCAGTGTTGTCTTTAGCACCAGTAGCCAGCCAGTGACCAGAGCTATCAGCTGCAAGGCAGATGATAATTTCGCTATGGCCCTGAAGTGAAGCGATATCGGCCCCAAAATACTCAAACCCGAGGTTCAGGCCTGTTATTGGGTTGGAAGTTCCAAGAGACACAATGCGAAGATCCTCAGTATTCGTCGCGAGAGCAAGAAGTGAGCGGTCAGGTGTCAAGTATGCAAGATCGATGATCTCGTCGTGTGTTCCAGAAATACGACGAAGGATAGGAAGTGAGTGTATGCTTTTGCTTGATGATTTTCTTGGGGTTATTTGCGATGTTGATTGTAAAACAAGCGACAGGCTCACATGAACGGTGAGAATGAATTGCGAACGTACGTTATAGATAGCTTGTGTAATAGGATTGGATCCTTGAGGAGATGAATGCTCTTGAGCTAGTTCAGAACCTGTAGATACATCCCAAAGGCGTAACTGCCCGCTATCTCCACCAGTGAAAAAGGAATCCCCACCTTGAATGATACCAACAGACTCAATTGTTTCGAGAATTGGCACAACTCTCTTGGACGCCCAGGAGGAAGCATCCCAAATGATGGCGGTTTTGTCACGACTGGCAGAAATCAGGATGTTACTTTCAGCGGAGAAATGCAGGCCTCTAATAACAGATACGTGAGAGTCAAGAGTAGCAATAGATTTTCGTTTCGCGGGACTCCAGATACGAATCTTACCGTCTTCGCCACCTGAGGCCAGCCGCAGATTCAGCGTGCTATTCTGACTTTTGTCGTCTTGCTCCTGGTCAATCTTTGACCCTTTCTTTCTATGACTTACTGGATTTCTGACAGTGTCTGAGCCATTCGCCTGGAAAAAGGACAGTGCCGAAATCAGGCCTGTGTGACCGTGGAATGTATGAGTCGCAAAACCGCCTCGAAGGTCCCAGACTTTGATAGTGCCATCTGCTGCACCCGTCGCAAAGAGGGTACTCGTATCCTCAAAAGCTGTAGTCACTACTGGGGTGTTATGCGGCTTGTTTGTTCGTAGAAGAGAGACATTCACGGAATCCAGCTCATTGACTGAGCGGGATAGAGAGTAAATTCTCAATGCTAAAGATCGAGAACAGGCTACGAGAAAGAGGGCGGAGGGTGCCACTATCTTCCTATCAGCCTAGAGACTTCACGATCCACCATTATCCCCTACGCGATATTGTAGTCAGCGGCTCGCCATCCTGTGGAATATTTTAGCCCGGATTTGTGACTTCAAGCAAGATGCTCCTACTCCATCGACGCGGGCTAGGAAACGCCCGGAATTGAGATCGGTCAAAATCACGTCTTCGCCCAAGCAGGTGGCTAAGAGATTGCCGCTCTCATCTAATGATACATCCCCACCAGTGTAGATTGGCTGTATAATTTGCTGAGGTTCATAGGTAGTGATCAATCTTGGTCGTGTAGCCATACTTATCCATGCAAGCTTTCGATCGTCTCTGGCCTAGCGGATGTATTGTTCATTCTTGGCTGAATCCTGACGGTGAAGCTCAACATATCGAAACATCACATGACTTGCAAAAATAACAATGAAAATTGGACCGGCGCGGGTGGCTTGCAGTAGCGTGCTCGCTCCACGTGGCTATCATATACCCGGCGCCAGATGCTTTTTAGTGTGCATTCAGTATATCATGGATGATGGGTACAGATCAACAGACATCTACAACTACCGACGCCCATGCTTTGGGCTTGCAACTCGAGGTGCATTCTTGCGTGGACTCAGCCATTGTGCCTGAAGATCTCACCTTTATCTCAGCTGATATGGAGAAGCCTAAGCCTAGATGACGCGTATAGCCGGCCACCAACTTGCTCTTTCCAGTCTCATCCATTCGGAGAGCAAGCACGGCGCTGCTAACCTAATTCGATCATGGCTCTAGACCTGTAGAAGCCCATACATTTCCTCACGATGGGCCGCCAAGCATATCTGACGAAGTTGGCGCTGGTAAGCTTCAACTTCTTTTTTCTTGGATTTCTGTCCATCTTTTTCGATCTGGAATATCCCATTGGGATATAGACATAATATCCATCACCCAATATCTTCAACATGTTGAACAAATAATGTTCCTTACTTGTCCATGCAGGGAAGGTCACCATTTCAGTCTGTAGAGCCGGGTCAGTCAAACGAAACGAGCGGTGACGAGCAGACTCGCCAGCGGGTGACAAATGACAGTGGCTCAACAGATCAGAAGCAAAAGTTTGACAAGTCAGGTCGTCCAATCAACCCAGAGACTGAGGTTCTGAAGCGCAGGCTCAGGCATGCCCAGAATGATGTCCTCGCAGTTGTAGGCCTATGCCATAGGATCGAAGACGGCAAAGTTTTGGCAACGAAAAAATCTCTCGATGAAGAGCAATTAGCCTCCATTGATTCGGAAAATCATTTAGGAGCTGACCTCGATAATCTTTCTTATGCTGCTCTCTATCTGCTTCAACCATGGACCTTGGGGCTCAGACAGCGTCTACAAGTGAAGACCTCGATAGAATTTGTTGTTAACAAGTATACTAACTCCTCTCAGGCTTTCTTTCCCACTTATGGTCTTCCGCTAACGCGAATCATTGCCTCCGACTGGACAACACTCAGGCCCATATCTTTCCTTACTGCGGGTGCCGTTTTAAGCTGTGTCTCGTCTCTCTACCCATGGCTCGAATACCACTACTTTTACAGCCCGATGATTGATGTGGTCGACAAATTCGTTGAATTACTTCCCGATCGTTTGCAAGGTGGTCAGTATCCGTTTGATACCAGCAATGTTATTTACACCGTGTAAGTCATCCCTAGACAGGAAAGGCTGCTTGTAAATGTAATAATTTATAGGATCGACGGAGCAGCCCTTGTATTGCGGGCACCGCTAGAGGCGTATGTCACCCTTCAAAGGCTTCAAATTGCTCCAGCTTGGCCGCTGATGCCGGGGCCTGGGCCTTACATTACTTTGCTTTGCCAAATGCTCCAACTCCAGTGCAGTTTCCGACCCTTTCAAGTTGGGGCCCCCTTACAAACGCTCATAATACACATCATCATCAACAGGATCCGCCCGGTCATGTGGGAGAAGTTGGAGGAGTACTTCATAGCGGCTCTTCCCAGACCTACGAATCCGGAGCGTTATTCTATGTTAGGTTACAGTTATGGACCCGTAAGTACATTGATTCCGACCTCAGTATGGAGCCATCGCTTGATTCCATGGACAAATCATGGTGCTTTAGATGTGCTGGCTCAAGACCTACAAAGCATCGGAAGAGGCTGGCAGACTTTTTACGATCGCTGTGTAGACGCCCATGCAAACGTCTCGAGCTGGCTTTTTCGCCCTGGCAAAGCTGAGTTCCCCACAGCACCGCAGTGCTCACGCAGTCCAAGCCCAAGTACCCCACGTGATCTGCCAGATGACCTACGAGAGGCAATGGAATTCACAGAGGCCTCGCCGGACGGTGTCGTCATCATTCCTCAACCGTCGGGAGATACTCCGCCTGTCATTCTCGAAATGCCCCCCAATCTGCAGGACCTATGGATACCAACATCCGAGAACCAACAGCAGGAGAACCCTATCAATCAACGCAGTCATCTTCAGTCTCCCTCGCCCTTATCACCTCGAATGCCATTAGGACCACATTTGCCAGAGTCATCCTCGCCATCCCGCCAAGGCATATTCACAGAACAAATATCTGAAGCCACACAAGCTTCCACGCCAAACTCTTCTTCAAGTACGAGCACCGATACTGACTTGGTTGACTCCATTGACGCTTCGGATTCTCAAAGTACCGCGTCCGGAAATAGGGGCCCGGCAATCCATGCCAGCAGTGCCCGCATCTTCGAGAACCCCGCACCTCACCGACGCGAAGGGTATCCTGTAATATACTCAAGTCAGCATCATCAACATTTCGACGCTCCGTCAGGTCCTCCACATCGTATCACGATGCTCAGTTCATTCTCAAGCTCGTTCCTAGCGAGTCAGCTTGCCACCCACTTCACCACCTTACTTCTCTTACCCCTAGAGGCGCTCTTTGTGCGAAGCGTGGCAGTCGCTTTCTATGCAAGCCCTGGCTTGCCCTGGGCGGGAACGATAGGTCGACCAATGTTATATACGCAGGGAGCGTGGTTTGGAGTTGGTCTGAGAGGCGGTGGTTGGAGAGCTGTCAGGGATTATGGTGGAAAGATGTTCCTCGTATGGGGACTGCAGGTGGGCACGTCTCTGGCATTATGGGAATTCTCATCGCATCTTGCTTGGTGGGCTGGAGTAAGATGGTATGAGTGGGGCAATCATTGAGCCTTTTTCTTTTGAAGCAAAGCGTGGGTTTTGTATGAACGTAAGATTCCCCTTTTGCAGGATTCATACCGACTTGACATTTCAGATTCAACAAATGCTTTTGGAGCTCTTCGTTCATGCAGCCGGCCCTGCTCTACCGTGATCGAAAGGGACGATTTGAACCAAAGAGCATTAGGAATTCAAAGAGACCTATCCGAGAACTTCATTCAGGATGAGATTAAATAAGCAATGAGGTGGGTTGTATTCGAGGCGATACATCTCGAATTACGAATGGACTACCGTTGTCTACCGCCGGCGATCTTTATCATATTTATCGTAGTCCCTGATTTTCTTGTCACAATCGTCATGGTCGCGTCGATCACGCCTCCGTTCCCGGCTCTTGCTTCGTTCTCGACGCGACGAACCATGTCGACTGCGCTCAACGGAACGGCTTCTTTCCCTTCTCGACGAGGAATGTCGACTGCGCTCGCCAGAGCGAGATCGATCTCTTTTTGACTCTCCGTGCCTCCGTCTCTCCTTTGACCGACTCCTGTCTCTCCGTCTGTGATCGCCATCCCTCCCGTCTTCAACAGCCAGCCGATCGCGCTTCCTCTCCTTATCCGCAGCCAAATTCCGATCTCGTCTTTCCCTCCAATCCTCCCCAGCCCCATCCCTAGGCTTGTTCGCCTCTGCTTTCTTCGCCTCAAATTCAGCTTCCGTGAGCAGCTCCCCGGTGATTTTGTCCTTGCGCGTTACAGGGCTGTATGAAATATCGTTTTTCTTGTTACCTTTAGTTGCTTTGCCCCATGCGCCGAGTTCCTCGCCGACTCCGCCAGGGACCTCTGCGGCGCCCAGGCCCAACAGCGCTGGTCTACGCTCCACTTTTCGAGGAGCGTTGGCTTTAATCTTGCCTCTACCGACACTTTGTCCTTCTGACCATCCCATACCCCTTAGCATAGCGGTTCCGTATTCGAACACTGGAACCCGAGCATAGTCATCTAATGAAGCAACCGGGGGTCTAGAGGCAACGTCGGCGCGAACTCTTGCGTCCTCAGAGAGTTCTGTAGTTTCGTAAAAGCCGTCATTCACCGGAGGTGAATCGGCGGACGGAATGACTAGAGTGGACCTTTTCTGACCTAGGAGCGCTTCCAGAGCAGCGTCATCCGCGGTTTGCTCTTTTTCTGGCTCAGGGGCATTTGTGTCATTTGTAGTCAAACCATGGCCATTCGTCATGGAAGTATCTCCATCCTGGTCATGAGCCATGATCTTCAAGCCCGCCTCCAGTGATACTTCGTCTTGCTCACTATGCCCATTTTGTACGCCGTTTGCACGATTTTGAGAGGCCTGTATTTCCGCCGGCAACAGATTCTTGCCACGTTTCCTGCGAGACTCTTCTCGCCAGTCCCTATTTTTCTGCGGCTGAATGACGAGTGGACTCTTTGCGTAGACCGGGGCAGCACTGACAGCACCCTTTGCGTCAAAAGCCGTCACTGCTACGGCCTTCTCCTCCTGATCAGAGTCATTGTCAAGGTCGTGGTCTTCAAGTGCTGATCGAGGGCGCTTGCGACCATTCAAAGGAGCTGGTGGCTGTTTTGATTTATTGGATCCGAAACTTATGGAAAAGGGTTTAGTCATGTCGTTACCATGCAGCATGTATTAGATTGATCTCATCAACAACAGGGCCTGTAGACACAATGTCTCCTAAACGCAGTAACCCATGATCAATCTTTGTGTGAGGAGTGGGGGGGTTGGAATTCTATGAGAAGACAGACTGACTCACTGGGTCAAGACAGTCATGAGAAGGGTCCCCCTCCAGATCGGATCTTCTCACGTAAATTCCATCATGGTCACGCATACATGAGAATGCCTCATGATACGCCCCAAGGAATCAGATCAGGGGGGAGGCAACGAGCAACCCTAATCCACGCGCATGTTCAGATTAAGGTATTAGTTATTTGAACTGCTGCTGGTGTTAGGTCACTTGCTCTCAAATTGATTCTTTGCTCTTCACTACTTATGCATTCCAGATGTATGCCTCACGAATTCTGATCACTAGGCAGGCCTTTGCACGCCTTTTACCCCGTGATGCAGATATGTACAATAGATCCAACGACACACCTGTCCTCAACTCCTACTGACCGCTTGCGATCCCAACAGGTCCAGGTCTTGGACTCTGGCTTGGCCCTCTCGGTGGGCCTCCTCCTTGCGCACTACCTGTCCTTTGCACCATAGGAGTAGTAGATCTGCTCGCACTCATTCCTGGCGTCATTCCGCTACCGCTACTCGCACTCCGTTGTTGGCTAGCTTGTTGACTCCGCATGTAAACAGCATATTGCTGCTGTTGATTGTAGATGTTGCCCGCTCCGTTCGGGAGCATGCCCTGCTGTTGCATCATTGGACTTGGTACTTGCATATTGCCCAAGTTGCCGCCGCTGTTACCGACCGCAGCTGCCATAGCTGATTGTTGCAGAGATTGCTGTTGAGACATCCGATAGAGTTGTTCGGTGGTCAATCGCTGGATTTCCTCCGCACTCGCACTAGGATTGCGCCGCTTGACCTGGGTCTGGATTTGGTTAACGGCTGGGGTCATGCCGCTGGAGAGAGCCTGCGGTTGGGACTGATTCAGATGGGGAGATGTGCTGGTACCTGGCAGAGACTGACCGCCGTTGACAGGACTTGAACGATCCTGAAGTGAGCTAAGTAAGGAAGGGCTATTCTGGGGAAGAGAATTGGGGTTGTGGGTGATTGGCGATCCACCTTGGACATTTTGTTGAGGATTCCGTTGTTGCCGCTGTTGCTGGAGATAGGCGGCTTGCTGCTCCTGGACACGCTGGGCTTCCTGCATCATCCTCATCTCTGAAGTCATCTGAGGCTGTCCGCGTTGACCCATCGGCATTTGCATCTGTGATTGCATGGGTGCACTTGGGACATTGTGCCCGTAATTCGGAATGGCGCCATTGACTTGTCCGTTCATCAGCCTCTGCGGTTGTGGCCCCACCCGAGAAGAAGGCTCCATTGCAGCTCCTCGAAGCTGAGGGGCCGTTGAGGGGACATTTGGATTATTGCCATTTGGCAGCGCAGACGGCGGGTTTCGATTCGACGGGACTCCATTTGACTGTTGATTTGCTGTCTGGTGTTGGGCAGCCTGCTTGGCCTGCTGTAGATATAAGCTGTCTGATCAGTGCGCAGTGTTCGATCAACTCACCTTGTGGGCTTGGTAATATTGGAAGCGAAGGATTTTATTCTGCTCTTCCATTTTGACTTGTTGTTCGTATTTTTTGCGACTCAGCTCGCGAGGTGTCCGTAATGGGGGTCTTTCCCTTGCTGGCTCATGGTTGTTCTTTCGCATTAGACCAAGCGTTGCTGCAAATGCAATTAGCATGAACACTATACACAAAATTGGCCGCAATTGATAAGCTTCACTCACCCTGCTGCTGTTGTTTGTGCGCTGCGGCTTCCTTCTTTTTCGCATGTTTGCGCATTGCGTCAATGAGATGAAGCGGCTTATTATTCTTACGCTTTTCCACATTATACGGTTGATTAGAGCGTCGGCGAAGAGGTAGTTGTGCTGGATTACCACCGTTTTGCTGGATTAAAGCTTGTTGGCGTGCCTCGTATGTTCTGGCGGCTTGCTGCAATCTTTGATGATATGTCCGGAAGTAGGGCACTTTAGACATTTCTGCTGGCAGACCCTCCAAGCTAATCCACCTTTCGAAGCATTCCCATGGGGTCCTTCTTTCAGCACCGGAGGAATACACTGATGCAGATGAAAGGCAGTCTGAAATCAGAGACCAATTGTACGAATATTCCCGGACCAATTTCCGGAGCTCATCGTCTTCAGCTAGCGTCCATTGTGACGGCGAGCGTGATTCAAAGAATTCTTTTGAAGGCATGAGATACTCAGTAGGAGGCTTGAAAGCGTGCCCCGCATGGATACGATCTCTGACGTGCCGGTTCTCGGGATTGAAGAGAGCGACATTCTCTTCAACAGGGCGAAGAACACTGTCAAATGAAGCTTGCCCTAACTCTTCGCTACTCGGAGTAAGATCCGAATAATCCAGACGAAGCTTCTTTACAGGAGGACCTTCATGATTGGGAACCAATTTGCCATGAGCGTACTTGGACACCGCAACCAGGGGCGTTTTCCACATGGCATCAGGGTCGAGTTTCGTGACCTTGAGCGCAGCATCTTGAACATCCTTGGCCGGGTCATAGCAGGGCAGCTCTAGCAAGAGTTTCTCCGCCATTGGACTTCTGTTCAGACCAAAGACAAACACGTCCGGTGGCAAGGAGAAAATGGTCGCTGGTGGCTTCTCTGTTGTAAAGTCCATTGTAGACAGCTCATCCTCCGTCATCTCGCTGTTTTCGTCATTTACCAATTCTGGAGTCGCAGACGTGGCCTCGAAAGACAGCTTCCGCGGTGGATGGCGAACCTTCACCTGTAGTGACAGGCGATCTATCGATGCGGTAGCCACCCAAGCAGCGCAAGCATGTGCAAGAAATTTGGCGCCAGCGAGTTTGAATTTACGCTCCTCACGAAAATCGGTCCTCATCCATTTCATATGGCTTAGCAGAATATCCCAGTGTGTTGCAGGACGTAGTGGTTCTACAGATCGTGCTGGCTGACGCAGAGACCAGCGATTGAAATGCTGCATGTCCTTTATGTGATTTAGTATTCGATAGTCTTGCTTCTCACGAAATTCTATTAGGTGATCCGAAGTGGTCAAGGTTTTGTGAGCTTGTCGAAGAAGAGAGGTCAACGGAGGTGCTCGCGGCGATTGATATACTTGTGCAGCAAAGAAAGTCAAGAAATAGTCTCTCTCCTCTAAAGGCTTCTCTTCGCTATCAGTTGGTTGGTTTTGGCAACTTTCAGGAGGGCGAGAGCCAGTCGAAGACTGCTGCTTTGCAAAAATTACAGTTGACAGCTTGCTACGCTCCTTTTCCTTCATCTCACTCAGGCGGAGTCTGAAGGCTGCAACATCCGGCGATGCAGCTGACTGTGGAGTCGACTGCTCGTTCTTGTTGGTCTCCTGCGCATATCTATCTGAAGGGGACGCCGCCGTCTTCGGAGTTTCTCCAAGTATCTCTGACACACTCTTATGTCGAAGAGCACCGGAGGACACACGCGTAGTCATTCTTTCAGGGGGTGATTGAGCATTTGATGAGGAAGGGGCCGTTTTACTAGGAGTAGCCGTTTCTGACGCCGTGATGGGACCTTTCTCTGAAGTAATACTAGTCTCCTTGGTCGCGGAGGGCATGCCAGTGTCAATCCTCATGGGAGGCCTTCGACTGAAAGTAGGATCCCCGGACGTATCTACATGCATTCCATTGAATATTTGCTTTCGCATGCCTGGCGCAGGCTGTGGCGTTCCTATAGAATTGATCTGCTCCACAGCGGTCTGTTGCTGCTTTGTAGACAAGTCTCCGCCCAATGGCGAAATGTCCATTATGCTATTTGATTCATCATAGGTGCCTTGTATGAACTGGGAAGGCAGGTCAGAGGTATTTGGATTTGGCAGTACACTTCTGTGACCCTTTATGGTAGTTTTTCTTGGGGCCCCTGCGAAGACTGGCCATCTTCAAACGATAGCGGTCTGTCAGGGCTAGCTGGAGTCACCCCATGAAGTTCGTTTCTGATAGGTTCCGACTCTTTATTGACCAACTTTTGACCGCTTGATCCCTCTTCCGCATAGATGCCTCGCCCTGAATCTGGAGGTGTTAAATTGGGTCCTTTTTCCAAAGTTGTCTCCTCTAGTTGCGACGGGATTTTAGATGCTGTCTTTTGCTCGACCGAGTCTGGAAAGCCACTATTCGCAATCCCCTGTTCCTTGTCCTGCCTAGAATCATTTTGGACTGCATCATCCAACTGCTTTTTTGCTTCACTAGCTCTGTTTGCGCTAGTAGTTGGGGCCACACTGTCTTCGGATGTAACGAGCTGCTCCTCTGTGACCTTCGATGGAAGATGCCCCCCTCTCGAGGGCCATTCTCAATCGACGAATGCCTGTCATGGCTGGTCGGAGGTTCGCAGCTCTGCTGGTGAGAAGGCTTTGGGACTGATACATCAAAGGCTTTCTTTCGGTCATAGTGAGAAACGCGAGTTGAAGATGGTAAAGTCGAAGGGTTGAAAAATCGGCCTCTAATAATTATTAGCCTTCACAACGCAAATGTTGAGACCAAGTTTCGCATACTGAGTGATGTCGTTATTGCTCAAAAAAGCCTTAAGTTCTCGCTCCTGCTTGTCTGCGTCGGTAGCATCTCCGTAGCCTTCAGTGAGTTGTAGGTAACTGTATGTCACGCCTAAAAGCGTCTTCAACAACTTTTTACGTCTGGACACACAACGACTGAGAATTTCCCTCAAGTCAGTGATTTCGCATGCGATATCATAATTCATGTCAGATTCATGAATTTTACGCACTTTATCTCTTCGCGTTGAGAAGGCAAAACGTCTGCCGTGGACATAGTCTCGTTCTCCACTCAACAGCGATGGAAAAATTCCCTCCGAAAGACACCATTATCGCACCTGATGTCCCTGCATTTGATATAAGCTTTCAGTGAATAAAGTTGTTGGTAATGTGGTTGTTTTGATGATTTCGTTGTCGCCCTTTGGACGGGCTGTTGGTTGGAGAAGAAGAATGCGGGCGGTAACGGGGGGGCTCAATAGGGCCTTCTTCCCGGGTGCACAAATTTGGGCAACCGCAGATTCAACACTACGCTCTCCTCACCCAGAAGCACCAAATGCGATGAATCTAGAATGCGTCTGAAAGGCCGCATATGAAATGGGAAAAAGAAAGAGGGGAGTTCCATCGCTGGAAGCCTCAATTAATGGTCCAGGACTACATAGCACCAGTAATTCTGAACCGGCTCAGGCACCTTCAAAGGAGGAAAAGATCTCAGGGTCATTGGACGATGCCGTGGTTCGACCTATCGTTGTGCAGATAGCCATTGGAACGTATGAGAAGATTCTACACGGCATCACCGCTACATTCACATTAGCGGGTCATGAATCCGAAAATGCGGCTGAGAATGCGGAGTTTGCAGACACCTTCATGCTCAATGCCCACAGCTCAGCAATCAGATGTGTCGCAGTATCGCCTGTACATGTTGGCGGCGATAGGGTCATCCTTGCAAGTGGCGGCTCTGATCAGGTCGTGAACCTATATTCTCTAGCATCGACATCATCTCCAGAACTGCTAGAACAAGGTCGTTCTAAGCTCACATTGGTAGGATCAAAAGCTGTAGAGAACCCTCGAAATAAGGAACTAGGATCTTTGCAGAACCATGCTGGTGGTGTCAATGCTATCAGCTTTCCTAATCGGTCGAAAATGCTGTCTGCCTCGGATGACAGCACGATAGCTGTAGCGAGGACGAAAGACTGGACGGTGTTATCTTCAGTCAAGGCTCCTGTTCCGAAAGCGCAGGGGAGAGCCAGTGGAGATACGGCTCCGCCTGGAGATTTCCCAACCGGTATAAACGACTTCGCAGTACACCCAAGCATGAAGCTCATGCTGAGCGTTGGAAAAGGAGAGAAATGCTTGAGACTATGGAATCTCGTTACCGGTAAGAGGGCAGCAGTCCTCAATTTTGAACGGCAATATCTACAACAAGTAGGGGAGACCAGATATACCACTGGTGAAGGCCGAAAGGTTAGATGGAATACTACTGGAGAGGATTTTGTCGTTGGATTTGACAGAGGCTGTATCATCTACGGCGTTGACTCAAAGCCCAAAAGCTGGATGTTTCCAAGGACCAAGATCCACCAACTCCGCTACATATCATCGAATTCGTCACAGGAGCAAGCCAATGATGTGTTAGCTGTGTCTACAGAAGACGGTCGATTGCTGTTCTATCATCGAACTCAGAAAATGGCTGACACTGCTGAAGACTCCCAATCCAGTATGGATGACAAGCGATGCGAGCCCTTTGCGCAACTTGGCGGTGCGACTGAGGGGCTTACAGGTCGCATCAAAGATTTTGTTGCATTGACTTCGCCTGATCCTCAAATTCAGATTCTTGTCACCGGTAGCAGTGATGGTGCTATTCGCATTTGGTCTCTAAAAACAAGCGAGGTATTCCAGCAGTATGACTTGCATTCCGCAGAATTAAGAGGGAAACGGCTCGTCAAGCAAGTAGGCAATCTACTTGGTACCTATGAAGCTAGCAATCGAATCACCTGTCTAACGGCATTCTTGATGAAGTAGCCCTGGACTAGTTGGCTTTCGTCAAAAAAGGGGCTACGATTTCACACGCCTCGGGTACGATGATGATGATACTATTTTGCATTTGTTTCTCAAGATACCCCAAATACGATTTCATAGGTATTCGTAAATAATGAACATGGCTTAAATGCTTTTTGATACGCACTTGCACTGGAATTTACTGTGCTTGATCTCGATATCACAATGCTCCTATATGCCTCACGTGCTAAGTAGACATATTTTTCCGGGGATAGGCGCACTGCGGACTTAACCTTTTCGACTCACCACCAGACATCACGATAGATTTTCATCTGAAAGGCGCAACACTTGAACAACCTCGATCTCAAACGCCAGAGGAGGGATATCTGCCCTGTATCTCAAATTCAAGCGACTCTTTCTCAACGTCAATCTACTGGGACTGACTTACCGAGCGTCCATCATGTCGACGAATGGCGACTTACCGTCCGATGATTCGGAACCTGAGTCTCCCCAAGAAGCTTTGGAGCATTCTGAGGACAAGCTTGATGAGCCAACTGGTAGAGGAGGAGGAATATTGAAGAAGGAGAAGAAGGAGGACCCGATAACTGAAATCCTGAGACCTGAGCTCCCGGAGCAGCCAGACCCAAAAGATCTTGATGTCTTAACACTTACCCCACTCTCACCAGAGATAATAGCAAGGCAGGCAACTATAAACATTGGTACGATAGGTCATGTGGCTCACGGGAAGTCGACTGTGGTCAAAGCTATTTCTGGTGTTCAGACTGTTCGGTTCAAGAACGAGTTGGAAAGAAACATTACAATCAAGCTAGGTTATGCGAACGCAAAGATCTATAAATGTGAGAATCCAGAATGCCCGAGGCCGACATGCTACAGGAGCTATAAGAGTGAGAAGGAGGTAGACCCGCCGTGTGAAAGGCCCGGATGTGGAGCAAAATACAGGCTGGTCAGACATGTTTCGTGCGTGGCGGACAAACTATAATGAAAGCCCGTTTACTAATTCATCTTCAAGTTTCGTTGACTGCCCAGGTCACGACATTCTAATGAGCACCATGTTATCAGGCGCCGCAGTCATGGACGCCGCTCTTCTTCTTATTGCAGGAAACGAATCCTGCCCGCAACCGCAAACATCCGAACATCTTGCAGCTATCGAAATCATGAAACTCGACCACATCATCATTCTCCAAAATAAAGTCGATCTGATGCGCACAGAAGGTGCAGAGCAACACTATAAATCAATAGAAAATTTTGTTCGCGGGACTGTAGCCGACAAATCCCCTATAATCCCCATATCTGCCCAGCTGAAGTACAACATCGATGCCATAAATGAGAGGATCGTCAATAAGATCCCTGTGCCACCGCGAGACTTTACACAAGCACCTCACATGATCATCATCCGCTCCTTCGACGTGAACAAACCTGGTGCGGAGATTGAAGACTTAAAGGGCGGTGTTGCAGGCGGAAGTATCCTGACAGGTGTACTGAAACTCGGCGACGAGATCGAAATCCGCCCCGGTCTTGTCACCCGCGACGAGCAAGGCAAGATCAAATGCAAGCCCATCTTTAGCCGAGTAGTATCCCTGTTTGCCGAACACAATGATCTCAAATTCGCCGTCCCAGGCGGTCTAATTGGTGTTGGTACACGGGTCGATCCTACGCTCTGCCGCGCCGACCGTCTCGTTGGCTTCGTACTTGGTTTGAAGGGACGATTACCGTCTATCTACACGGAGCTTGAAGTCAGTTTCGTCTTATTGCGGAGATTATTGGGCGTCAAGACGGCAGACGGAAAGCAAGCGAAAGTTGCGAAGTTGACGAAGGGTGAGGTTCTGATGGTGAACATTGGTTCTACTGCTACGGGTGCGAAGATCATGGGAGTAAAGGCGGATGCGGCGAAAATCCAGTTGACAAGTCCAGCGTGCACAGAGATCGGAGAGAAGATCGCGCTGAGTAGGAGGATTGAGAAGCATTGGCGGCTCATAGGTTGGGCTAACATTCGAGCGTGAGTATTTGCTGAGTTCTTGCGAGAACTGTCACTAATGTGAATTTCAGGGGCACAACCCTAGAGCCGACGACAGAATGAAAAGACACAGGGAGATGAATGAATGGATATTTCCTGCGTAGTCAAGCATACATCTCTGACCATGTTCAATTCGATCACGCTAAACAGCGATAATTATACCAACCGTACGCTGACTCGATGTTATTGTCTGCAATCGAGCCCTTAATTCGAAGGGAAACGATCATGCTGCAGGCTGATGACGAATGATATCATGTAAATAGATCACTTTAGATAACTTTGTCATCCCATACAATACAAAGTGTGTCGAGCATTATGCACAAGACGCCTTCAATCCCCCAGATTCAGTCATATGCAACATTGAAACTTTTTCTTGGCTTTTCAATTCATTTCACAACCTTGTCCTTTATCTCTTCAGCTTTCTGCTTGGTCTGGGTGAGCACATTCTGCGCTGTCGCCTTTGCATCTGACCCTGCTCTCTGTGCGTTCGCTTGTACCTCCTTACCCACGTTCTCCCCCTTGGCTGCTAAAGAAGCTTCCCTGCCTCCCCAGCTGGATATCCTGTCAGTCGAATTCTTTCAAATGCAACATCCTTTGCAAAACTTCTCTCGGAATGCGAAACTTGCTTCACAATGAAGTATATCATGACCCCATCATTATGTTGTACCGAGCATCCCTTCTCTCGCGCTGAAGAATATAGCGCCAATGAAAGCAAAGCACTCACTTATAATAACTCAAGTACCGATACCCTTGCACAGACTGAGCATTGAAATTAACGAAATGGCAGGCGAAAAGGAGGTAGTTCTTTGGCGTCACAGCGAGAGAATATCGCATGAATGTTGCCGCGTAGACAGTCAGAGCGGCGGTCATGCGGCCGGATATCCTATTTTTACACAGGCTCAGTATGCTATCACCTGCAATCACGAGGAGCATTTTCGCTTTCCATCGCGTGCTTGTGCCATGATGATTTCAGGATCCGGACCCCGACCGAAGTGAACTCCTAGAGTAGGAAATGGTAGAGCAGGAGGCATTGAAGCACATACAGTTCAGGATCTTTCTGCGTGTCGAGAATTGCTGCTATAGGAATACCGAAGTTTGAGGCAGGGCCCCAGAAATCTGCTCACGATGTATCAGTATCTCTCTACCAACAGGTCTTCACTACGCCTGTGAAAGCGGTATCAACGCACGAGTTGAGCAGAAGTAATCCAGCATTGGATTTGATCGTATTCTGGCATTGATGCCCTTGATCGCCGCTGCTGCCATCTTTGACCTTGGCAGACTGCAGGGCACTCAAATGGAGAGAAAGCTTGTCGTATGCAAGATGATAGAGTGTATCCGCTGGGGGTTATCCGATTTCGCGGTCCCCGAGCTCAACTCTCACTGCCGGTAGGGCTGAATCTTGGCGGTCCACGATATCCATATTTTTCGATTTTCTTTCCGACCTTCTTTTCTCTTCTTCAACACAACGCTTAAAACCAACATTCTTTACAAAAAGCATTCGGATGTCTGAGCTTGATGCTCAATTCCTAAGACTATCTGAGCCGTTCCGAGAATGGAGATTGATACTACGGTGGGTGCTGGTCTGGGTGCAGTGCTTCCCTGGCCTTTCTGGGTCATGTGGGAAGGGCTGCAATGACTGGCTACACAGCTATGTCTCTACTGCCCGTTTAATTTTGATGGGCTTGCATTAGGAAGTTGAAAATGGATGACGCAGTGCTTGTGAAGCATCGCTGCCGGCATTGAGTTGTCAATGAAAAGCGAATTAGATGATTGTCATTACAAAAGATTTCTTCATGATACACTTGCTCTCCTTCCCCGCGTTCCTAACGCCAGCCTTCTACCAACATTTCCAAAACAGACACTGCTGCAGAAGAACACGCTAGCGATCCAAGTACAAGCTCCAATTGTCTTGTCACTCATGACTCCATATCGCATCATTTGACCCCCGTCAAACAGCGGGTCCGCCGAGCCTCTAACACTCGGTAAACCTGCACCAGGAGAGGGGATAATCTCCGGGTTGACGCCAAAAACGACAGCTGTGCCTGTCAACCCGACTATCAATGAAAGCAGAAAGCCAGGTTTTGAGCGATCAACAAGGTACCAAAGCACTGGATTGACGAGGGCTAAAGTCAACGAGACTTGCAGCGTCGACTGCCATGGGAGTCTCCTTATAGCGAAGGCTATCCCGACAAAGGCGCCAATGCTGCGTACCAAAGGGTTCCAATCGGCGCCCAGTCCAGATCTTGAAGACCCCGGCCTCTCATCTTTCTCGTCACCGGGCTCTTTTTGCAGGTCTTTCGACGGAAATACATCCTTTTCTATACCCAAGACATCCTCCCAGTAGACGTCGACCCAGGGTGTCAGCCCTCCTAACACGACTGCCACACTTCCCCAACCTATTAAATACCACCACGATCGGCGCGGGATGCCTGGCACTTGCACGGGCGCCACTTGTTGAGTATCGTGCAAGTGTGAGATTAAGACTCCATAGGCCACGCCAAAGAAGAAAAGTAGAACTGTCCGCAGACCAATGCGTGAGAGTAGGCTGCCGGTAGAGACATGGGGATACGAGGGTCTTCGTCGTAGCTCTGGCTTCTCAAAGCTGCCGATGACGGGTGGTTTCCTATCTTCATCAACGCTTGCTCTTGGTGCTGGCGTTTGGCTTCCGTTTCCCCGCGGAGTGGATGGTTCCGTACGGTCACTGTCTGTAGGGGCGTAGATGCCGAAAAGGGTGGACGAGGTGAGATTCAAAACCGAGCGAGTCCGGGATATGAAGTTGTCGGATGAGGGTTCGTTGGGGGTGTCAGGAGAAGGTGAGTTAGAAGAAGACGTGATTGTGAAAGAGGGAGGGCGAAGAGGCTGTGGGCGGATAGTCTTCGGGTTATCTGCCATGTTGGAGAATTGCTGAGCAGGGTGAGCAAGAGAACAGCTTCGACACAGTAGATAGTGAGTCTTTAGTACTCAGGTCATCCGAGCTTTTCATGCAGCCCGAGGTGGGGTCCAAGTCATGCGTCGACGCGTTTGGCGCGGCTTTCTTCGATTCCTGCAGACTTGAAAGAGTTTCCCAACAATACCATTCTAGGAAAGGGGAAACTCAGATTCTAAGATACATTCAGAAGGCATTGAAGTCAAGCCCGTGGTGTCACAATAGTCAGCAACCAAAGATCAACAGGCCCCACTTCAATGAGATGAACGTGCCGATTCGCTGAAACTGACATGCCCTCGATGTGGCTGGAGACACTAGCGTTTGAGCCGCGGCTGTTTCACTATTATGTAAGCAGAAGTAGCTCGAACAAGCCCGTTTTGGTGTTCAGAGCTGTTATTTGGAGGTCCCTGCATCAAAGGAAGCTCTGTCAACATGTTGTGCCACCGGGTAGCCAGACGCTTACCATATCGTGCTCTTGGAATACCTCAACAACGTCCTACCCACGTGCCTCATCCCAGGTAGGCCTAAAGCAAACGAGCTCTTTTGACGTCCATTTTGATAACGACTACTAGATACCTCTCCATATCCTCGAACGCACGACCCTGCCTCCGGACTCCAGTACTGAGTCGCCCAAACACCCTATATACTTCTCAACAATCGTGTTCAAACACACTTCTAGAAAACTTTTCACATCGCCCATTCTCAACCGCATCAACCCTGCTAGGGCCAAGGAACACATTCAATCCTAGTCACCGGGTGCGCAAGCGGCGGCATGGATTTCTATCAAGACTTCGGACTAGGAATGGGAGGAAGATATTGAAGCGGCGGCGGTTGAAGGGGCGTCTGAATTTGAGTCACTGAACAAATTTGTGAGATATTGTACATCTACAAAGAGCGAAGTGGTCTAATGAAATCTTTAAATGGTCTTCAATCGCGCATCATTCAAGTTTTGTTTTTCTAAATTTGGAGTGTCTACGTGACAACTCCACACGATAACATTCGTTACTCAAAATGGGTTCTATCTGATTCTATCAGCGGTGACCGAAGTCCTCCTATCTCAATTCGGTCTCTACCTCGTCACCTTCATCGTCTTCTTCATCTTCCTCTTCATCGTCATCTAGATCGTCGTCACCATCATCGCCCAGTCCTTGCTCCTTGCCATACCCATAATCATCCTGGAAGAAATTCAGGGGTTTGACTTGTGGTTTGTATCCCAGTCCCTCAAACCCCTTCACAAACCCTTCCTCCATGATGGGCGCACAAGTCACAGTGACGATACTGGAAGTGGGAACGAAGATCGGTAGGAGGACATCTTGCATTGCCTTCTTGATTTCCTCTACCGTCACGTTCCTGACCTTACCGAGCATTATTTGAGGCCAATCTTTTGGCTGACCTCGAACTACTTGCCGAACGAAGCTTATCTGAGCAGCATTGGCCATGGTAGACTCGCTGTTGGCAAAGCTCAAGACAATAGAGCTGATAGCGCCTTCGAGTGCTAATTTTTCGAATGACCTTGCGCCTGAAGCAAAATCTTCGATGACCTTCTTGCTAGCGTTGAAAGCTTTGAAAGCGTCAGGTGAGCGATAGATATCAAGGGTGACTTTTCCAGAATCCGTGCTTTGGCTGATACCGGCTCCATATCCTAGACCTACCCCTCGAACTGCGGTCCACAATGGTCCTTCGACTGCATTGAGGTATGAAAGGGCTACTTGTAGCGCGGGCATGCCTTCATCGAATGGCGAGTTGGGTCCATTTGCGTCAGCTAGCAGAAAAGAGGAATCAACTGTTGGCATGGGAACAAGGTAAGCTGTATTTCCGGGATGCTTTCCCAAACCGCTGAGCCGATCGAAACGTGACTCTAAAGGATTGAGTGGCTTTGAGGTATCGAGACCGTGGGTGAGAATATCCCAGGCCGAGACGGGCTTTTGAAGCTTGTTCACATCTGCAATTACGAGGACTCGAAAGTTTGATGGCTGGCAGAGTATCTCCCGAACGTCTCTGAGCTGTGTGAGCAACTGCTCAGGATCTACCACTAAAAGTTTTCTGACCCGCTTCAGGTAGAGGGCTCGAACAAGAGTATTACCAGCACGGGTGATTGATGTTGGAGCCGACATGATCATGTTGTTTACACTTCTCACCATGTCACTCCCGCTCCGCTTCTCATCGGGGATCTCTGCTAGTAGTCTTGCGATGATTGCCACAAGTCGTTCGAGGTCGAAGACAGAATCTAACATCATCTCTCTAAGCTTTCGAATCCCTAAGTCATAATTTTCAACCTCCACTTGAATTGATAGCTTTAGAGTCTCAACATTGCCAAAAGCGTGGCCGGAGCTTAGGCCGTAGCCAACAGTGTCCCGCTCCAGCTCTTTGACCACATCTTCGAATTCGACTCTTTTCCCACCTCTGGCGATTGGAGTTGAGAAGAAATTTTCGGCGTAGATGTCAAGTAGCGGCCGCAACATGACTGGCACGTTTTCGGTTCCTATCATAATATTAATCAATGCAAAATTGGATTCGACATGCTCGAATTGTACGAAAAGTGAAGTTGCGTTCGCGTCTTTCTCTATGCTTCGCTGGATAGAATTATCAGGTCGTCCGAGCGTCTTGGCTGCCCCTGATCTTGCAGTCACAGTATTTATAAAATGAATAGATTGTGGATCTGGGACTTTGTAGCTTTCGAGGAGTGACTCTGGTACTTCCATGTCGTTTTCAGCTTTTGCATGCTCTAATTTCTCAGCTAGATGCTTGAGACCGTCGTCCCCGAGTTCTCTCTTCCGGGATGCGATACGGTCCTTCTCCTCCCCTTTCAACTTTCCTGATAGCTCAGCTGACGGCTCCCCTAGAACGCTGACGTGAAAAGCCGCTGCAAGCCAATGTTCTATGAAGTCTCGCCACTGCTTATCGCTCCAAGTCTCCAAGCTCTCATAATGACTTAGATTTTCTAGTTCGTCCTTGAGTATCGAGCCTCTGTGGTCTCCAAAAAGGAAGTTGTTGATGATTGAGTCGGCAAAATAATTAGCGGACGACTCTGCTCGAAATTTGTCACTAGCTCTTTTTGATTTGATGCAGTCACGCAGGAAATCCATATCTAGCGGCCGTGAGACTGTTTCTGTAAGAATACTGAAGAATCTTGTCTCGACTTTCTTAAGGTTTTCTGTAGCAACGCCACTCAGACCGAACTGTATGACGGCACTAGGGCGAAATTCGGTACTCCAAGATACTCCGCTTGCAAGTTGCTCTTTCTCGACAATTGTGTTGTCTAAGACCGAAGCCGGCGATCCCGAAAGATATTGCAATAAAACGTTGAAGGCAATGCCTAAGTTATGATTAGTTTCAAAGCTTGGAAGTCCCTGAAAATCCTCTAGACTAACACTGTAAGGTATCTTTGTAAGCAGGGCCGAAGAAGGATATAAGAATCTCGCCCATCGTTTCATCTTCTTCTGGAAATTGCACCACCTCTGTCACTGATTCCTTCAAAGGAGGGGCTTGCTCTGAGTCGACCCAAGGCCGCTTGAAAGGTGCGTCAGGCTTAGGTACAGAATCTAGGATCGTATCCTCAAACTCATCCAGTACATCAAGTAAATTTGTATGATTGACCGCACCAACAAGCACTATGCAGAGGTTCTTCGGTTGATACATGTCCTTGTGAAAGGCACGTATTCGGTCTGCTGTCAAAACACGAAGAGGTTCCAGCATTCCTCCTGTCTCGTATCTGAAACCGACATCATCTGGATACAACAGTCGTCGGGCTTTTATGTCTATCAGCTCTCCTGCCGTGTTCTGCAAGGCTTGCATTTCTGAGTATACGACTCCGGCGTCATTACCTTCACCATCAACATGGTGGACTTCTGTATAGCACCCGGCATCGGTCAAGGTGGGTAACAAGACATGCTCGAGATACACGGGCAATATTTGCGCGAAGCCCCTCCCATCCTGCGGTAGCTAAAGTATACGCAGTGTGATCTGTAGCCTACGAAAAAGATAGAGCGTTAGTATGAAACGACCTGTGACACGGGAGTACTTTTGACGAGGGCTTGAGTGTGCGTATATTTGAGGGCAAGTATCGCCTTGAGGTAAATCTATACGTACTGTCCAAGCGTTTGTATCCGAGTACGCTCTGGTGGCAAGCTTGTCAAGAAACCCTTTGTAGCGAAAGCTTTTCGATCCCATGAAGCACAAGTGTTCTAATGTGTGTGGCGAGCCCGAGTCATCATGGATTTCGGTGGCCAGAGTAAAGTATCCATTGACCTTTGGACCCTCCTGATCCGCAACTACGATTCTCAATCCTGTCCTGAGAGATTCGTAAAGTGTGATCTGTGTGGGAGAATAGTTTGTCTTGAACTTCTCGATTTGCCTGAAGTTAACATTTGGCGGTCCTTTTTCAGCGCCCATCATGTAGAAGGAGTGCTGAGGAGAGTATGATTGCGGTTCAGCGAGATCAAATGACCGGGTGATGCTATCTTTTAATCTAGATATAGCATCAACGACTGGCGGTATGAGGCAGGAAAGGGGCCCTGTCGCCCTGCAACACCAAAGCAGCAGTGATACAGCTGCTGCCGATAGCAATACTAAGTGACCATGCTTTGTGAACTTCATGCGCTAGGACAGGTGCTTGAAGTGAAGCTTGAGCAGCGCCTCGACAAAAGAAAGTGAGGCTGGAAGTGGAATCCGTCCTCGACGATCTTTTCGGGAAAAGCAAAAGAAAAACCTCAGGGTGTCAAAACACTAGACTCTAAACAACACATGTTTGAAAAAGAACATAGAGGCTCTTACCTGATTGTATGCACGATAAGTTATTGATATGTGCGTACCCACCAACTTAAACGCCTAGTAGGACAAAGCAGGCTTACGCATGGGGCTTCTCAGTCTATGCTGCGTGCTTCCGAGTATATATGGTTTGAGTTCAGCGTCCACAATCCTAGCTAGTGGAAGTCCCAGTCCTTCTCGAAGATGAACATCAGCTGAGCAATAGAGCAGTCTTTGAATCCTTATGGTGAATGTGAGACAGCAGTGTAATTTTCAGTCCATTCAATTGCAGCGAAACGCGTCTGAGTCTTCGGCCCTTTCGTAAGCAGCCTGAAAACCAGCTCTATAAGGCAGGAGCATAACGACGATCTGAACGAGGCGACCTCTCCCATAAGCCAGTTGCAGTTGGCGAGTGGCTGCAGTACGCGAGTGGCTGTCCGTTCCGCGGATTGAGGTACGGTAGACTGCAGATACCACATGCACAAAAGTGTGAAACTAAAATTATCAGTTGTTCAGGAGCCAGCTTTCATGTGAAGAACACATTGACTAACGTCCAACGCCACCACGCGGACCTCCTTTACACTTCACCGCGCAATTAGCGTCTCGCTGCAGTGTCGTTCCTTTCACTGTCCTCCATACTCGTACTCTAAGTCTTCTGCTTTGGGAAAGCGCGGAGTTGCTGGATGAAGTCTCTCTAAATCAAACATGGCCGACAATCGAAGGGCCCTCCCAATAAAGTTCACGGAGCTCTTGCAGGTACGCATCGTTGGAAATCATTTTCGAGAGGCCTTAGACGCTGATACGTTGTTCGCATCTAGTTGACGACAAAGGGTATTGATGTATGAGTGGCCCTCGTACTGCTGCCTCATCTGCCTCGACTAACCTGCAAAATAGCAAAAATCAATAGGTTTCAATTCTTGCGTATGTCCATGTCCCGTTGTCGACCTAAAGTTGGCCCTGATACTGATACCAATAAGACCCTAGAATCGGATCATTATGTCTGCGTACGGCAGGACAATCCTGCCAATCCTGGCAACCCTGATGTGGTTATCATCGACCTTAAGAACAATAATGAAGTAATCAAACGGCCAATCAAGGCCGATAGTGCCATCATGCATTGGGATAGACAAGTTATCGCCCTGAAAGCCCAACAGCGAACCCTCCAGATCTTCGATCTGGCGCAGAAGCAAAAGCTCAAGTCAACTACGATGAGTGAAGACGTGGTGTACTGGAAATGGATCAGCCAAGATAGCATAGGATTGGTCACTGACGAGTCTGTCTACCATTGGAACATATATGACCAGACCCAGCAATCACCCATCAAAGTCTGCGAGAGGAACGCAAATTTGAAGGTGAGTATTCTTTTCTGATCGTTGCATTGGAAGCTAAGGTTGCGTTCAAAGGGCTGCCAAATCATCAACTACAGGGTGAATGAAGATGAAAAGTGGATGGCGGTGGTAGGAATTACCCAGCGTGAGGGACGTGTGGTCGGAGCGATGCAGCTATATTCGAAAGAGCGAGGAATCAGCCAAGCGATCGAAGCACATGCTGCAGCTTTTGGGACGATCCGTCTCGATGGAGCTCCTGCAGACACTCGACTCTTTACATTTTCTGTCCGAACGGCCTCGTCGTCGAAACTGCACGTCGTCGAAATTGACCACAATCCTCAGAATCCGGTCTTCCCGAAGAAAGCCGTCGATGTGTACTTCCCGGCAGAAGCAGTGAATGATTTCCCAGTTGCTATGCAAGTATCCAAACGGTACAGTGTCATCTATATGATAACAAAGTATGGCTTCATACACCTCTACGACCTCGAAACGGCTACCTGCATCTTCATGAATCGCATCTCTAGCGACACGATATTCACAACAGCTGCTGATGCCGAGTCAGTGGGTATAGTTGGTGTCAATCGCAAGGGTCAGGTTCTCTCAGTCAGCGTCGACGATAATACAATCATTCCGTATTTATTGGAAAATCCCGGACAAGGCTCACTTGCCCTCAAATTAGCATCCAGAGCCGGTCTTCCAGGCGCAGATAATCTTTACGCTCAGCAATTTGAGCAAGCTTTCGCATCGGGACAGTACCAGGAGGCTGCTAAACTGGCAGCCAACTCCCCTCGTGGTTTCTTACGTACCCCACAAACAGTACAGCGCTTCCAAGGTCTACCAGCTCAAGGCGACCGCGGATTGACGCCTCTATTACAGTACTTTGGTATATTGCTCGATCAAGGGATGTTGAACCGATTGGAGAGCATCGAGCTTGGTCGGCTTGTGCTCTCGCAAGGCCGCAAGAATCTGATCGAGAAGTGGTTGGGTGAAAACAAGCTCGAGTGTTCAGAGGAGCTCGGCGATGCCGCCCAACAGTATGATCCAGAACTAGCATTGAAGATATACCTGAAAGCCAATATCCCGAACAAAGTGGTCGCTGGCCTTGCTGCTACCGGTCAAACAGAAAAGATTCTACCTTACTGCGAACAGAATGGATATCGCCCGGATTACGCACAACTCATCAGACATATCGTGACGACTAATCCTGAGAAGGGGTCTGAGTTCGCCATACAGCTCGCCAATTATGAAGGTGGCCCACTTGTCGATATCGAAAGGATCGTAGACGTGTTTCAATCTCAAAATATGGTTCAACAAGCAACAGCCTTCCTACTAGATGCTCTCAAAAACAACGTACCTGAACAAGGTCACTTGCAGACACGCTTGCTCGAGATGAATCTCATGAGCGCACCACAAGTTGCTGACGCAATCATGGGCAATAACATGTTCTCCCACTACGATAAGGCTCGCATAGCAATGCTCTGCGAGAACGCCCAGCTTTATAATCGAGCCCTCGAAAATACAGACGACCAAGCAGTGATCAAGAGGAACGTCGTAAGAACCGACAAGCTGGATATCAACTGGCTAGTCGAATATTTTGGCCGCATGTCGCTCGAACAATCCCTGGACTGCCTCAATGAGATGCTTAAGGTCAACATTCGACAAAATTTGGCAGCTGTTATTCAAATCGCTACCAAATACTCGGAGCTATTGGGGCCGATTCGTATCATTACCCTTCTGGAAAAGTACCGGACTGCGGAAGGGTTGTATCATTATCTTGGAAGCATTGTGAACTTGAGCGAGGATCAAGAGGTCGTTTTCAAGTACATTGAGGCTGCTACGGCCACCGGCAACGTTCCCGAAGTCGAGCGCATATGTCGTGATAATCAATTTTACAACCCTGAGAAAGTGAAAAATTTCTTGAAGGAGGCTAGACTCACCGAGCAACTTCCTCTCATCATCGTGTGTGACCGCTTCAACTTCGTGCATGACCTGGTACTCTATCTTTACCAGAATCAGCAGTTCAAGTCGATAGAGGTCTACGTACAGAGAGTCAACCCAGGTAGAACGCCATTCGTGATAGGTGCTTTGCTCGATGTGGACTGCGACGAATCAATCATCAAAAGCCTTCTACAATCGATAGATCCAGCATCTATTCCTATCAATGACTTGGTCTCCGAAGTCGAGTCTCGAAATCGCCTCAAAATTTTACTACCATTTCTTGAGGCTACATTAGCTTCAGGCAACCAACAGCAAGCGGTCTACAACGCACTCGCAAAGATCTATATCGACAGTAATAACAATCCTGAGAAATTCCTGAAGGAGAATGACATGTATGACCCACTTGTTGTGGGAAAATACTGTGAGAAACGTGACCCCAACCTTGCCTATGTGGCCTATCGAAAAGGGCAAAATGATCTCGAGCTTATCAATATTACGAACGAAAACGGAATGTATCGAGCACAAGCTCGGTATCTCTTGGAGCGTGCAGACTCTGAGATCTGGGCTTTTGTCTTGAACGGCAACAATGTTCACAGACGGTCCCTCGTCGATCAAGTCATTTCGACTGCTGTACCTGAATCAACAGAGCCTGAGAAGGTCTCTGTGGCAGTCAAAGCGTTTTTGGACGCCGATCTTCCTGCTGAGCTTATCGAGCTCCTTGAAAAGATCATACTAGAGCCATCACCATTTAACGACAATAGCAGTCTCCAGAACTTACTCATGCTGACCGCTGCGAAGGCTGATAAGGGCCGTCTAATGACTTACATTCACGATCTCAGTGCCTACAACGGCGAAGAAATCGCTAACATGTGTATCTCTGTTGGCTTGTTCGAAGAAGCTTTCGAGATCTATAAGAAATCCGATAATCACACCGCAGCTACTAATGTGCTCGTGGACCACGTGGTAAGCATTGATCGAGCCCAAGAATACGCTGAGCGAGTTGAGTTGCCTGAGGTGTGGAGCAAAGTGGCAAAGGCGCAGCTCGATGGCCTTCGTGTAGGAGATGCGATTGACTCTTACATTCGGGCAGACGATGCATCAAATCACAATGAGGTGATCGACATTGCAACTCATGCAGGCAAAGATGACGAGCTTGTCAAGTATCTAAAAATGGCCCGAAAGGCTCAACGCGAGCCTGCAATCGACACGGCCTTAGCATTCGCTTATGCTCGATTAGATCGGCTGAACGAATTGGAGGATTTTTTGCAGGCTAGCAACGTGGCAGACGTTGAAGCTTCAGGTGATAAGGCTTACGCTGAAGGCTACCACCAAGCTTCAAAGATTTTCTTTACGAGCATCTCGAATTGGGCCAAACTTGCTACCACACTTGTTCATCTTGAAGAATACCAGGCGGCAGTAGAGTGTGCCCGAAAGGCAAACAGCGTGAAGGTCTGGAAGCAAGTCAATGAGGCTTGTGTTGCTAAGAAAGAATTCCGACTTGCGCAGATCTGTGGCCTGAATCTAATCGTGCATGCGGAGGAACTGCAAGATCTGGTTAAACAGTACGAACGAGAAGGATATTTTGACGAACTCATCTCGTTGCTTGAAGCAGGGCTCGGACTCGAACGAGCTCACATGGGAATGTTCACTGAGCTAGGTACTGCTCTTTCCAAATATCACCCAGAGAAGACGATGGAGCATCTCAAGATCTTCTGGTCTCGGATCAACATACCAAAAATGATTCGTTCTTGCGAGGACGCGCATCTCTGGCCAGAGCTGATCTTTCTCTACTGTCACTATGACGAGTTTGACAACGCTGCGCTGGCGATGATTGAACGAGCTGCCGACGCTTGGGAACACCACTCATTCAAGGACATCATTGTGAAGGTTGCTAACCTCGAAATCTACTACAAGTCCCTGAGCTTCTACCGAGAGCAGCAACCGTCGCTGTTGACGGATCTGTTGCAGGCGCTAACCCCTCGCATTGATGTCAACCGAGTTGTCAAGCTGTTCCAAAAGTCCGATGATCTGCCGTTGATCAAACCCTTCCTTCTGAATGTACAGACACAGAATAAGCGCATTGTGAATGATGCCATCAACGACCTTCTGATTGAGGAAGAAGATTACAAAACACTTCGGGATTCGGTAGAGAATTCTGACAATTATGATGCGGTCGAACTTGCCTCACGGTTGGAAAAACATGAGCTCGTTTTCTTCCGGCAGATTGCTGCCAATATTTATCGCAAGAACAAGCGTTGGGACAAGTCAATTGCCCTCTCGAAGCAGGACAAACTCTTCAAGGACGCGATCGAGACTGCTGCTATTTCCAGTAAGACTGATATTGTGGAAGAGCTTCTCCATTATGTAAGTTATGGACTTTGTTTTATTTGACGCGTTCTAACATTCCTTAGTTCGTTGATATCGGAAGTCGGGAATGTTATGTTGGCATGCTGTATGCTTGCTACGATCTCATTCGTCTTCCAACAGTCATGGAGTTGTCGTGGCGCCATGGGCTTAATGACTTCAGCATGCCCTTCATGATCAACTACATGAGCCAGCAGGCATCGACCATCGAGGTCCTTAAGAAGGACAACGAAGAGCGCAAGGCTCGGGAGGCGAAATCGCAGAAGGAGGAAGACAATACCCCAATCCTCGGTGGTTCAAGGTTGATGCTTACCCAAGGATCTACTGGCTCTATGGGCACACCTCAACCAAATGGCATTGTGCCACAACCTACTGGCTACCGCGGGTTCTAGGGGGCGTGTCATCCCGCACGTTGCTGTACTGGTTCTATATCTAATGGCGTAAAGGTGGAAATTGTGATGTATGACAAGAGATGGGGGATGTTCATAGCTTGGCGACTTTCCATCTCGGTGCGGAGGTGGTCGGGGCAACTACTTACTGGCTGGCTTCTACATATGTATTTCGATAGATAGAGCAGAACCTTCTAATGCTTCATACGCAGCGCTCCCTTTGTTATGCGCTGCCAAATGCTTGGCCTACATACAATTCAGAAGGCAACCACCGAGAGGGGGAATGTTTTGTCGCCGGAGTGAGCTTCCGCTCTGCAAACAGTCGAGTAGCTTGAGTGATTTCGGGGACTTGGCGGCCCCACCCTCCAAATGCCCACCTCAACGGCAGCTTCCCTCCAGAGAACGAACCTATTGGCCCCGGCGGCATTGTCTCTTTGTTCATTTGAGTGATTTTTTTACGTGTTTTGGAATATTATCCAGCTTGTGAATCAGCATTGCCTCGCTTAGACTGCAATTGGTGGTGAATGACCTTGCCGTACCAAAATCTCCCCTCAATCGTCTTGGGTCCCCCAGTGTCAGAATGGCGGCCAAACAGCGTGATCAGTATGACGAGCACTTCGACGAGGGTCATTCCGGGAAGGATCATTTTGTGCATGCAAGATTGCGGGCGAACAGCACCATCATGAACTTGAAAAAGATTCTTGTTGCGAACCGCGGAGAGATACCCATTCGTGTGCGTTTCTTTGCATTTTTTCTGAACAATGGTCGTTCTGATGAACACAGATCTTCAGAACAGCTCATGAACTTTCTCTCCAAACCGTCGCTGTCTTCAGCTACGAAGATCGCTTAAGCGCGCACCGACAGAAGGCTGATGAGGCTTATGTCATTGGGAAACGAGGGCAATATACCCCCGTCGGTGCATATCTGGCAGGAGATGAGATGATAAAGATTGCGAAAGAGCATGACGTTAATATGATACATCCTGGCTACGGCTTTCTCTCAGAAAACGAGGATTTCGCAAGGAAAGTTGAGGAGGCAGGATTAGTCTTCGTCGGGCCAACAGCGGACACAATCAACAAACTTGGGGACAAGGTATCAGCAAGAACACTTGCTATAGCATCAAAAGTGCCTGTTGTGCCAGGTACGGAGGGACCGGTGGATAAGTTCGAAGATGTCAAGTCCTTCACAGATCAATATGGATTTCCTATCATCATCAAGGCTGCCTTCGGAGGCGGTGGGAGAGGTATGAGAGTAGTCAGAGATCAAGAGGGTCTCAAGGATTCCTTCGAGAGGGCCACGTCTGAAGCAAAATCAGCTTTTGGCAATGGGACCGTCTTCGTTGAGAGGTTCCTTGACAAGCCTAAGCATATTGAAGTTCAGCTCCTCGGTGATTCAACCGGCAACGTAGTCCACCTTTTCGAAAGAGATTGCAGTGTTCAAAGGCGGCATCAAAAAGTCGTTGAGCTGGCCCCGGCCAAAGATCTGCCAGTAGAGACTCGAGACGAGATCCTAGCAGACGCTGTACGATTGGCTAAATCTGTTGGTTACCGTAATGCGGGCACAGCAGAATTTCTTGTAGATCAACAGAACAGGCACTATTTCATCGAGATCAATCCTCGAATCCAGGTTGAGCACACCATAACCGAGGAAATAACCGGAATTGATATAGTCGCTGCTCAAATACAGATAGCTGCTGGAGCAACGTTGGAGCAGCTTGGTCTTACCCAAGATCGAATATCCATCAGAGGCTTTGCAATCCAGTGCAGAATTACCACCGAAGACCCTGCTAATGGGTTTTCCCCCGATACTGGCAAAATTGAGGTCTATCGCTCTGCTGGCGGTAACGGCGTTCGCTTGGATGGTGGCAACGGGTTTGCTGGTGCCATAATTACACCATACTACGATTCCATGCTCGTCAAGTGCACCTGTCTAGCCTCGACCTACGAAATTGTACGAAGAAAAATGCTTCGCGCCCTCGTAGAATTTCGCATCCGTGGGGTCAAGACGAACATCCCTTTCCTCGGATCTCTTCTGACGCATCCAACATTTGTTGCAGGGAACTGCTGGACCACTTTCATAGACGATACGCCAGAGCTCTTTGCTCTTGTTGGTAGCCAAAACCGGGGTCAGAAACTGCTCAGCTACTTGGGAGATGTCGCTGTCAATGGCAGTAGCATCAAGGGTCAAATTGGTGAACCCAAGCTCAAGACAGAAATCATCATGCCTCAGCTATATGATCAGAGCCACAATTTGATAGACACTTCAATTCCGTGCAAGGAGGGATGGAAAACCGTTCTCGACAAGGAGGGGCCGGCAGCCTTTGCAAAAGCTGTCCGCGCCTACAAAGGTTGTCTCCTCATGGACACCACATGGCGTGATGCACATCAATCTCTTTTGGCCACAAGGGTTCGAACTGTTGACCTGCTGAATATCGCCAATGAAACTAGCCACGCGTATAGCAACTGCTTCAGTCTTGAATGCTGGGGAGGAGCCACGTTTGACGTTGCGATGCGATTCCTCTATGAAGATCCTTGGGATAGACTACGAAAGATGCGACGCGCAATTCCAAATATCCCTTTTCAGATGCTACTTCGGGGCGCCAATGGAGTTGCGTATTCGTCCTTACCGGACAACGCAATATATCACTTCTGTGAACAGGCAAAGAAATATGGAGTCGACGTCTTTCGGATATTTGACGCTCTAAATGACATCAATCAGCTAGAAGTCGGCATCAAAGCTGTGCAGAAAGCCGGTGGTGTGGTTGAAGGGACCGTCTGCTACAGCGGTGACATGCTGAATCCCCATAAGAAGTACAACCTTGAGTACTATCTCGATCTTGTAGCGAAGATTGTGGAATTAGGTGCTCATGTCATTGGCATCAAGGACATGGCAGGCGTCCTCAAACCGCGAGCCGCCACGCTCTTGATTGGTTCTATCAGGGAGAAATACCCAGACATTCCCATTCACGTTCACACCCACGACTCAGCAGGAACCGGTGTTGCCACCTATGTCGCTTGTGCGAACGCCGGTGCTGACGCAGTGGACACAGCGACTGACAGTATGTCTGGCATGACTTCTCAGCCGAGCGTAGGTGCAACATTAGCATCTTTACAAGGCTCAGGGCTGGAGCCGGGCTTGGACATCAATCAAGTCCGAGCAATAGATTCCTACTGGGCTCAATTGCGCTTACTCTACTCTCCATTCGAAGCTGGCTTGACGGGCCCAGACCCTGAGGTTTACGAACATGAAATCCCAGGTGGTCAGCTTACCAACTTGATTTTCCAGGCCTCGCAGCTCGGTTTAGGTACTCAATGGGCAGAGACAAAGAAGGCTTATGAGCAAGCGAACGACTTGCTGGGCGACATTGTCAAAGTCACTCCAACTTCGAAAGTAGTTGGAGACCTGGCACAGTTCATGGTTTCTAACAAGCTCTCTTATGATGACGTGCAGAAGAAAGCCAAGGAACTTGACTTTCCAGGTTCCGTTTTGGAATTCTTTGAAGGCTTGATGGGTCAGCCTTACGGTGGCTTCCCTGAGCCTTTACGTTCGGATGCTTTGCGTGGTCGTAGAAAGCTCGATAAGCGACCTGGCCTGACCCTCGAGCCGCTGGACCTTGCCAAGATCAAGAAAGACATCAACGCCCGGTTTGGTAGCGCGAGCGAATGTGATGTCGCTTCCTACGCTATGTATCCTAAAGTGTTCGAAGACTACCGCAAATTTGTGCAGAAGTATGGTGACCTCAGTGTGCTTCCCACACGGTTTTTCCTCACCAAGCCGGAGATTGGGGAGGAGTTCCATGTTGAACTCGAGAAAGGCAAGGTCCTCATCCTCAAGCTTCTGGCTATCGGTCCATTGTCTGAGAACACGGGACTGCGAGAGGTATTCTACGAGATGAACGGAGAAGTGCGACAAGTGACAGTCGAGGACAAAAAAGCGGCAGTAGAGAATGTCAGTCGACTCAAGGCAGATAGCAGCGATAGCAGCCAGGTGGGAGCACCAATGTCAGGCGTTGTGGTCGAAGTGCGGGTACACAACGAGGGAGAGGTCAAGAAGGGCGACCCCATTGCTGTCCTCAGTGCAATGAAAATGGTAAGTGGTATAGCTCTTGGCTTGCCCTGTGCAATTTCTGACACTCTATGTATAGGAAATGGTTATTAGTGCGCCGCACTCGGGCAAAGTTGGCGAATTGCAGGTGAAGGAAGGGGACTCGGTGGATAGTCAGGATTTGGTGTGCAAGATTCTGAAATAGCGTACCACAGAATGCTAGGTACAGGGCCAAGTGGCAGCGACGTCCAATTGGAGGCACTTGAAGTAAGTCTTGGTAGCTTAGCGAAAGAGTGCTTGCTCATAAGAGGGGGGTAAGTAGCCTGCATAGGACCCTGGGCCATAAATGTCCCAGCACCCTCGTTTCCTACAATATTCATCATGTTGACATGCAAAAGATTCTCGTCACCACTTGCTCCATTGGAGATCTGTACAATTTATAGACTATAGGAACGTGACTTCACGATCGCGGCTACTGCCGGTCAAGATCCAAGGTCAAAGGAGCCAATCGGATCATGACGTCGATTATCTTGATGAAAGCTTGTGTTACCCCTCCAAATTCAAGACAAGAAGCTTGTTCTCCCCTGCTCTTTTCTTTCTTTACAACCTTCCGCTTCGATCCGTAGCAACAATACTGCCTCAACCCGTCTACTGACCTATCGCCTGACAAACTCTCCACCAAACATCTCTCATTGTTTCTCTCCTGCACGCGACATCTCAGCTCGTGAAACAGAAGCACGAGACCTAACATCACCTCTTCACCTTGATCCTTCTCATCACCATGGCTGACAGCGGCAAGCCCCAGAGCACCATCGGCTCCATGGCCAACGCAATGAGCGGCTCCACCGCGGACCGTCGTCGTGTAAGTTTGACTTCGTCACTCTCCTCTCTACCCTCCCTAGTCTCTCCAGCCTGTACCCCTGCCTGTACTACTTTCACTTCCCCCCTCCACTTTCAAACTTTCGAGTACACGACTGACGAGCCAATATGTAGTCTTCTGCCAGTGGCGGCAGCAAATTTGCCAATCTCGAAAATCACAAGCGCAACTCTACTGATGCCAACGCTCAGGCTCGTAAGGCGTCTTTTGCTGAACAGTCTGCGCCTGTCGGTTTTATAGGAGGGATGTGGAACAAGTTTACCAAAGGGACGAAGTGATGAGGTTTAGAAGGGGGGTTGATGCACGAAAGCGAGAGGGGTGATGAGGACGACGGTGGCTATGAAATGAGCAATAGTGCATTTGGTCTACGAGGTGGAGATGAATGGTGGTAAGAAGGGAAATGGCACCGGGGAGAGACATTACGACTGGCTTATGATTGATTTGGCATTGGTGCTCCAGGAGTGTATGATTGTTTGTATGCTTAACGATATCAGCTTGTAGGATTTTGGTGGTCTGCTGGGAAATTGCTATTTCTGAAGTATTAGTGACTGAAAGACTTGTACGCCTCCACAACATTTGAATGTGAAGTCTTGAATTGCTTAATGTTTATTTGTATATATAGGTGGAAAACAGGCACATCTGATGCCCAGAAGCCGTTACATCTCGGAAGCGGCCGGCACGCGGGAGCTAAGATTTAGGGAGCAACTCATGACGTCGCAGATCGCGAATTTGAAGATCACTAAATAAGGAAAATTGACTGGAACATTTCGCTTCGTTCAAACAAAAGAGACTGTAATCATAACATCAGTCATTATTTGCCTGTTGATACTTCATTCACGGCTTCAGATCCTTCACCGCAACACCTTTCCTCGAGCATGGCTGCAGCTTTCCGCCGCCATCCCCGGAAAATTATAGCAGGAGGAGTCGGAGCCGTGGGTAAATCACCTCGCACCGTTTTCTTGCTCCTGATCTCTCTGACTTGGGCTAATTGATGTTTGCAAGGTGTAGGCTATATGTTCGCCGGCTACTTGCCAAACCCCATGAACTCACCTGCTGTTTCTAATATTGAGGGACGGTATTCATCGGGCGGAGGCTCTGCGAGTGGACTAGCGGGCACAGCGTCAAAACTCGGAGATCGCAATCAACAGACTGGGAATGTGGAGAAGAGCAAAGGCTTAGGAACGGCAAATTGGGACGAGAGGATTGGAGACCAGAAGGAATCGACGACGGGGAAAACCGGTGGTGTAAGTCTCATCTCCTCATGCTTTTATGGTGGTTGGATATTAGAGGATGTTGATGACTGATGGGGTGGTAGGCTTCTAATTTTGATGATAAGTGGAACGACACAATGTATAAAAGTAAGACTGGAAAGTGAGCATTGCAGGCTCTTCAAGGTAAATGGCGTTAGGGGCACGCCATAGGACGACTTTGCTTCGGCATTTGGTAGATGGAAGGGTTTTTCCAAGCATAGAAGGCGTACACACACAAGCGGACACCAGTCAAACCTCTCGCGTTAGGGTGACACCATTGTCACAAATCCGCTCAGACTACGAAACGTTTAGCTCATTTTCCAGAGCAGACGTTCATACCGAGCCCTCTCCAAAGGAAGACTCAGTTCGATAGGCCCTGAATCAAATCCACAAATCATCAATGATGGTTAAACGGCTCTCACCCAAATGAGGCCTCCACAAGTGCATGATGATCTGGTATTGGTAGCAGCTAGTGATCATGCATCTTATTTCAAGATAGCCACATCTTTCGCTCGACTCAGCTCCATATGCGCGGGTCCCTTACTCACCCCTAATGATACCTTCATATTTCGTCTTGAACCACTTCATCGTCTCTTTTTGGTTGATGCGATGGTTTGCACCAATCTTCGCTTGTGCTCGTCTACGCTTTGCGACCCTCTGACCTGGTCTCGTCCTGTATTCCAATGTCAGTATCGATTTCATGCAAAGTAGAATAGCGTGACTAAGGCCGTGCCTTACATGCAGCAGTAGAAGTCCATTCCGTAAATACCAATCGCAGGGTCATACTTGATGCCCAAATCAATGTGTTCGCTGATACCAAAGCCGAAATTGCCTGTTGCCGAAAAGTTCTTCTTCCTCAGCTCGTACTCTTTGACCTTCAGCCCTCTCTCTAGGATTTCTTCTGCCTTGGGACCTCGGACTGTGACGTGCACGGCGATCTTTTCATTGCGACGGATACCAAATGTTCGGACTGTGAAGCGTGCTTTGCCTTTAGGAATCCATAGTATGAGCACAACATTTCCCAAGTAACATGAAGTTTATCGCAGAGATGTCCGGACATACTGTAGACAGGTGTTTGACCGGAGAGCTGCTCCAGCACTTTCGCCGCACGAGTGAGTCTATCACCAGACTCCCCGACTGAGATATTCAGGACTAGCTTCTCAATCTTCAACTCGCGCATTGGGTTCGCATTTTTGTCCTTCTTTGAGTCCGCCTGCATTTCAATCGCGTCAGCCAAGAAGTGTATACCCTGAGACTGCTTCAATTACCATTTCAGCGACTCAAATGCGCAAAAAGTGAAGCTGATGACCGGCGTCGTAGGTAGAAGTCCAAGCCGCTGATTGTGGGTGGCGCTAGGCGAGGGAGCTTGGCAAGGAAAAATGTTATTCCGAAGACGGGCATCAGTCAGGGGGGACGGAGGGTTATTTGCACACTAACAGGGACTCCACCCTCGCCACGATATATATACGCATTCCGTGCCAGAAAAGTCAGTGCTAATTACGAGACGTCACGTGCTGGTACGTCTCGATAGCAATAGGACTCATGACTCGATGCAAAGTCTGTACTTTAAACCCTGCGAAGGTTGGCAAGCGGCTTCGAAATTGGTTTCTTCCTAATGACAGCGATTCCACTGTGTGCCCGTACCACTCTTTTCGGTTTTCTTTGCAGGGTTCTGTTGGTTAACCTTCATGAATAAGAAAATCTGTATTACGAGTAAAGACCATAAGGTCAATGAAGCGAAAGCATAGATTTGAGGTAGAAAGAACCCGGATGTATTTGAGGCCTAGCTAGTCGGCGCCACAAGAGCATTGTCGAAAGCTGGAAGAGACTTATCCGGATTGCGTAAGTATGTCCAAACAAAATTGACCGTCATCGTAGGATCAAAGGCACCTTGGGCAAAGGAAGAAGACATATCACAATAGTGCTCTCACCCCCTCTTTTGGCTGCCTGCTACGATTTGGGGGGAAAACGTGTATTTCTTGAAGCTGTACACTTTGGTCAAAGTGAAGTCTGATATTCGGTCAGACCGGTGTGACACCGACCTCTTTTTTTGTCCCTTTCTTCTCTGTACGATATTCTGGAATCTTTAGGTTAGTGATTCGATGTATATTCGCTGATTAAGACGAGGTGCAATCAGTGACCCATAATGTTTCCTTCCTTAGTTTTCATCATTACCAGGTTCATCCAAAAGAAGTGCGAAAAGCAAAAGAGATTTCGTAAGAAGACACTTTGTCATAATTCATTGAAAGCTACTTTGACTACTTTACAAACGAGTGAGTGTTGGTTGAACGGAGATTCCATCCACAGATAATCCTCCAACCAAACAACTAAGTCCAGCTATATAACACACCTCTCGCCCTCGCAAGCAATGGCGAAGTTTTGAAGTCCTTGAGAGATGGCAATAGTGACCGTCAAGAGAGTCTCACGTGCATCAAGATCAATCAAGAGGCGTAGCGTTAAATATTGGCATTGTTATGGAAAAGTTGCCTAAGCGTTGACGCATCATAGGGGCTGTCCCTGGGAGCGAGAACTGCTGAAACGGTTTTGGGAGCCACAGATTTAAGGGTAGAGATTGTTGTTTCATTGTTGACTTGAATTTGGAGGTTGAATTGCTGAGGTTTTCCAGATGTCAACTGATTGTTAGAATTAGTGACTGGAAGAAGACTTCAGTTTGGGTTCTTGCCCCTTGCATGTCGAGACGAAAGTCCTTCGTCTTGTACAGAGTACCGGCACCGTCTGAGATACCCACGAGTTTGTCATCCGGGATATTGTCAATGAAAGTAGCTAAAGCCTTCGACGCTTTCCCCATCTTTCTTAATGACCTAAATGTATGAGGCTGGCAAAATTGAGAAAAAGGCGAAGTGATCTTCTTCAAATAAGTGAACAGGCTCAATGGACATGGAATTCTAGGGGCTTAAGGTGGCTGAGTGCATGCACCAATGTGTGGTTGGAAGAGCCCGATCATATGCACTGAGCTTATCAACTTGATTGTGTGACAGCCGAAGTACATTGCAATGTATAGGCGGAGCCAATGGAGTTGTGTTGTCTGAATGCCCAGACCCGGTGAGAGCGCCACCATAAGTTGACTTGATTGCCAATGGAGGCTTCTTCATCCTGGATTGTTCCCGACCCCCCGATGCAAGGCGTAATTACTACTCGTGAAAGTGACCACTTAGTGAGCGCTTTGTTTGCGACTTTCTCCGCGACTCATTCACGTTGAAAGGACAAACGAATCGGACATTTTTTGTTGATGTAGGTGATGGATATGGTGCTAGCAAAATACCGAGTGCCGACTATGCCAAGCAAAGCCCACTGCAAGGCTGCAACATCCTCAACGCGCACCTGTCCATTCTCGCAAATCAAACGCTACTGTACTTTTGCAAGTTCACCATAAGAATGGTTCCTCAGCGTGGTCTAGAATGGATTAAGACCACGTTTAGCTTAGAGCCTCGCTGGGTCATTGAGCCCCAGTTGGACGATATCAAAGCAGAAATACAGGCCATCCTAAACTGGACTGGAGATTTCAGAGTGACGTTCATTGCACAAGGGGCTTTCAACAAACTTTACAAAGTAGAAAATGGTAACGATGCGCTTGTGATGCGCATCTCTCTTCCTGTCGACCCTGGGTCGAAGACGGAGAGCGAAGTGGCCACCCTGCATTTCATGTTGGAAAACGGCGAGATTCCAGTACCAAAAGTCAGAGCCTATGATTCTTCAAGCTCCAATCGAGTAGGGTTTGAATGGATACTCATGGACTTGATGCCTGGTATACCTTTGCATGACAGATGGAGATACATGACTTGGGGTGCAAAAGAAGCATTAATTCAGCAATTGGCAACACACTATACCTCTATGTATAGACAACAGTTCGATACAATTGGAAATGCATATCTCAGCAGTGAAGGGCGAAGATCTCGCATACCTTATATTGGAAAGATCGTGTCCATGCAATTTTTCTGGGGTGACCATATATCCCAGGATGTCTTGAGAGGACCATTTCATTCAAGTCAAGATTGGCTCTCTGCCCGTTTATCATTTGACGAGTCAGACTCTAGGAAAATCCTCAATCAGAGCGAAGATGAAGATGACCGCGAGGACGCCGAAGACACATTGAAAATACTGACCCGTCTCAGGAAACTCCTTCCAGATCTCCACTTCTCTCCACATGAGCCAACAATGTTCTTCCACGACGATCTCTCTCAACACAATATTCTTGTTGACGAGGCTGGAAATCTGACGGCTGTCATTGATTGGGAATGCGTATCCACTTTGCCTTTGTGGAAAGCTTGTCAGTTTCCAGCTTTTCTCGAGGGTAGAAACCGAGCTGAGGAGCCCCTTCAACAGAATTACCAGCGTGATGGCCAGATCAGCGACTTGTTCTGGGACCACTTGTTAGAGTACGAGCTGGCGCAGCTACGGACATCCTTCTTCCAGCAGATGGAGCAACTTGAGCCAAAGTGGACCCTTGCCTATCGCTCGAGTCAGCCGCTAAGGGACTTTGATCTCGCGGCCAAGAACTGTAGTGAGCCGTTCAGTCTCCGGACAATAAATGCATGGCTTGATGATGTTGAGAACAATGTCATAGGTGCTCAAAGCCTCGAGCAGAGGCTGCGTCAATGAATATCAGACCATAAATTGAGGAGCTCGAGCAAGCCTCTTGTTCACTGGATGGCTGCGACGAGGTCATCCTGGTGCGGAATTTCAATCTAAGTCCGTGTGAAAGGTCGTGCGAATGTACCTTGGGCTGTAGGAGTTGGAGGAGACGACCCTCCTATGCGTCGGCCCTCGCGTGCCCAAAAGGATTTGAAGCCTTACCCATTTCGCCTCCTTAGGATTCTTCTAAGGTAAGTTAAAAGAAAAGCTTTTACAGATAAAAAAGAGCATAATTTAATTCCAATTTTTTTCTTAAATAATAAGCTTTTTCACAGCACTCGCCAAGGCCGGTTCAAGCCGTAGACCGTTTTGTGTTTTACGCGCACGTGATGAAAAGCTCCCTTACTGAACCGGGGGGATCAACTCTTCTAAGGGAACCTAATGCTACAGGGTCCATTTTAGATGCCTTGGCGCGCTTGCGGCTCCCGCAGTATGAGCTTCCAGACTGCAGCAACTTCACATGCATATTTTTCAGTTCCAGCATTTGTGTGAAAGGGTCTTTAGTAATCACTAAATCCTTGAAAGCACTGCTACGGAAGTCATTGACTTCGTCCAATCTTTGGAAACTTTGGTCGCATTTGCGACTAGAACCTGCCTAGCATGGCGAACAAACAGGGCAAAATGGTAAGCGCCTTTCGCAAATAAAAATATCAATGCTTGAAATGTTGACTTTTGCTGTAGCAAAATCTTGTAAGCCAGACAGGCCCGCATACTGCTCTCTAATATCAATCACTAACTCGCTCAATCACAAGATCAACTACCGAATGAGAATCACACTGAATGACGGACGACAAATGACAGGTCAAATGCTGGCATACGACAAGGCAAGCCAAAGTATTTAAAGACAAACACATGCAAGCTAACGAATATATGTAGCACATGAACCTCGTCTTAGCAGACACAGAAGAATTCCGCAGAGTCAAGCGCAAACCCGCGAAAGGAGCACAAGCTCCTGGTGCAGCGGCGCCTGCCCTTGTCGAATCTGAAGAGAAGCGAACGCTTGGTCTAACGATCGTTCGCGGTACACACATCGTCTCATGCTCAGTCGATGGTCCTCCACCAGCAGACCCATCAGCCCGATTGGGAACCAATGCGCCTGGCGGGACAGGAGCACCAGCAGCAATGGCAGCAGGACCGGGCATCAGCAGACCTGCTGGCCGAGGGTTAGGAGCAGGTCTTGCAGGCCCAGCAGCAGGCCTGGGTGGTCCACCCAGTCTTCCTGGCTTCGGCGGCGGACCACCACCAGGATTTCCTGGCCGAGGCGGGCCTGGCGCACCTCGTAAGATGATGATCTCTCATCATGGCCTTTTTTTCGGGCTTTTACTGACCCTTTTGCAGCTGGCTTTCCTCCACAAGGTGGTTTCCCTGGTGGACCTCGTAAGTTATTCTGCACCTAGGTGTTACAGGGGACCCGCTGACTGTTCGATAGCCCAAGGATTTCAACCGCCTCCAGGCTTTCAGCCGCCAGGAGGCAGAGGCTTCCAGCCTCCGCCAGGATTTCAAGGAGGTAGATAATGTTGGCTCAGAGAAGATGTTTTGCACCCAGCCTGGATGTCAATGTTGGCTTTTATACAGACGGAACGCATAGCAATTGCCCCATGTAGTAGCAAACGAGGCATAGGGGAAGGGTCGAGGCTAGAGGGCAGAAGGCAGAAGACTGGCATGAAGTGTTTGTCGCTGAATGAAAAGTCGGTTAGAAGAAGGGCTAGATATACCCCACATCGAAGGACCAGCTGGATCTCAGATAATTCCTACGAGACACGAGCGGAAAAATGGACTGGTGCTGCAGGTCTCGCAGCGACCACGAAGGCGATATGCTAATTTCACGAACCAAAATTCAAAGACATCAAAATCGTGCCACTCGTTGTTTCAGATATGATCATTTTCACTACATCTTGACAATTTTTTCTATTATACAGCCGGCATGAGTTTATTCTCATGTAACCCCTGCAACCCAGCAGACTTTGGGGCTGGTCTTAGGTAAGGTGCCTCAATCATTTTCAATTGGGGTACGAGGGGTAGGGTGAATATCTTGTTCGTTACCGTGATTTGCACCTTTCAACCCGAGTTTTCGGACAACATCTCTTCACCTCAACACCTCACCCGTTTCAATTTTGCTCTAAGACGAGCTGACTAGAAGCATCATACGTCGCCCTCTACTTTCCTTCTGCTAGGGATGTTTAAACAGCCTATCTTCGGACCCCTAGCCCAACTCGCCCACCATTTGATCAAGCACCCAATATTGCCTCCAAGATGGATTTATTCCAGGACACTCACAATAGAGACTAAGGGTCCTGCCTGCCTTCATGCATCACCCGCGTCTCCGTTCAGCAGCTCTAATCTCTCCTATCGCCCCCTTCCGATATGAACTCTCGGCAAAAAGCGCCTCAATCAGATCGACCACTTCCTGCGTTTCAAATTCCAGCTGCAGCTCTCCTTCTGTCCACATGTACTTGATATCAACGAGCTTACTTTCCAGGATATTGGCCAGATACTGGAACTTCAGCCAGTCGCGGGTGTATACTGCCGTTAGGAGCACTGCTTCCTCACTCCCTGGACTTGATGCGGTATGTTCAGCACCTGCATGATTTGGCCGAAATATGTTCTCTAGACTCCCCAAGCGGGAGCAGTAGGCGGTCAATTGCTGCGACTCGGGTTCGGAAATGTCCTCCATTTCCTCGACGTCGACGATGAACTTCGAACAGACGGATGACAACAAGGAGCCCATAGCTTGCATGAGCGCTGACTGAGAAAGCACGGGTTTCCATTCCTGGTGGAGTTGGCGAATTCGGTCGATGGTCGAGGAGATGGCGGTGTCGCACTGTTGGTTGAAAGGGTATTCGGTGCAATTCTTGAAGCCTTCGGCACCATCGAGCTGGTCGGCAAGGATGGTGCGCTGAGAGTCCATTTCTTTGGCGTAGGCGCGCTTGCCGTGTGTCTCTAGAGCTGAGATTGAGGAGGCGGTGGAAGGGTCTTGAGGACGATCTGGAGGGCGTAACTGTTCTGCAAGCCATTGGCAGTCGTTGTAGAGGTACATGTTACCGCTGTTATGTACTTCGTAGGCCGATGGAGAGCTGGCTCGGTACATGGCCAATATCAGGCTAGAGAGAGAACTTAAAGCGGGAGCAGAGCCGGCGAGTGGAGAGTTGGCAAACGCTGGGCTTCGCAATTGATCTAGATCAGCCGTCACTTGAGCAATGATATTGAGTACTTCCTTTGGCAAAGAAGTGATGGTATAGGTTTCCTTGAGTGTGATTTCTCGATCGTTCTTGCGCGCTATTTGTGGAGTGCCATTTACATTTTGTTTTCCAGCAGCTATCTTTGACGTAGGTGAAGCCTTCGCAGCGTCATCTGGATTCTGCTGGTCGGTTTGCTCGTCATCATCTCCCCAACCCCAGGCTTCGGCACTATCATCTTCGTCGGTCGTCGTTGGCTTTCCTCTTGCTTCTGGGGCGACTTTTTCGTCATCAAAGCCCCATGCGCTTACGTCGGCGTTTGAAATATTCTGACTCTTTTGTTCCGGATGATGTTGCTCAGCAGTAGGATCGTCTTCCTCATCTGACCAGTTGGCATTCCACTCATTGCCACCAGAGCCATCCGGAAAGACATCATCCTCATGAGACATGATTTGCGTTTCGATACGTTCGACTGTCTCAATTGACTGGATGCCGCGTGGTACTAATTTGCGTACTCGGTTCAGAGCACTTTCTTGTCGCTTTTTGAGCCACACGACAGGTATACTATCTAACCACTCATCTATCTCTGCCTTCCCAGGCCAGCGACTCGCTTCAAGATACTGACCAAAGTCGATTGCCAGCTCTTGGGTATCACGAAAATCGTTTATACCATCAAGATCATCCGGTACAGCAGATGCGAGCCAAGTTGTAATTAGCCTTGAGAGCAGATTCGGCATTAGCATCGCAGACAATGACTCGACCGCTGATTGAGGCAGTTTTGAATCTAAGAATGAAAGTAATGCTGAGAGTTCAGAGAAAAGTGATTTGGCACTAAGATCGGAGGTTGGACCAACAGTGCGGACATAGTCAACTCCACTCTCTACATGGAAAACTAAGCCATCTGCTCGAACATGGAGCCTGGGCAGTAGAATCAGCTGCTCGATTTCCTTACAAAAGAGCAGTAGTGCTTGATCCAGCGTCCCTAATTTTCGCTGAGCCAAAACGACAGACTCAAGATCAAGAGGGATAGCATCTACATACATCAGCTGGTTGCTTCGGCGCAAACATGGAGCTTACTCTTGTGTTTCCTTCTGATACTGATGGTGATACTCTCTTTATCCGTATGAACGTATGATTTCCAGCGGTGTTGCAGGTCCTCTGCAGCTTCGGTGTGTAGTTGAGCGGCCTTGGCCGAGAACAGGTTCGCTACTTTCGAGGCCGGTGAGCCCGACACAGTTGTTGATTCCTCATCAAAGTCGCATAAGAGGTCTACAGCGTTTAGGACATCGCTATCGACAATAGCCTGCTGAATTCGATCAAGTTGCTGACCGACCGCGCGAAGCCGCCCCAACGATACTTCCAGGCTGTGATTGAAAGCTAGCTCCTCTTCTAACAGCCGGACTTTACTTTCAGAGTCATTGACACTCTCCCTCAGTTCTCGCCCATGCTGTGCTTCTTGTACTATATCTTGGGCCTCCGCTTGAGAGGCCTTAATGTCGACCTGTAATTGTTTCGCGCGCGAAATCCAGCCGTCTATGTCGGGCGCAATGTCCTTGCTTTGAAGCCGAACCTTCCTCTGCGATGATAATAATACGTCAGTTTTATGCGAGCAACGACCGCAGTATTATAGCCTACTCTTAGCTCCTCTCGAGCTTCGTCAATCGTCTTTGAGACGACAGGGAGCGCAGATGACGGCAACTCGGCGGAGACGACATCCTCGGAGCTTGGGTACGCTCCAGTCTGTACATGGTCTAGTAATGCCTGGGCATATTGTCGAGATCTGTCGAGAGGCGGCATTGAACGTACATGAGTAGTCTTGTTCTCAGGCCTGGAGCTTTGCGTCTCCCATCGTTCTTGCTGCGGCAGCGGACCGCACCGCCAGTTCCTTCCTGTCTAAGGTTGCCCGTCAGACCCTTGTTTCCAGATATCTAAGTAGATAAATGTTTCTCTCGTCTTTCGGGCAGTAACCATTAACCAGCATCTTCTCTGTTGCTGAAGCTATAAATCTAAAGCATTGCTTACAAAGACATATAGTGCTATATTGCCGAGCTTGCTGTCAGCCTGCAAGTTCTAGTAGTTCCGCCTGCGAGAACATCTCGTGCTCTTGCCATGTGAACAGTTGGCAATCCACTCTATCACCCGGTGACTCTCGATAACAAGACACATTTGACGATGAGCAAAGATCAAAAATTGGCCTGCAGTATCAAAGCAACATGTCCGGTAAAGGACAGTCGTCGTCTTCCTCAAGACCCCAACCAGTTCCTTGGGCGAGATCCTCTGATGGAGCTCGTGGGAGGTCACCACCACCTGCGGCTACATCTAAGCTACGAGCCGAGTCAATGGCAAGACTAGCGTCTCCTGTGCCCTCCGTGAATAACCAAGGCGGCAATCAGACCAGCCAGGTTTCTTCACAAAGCCCTCGCCCTTCAGGTCGTCATTCTCCACTCCCTGGTGCAAGTGGGGTCGGGTCCTTGCAAGGACCAGGCCACTCTGCACTTGCCGCAGCTTTCCAAGGATCATTAGCTAGCAGTCCTCCAAGACTTGGCACTCCACCAGTACGCTTGCCTTCTCCATCAGCCTCACGTTTGGAGAGCAGCGTTCCCCCAACGACCTATGGGTCTTTCGAAAGTAGATCAGGGATGGAAGGGCACAGGAGGGATTCGAGTACACCGATTGAAAATCCCAAAGTGGTCAAAAGGCATCTTGTAAAACCATCGCGAGAAAGTCTAGCGAATAGCGCGAGACCGAGTCCCCGCGAATCGTCGTCCAAGGCTGAGGCTCGTTTAGACGATGACGAATTTTCAAGTCTAAAGGTCCAGGGTGGAGACATCACTCGTGAAGTCTATAAATGGGCTCGAGATACCGAAATACCGACACAAGGGCGCCGAGGTAAGCGCAGTCAGAGCTGGGACGCCTTACGACCAGAGCCAGAGAGCGAAACAACAGACTTTCAATCTATCACAATACCAGGCGGCTTCAGAAGGGATTTTATGCGGCGGCAACCACCAAGCCCATCTGTCCGCTCCGACCAAGTTCCTGAGGACGGCCCTACATCTGACTTTTCTCGTAATCCGAATCCTCGCAATTTCATCTCTCGCAATTTCTTGGAGTACCTTACAATCTACGGTCATTTCGCAGGCGAAGATCTCGAAGATGAGGATGAGGACAACTTTTCTGACCCGATTGCATCCAGCGGCACCGGAAATCTACCTGAGGACTCTGCAGAGGACGAGGGAGAACCAGGAGAAAGCAGTCAGCTAATTTCGCCAGCTCGCCCAAAACGACAAAGGCGCAAAACGAAAGAACGCGGGACGCCTGGGACTGGGACTCCTATGGGTGCTGCTGGGTTGCTGCTAAAATCATTTGTGGGGACTGGTGTCCTCTTCCTGCCCCGAGCCTTTTTGAACGGGGGAATGATGTTTAGCGCCACTGTTCTAATATCTGTTGCAGGGTTGAGCTGGTACTGCTTCGTACTTCTCGTGCGTTCACGCCTGAAGATAGTTGGCTCGTTTGCTGATATCGGCGGTGTCACTTACGGGAATTGGCTACGACTACTGATTCATTGTTCCGTTGCTCTCAGTCAGATAGGCTTCGTTTCAGCATATATCGTCTTCACGGCGGAAAATCTGCAGGCTTTCGTCCTTGCAATTACGAAGTGTCGAACCTGGATCGACATCAAATACATAGTCCTTCTGCAGGTCGCCATTTTTCTCCCTTATTCCATGATACGAGATATATCAAAATTAGGCATCACAGCCTACATAGCCGACGCATTCATTCTTCTTGGGCTTCTCTATCTCGGCTACTTCGACATCAGGACTATAGCAGCGAAACATGGAGTCTCTGATATCGTCTCATTCAATTCTCAAAGCTGGCCGCTCTTCATAGGGACAGCGATCTTCACCTTTGAAGGGGTTGGCCTCATACTTCCAATTCAAGGATCCATGAAAGATCCAACCAAATTTCCAAGGGTTCTTGCCGGCGTGATGATTATCATCGCAGTTGTATTCGTGAGCATTGGCGCTCTTTCGTATGCTGCATTTGGCTCCCGCACAAAAACAGTGGTCCTCCTCAATCTACCACAAGATGACATACTTGTGAATGTAGTCCAGCTTCTTTATTGTACTGCGATTCTACTATCAACACCGCTCCAGCTCTTTCCTGCAATTCGCATATTAGAGGGCGAACTCTTCTCGAAGAGTGGCAAATACAGTCGCGGCATCAAATGGAAGAAAAATGTCTTTCGGTTCTTTCTCGTCATCTGTTGCGGCCTTATTGCATGGGGCGGGGCTGGCGATCTGGAGAAATTCGTTTCGCTTGTGGGTAGCTTCGCTTGTGTGCCACTTGTTTATGTGTATCCAGTATGTGTCTACCATACGGGAAAACCTGTACAAAACTAATTCCCTGCAGGCCTTGCTTCACCTCCGAGCGGTAGCTGAGACTCGAGCACAACGAACCGTAGATATCGCCCTTTGCGGATTCGGGATCATCGCGATGCTCTATACAACTACTCAAACACTCAGGAGCTGGACCGCATCGCCCTCTCAGATCAAAAGTCCTGAACATTGCGATCTGTAGAATGTAGCCCTATATCAGCGGTGCACTTTTCGTATACATTTTTATAGAGCATAGCGCAGGAAAGAGTATCATTGATAGAGAGATACCCAACAATGCCACGAGAAAGATTTATAACTACACGCAATGAGTATACGATCAAGTATGTGCTGAGATAGATTTACCCTATCCTTTTTTTCTACCCTTGCTTTTCACTTTTCCAGACCTTTGCTCCTCCTTGGCATCTACATCATCTTCTTTTGTACCTAGGATATGGCCTGACAGAACAGTCGTCTTGCCGAACACTTTGCTTTGAATCTTTCGAAAGGCCCAGGCTGGCAGCCGAAACACAACGGTGTCTCTGTATGTAGGCCGAGGTATCTCATCTGGATCTAACAGAAACTCTGCGGTCTCTCCATCTTCATTTGCCTCTTCCAGAAACACATTTCCCACCGAATCAACAATTAATACCTTCCCGTTCTCGGCCTGCACTTTTTTCTTCGAGCCTTGCGGGCCTGTGACCTCCGGCTCCGATTCCGATGGGGTGCTGACACCACCACTTGAAGCCTTCCCGCCCTTCTTCTCCTTTCGAGCCTCTTTCTGGGCTTCCTTCTCCTGCATCCTCTTTTGCCTTCGATTCAGTACTGCCTGCCCGTTCTCCTGTGCCAGAGCAGAAGCTTGGGGTGCCTCCGACTGCCCTAAAGTTGATCCTAGACCGGGTATTCCTTGAATGCCCGTCTCGTCACCCCAGGCCGCTCGTCTCGCATGCCGTATGTACCTTCCCACAAAATCACGCTGCCGTTTCCAGCTCAAGTACATGGCTGCATAATGCACCAAGCCACCGCCAAATAGGAACAGCCCGAAAATGACGGTCCCCAATCCTGGCCGATAGCGGGCGTAGTAATAGCCGGTGCCCCTCCATGTTGGGAATCCGTTCGCGAGGAAGAAATCGTATCGTTCTCTTCCCGAGCCCTTCAGGATCTCAGCGATAACGCCGAGGCGCGCATACCGCGCTTGTGCAATTTTTGTCTCTTTCTTGATCTCCTCTGCGGAGGGGGGCTTGTTGACATGAGTCTTGGGTGGTTTGGTGCCGGGGATTGTAGCCTTGTTGGGTTTCTTGGCGCGAGCAGCGATGAAGTTCTGTTTTGCTTTGTCGGGGTGTAGAGTACGAGACTTCTTGCGGTAGGATTTGCTGATTTCGTCTTGGGAAGCCGAGGGTTTGACGCCAATAAAGTCTAGGGGTGTTTGTTAGATGGGACAATTAATGAAGGGGACTCCTGGAGGGCTTTACCGTAGAATGTTATGCCCTTGCCCTCGGCGGTGGTCAATTCGTCGTGTAGTCTGAAGATCTCGTGATCTGAAGAATATCAGCTTAGGTCCTACGGAATAGTAGGATATGGTTCGACCTTGAGGGCTGAAGCTGACGACCAGCGCCAGAAAGCTGCTGAAAGCCAGCAACAGGTATGTGTTTACTCTCATGTTGTACAATTGAGATGCATCTGTGCCTGAACCACCAAAGTTTTATGCTTCTAGTGCCTCTACTAGACTTTCTGCGCTGTCGGGATGCCTAAAACGGCATAGTGGGAGCTGCCGAAGGTTGACGCAGGTCTGTCCAAGTCTTTCACCTCACCGCTCCTCTGTTGCTGGTATTGTGAGACTGGGTACAAATAAAGGAGCTCATCGTCTTCCCGTGCATTCTTGTTCTTTGAATGCGTCCGCAGCCTGGTGCAGTCGTATGGACAAGCCAAACGGCTGAGTGGCTCGTGGAGTTGCAGGCTTGTGGCTGTTGTGTGGCTTGACCAAAGGGGCACTTTCCACTTTTCAAGGCAATCACTTCTTTGCATTCAACACATTGCACTTCTTTCCCGACTCCAAAGCCAATTCCGCCACGTAACACTCAATTGTCTAGAAGGACTAGGCATCAAAGTGCTGACAAATTAAAGTCGGAGCGAAAGCCACAGTACAACATTGATCTTTCTTTCTCGTTCCACCCTTTCACGAATTTCATCGCAAGAGGATTCTCGATAGCACAGTCCATCTGAGACACCCTTCGCCGACATGTCCAGGATAAACATCCCACTGGAGGCTCTGACCTCCCGCCTCAACCTGGGGTCCCGCTTCGAAGGCGTTCGTTCACAGTCTTTGGGCACGAGATTCTCCAATCTCAAGCCAATTGGCGATTTCATGGACCTCAAAAGGCTTTCAAAGCCTGCCAACTTCGGTGAAGTACAAAGTCGAGTCAACTACAACCTGGGATATTTTCAGAGCAACTACTTTGCCCTAGCCACAATGCTTGCCATCTACAGTCTCCTCACAAATCTACGACTTCTCTTTGATATGATCTTTATGGGCGTGGGCCTGTTCTTCATTCGACGACTTGATGGGCAAGATCTACAATTGGGTTTCACCACCCTCACAACTTCTCAGCTTTACACCGGTCTGTTTGTCATTGGTATTCCTGTTTTCATCTGGGCTTCCCCCATTGCGACAGCTTTGTGGCTCGTTGGCGCCATCGGTGTGACTGTTCTTGGTCACGCTGCATTCATGGATAAACCAATCGAGTCAGCTTTTTCCGAGGAGGCGGTCTAGGTGGTCGGCCGCGAACTCCAAAATATGCGCCCTACCCGGGAAGACCATCCGGGGCACGTACGGGGAAGAAAGGTCGTGGCTATCGAGAGCCGCAGGACGACGATGTTAGATTCCAGGAGGTAGAAAGTGATTCTGAGGACTCAGACGCTGGTGTAGGGCTAGATAGGAAATTTAAAAGCGACGAATTGCACTTCACAGGCGCAGATCTTGGGGGGGTATCGAAACGAAGGAGAAAGATTGCTTATGATTCAGACTCTGGCACCTCATCGGACAGTAATGATGATATTGAAAACGCCATAGAAGGTCGGAATATGCAGGTGGCTTTGCGAGACAAGGACTTCCGGGACAAAGAGGATATGCTGGTTGAGAAGGCGCTCCAACGCATTCAACGCGCTCAAGAGCTTGGGAAGAAAAACGTCAAATTGTCACAGCGCGAGATAGAAGCCTTACAGCGTCGGGATCAAAAAGTCGGAAAACAAACCGCAGCGAAACAAAGCTCGAAGTCGGCCAAGAAACCCGTCAAAAATGAGAAGAGTCGAGATCGAAAGCAAAGTCTTCCTCTTCATCAATACGATGATCGGCAGCCTTCCAACAGCAGAATGCCTCCTGGCATACTCGTCCCAAGCGGCAACGGCTATTATACTCATACTGCTATTGGGTATGACCAACCGACACCCCTGCCAGTGCAGGTATCGTCACGTTCCGGATCGCGCAACACCAGCTCTCACAATCTCTCACGAGCATCTCCTGAAAACCTGCGCCGTGGAGAAAGGCAAAGCCCGAAACCCCAGTCTCCTCGCTCACCTCCATCCAATGCCTCATCCCGCAGTTTGCCCGATGACCCGAATTGGGAGCCTCGACCACGCTCAGCCTCTGCGCTCTCTGGCAGCCAATACTACCCTACTACCCAACCTTATATGTACCAGACTTACTCACCTCCACTTCCTCAGATACCTTCATCACCTGGCACCTCTTCGCGTAGAATCGTATCCAATCCTTCACCCAGTTCACGTGATCGATTGCCTAGATATGAAGGACTTGATGCTCGATCAAAACGAGAACGCTCGCCGCAAACTCGGCCAGGAAGGAACATGGACGTGAGTTCGAGCGATGATGATGGTGACGAAGGTGTACAAGTCGACATTTTGCCTGGATACGACGGGCGTGGCTACGATGCCGTTAGGCCTGTAGGTGAGAGCGGTGCAAGGGATAGACGCGGAGGTAGGAGATGAGATTAGCATGGAGTTGGCGGACGGTGTTTGCATTCCTGTTGCATATTTTTCGCCGTTCGACTTAGAATACACCGTGATACTAATATTATTCATTGCTATTACATGACTCAAAACCTGACTCGAATTGAGACAAATCTGCTTGCTTGCTTGCTTGCTACTCAAATTGACAGAAATTGTATATATCCGTACATATCGCCACTTAGAAGGACAACTCAAACCATATTTTCCAGCGGGAAAACAAACATGCGTGGGACTAAGGATTTAAGGAAATCCATTCGATTCGAACAACTTCCTCGTCACAAGCAATTTACACCTTATCCTCGACCTTCAACCCCACGGGCTCATCCTTCGGCTTATCCCCTTCATCCGTCAGCTGAATCTTCAAGCCAGGCCAACTCAGATCTTCCACCCCTAATTCACCCCACGAACATCAGCCATCCATCTTCATACCCTCACAATTGCTCAATAAACTTACTATCCCGAGCCGGACTATCGCTCTTTCTGCCTTCTCCGACGCTCGAGCCCAGAACAGTCTTGTCAGGTGGTGGCAAGGGCGCCGCACTTTCATCGAACTGATCTTTCGCTTCTTCGAACTCCTCCGACGCTGGATCCACGCTCGACGATTGCGTTGCCTCGGCGACGGGGGCAAAATCCTTTGTTGCGGCGCCGGTGGGGCGGTCGGTGGTGGTAGTGGCCGCTGTGCTGCCGAAGATGGCGCCCTGCTGGTTCGCGGCGATTTGATCAGCCAGTCTGACTGAGGAGCGACCGCGGGTGTCCTCGTCGCTGCTGAGGGAGCTGATGGAAGTTGAGTCGTCGCCGTCGTCATGCGCCAGGGCTTCTGCTGGTGGATGGCTAGCCAGACCTCCAGATACCATCGGTGCTTCGACTGTTTCTTGGTCTACTTCGCTTTCCGGGGAGACGACTGGAGCGTCCACGGGTCCTGCGTCTTTACCTGCTAGGGCTACCTCGCGCATGCTGGAGTCTCCACCTGGTTCTGAAGATGTGGCTGTGGTGGCTATATCGGGTGCGCCTAGGTTCGTTGAGCCGATGAAGACTTGGGGGTCTTTTGGTTCGGATATAATGGGTTTGTTGTCGCTGCTAAAAGTAGGTACGGCCTTGCTTGTGCGGCGGCCAAGTTTGTTTTTGAGCCATGTTGAGACTCTGGATGAGTCCTTTTCTTTGGTGGGTGATTTGGGGGTAGATGGACCGGTGACTGTTGTTTCTGTGCTAGGGGCAACGGCTACAACAGGTGGTGCAATACGCTCTGCCACTGGAGCCTCCGGCTTGATTTTGGATCCTGTACTCTCTGCAGGGGGATTTGGAGCAGTCGGAGCCGCCTCGGCCACTTTCGATACGGTTACTGTTCCTGCAACTGGGGCGTCTTCGGCTATGACGAGCTCTTCCATCTTGCTTGATCGTTGTTCCTCTTTGGCGTTGTCAGGTTCACTCGTCAACTCTTCCTCTTCCACTGATGGCCGCTCTTCTTTGGAAGTCGCTCCCTTGCCCTCAAGCTTTTCAAGCGCTTCTTGATTCCCCGTGTTCGATGGCTCTGTCTCATCTTTATGGAGAACGCTTTTAATCCTTCCGATAGCAGTCTTATCCCCCGACTTACGGGAGTCTTGATTCTTTGCTCGTTTTTCTTCTGCTCGTCTTGCTTTGGCCTCTTCCTTTCTTGCCTTCTCGTCTTGCTTCTCATCATCTATTCAAATTCAGTCATATTCTTGCCGTACGACATGCCTAGGTACTCACCTCGAAACTTTCGCCAGTCCTCCTTTGTTCTCTCCGCACGCTCCTTATCATCCGCTGCCTTTTCAGCAGCAATATGTTCTCTTTCAAGTTGCTGCTGTCTGAGCTCTTCATCTCTTTCGCGGTGCCTCTCAGCCGTCTCTGTGATCTCATCGAGTGTTGGCTGTACTTTCGCGGCAGCAATAGCATTCACTTCTGACTGGTCAAGGAACTTGCCACCACCGATACTGACCATCCCATGATTAACCATCCTAGACTCACTGTCGGCTTCTGCTTTGGCTTTGGCTTTGGCTTCCCACTCTGCCATCATGGCGGGAGACACCTTGCCAGTCTCGTTGAAGACTCGTGCATCTTGTGCTGTCATACTTGCTCTGACGTTCCTTTGAGCCGCAGCCATGAGAGATTCGCGATCGTTTTTCCGTTTCTTGAGGTCGACTTGAGCAATATTATTTGAGAACAGCGACATTTGGTTACGTATTTGACGTGACCTCTCCTCGTCTGAATCATCTCCAACTTGCCCATCGCTAGAAGCACGTCTTCGTCCACGTATCGAGATTCTCCTTCCCTGAGGTTTCTGTGCGCCATAGTAGTCCCTGTATGCTGCGTGCTCGTCATGAAGCTTAGCCAACCGTTCCGCCGCTAGCTTTTTCGCGGCTTCTTCCAAATTGGTATATCTTGGTGGAGCAGTATCACCAGAGGAGGATGCAGAAGATTGTGGTCGATCGCCAGCAGCACTTGCTGCATATCGGCTATCCGATTGCGCTAGAACAGCAGATTCTTCTTTCTGCTTCTGCTGCACTTCGAACATCTTCTTCGCCATTGATACGGAAGCGGCGCGAAGCATATCCTGCCTCTTCTTTTCTTCAAGCTCTGGCGCAACTGGAGGATGAGAGGTGTACATCTCACGTGAGAGATTAGTAACAGCGGCATTGTGAATCTTGCCAGCGTTGATAGCTGGCTGCGTAGATGGTGCCTGGGGCGATGTGCCCTTCGAAGGCCTGTTGGCTGCAGTGGCGGCTTTCAGCGCGTTTGCTGCAGATTTGTTTGAATCAGGATACGACGATGTTAGAGTAGGAACTGAGCCCGATCGTCGTCTGCCGGAAAAGGCGCCTGCCGCAGCAATGAGCGCCCTTCTCTCGCCCTCTGTCGTCCGCCCGTAATCAAGTTTAGGACTTAGATTCTTTTTTCGCATAGCCTGTCCTGCAGCAGATTGCCCAGCGTCCGTGGCTGGAGGCCTCCAAATCTTGACATCTGCACCTTCTCTGTGCGCCTGGAGCGCAGCTTTGGATCCCTCAGCACTCAACTCAGGTTGCCATAGTGGATCAGGTTTGTAGTCTTTGGCCATATGCGCCGCCTTGTTGGCTGCCGGGATGTCACCAGGTTTCCAATGCTCGAAGGGTTTCTGAGTCGCATTTGCGAGGCTGGCTGCGGCGCCCGCCGATGACTCTGTGTTCGTGAGACCTACGACTGGATAGGCCGGTAGATCTTCGGGGTGGGCATGCTTGAGTGAAGTTGCAGCGCCTGCCGCATGTGTCAGTCAAACAAATAATCGGTTGAGATGGGCCAAGCGCACTTGCGGAGGAGAGTTTGCCCTCGGCATCCAGAGGATAATTTGTTGACGATTTTTTGGATTTGTCGCTTTTGCCCTTGGTGACATATAAGGCAGCCGTAGCAGCTGCCATTGAACAATCAGCCACGTTGACGCAATGGAGCTTGAATCAGACAGGAGAGCGCCCACCTTGATCTTCAAGCTTTCCGGACTTAGTGGGGCCCATGGCCGGCGAGGTGGTTGCTCCAGAAGGTCACGGCGCTGGCGAGGATGTTAATAGTCAGCAAATTGGAGTGTCCTGATGAGCTATCTGGTGGTATGTCGCTGCATCGGATGCATTGTATTTCCTAGGTGCGAAAAGGGCGCAGCTGTCCAGGCGGTTCATTTCGCTATTTGCCGCGAATGACGTCTGAGGCTCGCCCAGAATCTAGCGGTTTTCTAAGCAGGGAGCTTCCAACTCTGTAAGTTGTTTTTTATATTGGCTACGTTCATAGCCATGATCCCAATAATCTGTGTGACCGAATGGTAATGCCTCTTAGAGCAATGGACATATATTGTCTTGACCTCTTCCTGTAATACTGAAGCAAAACCCACGCTACTGGCGCATTCACTGTGTTGACCGTGTTTTGTTTCTTGCCTGAGTTTCGCTCCTCCTTCTTAGTCTTCAAGTCGGCTCCTAGATATCCATTTCATACATGCTGTTCTCCCTGCAGCGCCATGTCTACTAGTCCTGAAGCCGGAGTTCCCCAGTCGCCATTCAAATCAATACTCAATTTCCGCGATGTAGGCTCGTGCATCAACGCACTTACTAACACTTCGCTTCTCAAGCCTTCACTCTTGTTCCGTTCAGCACGTCCCGATGAAGCCAGCCCAGAGGATGTCCAGAAACTAACGTCCACCTATGGTATTCACACTATCATAGACTTACGCTCCAACACTGAGCATATCAAGCAAGATGAGAAATTCTCACAACGCCGTAATGCCGCTACTCTCACAACCACTGAACAGAAAGCAGCAAATACAGTGCGTATGCCAGGCATCAAATATGCTGACATCGATCTGAATGGGGGAGCCTTTACGAAAGCGTTGCTCTGGAAGCTAAAATGGCGAAGTCTCGCGAAGCTCCTCGCTCTGATGGCTGCTGGGTACCGCACAGAGGCCATCAGAGTCCTTGGGACGGAAGTAATGGCGCCCAGGGGACTCATCGGCTTAGGCAAAGACAGCCTGGACCATTCCAAAGTGAATATACGCCAAGTCTTTGGGCTGTTGGCAATCACAAGCAATTACCCAATCATGGTCCACTGTACTCAGGGCAAGGACCGCACCGGACTGATAGTCATCCTAGTACTTTTACTGCTGGATGCATCAATGCCAGCTATTAGAGCTGATTATGTAGCAAGTGAGAAGGAGTTGGAACCGGAAAAGGTAGAGAGGCTTAAAGAAATTGCTGACGTCGGCCTGGGGGAAGAATTCGCTGGATGTCCCGTTGGATTTGTGGAGGAGATGCAGAGCTACATTGATGAAAAGTATGGAGGTATCAAGCCATATTTGAAGGCATGTGGTGTAGAAACACAGCAACAGGAGAGTGTTGTACATAATCTTGCCCGGATGAAATGATATCGCAAAGCAGTGAAGAGGCAAAATTCAAATAAACAACCGACAAAGGAAACCAATTGCTGGTCAGCAAAGGTGATAGATATCTAGACAAATGAAAATTCATTACGAGAAGAGACCATCATCTTGTTGCGATGCCATACCTGTGAAACTTCAGAGATCTCCTCAAGGAGAGACGAGACAAGTCTTCAATAGGTTAATGCAGCATCCCGATAGGGAACAATTTACTCGAGAGCTAGCTTGATGGGCTAGACCTCCGCCTTCTCGATTCGCTTGTCCTTCACACGCGTGCAATATAATGATCAGCTAAATGAAAGGAAAACCAGCCTGCAATATCGCCGACACTTTCCGAACGAGACGCCTTTTATCTACCACGCTCTAACGTCTTAGCTGGGGAATATTTCATGACGAAGAGAGGCGGTCCAGTGCAATGATCTAAGACGAAGGTGCAGGCTCAGCAGACTGCTCGGAAGCAGCGGGCGCAGGTGCATCAGGTCTGGCCTCGGTAGGTGCTGCTGCTTTCTCACCCTCCTTGGGGACCTCGCTTCCTGGAGCAGCTTCGGCATTGTCCCCTCCATCTGAAGACGTCCAAAGCGTAAGATTGTCACGGAGCAGCTGCATGATGAGTGTGCTGTCACGGTAAGACTCCTCCGAAAGGGAGTCTAGTTCTGCGATCGCGTCATCAAAGGCTTGTTTAGCAAGATGGCAGGCACGGTCTGGCGAGTTCAGAATCTCATAGTAGAAGACCGAGAAGTTGAGAGCAAGTCCGAGACGAATCGGATGAGTCGGAGTAAGCTCAGTCTGCGCGACATCTGTAGCATTCTAATTTTTGTTAGACGTTTGAGCATGAGTTTTTTAAGTGTGAGTTTCTTACCTTGTATGCCTCGTGGGCAGCGGTTGCGGCCACTTTGCGTTTCTCACCAGACGCGAACTCAGCGAGGTAACGGTGATAATCTCCCTTCCTGTTCTGCGTCAGCATCGATCGAAATGTATTTGATCTTGTCGATTTCTATTATTGAACGCACATCTTGTGGTAAAACACCTTCGACTCTCCTGACTCGGCCTTGGGAATAAGAGACTCATCCAGCACGTCGAGAACGTCTTGGCACACGCGTTCGAGCTCGGTCTCGATCTTCTGTCGGTAATCCCGAATTGTACCGACATGCTTGTCCGTGCCCTTCGATTCCTCTTTCTGTTCGATGGAGGAGATGATACGCCAAGAAGCCCTTCGCGTTCCGACAACGTTCTTATAGGCGACGGAAAGCAGGTTTCGCTCATCAACAGTGAGTTCCCCTCCAATCTGAATTCTTGTTAGATGCATTGTCCATCACGACCTTCCGTGCAAGCCTAATTGAGTAGTAAATCACCTTCGCGACTTCCTAGTGACGGTTAATTGTGTCTTACAGATGTGCCTCACAAGCGACTAACCTTCATGAACGTCACCATCTCTAATGAAGCGTACTGTCAGTGATAACCTAAAAGCGCTCTCTTCGGATGGTAGTCCATACCATCATATCGCTCGGCCTGCTCGCATAGCCTTGCAAGAAACGTCTTGCTTCACTCAGTGTTAATAAGGCAATCATAGGACAAACGAGATTGAATGGAGTACCTTTCACGCTATTGAAGGAGACGAACAGTCAGCGACGCAGTTTTAACAAGTCTAGGATAGAAGAAGAGCTGGGGCGCGTTGAGAGCTTCGGGTTTTGATAGGCTCATGAATCACTTACCTCTGATTGTGTCATATTGAGTTGATTGTGCGGATATGCTGGATGAGCGCCTGTTGTGTAGATGTGTTCGATTGGAGTAAGATCTGGATATGGTTCGACTTTGATCGTATCAAGGAAGTTGGAGGAGGGACAGCAAATTACCAGCGGAAGCCGCAGTAAGCGATTGGCGCTATCCCTTCAGCCCTACTGCGATACGCAACAATCGCCCGAGTCTTCAAGGCGACAGCGTTGCATCACACTACGCAGGCAGAATTTGTCCTCTGTTATCTAGTGTTGAATGCTACTAGATTTGCCTGTTCACGGGATGCTATTCATGGGGGCATATTTCGCAATCTATATGGCAATCGAGGCGTTCTTAGCACTACATGATGCCATTTTCGTCAAGCTATCAGTCTCAGTGCAACACAGGGCGTTCTGTAATCTGCGAGATTCAGCCACGAAGAATGCTTCTTGTAAGTAATATTTACAGGACCTCCGATGTGGAGGTCGCGATGCATCGGTCTTCGGATGCTTGGAGCCTTTCAATAGAACTTGATAGGGGCACAGTCATCAGGCAAGGTGTCGCCAGCCCTTGCCTTCTTGAGTTTCTGCGGGAATCGGAATTGTTCCGTTGATTTAATATCCGTCGGACATAAAAAGTATAAAGCAAAACTCATTGAGGCCACGTTCTGAGGTAGTTGGGGCAGGCGTTCATTCAAATCCGTTACTCGCATTCAAACTCTCCCCTTTAGCTTCGCTCTCCGGTCTCTACCTTTCGATATGCCTGTACGTTACCGGTGCAAATCCGATTTCTTTCCAAAATCCTACTAGAAGACGCTTATTTGCGTTGCTATATTGTCATGGAGTCCGCCTACCTAGTGTCGTCCCATGAGGCTTTAGATCATTTCCAGGTGAAAGAGCATGAAGGTCTATCAGATAGCCAAGTCGACGAAGCAACAGACAGATTTGGTCGCAATGAGCTCCCGGAAGACCCACCAACTCCATTGTGGGAGTTGATCCTGGAACAATTCAAAGACCAGCTCGTTATCATACTACTTGGTTCTGCGGCAATTTCGTTCGTCTTAGCTTTGTTCGAAGATGGAGAAGGATGGACAGCTTTTGTCGATCCTGCGGTTATCCTTACAATCCTCATATTAAATGCTGTGGTTGGGGTCTCCCAGGAGAGCAGCGCAGAAAAGGCGATCGCAGCGCTGCAGGAATACTCTGCCAGCGAAGCCAAAGTGGTTCGCAATGGAACAGTTAAACGAATCAAAGCAAATGATCTGGTGCCTGGAGACGTCATATCTGTGGCAGTAGGAGATCGCATACCAGCTGATTGTCGAGTCGTGTCGATCCAAAGCAATACCTTCCAAGTCGATCAAGCTATACTTACAGGGGAGAGCGAGAGCGTGGGCAAAGATACAAGCGCCGTGAAAGATCCTCGAGCGGTCAAGCAAGACCAAATTAATATGCTCTTCTCAGGCACTACCGTCGTGACTGGGCATGCGACTGCTTTGGTGGTCTTGACGGGTGGCTCGACAGCCATTGGGGATATACATGAGAGTATCACATCACAAATTTCTGAACCGACCCCACTGAAGCAAAAGCTGAATGATTTTGGCGATATGCTTGCCAAAGTCATCACCGTGATATGTATCTTGGTCTGGCTCATCAATATCCAGCACTTTAATGACCCCTCGCATGGCACCTGGGTCAAAGGAGCTATCTACTATCTGAAAATCGCTGTTTCACTTGGAGTGGCGGCGATTCCCGAGGGGCTAGCTGTTGTTATTACAACCTGCCTGGCATTAGGAACCAGGAAAATGGCCGCCAAAAACGCTGTCGTCCGGAGTCTGCCATCGGTCGAGACTCTAGGAAGTTGTAGTGTCATTTGCTCTGATAAAACTGGGACTTTGACCACTAATCAAATGAGTGTCAATAAAATGGTATACATCAGTGATTCAGACGCACGACTAGAAGAAATTGAAGTTCAAGGTACTACTTTTAAGCCGGAAGGAGGCATCTTTCAGAGTGGCAAAATGGTAAATGATCTCGCCGTATCTTCAAAAATTGTCATGAAGATGGCGGAGATATCAGCGCTATGCAATGAGTCTCAGCTTTCATTCGATCCAAAGCATGGTACATTCCATAGTGTAGGAGAGCCCACGGAAGGGGCTCTACGTGTGCTTGTGGAAAAGATCGGAAGCCCTAATGCGACGGTGAACCAGGAGGCGAGGGCGCTCCCTACCCAGGATAAACTTCATCATGCGAGCAAGTATTTCGAAAACAAGAGCCCTCGGACAGCGATCTACGAATTTTCGAGAGACCGCAAGAGTATGTCTGTGCTGGTAGGTCATGCTGGGCAGCAGCGCCTCCTGGTGAAAGGAGCTCCCGAAAGTATTCTGGACCGCTGCACACACGCACTAGTTGGATCAAGTGCAACCAGATTCGTGCTAGATCAAAGACTTGCAGCTACTGTGTCGGAAAAGGTGGTAGAATATGGCAAGCAAGGTCTCCGGGTCATAGCATTAGCTACCATAGATGACGTTGAGCAAAGCACATTGATCAAAACCGCCAAAACAACTGCCGAATATAGCCAGCTTGAGACAAGAATGACTCTTGTTGGCTTGGTGGGTATGCTTGATCCGCCGAGACCTGAGGTTGCTAAATCGATCCGGAAATGCCGGGAAGCAGGCATTCGTGTCGTTGTTATCACGGGTGATAATCAAAATACAGCAGAAACTATATGCAGGCAAATAGGCATCTTTGGTCCGCACGAAGACCTGAGCGGCAAAAGCATGACTGGTAAACAGCTTGATGCTTTAAGCAATAGCGAGAAAGTACATGCAGCAAAGTCAGCCTCCCTCTTCTCTCGAACCGAGCCTACGCATAAGTCCACGTTGGTAGACCTTCTCCAGACCGCTGGTGAGGTAGTTGCAATGACAGGAGATGGCGTCAATGATGCACCAGCGCTGAAGAAATCTGACATTGGAGTGGCTATGGGCTCAGGAACCGATGTTGCAAGATTAGCGTCTGACATGGTTCTCGCTGACGATAATTTTGCTACTATCGAAGTCGCCGTTGAAGAGGGTCGATCGATCTACAACAATACCCAGCAATTCATTCGCTACCTCATATCATCCAATATAGGAGAGGTAGTCTCTATTTTTCTGACTGCGGCGGCGGGTATGCCGGAAGCATTGATCCCAGTCCAGCTCCTATGGGTCAACCTTGTCACGGACGGCCTCCCTGCAACTGCTCTCTCGTTCAATCCACCTGATCATGATGTGATGCGAAGAGCACCCAGGAAACGAGACGAAGCCCTTGTGGGAGGCTGGCTCTTCTTCCGATATATGATCATTGGTATCTATGTTGGCGGTGCTACGGTCTTTGGATACGCCTGGTGGTTCATGTTCAACAGCGAAGGACCACAGATCACCTTTTGGCAACTTTCACACTTTCATCAATGCTCCTCCAAATTCCCGGAAATTGGGTGTGAGATGTTCTCGAACGACAGTGGCAAAGCTGCATCTACAATCTCACTATCAATTTTAGTGGTGATTGAAATGCTGAACGCAATGAATGCACTCTCATCGAGCGAGTCGCTCCTCACCTTACCACTCTGGGATAACATGGTCCTTGTCTATGCCATTTCCTTGTCCATGGCCCTCCACTTCGCCATCCTGTACACTCCATTCCTTCAAAGTCTCTTTTCAATTCTACCGCTGAATTGGAACGAATGGAAAGCAGTGTTGCTGATAAGCATACCCGTGATGTAAGTCATATTCTTCTAACAACGATGATATCACAGCTAATGAACTCGCTCAGATTCATAGATGAGATTCTTAAATATATTGAGAGAAAACTGTACATACCCAAACCCCTAGAGCATAGACAGAAGGTAGAGTAGATCAGCATTAGCATTAGCATTAGCGTTAGCATTATGGATAAGTGCTGCTCAGTGCAACCGCGTGCTCTAAGTCTTCGATTTGGATTTGTTTGCACAATCTCACTTTAGCCAGCAGCTAGTGGGTATGAGTAATATGAACTGACGCCTGATCTCAAAATGAATGGTGTTTGGCACGGACATATCGGTCTTTATTTTTCATATCGATTGGTGCATCCACGATAGCTCACAACTATTATTCATTTCCCTCTTGCACTTCGAGGTCGCTGAGGCTTCTGCAAGGGTACTGCTCGCTGTGGAGTAGTTACTATGGACCGCGCAATAACGAAGCTCAACGCGACTGGTAACTTGATTCTACAAGCCATTGCCTCCCTGTCACGACTGACTGTCGACAGAGCCAGCGCCTTCCAGTTTGCAATACTTTCTGAAAACACACGAACCCCCTCCTACGGCTCAAGTAGGGGAAGGACGCTTCGCAAAGAGGCGGAAAATAGACAAAGACGGCTGCTCTTCCCGTCAGCACCCTTCAGAGATTGAAGATCAATATTTGACGTTCGCTAAGCTTGACCTCAATATAGTATGATGCGAATTCAAGAATGGAAAGTCTATAATGACTGACAAGTACAGATCTTCCCGCAAGGCTTTCCCTCGCCTCTTGAGCCACCTGCCAACAGTGAAAGGCTGCCAGTGCGCCTCGTTGCCTTTGTGGAAGATGCTCATAGGGGTGTACACCACCGGCAGTACATAATCAAGGTCGCTACCATCAAGGGTATCGACTTATGCCAGCTAACGCTCAATGGTTTTATCGAAAAACGCGACCAAGAGATCGTCCAAAATGCGATTTCGTTGTCGCGTCCAAGCCGAACGGTCAGAGCAAGGAGCTCCTTTGAATTGTCTCCAAGGGGGATTGAAGTGGGAACTACTGCCAAGGAGAGCGTAACGGCCGACAATGCGTCGCTATCGCTAGTTTTGACGGTCAGGATCCTTGTCCCTGACGTGAAGAGTTTGCTGGAGAGTCCGGGCTTGCCCCGTTCTTTGGACTTGTCACAATTTTTTGGTGCATGGCCATCAAACAAGCGCGATCCATGGTCTCCAAAAGATTTTTATGATCATGTACATGTCCCAGATCCAAAATCAGGTTTAGACCTGCCCCCTCTTGCGGAACTACAGTGCAATTTATATCCATTTCAGAAAAGAGCCATACGCTGGCTGTTAGAGCGAGAAGGTGCTTTCCCGTGTGATTCACCGAGTGAGGACAGCAAAATCGCCCATGGATTTGTACGTACGCAGGATCAGGATGGTCGTGACTGTTTTTCTAGCCAATTGCTAGGCGTCGCTACGACCGACAAGACCCTTGTTAGATCGTCATGTCGAGCTCTCCGAGGTGGGATTCTTTCAGAAGAAATGGGTCTTGGAAAGACAGTCGAGATCATAGCTCTTATCTGCTTACACAGAAGGCAAGAATCACAGGACCAGGAAAATAATATCTCGTCAACGAAGCAGTTAGCAGGAACTTTAATCATCACTCCTCCTTCCATCTTACAGCAGTGGAAGGAGGAGTTACAGGCGCTTGCTCCTTGCCTAAAGGTAGCGATTTATCAGGGAATGAAGATTGAAAGTCACAAGAACGACGATACTGAAATAAAGAGCAAATGTATCACTAGCGACGTAGTGCTGACAACATATCCCATCCTGGCGAGAGAGATCCACCACGCTGAAGCCCCAACAAAGAATCTTCGCCACGAGAAGAGGTATGAGAAAAGACTCTCACCGCTAACACAGATCAATTGGTTCCGTGTCGTCCTCGATGAAGCTCAAATGGTAGAAAGCGGAGTAAGCAACGCGGCCAAAGTTGCGAGTCTGATTCCACGTCAAATTGCCTGGTGTGTCAGCGGGACGCCGGCAAGAAATGCGAAAGATCTTCTCGGCCTTCTTATTTTCCTACAATATCAACCATATTGTTCATTACCTCTGCTTTGGGATCGACTCGTCAATCAACATCGCGAGGTTCTATGGTCAATATTCCAGAACATCACTCTTCGTCACACCAAGGCGCAGATCAGAGATGAAATTCAATTGCCACACCAGAAAAGAGTCGTGCTCACAGTTCCATTTACGCAGATTGAGGAACAGCATTATTCAGCCCTGTTCCAACAAATGGCAGAGGAGTGTGGGCTCGATCAAGAAGGAGCACCTCTCCGAGAGGATTGGGACCCAGAAGATCTTCAGATCATTGACAGAATGCGAATCTGGCTTGTGCGATTAAGGCAGACTTGTCTCCATCCCGAGGTCGGCAACCGCAATAGGAAAGCCCTTGGGAGCGGGAAAGGGCCCCTCAGAACTGTAGCTGAAGTACTTGAGGTCATGATTGAACAGAACGACCTCGCCACCCGGACTGAGGAACGCAATGTACTGATGTCCCAAATCAAACGTGGTCAGATCCACGAAGATACCGAAGAAACACAAGAAGCTTTAGAAATATGGCTGTCAACGCTCGACGAAGCTCGGAATGTAGTTCGTGAATGCCGCTTGCATTTGCAATTTGAATTGGACAAGGTAGCTACGGAAAGGGGGGCCGAAGAAAGCCCTAAGAAGAATGGGGACGACGTTGATGTAGGTAGTACCGGTCCTCACCGGCAAAGACTACGGGCGGCTCTTGAGGTTGAGCATATGTGTACCTTCTTCGCTGCTAATGCATATTACCAATTGAAGACAAAAGAAGTTGGCGCTTCGGGAGAGCCAGGCCAGGAGAACAACTCGCAGGAGACAGTAGGTGACACCAGAATGATTGGCCAAGTGGCTGAAAAGCCAATGTCGAATCATGCGAAAGACCTTGAGCGCCAGGAAGAATCGTTTTATGAAGCGGCAAAACTTTTGCGGAGGGAGCTGCTGGTCGAATCTCAAATGAAGGCTGATAAAGCTGTCTCCACAGTCAAGGATCGTTGCAAAAACTTGGTACCTATTCCCTGTGTGAAGCCTCCGAAAGACCAGGGTGGTATCCAAATTCGTGCCTTTTTCGACAGGATTGAAAGACTTGTTGAAATCCTGCAGTCTCAAACGATGCAGATCATTGAGTGGAGAAACCAAGCAGGCATGCTCCTTACCCTCCCATTGGTGGATCAAGAAGAAACCGAGCTTCAAGGTGACGAGTATGAAACGTCAACGAAGCAACAAGACGAAGTGTATGTATATGTTGACGCCCTTCGCGCCCTTGTCTCCGATCGTCACGTATCTGTGACTGGACAAGACAACACATTAATTGACCATGAGATGGAAGTCGCTCTGAAAGAGGCAAAAGAAGGCAGAGGACACTCTCCAGAACTACTCATACGGCTGCTGAAGAAGCGCTCAGACCTGAAAACGACGAGTACCGTGGGTACTGTACGAGGCTTGATGACACAGCTACGAGAACTACGATCAGAGCTGCGCCCTCTGGTAGAACAGTCCAACAAGCGTGCTGCTGCAGAAACCATATTCATCAACAGCCTGATACAGCATCTTCATCAAATATCGCTTGAGTCAGCTAAGCCCCTAGCATCCCTGAATAAGGAAGTTGAAATATTCAAAGATACCATGAATCTCAGGCTCGATTATTATCGTCAATTGCAGGCGATCTCAGACACTGTTGCTCCTTTTGAGGAAACCATGAGTGCTGAAACGCGGGCCGACATACTTACAAGCAAATTGGAAGAAGAGCGCCGTATGAAAGCACGCGTAGCAACTTTGAGATCCAACGGACGCTATCTTGTTTACTTACGGGGCGAAGCAGCAGATACCAGCCAGCGAACCTGTATCATCTGCACATCACCATTCGAATCAGGTATCCTGACAAGCTGTGGGCACACGTATTGCAGCGATTGCCTCAGGCTCTGGTGGTCTCGCAATCGTTCATGCCCTCAATGCAAGAAGCATTTGTCCCGTAATGATTTCCACCAGATTACTTTCAAATCAAAGGAATTGACGATGCAAGAAGAGGAGGCTCCTTCAGTCGAGCCCTCTGCAAGTACGTTAAGCGCTACTGGGTCTGAAACGATCTATGCTGGCGTTCGTGAGTCAACGTTGAATCAAATCAGGGACATTGACCTAGACGGCTCTTTTGGTACAAAGATCGATACCCTTGCACGGCATTTGCTATGGATTCGGGAGCATGACCCGGGTGCGAAATCCATCATCTTTTCGCAGTACCGTGATTTTTTGGATGTTCTCAGCAGGGCATTCTCGCATTTCAAGATCAACTTTACTGGTATCGACAGGAAGGATGGTATACGAAAATTCAAATCCGACCCCAACGTCGAATGCTTTTTCCTCCATGCCAAAGCGCACTCTTCAGGACTCAATCTTGTGAATGCCACACACGTTTTCTTATGTGAGCCACTGATCAACACGGCGATTGAGCTACAGGCTATCGCACGGGTTCATCGGATTGGCCAACACAATGAAACGACGGTATGGATGTATTTAGTTGAAGGCACGGTAGAGAAGTCAATCTACGACATCTCGGTCCAGCGACGCTTAGCACACATTGGCCAGCTCCAGGCGCAAAGCAGGGGGTTGGAAGATCAAGAGCCAGCTGAAAGCCAACTTGAGATGGCTAATACAGTCGAGTTGGAGCAGAACCCACTGTCCCACCTTCTGACCAAAGGCGGGAGTGGGGGCGAATTGGTGAAGAAAGGAGACCTTTGGAGCTGCCTCTTTTCTCATGCGCCTGGACAGTCAGCGAGACCTTCAGACGAAGCCCAGCTGGCGATCGCCCACCACCTCGGGGCTGACGCTGCTGAAAGACGAGGGAGAGAGAACGGGGACCAAGTTATGTAGGGAAGTGGCTACAGCAGCAACGACATGCTGACGTAAGGCTTACGAGATACGGCCTGTGCGACAAATACTCAAGATATCCAGAATCAAACGTATGGGTTTATAGCATCTCATATTCTATACGCAAGTGATCATGTCTTATTCTCTGCCTTGGTCTGTACCTCTGAGGGTATTTAGTCATCCAGCACCAAGCCTGATGACGTAGCAAGTCGCATGTGCATTCTCCGAGCTCCCGAGCAAAAGATATTTTCCAAGTCAATAAATACATCATCGTTGCCAGGCTTCCAAGACTTCTTGAACCGTCATGCTGTTTACACCTTCGTTGCTGCGGTTTGCGGGTAGCAGTCTACTTCCTTGCATTCCACTTGAACCTCGATAATACTACACCTCACCCACGTCCATCGTTACACCTCTCTCGAAACCCGCCTTCGTCACCCGGCAGACTTCCGGAACCTGTCGCCCTATCCACAATGGCAGTCCCAGCAATCCTCAAATACAGCTTCATATGGATCCTGCCAATCATCAGCGCGGGCATGTGGCTCGGTACAAATCCTCTTCCCCCTCCCATCCAACAATCACCCGCAAACCAAACACTAACATCCTTTTCCAACCAGCCACCCTCCTAGCTATGCTCATCGTCTGGCTCACCGAAGGTCACCCGCACTACTCCTCCATGAACACCGGCCAGAGCATAGCCTACATCTCCGACATTGGCGCGCAAGGCCTGCAGCCCCTCTTCATCGTCGGCTGCATCATCACGACCGTCTTCCTCGACCTCTCCTTCGCCGCCGAGCGCTGGCTGCGGCACACAGGGCGTCTCGCCAAGAACCTCGGCGTAGCGGAAAAGGTGTTGAGTGGGCTGAGCATCGTGTTTGCGGTGGCGGGAACATGCGGGCTCATTCTCCTAAGTATCTTCGATACAGTGGATCATCCGAAATTGCATGATGGGTTCTTGCTGCTGTTTATGGCGGGTTATGTCATCAGTGCTATTTTCATCTGCGCGGAGTATCAGAGGCTGGGGATGCATTTCCGCCAGCATCGGGTGCTGAGGATTAGTTTTTGGTTGAAGTTGACGTTTATTTTGTGAGTTGAGCCCATCCCTTTGATGTATCTATTGGCTGATAATTTTGCTAGGGTCGAGATTGGCCTGGCGATCGTCTTTGCTGCAACAATATTCGGTTCGCATCAGAATGTGGCTGCCGTTTTTGAGTGGGTCATCGCCTTCATCTTCACGCTCTACGTCCTTACTTTTGTCGTTGATCTCTTGCCGGCGGCTAAGACCTCTCAACAACACACGAATGAAGATGCCATGCACCGACTGGAGATGCAGAATGCGGCGGACGGTGTGGCGGGTGGAGACTCAAATCCCATGAACGGCACGACTGGAGCTGCTCCAGTAAAGGCACCGGGCGCAGCCCATAATTTTTAGAATAAAGACTAAATTGCATAGCGACTGGTGTTTAAAACCCCGGCATGAATACTTGATATGCGAAGGCGCTATCCGCCAGATAGAAGCATTAAAAAAATAGTAACTAATTGACTTAATACTCTTACCTTCATTGCTACTCAATCAAAAGTATATCCCTCAAGAAATCGTAAGATTTGAATAGATAATCGACACTTTCAGCGAACCATAGAGTATAGACATATGAACAAGCTGTAAAACGCCCTAACGCTCTTCGCTAAAATTACTGCAAAAGCTACCACGCCAGCATCGCTTCAGATAATCGTCGAGATCATGCAAGGTGTAAAATCTTCAGAATGTCATGTTGATGAAAGAAGGCTCGGTTCCTCTTGCCGAAGACATCTAGCTCGCTGTCAGCACTAGATCCTTCTTTTGGTCTAAGGAATTAAGTAGGCTTACACATTGGAATGCTCAAAAGGCAAATGGCCACCTGTACGCTTGCGACAATGTAGAAGATCTCGGCAATACCGCCGGTCTTGAGCCAGTCGTAAGCTTTCCAAGTCAAGCCAAAGCTGAAAAGGTTCTTGAATATGAAGCAAGCAAGTGAACGCTTCGACCGCGATCTCGCCTGATGAACAGTAAATGGCAGAGAACGATGGGCTCGAAAAGGCGAAAGACTTACGATGCGCATCCACGATATACAGTGCGCTGGCCACCGCACCAATCACCATCCCCATAACCTCCAGTGCGAAGAAAAAGTCCGGCCAGAACCAATGATATTTTGTAGGATTGGCCGCCGTACCACCAAAGCCATATAGTCCCAGACACCCAATGATGAGCTGCGGAATGACGAGCAGGATCCTGAACTCGGGTTCATAAATGCCCTTGTTCCGTTGCGTCATAAGTTTTGCGCTCCAGTCTGCCAGTAGGCCGCTAAGGATGAATCCTAAAATTGCTCCTACGAATGGGCCAGCGTACATGTATCCCGTCTCCACCTCGTTGAACCAGAGAGGTGGGCCAAGGAAAACTGCAGCAAGGACAACGCCGATGAGTACGGTCCAGCCAATTAGAGCGCCTTGTGTGAGTGTTGCCCAAAGGATAGCTGGATGAAGGAAGAGAGGAAAGGGGCGCAGGAGGAGCTTGAAGAATGATTCGTTGGTTTTCCGGCCATTGAAGGGAAGAAGAGTGCGAATGTAGGAGCTTTTGGGTGCGTTCGGATTGGTAGACGATTTGTTCATGTTCTCGGTCGAGTTGCTTGGACTTGATCCTGTGCGCTTGTCGCTGTCGTGGGCTTGACCATTCGTGGACTGGAGCGGTATCGCCTCACGTTCGCCGGTGATGTCGGTGTTGAACTGTTGATCTCTTCGGAAGGCGGTCTCTGGGCAGTAGAATATGATGAAGGGGAGCATGCAGCCGCAGAATATGGCGATTAGGTAAAAGCTCCATTGCCAGCCTATAGTATGCGTAATCTTCCCGACAAGAACAGGTGTGAAGAATGCTCCTCCGAAAAGAGCAAGGTTGGAGACGGCCATGCGAATGCCCCGTTGCTATGCGAATATCAGCGCTGCGGCATTGATTCATGAGTGGCAGACCCAATTGGGACATACGTGAACAAAATACAAATCTCCGACACTTGCATTTACGAGGGCCTCGAATGGGGCAAGTCCGACTCCTTGTATGATTCTAGCCCATAGCAAACTCTTGTAATTTGTTCCACTTGCGCCACCCCATGCGCTACTAATGATGATGAGGACTGTCCCTAATAGATACAAATGTCGTTTGCCCCACACTCTTGCGGAAGCGACGAAGAACAGGCCAGCGACTCCCACCCCAGCTAAGTGGTAGCCGGTCAGGAGTGCCATATCTGTAAAGTCTCGCTGAAAGACAAGAGAGAGTGTGACGGTGTTGGCGGCAAGGAGCGGACTGAGAGTGGAAGCAATGACAGAGGTGATGGACAGGATGGCGATGATAACGTCGCGCTTCCATAACGGCCAATTCTTGTGGACATTAGCCCACGACTCCCACCGAGGACGTATTCAAAGGCATACTAGTGGGTCATTTGGATCGTCACTTGGCTGTGGGACCAGTATAACAGGTACTCCTCCGCTTTTGTCGTATTTCAAACGAGAGTCAAGCTCCCCATTGTGCGTCGGTCGGGTAGGATCATCGTAGACGGACGAGGTACCTTGCAATGGTCAACACGCGAGCACTGTCAACTGGAATGGGAGCGCACCTGGGACCTGCCTACTACTCCTTGAACTAAGGATTCCGAGGCCCATTTGGTGTGGGCGGACAACTTCGGCGGAGTGAGCTGGCGGAAGCTACATATACAGTGTGCGGAAGGACACAAAAAGGACAAGCATATTGGGAACGCACGCAGAAGTATCAAGAATGAATATCACGGGAATGTCAAGTAGTTGACGTCTGCGGAGCAGCTTTATGCAGGCGGAGCCGAACCTTGAGACACGCCATCTCTAAGATGCATCACGGGTAAAGATATTTATGTCCATTGCCTTCGATCTCGTACAGATTTCACCATCTTCATGGATATGACTGCCGGCCAATGGTCCCCCGCATCACCACCCGAATACATCCATGGCTTCCACTCCCGAAGAGGCTCATGTATGATGTATGATAATTCTAGATTAGACCCACCATCCCGCTCCGCCGCTCTCCACTCCACTTTATCTCATACCGAAATGGTTGCATGCTATTTGTGCGGTTGGAGATCAGACGGCATCTTGAAGACGTTTCATGTGTCTGCAAGTCTTTTGAAGCACATGAGGCCCCAGGATCGAGGGGAGGTAACTCAGGTAAGCCGGCCTTCCCGTTCCCACTTACATCGAGCTTAACTCAACTGGAGTAAGAAACACAACTAATTTGCCCCTCAGATTGACCGTATCCACTCACACGCTGCAAGGTTCAGACGGGAGACTGAATTGCGCTAGGCCTTGAACCAATTACCGCTTGAGGACGAGATCCATGGGTGCCATCTGCTAGCGCCCATCAACGCTTCTTGCACTTTCTTCAATCCGCGTTTCCTTGGTGGAGGTGACAATAAAGTGAGGACCTCACCTGATTCCAATCCTCACTCTACTCCCTTTCCATTCAAGTATATACCCCCTCTCCTATATATACCAGACGTTCAAGCAATCGCAAAACCCACGTTAAGAGACCATCCAATCCACCATGAGGTTCTCTGCCCAGGCACTCTTTGCACTTATCCTTGCCACTTTCTGCTCAGCCCAGATACAATCACTTGGTGAATTGCCCGACTGCGCTGTAAGTCTAGAGTGATCGATTCACAACACAAGAACTCAATGGCTGACATCTTCCTCCAGAAACCCTGCGCCGCCAATCTTCCAGCCAACTGCAAACTCGACGTCAAATGCATTTGCGCCGACGCTGATTTCATTAAGAGTATTTCTTGCTGCGTTGCCGATGCTTGCTCAGCCCAAGATCTACAAAAGACCCTACAGGTGGCCCAGCAATTTTGCTCGACGGTCAAAGTGACATTACAAGCTCCGGGACCAGATGCCTGCCCCAAGAGCGGTGGATCCGGTGGAGCGTCAAGTGCAGCAAGCGATGCTACATCATCCGCTGCTGCACAAGTGAGCAGTGAAGCTAGCAGTGCAATCAGTAGTCAGGCGGCCTCGGCCAGCAGTCAAGCGTCTTCGGCTGCCGCTGGTGTCTCAAGTATGATGAGCAGTGCCAGTGCAGTAGCAGGTAAGCCGCTTTATCAGAGACCATGAACACCAGAAAGCTGATAATGATATAGGCTCCGCTACTCAGGCAAGTTCATCTGCCACTTCATCAGCTGCAGCCAGCACCGGTGGAGCTGTACAGTATGCAAGTAACAAGATCGGAGGGCTCGGTGCTGCGGTCGCAGCCGTTCTTCTTCTCTAGATATATATTTAAGAGACTTCGATTCCGTTTAACGCTCGGAGACCTTCGATCCACTGGTTGATGGCATATCATAGCTACAAATTGCAGAGCTAGAATGTCTTCTGTGTATATAAAGGCTTCTCGAGTCTAATGTAATTCAGCTCAAATCAGGGGGCATATCTGCTAGTGAAGCAATCTAGCCGTCCTTGAAGTCCCCAGTCTCAGTAGTATGCCAGCAGTGGCTCGTTTGAACTTACATTGATCTTAGGAAAACTAACGGAATATTCTGTGAGTAACATTTACTTGAGCCTTGATTTGACGAAGCACGCCGGAGGTCCAAGATGAAAAGATACCATGATTCTCAGTTCAAGCTGTACACCACGAGACGGATCAGGATTGTCGGAGGAGGTAAAAGGGTACGAGATACACTCAGCAAGCTGTTTTTCAACGCGGACTCTCAAATAATGGACTGCTATGTGTACGAGACCTCCCCCTGAGGTACGATTCGGTAAGGCAGACGATCCAGACTTGAATGAGAACGGCTGTGGCGCTCACTGTGGCTGTTCCAAACAATGCCATTCGGTGGGCTTACAGAGGATCAACAAATGATGAATCAGTCCATGACGATGGACGAGTCAGCGATGGGTCTTTCATTGTCGCGAAAAGGAGAGCTGACGCCCGATAATCGAGAATGCAGCTTAGCGACGGCTTTGATTTGATTTGATTTGATTTGAGCGGGCATCCCAATTCTCGCAAGTTTGGACGTCAAGCCAGAGATGAGACGGAAGGTTAAGGGTGTCAGCGCTTAGTACTGCCTAATCGAGAACGATTGCATAGTTCTATGTTATGCCAACGAAGCGCATTCTACAACTCTACATCTCTCAAGAGTCAAGAGATAAGTGCATGTAGGTCGATCGCTTCTTGGCAGGCCGAGACAGGCCTATTATTCAAGGTACCTCAGTGTACAGACTTTCATGCCTCTCGCCAAACTTGCGCAAGGCGGACTTAGGTAACGCTTTAGTGGGGGGCTTTCTCCAAAAGCATCCAACCAATCGACCCAACACCGAATCATATCACCGCTGCCCGCTGCTTCGATTAGCCTATCTCTACAAGCTATGTTAAAGATGTGCCACCCCAACTACTTGAATAGTCGCCTCTTTCACCCGTCCCATCTACACCTACATCTCCATCTCGACCATCGCCATCTCGAAACCCTCCGCCCATATTCACCAATTTCATCCAATGCATCCCAATTACCTCGGCCTACGTGCGGTCATCGGGATGGCCGCTACCATCCGCCAAATCCACCATTATCGTGATGATAAGAAAGCAGAATTGTGGCGATCGCCGTGAAAAAGCGCCCTTAAACACCCATCGACCCAGTGTCGCTTCACTCGTCCCTTGATTCCTCAATAGCCCCCGAATCAAGCCTTGAAGGAACGCGGATCTTGGATCTTCCAATTTTCGGACCTCACCGCCGGCTGCGGAGCCGGTAGAATGGCGGCACCGTCATATCATACGGCTGAGAAAGCAGACGCGATGAGCTCCTCCCCCGATTCCGGCTCCTTGGATGAAAATCCATTCGGCCAGACGGTGCCGTACTCGGCGTCCAGCGGCGCACGTGCCAGTATACCGCGAAGGGTCTGGGATAGCTTCAAGCAAGATCCAGGCCTGCGCATCTCATCACACGGCGTGCTCGGCGGTAATGGGAAGGTCTATGATGTCGAGGCTGCAGCGCAGGCGACCGCAGACTCACCACTTGCTCGACAATTGAAGTCGAGGCATCTGCAAATGATTGCCATCGGAGGCTCAATTGGGACCGGTCTATTCGTCGCTTCGGGGAAATCACTGTCGACAGGTGGGCCTGCCTCAGTGCTCATTGCCTACAGTCTCATTGGTGGTATGCTGTACTGCACCTGTCAAGCTCTGGGTGAGATGGCTGTCCTCTTTCCCGTAGCTGGTTCCTTTTCTGCGTACTCGACACGCTTTCTAGATCCTGCTTGGGGCTTTGCTATGGGCTGGAATTATGCCATTCAGTGGCTGGTCGCTCTGCCATTGGAAGTTGTTTCTGCGTCCCTGACCGTTAAGTACTGGAACAGTGGGATTTCCCCAGCTGCTTGGGTCTCGATCTTCCTTCTTCTAATCATCAGCATAAACCTTTTCGGTGTCAAGGGCTATGGCGAAGCAGAGTTTGTCTTCTCCCTTGTCAAGATCGTTGCTGTCGTGGGGTTCATAATCCTGGGCATCATACTGAACATTGGAGGTGGAGAAGAGGGCCAGGAATATATAGGTGGTCGATATTGGCACCACCCAGGAGCCTTCCACAACGGGTTCAAAGGTCTCTGCTCGGTCTTTGTCACAGCCGCTTTTGCTTTCGCTGGCACAGAGCTGGTTGGTCTCGCCGCAGCTGAGACAGCAAACCCTCGCAAATCTCTACCCACGGCAGTTAAGCAGGTCTTCTGGCGTATCACCCTGTTCTACATCGTGTCTCTTACACTCGTTGGCCTCTTAGTGCCATATAACGACAAACGTCTCATTGGCTCCAATGCAGCAGATGCCAAAGCCTCCCCATTCGTCCTCGCCATCAAAGACGCCGGCATTTCAATTCTGGACTCGGTCTTCAACGTTGTAATCATGATTGCAGTCCTCAGTGTTGGCAACTCAGCCGTGTACGGATCTTCTCGGACTCTCACAGCACTTGCCGAGCAAGGCCAAGCCCCTGAATTCTTCTGCTACATCGATCGCAAAGGCCGACCCCTTCGATCCATCCTCTTCGCATCTACGCTAGGTCTCCTCTCCTTCCTCGCCGCATCAGACAAAGAAGACGAGGCTTTCATCTGGATGCAGGCTCTCTCCGGTCTGAGCTCTATCTTCAGCTGGGGCTCCATTTGCCTTGCTCACATCCGTTTCCGGCGGGCCTGGCGCTTACAGAATCACAAACTCGAAGACCTCGCATTCACTTCTCAAGCTGGTGTTACTGGCTCCTGGCTCGGCTTCATCTTCAACATACTTGTAATTATTGCCGAATTCTGGACCGGCTTCGCACCAGTACCAAATCAAGATGGCAGCCACATTACTGGCACGATAGCCAGGACCAAGAATTGGTTCCAGGCTTGTCTATGTATACCTATCGTGTTACTTTGCTACGTACCTTACAAATTGTTTTTCAAGACCCCCTTTGTGAGATGCAAGGATATGGATCTGAAAGCTGGTGTAAGAGATTTGAATGTTGATGAGCTGGTGCATGAAGAGGCAATTGAACACGCGCAATGGCCGAAATGGAAGAAGGCGTACAAAGTCCTTTGTTAACGGCATTTCACATACATTAATTTGGGTGATTTGAAGTCATGATTTACATGATAGATAGCGGCGGTGTTGGCGGCGAAAGAGAACTCGGATGTGTATGCTGAACGATTTTTACGATTTAAAACAATTGCATCTAATTCTATACATCATGATCACAGCTCCTGATCACGAACCTCTCTTCTTCCCTCCTCAATTTTACCCAAGACCCCCAAGATCAGCCTCTCGTATCCATCCACCGCTTTCTCCAAATCCACCACGCTCAAATGCTCATCCGCTCCATGCGCTACCAATATGCTTCCAGGCCCATACAAATACCTTTTATGGTTCCCCTCCAGATTCGGCACATCAGTTCCATAATTTACCGTGATAGCCTCAAACCCATCCACATCCACATCGATATCCACCGGCCCATACGCTGGGCCTGGAAATTCGACCTCCAGCCGCTCATCCACACTCCTCACCGTCTCCAACACAATCTTCCGCACAGCTTCAGGCTTCCCCGCCGCAATCCTGATACCTAACGCTGCTTCCGCGTTCTCAGCAATGACATTTGCCGCCACACCCCCCTCAATCACCCCAATATTCACAGTCGTGTTCCCATACTTCTCACTCCACGGCATTTCCGCCTCACGCAGCTTCACCAGCGCCGTCAACAACATATCGATCGCATTCTCGCCCCGTTCGGGATAACCCGAGTGCCCGCCCTTCCCATGCGCTCTAATTACACAACTCAGTATCCCCTTGTGCCCGCCGGCTAACTTGAGTTCTGTGGGCTCGCCGAATATGACGGCGTCCCAGGCTTTCCCGAGGTTGTTCGCGGTGCGCATACCGTCGCCTGCGTTTTCTTCGCCGACGACGAAGAGCAGGGAGGAGGAGTGGGCGGGGATGCGATCGGTGCGGAGGAGGGGAGAGGAGGGCGAAGATTTGAGTTGCCACGGAGGCTTTGGCGTCGACGGTGCCGCGGCCCCTGGGGCGGTGAGTTGGCGTTTTGTTTCTTGGAGGGAGGAGAATGAGACGGGGGAGGTAGGGCTTACCAGATCTCGTCGCCGGCGCGAACATTGTAGGGGAGGAAGGGAGGAACGGTGTCGATGTGGGAGGTTATGAGCAATGGGGTTTCTCGAACGCCTTTGGGGTGGGCGAAGACATTGAACCTAGGTTTTAGAGCTTTGGAGAAGGGTGCGGAAGAGGAGGAGGATGTTTGTTGTGAGGCAACGGGTTGGAGCTCGACTTCGAGGTTTTGGGCCTCGAGGTAGCCTTTGAGGAAGATGGCGATGTCATGCTCGTGGTTTGAGACGGAGGGAATGGAGACGAGAAGTTTGTGGAGGGCGAGGAGTTGCGTGGTGTCTGTGCTGAAGATGTCTAGGCTGTGGGTAAGAGGGAGACTGTCTGTAATTGCTGGGGCTTTGTCACCGTCAAGTAGTGAGGATGACAGGTCTTTCAGAGGGGATTGAAAGCATAGCCCAGAGGAGAATGCAAGGAATGATGTGAGAAGCTTGTATTTCAGCAACATGGCGACGAAGTAACAGGCTTGGCTATTGCGTTGCTTTTGCTTATATCCAGCCCGTGTCTTGTGTCAATACCACACCGTCCGACTCTCAAGCAAGCAGTACTCGGCCTTATTGTGCCTCTGAGGCATTCATACACATCCAACACAGTTCACGATGGCCTGCATGGTCGTGCATTAGCAGATCAATCGGTCTGGAATTGTATATGCAGGAAGAGGCGCGGAGAGGGGAAGGGATTTTTCGGTAACTGCAGCAATGAATTTACTCCATTAGGGATGGCTGTTCCTGTACTGGTGGTGGGGGCTGCGATGGTTGGGAATCGATGGGACGACCCTGGTCGACTGCCCGTACTTTCGGCAGACCTAAATAAAAAGCGAATCAGAATGCGCAGAGAAGGGAAGTGTTCAGTTCTCAACACTGAACATCTCACCTTCATCCTCGTTTTCGCCTTGTGGTCCATTTTGGCCTGGTACATAGTTTCTGTATATTTTCTTCTTCACCATACTCTTCTCATACATTCGTTTATCGATTCTTGCTCCCTACGCCGGCCAAATCGACCTGAGGTGACCGCTGCAACTCCTGAACTACACCTCGGGATTTTCATTCGCTCCCTGTATGCGACCTGCAGTCGACCTTCGCAAAAACAATGACATCTCCGTAAACCTGCGCTCTTGATTATCAGTCCGGATACATTCATTGAATGTCTCACGCGTCTGATCAGACCCTCCAACCTACTGAAACGACTCCGCCTCGTTAAGAGCCAACTGTACAGAGGTCTTCACCCACTGCAGCTTACCGACCCACAGAACATCAATTCGAGTCAATAGAAGATCGTTATAATCTGGGTGACAACACTGTTCAAGAAGCCTACATGCCGATCAAATTGCCCAAGGCTTTTCCACGACGAAAATCAGCTGGCAATGCGCTTGAAGACTCTCCAATACCCACGCAATCCTCGTTCCGAGTCCTCGAGAGGCCGTCAAACAAGTCGTTTGAGGGCCCAGAGACCTTGAGGCGTATTAGCTACGCTCGACCGTTGAGTGCCAGCCAGTTGGATAATCAACCGTATTCAGGGGATAACAATAATCTTAATGTAAACAACCGGTATGCTCCAAATAGTCATCTCAACGGGGTGGACCGTGCTGACAGGTGCGACAGCGGCAGCGGCGGTACCAATAATTCAGGCTCCAGTGGTGGACATGACAATTCCTCGGCCTCCGCCCGGTTCAGTTCATCTTCGACCTTGCCGTCTTCTACCGACGTGCCCATAGACGACACAAACCAGATAAAGAATCCCTACAGAATGGCTGCGCCGCCTGTTCCAGAATCTTCTGGCATTGCTTCGCTGAAAGCTGCTGGACGTGCGTTCTCTTTCGGAAGGAGGAAGGCGGAAAGTCAAGCCCTCAATTCGCGGCCTGCGGTTGAACATACTCAAACTGATGGACGAGCGTACTACGCAAGAGAAAGAGCACTCACAGAGACTAGCCACACGAGTGAAAGCACTGCCACGCCGCCCAAACTACTTGACGGCGGCCTAGGCTTCGGATCTACGGACAACTTTGGGCGAATGTTTGAAGATTTTGGGAAAAGGCAGAGCCAAATTGACTTGCCCCAGGGAGGCCTAGGTATTCGTCAAACCGAAAGCCCGGGTAGACTGTCTCCCACAGACGATCCGCGGGATGGAATGGCCCCTCCTCACCTTCCAGCCATGGAGCGGACATATAGTTATGAGAAGGGTGATGAGAATTTTCACCAGCCACCCCGCCCTTTAAAATCAAACACAATGCCACTACCGAGCTCTGCAGTGCCTACAAATCGGAATAGACAACCCAGACCGCCATCGGCCGCGCTGCGAAGAAGTAGTGGATACGGACAGCCGAGTGGCTTGGCCCGGGATTCTCCTACGTCCCAGGATCCAGACTCAAGGCTGTTCATGGACTCTATGGCGATCAGTAGACGCCTTGACCGAGCTGCTAGTGGCGGTTATCAAGACAGCGATGATGAGGACAATCCAACGGCCTCACTAGTACCGCAAGGAAAGCACTCACCTTCCACACAGGTCACCGCAGGCGCCCAATATTATTCAGCGAATACCAACAGGCAAATCCCCTCGAGTCCTGGCTTTGATCCAAACCATCGTAACGCCTCTCCCAATCCATGGCAAGAAAGTTCAACGAATTCAACGCCCCGGGCGAAGAGGGTTGGGCTGGCCAACCAAGATGAAAGGTCAATGTTCGATGCATCGCCTCCTCTGCCTGGAGAGAGGGTGCCTCCACCCCGACAAAGAATACAACCTCCGCCGAAACTTCGTACTCAAAACAAAATCATGACACCAACGCAGTTTGAGCGGTATCGAAAGGAACAAGAGATCAATCAAGCCGTCGGCAAGCAATCAATCAATGATGAGTCTGATGAGGAAGCGGATGACTATGAGGATGACGATGAAGTAGAGCGCAATAAGCAGCTGGCAAAAGAGAGACGCAAGCAAGAAGCTCATTTAGCAGTCTACCGGCAGCAGATGATGAAGGTGACCGGAGAGCAATCCTCCGATAGTCCAAACGTGCAATTACGGCCGAGTATGGATCGAGCAAGTATGAGCGCACCCAACGTGCAGAACCGAGCAAGCAGTATAGAAATCAATTTCGACAAGCCTTCAGATGATGGAGAAAGGGGAAGTGACGAGGAGGACGAAGATGTACCACTGGGCGTTCTCGCTGCACATGGCTTTCCTTCAAAGACCAGACCGCCTACCTCAATGAGTGCAAACAGTACTAAGATACAGTATAAGAGCGAGTCCTATCCTCCACCACCAGCGTCCACGAGCGGTGCTTCCCAAGGTGGTCGAGCGAGTGGTTTGCCGCCTTTCGCTAGACACCTTCCACAAGATCCCTACTACGGAGCCAGCCTCGTCAACTCTCCTAACCGAGAGTCCCTCGCCATGGGCCACCAAGGCCCTCCTTCAGTAGCTGGGAGCATTCCACCTCATGTCCCGCCAGCTGGTCTCGTTGGTGTCATTGCAGGTGAGGAACGTGCAAGAGCAGCAAGAAGGGGCAGCCCTAATGCTCAAGGACCATACAGCTCTCTCCCTCCCTCCAGGTATGGGTCAGATGCCGGGAATGCCACCTGGGATGCCACCAATTATGTCACCTGGTGAAAGAGCAACTGTCCAGATGTCTGAACAGATGTCGCAGATGATGCAGATGCAAATGCAATGGATGCAACAGATGCAACAAATGATGTCGTCGGGAATGCAGTTGCCGCCCGGTCAGGTACCTCCAATGATGCCTGGGCCACCCGGCATGATGATGCCGCCAATGATGCCTCCTGGGTACGGTCAGCCTGCAAGACCAGCGTCATCCGGCCCTCCGACCGGAAATGTTACGCCTGGAGGTCAGGCGCCAGGCAGTCGTGCAATGAGCATGATGGGCGCTCAGTCTTGGCACCCACCGCAGCCTAACAATCGACAATCTTTTGCCCCAAGTGTAATGAGCGGTGGGCTTGCTGGAGGAGGCCCAGGATACACGCCCTCTTTAGCGCCTTCCGAGCGAAGTAACGTTGGTCTACCATCACGCTATCGACCTGTTTCTATCGCTCCAGCAGACGAACACAATCCCAGAGCTCATTCCAGAACGTCAACTTTGAATAGCAATACTTTGCATCCAGGTGCTCTAGGCAGAGATAGCAGACTGTCATCTTCTCAGGAACGAAAAAGCAATCTCTCGTTGCGACCGATCAGTCAAGCACAGATGAGGAAGAGTGGCAGTGACGACGATGATGAAGAAGGATGGGAGGAGATGAAGAAGAACAGGGACAAAAAGAAGAGCAAGTGGAGGCTCAACAGGAAGAAGGATGAGCAAGCTGAACCTGGCCTCGAGTATTATGAATATACCGACGCTTAAGTTGGTGAAAGAGCATGATAAGGTTATAGACTATTGGGAGTCTAGGGTTTGATTTATTCCGAGCAGGTAAAAGCACAGGTACATTAATTAATGGGCGACAATCACTTGCGACATCGCTGTGGTATGAATGTGAAGAACTCGTTGCATTTTGGAGGGATGCTAAATAATTTCGACATATTACCACAAAAGGGTTTCTGGAGGTCCAGGAGGACACGTGCAACGATACGGAGCAAAGGGTCATAAGATGTGCATTGGAGCGTACGAGTTCTATCCCAATAAGAGAATGTCCCGTCAATTTCGACCTGCCTGTGGACGGGGCGCATCGTACGAACCCGGTGTTACCTAATCAGGTGAAGTGCCAAGACTTTGTCGAAGCTGCGAGAAACATCACGAACGCGGTTGATGTTGCCACCACCTTCGACGCGTAAGCAAGCTGATACCTACAGGTGTTTGCGAGACGTTTCTGGAACCATGCGAGTCAAGTATATATATCTCGAAATGAGATCATTTCTGACCATCATTCAATCTCAAGAAAGCAAACATCCACAAGCACACTTCCACCATAGCAAACATACAAATACTCACATTCCTACCCAAGTCCCACAGCATGTATCGTGTCACAGCTCGTAATGCCCCGCGTGTCTGCAGGGCCTCATGCGGCGCACCCTCACGTAATCTATTCACAGCCACGCCATTCTTCCCTCACCTTGGTGGTTCACCCTTTGGTGCTGTTGGCAACGATGTCTTTCGCCTGCTAGAGTCCGCGACAGCCGATCTTGTACCTCAAGCATCACGGTCAAGATATGTAGCTCGAAGCTTCACACCACGTTTCGACGTTAGGGAAGCTGAAGCCAACTATGAGCTTCAAGGCGAGCTTCCAGGCTACGAACAAAAGGACCTCGACATCGAATTCGTCGACGAACGTACTCTAGTCATCAAAGGAAAGGTCGCCAACGAAGAAGCACACTCCAACGTCTCTGCCGTTGAAGACAGCAAGCAGAAAGCAGTCACGGCAGAAGACGCAACAAGCGACAACGCATCAGAAAAGTCAGCCAACTATCACAAACCGTCTGTTGAAGAAGAATACATCGATGCGGGCGCCGAAGCAGAAGCCGCTACCGAGAAAGCACCTACCTCTAGCGACGTAGCTCAGCCGACAGAGACGAAGCGAGCCGACACCGAGCCAGCCTTCAAATACTGGGTCTCGGAGCGATCTTCAGGCCATTTTGAGCGTCGCTTTTCTTTCCCAGGAAGAGTCAATCAGAACGAGGTCAAGGCCAGTCTTAGCAACGGCATCCTGAGCATTGTTGTGCCCAAGATTGTTGAGAAGGAAGCTAGACGCATTACCATTCAATAGAGTCAAGCCACGGCAAGAACGGTAGTTGAGGCATAGCGAAGGCGTTTCCTAGAGAAATCGGATTGCATTAGCATGTATTACTAGCCTTGGTGTTCAAGAGGGGTGAATGGAACACATCATGATTCATCAGCTCCAGATAGTCCCCTTCAGCTTAATAATAACTCTCAAACAACATGACCCCACCTTTTGGGGAGGCTTCTTGCATATTGTGCACCTTCCAGAAGCGTCCAGTGATTTCCCTGTTTTCCCTAATTCAAATGTCTCATGCGTGCGACCTTACTCCTTTCAGTCCTTCCATCTTTCTGACTTTCTTCTCGCCGCAGCCGCGTCCCGTGCATAAGTCATGCTCCGGGACCTGCATGAAGTGAAACCTATTTGCAAGTGGCCTGTGCACGTCTCCTGATGCTCTGGGGAGTCTGGAAGTACTTGGTAATTGATGTGGCGCTTTTGGATGGATTGAATATCGCCCGAATAGTCGAGGGGCGTGTCAGAGACGGGCTCAAGGCTTAAGCCGTCTTCGGATACTGTAATAATAGTCAATCAGCGGTCCAGGGTCCCGCCAGAATCAGGGGTAGAGGGCGAAAGATCGGGTCGAAGTAAGTCGTAGTCTTGGGTAGTGCAAGGAACGTATTTTGTTAGGGCATTTTAAAGGCTTTGTACAACCAGACTTAGGACTGATATGGAGTAGAGGGCGGCTTGTCCAACGAATCTTTTAGCGCCCAGTCCTAAGCTTGACGTGCATCTCGCAATAGCGGCCCTTCTCTTCCCTGCTCTACCCAATCAAAGAGACCAGGAGTGAGTCCCCCGTAGCTATCCCCCCACCAGCTTGCGCCAGCAGAGGCGATCACGCGGGCGCCCATGTAATTTATTCGACCCCTTTCTTCAGAGGACTGGAATTGCCTGGGGCAGCTGCCGCTACAACGAATGGTTGGTACAGGTCCACGATTCGTATACTTGAGCGCAACATGCTCTCCACTTTGGTTCGAAGCTTGTCCATTATCAATGAGTCGTCATGGTTGGTTCGATTTGCCTTTTTCCGCAGCGGAAGGCGACAAGAGTCAATCTGACGACTCATCATCGGCAATCTACGGTAGCACCATAAGCAGTGGAGCCAGCCTGCCTCATCTAAGGATGCCAACAACCTCTTGTCAGCATCGGCTGCACGTTGCCGCAATGTCTTTGGAGGGGCATCCTCTGTAGGAATATCGTTATTGTCCCAGCAAAGAGCGCCCGTGTGAGCGGTTGAAACAAGCAGCATCTCCTGTAGACCGTAGACGGTGGGAAAATTGTCCGAGTGACAATTTCGCAGGCAGCAAATTAGAAGCTTTAGACCCTCCCCGCTCACAATTTAAAGAAGAAATAACGTTGAAGAAGCAAAAAGCATCTGAAAGCGCCCTTAAACTCCTTTCTGCATAGCCTTGTAGCAAGCAATTCTGCAGCTTACGACTGGTTCACTACTGGCTACCGCATGCCTCTCCGCAATCATCTAACATCAAACTAACGGGCCACTCCAAGTCCCATGCTTGCAGGCACTGCTTCGCTTTCTTCGTCAGCGTGCGTGCGTGCCATTCACTTTCTTACCACCTCCTTCTTACCCAAGGTCCCATCTAAGATCTCTCAGTGGGCCATTCAGCTGACATTGGGCAGCAATAATGAGAGGATGCAATAGCATAATCTCACGCCCTGTTGCTTCTTGACCTCTCGGCCCCAGATTGCCGCCGACCTCTTTCGGACCCACTCTCTCGTCTGATGAGGCTTGATATCGAGCTACCTGCGATTTCTGCCATCGGTGCATATATCTGAAGGCATTCGAGGTGCAGCACTTTCCTCACATCCATCCCATTGAGACCGGGGAATGGATGGCACTGTCGCTCAGCCTCCCATCATCGGCGCCGGCGTCGTAAGTGCACAGTCAGACAGAACCATATATACGCAACCGACAAATCCGAACGATGCAAGACATGCACCACGGAAACCCTCGGGGCTTCAGATAAGCGTCAATGCAAACGATTCGGCGCACAGCAGCATGCGAAGCCCAAGGTCCCCCAAGACATTTGAAGCTCATGGTGACCCGCAAGACCAATCTCCACGATCATCAAAGTCCAATAACACCTCCAACCTGTCCCCAAAGTCTCCCAGAGAGCGCCTTGACGAGTTCCTCCGGCTGGAAGATAGTGGGGATACAAGGATCGAGGAGCCAAGCAAGCTGAGAAATACGTCTGCCTCACCAACCAAGGCCCAATCTTACAGCCAACTTCGCAATATATCTTCGCCCTTGCCCGATGCACGATCTTTGGGCAACTCATCACCTCCCTCGCCCCGATCGACAACTTCACCACTTCTCAACGGCTCCCCCTTGCGGCCAGGCCAAGGCCCGCGAACATCGTCAATAGATTCCGCAATATCCTCCATCTCCCTTGCAACAACGCATTCACCAAAAGGTTCCTTGGACTCGAATACGACGGCGTCGTCAGACATCTCTGGGCTAATCAAAGCAGCAGGCTCCCCAGAGGGTCTAATCTACCGTTTACTGCGAGAGAAACAGCAGCTAGAGGGCCGCAATGCTCAGCTTTGGAATCTGGTGGAGAAGCAGCGCAATATGGTATTGGGATTGAACAAGGATCTGCAAAGAGCTGCTAAAGGCGTGGAGCGTTACCGCGAGGAACTGAATGAATATAAAATCAGGGCGCTGCAAATCCCTAGTGCAACGTCGGAACCCTTGGTCGCAAAGCCAAGGCGTGCTCCTTCCCCAGCTCCGAGCGATAGCTCAGCAGATCTACCCATCCAAGGGCAGGGGAATGGCATCTCAAGGTCTGGCCCTGTTCCCGAAGCTTTCGATACTCCCCAACCACTTCAAACGGGCAACAAGAGGTTGATCATATCGTCAACCGAGGTGCCGTCAGTACCTCCCACAGGCCCAGAAGATTGGGTCGGAAACACTGGCAAACCGACAGGTACTAATCATTCGCACAAGCACACCTCGAGTTCAGATCTCGGAGTCTTCAACCTACCTAGACCATCACAGACAGTGACTCCGCTAGAGCCCAATAACATTGGTCAAGCAGACAATACCCCACCAATTTCACCAACTACAAGATCAAGAATGTCTCCCCCCACCAGCTTTACTGCGAAACGCACGCAACAATCTTCCAATAAACCCTTCAATAGCCCGTCTTTAATTCTGACTGAATCTACACCAATTGGCAATGACCTTGAAAGAATGACTCCACCACGAAAGGCGCCTCCTGCCCCTTTAGATTTTGCGCAGCCCAGGAAAGACTCCATCACCAATATTGGAAAGTCGGCCGATGAGGAGTCTGCGTCAGAATATGACGATGATGAAGGAGAAAACATAGTGCCCATGCTCGAGCGAGGTCGAAAGAAGACAAGGGAGGAAGACGATGTTGATAGGGAAATCTTGCAAAAGCAACAGGAAGAGGAGAGGAGCCAAAGCAAGAAAAAGAAGAGCTCTAAGTCAAGGTCCAAGTCTGAGAAGATGAAGGCTCCGGACCAGGACACGGCTATCAAATCACAGTCAACTACATTGCCCACCTCTATGAGAGCCTTTGCGCCAGAGCCAACACCTGCACTTGATTCGTCATTCACTTCACAACCAGCTTCTCTTGCTGGTGTTCTCAGTCCGGGAGCCGGACAGAGAATTGCAGAAATAACACAACAAACTGCGACCATGAAGGCACCCCTCAGTCCCGGTCTACCTATCAGTCCCCGACCAAGTGATCGTCCAGTCAACGCGCCAATGCCCAGGCTCCCTCGAGATTTAGCGAACTCGGCTGCTTCGCCTCCTATGTCTCCTGGTCAGGGCTTTGTTGGGTTGCCGCTCTCTCCTCGTGCGGCAAGACAACAGATTCCACTTCCTCCGCAGACTCCGATGTCAATCGCTCCGTCTTCTCCAAGACCAGCACCAACAGACTCATATGCAGACCCTGCTCGGGTGAATCGACGCCCGCTGAGTCCCATGACGGTGCAAACCGCTCCGAGTAAGGTCTCTATCGACTCCGATTCGTCTGGCTCCGTGGGTCAGGTTTCGAATGCCTCTAAGCCACGAGGCGTGTTCAGAGGCTTCATGACAGAAGCGTATCCAAATCTATTACTTCCTCCGAACGCTTTGCCATCTATCAAAGTGATGGTCGTCTCTTCTCGGCTCAAGCCTTCAAGACAGAGTCTAGTGTTAAGAGGCGCGGATGAGGAGCCTGTTTTCACCCTCGGTGTGTCTGCAAGATATGACGAGCAGGATCTTTGGAGCGTCGAAAAGCCAATCACGTCGTTGCTCCATCTAGATCAGCAAATCCGACATACGTCGAGATTGGACTTCAGACTCCCGGATCGATCCCTGTTTAGCGGTCATGCACCAGCCAAGGTTGACGCTCGAAGGATGGCTCTGGAGAAGTACTTCGAGACACTGCTAGACACTCAGCTAGAAGAAAAAGCGGCTGTTGCTTTATGTCAATACCTTTCGACTAATGTCTCGCAATCTGACACGAAGGAATCAAAGCACCATAATGGCCCAGTATCACCGATTGTATCTGATTATACTGTTCCGGTTGCGAAAGAGGGATACCTGACTAAACGGGGTAAGAACTTTGGTGGATGGAAAGCCAGATATTTCGTGCTTGACGAGCCGGTTCTGCGGTACCACGAAGCGCCTGGCAGTGCAGTGCTTGGGACTATCAAGCTTTATCGAGCTCAGATTGGCAAACAATCGCCACCGAAAGCATCTGGTTCTGGCGATGAAGGTGACAGTCAATACAGGCATGCGTTCTTGATCCGTGAGCCCAAAAAAAGGACTCCAATACTTTCGTTGATCATGTCCTCTGTGCGGAGAGTGATATTGAACGCGATGCCTGGGTAGTAGCGTTGATGGGATACATCAATGGTCCAGAACCTGACATGAAGGCAAGACCAAAGCTTGAGAAGGGTGACTCTGGCTCGAGTAAACAAGTATTACAGATGAAGTCGCGAGAAAGGCAAATCAGCATCACGAAAGAAAGTCCTGAAACCGAAGAATTTGATAGTCTGCAGTCAGTGCCGTATGAAGAGACCAAAACTGCACAGCCTCCCCAAGTTCGGATCACTCCAGATGTCTTACATGAGGAGTCACCCTCCCCCACTACCCCAGGATCAGGCTCCCTACCATCTGAGAAAAGCACTTCCGCGGCGTCAAAGCAAATCTCTGGACCACAGAATGGCGCCAAGATCAGTGACGCTGGAAAATGGGGCAACAAGCCCAAGGCTTCTCCACTCCCTACGCAAAAGGAACACAAGAAGCGGAGTCTCTTTGGGTTCCACAACAAGGAGAGTGGCCCCGTCGGGACATACCATCCAAATGGCTCAGATCTCAACCTGACGCAGAGTCAGCAACAGTATCAGGAACAGATCACGAACGTCAAAGCCGCTTTCGGTGCCCCTCTTGCTGAGGCGGCCGAATTTTGTGCACCCAAAGGAGTGCGTGATGTTTGCTTACCGGCAGTGGTCTATCGATGCCTTGAATACTTGACGGCAAAAGACGCTGCAAATGAAGAGGGTCTCTTTCGATTGAGTGGTTCCAACATTCTCATCAAGAACCTCAAGGCAAAGTTCAATGCGGAAGGTGACTTTGACATTCTAGGGACGGGCCAGTGGTATGATCTGAACGCTATTGCTTCGTTGCTGAAACAATATCTGCGAGAACTTCCGTCAATGATATTGACAAGAGAACTGCATATCAAGTTCTTGAAAGTGCTGGGTAAGCAGTTATTGCGCTTTCATCATTTTCATTCAATGAATCACTAACACGCAGATAGAAATACCAGATGAGAAGCAGAAGATCAACGCTTACAACGCATATGTACATCAGCTCCCAAAACCAAATTTCACCTTACTTAGAGCTCTGTGCGATTACCTGGTCACTGTGATTAGCAAATCAGATCTCAACAAGATGGACACACGCAATGTTTGTATCGTCTTCTCGCCGACTCTCAACATTCCCATGCCGCTTATGATATCCTTCCTATCAAACTTCGATGCTATCTTCGGCGACACCGTTCATAATGGGCCTATTCCTGCCTTGGATCACCAAACCCCTCACAGTCTATCCGCTGAGGACATACGCAGTCCTAGACGGCAGATGTTTTCAGACTTACCCACCCCTGCTTACAACCAAACATCGTTCTCGGCCAATCAGCAGCCATCTAGGCAGGAGCCAAACATCAATGGATTGCACGGCCAGCAAGATCTCGGCTTCGCTCCTCTCCAGCCTTCCTACAATCACCCCCCACCTCCGTCACAATCTCCGCCCCACGAGCCACACTCACTGGCCATACCAGCTATCGCGACTCCAAGGAGGCTTTCACCCGGCGCAAGCGCAAAGCAAAGCCGACGAGAGAGTTCCATGCTCCTTCTTGGACCCGGCCAACGGAAGAGCTCCTTGCCTATGATGAGGAGCGAAGGAGGACAATTCACGACGCTGGAACACTAAGACTCAGGCGTCTAGATGACTGACGACCCGACACCGAGCAGGTTCGCCTCACTGCTTTCACGCGAAACGCACTGCACGAACGTCGCTAACAGCGCGACTATGGCTACGATTTGTTTCACCGACTCCGAATGATACCCTTCTGGCATTACTTTTTTCGGTGACACGGCGCCTTGACAAGCGAACAATCTTTGCGCGTGGCTAACCGCTCTCAAACCCCTTTACCATCTACACACCTATACCTCTCTCTCAAGAGCAGAGCAAAGGAAACCTTTCTGGGATCCCTCCATCTACCTTTAGATTCATATTGAGCGACACCCATACGGTATGCTCAGGATTGGACGGGCGAATAAAGACAGGGGGCTGGATCACCCCTCCCTATTTTCTCTATCTGCTATATACACGTACACGCGACAGTTTTTGCTCCTTTCGAGTTTTACATTACAATACAATGCGACAGAACTTTGATACCCACTTAGGAGGCAGCGCAGCATTACTATTTTAGTACCAAGCAAGCGAACGGATGAAAGAGCGGATATGAATGCATGGATGGATGGATGGATGGATGGATGGACGGGTTGAGGATGGCTTTGACAGCTAGTCACCTAGCCAGAGAGGAGAACGAGGATGGACACGTCTTGTTGATTTCATCTGATTTGATGTGATGTGATTCGAGCTTCTAATGTGAATGGGATGGGAGGTAGGTATACCCGGGGGTGTTGGAAGGGGGTGAGGAGCTGAGCTCACAGGACCTTCTTTCTTCCACTGAAGCAGGTCATTGCGGTCGTCTTTTGGGTAATCACCCTATCTAGGTGTGGTGGTGTTCTTTGGAGTTTTAGATACCCTCTTGTGCCTGTCTGCTCGCTACTGCTTTAGTTGGGCACGTAGGCTTGGGATTTTGGTAGGCAGGCGTGAGTTGAAATGATAATGCTTAGTGTCTCAATTCAAAGCAATGCATTAAATGCCTTTTTCGATTGTTTGTGTAATGTTATTATTTTGGTATTGCCTATAAGGGGCAAGCTATTTGCATATTTGTTAGTCGAATATATACAATACACAGCATATCACGTAACGTTAGTGTACATAAGGTGCCCTGGGTATCTTCTTACGGTCATATCCTGCCTGTGGGACCCAACCAGGTTCCTCACTTGGTTGCAATTATTTCGTAAGTCGTGTCATGAGAAATCTTATCATCCATCCTGCGCTCCACATCTCCTTCGTCAAGGAACATCCACATTGCCATTCATTTCCCTCTCATTTCGGCGTCGCTGCCACAAATATAGGCACGTCACTCAGATCAAGCCCATATCCCTTACTATAGTGCGAGCTCTTTCGGCTCGCCTTGCCATCGACCCCCCTCGTCCCCGCACTACCTCCAAGACCACAGCCAGGCTCGTAGCCAAAGTGTAGGCCCCCTTCATAGCGGCCCATCACCGAACAATTCGTTGACGAATGTCCAGGACTTAAAGTCATATCTCTCAACTGAATTAAACGCGCTTCAGCTAACTGTATCGCGGGCTGCTCGTCTTGCACGTCGTGGTTTTGGACCAAGTCCTCCGGAGAAGTGTTCCTCGTCAGACGATGTTGTTGCATCAGAGCCGCACCGGCTGATTTGCGGCGTTCAGACCAGGCGCGTTGTTGAGCTGTCCAGCCAAGACTTTCATCTTGGACGGCTTTCTGGCAGGGGTTTGGAGTGCTCTGGGACAATGTTGGAACGCTGGGAGAAGAGCTGGTGGCAATGCTACGCGGTCGCTCCCCAATGACAGTTTCTTGCTTTTTCATTTGTCCTACGCTCCGTAGAGCTGGGAGAGATGGGACGGGAGGCGCATTGACCATGGTAGAGTGGGGTCGGAGATTCCTGCCTGGTGTTCCGCCACGATCATTGAAAGACGTAGACCGCAGACGCCTCCCTACAGCGCCTGAGCGAGGTTCTGATCCATTCCAGATAATTGCACTAGGTGATTGATCCCTCGTCTGCTTTGCACTCAATAGACTCTGATCGTCTGTCGGTGTGCGTTCAATAAACATTGACTGTGGGCGTGACCTTCCGACAGAATGACTCCTACTGGTTTGCATCATGTCTGCTGGGGCTTCCGGACTCCCTAGACTTTGGCGCCTGGCACGGCTTCGAGCCCGATTTAATTCCGACGCGGTCTGGTCGTCCATGCCGACGAAAGACCTCGGCCTTTGCATCACGGAACTCATCTGGTGTGGATGGTGTCCGCTTGATGCACGTGAAATACCCGGGTGAAGATTGGTCGCGATATCATACGGGGAGCCTCCTAAGGATTCTGCTACTGTGCCAAGATCACACAATGTTGGGACTGCATCCGTTTGGCTTACTCTGCGTTCCGTTGACTTGCGCCGAACCCTGGGAAAAGATCTTGCGCGTAGTGATTTATCTCCTCTGGCTTCTCTACTCAGTTGTTTCACCCTTTCTTCCCTATCTCTTTCCGCCTCCTCTTCTACTTCTTGCTCGTGCTTCTCCAGTCGTCTTTTCGCCTCTTCGGCTTTCTTGACCAGCTTTTTGCGCTCCTTGCTCTTTGATCGAAATCCAAAAGCAGACCAGCTTGGCGATCTTACTATGTCTGGCTTCCCTACTTCTTTCTCTTCTTCCTTTTCTCCTTCCTCTTCTTCGGGTTGAGCAGCGGCATGAGATGAGGTAGACGAGTACTCAATCGACTTGAAGTCACTGGGCTTTGAAGGTTTGGCGTCGAGAGGCCAGAATGTCCTGGCGGCTTCAATGGCACTTGCAGGAGATGGGAACCTGACTAGCGTCGAGTCAGACTTCTTTGATCCAGCACCCTCGTCGGATGAAACGTGTTGCCGCGTGGGGTATGTATGCTGCAGGGCCGGAAATTGCATGAGACGTTCAGCATGCCTCAATGCCATTGCAGAAGGCACCCGAGGTATGGTATCCTCCGAAAACTGGGAGAGACCAGTATTGATTAATGTTTGCACGGGTGGCTGCGACATAGGTCTATTCTTTTGTAGCCGGCGTCCCCTGGCCAGTCGCGGCGACACATCCATAGAAATTGCGGATGGAAGAGTAGCGTCCCTTGGCCGATACTCGTGGACTTCGGCCTCTAGGCGATCAAGTCCGTCAGAATCACGAATGCCAAAGGGTTGTACGGGCGCGCAGATAGGCCGCTTTTCTTCAAATGCTTCGAGACGAAGGCTGTTCGGATTGAAGGTGGAATGACGATGATTGATGCTCCCATTACTCTTATCAGAGGCGTTTGACTCAGTCGAGTTGTAGCCACTGTCTTGGTTCATGATTGGATCTGACTCAACTGTAGACTTGGCGGCTTGCGAACGTGGTACAGACCACCTTTGGGTTGTTTCATTTGGACCCCCAGCACCATTGACATTGTCAAACGCGTCCTCTTGAGGAACCCGAGATACCCCAGGCCCAAGTAAGGCTTGTGTCTCCGACAGAACAACAGCTTCATCTTGGAATGCTCTCGCTTTGAATGATTGATCCGTCGATGTAGATGAATGGGAGAAAGGACTGCTGTTAATCTCGGCGATGTACTCGAAAGCCATGCTGGAGGCAGAGGGAAGAGTGTTCACTGCATCCGGAGACGGCTTCGTTTGTACTTGCTGCTGACCGTATTCTCTATGGGTAGGAGTCGATCCTTTCTCCAATTGCGAGTGGTCCTCGAGTCGAATTGTTTCATCTGGCAACGCTTCATCGCCACTACCCTCCGACGCTGTATGATAGGCGTCGTGTCCACTCGAGCTCGGCGTTGGTGAGTGATATGTCCCAAGCTTCGACGTTTTCAGCGTCGGCGAGATCGTGCCGTTCGTCACCCGAAGCGTACCTAACCTTAGTCCTCCGAGTTGTGTGACATTCAAATCCGTAGGAGTTGATCTACCGTCATTTGAGAGTGCGAGTGCAGCAAGCCGCGACAATGGAGAAGACTCCGAATGCGAAGGATTGTAGTAATAATTTCGTTCCTCTTCAGATAGTCGTTTCTGAGGACGTCCTGGAAGGGGCGGCTTTCGTAAGATATCACTGGTGCTTCTTGTAGCCAGTCCGGGTGTGTACAGCGACTTGCGGCGTGTTGGGGGAAAGAAAGACTCGGTGTACATGTCCTCTTCGCCAGGGGATGAGACATGTTTCTGAGCAGCCAGGCTGTCTTTGTGTGCTCTTTCTTTAATTTGCTCGGCGACAACAGCGGACTCGGTTGCGCCTGTGGCTGTGAGCAACTTCGAGCTTGAGCTACTGGTGAGCTGCAGAGCTGATGTTTTAGTACTTGACAATTGCGTGAACCCAGATCCGCTCCTTGACAGGCCGTTTCTCGATGATGTAGGAGCTCCTGCCAAACGAATTGGAAGGCTTGCTTGTTCTTCGTCTGAAGAAAGATCTTGAGGGGTTTCATGTGACGAGCCGTATAAATACTCTCGAAGCTTGGACCGAGATTTGCGTTTGCTCCTCCGCTCACCACCCGAGCTCACGGTCACTGTGTCACCAAAGTAGTCGAGATCGGAGGAGGTCATAGGCGAGCTGGACTCCTGGTGATGGCTGGTAACATCAAGAAGGTCTGACCAGGAAGAATTTTTGGATTGAGGCTTGGAAAGCCTCCGGCTCATGGCAGGTGATTTTCCGCCCATCTTGACGAGATTGAAAGTAGTCGTGCTTAGCACAATTGGCGTGGAGAAACGTGAGGTAGAAGTCCCGCAAGCTGACGAAGAGCTTCAGTGAACGAGTGTTATGCAATCACGAGTATTGCAGCATAGGCAGCAACTTCATCACCGTTCCAAGGCTGTGGCCGCCAGGTATTTGCTGCAAGACTGACAAGGACAGGGGATCAGGCTGTGACCAAGGTATCTGTATCTAGCGTCGAGAGCGATTTGTCTGGCCTGCTGCAAAACGAGCGGAAGGATCTCGGAGAATTAGAATCAGTGATGCAGGAAAGAGTGTCTATGTTTAGCAAAGATGTAAAGAAAGTCAGGAGGAATGCCAGCGAAGATGTGTGGAGGGGCGGGCCATCCTGCTGAAGGCTGGGAAAAACAAACAAGTATGCGGAGCTCCAGGCCAATCGATAGCTAGCGATGTGGCTGGGGACCCGCATCCACGCTAGTGAAATCTTGGAATGCCAATAATGCCAAGGAACGCCACGGCATTCCATTGTGTGCCAAGCGGGAGTCGGACAGGACTTACACTTGTCTATGTCGACCTCCCTGTCCTCAATTTATTCAAATTGTTTCGTTTCTCTCGAATGAAGCCATCAAGAGTCGATGCGGGCTTTATAAACTCGGCGAGCTTATTGGAGGCATGCACCTGCCTCGAAGAACGGTTGAATCAGCTGAGTCCATCAAGTATATTCACAGCCCGGCTCGACCCAGAGCACCATTATCTTGTTTTGTCACGTAGGTTGAGGCAGCACCAGTCGCAAGGCGAATGCGTGTCTTGGAATACGGAGTTACTAGATGATGATCTTGATGGCTTAGAGACTCATGACGAGGTTTCAATGATACAAGTCAACGCAAATGCATTCATTCTAATGCCACGCTAGGCCGCAGTATACAAGAAAAACGTTCAAGGACCAGAGACTGAGGTAGACTACCATATCATTCATTCGCCAACCTATCAGGTTCCTGTGCTTTACTTTTTCATTAAGAACCTCCCAAGTAGATCACGTGTTGGCATAGATGCTGTGTACGAGTGCCTTGTGCCCCGACATCAACATGAGGCTTTGCGAGCTGTTGGGGTGATGGGAGGCTTAGGGATGATTGTAAGCCTCACTCAGTTATGTTGCTAGATCCATCCAGCCATCTGACAACCACTTCAACGAATAGAATCATCCGACGACTGATGTCCCATGCTTTTGGATACACCCTTGCCAGACAGCGGAGGCCATGAGTACCATAATAAGCGGCATTGGAAAGGATGCTAATGTGTATGAGTATCTTGTTCTGTGGATCGGTATGGTGGGCAGCGCTATTGGATTGAACCTGCCCAAAGAGGTAGCTTCGCATGACAGTGAAGGATTTGAGGGCATAGCGTAGCATATGTAAGCAAGCCTTCGCTAGCTTTGTATCCACCGACCCAATCCCCTTCTTTACCTCAGTCGTCATCATCACTACCCTCCTCCATTGGCGCATCACTATCCTCATCCATAGCGACATCCTCATCACTCTCGTCATCTCTTGTTCTTTTTACGCCTTTAGATTCCTCGGCATCATTGAGCTCAGCATCGCCGTTTGAGGTTGGAAGTTGCTGCGGTTTGACAGGTGTTGGCAGCCCTGAGGGTGGTATGCCAAAAATTTGCTGCTGCAAATCAGTGCTCACGGTCGTAGTTGCCGCAGTCATTGGCATTCTATAAGTCCCATCCAATTTTGCAATGGCATTTGATTTGCCTTTCGCATATCGTATCGTCTGTTAGGTTTCAGTAAGACCACATTCACATTGAGAAGAGCGTCAACTGCCCACCATTTGCTTCCCAAAGAAATCAAAGCCTTGCAATGAGCGCATTGCCTGCGTTGAAGCTTGCGTATCTCTGAATGCCACCCATGCCTGCCCTCGCATTTTGTTACCCGGCATCGCCACGACATCAAGAACTGGGCCATATGTGGCGAACAGGGTGTACAATGAAAGCCTCAGATCGTGTTTGCGAAGTTTTTCCGGCAGGTTGGTGAGGTAGAGACTGTAAGTACACCTTAGCTGTAGCGTCCGGTCAGACTATTTGCGGAGCAGCATGCGGGAACGGAGATGCTTACGTTTGGTTTGGAGATGTTGTCGACTTTTGAGGTGGCCCATTATGAGAGACCACATTTCGTGATGCCATTGCTTTAGCTTCCCAAAAGGCCTGCGTTGGCTAAGAGATTATAATGTTAATTGTGAGATTGAGATTTGAAGGTTGTCGCGTGCGCTAAAGTTTAGCGCGAGGACACATCAATGACTCCTTTTTGTCGATTCCCAACCTTCATACAGGGTAGACTTGGGCTTCAAGCTCATCATTCCATCGTCCAGTGGACTTTCGAGACAATCTTTATGTCAAGCCAATCAATTGATGCCGAGCAGATGCTTCAGGACATCTAAATTTATACTGTGCTTTGCCTTTGCGTTACTTATGTAAGAACGCACATACTGTCTACAACATACACCAATTCGGGATTTCAAGACGGCTGAGTTCCACCAAATATACCGAGCAAATACTTCGCCGCGATGAAGTCGTTCATTATGCCCAGAGCTTTCTGTGGGTAAAACGGTAATCAATTGCTCGTTGTGGCGGTAGCGAGGTCAAAAAAATTGACCAGAGAAGCTCCGTTGACTTTCCTGATTATGAGACTGGAAAGATCTTGCTTGGGTAAGGTAGCTTTACCATTTATGGGGTTACTACGAGATCTTGTGATAGCACATATAATAGTCAATTGATCATCCTAAAGCATTACTCTTTGCAGTATTCCATCATCAACCCCTTGTCCTTCCCTGAACTGGAGCTCTTTTTTCTCACAAGAATATCGGAAAAATCTGAAACCGAGTGGTCAGCGGCGTTGAGTGTCGTAAATCTGTCAATCTAATAATCCGTCAAGTTATGTTTGACATGCAGAAACCAGCTCCGTACACGATTCAGACATTACGGAGCACGAAACTTTGCATTCGGTTCCAAACGGCCTTAGATTTTTTGTTCTGACTTTTTAAGTCGCGATATTCTTCATTCTGATCACGCGTTCGTACTGTCGAACAGAAAGTGGCGTAGTCGTCAGTTTATATCGTCTCGCTAAGTAGCATTGTTGACCTACAGGTCAATAAATGTCTACAATTCTATGCTAAACCAGTTTTGCGGGTCACTTAGTCTATGCCAAAACAATAATAAAAAATTCTAGCTAAAACAACCTTCCGACGCATATCCATCGAATATCGTGAAATAACATGAATTGATCAAAACTTGCTGAACGATCGAAACACGAACAACTACGTAATCCAAGAATTTTTCCCAGGTGAGGTCATGCAAGTTAATCAAGATAAAGTCTCAAGTATTCTAAAAGATTCGTACTTGCGTTTGACGTCTTGAAATTACAAACAAGAAATATGGAAAGATCATTGGAACAATTCGACGAAAGAGGACTGCGTAAGTTGTTGAACGTACAAGTTCATGGTGATGGCAGTGCGCATGTAAGATTTCTTGTATACGAACAAAATCGTCATTAATATTGACTTAGACTTATTTCAGAACACACGATCTTCGTCCCCAAAAGGCAAAAGTCCCAAGAGTGGGGCTTGAGCGCTCGAGGCGCGACGAGCTCCCGGTCCTTGAAACTGTAGCTGAACGTTCACTTCAGCTCCATCACGACTAGTTTTCCCATGTTCCAGGGACACAGTATTGGTTCGATTTTGAGTTCGTTGCTTCGCATAACTATTGGCTGATTTCTTTCTTGAGAACCATGCATTGGCCCATCCACCCATCTTCCGAATCGGATATGGCATATTGGGTTTTTTGTCGTCTCTCTGAACGTAGACTCGTAAAGCAGAGCCGTAGCGCCAACACACGAGCAATGGAAAAATTATCGCGTGGATAATGAGACTGATGACAGTAATTATCATGTACCAGCCTTGAATTCTATCTTGAAGTACGTCATCAACGTCCTGCATTTGTGGAAGCGCAAGGCCGACTTGGCCCCACCCTGTGTAGCAATCGCATCGATTCATGAGGCCCCATTGTGTCATTGCAATGCCAGTCAAGGTGGCTGCAGTGAATATAATATCTTTCAAAAATGTCACCCAAAAGAGTAGCGTCGAAGTTTTGAATGATAGACAAAGGATCTTGATTGGCTTGCTATTAAGGGCCAGTCCTATGTTGATTGCAATGTCTAAGTAGGAACTGAAAAGCCAGGCAATTAGGATTGCGAGCTCTGCGATGTGTCGACAATTAAAGCTTCCTGGCGGTACCAGAGATGTAATTATTATTGCTGTTATGGTGCCGGACATGACGATCAAGTGAGCGAAGAAAAGATGGCTTGATTTCTTTCCGGCTGACCGTGAGGATTCAGGATGGTTACTCCGTATGATTTCATCTGATTGAATCTCATTCGCAACTGGTTCGGAATTGTGTCTTTGAGGCGAGCTAGCAGGCTGCAAATTGTTGGGCGAACGAGACCGGATCTGTGAATCGTATTTAGATGGTTGCCAAGTGTATATCCCCCCATGGAACTTTCGTCTTTCTTTATCATGAAGGCAGGCATTCGGGAGTGAAATCTGGTTCTTTAAACTTCGGCGATAATTCAAATCATTCTGAAAGCGTTCAAGTATGCGTGGAATAGCAGCCTCGGTCTGAGACACGCCCACAATGGAACCAAAGGTGACGACTGGAAGGACCCAATAATAGAGGGAAGAGAAAGCGATGCTGAATGTCTCTACATTGATGTAGAGCGTATTGTTGAGAGCGCCGGACCCATTATTGGCAACGTCGGCAGTCCTGAAGATTGCCACACCAATGGTGATAATGAAGATTACCTGCGCCGCAACGACGGGAAGCGATTTGGTTGCACGATCAGCCGCAAGCGCTTCTGCAGTTTGGTAAATGTTGGCTTTGGGGGTTTTGCGGCCTTTGAACCGATCTCTGTCACACTGTCAATGTCACTGACTCCCTGAATATTGCTACATTACGTACATTGCATCTCGCAAAACTGCGTGAGCTTCATCAGCCCTCTCCCACTCCGCATACGCGTCAGTGATAAGTGTCAACGCTCGCCAACCCTTTTCTCCGTCTTTACCTTCTTGAAAGCCAGCCTTTTGCCAAATCTCTGCCCAATGTTGACAAACATCTAGCTTTGCAAATAGATTGGCAATGGTATCAATAGGATCTCCAAGGAGATGAAAGACGACGAACGTCTCCGTGGCACCGTCAAGTGGAGGCCTTGGAAAGATGAATGCAAGCTGAAATAAGGGGAATTTCCATGTCGTTAAGCGAACCCATATATCAGAACTTGGATATCGATTCCAGCCCTCACCAGCAACAGCTACGCACGCTTCTTGGGTCAAGGCAAGACTATTATTAGAGGGCGGATTGCCTCTGACTGCTCGGTAAAGCCTTGCATCACTAGCACAAGCGTCATAGATGCGACTAGTGTAATTCCAGAGAGTGTTGAAGTCAAAGTGCTTTGTGTTGATACAGGCAGGCCATGGTTTAGAGCAATTGTACGATATGTTTGCATGGATGTGTTGACAATCCGGTAATAAGTTGGCCATGGAGGAGCTTGTAAAAATCCTTCCTTCAGAACATGTTGCAAAGCCGACAGCAGCGGCGCAAACAAGCCCGCTTTTAACATGGGCTTCATGGTTACCTCGATTTCGAGGACGACATGAGGCTCTGTCCAGAAAATGAGCAAGGGGAGTGCATGTTTAGGCGATTCACGATGCCTGTCTCGGCAGCAAAGGAGCGCTTAGCATGCAGGCTGCCTCATTTTATCACCCCCGGCTAAATCGGCTCACGCCCTGACCACTCATAAGGTTATACTCCCCTAGGTCTGGCTTCGGAGAGAGGCGAGCCTATCTCTTGAGGACGTTCGCTATCGTGCAATGATATCACACCTCGCAGTTATGACAGAACGTAAAGTGTGGATGACAAGGTCTTTTTTGGAAGGGTTGAAAATTCATGCAACTGATAAAGCTGTAATAATATTGAACATATCAGGAATTGACCAAGGCAAGCAGTGGTATTAGTAGACTTGGAACTAACGAGTAAACTTACTAATTGACCAAGAGATGTCGTGGTCTCATCAACTTTCAGTCACCAAATGGTGCGCAGGGAAGTATCGTCAACTTACTTGGGTTGGGACTGCCAGCGTGACCTCCAAGAGCAGGAGGTCACTGTAACGCTTGAATACTTGGAAGACATTCCTTTCTGTTCTTTCAATCCCTAATTGCTCGACATCAGAGTCCAAGACTAAAGGAGGAATTTGGAGGAGGGAATTAAACTGGGTTGTGCTGCACCAAGAAACTAGTCCCGAAGAAGACTAGCTGTACATATCCTAGCAACGCGTATACCAGCTCGAACTGCGACATCCATGAGCGATCACTAACACCCTCGCCGTCGTATGACTAAATAAAATAGGGTTAATACCGAATTAATCTGAAAATACTGACCCAGTACTCATTCACGATATTCAAATCTTCAGCGTCCTACAATGAACCACTTCCCGCAAGCTTGGGGTCGAGTAAGTCCGACTGTTCAAACCCAGCAAGCTAAGCTCCAACTCACATCTGCCAGCCCCGAGATGATGTCTACGGACCCTACAACTCCTCCTATCTCCAGACCTCCGCACCCAATACACACACGCAACAACCCATCGTAACAGGCACCTCCGTCCTCGCCGTAAAATTCAAAGACGGCATAGTAATAGCAGCCGATAATCTAGGTAGGCCCTTCCCTCCCCTTTTGCCCTTCCCTATCATGTTCCCCACAACTAAACCACGTCTCTCACAGCCTCCTACGGTTCCCTCGCCCGCTTTACTCCTGTCTCCCGCCTCCGCCCCTTCAACCCCCGTGCCATAATAGGCTTCGGCGGCGACGTCTCCGACATGCAATACCTAGACCGTCTCCTCAACTCCCTCGACGTTGACGAAAACTACTCGTCCACGGGCCACAGCCTACATGCGGCAAACCTGCACACCTACCTCTCCAAAGTGATGTACAAGCGACGCTCGGATATAAACCCGCTGTGGAACAGCATGCTAGTCGCCGGGCTGGACGGTGAGGACAAGCCATTCCTCGCGAGTGTGGATCTCTTGGGGACGACGTTCGAGGCGCCGACGCTGGCGACGGGGTTCGGGGCGCATCTTGCGCAGCCGCTTTTGAGGCGGTTGGCGGAGGAGGAGAGTCAGGTGCCGGGGATTACGAGGGAGATGGCGGTGGAGGCGGTGAAGGAATGTATGAAGGTGTTGTTTTATAGGGATGCGAGGAGTATGGATCGGTATAGCATTGCGGTTGTGACGAAGGAAGGGGGTGTGGAGTTGAAGGAGGACGAGGTGCTGGAGGGGCAGAGTTGGGCGTTTGCAGAGGAGATTAGGGGGTATGGTACTCAGGTTGCTTAAGGAGACAGGGGGTTGTGAGAATAGAGGAAGGAGAACAAGTCCGAGTGGAAGGTTGAGATTAGAATGAGAGCTATCAACAGATATTAAGCTCCAAAAATATGCCTGAATCACTTCACTGCTGAAAGACTGCACCGATGCCCTGGTATCCTCGCGGAAAACAATTGTAGCCAAAACAACAACAACAACGCTAAATGACCATGAACGCCATGCCATATAACCCATCACACCTCCACTTACTCCTTATCAATCGTAAGCGTCACTGTCGCTCAACTTTCTCGTTATTAATATCGACAGCATTCGGGACTGTCTCCTGCTTCATCCCACTCCCACTCGGCCCACTAGGGTGTCCATTACTCTTCTCATCAAGGATCTGTTGTGTAGCCTCTTTTCCAAGTGGCTGGCCGTCCATTGCTTCCTGCGGCGGCTCTTCACCTTTCGCCTCCGCCTGGTTCTTCAAATGCAGCTTCATCTCCATCTTCTTCTTCTTGCTTATCTTTTGCTGGCCTGTCGCTAGTCTTTCTTGCTCATCTAGATCGCTGTATTCGCTGCTGCTGATACTTGAGTCGTCCCCTTGAATGAGTACTTGTCCGCTACCTTCGGCCTTCTTTCGATCGCGCTGTTCTTGTTTCCACCTGCCCATCTTTTCCTCATCAGCTTGGCAATCGAGCGTTACCACCTTAAGTCCAGGGAGAGACGTTTGCAAGAACTCTTTGAGCTGTGGGAGCTTCTTGGCGTTCGGCCGATAAGTGCCACTGTCATTGTCAATGATGAGGCTATAGTATGCGGGGTCTTTCGGTGGCTCGCCTGACGGCGGACCGTTGTCGATCTCCACGGGTGGATGTGTTGGTTGTTCATCGGGGGAGCCTGAGCTGTGAGGATGTTTGAGACGTCTAATGAAGAATTCACCGGAGTAGGCAATGTAGATGTTGACATCACTATGCATGGTGTGCTTGCTCAACATGTCGATGCCGAATTCCTTGCCGGTTTCTGTAAAGCGCCATTGACCGTCTAGTGTGATAACATACGTGAAAATGCGGCCGCCTTTGTCCCAGTGACAAAGATCAAGGAGTTGGAGAGTCAGATCAGGGGACGGTGCCGGAAATGAGCCGTAAATAGTGGTTCGATCGTAATTGTATATACGAGCATGCTGGTGGTGGAGCGCGCGATTGAGAAGGCGGCCTTTGAGCGAGGTGGAAGTAAACATTCCGGCAACGAATGGCTTGAATTCGACATAGCGGTGGTAAAGTTCTGGAGGCACAGGACCAGCCAGCTGCATTTGATTTGATTGGAAACTGCCAAATGTTAGCTGGAAGTCGCATATCCACCACTGCGCTCTTACTTGTATTTGTCGGTGCCTGAGTGCCCAGGCTCCTTCGTCCCTGCTAAGCGGCCTATCATGGGACTGAAGTGCTTGCTCCAGGTGCATGGCCCAATAGTGTACATGTGACCTCCATTGTCCGACTGCGTTCGGCCCAGCACCTCCACGCTCATTACCAGGTCGCCCGACATCTTCACATTTCTGTTGAACATTGCGGCACATCCCCTCACAAAGTAGGCTCGCTTGCTGCCCATGCGTTTTTTGACCTTGAAGGCCTGCTCTTTGATGCCCTCCCATGACTCGCTGATTCCGCCAATGTTCAAGGAGACATTGCCTAGGCGATCATCGTGGTCCGCAGGATCCTCATCGTAAATTCGGGCTTTCAGAGCAAAGCCACTCGATGGGACATTGGCCACAATCCATTCCTCATTCCACACTGGATCAACATTGCGACGGATGGTGGTTGTTCGGAAGAAGAGGTTGGGGTCTTGTTTGTGGCGGGTCGGGAGCTTGGTGTACAGCTGGGTGAGAACGTAGGGGTCGGAGGAGAGGGAATTGATGTCAGCAAAGGGAAGGGCATTGGCGCGATGAAAGGTGATTTTCACATTGTAGCCAGGAGGAGCGTAAGGGATTGGGGTATCGTCGAATCCACCCTTGGGTTTCTTGTCCTGCTCGTCTTTCTGCGGCTTCATGTTCTTGGCTTTCGCCTGGAGAGTCTCGGTCTTATGCTCGATTTTCTCCGCGATATTGTCCTGGTGATGGCCATGTTTCCGGTCAATGGGCGTCACCTCTTCTTCTGCCATTGTTGTTGTGCCTGTCTCAGCAATTCACTTTTGTGACGCGCGGCTTCATAGAAGTGGGATGCGACTGACAGAGAGCTAAGCTTTTTTGCCCAGCAATAAGTTCGAGGGGGACCAGACCTTAAATACGTCCCTAGATTAGCGACTCCAGGCCGGGAGCTAATAATAATACTCGTATTACGGATATAACGTGGACTGCCTGATGATGACTCCTAAGAAACAACTTTCAATGACTTGGTCAAATGCAAGCAACGATGTAGCATTCTTGCAATATCAGCGCCGACCGCGAAGAAACGCTCCCTAGGACCCTACCTTTGCATACTCACACCAGCTATGCGCTAGCCTTTCTGACTTGTCCTGAAGCGCGAAGGTCTGGCCCGTTCTGTTGTAGCCACCACCATTTTTCTTCCGTTTTTAGCCGTCGTACCAAAACTTCAATGATCACCAGACGAGTGGAACCAGATAAAAAGATGCATCATCCTCCACGGTGGAAGCTCTTCGTTTGCACGAATCATATCATTGTCCCTCTGAAACTACCACGCCGCCATGTCTTTCATCGAGCTACAGACCGTGATCCTTCCAAATCTTACATCTGGACTTTCTATCCCTTCTGAGATCAGGACTTCCAACAGCCTTAGGAGTGCTTCCCAACCATCCATACGTTCTGACACAGAAGGGCTGCACCCATCAGACTCGGGTTCGACAGATCACGCCTTGTCTCGCCTGCGTGCCTCTTTTATCGTGGCATCTGTTGCGGGAATCACCCTTCTAAACTGTCTAGGCCAAAGTCTCCTCATCGTTGCCATCCCTCAAGTTGCCGAGGATCTCAAGATTCCTTCAGGTCTCATTCAGTGGCCAACCGCGGCTGCCACTTTGACCTTGGGCTGCTTGCTACTAGTGGTGGGCGCCATTGCCGATGTGGTTGGGAATAGACCTGTGTTTCTGGCTGGATGTGCTCTGCACCTATTCTTCGGAATAGGTTGTGCTCTGGCCCAGACTGGCTCCCAACTAATTGCTTCTCGTGCATTGCAAGGACTGGCTCTATCGCTTTGCATGCCTACGTCGGTCGGCATTATCACAACTAATTTTCCGGAAGGAAAGCGCCGCAATATCGCCTTTGCGAGCTTTGGGGGTAAGCCGACCAGCTCTCATTGCTGATACAAACTCTGACTTGAATTTAGGGGGCAATCCTGTCGGTTACGCATTGGGGCTTCTGCTGGGGGGCATCTTTGTGAAAACTGTGGGATGGCGGTATGCGTACTACTTTTCTCTTGCTTTGAACGCGGTGGTTTTCGTCAGTGCTTTCTTCAGCCTACCTGCCGACACCGCAGATCGAGCATCACTCGATCGGCTGAAGTCCGCTGTTGACTGGGTAGGTTTGGCACTGATTTCTGCTGTCCTTGCTATTCTTTCCTATGTCTTAGCGTCTATCACATCTGAATCTTCTTTGTCGCCTAAGAAGCCTCTCAATATTGCGCTCTTGATCCTTGCAATCTTGTTGATTCCTACTTTCGTGGCATGGGTGGGACGTCAAGAGACTCGAGGCAGGCCTGCAATTATCCCGAATTCGCTCTGGCGGCAATCTGGATTCACCAGTGTCTGTGTGGCTACCTTCCTTACATGGGCAATGTTCAACGCTCTAGCCTTTTTTGCAACGCTCTTGATGCAAGAAATTCAACATATATCGCCTCTACAGACCTCCCTGCAATTTCTGCCGCTGGTCGTCCTGAGCGTTTTCGCGAACTTTGTGGCAGGCTACCTGGTTGATAAAGTGGCGGCAAATAAGCTGGCGTTCGGCGCCACTGTACTCAGCGCTGGAGCACCGCTTATCTTTGCTCTTCTCTCACCGGAGTGGCCATTCTGGGCGGCAATGTTTCCTGCAATGTGCCTCATCCCGCTGTCTTCAGACTTCTTGTTCAACATTGCGAATCTTGTAATTACGGCTACTTTCTCTACGAAAGATCAGGCGCTCGCAGGCGGTGTCTTCAATACCGTGTCGCAACTAGGAAGCTCGATAGGACTCGCCGTTACGGCTGCCATAGCCGCCTCGGTGGAATCGTCAGGGAGCCACGGTGACATGAACAGTGCGGAGGCTGCTTTGAAAGGCTATAGAACGGTGTTCTGGACGTGTCTAGGTGCTGCGCTCGCCAGCTGTGCCATTTCGACCTTTGGTCTGAGGAAGAGTGGGAAGGTTGGATTGAAGAGAGAGTGAGGACGACGCCATTACCGTACACTGATTCATTCAAGGAGGCGTTTACTCGCCGAGTGCATCATATTACGGCCTTTTTGTCTCTTACAAGTTCCAGATCTTGCTGAGGAGATGTATAAATTTACATATCATTATGACTCGTACCGCTAATACGCTTGATCTCACAAGTTCCAATGAAGAGGGACGATCTGTAACCTTCAAACCATGACTGATCACTCTATCTAAGACTCTAGACATACAAGGCGAGCTCTTCCCAAGCGATCCGCAAAATCTATCTACGCTCAAAGCAGCCACAGACCAAGAGACGCCGCAAACCAAAGTCCTCCTAACCATGCCACAGCACCTCCAGCAAGTCCTCTCGCTCCCTCACCAACCTGTGTTGTCCCACCATTCCCAGTAGCCGTTGGGCTCGGCGTCGATGCCGTTACACTTCCAGCACCAGTCATACTTGCCGACGCCGAGTGAGCATCAAAAGCCTTGTTGGGAGCCGTATGCAAGGCGCTCGCTGGCGCACTGGCAGGATTACTCGCGACTTTCTGCACGCTCACCAAAGCTGAATTGGAAGCTGCAGCTGTGCCGGTTGTCGCAGTGGCAGCAGCGAAAGTGCCGGTAGAACCGTCAGCTGCGGAATAATAGCCGTTGCCATAATCGACGAAGGTGCCGTCATTGCCGTAGTAGGTTGCGTTGGATATGAAGCCGTAGGATGCGTCTGGAAGGAGGAATTCTGTCGTTGTTTCGTCCTGTTGAAGGAAAGAAAGAAAGGATGAGCGACTGGATTGGTGTGTAAAGGGGATATGGCTTACATAGCAAAACGGGATGTCCTCGATGGCTAGGCAGTCGACGTCAGGGGAGCAGCATACAGCGTCGGTGAACTCTTGACGACGTGCTAGACGGTGGCGCTTGCCGATTGGGAGACTGGCGACTTCTTGCAGGGGCCCCCAGTTGAAGATTGAAGGATCGGTGATGGCCCCATTGGAGGTGCCGGCAGCGTTGCTTGAGCCTGCGTCGTCTGGGGGCGTGCAGAGTAGGTATTGTGGATCGCAGGTCTGTGCGAGGGTTTGTGTAGCAAGTATAGCAGCGGCGAGGCTGAGAGGGAAAAGTGGACGGAGCATGATGATAAGTTGAGGGCTGAAAATTCGAATTTTTACTTTAGATGATGTTGAAGCAGTGGAAGTAAAGCAATTGATCCACGAACTGCTGCTGAGACCGTCAATATATGTGATTTCTACTCTGCAGACTGCGGTGCCTTGAGTTCCCAGCTTGGCGACAGCGAGTCTAGAAGACGCCTTGGCTGGTCGACAAAAACGCCACATTTCCCAAGCAACAGAAACGGTAGCAAAGCTAAGCAGCGAATTTGATCCCTTTTCATTTTTCAAGGATCTAGAATGCGGTGAACAAGCCACAAGACTCTGATACGACTCGATTGGGAGGGTTCTCCAGCTGCGCCAACAAGACTCATGCTCATGCACGGTCTCGTCGTTGTAGCCCTACTCTGCAGACGTGCATCAATGTCTCCTCACTTTCCCACCTTTCGCTCATATTCGGTGTTTGATAGACATGTTTCGTAGCAAAAGTCTGGATAGTTCAATTGACACGTTGGGTCAAGGGATGCATTGTCCAGATCCGCTCCGATTGCAATCACGATGTCAGTGCGACATTGGCCATCCACGCCAGTCACTACGTGAGACCCTACACCATCAATTCCAGATGGGGATTTGCTCATCAAATTGCTAGCCAATGATCATCATAGTGAGGCTCATACGTCTCGTCCCACTAATCATGTCAGGTACAAAGTCAGACCCACCAAGCGGCCGCAAATCACCCGAAATGATCGCTGCATGAACGTGACCCCTGTCTGTTCACCAGAGGCTTGCCAAGAGCGAAGCCCTCGTCTTCTCCTGGCGAAGGTGAGCTTTCTTGCGCCATAGGACTGCAAGGCCGGCGATTTCTAAGAGACGTCTTGCAGGTCATCACAGGCTCATTACTTCAGGCTTCCCATCAGCTTACTCGATACAGAGTCGTCAATACTCCGTGGGCAGACCCCCACCGGTCCCCAGTCGGAGACTTTGATCCTTCTGTCTCAGAGGCGGCAGCCCCGCATTGATGGATGGCTTTAGTCAAACGTTGGCAACACGATGATCTGATAATGCCATGCGGGCTCATATGCGCTCCAAGGCTAGCCGCAGATTTCATCCCGTATGAACGACAGATGCGGTCAGCCTGTCCCTAGAGGGTGGTGCCATATAGTTTCTCGAACGCCAAAGAGGATCCACACCCACCACGTTGCGAAGTCTGACGGACGCATGTCATCGGAGGTATCTTGCCTCAAACACAAGCACCTTCCCGATTTGTTTCTTCAGTCGAATCGTCACGCGATCCATTCATATTCTTAGAAGTCGTTCGTATTATTCTTGCAGAGACGGTACATCTTGCACCGGCCTTCCAATCAGGGCACCGCCTGTGCGACAGCCGAATATCTGAAACTGGCCGTCATGCAGGCCGCAATGACGGCCAAAGAATTCCTTCGACTTGCTGGCTGACCACCCAGACCCCGCCAGTGATGCAATATATAACAGCGATTGTATGGTTGTTGTGCCTGCGGCGTAGGACTTTGCCCCATTGCTGTTCACCGCATGCTGCTTGCATCTTACGTGTGCAACGCCTGTCGTTACTTCGCAACTTCCGTCGTACGAGGTCTTGCACTATTCTTTTAGCTGTCGTTGCGATATGCTTTCTTCTTTGCTGAAAAGTCTGCTATCTTTTGCGATCCACTGTTGAACAGCATGGCATCGCAGCCTTCTTCGATACTACAGCCTCCGACATCCTTTCTGAAAGAGAATCGGGGTGATGATCTGCTGGCGGCCGCAATCGTGTTGCTCATTCTTCCCACGCTGGCCGTGTCGCTTCGGATTTGGTCAAGATGGATCGCAAGAGCCGGGTTCTGGGTATGGAAAGATCAATCAAGGCCTTCAGACCTACGCTCTAACATGCTGGCAGTGGGATGACTACGCCATTATAGTCGCCATGGTACTAGCGAGTCATATGTTCAAGAAGGATTCTCATCGTTGACCCGGCCATAGATACTCTCCTGGGGCCCATGCATAGCCGTTCTGGAAGCAAGGGCGGAAGGCCTCGGGAAGCACCTTCTCGCCATCGAGTATCCGTCTCTGGATATTTACCATCCACTGAGATTATTCTTCAAAAATCTTTACGCCTTTCAGCTCCTGTACAGTATAGCCATAACCTCAGCTAGAGTCTCCATGTATGACCACCTCCAGATCTTCGAGTATATCGGGATACTGCCCGCGAACGAACGAGTCATTGACGCTAGTGACAGAATACTCTTTATGCACCGGATCTTCCCCATTGTCCACTTCCGTCATTTCCTTCTGGGCTGTCACGTCTTCAATATCTGCCTCGGACTCGCAGCAGCCTTGACGGAAATTCTGGCTTGCGTGCAACCTCATGACTTCTGTAAGTACCATCTTTTGGCTTTCGCTTGTTAAGTCATGTCGTTTAAAATGAAAGGGAAAAAGACCCAAGCGTTCAATCCCTTCATCTTTATCGTACTCCTAATCCTCCGCCCCAACGGTCCAGACAGCATACTGACCACCTTCACAACAGGGGACCATCTCGCCGGCAGGTCAGGCGGCAAATGCATTAACGTCCTCCACTACTTCATTGCTGCCGGTTCCCTCAACGCCGCTACTAATTTCTTCCTCTTGGCGCTACCGATCCCTCTCCTCTCGCGGCTTCGCACCACTAATTTGCAAAAACTGGTCATCACTATCTTCTTCATCATGGGCTTAACGTAAGTTTACTTCCCTCCGACCCCTCAACGTTTCTCGGTCTTCTTAAGATAGGACTGGACCCACCTAACAATGTCATCACAGCGTCTGTGCTGTAGGAATAACCCACATCGTCGTGTACTCCAACCTAAACGAAGACGACCTGACCTGGAATTACGTCGATGCAGCAATGTGGACGGCGGCCGAACCTAGCATCGCCGTCGTCTCTGCCTGTATACCCTCCCTACGCCCGCTATTCGCGAGGCTGATCTGGGGGAGGGAGCACAGGCCGAAACACATTCCGCACTCGAGCCAGCGCTCGTCAGGGAGAAATTGGCTAGGGAGGGGCAAGGAGGGTGAGGTTGGGGGTTTCAATCGCTTGAGGGAGAGTGCAGGGAGTGGGAACGGTGATTCAGGGTATGGATACGGTTTGGGGAAGGCGTGGATGCGCAACGTAGCTGTGTCCGGAGGGAAGAGTTGGGACACGGGCCGCGAGGAGTATATGATGGGTCCTGGGGTCAGGGCGAGTCAGTATGGAGGGCCTGCTGATGGGGAAATCAGGGTCAGGACAACGATTACGGTGACGGAGAGGGTTGATTGGCAGGATGATCTCTTCTAATAATATAATGACCGTGATGAATGTAATGAGTGATACCCTTTCAAAATTGCTGGAGGTCTCATAGTGCTTCGAAGGCTTTGACGGCGTCCTCTGCAGTGACGTGTGCGCTTGCTGGGTTGGCTCCTGTTACGAGTCTACCATCTGTGGTGTATTCGAGTTAGCAGTCACTTCGTAAGTCAAGCTTGAGTCCAGACGTGTGCGTCAATATACTCATGTAATGAAACAGTAGCGACGCCTAAGAAGCCAGAGTACATTACTCCTGCGTCTTGAATATGTCGTGAATCTTGCGAAAATGAACGCGACTCGGACGATATCGGTCCACAATAACGCATCTCAGGGCAATAATCAAACCTCGCAGGCAGGATGAACAACGTAGGCAGCACCGGCAACAAAAGCATCTAGAAACCTCACTCACCAGTTTGCGAAAAAGCCGCCCAAGGACCTGGTGGAGCAACATATGTCGCCCCTTCACTCGCAGCAACCTTCTCGATAGTCGGCCTCTGCCAACTCTCAATCGTGTCGAGGATACCTTCCTCTATCTCACCTTGCGTGGTGAAGCCCGTCACCCTCTTACCATTAATAATAGACTTCCCAGTCTCGGGATCCACGATACCGGGGAAAATAGCTCCCCCATGGCAAACCGTCGACATGATCCCCTGACCAGTCGTATACACCTTCAGGGCGATTTGCTGCAGGCCTTTTGCGTCAGGGTAGTCAATCAGACTCGCATGTCCCGCGCTCGCAAAGAAGAGTCCATAGTCTGACCATTTCACATCGCTGGGTGTCAGGATGTTGTCGAGTTTGGTGCGGAATTCGGAGCTGTGGTCTTCCCAGACTTTTTTGTCGTCAGGGGAAAGAAAGTCTGGTTGGAGGGAGAGCCAGTCAGGGAACCAGGTGCCTTTCTCGGAGACGAGGTCAACGGCGAAATTGGCGGCGCGGAAGACTTGGAAGGGGTGCAGGGCTTCGGATATGAAGAGCCCGGTTTCTCGACCTTCGGCGTAGAGCGGGGCGTGGACTGAGGTTATGGCTATGAGGGCTTTGCGGGGGGAGACATGATGTTTCTGGATTGGGCAAGAAATGCAATAAGGAATACAAGAATAGATGGACGGCTCTATGAAATAGGATGTACGATATCAGGTTTTTGATTGTTTTTGAAGCTTTGAAATACTTTTACAAAATTTTGATCATTTGATCAAGGAAAGAGATACTTATCATAGCTTGGTGAACATGAATGCCAAAGGATTATGTGTTGGATTCGCTTTGCTGTACTATATTGACGAGCCAGACGATATCCGCGCCAAGACCTGCCGAGGGTGCGTGGCTACGTCATTGGCAGAGGGCTCAACAGGCACCTCTCGCCAGGCTTTGGAGCTTGCATCTGGTCTCGTCCGCGATAGACGTGTCTTTACTGCCATTCCTAGACCATCCCTACCTATCCTAGTCTCTACTTTCAGGCTTCCTTGCATGACATTGATTACATGAACAGCTACACACTAGGACGTGCATATAATGTCGAGTAAGAAAGTTGGTCCTACTGCATTCACATAGAGCTGACTGATACCCTCCAGGCGCACCTCCAGATTACTGTATGTATCGTTGACTGTCGATTGGGCCACTCAAGCTCTGACCCTTGCAAGACAAAATCCTTGAGATTGCCCCAGATGCTACGCAGCAGCAGATCCGTGATGCATACAAGAAGTTAGTCGCACTCACTTTTTCACACCCCACCAAAGCTACGGGGCTGACCAAGTTTGTCGCAGACAAGCACTAAAGTCCCACCCTGATCGCGTGCCCACCGACTCCCCCGAACGCCCCGCTCGCACGAAGAAATTCCAACAGATCAATGACGCATACTACACCCTCTCCGATCCCACTCGACGCCGAGACTACGATACCGCGCGGTCTTACCATGGCTTCCCCACCGACGACTCCGATCCGGCCGAAGAAGAGATCCCTAGACCTCCACCTCCAAATGCAGGCGACCACGGCTTTGGCTGGTCCTCATTCTTTGGCAAGCATGGGCAGACTGGAGAGGGCGACGAGAAGTTCTCAAATGAGCAATTCGGAGGCGTCTTTGAGGAGATGCTGAGGGAAGAGGGCATGGCGGAGGGCAAGGAGGCTACGCCAACAGGGAAGTTCTGGAGTGTTGTTGGTGGATTGAGCGGTGGGGCTATGGGGTTCATTGTTGCGAACTTTCCGGGGGCGATTGCTGGCGCTGTTGCTGGCAACAGACTGGGTGCTATCAGGGATGCGAGGGGAAAGAGTGTGTACAGTGTTTTCCAGGTAAGTTTTGGCTGCTCGTGAACGACAATTGACATGTAGATTGACATTATTTAGGAACTACCGCAAGGTGACAAGGCGAAACTGCTGAGCGAAATGGCTGCGAAAGTTTTCGCGCATGCAGTCTCTGGTTGAAAGGTAAATAGGAGCGAATGCAGCATACCCTTGGATTGCGACGGGCTTTTCAATGAGATAGTGTGCTAGATAGCTTATTATAGTGAACGAATTTATTGATTAAACATTTCCAGATTTCAAGCCTCGCGTAGCTCACCAGATCTCACACTGTTCAAAGCACATCTTTCAAATTTCCAATGTCATATCCAATGTCATTCTTAATGTTGTTTATACATTCAGTCTTTTTCCACTGTATCATTTCGTCACTTGCTTCTTTTGGGACTGCCCAAACTCATTCACGCCTCTCTATCCCCTTCTCAATCAAATAAACATCTTCGCCAACTTCATGGCCCCCTCGATTCCCCCGGACCCACCACCAAATCCACCGCCAAACCCCCCAGAGCTCTTATACCTACCCCCTCCGGTCATCCCTGGCACCAACTTCTCCAATCCCCTCGGCATCTGAATCCCAAACCTCCTCAAAAGATCCGCCAGCGCGCCTCCCGTGATCAGCGGCATGATAACCAACATAAACAATTTCATTGGATGCCTCCGCGCATAATCGTACAGTTTCCGCAAATACCGTTTGATCTGATAGACGAGCTTGTTGATGTACCCCGATCTGGGGCGCGCGCGCGAAGAGCTATATTGGGAAGTGCTGTGTTGGCGCGAGCGCGAAGATTCCGAGGGCCGCACGAAGTAGTATTCTGATTTGGAGGAGGAGGAGCGCTTTGGCGAGGAGGGACGGTGGGTTGTGGAGCTGGAGTGGTGGGATTTGGAATGGTGGGAGGAGGAGCGGTGGGGTGGGGAGTTGGGAGAAACCCAGAATGACATTTTGGGTGACTTCTGATGGAGTGAGATAGAGTCGTATGGAAACGTTGGAGTCAATTGGGCTGTTGGTAGACTTCTAGATGTCGGTGGCTGGCAAGGCTGAGAGGAGCCCTCGGAGGTCAGATTGCGGAGTCGGAATGGTTCCGCCTGCCGTTTTCTATCCTTACCTCAAGCTCGCTAGAACTATCAGGTCAAAATTGTTAAATGTGTCTGACTGAAGGGCTGAGAAAATCGATCTACTGAAGTAAGAGATGCTGGCGGTTTTCATCCTTTGAAATGCCAGCATGACAGTCTAAATGCCTACTTATAACGGAAATGCCCAAGACCGATGACAGCCTGCCAGTTTACTTAGGCTCAGCTAAGGCCTCAAGCACGGAGCAGACGGAGAGACTCTCGCGTTCTCCTCATCCGTATCGTCGGCGAGGACCTAGCCTTTCACAAAGTGATGAGCCTTTTAAATCAAAACTCCGTTCTAGCCTAGATCATGATATAAAACAGGCAGGCGGGGAGGAAGGGTCTGCTACCTCATATTTCGATGCTGATCATCGGAAACGACGGAGAAGTCGTGATGCAGCTAGTGAAAGTGGCACAGAAGCTGATGACGAGAAAGAGACATTCTTGCTCGGATTACCGGCACCTCCGGCGAGGCCTCGAAAGGGCTTGAAAGAGGAATATGGGGCCTCGAGTCCGCTCTTGACACCTTCGTACCTTGACGAAGAAGAACGCAAAACAGCGTACGAAGTCTCCAAGAAGTGGCGTAACAGCGTCCAAGAAAGAAACGCCGATGAAGAAGCAGCCAAAGTCAGAGCCAAATTCAGGAGACGTAGGCGGGCCGAACTCATACGCAGAATAACCGAGACGGCACTGCTGTTGTCAATATGCTATATCAGCATAGGTATCCATCATCAGTGGCCTAAGGATACGTCTCTACAGGATCTCTCGCTATCCTCAATCCGAGTCCGAGAAGGGCTAAGGGCTGTCACCCAGCCGGTACCTACCTTTGTCGCCATTATTTCGGCACTATATGTGCTGTACCCGCTTCGTATCATCTACAACAACCACGAACTGAGTGTAGCCAAGCGGAAATCCCGCTTTTACATCCACCTACCGGCGGCTTTTGACCCTGCTCCTCTTCTATATCCTGTTCTAGTACCAGCGATCGTTGCTTGGTCCATTGCACAGGATGATGCAAAAGTCATGCTACCGAACTTGGTTCTAGGGGTTGCCTCCATACCAAGCAAAATAATACCTTTCGGTAACGTGCCATGGTGTAGCTCCCCGCAATGGCTCGTCTCTATCTTGCCGATTTGGAACCTTCGGAAGTGGCGAACCGAAGTCTCCCAGGCCGAAGCACTCGATCCTGTTGCAAAGTGTGGTCTAGATAAATTGGTCTACTTGTATCCGCTGCATCATGCATTGCTACCCATTCTCCAGTATCTCACAACCACAAGTCTTCTACCCACCGAGTTGCAATTGCTCTCATGTTCGCTGATCAACCTGCTCCTGCTTTCAGATTCACCCCAGGCGTTGATTCTGCAAATACTCCTATGGATGGGTGGAGTTGCACTCCTGATTTTGTGCAGTCAAGTCTTAAGATGGGGAGTTTCAATCGCGCGCATTCCTTCGTGGCGTTTTCGAAAGCCGAGACATCGCAACACTCATGGCAATGTCGTTCTCACCGCGGTCAAAGACAGTCTTCAGGGGCTTAATGAAGGACGTGACACTGTCAAGTACAGCAGTGAGTCATCCACCGAGGAAGGTAATTACGAACAATCAAAATCATCAGGAAGATCTGGCAGAAAGTCTTTAAAGGTCAGAACTACTGAACTAGACTCCGTTAATCAACAACTTGCACGGCACAATTCTGTTAGCACGCCTATGTCAGCATCTGCTGACGGCAGAGCGTTGGGATCTCTAGATGCAAATGGCTCCCCGGAACAAGCACGATCAATCATTCAGCGACATCGTCGAAGTAATACACTGCCTACGAACATAAGGCCATCTGCGGCAGCACCTGCTTTTGGTATCATCTCACAGGCTGGTACAAGGATATTTGAATCTGGGAAGCTGTTGACCTTCCGATCCATGACTGCCGCTCAAGCAACATTACTACGTTGGATTTTTGCGGCATACGTCTACATTGTTGTTGTAGGCTTGATCGCAGTTCCCCTGAGGCTATATATTGCTCAAAAAGTGTTTCAGGGTATGGACCCCGTAGGCTGGGCTCTTGGTTACATGTTTGGTGACCTGCCATCTTCTCGTTCTTTTGTTGAGAGGCACAACATCAGCAATTGGATGCCATTGCCTACTGAGCAAACAGCACATAGCTCTATCACCAGTTTCTTTCACTTGAACCTGGTATTCACCATTCACGTAGGTGCAGCTAACACGCGGCTACTACTTTGTGCTTACTATATTGCCGTCATCGCGCTTGGGCTGGTGATAGTCCGTCGGCTCAGTGTAGTCGTCGAAGTCGACACTCGGCGAAAAGTATTTCATGGGATGATGGTAGCGATGCTCCTTCCCACGGTATTTGTGGATCCTACCTTTGTCTCGCTGGCCCTCATCATTGTCCTCGCGGTCTTCCTGATCTTAGATTTGTTTCGGGCCTCCCAGCTTCCGCCGGTCGCCAGACCACTGACTTACTTTCTAGCACCATATGTGGATGGGCGAGACCATCGCGGCCCGGTGATTGTATCACACATCTTCTTACTTATCGGGTGTGCAATACCTCTCTGGTTATCTTTGAGTGCGATCTCGCGGACTGGACAATGGCCTTGGCAAGGATGGGAGGTACCAACTCGAGACCTGAGTATGGTCAGCGGCATTGTATGCGTCGGCATGGGAGATGCTGCAGCATCACTGATTGGACGACGATATGGACGTCGCAGATGGTGCTGGACGGGAGGGAAAAGTCTGGAGGGAAGTCTTGCATTCGCAGTGGCCGTCCTGGTTGGGCTTAGTGCTGCTCGGATATGGCTGCTTATTGGGGGTTGGGATGGTGACAGCGGGGACACTATCCTGTGGTTCACAGTGAAAGCGGGCGTCGCTGCGGCGGGTGCCAGCCTTACTGAGGCAGTTTTGACGGGGGGAAATGATAATGTTATTGTGCCGATAGTGCTGTGGCTTTTGGTTCGAGGACTGGGCCTATAATCTATCATGGGCTGCGGGGTTTTTGAACAATTTAGCGAGGCGTTGCAGGGGCTCTGGGTACAGAGTAGAGTAGGGACATCAAGGCTGGGGAGAGGTCCCCAGAGACTAAGGGGTTGGGCTCTGTTGTATATATTTCTACGAATCGAGCATGTCCATGCTCTAGCCTAGCAGTATAGAACGTTCTGGCACAGGTAAGACTGGCCCGGACAGATATGCTAGATATGACAAAGCGACTCATGATTCTCACTGACTTTGCCACCAGTGCGTGTGTTGACGTGCTCTCGTGGTGGAGGGCGCACGGCGTGATCAGTCGTGCTGGCCGGAAAAGGCTTATCGGGAGCGTTACCTTATCGCACCCCTTTTAGTGCCTGAAGAGAAGCCCACCAGCCCACCAGCAGCCCACCAGAGCTTAGGAAGGCCTTGACTTTATTGGCTTGTCCATCTTGCGGGGAGTTCGAGTCAGAGACAGCTTCTCGATGACTCTATCTTGTCCTACCAGCTCTTCGTATTACTCCTCTCTCATGCAATCTACTACCTGTGTCGGGTCTGTGTCTCTCAGCACGGACGACCTATTGCCCTAGATCTCTGATTCTTCCGACATCAGCCCTTTACATCATCATTTCCCACCACAAGTCAGACGCTACATTCAGATCACGCCTCACTACGCGCAGGACCCCTCCTTCACCAGCTACAGACTCATGGCCTCCACTAGGTAAACATCGCGTCCCTGCAGCCTGCTAAGCACCTCTACCAATCATCGACTCCTCTCGTCCAACCTTCCCCTTACGATGGTCTCCCCAACCTGCAGGTAGCAGTAGCCTTGCACCCCATCCTCAATCCCAACATCATCGCATCTGTCTGCCATACCCGCAAATGCACGACTCTTCCTTCAGATATTCCTTCGCCCATTCGACGAGGTGACATTTATTTCACCCGTCCGTGACTTTGATCAGGCGGTCTCTTGATACAGCTTCACCCGCCTGACGACTAACGATGGCGGACCAAAACCAACCGTCCTCCACATCGAGGATGTCAAGAAATACGTCAAAAAAGAAATGACAATTGGAAATTTCAATCGGCTGGAGGAGATAGGAAAGGGAAGCTTTGCAACCGTCTACAAAGCTGCCGTCTCTGTAAGTATTCATTCCAGTATTGTCGTCCGACCGCCTTTACAAGGTTCGGAGGCTTGATGCATTCTTGCCCCCATGAGTAACGGCATGGAAATGTTGTCAAGCAGGACCAATGCCGCTTGCGAATGTTATTGCTAATGCTCTTGCCCGCAGAAACAGCCAGGCTTTGTCGCCATCAAGTCTGTTGACATTAATCGCCTGAATAAGAAGCTCAAAGAAAATCTATACTCTGAGATCAAAATCCTGAAAGGCATGCATCACCCGCATATCGTCGCCCTGGTCGATTGTAAAGAATCCACAGCTCATATTCATTTAATCATGGAATTCTGTGAGCTCGGCGACTTGTCCTACTTCATCAAGAAGAAAGATTCACTCAAGTTACATGAGACGATGGCTGAAACCTTCAAGAAATATCCCAATCCTCCAGGTGGCGGGCTCAACGAGGTCATTGTGAGACACTTTGTGAAGCAGCTGGCCAATGCTATTGAGTTTCTACGAACGCAGAATTGTATACACCGGGATGTCAAGCCTCAGAATCTCCTCTTGAATCATTCTCCGTACTACTACTCGGAGGTCCAGCCCGCCGTCTTCCCCTTCAAGGCCCATGAGAAAACGCTGGTGCCCAATGTGGGCATAGAAACCCTTCCCACGTTGAAGCTGGCCGATTTCGGCTTCGCGCGTTCATTACCTACCACCTCTCTAGCAGAGACTCTTTGTGAGTACTCCCTTGTCCCTACTCATATCTTCCATGATTCTTGATCATATCCTGACCATTCTGCTAATTCATTGTCTTGCCTAGGTGGATCCCCACTCTACATGGCCCCCGAGATTTTGCGTTATGAAAAGTATGATGCTAGCGTTGACTTGTGGTCAACTGGAACCGTACTTTACGAGATGTTGGTCGGGAAGCCACCCTTCAAAGCTGTAAATCATGTAGAACTTCTACGGAGGATCGAAAAAAGCGACGATAGAATCGCCTTCCCACGTGAGATCTATGTCAGCGATTCACTGAAAAGTCTTGTTCGCCAGCTCTTGAAGCGCAATCCTGCCGGGAGAATGTCTTTCCAGGAATTTTTCAAGAACACAGTCATTACAGACGAGATTCCCGGCCTGACTGACGATGACCGAGCCCGTCAGCTTCCACGGCCTGTGTTGAAGCCTAAGTCCTCAAGAGATAGCGAGAAAAGCACAAATAGTAGGGGGTCCGTCACATCCAAGCCAAGTGTATCGCAGATTACTCCACAGTCTTCGAAGACACAACTCTCCAGCAGTCCCCAGACCGCAGCCTTAAAGGTTAATCCGTCTCTCAATCGACGATCATCTGGTACACCACCAAGAGCTGTCCAAGGAGATTTTAGAGACAGGAGGCAAAGCATCGAGACTCCGAGGGAAGCTACAAGAGAAACCTCTAGTCCAGCGCGCCGACCAAGCATAATATCCCACGCAACTGCACCAGCGCGGCATGATCTACACGCTCAAGGTACGAAGAATGCAGCAGTAGCAGCTATGGAAAGAAAATCGAGCCGGACTTCACTCTCGTCCCAGGAGAAAGCTCAACAACGCGAAAAGGCGCTACAGCTCAGGGAAGCCAAGGAAAGAGCGGCACAAGACGTAGCCTTCGAAAGGGACTACGTCGTTGTAGAGAAGCGCGCAGTCGAAGTCAATGCTTTCGCAGATGAACTCGATGCTAGTCCAAGAATTCAAGGAAACGGCCAGGATCCTACTCGCGGCGCGATGATTCGGAGAGCAACTCAACAAGGGCCACCCGCGTCGACTACAGGAGCCCAGGTCACACCTTCCCGGGCTCTCCAAGTTGTCTCGGGCAAGAGACAAGACTCCACTCATCATCGAAGAAGTTCATATGAACGCAGACTTCGTGAACCCATTTCAGCAACATCCGCCATCTCCAAAGCCATAACCATGGCCAGTGGAAGGCTCTTTGGGTTGGGTTACTCCCCACCATTTGGAGCTGGCCCTGGTGGGCATTCGCCTCCTTCTTACGCGCCTTTTCCAGCGTACCCGACAAATCAAGGCAGTCTTCTTATGATAGACGATGGCTCGAAGAAGACTCCTGTTCCTCTAGACGAAGACTCTAAGACCGTCCAAGTCATTGAAGACAATGCGACACGCAGCGATGTTGTATTCGGGTTTGCGGAAGTAAAGTATAAGCAGCTTATTCCACTAGCCCCGTCGACGGATCAAGGCCTTGGCCTGCGAATGTCTGAGCAATCTCAAGAAGCCAGCACAAATGAAGACGAAGGTTTGACCATTGACGCAATTGTCACGCTCTCAGAAGAGGCGCTCGTCTTGTACGTGAAGGCACTTGCTGTTTTGGCCAAATCGATGGACATTGCTAGTGCTTGGTGGATGAAAAAGAATCGAGGCGAAATTTTGGATGATGCAGCGCATCGAAAGACCGCAAACGGGAGGATGGGTAATCGCATAAATAACGTCGTGCAATGGGTCAGATCACGATTCAACGAGACCCTTGAGAAAGCAGAGTTTGTCCGCTTGAAATTGGTCGAGTCACAGAAGCAATTACCGCCTGAGCACCCAAGCCATCCGAATAATCATCCTTCTCCGACCTCATCGGCGTCTTCCGCAGATCAAATATGTGTCACTTCCGGTATCACAGCTGAGAAATTGATGTACGACCGTGCCCTAGAAATGAGTCGGTCAGCAGCTGTTAACGAGCTTGTTGGCGAGGACCTTCCAAATTGTGAGCTTGCCTACGCCACAGCTATCCGCATGCTGGAAGCTGTGCTAGAAGACGATGATGAGTTGGCAACTAAGAAAGCTATCACGGGCGACGAACAAAAGAGAAAAGCTTCGGAAGACGACTTCATCAATGGCGTTGAGGCGGAAGACCGGCAGGTCGTGGTAAAGCGTAAGTTGTAGTTCCCATTTGCAGTTTGAGAGACATCATGCTGAAACGTGATTAGTGGTCCAGAGCATCCGGACTCGACATCAAGCTCTGCGCAAAAAGATGCAAGTCATCTCACGGCAAACCAGCGCCCAGCAGGTAGCTCAACCCCCCAAGTCAACTATTATCAAGAACCAGCCGACTCCGATTATTGCCACAACGCCTCCACGATGACAAGTGGAAGCTGTGCCAGGACACTAAGGACTTGAATCTTACCAAGAACGCTCACCAACAGTGACATATCCCACGAGAGGATAAACGATGTGCCAGTCGCTCTATCTCACTACAGCTTAACTACTAAATTTTCACTTCAGAATAATGCATTACGAATGGAATTGAAATTGGATCAGAACAAACCGGCGCAACAGTATGCGAAAGTTATGAACGGGGGCTCGGAGTTTTCCTACACACATTTTCGGTGAGGGATAACAACGAAGAGGAATTCTCAGCTTTGCAACATCATGGCGTTTGGGGGTCTAGCGAGGCGCTGTGATCTGTCAGACGAGCTTCACGACCATGAGAGCTGGGCGAACAGACTGGGGAACATTGAAGCAGAGGAGATGGCGTGTATGATAGATACCCCCGATTAGTAGGGCGTTGGGCAGATGTGGGACATTGCCATATACTTTACCGTCTACTGATGTACTTGACCTTTTAAAGTAATTTGATTCCTCTTCTCTCTCAGAAAACTGACTTCATGCTCCGTGTCTCTTGTGATCGTTCGTCCAAATTTGGTTTCGTGAGAGAATAATGTCTTCACTTGTTGATGCTAGTTTCCTCCACAAAGCCAATCATTCAGAGAAGACTTTCTTCACATGGTCTACATCTTTAGTGAATTATAGATAGATCTACTGTCCATAAGAGTCCACGAAACTAACGCGAGAAAACAATCGACCCAAACATCGTCACCCTCCCTAGTCAGAGGCTGCAAGATCCCACCGCACTCCTGTCCATCAATATAGCCTTGCATGAGAGAAATGTACCTTTTAAATTATCTATTAAGTGAAGTGATCTAAGTTAATATTCACTACCTTATAGTTTCTCGCCACTTTTAGATAAATATCCATTCTCCACTAACCAGCCCTCTACATCTCCCCCATCCCTCTTCAACCAGTTCGCCTTCGCCTGTACAGCATCTAAGCTCTGCTCGAGTGCGCGATCGAAGCCCTATAGTTGCGTCAGTCAGCTCGATAGCCATCACAAACACCGTTGCCCTCGACCGTTGCTAGAACGCAGAATTCGCAACCCAGGGGGAAAGACGACATACCTTTGTGCTCCGCCCCTCAAACCACTTCTTCACCACATCCCTCTGCTCCTCCGATGTGAACCCTCCGACACAGATACTGATCACATTACTCAGCCCGCCCAGCCCAGGCGGCAGTTTCACATTCAGCTTCTCCCATCCCGTCGTCATCCATTCCCACAGCGCCTCCACGCCTTCTTTGTCTGTCCTCAGCCCCGCGATGGGGAGATAAACATCCTGCGCCTTGACGTCGTCGCTGAGCGGTAATTCTATCGTGTGCTTGGTGAGTGCTGCGTTGGACCCGACGCGCGATAGAGCGCGGAGAGCGGTGTTGCGCTCGTCGGCGGTGGGGGCGGTGTGGTATTCATTCAAAAGAGTATCGTAAGCTTTCTCCTTATCCTGCTGGGTAGGAGAGAGACGCAAAGCGATGGCGTAGACAGAGGCACGGATATTGGGGTTGATAGCTCCGCGATCTCCGGATGCGAATTTTGCGAAGAGGTCGAGAGCCGCCGAGATGATCTTCTCGTCACCTGCGAGGCCAGCGGAGCCGAATAGGAGCGCTTTGAATTGCGTCTCGATCTGGCCGTCGGAGGGGGAGAAGGTCCAGCCTTTTTCATGGGCTTTGGTGGACACGAGGGAGAGGTGGAAGGTTTTAAGGGCGTCTTGGATGGATTGCGGTTCGAAGAGCCAGGCGCTCCGGATCGCGGAGATACGCGTTAGGAGTTCTTCCCAGACTATGAACTCGGTCTCGGCGCTGAAGGATTTTAGGAGGGAGAGCAGGCCGGACGTGCTTTGGTAGCCGGACGAGGCGAGGGCGCCCGCGTCGGCGACCATGCCCGCTCGGTCAGAGGTAGAGAGCAAGCCGGATGCAGCGGCTTCGCCGAGTTTCTTGAGGTGCGACGGAGTGTAGGAAGTGCGATAAGTGCTGGTGTGGTCGGTGTTGAGTTTGTAGAAGGAGGTGCCGTCGGGGAGATGGTAGTCTTGTTCGCGAACGGAGAGGGTAAGGCCTTCGTTGATTCCACTCTTTGTTCGAAGGCCGAGGAAAACAGGGAAGAGTGTTTCGTCTTCTTCGGATTTGACGTCTGATGTGCGGAGGAAGCGATTCTGTTTGACGTGAATGCTTTTGTTATCTGGATTTTCCGTCACAGTCACGACTGGGTAGCCAACATTCTTCGTCCATATGGCCATTACCTTCTCTACGGGCTTGCCGCTCGCTTCAGCTAAAGCAGCCCATAAGTCCTCCGTCCGAGTGTTTCCATAAGCATGCTTCTTGATGTATAACCGTATGCCCTCCATGAATGTCTCTTCACCGAGGTATTTCGAAAGCATGACGATGACGCACGACCCTTTGGAGTATGATATGGCATCAAAGATCTGACTTATCTCATCGGCTCGTTTCACGGGCACCTCAATCGGATGACTGCTTCTAAGCGAGTCTAGAGACAGTGCTCCTTGCAAGTTGTCTGTCACGAAACCTTCCCATACTTTCCACTCAGGGTAGAACTTGTTGCACGAGTACCAAGACATCCATGTAGCAAAGCCCTCATTCAGCCATAAGCCCTCCCAGAAATCCATAGTCACGAGATTGCCGAACCACTGATGAGCTAGCTCGTGCTGCACCACCTCCGCAATCCTCTGCTTTGTGCCTGCACCGCTAGTCTTCTCATCGAATAATAGATCCACGACTCTATACGTCACGAGACCCCAGTTCTCCATTGCTCCTGCACTAAAGTCAGGAATTGCAGCCATATCCATCTTTGGTAGGGGAAATGGAGCAGCGAATTCCTTTTCATAGAAAGCTAACGTCTTTGCCGCAAGGTCCAGAGAGAACTTTCCGTGCTCGATGTCCTTATCCGGAGTGGCATAGACGCGAATAGGTATCCTAAATTCTTTGGTCTCTACATAATTGAGCTCTCCCACGATGAATGCTACTAGGTAAGTAGACATGAGTGGAGACCTATTGAACCTCACGGCCTTCCTCATCCCACCTGTTATACTTGAGTTGATTTCCTTCTCGGAAGCCACATCCATGTTGCTCAAACATACTAGATGCTTGTCTGCTATGAGGGTCACCGTGAATTCTGCTTTTAATGCTGGCTCATCGAAACATGGGAATGCTCTCCTAGCGTCCGTAGCTTCGAACTGTGTAGATGCCAGCCATTTCGTTGAGCCATCCTTGTCTTTGTATGATGATCTGTAGAAGCCTGCAAGCTTATCGTTGAGGTAACCAGTAAACGTTTGCGTAAGGACTGCCTTTGTGCCTGCTGGGAGCTTTCGTTCGAAAGATATTGTAGTTGTCTGAGAGTCTTCATTGTAGGCTAATTGAGGAGCCACTGCGATGTCGGAGCCGCCTGAAGATATTTTGGTAGAATGGATATCAAGCTCCAACGTATTGAGGGAGATAGACGTAGAATCCTCTTTCACATCAAGGCTATCTCGCGGCAAGCATCAGCATTGATTGGAACAACATTGATCTTCAGCATTCGGCTGCGAAGAGACGAAGACAGCCTCCACGGAAATTGCTGCACATACTCTATGGCCACCGTTCCTGCATACGTAAATTTTTCAAAATTTGGCTCCAAAGTCACATCGTAGTGCAATGGCTTCACATTCTTTGGAAGCACCTCGCGACCCGTGCTTGCATCCATGCTTCCAAAATGCGAAGTTTCAGTACAATTGGCGTCCCCACGTCGGTACGAGCAAAGTCGTTGCTGTATCAGTGTTTTGAGTATCTGCAGTCTAGGTCTATTGGTGAAAGATGGATGAAGCGAATGCGTGGCTGTAGCAAAAGAAGAGGTAAACGGTGTGGCGCAAGGTCGTGGGAAGACAAAAGAAAATCGGTAGTGCGCTTCAGGCAATGATATGCAGGGCGCTCGAGTCGAAGCGAATTGAAATGGGAGTCTGCATAATTTGGGCGCAGCACTGTTCATCGGAATTATATTTCAGTAATGGAGCTACAAAGAATGAAAACATGCAAGAGATGGAAAGCTCAGAAGAGAGTGATGTTTCGAGGTTCCGAAACGGGAAAACTGTAAATACGCATTCGAGCGCTGTATAGTATACAAAATGTCATTAATGTCGATATGGCTTGCATTATAGCTTTGGTCTCAGCAGTGAATGTGACTGAAACCATCTTCCTTTTAGCCCAGCCTTTCCACCATCTATAGGCAAACCCCAGGCGCCATGCAGAAAACATTGGATTCACGTAGGTATATCATCTTCAGTCATATCAGCATCTTCGCCCTCCGAATCCTCACTGTAGCCTTCTTGATCACTATTGCGATTTTCGCCGAGAAGATCCAGATCCAGATCATCCAATTGCTCATCTGTTGCAGCATCCTTCTGGTGTCTAGACCCACCTCGAAGGTGGGCACGGTTGTGAGCGTCCTGATGGGTATACATTTCGGGTCGTTCCCTGCCACGGTTAAATTCCCGCGGAACCCCTAAATGCTGCTCGTAATGGTGCACCAGTCCTTCAGCCGACTTTCCGTATTGATCTCTATCCAGCCTCCGTATTGCCCGATCAATAATCTTTCTGTATCTGACAGCCTCCTCACCATAGTCATCAATTTCGTTTCTGTTAGGCACAAGGCCACCAGGACCGTACGAGTTTTCATCATCAGTGTCGTACATATCGGGTAGATCTTTCAAACGATTCATCACCATCATACCGAAGGTACTGCTGTGTCTCCGCTTCTGGCGCCTTATCTGCGACTGCTGCGACTGCATTTGTCTATGCAAGATATGATCGATATGCATCTTGCGATTCTCGTCCACTGCTTTCTGGTGTGACGTTTGTGGTCGGGGTCGTCGATGTCCGTTGGAATTTGCACTTATGACTGGATGCCCAGAGCCGGGTGGTAGAGGTGGGGAGGAGCTCATTGGATTGTCCAACCGCGTTTTCAGAACAAGGCGCTGATTAGCGGACGACTCGTTTTTGCTTGCAATACTAGGGTATCGCGGATATCCATGCTCGTTGACAGGGCTTTGGGCAGCAAAGCTTTGATCTATGCTATCATTTCTTGGTAAATTGATAGGTGGAGAAGGTGACCGCGTAGGATCCGTATCTGATATAGCTATGATTGAGTCGTCGCCTGAAATTTAAACCCTCAGTACAACGTAACCAATTGATCGAAGAACTCGACTTACCTTTTCTTTGCCTTTTTAGTGGAGGTCCAACCGTTTCATCTTCTTCTAGGATCTTGCGACGCTCAACCCGTTTGCGCTCTCCATACTGCATTTCCTCTTCAGTGTCTACGTTCTCTGCATCCGCCTGTGCTTCAGTCAAGTGTTCAAATGCCGGGACTTTGATGGGCAGCCCGTCGCTGTCTTCTCCCCGCTGACCCTCCCCAAACGGATTATGTAGCGCAGCGTCAGCAGAGAAGTCACTTTCGAGGTACCACCACATGAGCCAGAGAAAGGCGCACGCTCGGCTTTTGCTGCTCAGGGTAGGTCTCATGACTAGGTCGAAAAAGTCTCGTGGAGGTATGAAATGGGCCTCTGAGACCTTTGGGGCATATTGTGAAAGGAGAAATATCAAATGGACTGGATTCGTACGAGGAGATGGAGTATTCTCGAGTTTTTCGATAGTACTTGGCTGATCCTTATCTTCTGAAGCGCCTTTCAAGATAGACTTGAGGCGCGGTGCATCTTGCAGTTGTTTATAGGCGTTTGGATCTTGGTTTGCTTGAAGAGAAGGAATCGCGTGGAAGGTCCGTAACTGGGCTCGCATCTCGGGAAAGACTAAGTTCTTAGAGCTTGCCACATCCATGTTTGGGGGTACTAACTTACAGTTCAAGGTGGTATTCATCCTGCCGACGTTGACCAGCAAACATATCATTGCCATACTCATGGCGCCTCGTCGGTCCGAGAGCAGCTTCTCCTTCAACACTTTGCTAGTCTTCGAGCTGTTTGCCATCGCTTCAATATATATATCGGCAAATGAATGACCAGGAGTCATGTCTGATGTCTTGGTAAAACATTTGGTGTCGTCTTCGAACACGCGACGTAGAAACTCCAGTTGTATATCTTTTCTCCACAAAGGTATGCCGTCTTCCTTCTTGAGATGCCGTATTTTGTTACCAGAGTAGACAGAACCGACAGTCCCATTTGCATTTCGTCTTGTATGTGTACCAGCCATGTTGGGGGCAGGAATGGACTCGACTAGTTTAGTGAGAGACTCTGAAGGGTCTTTCTGGGCATCAGTGTCTACAATCTGGCTGTCGAGCCAGATGATGCTCTGCCCGTTGGAGGATTCGAGGTTCTCAGCAGGGAGGTTGGGATGTGGCCCCTTGTCCGCGAGTTTGTCCGTCGAAGTGGGTGAGAGAAGATGCTCCAACGTTGATCGTGAAGATTTCTTTGAAGGGGCTTTGCGAGTCTTAGGAGTCACTTTTGCTGCATGATCGCGAGAGTCACCCCTTGCAGAAGAGTGTTGGGCGTCACTTGGCGGAATTGGTTGGTTTGAGGCTTTCACGGACGCCATGCTTTCATCATTATTGTACCCACGCTAAATCCACCATATTGCCCCCTTGGGTATAGAGCCCAGCATTCGTAGCTTTCTGGTCCCTACTTATCAAGAGCGCGAGTAGCTGAGGTTTGGACTCTGCCAAAATGTGGAAGTGTCCTCGAGCTCTCTGTCTCAAAGGTCTTAGCCTTTTGTTGCGGCTGTAGACATGCGGCAGACTCGGAAAGGCGCGGGCGAATCCTCGACGTCCTACGAAAGGAACCTATACAATCCGATGCAAACTCCGCTAGAAGCTTCACTTAGCGAGCTTCACCTGGTCATTGCTATATTGATTGACAGGTAGACATCTTTGAGTATTTGATTGATTATAGATGTGATTAAAGCTCGAAAAACGTTCCTATTTTGATTCTATCGACAGACTTCTTGCAAGACTATTTGGGGTATTATCGTCAACTTCAGGTGAACACTAACAAGCACCGCGAAAATCACTTTTCTCGGTATCACGTAAAATCACCTCTCAACTGTCTGACCATGTTCTGTCATTGAGTCGAGTTCCTTGTGCTCTTCGTACTTTCATCATTTGCCGTTGACCACAATGCCTGCATTTCGTCTCATCTTCCACCTGCCGTTTTCTAATATCAGCCCTCGGTGAAGCTGCGATACGGGTGCAGCTAATGTATGACCACCCGTATGAGAGCCCCATGCTCTGATATCATGTTCGCGAATTTCGAAATCAAACAAATCTATTTGGTCATCATATTGCCTGGATCCGATACCTGGCCAATAGAGCAGGTACGTCATGCGAACGCCCATACGTACCTATACCAGCTTTCTAAGTCTCATGAGGAGAGATCAAAGCCTGTATGGGGTCGAATAGTCTATATGGGTATAACACAACTTTTCTCTCGTATGCTGTGATTCGAAATATCGATGTCGCTGCCCTTCGGCACCGGTCTCCAGTCGTTAAGGTCGTTTATTAGAAAGTGCAAAGCCCCAGCCATGATGTTGAAAAAAGGAGAGAGATAGAAATAGGAATCTAAGAAAGCCATAGTCGCCACGCCAGAGAGTATAGATGAGCAAGCCGTAGTGTGAATTTTCTTCTGAGCACGAACACTTTGCTGAATGAGGACCATGTGACGTTGGTGACAGATCTACCACCAGGAGGATTGGCCACCTGGTCCAGAGGGGTTACCGTAGCCCCCACCGTAGCCGCCACCTCCATAACCACCGTAGGCCGGAGCACCATAGCCTAAATATTGGATGTTAGTATCGTGAACGTACTGGGACGGAAGAAAGCTGTCACGCCTCCATACGCACCTCCAGCGGGGCCGCCAAAGCCGCCGCCAACGCCACCTCCTGCACCACCTCCAGCTCCAGCCCCAGCCTTGCGGAAGTCACGTGTAGCAGCACCTCCTCGACCACGTCCACCTGATCGTCCCCCCCCACCGCGGCCACCGCCAAAGCCAGAGCCTTCGCGCGCCACATTCTCAAGGAATGCGGGAACTTCTTGGTGAGCTTCTTTGAGTAAATCTATCAGATCTCGAACAATCCCACGGTTGCCTCGATTAAAGAAAGCGGTGGACTTTCCTGTGTTACCAGCGCGTCCTGTACGACCGATACGGTGAACGTAATCGTCGATATCTGTTGGGAGGTCATAATTGACGACATGAGTCACATTTGGAATGTCTAGCCCACGAGCTGCAACTGCAGTAGCGACTAGGATAGGGCAGCGCCCATTGCGGAACATCTCTAGAGCTCGCTCACGCTCACGCTGAGTGCGGTCACCGTGAATTGATGTGGCAGGGAAGTTCTGGTTGATAAGAAAGTCGGACAGCGAATCCGCCATGCGCTTCGTCTCCACAAAGATTAAGGTAAGACCGGCGCCAACGGTGTGCAAGATATCCAACAGCACGGACCGCTTGTCCATATCCTCGACATACTCAACGCTCTGGGTAATGTTTTCCGAGGTTGAGCCGACACGTCCGACTGACAAGAAAACGTAGTCTTTCAAGAAATCACGGGCCAGCATTTGAATATCTCTGGGGAATGTAGCCGAGAACATGAGTGTTTGACGGTCGTTGACTCCAGGCATATCCTCCACTTCCACAATGCGGCGAATCTGAGGCTCGAAACCCATGTCCAACATGCGATCTGCCTCATCAAGGACTAGATACTTGATATTTGCCAGCGAGATCCTCCCCCGCTCAATCAGGTCCACTAAACGTCCAGGTGTGGCAACGAGCAGGTCACAACCACGTTCAATTTGCCTCAGCTGTGATCCAATGTCAGCACCTCCATAGACAACGCATGGTCGGACCCAGGAACGGTATGCAAACTTGCGAGACTCGTCAAAGATTTGTGAAACCAACTCTCGGGTTGGTGCCAAGATGAGGGAGGTTGGAAGTGCCTTGCGTGAACGATAGCCCATGCCACCGGCTTGAGGCGGCGCGTTTGAAGCTGGACCATTAAGATATGCTTGAGACAAAATAGGGAATAAGAAACCACCAGTCTTTCCGGAACCTGTTTGAGCACAGGCCATTAGATCACGACCTGCCATGACGATGGGAACAGAGTATTTTTGGACAGGAGTAGGTGTATTGTAGTTCGCAAGCTTGATATTCGACAAGAGATGTTCATCAAGAGGAGGGTTGCTGAATTGCATGGTGGGCTCGGGCACATTATTTCCGGAAGCCTCCACAGGAATATCGTCGTAGTTCGCGAAATTGATACCAGACTGCACCTTTGAAGGATCATTGGGGACACCGAAAAGTTCACGCTCAAGACGGGTGTTTGGCGGGCCGGGTACATGTTTCCCATCTCGCCATTGACCATCTCCGGAACCGCGAGCGGCGTTGCCGCCACCTCCATATGACGAACCTCCAGATCCTCTGTAAGCATTAGGATCGAACTGACGCGAGGGGGCACTATTCCACGTGGTAGGCGCACCGCCACCCTGAGCGCTCTCAGGTCCATCGCGTGGAGTGAAGTTCGGGGCATCGGCCCAGCTCGGAGGGGCTCCGCCGCCGGGCATGTTACGAATATCACTTTTAGTGTGTCAGTGAGGAGAGACAGCCAACACACCGGAATAGAAAGCTTACCGGCCGCCCCAAGCACCGTTTGTTTGAGGTGAGCTGCTCATTGGCGGAGGTCGGGCGTTGTTGGGTTCAGCCTGCATACCGCGCATATGAGGAGGGATGTAAGTACTACGACCGCCACCAATACCGTTGGGCTGGCGGTTGTCGATCGAGAGGCCGCCCATGTTAAGCTGATCGGCCATATTTATTGAGAATTTTCAATATCTTATCTTTAGTGTTTAGTTTCGAGGAGGACTATGACTGTCAGCTTCCACCTCTACTAGGCTAGCAGAGCTCTTCATGTTTGAAGATATGAAGGCAGCATACACAGGATCAAGTATCCTCAGCTTTTCCTTAGATCGTGCCGTCGAACTGAGGAGCTGAAAGGACCGTAACTTCGTGAAAGTGACGCTATCAAAGATGTAGAGTGGTATCCTCAAGGCTAAGAAGATCTCCCTGATCAGCAATAAAGGAGCGACAAATATGACTTTTATCGACCTCTAGAGAAGATCAAATGCAAGGTGACGCTCTTAATGTCTATCGAAGATGTGAAGGTGGAAAACCTGAGGAAGGTGAAGTAACACAATCGGAGGAAATTTTTTTGGGAAAGTTAACAGGGCGGAACTAAGAAGCCTTGGCGCCCAGTTCTAGCTCGAATCATGGCTCAATATGACATCCCTTGATGTGAATCACGAAACATAATAATGGCACTTGAAGGTCTCCGCTGCTGTGGGAAGAACTCTATTGTTTGGCTGTGTACCTTCTAAACTGTGAAGTCGTTCTCAACGTTAATCGAAGGTCGTAAAGCATGGCATCTATTTGCTAGATCTATATTCAAGCTAGGCTTTTCTCCGAATAAGTCTTTTTAGAACGCAAGTACATCATGATGACCCCGACTATCAAACCAAAGAAGGCCAGCTTAGGAAGAAGCCCGAGAGTAGAGCTATAAGCCGAGTTTCCACCTGCATCGCTCATAGGTGACTGTGCTATCGTAGAATCTAGTTGATCGTTGGGCACCGAGGGAACCGCGGAGCCGGTCATTGCTTCAGGAACAAAACGGACAAATCAGCAAATCCAGAGCACCTCATGATGAAGGTAGTGTACAGAACAATGAGATGGTTGCAGAAGCTGAATCTAGAGCTCCGCGTGGGTACCTTCGTCAGGTTTCTCCAACTCGCCACTTTTGACAATTTTGATTGTCCTCTCCGGCTTGTCTCCGGGCAGCTTGTCAACGTTCTCGACCTTCTCTACAATCTCGTAGCCCTCGATGACTTCGCCAAAGACTACGTGCTTTCCGTCAAGCCAACTGGAGACCCTTTAGCATATCAATGGGAGGTGCTACGGCGCTGCTACTTACTTGGTGATGGCAGTGGTAATGAAGAATTGAGAGCCATTTGTATCTTTCCCAGAGTTCGCCATACTCAGGATACCGACTTTGCTGTGCTTCAACTTAAAGTTTTCGTCGGCAAATTTTGCCCCATAGATGGATTTTCCGCCAGTCCCTGATCACTCATAGTTAGCATGAAAACTCATGCTTTCGGTATTCATCGCTCTGACCGTCGCCATTGGTGAAGTCGCCACCCTGGATCATGAACTGTTTGATAACACGGTGGAAGGTCGACCCTTCGTAACCATAACCCTTCTCTCCCGTACATAGTGCACGGAAATTTTCTGCTGTCTTCGGAACAGTCTTGCCGTAGAGCCCAATGACTACTCGGCCCAAAGGCTCGTCGCCATGAGTGATATCGAAATAGACCTAGTAGACAAATTGGTAGGCATTCATGAAAACAGGGGGTTGGGGGTACCTTGTCTGTGATTCTAGGACCCTTGCCAGCTTCCGCGGTGGCTAGAAAAAAAAAGCCAGCCGTGAGCATAAGCAGGAGCGATATAACGATCCGCTGGATGGCCGCCATGATGTGAATGGTCAATTGGACTTTCTCTTCGATGGATGTTATCTCAAGGAGAAATGCAACGCTGTCCTCTAGCCAGTTCTTGTTTGAGGAAGCCGCTAGCGCTGCGGAGCGGAAGATCTAAAGACCTTGACTTCCATTTTGAGCGTCCATTTTTGATCTTCCTCGCTCATCTTGAAATTCAGTACATATCACCAAAGCCGCCAATGGTAATTGCGTCATGACATTATGACATTCAAATTTGAACTCACATTTCATAGGTCCAAATTCTCGGCAGTAACTTCGAGGGCGCTCGCCTCGTAACAGTGGGTCCTTCTCCTCCAAAACACACTTATCCCTTTACTTAAACACATCAGAGAACTCTCACAAGCTTCTATGGCATTGGGCCTCAGATTGCCGCGCGACTGATGGCTCAATTATCGATCCACAAGACCGCCAAACTTTCCTCCCTATCCAATCAAACGATCCTTGATATTACGGCTGAGCTATCAAACATGAAAATCGAGAACGATCTACGACGAGAGCTACGAGCCAATATCCAGAGACTAAGAGATATGGGATCGTACAGGGGAAGAAGACATGCTATGGGAATGCCTGTGAGAGGGCAACGAACAAGGACCCAGACGGCTACGGCGATGAGGTTGAACAAACTTGACCGGAGAGGTTGATCACTCAGAGTATAGATCCAATCAGGAGTACATGCACAAAGCAGGGGTCTTAAGCTACTAAGAGGCCTTGAGTTCGAGGAGCAAAAATTACAAAGCAATGAGCTACAAGAATTGGGTGTCATTGCTTGCTTTCAGCCTGAGTCATGCCCCTACCGCGATTTATCTGGACTCTTTTATCAGCACTGGCACTCACAATACCGATGTCTTTATCCCAGCAAACTCCGAAGACCTGTACGCCTTCTCTGATGCCATTTCGACCCTGATCTTTCAAACTTTCTCGGTCTATGGTGTATGTGCAAGCCCCAACTCGACCATCCTTTCCACTCTTTGAACTTCGGACATCCCATATTCGACAGGTACCATCATGGCTTCCACTGACCAAACCATAAGCGCTGTCAGGATCAATGTCTAAGCTTACTACTGCTTGGCTATGACCTCGCAAGTTCATTGCAGAAACCGTGGTAGCGCTTGCTCGAGGATCGATGAGAATGATATCCCGCGGTGATTTGCCGGCTGCTACAAGATTCAGGGACTGCAAGGCTGCGACTGATAACAAAGCGGAAGAGGTGATTCTTGTGTCAACGCAGGTGGAGGTTGTCAAATCCCAGGTCTTGAGTGTGTGATCTTGAGAAGTCGAATACGCAACCGTGTGGTCATTGGGTGCAAACATTGTGTCAGTCACGTCGGACGAATGCGATTTCAGCAGCACCAATGGCCCTCGCTGTGGGGTCGACACAGAGCTTCCAACCTTTCGACGTTTGGCGCCCTGACTTGCTGATGATGGGAGGAGTGAAGCTGGTGCAGTGGGTGCCTCAGATTTCTTTGTAGACCAAAAGCCTACAGTATGATCTGCTGAAGCGGACAGGATACGATTGGAGGATTGATGCACAGCGATTGAATCAATAGGGTCTCTATGACCGTATAGTTCGAGCTGAGGATGCAATGAGGCCAATTCTGTAGAGTTTTCCGAGTATTTCCATATGCGAACGCAACGATCGAGTCCCGAGGAAGCGATATGCGTAGCACTCAAGAACTGTGCTGTCTTGACAGAGCCCGTATGTCCCCCATTTGAAGCGGAAGTGGACGTTGCTAAGACTTGTGACGACATATTCCATACCCGAAGTAGACCATCGAAACTCCCAGTAACTATACGCTCTTGCCCCGGCACTACTGTGTTTGTCCTTTGACTGCTCCGTACGGATGGAGAAGAAGGAGAAAGCACGTCAACTGAGCTGACCCACTCGTCGTGTTCAAAAGAGGCAAGGTAGACAGGAGGTAAGCTGGCTCGCACATATTCCAAGCCAAGTGTAGCTTCCGCAGATATTCCATTTGCAGTCAGATACTCGTCGAGGGAGGTGCGGAGAAATGTGCCATTGATGAGGAATTCAAAGGGAATGGATTGATCGGATCTGCGGAGGGTGTTCACGAGGGTAGAGAGAGCATATCGGCGGAAGTCTGTATGTATTGTCAGCCTGAGTACTTTGTTGTGCATTGAATGTCATCTTTACTAGTGTTCACCAAAATCGCACCAGGATTTTCGTCAAGCGCAATATCGTGGTGCTTGGTGCTAAGCTGAATTCTGACTTGCGTGGCGTTTGACATAACCAATTCCCACCAAAGCAAAACCGCGGTCTGCAGTAAATTCGTAGTGATCGAAGGCAGAAGTGCAGCATTTTCTCACAAGTTTATAACTTTTTAACTCGCGAAAAGAGAGAAGAAAGCGCTAGCTCAGAGCCTTGGCGCTAGTGCAACCTCACAACCTAACTTTACCTGCTCCTCCGAGTCGATGATATCATTTACACAAGCAAGTCAGTCCTCTCAGAATCTGCACAATCAATTGAGATGCTGGTGTTGATCTGCAATATGCAGATCCTTGCGAAATGGAGATTTGGCGAGTTTGAGGCAGTCATTCTTCTTCGTGGATGGAAATGCCATGAAAACGACCGTACATTCCCACCCGATTTCTTCAAAGATTCCCTGTCCATCCAGATGTAGAGCTCCTACCGGTGACCTGGGTATAAAGATCTTCAGAAACATAGATTTGTTATTCTTGCTACTTTGGCCATTTCGTCCATCGCTTTCCATGTCCACTCTGGTTTCACATATCAGTCCGAATTCCATTGAATAACAGTAATCGTAGAATCCTCACCTGTTTCCACTGATCTACAAGCTCTGGCATCTTCACCATAGCCTGCCTCCTTGTTTCCAGGCGATTCTTCATAGTCCTTTCCCACTTGTGACCCTTTACTCTTTGACCTACACCAGTGCCTCTCACTCTTAACCCTTGCTCCTCCCTTCGCTTCAATCGTACTTCTGGAGACTTTTTCGTAGGCGGTAGCAAGTCCCCAACGCCGTGAGCTCGAGCGAGCTTGACTAGATCTGCTTGTCTTCGAAGGGAAAATTTCGGGTCATGTAATTTGCCAGTGACTGGATGCCTCGTTTGCGAGAATGGGTTCGGATAAGGCAGGTCCGAAGTACCCACAAGGTTCGAAGTCTTGCTCTGACTACTATTGGGGTCTGATGAAGATGTATTAAGGGCGGTAGAGACAATAGTAGAGCGGATGCCATTGCTGAAGACCGAAGAAGGCGGCGGATAACGGGCAAAGAAGCGCAGGAGGAGCGGAGGAAGAGATTGTGCGACCTTGATGTACTCCTGAGCATTCATCATACTTCGTGGATGCACTTTTCAGTGAATGAACATAGCTTCGCGTGATTGAAAGGCAGTCATTCGACACTAGCTTGAAGCTTAAGATTTGATGACTTAGCTTATCAATATGTCAAACTGCATACACCGCAACAGACTACTTTATCCTTTTCACAAGCAATTAAACCGTGAAAGTCTTTACATACTACTGCGACTAGAGGTCATCTTCTCTTCCGTATTTTTTCCCGCCGAAACTCTTTTCCACCAGTATCACACAGCCGGGTCCATGATCTTGCAGACTATCGCTCGTCCCCAAATTACTCACGATCACTGAACCATGGCCTGGGGAGGACCGCCTCAGTCAGCGTTTGCGACCTTTCTAATCCTCTGCTGTGGGTCACGATTCACTCCATAAACCCATTGCGCAAGGCTGACCCCAGTAAAGCGACTTCATTCTTCTTGGGCATTCTTTTCTCTCTCTTTCCCTATGACTATCCATTGCTATGGAAGCCGTCACCTTGTCCGCCCTCTGCTTTCGAAAACATGGAGAGGCATTTGAAAGTCTTACACGAATCTCCTCTTCTCATTCCCCGCATTCTCCACACCGTCGTTGGCACCGGCCTCTTGGGGTTCTTTCTGAAACTCTACAAACCAAGCGAGTCCAATGCGCTCTTCGATGGTGCCTCTTTGGTTCTGTACATGGTTGCGCTGATCATTTATCTTGCCAACACCATTCCAGGATTGAGGGAGGTGACCTCGGGCAGTTACGACATGGAAATAGTTGGCGGTGAGGGCGCAATTGGTAATAAAGACATAAAGCCCGGAGAGGAAAAACCATTAGGCAAGGCAGACAGCTTACGAGTGCTTGCGGCAAGTAACACGATTCAAGCCTTGGTTCTGCTTGGCGTATTGGTGCTGCAAGCAGGACAGTGGTATGCAGATCGAAAGCAGCGGGAAGAAATGGAGGAGAGTGCTAAGGAAAGAGAGACCAGAGCTGGAAAGAGCGAGGGTGGAAAACATAGAAGTCCAGTCGGCAAGAAGAAAGTGTGAGGCTCTGTCTTTGATGCATGTTCTCGTATATGATTGGCAGGATGTGGACAGCGCAAGACGCTCTGTGTATATCTCGTTGGCTAGATGAATGTACTTTAGACTTGACTAACGAATTTCTCCTGAACAATGGCATTATTCAGATAACTTGATATTCAAGGAATGTTGATCAGACGCGTGGAGCGGGATGATGCTTCCCCGCAAAAGTAAAATCGAAGCTTGTTTCTCGACCTTGCTTTCTTCAAAACAATCCTGGCATTCTACATTACATTAAGTCCTGCTTTTCGGAACGGACTCGAGACATTAATGTTCACAGAACAGACACTTGGAAAAAGCTGTACATCTCCAGATGCTTGACAAGCCGCAATGGCTCGGCATGCTTCTGACAATCATTAAAAGATTATGAGGTGAACTTGTCCACTGGCTACTTTCTGCTTCTGTGCCGCTTCTCTCAGACAAGAACAACAGCCATGTCGAGTAATCACGATGCTGAAGAGGACAATCAGAGGAGAGCGGGGGCAGCCCCATATGACAGTCGTCATCCAGTACCTACGGTCCAGGGCTATCACGCTCGGAAAGCTGAACGCGAAGCGGCATCCGAAGCCACGATCTCTCCTTCAGAAGATGGCAATTCCTCTCCAAGAAGTATCAAAAGCAAGCGAAAGAGCCTCATCTCATCGGCAAAGGGGCTGTTCCGGTCAGGCAGCACAAGATCTGTCTCGAAACAGCATTCAGAGATCGGTCAGCATCCGTACAGGGCAGAGAATCGCAATGAGGAACCTTCGTCTACAGAATTAAATGGAGATACCAAAAGGGCGGAGGAAAAGCCAGTTTCGAAGTCTGATGAGGATGTATCTCCAGTTCAAAATGGCGAAGATTCAGCTCCTGATAATGCAGGCCAGCTTGGAGAACATCCTAAAGAGGACGGAGTTCTGCCTCTAGATCATTCTTCTGAAGCTGGAGACTCCGCGAATAGCAAACCGGACTTGCAAGAGCAAGAGCATACGGCTCAACAACCCAGCTCGTCTCTCCAAGACACGTCGGAAGCAGGGGCCGAAAACGCTCTGGGAGCAAAAGAAAAGAGGAAATATATGAAGAAGACGGATAGAGACCACGCCGGACGGGAGGTGACTGATCCGGTTACCCACCTCCCCGTCATGATGCACGATCTGGGCAGCGGAGAGTTGAAGAGTGTGCCTGAAAACGAACCACCAGCAGGCTCACAGCCGTCTAGAGACACCGAATTAAGTGAAAAGACCAAGAGTAATGATCAGATCGACAAAGAGATTGAGGACCTCCAAAAGCAGCATAGAGGTATGGAAAAGCTTTTCCCACCTCCCAATCTGGGTGCTGTCAAAGAAGACGTATCAAAGGTCTATAGTACAGCATTGTCTTTCGGCATAGCGACTACATTGACAATACCGATCTTTCTGCTCGTGTGCATTGTAATTATTTTGCACATGGCCGGTTCCCATCAGCCATGGTCTCATCCCTTGTTGATCTCCTCTGCGATTCTCCTCTCCGGCTTCTTATCGGGAGGCTGCGTTATCTTTTCTTTGCGAGGCTGGCTAAATAACCGAATATCTGACATCTGGGACGACCACATATGGGATGCTCCTCGGCAACAAGAATATCGATCGTCTGAGTCATCTACCCCTGAGTCTGTCCAGTGGTTGAACATGATCCTGTCTTCGTTGTGGGGCTTGGTCAACCCTGACTTGTTCACGAGCCTGGTCGACATGCTTGAGGATGTTATGCAAGCTTCCTTGCCTAAAATGGTCCGCATGGTCAGTGTTGAGGATCTTGGACAAGGCAGTGAATCTATTCGCATTCTTGGCATTAAGTGGCTTCCCACTGGCGCCGCTGCTCAAAACGTGTCAGAAGATGGTGGACTCAAATCAAGCAAGAACCAAGACAATGATCGTAAGGTGGCCGGCGAAGGTCAAATATCTGATCCGAGTAAGCCCGACGGTCAAGACTCCCCTCAGAATGAGGATAGCGCGAAGTCGAATGGCAAAGCTAAGGAACCAGGAGACGACGAGAATGTAGCAGAGGGAATGGAGGCTGAAGAAGGTGACTTTGTTAATGTGGAAGTGGCATTCTCTTACCGCGCACGTAACAGTGGGTCCAGGTTGAAAGACAAATCCAAAAACGCACATCTTTACCTCGGATTCTATCTGCCTGGAGGAATAAAGTTTCCTGTCTGGGTGGAACTTAGGGGCATGGTCGGTATAATGAGACTCCGCCTTCAGCTGGTTCCTGATCCACCGTTCTTTGCTCTTTGCACCCTCACCTTTCTTGGACAGCCAAAGGCGGATATATCTTGCACCCCATTAACTAAAAAAGGCCTTAACATTATGGATCTTCCTTTGATCTCTTCTTTCGTGCAGAGCTCAATTGACGCGGCAATGGCAGAATACGTAGCGCCGAAGTCGTTGACGCTCGACTTGAAAGACATGCTGACTGGCGACGACTTCAAGAAAGATACGTCTACTCGCGGCGTCATCATGGTGAGGATAAAGCAGGGAAGAGAATTCAAACAGGGAGACTCGAAAATGTTTGGACTGAAAGAAGGCTCTTCAGACGCTTACGTGGCGGTTGGGTGGGCTAAGTTTGGTAAGCCTATGTGGAGTACGAGGGTCATAATAGCAGACATGCAGCCGGTCTGGGACGAGACTGCTTTTATACTTGTCGGCCCCCAGGAGCTGAACGCTCAGGAACGGCTACGAGTACAGCTTTGGGATAGTGATAGAACCTCTGCAGATGATGACCTCGGCAGAATAGAAGTTGACTTGAAGGAGTTGATGACCGATGCCAGGTCCAATGGTAAAATGTGGGACCGTACTGACGGTTTCCAGTCTTTAGATGACAATGAAAAAATGCCAGGCACGCTTGATTGGAGTGTCGGCTATTTCGCGAAGACGCACATTCAACCCGAGCAACTGTCAAAGCAAAACGTTGAGCCAGAAATTAACAGTCTCTCTGAGCTCAAGAATAAAGTATCAGAGGACGCCGAGCGCAAACTACGTGAAGCGGTCGGTCATATTGAATCCGATGAATTGGATCAGCAAAAGGCCCAAGATGAAAAGATTAGGGAAGACGCTATGATCATATCAACTCCACCTTTGCGGCAATATCCTTCTGGCATAGTATCTGTGCAGGTTCATCAGATCACTGGACTCGAGTATGAGCAAATCAATAAAAATCGGACTCAGAACGATGCAGGCGATGACGCGGAAGAGGGCGGCGGCGACTTGCCCTCCTCATACTGCACGATCATCTTAAATCACCAGAAAATCTTCAAAACAAGGACCAAACCAAAGAACGCCAAACCTTTCTTCAATGCAGGCACCGAAAGATTCATTAAAGATTGGCAGAGCACTGATATTATGATTTCAATAAGAGATTCTCGTGTCCATGAGAACGATCCGTTGATTGGAATGGTCTACTTGCCTCTAGGCAAGATCCTAGCAGAACGGTCCCAAGTGATGGGAGACTTTCCAATCGTCGGCGGCATCGGCTACGGCCGAGTAAGAATATCGTTACTATTTCGATCAGTCCAACTACAAGCCCCTCGAAGCTTACTCGGTTGGGACTACGGTACGATTTCGATCGCCCAACCAGTCACAGCCTCAGACCTATCATCTGACCTTGAGGGTCTGCGCATGAAGCTTCGAACGAGCATAAGTAAAGCAAAAGCATACTCCTCAGAGGTAAGCAAAGCCGGGAAGGGATGGAAGGGTAAGCATGGTGGCTCACTAAATCTGGCGATTCGTAAGCGATATTGCTCCTGTGTCGTATTTGAGTTCCGTAAAAACAGTTTGGGGACGGACAAAACACCAGCCTTCGGCGTCCTTTGGTTGAAAGATGTACCTGATGATGAGGAGACGACAATTGACGTTCCGATCTGGCAGAATGGGGACCATGAGTTGAATCGTGCGACTACCAACATCGTTCAGGGATTCAGCAAAAAGCTTGGGACCTTACACGTTCCGCTAACAATCTCCCGTGGCCTGGGACCGTACCATCAAAAGTTGGCAAGCAAGAACCCAAATCTCCAAGACGTGTTTGAAGTTCTTACGATAGCCGATGAGAATAAGGAGGTTGACATGGATGTCAAAGACGATCGGAGCACTGACAGCAGTAGCGATTCTAGTAGTTCAGATTCGGACAGTGGTGACAATGTGAATGATGGTAAAGGGGGACCGGTGAAAAAGATCAGGAGCTATAAAGAGCACAGCGATCAACTCCATCGGCAACATCGAGGCATTATGCAATGGAAAGGAGCAAGGACGGCGGATTATTTCAAGACGAAAGTCGAACATGGAAAAGATCATCTTATGGATAGCTTCAAGCATACTGAGCGTGACCCTGGAGTTGAGACAGAGGTCTGATTTTCACCTTTGTCGGGAGGATTCTACGGCGCTCTCCTCGCTGCTGATTCTTCATGTTTGAATAGGCAGTGATACCCCGTGGCAGATAGTGATGTTTTGGGATGGGAGTTTAGCCAAGAAATTCCGGGGCATATGTTCTTAATGACTGGAACATGCCGATGCTCCAATACCAATAATACCATTCATTTTTCATAGTGTGTCCTTCGCCACGCTTGGCAGGACACTTCTCGCCGTAGGATCTGATATACGCGTCATGAGAAAAAAATTTAAACATTCAAAGTACGTCAACTTCAACGCCGTGGAATGCAATTGTTATGATTCATAGCAAACTGATTACTCTCTTCAAAAGTGTTAAGGCTGAGTACCGCCTCACAACTCCTGTGTGTTTATTTGTGACGTACTTTAATCTGAATTCCTTTACTGCTGAGATCGAGATCTCGTTTGAATCAAGTATTTCTTTAAAACTCTCTATCTCTTGCGACTTGCCTACTCATACAATCTTCTCAATCTCCAAATCCATCCCTCCCGGGCGGCTCTTCTTGAAACTCTCCCTCTCCTCCAATCGATCCAGATATCTCTCCAACTTCGGATACTTCCTCCTCCATTCCAGGTCCGGAAATTGACTCTTCAACCACCCCATCAAACTCCCAGCTGCCACATCTGCAAGCCCAAATTTCCCTCCAACGAAGAATTCTTTGCCCTCACCTTCCCCATACCACTCTGCTAGTGCCCGAAACCCTCCATCAATCTTCCTCTGCTGCCGTGCCGCCCATTCATCACTTCTCTTCCCCTCTCCCTCGCGTTCTCAAAGAATAGCAGCACAAATGCATCGCAGACGCCGTCTGCTACGACCTCGATCTGCTTCGCCAATAAGGCTTCGTCTGTGTCCTTCGACAGCAATGGTGTCTGACTTGGAAATCGAGCCTCGAGCCATTCTAGGATATAGTGGGATTCATAGACGGCGTCTTTGCCGTCTGGCGAGATCAGGATTGGGAGCTTTTCCAAAGGGTTGTAAAGCGGGGTTTCAGTAGAGCTGTGCCATGGTGTTTCGGTCTTCAGCGTAAAGGGAATGTCTTTCTCTAAGAGAGCAATGCGGATTTTGCGGGCGTACGGAGAGGGACCGGAGGAGATAACAGTGTAGGACATTATAAGACTCTCCCGCACGGCGAATACTTGAGTCCTCAGTACAGAATGAGAGGAGAAACGGAGATGAAATCACAGGTAGAGCGACGATAATATGCTGGTGTAACGCTTGTTTCGCAATCGAGAAAGTATATGTATGAGGTCTGATGTCATCTATCATGATGACGCAAGGTGTTCAGTCCCATCGCCCAGAGACATGAACGGCTTCTTCCACTTGGATATTCTATGTATAGCTAACTTGAAATGAAAAGGCATATTTCAAGCAAACTGGATATTGAGCTCTTCATTACTTAGATATCTTAGGTCGTCACCGTCCTCAAGTCACTCGACCGTCATATTGGAACGGCTCACAGCATGATTAAAGTGCATCTTTGTTGGTTTCATCAGGCTAGCTTTGTGAGCTGCCAACTTACTATACCGTGGCCCTGAGCCTATAGCACGACGTCTTAAGGGGCACCATGGAGTTAATCAATGATGGATGACATTGTAATTTATTGACTGCGCTAAGCTAGAGCGAGATTAAAACGGCGCTAGAGCTAAAATTGCTCGCTTGGACTTTGGTTTTGTTTCCAACTCCGATTTGACTACTTGCGGGCAACACAAAGTTATCTTCTAGCTTGCAGGTGCCTTTTAAACTGCATACTAGATCTTTACTGAATGCTCTCAATCCATAGACTTGAGGGTTTAGCTTTCAGCCGTTACTTGTGTGCTCTCGAAAGAACGTTAAATTTAGCCTTAAGACCGCAAATAATCACCAACGCCGAACGTAATTCGCTCAAACTTTCTCTTGCTTCAAAGGACGATAAGTAGCTTTGTGACCGATAACGTCCTCGATAGTCTCGTCGGTGAATTTGAGGTCCTCTTCAATCGGCACCGTGTCCTTGATTTTCAGAAGCATGACTGGGAGCGCAACGATCAAGCTGCCGGCAAGAAGAATCCAGCATGACGCGAACAGATTCATATATGGCGGAGGCTTATGCAAGCCGTCCAAACGCCAGATTATTGCTGCGCCTGCTGATTGGATGCCTTTGTAAAATCCAGCATAATTGGCCAGCCGGCGACTGTTGTTGGTGATGGCACCCATAAACCTGGATCGTCTTAGCGGAGCTTGGTCGTCACTCAGGCTTGAATTTGCTTACCAATACACACAAGTCTGCCATGCTGCATCATAGAAGCCATAAAAGATGTACAAGAACATCGGTCCGACATAGCCGGTCGAATTCCAGTCGTACAGGAAATGATCATCTGCGGCTGTGTCCTTACGCGTGTACCTTCTCTGGAAAACATATCCCCCGCCCCAGACTGCGAAGGTGAGAACAAGCATGATGACCCAAGCAGCCTTTGCTCGGGTAGTCCTTCGGATGTTAGGAAGGTCAAGCCCAAAGCCAAACATGAGAGCCCCAAACATCTGAGCTAACCAGTAGAGAGTGCTATTGAGGGCACGGGTCCGCGTATTGAACTGAACAAGATTGACGTCTTGAAATTGGTATGTATAAAACCAATTAGAGGCGAAGAACATTGGAAAGAGAAGGATGATGTAGGGGTCTGTTATCAATGTTTCCCACAAACCAAAAATCTCCGATTTCCACGTTGGGTGCCGCATTAGTATTATTCTCGAGCCATCACGACGCACCACATGCTTAGCATCGACCAATGTCCAAGAGAGGCAGGCCCCGAGGAATGTGAGAACCAAGAAGCCGATATAGGTGCCATCGCTAACCGTGCTGTTGTCTTGCTTGTGAATGTTCAGACCAAGTTCAACCTACCTCGGATTAGCTTCCTGTGGTCAACTATTTTTGGGTGACTTCAGCTCACAAGACTGCCGATGACAGCGCCCATGTTAAAGATGATCCAGAACCAGGAGATGAAACGGCCTTTGAGTCTCTCTGGTGGATACGACATCATAATTGCCCCTTGCGCGGACCAGAGAACACCGGCGCAGCATCCAAGCAGTAAGCCAGCGAAGACAACATACCCAAGGTTTTTGGTGTGGTTGTAGCATAAATATGAGCTGACATAAACACAGTATCCTAGGCCACCAAATGAGAGGGAGACTCTGATGCCGGCAGCGTTTACAACAGTGCCCGCGAAGAAACCGACAACAGCAAAAGCAGCGTAGAGCGCGGAGTTTGAGGCATCACTAGCATAAACGTTTTTGCTGAGCTGTCCTGCACCACCAAGACCATTCAAAGCATTAAACATGCCTTTAGTCGGTTAGTGGCCTGGAAGAGATACTGGGCTGTACGGCCTTACCCGGACACAGGAAGCACACGAACGACACCAACAGCAGCTGCGACTCAGGTGAGGCATACCAAGGAAGTCTGATAGGTCCAATTTTGGAGCTTTTGTATTTCCATCCTTTGGGTATTTCGATGTCTCTAGGATCGACCGAGGGAGCTGGCGACTCCATGATTGTGGTCGCTGGACCTTTCCTGAAGGTAGCTTTCGCCATTTATATTGAGGTCGTCTGAGTAATTGTCGATATCAGTAATGGTGTGGTTGGCACAAGAACCTTATCGTTGAAGCATCAATCGTCAAAGCCGTGTGATGAACGACGGTGATACTTTAGAGACGCCGTAAACACAAAAGAAATCAGCAGCAGACGTGAGGTTGAAATGAACCAGCACCATGAGGGAGAGGCTGAGGTGATCAGCTGCTTGGACTATCTTTGACCGCAGCCAGATTGATACGGATTTTAAGTACCAACAGCCTGCAGGCATACCCTAGTGGAGCGCTATGTGCCTGGCTCAGTGGCTCTACCTGTCACGAAAGGACCTCTCTCCAGATCCTCTTTATTTTAGCGGGGTTCCAGCCAAAGGGATACTACCTAGTGTCTCCGGGAGGGCAGCTAGTACACCCGCTGTCTGCCTTCTCGTGCCTGCAAATCTTCTCACATTGTTGCTGCGGTATGGGAGCTGCCCCAGGCAAATTTGGTATTGTACAGCTCCTCGGACACTCGTAAGTCCTACTGTCAACATATCTCGAGTCTCGACAGAGGTTTCAATCACATATCATGGAGTTTGCGTTTTAGGATGGGGTCGAGGCTGAACAAATGCGTTGTCACACCATTCATGCAGGCAGCATCTAGACCATCCGCTCCGGGCGCCACATGGCCTGATAACGACTAGTGAGGGGGCGCAGACGTGAATCCTTTGCGTCTGCAGATGTTCGCTTGGCCAATGGAAAAGCCAGAGTGGTTTGTTAAGCTCTGGTGGTTTTTGCATGGCCTTATCTCTCGTATTCCGGTCTTGAGCTGCATTCTTCCATTCGCTTGTCGCTGCTCGATGAAACACAAGGCTGGAGATCGGACGATCTGCAGATTGTCTTAAACGGTCTCCCAGTTCTTTAATTATCTATTCTTGGCCTTTATGTCGTGCATTGTGTGATCAGGGTTTATCGACTGCGATGTGAATCGCCCGAAGGCACACAACTCTGGCGCCAGCGTGCGCATTAATCAGCAGCCATGGCGGTCGCCTTGTCGACAGCTGTAAGCACTGTCCTTTCGCTAAGTAAAGCAGCCTGGAAGCTAGGAAGCTCGCTCTCAAAGCTTGATCAGGACACTAGAATTATCGATACTACAGTCAAAGACCTCGCAGGGGAGGTCAAGTCGCTTGGAAATGAATGCGATCTTGTTTACGCTGAGTTGGAAGAGATAGCGACTAAGAACAAGACAGGATCGCCGTCGCCTCATGATATCGATGTGAGGACGTGGAATTGCCTCCTAACGCAAGTGGAGGAGACTAGTCGAACAGTGCAAGACTTGGAGCTCTTTGTCAAAAGCGTCCGAGGGGAAGAGTTCAGTTTCATCGGGCAGGCTCAGCGCCAAAGGAAGCTGGACGAAAGCAAAGACCAGATTGCAAGTATTAGGACAAACGTTTGTCGGCACTCTGACAACTTTCGTATCACGCTACTATTGATCAATACGTGAGCCTTGCCCCTGGATGATGTTTCAAAAGCTGAAATCCAATGTAGGCGACTCGAGCACCTTACGCCTGGTCGAACTGATCGAGGGTTTGCTCGGAAACTGGACAGGTTGCAGGATATGGCCGAGAAGCTGCAAATGTCACCAAATACTGAATCACAATCGCCAATTTCTCATACTGAGACTACTTTAATGATGTGTGCCCGTGAGGCCATCGCCAAAGGTACCACATGGTACGAGGAAAGTCTAGCTGCGGAATCTGCTGCTGGAGGCCAAGGAGCAGCAAATACGAACATTCGTGTTGCTGAATGGGTGAGTACTTTGGAGTCCATAAGCTGGGACCAAAGACGTTCGGCTCCCTCAGACATGGTCTCCAATGTCCCATCTGTCTTTTCTGGCGACGAATCACATACGCACGTGACTAGCGCGGCCTCTGCGCAATGCGCTGTGCAGGAGCACGGAACCGTTGACGCATCAGGGAATGACTCTGAAGATGATCTAGAAACCGATCTTGCCAAGGCCGCATTAGATACCGGCACGAAAGCTTTCGAAGCACAAGAATGGGAAGAGGCCGATTCCCTCCTTCAAGAAGCTCTTCGGGTACTACAGCAGCTTCCGAAGCAACAGCGAACATTTTGCGACATCTTTAGCTTACACTATAAACTTGCTGTCTGCGCGTATCACAGGCAAGAGCCCACAGATGCCGAAGAAGCTCTCATGAGCCTCGTCCAACAGTCAGCGAGCACCAATAAACAACGCGAGTACATCTACGAAGCAGCACATTTGCTATCACATTTATATATTCGCATGGGTCAGCTTGACCGAGCACGTTCTGAATGTGAGAAAGCCTTGCAAGCCCGAAGGCGATTACTGGGCAAGCAGAGCGATGCCGCGTTAGAGTCAACGGCGCTTATGGCTTACGTATATATTCTACTCAACAATCGTCCTCGTGCTAAATCATGCCTTGCCATGATACCTGAAGCTCGCAGAGATGCTGTCCTGAGGATTGTCGAAAAGTCACTAGGCTTGAAAATAGAGCATCCTGATTCTTCGCCGTTACTTACTCGGTCGATGTCGGAAGACTCAGATATAGCAGTGACGCGCATTCAGAGTAGGCTCAATGCACCTCCTCTCGGCTTGCTCGAGACCCGTTGTCAGGGCTCCGTATCTGCGGCGGTCTCTCAACCGCCAACTGCAAGTCTTTTGCAGTCACAACATCGCGTCCCGTCAAGTAAAGCAGACTTGGGGGACCTGCAATCCGTCACGGTGACATCCCTCTCGTCAGCAGACGAGAGAAGCGATCCTAGAGCCATAGAGAAAGGGAGTACTGACGTAGACTACACAACATTCCCGGAAGCACTTGGTCCCGCAGTCGTAGGCTCAGGCCAGCTTCCGGAGATAGATGAATCCTTCAGACCTAAGACTTTGTCTCGGAAGGAGATTCTGGATAAGATTGGATGTCGACCCAAAGATGCAATCGAGGACGCCGTCTGTGATGGAGACCATTCAGCCTTCGCCAGCCTCCTCAACAGCAAAAAGGACTTTTGGCGATCAAAGCTGCGTAAACGAGTGCGTCCCGAGCGCGTGACGGCGCTGCATTTCGCTGCTCTTTTCGGCGAAATCGATATGGCGCGGCGCCTCCTGAGCTCGAAGTTCAACATTAACGAAGTCCCGTATGGATACTCCACAAGCCTTACGCCCTTAAAATTTGCCATTGGCGCTCGACAAGTGGAAATGGTTGCATTTCTGATTGAGAACGGCGCCAAACCGTCTGACCCAGATTCGTGGTCGACGCTAGCTGGGCAGTTGATGAACCGCTCTTGGTTGATGAAAACCATGTCGGAAGCGAAGAAGGAATTCGTTCCACATCAGATTACTGCAATCTTGCAGATCCTGCTCAAGCAAGGGTGGAACGTGAATGCACCGTTTGAGACGTCTGGGGCGACGGTCCTTCACCAGGCTGTTGGGTTTTGGACGGGATCATATGTGTGGGATCTGAATCTTCGCGCTGTCGTGACTTCGTTCCTGTATGAACGAGGTGCGGATCCATTCAGGGCTAATAGAGAAAGCAAAACACCTTACGATTTGGCTTCGGCTTCTGGTCATCAGGATCTCTTGCTGATCTTGGGTCGAGGCTCGAGAATGAAAGCGGCAGGCAACGGGTAGAAGAAGGATTCATGTGCGGCGAAAGAAATCCGCTCTTATGACACTTGACCTATGGAACCTACGGACAATTGCTCGAGGCAAAGAAATGTGCTCCCTTTACATCTATTTGACATCATCCTCTCGCCCAATATCGCTGAAGAAACCCGGTGACAATGCCCGCCCACCTCCAGAAACTCTCCCAGGTCTCCGGGAGGGACGAGAAAGTTCAGCAAACAGCAACTCCTCAATAGATAAGCTATCGAGCAGACATCTTGATCGCCCTGCCGTAGTGAATAGAATCTTAAGCAGACGGTCTGAGCTCACGCCTTCCACATTTTTCGTCTGACGATGACCGCGAAGCGAATCCAAGAATAGTGGCAATTGTCGCTTCGTGCTCCGATCGTCAAGTAGCTGGAAGCTGTCAATGACACAGAGCAGCATGGGTGGTGATTGTTCTAGCAAGTCCTCCAGGATTTCAAGGGCAGTGTCGAGGCTGTCGTAGCTACCGTCCAGTAGAGCAAATCTCTGCTCACTCAACGCATCTGAAGATTCAGTCATGATGAAAGGAAGAAGCTCGATCAGCTGCCGGATCAGAGCGTAGATGAGGGAGATCAGTGCTATAGATTCGGGCGTTTGCTGTTCGGGCACATGTTTGAGCCTCGGCAGCGTGCAGAAATACGATATTACGGGGATCTTTGACTGGACTGCAAAGTGCACGTATTGTGATGCAATCAATGCTGTTGGAGCTGGCTCAACAACGTGTTCAGACCCTACTATGCAAAATACCTGCGATGCAGGAGCCGTCGTCCACTCCTGTAAGGCAGAGACAATCTGTCCGTCGAAAAGTGACGTCTCTGCGAGATCGTAGTAAGGGAAAGTCCGTTCGGTATCAAAATTGTCTTCAAGATGTCGAGAAAACAGCTGCATTGCTTCCCTCCCGCTCACTGTAGGATTATCGGCAGCCGTCAAAATCTGTGCAGATTTCGGTCTCGATACAGTACCTTGAGAAAGATGCGTTGTACTACTCCTTCCCAAGCAAACGCTTCTTGCGCTATCTTTTAAAAAAGTTTGTGCAAATTCGCCTAAGCGTTCGGACATAGCCTCCAGCTTCTTGAATTTCTCCAAAGCTAAGACCTGGAACCTCTCTTGTTCTCTAACTCTTGAATCGGAGTCTCTATCTTGGTTGTACTTTTCTACGAAGTGGTCCAGAGCCAGCCTGGTTGTCCTTATCTCAGCACCAGAGCCAAGTTGTGCTTCCCGTTTGATGATTTCCGAAAATCTGGTAACGTTTGAGATCTCAGCCTGAAACTGATCATAGTAGTTATCGTTCAGACTCGAGAGAGTTCGGCTGAAAGACCTTTTCAGATACCACTCAATGGTGCGCCGCATGAAGAGAAAAACATGTGCATAGAGATTTGCTATACTCCGTTTCATGGCAATCGTGGGGTACAAAGTAACTTCTTTGACGCAAGCATCCACAGCGTCGGTAATTTCTTCTAAGGCGCGCGACAATCCTTCAGCTATCCTTTCATAATTCATAGATGCCTACTCAGACGTCATCAGTGTCGTCGAATAAGGAAATCAAAGACAAAGACCTACCTGTATCAGGGTTTGTAAAGAGCCACAGAATACTGAGACATACTGGCTGCTAGATGGAAGGACATCCAGCATTGCCGAATGTGAACCCAGCCCAGAACAGACTTTGCGAAATGATATCTTGAGGCGACCGAACTTTCCCTTGGCTTTCTCTTGTTGCCAATTTTCTTCAATCTTCCTGACCACAAGAATGACGTCGTTAATATCAGGAGCACGCTTAGCGAATTGGACCTGTTGATCGGTAGGGAGCTTCTGATTGAGTTGTCGCCAAGCTCGTAGCAGCTCACCCTTTGCGATATCTAATGCTTTAATTTCGGTCTCATGACTATCAATTACGATTAGCCATCAATACCTTAAGCAATAGCATTGCCATGTGACATACTCAGAGACGGGTCGCTGCTCGTAAAACTGTCGCCATTCTGATTGTTCACGTCGTCGTCTATCGTCTGCCCTCGTCTGATCAATCAAAGCACTCTCTACGCTGTCTGGAGGTGCATCGTCAGTCATTTGAGACTCAAGCTCAAAGCTAAAGCTTCGAACAAGGTCTCCTGCTACAGATGAACGAGCGATCGAATCCTGAGATGGTGTCATATGGTCAATCTTTGATATGGACACACCTAATGTAAATCTCAAGTACTGTGTTGAAGACCTTGGTAAACAAGGCATTCAGGATCACAAATCTCAGCCTTGTAGGTGAGAAATAGCGCATGTCCAATCAGCTCGCCCACAGCAGGTACAAGCCAGGCAACACTATCACTCCCACCCGAAAGGGGGGACTGCCAGTCTGACATACATATTCTCCTGCTGGCAACAGTGAAGCGAAGTGGCAGGTGCATCATTAGCTCAACGCGCGGCTTGCATACTTAGCTCATTTAATTCATGATGGAGATGGGTGAGCTGCGCCAGCGCCATCCAGCCTTCTAGATTTAGACAAGCCCCTCTGGGCCCTCTCAGCCTTGTCGACACCCGCGGTCCGTAATCGAATCATTGCGATGTCACAAACGGTGTAGATACGCTCAAATAGATGAGTGTTCCTCGAGCCTGATTTTCTTCGGCTCTTAAACACATCACTTATTTCACTCTCGAAGCTTGAAGTTATAAGGTACGTAGTAGTCTAACAGTTGTATTTCCACTTCCTTTGGGAACGTTGTCTGAAGTAATTTGGCTCAAGTTCACCAAAAAGTGAGCCTTCATGTCGTCCGCTTGCCTTAAAGAGAGACGAGAAAATACTGCTCACCATATTTGAATCATCCGGTCATCAGCGTATTAGTTACTTAGTACTGTGTCTTCGAAAGTCATTCCTGAAGACTCCGTTGTGGCTGACTCCAAGCCATCACCAGTACCTAAAGTGATTGCTTTAGTGTCTGCCGAGCCAGATATGTCTGATAATGAGAGTAGGCCTGGAGCCACATCCCAAGGAGACTGCATACCCCTTGTGTACAAGCTACATTACAAAGACGTGGTCTCAAATGAATTGATTCACACGAGAGAGGATAAAAAGCCAATCCAGACTTGGAGCGGAAAAAAGTCTGCTAGACTTCCTACACTTGAGCTCATCACCGATGTATACACAAGTGCGAAGAGCTCTGAAAAAGAGGCTTCCGTCGCCGATGCTCCACTGATTGTCAACGACTGGTCAAGGACATATCTGAAGATCAATTCACCGGCAATTATTCGTGCTCTTCAATCCGAAGTTGACTACTATCCTAATCAAGACTTTTCGGGAGAGTCCATTCAAATTTACGAGCCCTTTACTGTTTTGGTGCACTTCGAGAAGGAGCTGGCATCATACCGGGAGAGATTCTCCCCCGGCCAAGTAGAGCCAGAATCACTTTGTGACCGTGAAAAAAGCGCTTACGAAGATATAGAGGCGTTGCAGAGCTTCCTAGGAGAAAGGATAGGCGATTCAGTAGAGAAAGAAAGGCAGCGGCACGAGAGAGGCTTTGCGTCTTTCGAGATGTTGTGGCTTCTACTAAAGCCTGGGGCCACCGTCTATTACGACAAGGGCGGAAGTCTTGACGCCTTCGTCATCCATGGAGTGTCAGGCGGCATAGTCAATGGTCAATCCACCCCTTACGTAATCGACATGTGGTACTTAGATTATGACGGCGAAAGTATTGGCAGACGTATTCATAGAGTTGTCCAGAATGTTTTCGGTGGGGAACGAGACATAACAAACCTCAAGGTCTTTCCGTGTGAGCCTGCGAAGTCCGAAAATGCGAACAATTATTTGCAAAGATTAGAGGAACGCGGCAAGAAGTTTTGCGAACTGACATCGAGGCAATGCAGAAGCTACGACGGATTGACCAGCACTTTCCCGAGGAACTCTGTATGTTGTGCCTGTCTGAGACATCGATCTCTCTTGACGGATCTTATGCTTACCTCTACACAATCTAGGTCAAAGGTTTGGTAATGGTTGACAGCGAGGAGTGGAACTTGCGGGCAGGTTCGGACGAGAGACCGGTCGTAGGCGGGCTCTCAGACGGTGTGCCAACTGGGATATATCAGTGCTCCTGTACAGTGTGTCTCAAGCTTAAGTCAACAGCTGCGAGACGCAAGATATCTCCGTTTGCTGAATATGATGGTATCACGCCCGAGAAGAACAAAGTGTTGACCTCACATCAATATATACTCTGCTCGGGATCCATCACCGTTTATGAATTGAGATCACTCGAATGGCGTAAGTGCGGCCGACTAGTCGGAGACCGAATCCTGATTCTATTGAGCCAGCTATATCTGACCATAAACAAACTAGATCGTGTATATGTCGCTGGCATCGATAAACCGCAATTTGACCGTGGCATGATCGATACTCTCGTGGTGCGAGAGGATCGCAGGCAACTGGTCATGGCACTAGCAGAGCGCAACACACAAAAGGCAGACCTTGACGGGAAATCACAAGATCAACGATGGACAGCAGATCGAATCGAAGGAAAGGGTAAAGGTACAGTGGTTCTCTTGCACGGTAAACCAGGAGTCGGCAAGACCTACACAGCAGGTAGGCATGCAATTCTGTCATGGAGGAGAGGATTTAATGCGCGTATCAGAGTGTATCGCTCATTATACACAGAGACCCTTGCTGTCTCTGACCGTCACCGATATCGGCACTACGCCAGAGGAAGTTGAGCAGTATCTCAATCCGCTCTTCGAGCGTGCCAAACGCTGGAATGCGATCCTCCTGCTTGATGAAGCAGACATATATATGGAGGCACGAGAAAGGCTTGACTTGGCAAGAAACAGCCTAGTATCAGGTATTCATTCGCTTCCGGAGTACATCACGATCACATCACTAACAAGGGGTTCAGCATTCTTGCGTGCTATGGAGCAGTGCCAGAGCCTCTTGTTTCTCACAACAAACCGAGTTGGCTCTTTCGACGACGCCTTCATCTCTCGAATCCATGTCTCTTTGTACTATCCAGACTTCTCCGATGAGGAACGCAAAAAGGTCTGGAAAATGCTCTTTGACAAATTGGCTAGAGATAGGGGCGACATTATGCGGGTTCCAATTGACACAAAAGACTACATCAACGGAAAGGAAGTCAAAGCTGTCGAATGGAATGGCCGCGAGATCACAAATGGTTGGTCATTTCTAAAAGAAGAAAGACAAATGCATGGACGCTGATTTTGAAACCAACGCTAGCTATCCAAACTGCAGTTGCGTTAGCCGATTTCGAAAACGATAAAGACGAAGAGGGGAAAATCCTGCTTAAAGACACCCACATCTCGCAGATCGTCCGTATGTCAAAGCAATTCAAGACTTACTTGAAAGAAGTCCATCGGGCCGATGAAAGCAAGAGGGCAGCACGGCAAAACCTTCGTCAAGATGACTTTGATCTTCAAAGTGAGGCTGCAGCATAGAGTAGCATGACCCTTACCATGAAATAGTCCTTCTTGCTGTATCAAAGAAGAAAGGCTACATGTTGACCAACAGAGCAGGGAGGAAGCAGAAGAGGACCGGTATATCGTTGTTATCATTGGTGCCCATTACGTGAGCTATAATGTTTCAAGATGCCATACTCGTGGTGTAGGTAGAACTGTTGAAATGTAGCACACTTTACTTGATCAGTTGGGCTGTCGTATTGATATCGCACGATGAAAGTTCCCTCTTGATAGCCTTAGTATTTTCAAGTTCTACGACTCGACGCCCGAGATCGGATTGAGTGGAAGAAAAGCAGAGAGGATATCACAAGCAAGAAAACATCCTAGAGTAAGGCTGTGGCATGCTCTCTTTTTTAGACTGTTTGATGCTGTTCTATCCCAAGCCTCCATGAGCAGCATGAATTTTTCCATTTTGTTCTACGTAGCAGGAACACATTGAAGAGACCAGTGTGAGCTTGTCCAAATACATACCCTTCTTTCGTTGTCACCATTCGCCTAGAGAGGAGTCGGGCAATGGCTTCTCCCCAAGCTCGACCCTCATTGGTGACAGCCAAAATACTCATTAGAGAGGCGTTGAAGGTGACAAGCTATACGAACTAGATATACCTCGCAACGGACAATTAATCAAAATCGACATCGTCACCATTCATGATCTCATGAGCGATCCTCACACTACGTGGGCCGAGGGGAGAGATCCCAACGGTACACGATGGCGTCAGGACCTCCTCGCTTCTCAATTCTCGCATGCAGGGGTAATTTCTTACGGCTATGATTCGATGGTTGTTCAAAGCTCTTCTGTCGCCGGCATCTTGATTTTGCAATGAATCTATTGCGGTGGCTCAAAATGAAACGGAACACTGAGGACGAAATGCTGATACCTCTACTGTTTTACCTGCCACAGTCTTGGTGGCATTATCGTAGAGAAGGTGAAATGGTGTCTTTCTTTTCGAACATAGACTTCTTAGGGTTGATTTTGTCCATTAAACTTTAGTCATTGCCAACAACAAGAAAGACAATGATTTTTCGCGCCGTCAAAGGCATCGCCTTCCTCGGAGTTCCACCTCATGGCTCTGGGAATATTAAATTGGGCAATTTCTTTGCGTACTTGTGATGATCTTACATAGGAAGCACAGACTCTGATCTCCTAACCGACCTTGATACGAAGTCGAAAGTGCTCGACAACATCTGCATCAATGCAACAAACTTGATGTCAATTACGGATATTCACTTTCTGTAAGACACGCAACTATCCAGGACTAGGGAGTCTTGTATCTCCTCTGCTTTGCATGCTGAGATCTAATAGACTGGTTTCTATACCAGTTTAGTAACAAAGATTCTGCTCGCCTCAATTGTCTAAACAAAGAGGTCATCGCCATCAATGCAGATCATAGCTCAATTTGCCAACTCGCCTCTGGCGACACCAAATGCGAGCTGATAGGCGGTTCGATCGTAGCTTTAGCGAAGTATATTGTCGATATGTCTCCTTCCGAGGAAACTTCGCAACTCAACAGCAATCCGATCCCAAGATTGACTGTCCATATTGCCATGGAGGGCGAGCACGACGTTACCGCAACCCTCAGATCCAAGATTAAGCAGGATCAGATGCTTGAATTGATACTACCCATAGGATTAACACCGGCTATCCTTGTGATCTCGTTCACAGAGTCACCTATATCATCTATTTCTACAACGGACAATCACTCAATCTTCTCGTGATGCATGACGGAGCGGGCATCTTCTCGATTTTTCCTTGGCCCCGCTATACCCGTCAATTTCTTGACTCCTGTATCAGATGGAGACTTGAAGACTAAGGCCGCAGAACCACGATTAGAGATCTTAGCTGTGGTATCGGGCGGTATGCTGGGTCAGCATACGCCCATCAGCAATGGTATCATGAAGAAGATCCACGAGAAATTGGTAGTCCCATGTTCAAACGAAGGTTCTGGATTTGATAGCCATCCGAACGACCATAAGGCTTGCCAGGTGTTCTACGGGATGATGAATGACCCAGAGATTGCGCAATACAAGGTTGGAAGGGAGCACTCGACCATTGAACTCAACCAATGGTAAGGATGAGCGAGTGACATGCATGCACACGAGGTAGACACCGAGTCACTGCTTTCCAACTGCCATGCGCTGCTGAAATAGCAAGTAAAATAGCCATGCTAGCAAGGAAACAAAGAGAACGATGCGAGTATCAGCGAAATCGATGTCAATCCACGGGAACTCTTCTGACACAGTGATCTAGATTGAATTCTCATCTTTCTCAGAGAAAGATTAAGACAAATGACAATAACCTTTGTGTTTAGGCTGTAAGAATGTCAACTCGGGGTGATATGTGGCGCCAAGACCCCATCCTGCCTTGGGATCCAGAACAGCACATTCTTCCTCACTCATATAATCATCAGGCATGTCACAACCAATACAGATTGGCTCTGCCAATGAGTTCAACAATATTCTCAAATCCTCAACGATAGTAGTTGCAGACTGTCAGTCTCCCCTCCCCCGCCTTCCTCACCCCACCACAAATACTCAACCTCCGCAAACCCATCGCTGACAAAACCTCATACCACAGTCTACGCAGACTGGTGTGGCCCCTGTAAGACCATAGCCCCTCTCTACGCCCAATTATCCACCCAGCTCTCCCGCCCCAACAAAATCACCTTCGTCAAAGTCAACACCGAGACCATACAGGATGTCGCTCAAGAATATAAAGTGTCCGCGTATGCCACCCTCCTTCCCCCACCATCTAGCATTCTCCCCTCACCCTAAAGAAATCCACCGACTAACCACAAACCCCCACCCAGTCTTCCGACCTTCATAATCTTCAAATCCTCTACCATCGTCGAGAAAATCCGGGGCGCCGACGGCCCGAAGTTACAAGCGGCAGTCAAGAAGCTCGTTGCGGAAGCCGACTCTGACGGCACTGGTGCTGGGGGGTTCGGCAGTGGTAGCGGTGGGGGGCCAAGATGGCTCCCCTTCCCCGCCCCGCAGGGCTACACGGACGTGACGGACCAGGTGGATGTGCGCGGGCTGGATCTGCTGAATAGTAGCAGTGAGGGTGGAGGGCCAAGGATATTATTTTCGGGGGAAAGACCATCAGGTTTGGTAGGGGAGGGGAAGGGGAAGGGAAAGAGTGCGGGTGGTAGTGGCGGAAAGCAAGAGGAGGAGGGGAAGGACTGGGTCGAAAGTGATACTGATGAGCAATTGATGCTGTATATACCGTTCCAGAGCACGCTCAAGGTGCATACGCTGCATATTACGTCTTTACCGCCGAAATCTCCGGAGGGAGATGGGGATGGGGATGAGGAGATTCCCATGCGGCCGAAGAATCTACGGATTTATTCAAACAGAGCGAATGTGCTGGGCTTCGATGAGGCGGACGGTTTACCGGCGCTACAGAGTGTGGAACTCAGGCCGGAGGATTGGGACGAGAAGACTGGGTCGGCGAAGATTAGTCTCCGATTCGTGAAGTTTCAGGTCGTGCATTCGTTGATCTTGTTTGTGGTGGATGGGGAAGGGGAGGGGGAGAAGGTCAGGGTGGATAGGATTAGAGTTGTGGGTGAGACGGGGGAGAAGAGGGATCCGGGGAAGTTGGAGAAAGTGGGAGAGCATGATCACTGAGGTGGATGTATTGGTACTTGGATATGGGCCATGGACGGGAGTGGAAGATCATATGATGGCCATGGTGATGATCATACGGCCCTTCAGAGCTGGCATGAAAAGATGAAAAGCATCAGACAGGATCTCAATAGACTTAAAAATTGGCGGACAAGCTCTGCTTCTTCGTCTTCCTCCGTGTCCACACGCAGCCATTGTGTTTCCCTCTCTTCTGACTTGAGACCCAAGCAGACCTCTCCTTCATCTCCATTATAGCAACTTCTTCCTGTTATCTTCCTCGCAACAGCCGCATCATTCATCGTAAATGCGAAAATATATGTCCAGCCTTCACCACCCCAACCAGCCCACAGAGTCAAGACGAGTAGGTTTCAGGGATCAGACCAACGTGCAATTTCATCACTCTAGGCACAGACTTGACGCCTGGACACTGCTATCCTTAAATCGAGGAAATGTCCACGCAACACGGGTATGAGTTTCGTCATGCCGCCGCACGAAGAAAGAGAACTCCCTTTGGCAACAGCGACATTTATTTGTGGTAGAAGATTTTGGCTTGGCGAGGCTAGGCCAGGGAAGGCCTAAGGCGGATGACCCGGAGTCGCCGGATATTTTGGCGGGGAAAGTTTGTGGGTTTTTTGATGTTATGAGGGCTTATGATGAATTGATGCACATACATGATAGGAAGAGGATGATGCTCCTTCACTGGGGCATATGATCTTCATTTTCAGCACTCGCCGTTCTGAAGCCTGCAGCTCGCTTTCCTTACGAAGGGCTGGGGACGTTTGACTCACGGAGTCACGGTCCAGGGAACATGCTGTTCCCCGTAGTGGTTGGAGACGAGGAGGGTGGTGTGGAGCTTCATCGAAAGGCACGAACGGTTTGATATACGGGTAGCCGCACTATCATGGAGCACCGAGGCCGACTTTTGATGTTCGACCGTGGCGTAAAGGATTCAGTTGCCCAAGTGAGGGGTTGTGGCACCGAAATGTACATATTGTTTTGACAGCAGGCACAGCAATCATATTTTGTTTCAAGAAACGGATTACGACTCGTTTTGTTAGCACGCTTCTACGTTGATGCATGGTCAGCAAGGCTGACTGTCGTTCTGCGAGCTGGTTCTATAATCGCATAGTCGTCGCTTTAGAGATGTAATTTGGCTATGCATGACAGTGGCACTTGCTGCAAAAATGTTTGTTCTGAGGGAACAGTGCGTGCCGCGAGAACAGGGTATGGTGTTGAATGTGAGAGGGTCTTTCCAGTCGGGCATGTACGAAGAGGGTAATTCGGCCGCGATTCACGCATTCCTCATGGATTTGCTTCTCACTTACATGGGGAGCGTGACATATTATTGGGCAACAAGAGCTCATTGAACAGCATTCCCTGAACTCCAGGTACACGTGAGCAGTAAAAGCAGTGGGCCGTTTGTGGGGGGCAATAGGATAAGCAACCATCGAGTGTAGTCGGTTTGTGCGTACACATACCTAGTCCAGTATAATTCTGGTGAACAAGGCTGTCGTAATTGCACTGATCAGATTTCTGTTTCAAACTGTGGGCGACCAGAGAGGGCTGTGATGAGCTTTGCAGTGACCTTATCAGGAAAATCATGAACCACACAGCAGATTTTGAGTCTTGTTTCAAGTTGCATGCCATGGGTATCTGTGAACAGGCGTAGTGTTTGGAGCGTGGCGGTTGTGCTTGCCTCGGTCTAGATCCTCATTCTTGAGGGCTAGGGAGGCTCGAAATCCCAGCAATGGGGTTGCCGGTTCCACGCATACTGAGGAGGGCGGTGAACGGAGGACGTGGAGGGGTTCCTCTCATGGTGATACGTGGGCGATGTGATGAGATTGTATGAGGGATCGTTGGCCTGCATCTGCCCTTGCAGCAGTACCAGGGCATTTTGGGTGTCTACGCGTTCGTGCAGCCCAAGAGTGAAATGTTCCCTCCTCTGCCTCCTGTCCCCCATGTGCCGAAGAAAGTGGAGAAAAGGCCTCCGTCAGAAGTATATGCACCGACCTTCACGCCGGTGTCAGAGTTGGCAAAGGTGGAGAAGCGACAATATCCCGTCCTCAAACCTTTCAGCAGTCTCCATACCGTCTCTAAGACTACCGTACTCTATCTTGCGTCAACAACATCATCTCAGCCGCTTCCTTAGCAGCGAAAGTACACGTGGTGTTGGACCGTCCGCGGACCACGCGATAGTGGATAGTGGATAGTGATCGACAGGTAAAGAAGGATCGACAGGCACCTTTTACACTTCCCGCTCCAAAATTTCCCCGCCGTCCCAAAGAAACCTCGAGCATCCTCTAGCCGGTTTCACGACTAGATGGCCCACGCCGGCCGTCTTCAATTCACGCGGACTTTGACTAGATCCGGCAGCTGGAATTGCTGATAGTAATATCAATGACGAGCACCGTATCGATATGAGCTCTATCCTAAGATTGAAGGATCGATACCAGAAGAGGAAAGAATGTTTTGATGGTTTCTCTTACACATGGCAGCTGGAAATTCGCTGAGGCTCATGACTTTGTTTCACACCTTCTTCATCATGGAAATCGCTCGTTGGTGCACGTTGACCGGCCAAAACAAACTCTTCCGAGGCAGACATTTGGCTATTCCAATGCCGTGTCTAAAGAACGCCCCCATAAGCCACGTGGAATATCGTGCAAAGCTTGGCGGTGAAAACGGCCAAAGTCTGGTGGTCTACCATATCAGCGGTGTGCATGGACGCTTTGATCTCGAAAACGGTATTTGATCGCGGTACTTCGAATGTGGGATTACAATGCGATTTACCGCTTTTGGAATATCAGGTCTCCTAGACAATACTACTGGGAATAGCATTTACTACACTACTAGTGATAATCATTATCATGTCTTGCGAATGTTAATCCTGGACCCTTTTGAAGTACAATTATCAGTATCGAGAACGACTGGCCTCTGGTACCTTCTCCGCTGATTTCCATCTCCATGCTGGCGTTCTCGTAGACTTCGTAGTCCATCGTGATGAACGTTTTAGGTCGGCCCAGCACTACAGGTGAGACAACTACTCTTTTAGCTACTGGGACTTGTTCTTCTAGATTCGCACCAAAATTATGCACCATCTTGAGACTCGTGGAACCCATGTGAGCCGCAGGCCATTTCAAGATCTGAGGAGGGATCAAATCTGGCATTGCACATCCTCATCATGGATTTCAAGCCAATCAAAAGCCGGGTTAGAAGCCGACTGTTCATGGAATGGTTAGACCCCAGCCACCAAAAGTTTGCTTGCCCGTGATTGACATATTCGGCGAATTTTGCGTGAACATGGGCCAAGGAAGTTAAGTGGAGAAGTCAAACCGGGCCGTCGGGCCCAGATGAAAGGGCACCCCCAAGGTCGTTGGAGGTCGACGAGGTTTCCACGATTGACAGTCTGTCAAAGCTCGCAAGGTGCGGTGATGCTGATTCTCCACAGCTCGTGCAGCTTTGTATATCTCAGACAGGTATGAATAATTGTGGATTGCTTCTCTCACCCGACGATGCGGGTTTTGGCGATGTGCGCAAGTGCGTCCGTATTTGACGCAATCGCTTTATCGTGAGCAACGATGAAAATCTTTACGTTTATCTCGTAGTGACTTGCCAGATCAGTCAGAGACATCAAGACCGTACCTGCGCGGTTCCTGCATTAGCGGTAGTAGCTCCGAGTCAACATGCCCTGTAGCTGCCGCGATTGGCATGGCTCTATCACAGCAGGGGTTAAAGCGCTGTCGAGAGACTAGCCCACGCCGGCCTGTCCCAAACAAATCAGAGAAAACGTGGCGAATAGAGCCTACGACTACTAGGCTAATTGCTGCAGCGTGACGAGACCAACGTGACTGGGGGAGCTGGTAGGTGTCCTTGGAGGCTTGGAGCCGTAAAGCAGCGTAAGGCCACTTGCTGCTTTTGAATATCGATATTCTTGCCACTCGTAAATTGCGGCCAGGAATATTTTTAGTCTCACCTTCGCCACACGTTGGGCCAGATTCCTGCCTCGCATAATGGAGTAGAATAATAAGAATAATGATTGTGGATGTGACAAAAGTTATGCACGCTGACTATGCGCGGCACAACTCTTCCATCTAATCGCTTATACAACATACCGAGAGCCGTGCCTTCAGCGTTCTGCTACCACGCCGCTGCGGCAAGCGGTATTGATGATACCACATGGCTCGTTAGGGTGGGTTGTCTGTATCGTGGTTGCGACAGTCAATGCCCAGTCTGTTCGCGATCTGGATGTCCTGCAGACGGCTTGGGGTTCAGACCAAGACATCCAGAGCGGAAGAGCAGGGTCGTAGAAGTTTGGGTCATGGACATAGCATGGCGAACCTTGTTTCTGCTTTTTACCAACTGAGAATATGGTGAATGCAGGTCATACGAGCCGTTTATGACATGTTTTGCAGTCATTTTCTCGATTTCTACCCATTTTCATATCCGCCGCAGCCAATGCGATGCTTGCGCATCACACATAAGGTCCAACCCCGCACCGCACGGTTGCCTATGTACCATGATCTGCCTTCTTACAAAGAGCGGTTCAGCGTGCAAAGGCCATGTGGTACTCGTGTTCGATGGCGAGACGCCTACCAGCCGGTTCTGTAGCAGAGAAAATGCAACGCGTGGAGGGTCGTCATATTCGACAGAAAGTATGGGCGGCTATGTTTCATCCAATTCCGTTCCAGGCCGTGTCTTTCTTCGTGAATCTTGTTCGAAGTATACTGTACTAGAGGGAGTAGCGGTCGTCATCTTCGTAGGGAAGCCCCCGTCGTGTGTATCGATAGGCCATTCATAAGCGCTATCTATAATCGCTTGGCCGCAGAGTGCCTCAGTAAAGAACGGAGACGCCAGCTGAGAAGTGTGGCATCGTGGCTGCAAGGTCCCGCCATGAGTTTAGGTGCAGCTCGCGAGACAGGCAATGTTGACAGCTTGCATAGCCGACAATTTGTCACTCTGCGGTGTGACCAGTCGTACCCAAATCCTGCAGTGTGCGTGCGTGAATTCATTCGTGTCCCAGCGTAGATTTTTAGAGTCTGCAGCTGATGCATCCAATCGCTATGGTTGGTATGCGACGGCTGATCCTCATTCAGCTTATGCGCTGCCCTTCCAACACATGCCTCTCTCCTCTCACAGACTCACAGTCAGGCTTCCTGACGAATGCAGTACATGTGACACCTAGGGAAGACAACGAAGATGCCCGGCCTGACGTCTTTCATCCTATAACAGAGCCTCTCATTGCCGCTGACAGTGACGATATGTGCGTAGCACAAAATGCTCCGGGGTAGTCGATTGAGCGACTGTCATTCGTCGGTGATCGCTGTGCTGAGGTGAATTAGCTCCCTTTGTCCCTGGTGCTCCGCCTGGGAAGCACCACAGGCAAGGCGGATGCTGCAGATTCTGGGGTCCTGGTTGGATGAAGCAGCACTGGATCTTGGACGAGTAAGATGCTGGATCGAATCTAGGTGCTGCTTAGTGTATGCGAGGGCGCGGGTCCGGTACAAGACCAAAGAAACAGGGTTCGCGGTGCTGCTGCGCCATTACAATCCTGCCGATGTCCCCCATCCACGGAAAGTCATTAGTGGTGTTAGTCCAGAGATACCCTGTCAATCCAATGCGATGGATCCGTCCAAGCTAAGTCATTTTCGTATCGAGGCCACTTTAGGTCGGATTCGCTATTTTGGTGTCGTTTTTCGCCTAAGTGGAGATACTTGCTGCAAAGGCCTCTTCGCTGCTTGCACACTCGCTCTACTCTGATACTTTTCATCCGTCTCTGTGCCCTCCACATTCGTTTTGCTTTTTCTGTCCCTCTCTTACTCAGGCTTCATTCTCGTGTCGAGAATAGTCCTTCTTCCTCTATTGTCATCTTTCTTTTTCTGTATCCCCTCCAGGTGATCTTTGGTCGTGGCCATTTCTTTGCACCGTCATACCAACAATACCTCAGTCACTCATTTGGCAATCGTGCCTCTACAATCATCTACTACCTAATCGACCATCCCATAATTGCTCTCAGGTCCGTTTGGTCTGTTGAGTCAATCTACCGTCACTCTTTCCAGTTACATATCCATCCCCAAAGTCGAAGCCGTTGACTGCTCGACGGTTCCTTTGCCCGATTTATCACCAACCAGGTCACCTGCAACAGTCGTGCAATATATCCTAATAACAATGGAAACACAAAGCTTGCCGCCTCATACGATGGGCCAGTCTGCCTTCTACTACTACAATCCAGATCCCTGTGCGGATCACAGACAGCATGGCCATTTTTCTCAACATCCAAGTGCTGGTCACGAGGATGTTCACCACCCAATCAACCATCAACAATATTACCAGCCAGGCATGATCATGCATCCGCACCATCCCATGGCCTATCCTCAGATTGCCACTCCAAGTCCTCAGGTCCACCAAAAACCAGTCGTGATGACCCCAAGGCCTATCCAACAAAAAGTCAGTGTATTGGCTAGTAACTCCGAGCCAACGGCCCTCTCCTTAGATACACAGTGTGTCTCGCCAGATATGTGCCTCTACTCGTCAACACCAGCTCTATCTGAGGCGAACAGCACCAGCAGCAGTTCGCCTTCGTCTTGTGGTGGGCTATCGACACCCATGTCAGGATCATATATGAGCTCGACCGTGATTGAAGGTGTGAAGGAAGGTTGCGAAGTCGACGTGAAGAATGAGATCCTCGCAGGCGGGGACTTCACCCGATCCTGCTCGCCACTATTGACACCTGGTATGTCACCCAAAATCCATGTCATACATTCATGAGTATACGCCAATGAGTTCGCTATATTTTACCGTTATTGTCGGTGTTGTATGTCTGCGCAATGCAAATTCAACGAGACTGACAAATTTTGCGGGTAGTTTTCCTCCACCCGCCGTCAGTAACCGCTAGCCAAGCCACGGACCTCCTTTCCATCAATTCTTGCCCGTCACTTTCTCCATCCCCATCACCAGGACCACAATCAGCCTTCTCCGATACAGAAATCAACTTTTGCAACCCTCAAAATCTGTTGAAATCGTCGCATTCGATCAGCCAAGCAGTCTCAGATCATTTCCCGCTTCTGCCAACACTGTGTTCAGGAGACGATGAGGAACACAAATTGATCTTGAACGGTGGCTTCGCATTTTCCAAGCCAGAATCCCACTTTACCAAAGATTTTGATTCGTGTGGAGCACTCCTCACAGAGACACCCCATTTTGATAGCCTTTCGGACCTCGATTCCGAGAACGACTTCATTCTGGACCTGACTCGCTTCGCCCCTGAAAACACTGGGTATCCTGAGCATAAGAAGCAGCGTCTGGATTTGTTCGCTTTTGACGACGAGTCACTTATAAGCGAAGACAGCTTTGAAGAATTTGAAGAGACGGAACAATTTGCATCGGCAGCTTTCTTGACACCCCCTGAGTCTCAGTGCTGCTCAGAGAAGGCATCGCCAAAAATGGTACCTGTCAAGAAGCCTCGCAACAGCCCCCGCAAAACAACGAAAAGAGCCCTTGCGAAGGCCGAGCCCGCCGATTCTGAAGTCAACGGTACATATTCTCAGACGGCCAGTGCAGCCGAGCAAACAAACGAGGCACAAGATTCAGTCGCTGAGAACGGAGAAGACGGCGGCGTAGATGATGATACCACCCCAGATACCCCAGCAAGCACTTCGTCAAATCAGCCAATCGCTCGTCGTGGTCGCAAGCAGTCTTTGACCGACGACCCTTCCAAAACCTTTGTTTGCACGCTTTGCTCCCGCCGATTCCGTCGACAAGAACATCTAAAGCGTCACTATCGCTCCCTCCATACTCACGACAAGCCATTTGAGTGCCACGAATGCGGCAAGAAGTTCTCTCGCAGTGATAATCTGTCTCAGCACTCCCGCACTCATGGCGCCGGAGCAATTGCTCTTGATGTCCTTGAAGAAGGCGAGTTACCCCCGCAGACGAGTGACGGACCAGGACAAGTCGCCACCATTGACACACTCGGCACAAGACTTTTTGAAGCCGCCGCTGCAGTCTCCAGCGCTAGTTCTTCGACTACTTCGGGTTCACAAAGGAACAGTATCAGCCCTGCTCCGCCGGCCGAGAACACGAAGGCCATCAGAAAGCGTAAGAGGGACGATTAAACACCCTTTGCGCATCGACATACATGTATCATATCATCTACGACTACTCATGAATGCAACGTTTCAGAAGAAGACCACCGCCAGAATCTGGTGTGATGTTGAATGAGGACTAGACAAAAAGCATCCGTGTGCCAACAACAATCACGGCAACGGGAATCGAATATAGAGCCACTGGGGAGTCTGCAATGGTCTGGAGGTATCCTTTTTTCAAGGGTCAGGGTCACATGGCCTTGGCCCTGCGTTCGCACTTCATACTGACTATTGGTGTTCTATCTTCTCTTCATTGTAAAACTATATTGTCTGACAAAGGGTGTTGCCGGAGGCTTCTCTGTATATTTTAACAAATCTTTGTATGCATACTCGCTGATCATCTGAGTGCTGGACACGACGAGCTCTAGCTTAGAGAGACTATACCAATCATTTCCCACCACATCATAATTTCAAAGTGTCCACGTTTCTTCATGTTTCACGCTGTGCATGTTCTAGCTTGACGTACTAGATCGTCCTCTCAGCCCACAAACTTCCTTGCCGCCCACTTGGCCAGCAAATCGTCATCCTTGCATTCTTCTAACCGCGCGCGCTCCCAACTATCAAAGTATCAGACCCAAACATCTTCAACCCACTTGCACATCATGCCTGTCATCCAGCGGCCCGCTGTCCATCACACCATCTGTCTGCCTGTCTGACCTGCATACCCTGCATGGCCGCCACGGCGGCCAGCCCAGCCATTGTCTCATCTGCGCAGAAAGTAGGAAAATGCCGCTGCTTTTCCACCTTTCCCTCAGCGTCTCGCTGTGCGTCATGTGCACCTAAATCCCAGCCATGGCTGCAATCCTTTCGAAGTCTCGAGAAAGAGGCATATGTGAGTTATTCTCTTTCCACCGGCGTACGTCTCACGCCGTGCAGCGTGCGCGCTTGCTTGCCAGTCCTCAAAATAGCAACCGTATTGCATCATCTCAAACTGCCTCTTTCTTTCTCACCGCCCATCAACCCCACTCTCTCCACCTTCCCTGTCCTTCCCTTCCTCACCCTGCTGCTCCTCCTCCACAACACTAAAGGCCACCCACACCCACAGACTGCACCCCGCGCACTGCACCCCCACCTCCTCCTCACCCTCATCCACAGCTTTCTCTAGCTCTGACTCTGTAACCACGTATTCTCTGCCTTCCCTGCTCCCGCATCTGCATGCTGTGTAGTAGACCCGTTCCACGGGGGAGTGGTGAAAGTCGTCGAGATCAAGGACTGTGTCCTGGCCCGTCCATTTAGATTCTTGCTCGTCCTGAGGGCGGAGAGGGTGGTGGGGGTGAGGAAGGACTGAGGTGAGGAGGAGCGAGCGGTCGTAGGCAGAGCGAGAGGAAGGAGATATGAGGGTCTTGTAGGCGAGGGTTATTTGGTCGATTGTTGGGTTTGGGGTGGGTAGAGTTGTGAGGGAGGAAGAAGGGCGGAGGGATTTGTCTGGGTGATGCAGCAGGAGGGCGTCTCTGTAGGCTTGCTTTACCTGTTTCGAGGTGAGGCTTGGGGAGGAGGGAGAGGTGGGTGATGGGAGGGAGAGGATGCTGTAGTGGGTTGGTGTATGTAATGCTGTTGGCATTTCTGCAGGTTGTAGAGGTCTGTTACATGAAGATCTAGTTGGCCATGAAGAGCTTGTGAGTGCTCATATTCGAGCGGAGCTCGCCTTGTTGCTCCGAGAGACATTTGCTAGAGCCCTATAGTTACTGACAGGGGCCAGCTCGTGCGCAATAACTTCTCCGAAGCCTTGGCAGTGACCCGCGGCTTCAGGGGCTCTTCCTCCTGCTTGCTAATCACAAGATGATATTGTTGATAATTCATGACACAAAGATTTCATTCTTTCGCCCATTAGCTGGGCCCAGCCGTTTGGGCCAAAGCTAGTATCTACGAGAGGAGAGAGTTGGGACGAGACAATGTCACATATCGATCTTGTGATATATGTATCGTAATCCTTTCCAAAAATTCTTGCATGTATGACTATCATCACTCACTCACTTCAGTCCTGTTGACTTATTCGCCTAAATTTGTTCTTTTGGTCCTACACTGCATCCCTTTTCTCCTGATAAGCCACACAGCGACCGCTCCGCACGCACCACTCCACAAGCCTAGCAGCGTGAAATACCAGCCTCTTCCGGCGGCGTCGAGCAGCGGCTGCAAGACTGCAACGCCTGCCGCTGCCATTGCGCACCGGGTAATACTAGCAGCTGCTGCTGCAGTGCTGGGGCTCTCAGGGAAGACATCAACAAGGAGGGTGTTGTAGGTAGTGTAGAAGTATGTGCCCCAGAAACCTTGGATGAACTGCAATATCAGAGGTACAGACACCTGCACATGACTGCTTACCGCCCATCCGTAGCCGATTAATGTTGAAGTAGAGACCATCAGAAGCCATAGACTGCCTCTGGATCTTGCTCTCTCAATCGGGAAAGTATTCAAATCGTCGCCGGAGACCTTGTTGACTGTCCAGCCTATCTTCTTGGCTGTGAACTTATAATTGTGGTCCATGACTTTCCCGACGAAGTAGCCACCACTTATTATACCTGCTCCGCGGGGTAGATATGCCAGGCCAATCTGGAGTTCATTGAAATGATAGATCGATTTGTATATGTCTGGAACTGCGGCGACGAGAGAGTAGTCGACAGTATAGAAGGAACTATGCATCCACAGCACGAAGAAAGTATCAAAGTGGAATATCATACGAAGACAAGCCCATGGATTCGGAATACGAAATCTCTGAAGCAGGCTGCGGTCGAGGGTTACATCTTCATTCACAGTCTGTTTCTCGTTCTCGTCGTTGCCGCTCGCATTTTCTTTACGTCTCCGGACCCAGTGTCTAAACATATTGTACCCACTTTCTTCCCACCCACTTCGTTGCTTTTTCCTACTACCGTCACCTACGACGCTCCTTGCTGTTTCGGGCAGGAAAGCGCCAACACTCAGCAACAAGATTGCTCCTATGATAACCAGCGCCCAGAAGACCCATTCGTAGCTTCCGCTCGAGTAACCCACCCAGCCGCCAACGACGGGTCCAACGCAAGCACCCAAGTTCAATGCCATGCTTACCGGACCAAGCATACTTCCTCTTTCGCTAGGTATGCAAACATCAGCCACGACTCCATAGCTGACCGCAAATGCTGCACTGGCGCCTAGACTTTGAATGGCACGAAGAATAAGAAGAACAATGTAGCTGTGTTTGTTGACTGCAAGGCCTAGATTGCCAATCACATAAAGGGCAAGAGTGAGGAGATAGACTGGTCTGCGGCCTAAAGAGTCCGATAGCGGGCCAAATATGGCAGGGGATATGGCTTGAAAGATGATGTAGATAGTCAAGGTAATATTAATAGCTTGGGCAGATGTGTGGAAATGATTTCTGAGTAAGGGTAGCAGGGGAAAGTAAATGGTTGCCGTCAGTGGAGAAGTGATGGTTGCAAATCCTAGGAGGAGGGTAAGAAGACGCTTATCATTGCGAGTGAATGTTGTGTACGGTGGTGTTGTCGCTTGTATTTGCTCAGTTCCTGATTCTGGGACCTGTTCGATCTTGAGATCCGAGATTGGAGACGCTTTGGGTGGAGATGGCTGGGCCAATGTATCAGTGGTAAGTGGTGACATAGGCTGTCAGTGAGATTAACAGTCAGCCAGGTCTTTCGGATGAAAGTGAAACTTAAATGAAGCAGCGTCAGGAAGACGAAAAGTGATGTCAAGATCAGTCGCCAATATCGCCCTTTAATGAGGTCTTATAAATAGGCGCCCCCGCCCCCGGATCATTGCTTCTTTGAGTAAGCGGTGGAGAAACTCATAAGTGTCCTTATCTAGCCCATCAATTGGCAATCCAGAATCTACGTCTGTGAAGTGTTCCGGGAGTACGGGTCGGTGACTGCAAAGAAATTCAGAATATGGAGGGAAGTCTAAAGTTTGCAGATCGGGGGGTTATCACGACCAGCAACATGGGAAATCTCGCAGTTGCGTGCCATGCTTTCGTGTCCGATTGGAAAGACAGCTCGGTAAACCACGAGGTGCAGGCCTGCAGTATTTCCTAAGCGCGTTTCACTATGTCTATTCGTGCTAAGAGACTTCCATGAAGCACTGAGGTCATTCTTTGCTCAATGACCTCAGCTCAGACAAACTTCCTCCATCATGTCTTGGTATGGTCTCTTTCCGTTGAAAGCGAGGCTCTATCGGACTCACTGAGCCTGGGAGGCCCCTGGCCTGCAGAGAATGGGTCGTACTTGTCAATTAAGTAGTACATATCATCGTAAACGCTATCACATTTGCTTAGCAAGTTGATCGAGCAATTGAGGATCTACGACGGCGTAGTCTTTGGCTTGAAGAACTGGATTCAGCACTTACGATTGTCGTACGGCCTTGCCCTGGTCCATATGGTTCACGGAATATATGACGTTGTAGTATATTGAATACATGCGATTTCTATCGTCCCATTCTTCCTTTGGTTCACTCGGTCCGTAGTAGCGCAGGTATGTTCTTGTATAGACTTTGTTGTGGATCTTGTTGTAATTGCATCTCCAGTCCCCGATCTCCATTTCATTATGGGCGTAAAAGGCTCCAGAGTCAAAGATGTAGATGTCTCCTGTCTCATAGGAAGTGCCCGTGTTTCCTTCCCATAGATCAGCGTGGATCAAACTGGGTTTGATGCTACGCCCATCGCTTTCCAGGGCGCCAATCAATCTTGGAATGATACGTGTGAATATTTTCTCTTCAAGATGGGCAAGCTCCTTCCAGTACCCGTTGACCTCGAAGTCAAGGTCTACGACATATCGCAGCAGATTGATGAAAAACGTCGTCCAGCTGCTCTCCCAATTTACGGCTTGGGGCGTACGACCGTTGCATGTTGTGACTTGCATACCGAATTTGCCGGTAGGTGAGATACTGTCTCGGTGCAATTGAGCCAATTTTGAACATAATTGATTTGGCTCAGGAATGCGGTCGTTCATGTCAATGAATTCTGAGAGGAAGTAATATGTGTCTGGATTACCAAGACGACATTTACCCTGAGCTACTGGCTTCGGGACGAAGTTTGGCATGGTCTTGTAGAGCTCTGACATAGCATTGTATTCTCCTTCCATCATTATACGGCCTCGGTCTTCAGCTGCGCATTTCAGGAAGTATCGAGCGTTAGCACCGTCCGAGTGTTCCACAGTGATGCGCCCCGTGATTGTCCATGCTGATGTACCAAACCTGTTAGCAGATAGAACCTTTGTGTCACTGGGGAATTCCTCTAAGACATTCTCGTCGAGAGGGAAGTCTCCTGAGATAGAGACAGTGCTCTGTTTTGGCTCATTCAAGAGGTTGTGAATTGCCTCGCTCATTTTCAGACTTCGAAGCAAGCAAGAAAGCGATGACAAAATGCAGTCAAAACAACAGCCATTGGCTTTTAAAAAGGTTCAAAGATCAACCATGGCTAATGGGAACGGTACAGAAGGGACGCAAGTTCGTCCTTAGTTCCATAGATCGCCGCGAAGCAGGAGGCAGTTCGAGAGTCGACAACCACACAGCCTTCGCGCCGGATCGACAGCTGCACTTGTGCCTTCTCATGCTCCTGTTTAGCCAATGGAAGCCTTCAGGTTTTGGTATGGAGGTCCGGTTGATTGGACTGTACGAAACATTTTCGTGACTGGGATTGTACTGGAAGCCCGGCGCGAAAAGTCGGAGAGCACAGCACATCACACGAGCATGGAAGAGCAAAAGAGCAGAGGTTGGCGCTACGAGAATGGGGGCTGCCTTAGCCCGCCAACAATTAGCCCCACAAGCCCATACTAGAAGGCTGAGGATGCCCATCCATCAATCCATGATAACAGTTGCCGAAAGGCTAAGAATTCTGGAGAAGTTGAGCAGAATAATAGCCAATGATCATGATTTCATTTTGATGGATTTGAAGTACAGTTGTATGAGAGTTAAAATCTCACCATGCCATCAGATGCCAGCAGATGCTAGCGGGAGCTGGTCCCAAGAAGGTACCCGGACAGCCTCGAGCCTTCCCGGAAACTCCCTTATTTTCCACGAGCTCTTCGTTGCAGATTCGACCTAGAACAGAAACTCTTTCCAACACCATCTGTGCAACGTACAGCATGGTATGTGTGCCGGCTTATCGCGATATGTTGTCCTGCCGTGCACGAACAAGTCAGAGGCCAGTAAGCCCCGAGGCTTCTGCTGCGTCTGGCCCCCAGGGCGCGTTTCGGGTTGTTATCCATGGCGTCAAACCGGCTCTTTCGTCCTTCGTGGCCAATAGAGTACATCTAAACGCGGCCTGAGGCGGAGGATCAGCGCTGTGTGTGTGCAGATTGTCAGTATAGCTAGCTACTTTGCCCCGCCCCGAGCTACCTTTCTTCAAGCTAAGTCGACCATGGAAATGGACGATCAATACCATGCACGCATTAGATGCCGTTCTGCACGGATCTTGCAAAAGATGACACGTTCACAGTGACAACTAAAGCTGTGAAGTCTTGATTTGTCCTGACTGAACCATTCGGCCGTTCTCCAGCATAAGGCCGAATAATGGTGTCCCTTCCACCCTCCCGGTGTCCTTTCCTAGGATAGTGCTAACGACATGCATAGTTCAAAAGGCTGCGTGCACGGCGCCTAGGAAGGTCACAGTCGGAAGACCTCTCAACAGAGACATTAGTTCCAACTCCCTCTGAAGATGACCCGAAAAGCTCTGTGGGTTCCATATTCAGCGATTGGACTAGGAGCAGAAGTCTTACCCCCAATGGATCTCGAAACACGACTCTTCGCCCTGCTGAGCGAAGGCCGAGCTCAAGTCGGCGCCGTTCGAGTCCTTCCCCAGGCCCGGCAGCAGAGATGACAAGGCAGTCGGGTCTGCGTGTTGTTCATCAGCCACGAGGTGCGCCGATCCTGAATATTATATTTATACATGGTTTGGGTGGTGATAGTCAGAGGACTTGGTCCAAAGATCCCCATGATGCAAGTCTCTTCTGGCCGCAACATTGGTTACCTTTGGAGCCAGGAATAGCGAGCGCTCGAATACTGAGTTTTGGGTACAATGCTAGCTTTCGTCCTGGGGCGCCGAGGAATATTTACAGTATTGGTGATTTCGCTAAGGAGCTGCTTTATGAAATGAAGTTCGGTAAAGATCTCGATGGCAAAGATTTGGACATTGCCACGGCGCCAATAATCTTCGTTGCGCATTCAATGGGTGGTCTGGTGGCAAAAAAAGCATATCTCCTTGGCCAGAACGACGAGACATACAAGCACATTGTTGGTTCAATATCAGCTATGATCTTCCTGGCCACCCCGCATCGTGGTACAAATCTGGCTGAAGCTCTGAATAGGTTGCTCACTGTCTTGTTTCAGCCTACGCGGGACTTTATTGCTGATCTGAACAAGAGCTCACCCGCACTGGAAGAGCTCAATGAACAATTTCGTCACATTGCACCCAAACTCTCCATTTGGTCTTTCTATGAGACGCTTGCTACTCCTGTGGGCCCGATGAAACTCATCGTGCTTGATAAGGACTCCTCAATTCTAGGATATACTAAAGAAATCTCGAGACCGCTTGATGCAGATCATCATGGCATGAGCAAATACTCTAGTCCAGATGATCCGAATTACGTCAGTGTTCGCAACGCTCTGAGCTCCCTTGTCAAAACTTTCCAATCAGGTGGGCTTGCTGGAAAGAGCGAGCATGTACCCGAAGAAACCAGAGATGTCGAAAAGCTTCTAGGTGTTTTCTCCAATCCAGAAGACGACTTGAACTCCGTGCGACGTTGGTGGATACCAGGTACTTGTGAATGGCTGCTTCATGAGCCAGGTATACGATCTTGGCTGGAGACAAGACAAGAGTCTTGCGTTACTTGGTTCTGTGCACCTCCGGCCAGCGGGAAATCGACTTTGTCAGCACATGTTATCAGCCATCTCCGCGAGTCCGGCGTTGCGTGCCAATATTTCTTCTTCAAATTCGACGACCCAAGTAAACGCCGGCTCAGTACGTTCTTGAAGTCCATTGCGTGTCAGATAGCGCGAGATGTTCCTGCTTTCAAGCGCAGCTTATCCGATTTATTCACTGAAGGACTCGAGTTTGAAAAGGCCGACTCATCGCTCTTATGGAAGAAGCTCTTTGAATCCATTCTCTTCGCTACGGAACTTCCCTTTCCTCTTTATTGGGTTGTTGATGCTCTGGATGAGTCGGAGGCCCCAAAGGCTCTGTTGGAGCTTCTTCGCAGACTCGAAAGCTCACGAACTCCTCTGCGTATACTCATCGTCAGTCGAAAAAGCGAGCCTCTATCTCTTGCCTTTGGACGGCTTGCCAGCTCGGTTCCTCTCAAGTCGATTGAGAAAGACGGCACCGACTTTAATTCAATCGACATTCAAACGCTAGTCGAAAAGGAAATCGAATATGTGCGCGGCGGTGACGAGCTGAGACAGAGGGTTGCACAAGTTGTAAAGAGCCGTGCTCAAGGTAATTTTCTGTGGGCTCGATTAGTCCTAGATGATATTGTCAATTGTCACTCGGAGGACGCCATCCAAGAGGCGCTGAATGATATCCCAAGTGACATGAACATTATGTATCGACGCATGGAGCTAAGCATACTGAATAACCCCCGCAAATCTAATACTGCACTGGCAAAAGCGCTCCTTCAATGGATAATCTGCGCAAGTCGTTTATTGAATCTCAAAGAGCTATCGCAAGCCCTGAGACCTGAATTTCCGGAGATGCTGGACCTAAGAAGGACCATCCAGGATGTCTGTGGTCATTTCATGGTCGTGAGCAAAACTGGGCAGGTAACCCTTGTGCATCAGACTGCCCGCGAATATTTGACAAAAAATTCCGAGAACGAAAGCCTCATAGATCCCCAGAAAGGTCATGAAAAGCTTTTCTTGAAATCGGTCTCAGTCTTATGTGATCAAAGCCTTCGGATCAAGTTAACACACGGCCAACGTGCACTATCTAATACAGAGCCGTTCATATTCTATGCTGCAACATCCTGGATGTACCACCTTCGACATGTAAAGATAGCATCAGACGAATCTCTAGATCGACTCGTCACCATGTTCGGGAGTCTGTATGTGCTGACATGGATCCATGCGCTGGCAATTGTAGGCCACCTGGAAATGCTAGTCAAGGCTGCGAAGGTCCTGAGCACCTTCGTGAGCCATAGACGGAAATTAAACTCAATCAAAAACCCCCTCCTACATCGTCTTTCTGACATTGATCTTCTGGAAAGGTGGAGCATTGACTTAGTCAAGTTGGTTGGCAAGTTTGCCACACAGCTTATGTTAGACCCATCAGCAGTGTACAAGCTTATCCCTCCATTGTGTCCAGAAAATTCGATCTTGCGTCAACAATTTCATCAACCAGATTCAGCCGAGGTGGCTGTCAGTGGTATTTCAAATACTTCTTGGAATGATAATCTGGCGAGAATAGCGCTCCCAAACGGAGAGCAAGCCTGGAATGTCATATGTGCTGCTCAAAGACTCGCCGTTCTAGGATCCAGTGGAAATATATATCTCTGGAGTTCTTCCAACTTTGTGGAGCTCTGTACACTGCAGCATCGGGAACCTATAACGACATTTTGTTTCAACAACAAAGGGAGCAAAATTGTCTCGTACGGGTTGCGGACCACCAAGATTTGGTCGGTTCCTTCAAGTGAATTGCTATCATGCATTCCGAATCCGAGGGATATCAAGGCTATGTCGATAAGTTTCGCTGAAAACGATGCAAAAATTCTAAGCGGATCAGACGATAGAGGGATACGTTATGTCCGCATCAATGCTCCAGAAGCAGGGTGGCAAAGTTTGAGTGACAGCCTCTTGAAGGAGACTTCCCAAATTGAAGGTAATATAATCAACTCTCCCATGTGCATGGCTTTCAATGGGGACAGGACTCAGATTGGCGTGTCTTACCGGGGATTCCCTCTGTCTGTCTGGGCATTGAATGAAGGGTATTGTATTGGTAGATGCAAGAGAGCGAAATCATTTCGAAATGACAAGGCCCGTCCCTCGACCAGCTGGTTCGCCGTGGATCGGTTTACCTGGAATCCCGTGTCTGGACATGTAATCGGCCTATATAGAGATGGCTGTGTTTTCAAATGGCATCCTGTGACCGATGAGAACCAGGAGGCTCAATCTGCTGCTGACGAAGTCGCCGCTAGCTCTGATGGTAGACTATTCGTCACAAGCAATAGCGATGGAACTGTTCGGGTCTGGGACTTTGCGTACTTCACCGTGATATACCAACTCTCCTCGGCAGATTTAGTCACAGGGCTGGCTTTCAGCCCTGACTGTATGCGCTTCTACGACCTGCGGGGCTCCTCTGTAAATGTTTGGGAGCCTAACAGCCTTGTACGCTTCTCCGAGACCGAGGAAACCATCAGTGACGTGGCCAGTGAAGACCAGTCTCTTACCTCGATATCACATGCCTCTGAAGCAAACTTGGTGCAGTATGAAGCTGTCACTGTAGTCGCTGTTGCGCGCGGCAGCACTTGGTACTGTGTTGGCAATGAGGAAGGCGTGGTAGATCTTTTCGACACACGAACAGAGGAAGCAAGCGAACTTTTCCGATTTTCGAATTTCCTCAGTGTCAGCCACTTAGCTTGGAGTCCTGATGCGACACATGTCGTTGCTGTCGATCTCGGAGGAGACATCCTTGTCAAGTATATAGCCACTACACAAGCTGACGCGATAGGTATGACTGAATTGAAGTCCATGGCAAGTCCCAAGATTGACCTCAACGAGCGTGGTATACACCAGATGCTTTTCAATAGCGACTCAACATTCCTGCTCATCATAAGTCAGGGTTGCGGTCAAATTTGGTCTTTGAAAGATAGTGCTACTGTCGCAACACTTTACGATCAGGATATGAATCGCAGATGGCTCCAGCACCCGACACAGAATTCATTATTCCTTGGCTTTGGAGCGACCGATTTAAGAGTATTTCGGTGGCGAGACTTCTCTGAGAAGTCACCTCGTTGTTACCAGCCGGATCATCCCAGACTCGACGGTCGTATAAAACTAGACTCTAGCGACAAGCAAACTCCTGAAATGGCAGATCTTTCTCTGGGGACAGACGGTGAACATAAACCAAAATCGGCTGCTAATCGAGCTATACTCACGCAGGATGGAAGACACATATTGATCCAGACAAGAGAGATGACCAGCCAAGGTCGAACTATCAAGCGGGTACTTGTCTTCAACATATCCTTTTTCGTCCCCGACGAGGAGGATAGCCTATCAACCCCACTACCCTACGCCTACATACCACCAGATGTCCTATCAAGTATCGAAATCCCGTTGGGCATTCTCTCTGGATCAAGACTTGCCTTTCTGAATCAAGACCTGTGGTTCTGCACCTTTAGGCTAAAGTCTACCCGTCATGATGACGAGGCGCTCCAACGACATTACTTCATCCCCCGAGATTGGACAAGCACTGAGAGCGTAGAACAATGCTGTATGATGGAGGATGGCAGTCTCTTGTGTCCGAGAGACAACGAAGTTGCCGTCATCAGATTTACTCTCGAAGGATTTGGTTTTTGACAGAGACCCGCAATGTAGATAATGTATCCGATAAATCATTAATGCATAACAGTTTCACAGAATTTGGAGGTTTCATAAGGGTGTCGTCCTCTTTCAAGGGTATCGCTGATGAGGCCATGTCAGATCAAATGTGGCTGTTTGAACAAACGTCATCACATGAGGTGAATTTTCCTAAGCGGAGTCGGAAAGAGAAGTCTCCTTAAGAAAATTATGTTCAAATGCAAAGACGGAGCGCCGAGTTGATATCCTTCCGGCTGGCGTTACTGGTGTCTCTTTTCCCATAGGCGCCTTACCGCACCCTCTCGGCCTAGGTTCTATTTTTAAGGAATGGCTTGTTAGTTGCCTCCGAGAAATTTCTGGACAGGTATCTTAGGGCTCAAGAAGAGGGACACCTCGCCAGCCAAAGGGATTGAGTGGCAAGCAGCTGGACTTCAAGGCGGATTCTGGTGTGCTAGGTCGAGTTGGATATGTTGTTCGAGAGAGAATGAGGCAGAAGAAAGAGATGTGCGGCTCGCGGCCTCGCGTACACCTCCATTGTATGCGCCGTTGACCATTGTGTAAACGATCTTGTCTTGGTCCGCGGATTGGGCGGACGATCTCGCAGCATGGGGACCAAATCAGGGGATTTTACGCTTCACTAGCCGCAAACCTGACCTCCAGACGATGTTCGATGTCAAAATGTGCGAAAATATGTCTTTGGATACACTACAAATTTGGGGCAAAGAAGGCACACTCGCCATCTGAGACTTCGCCAAGTTGCTGCTTAGATTGCACGAAATATTCTCCACATATATCTCAGCGACCACAAAGGCTTGCAGATTAAAACTCTATTCACCAGAATGAGCCGTAGTCAAAGAGCTGCAAATCCATACATGTCCCGATTGACGCTAATCTTTTGAAGGTAAAGCAGGAATTGTTCTTCCTTTTCCTTCTTTTTTTCTTGTTTTTCTTCTTTCCATCTACCTCATCCGTCTACCGGCTCTGGTTCGAGTGGTCTAAAAAGGGCGGACGGCGGAGGACGGTGCAGTTTCTGGTTCCTCAGGAATCCACTTGGATTTTCGATTTGACGCATCACTGATTTTGAGCGGGCGTTTTGATATTGACGTGGCTTCCTCTACGTCCGTTTCCTGATTGTCGTATTCCTCCATGATGCTTCCTAGCAGCATCTTCCAGACATTACCATTGGCTGGCGTCGTATCAATGATGTCACTGTGGCAATCGTCAGCAATGATGAAGAGCTATGAATTCTACTTCTTAGGTTTGTACGTACCACATGTCCTGATCTTTGGGCTCAAAGTCCAGCCTCTTGAGCGATTTGTTCGCACGCTCATCTTTACCAAACCTAATGAACTCGATGCTCACGGGCCTCTGGACCAAAGAGTAACCTTGGATCTCGCGCAAAGATCTCGAAAAGCCCAAAATGGTACGATCGATAGCATCTTGCTGCTGCTGCGTGTCTGTCCAGGCGCCATCCGTCAGGACGATCAATGTGAACCCCCTTTCAATATCCTTCAGGGTTGTAGATGAGCTGGTTTTCTTTAATCGTTGCAAGTAACTTGAAAGAATAATGGCTAAAGATCGGTTCATGTCGGTATGTAGACCTGGTCTCGGCATGGCCCCCATTGTCTTCATGACCTCGACAAGCTTTTTGGATGTTTTGCAATTATGGAGCTGAACGGAGCCTGTAGTGAATCCTAGATCGACACCGTCCTTATCGATACCCTTTGTTTTATATATTAGCGCCGAGAGTAACGTCGTTGCTTCTTCCCAATGTTCGTTCATGGATTCAGCGTTATCGACAAGGAAGCTCTGCCAAGAAGAATTGAAATTAGTGGTCTGCTCGTACAGGGTGGATTGAGACTGGGAAGCGACTAACGAAAACACGATTAGGGATATATCTTGACAATATATCATCTTTTCGTGGGGCTCGACCCCGAACTGATAAGTGGCTCAAGCCAGTCTTCTTGGACTTGCTCATTTCTTCGAGTACCTGAGGCACTGTTTGATGCAGAGAAGCACGTTTAGTACTCTGTCTTCTCGACGAAGACTTTTGCGAGAATCCGGTGTCGCCGTCTCGGACGGACAACGGTGACCGTCCGCGTAGCTGAGGTTGTCGTTGGGGAGATTCCGGCGCTCGTTCGAAGCCTAGCACACGATATCAGCATAAGGTCTTCAATCCTCCAAACACCATGGATTTCTGCAACATAGGATCCATACCATGGTCGATGTGACGATGATGTGTAATAATCTCTTGATGGATAGCGGTGGGATTGGGATAGCTTGTGACCGGAGGACGAGGCCAGACTTTGATTGTACTGGAATGTTCACCGAACGGCCGCGGTTCACTTGAGAAGTCCTCTGCCGTAATAGAAGATGAACTAGAGCTAGATCTTGGAGACGGCGATGTAGCTCTCTGATCACCTTTAGGAGTCGAAACCGAATCATAGTGACGCGGAGCAGATACAATCTGTTTACGAGCTGCTTTGCTACGATCTTGCATGAAGTCGACCGACGCTTCAGGCAATGGGAGGCCATACTGTAGCATTGGGGTCGACTGTTGATTTCGTCGTGACTTGGATACGGCGGTCGTAATAGCTTTGACCATGAGTGCACCAAGGTCTTTTGCGTTGATGCGCGAGCTCGGATGCGCGACGAGGACAGAGTTGTCCAGAAGATCCAGCACAGACGCGGTTATATCATCACTCCGTCTGGTGAAGCAACGAAGGTTTGTGTGCCATTCACGCACTTCGGGGAGGACTTTTCGGTCATCATGGAACGAGTTGCCCCTCTCCAGCGCCGCCTTTTCATTAGGATCATCCAAATGCCCTGAGGTTTCAAGAAGTGCCCTTTCTCTACCCTTGACACGGATTTGGTCAAACCGCTGTATGCCGGAACTACCGAGCACGACCCAGGTCGCAGCCATGGAGAGAACACATCCGAGAGACCAGATGTCGATTGCTTGGCTGGCTTGGGTATCAGTGTGCCCCGCATTGCCTTGCTCAGGTGATCCTTTGACGCGACCATTAATCGACAACTCGCCACAGTGGACTATCGCGGAGGATACAGGACTTACCATAAGGTATACCATATGTCTTTGTGCCCCCAAGCGGTGGCCCCATGGCTCTACCAGACTTCTCAAACCGAGCAAAGCCGGGGTCAGCCAGCTTGAATGTCTCCTGGACCCACAAGATATTATCTGGCTTGATATCTCCGTGAACCCTAGATAAACCGTAAGCGAAGTCAGACTGATGCAGACATCACATACCCTGAATATGCTTCGACAACCCCTGCTCTTAACTTAGCAAATTGATGGATGTTAGCGACTGCAGATGCAATGTCGAACATTCTTCTCCAGAAGATCGCAATATCAGTTGACAGCAATGGAGGATCTTTACTAAAGAAATATTCGTCGAGATCCAGCTCTGCATACTCTAGAACGATGTTATACATTCCATGGGAATCTTCAGCTCCGTGGATGTAATCACACAATTGGCGAACAGTCCCCTCGACATTGCTGAAAGCACGAAATGCAGAACGTTCGCTGTCGAACAAGCTTTGCTGCCCTGCTTTGAATGACTTCAATGCGAATTGATATCGCTGTCAATGATCAGCCACTTGGAACTTCGTCGGCCCGAGGGAGTAAGGTCAAGTGATGGGGCATGGAAGATTCACTTACATATCCTAAATGGTCCGACGGATCATCGTACCTAGCATTAGACGCAACTTCACGGAGGGCTTGGTCTACGAAGGCCTCCAGAACGACAATATGCCACAGAGTAGCGATACCACCCTTCGTGTTGATACGTTGCTTCTGATGTATCGGCACAATCATTTGAGGCGGGCATACCAATCTAGCCCCATACTGAAAGATCATGGGTAGGTATGCCCACTGCTTTTCTGAAAATTGTTGCGCTATTTCCTGGGCATCTTGTACACCCATCTGGACTATAGTATCCACTACTTGCGCACGTTCAAATGGTAAGCGGCTGTCGATCAACCCACGTTCTTGAAATTTGTCGATCAGGTCGCCATGACCAATCTGAAGGAGGATGCTGAACACGAGCAAGCATTTTTGGCTGCCATCGGATACCTTGTCAGCATCAACTGGTACTATGATTTTCTGAGCATAGACAAAGTCCAGTAGGAGGTCTAGATGTGAGGCATTTGGATTGGCTTTGACGAGGAACCACTCCTCAAGAGAAGGTGTGAGAATGTACTGCTGCTGGTCAACATTGCGCGTCGTATGCAAACGCAGCTTGTCCATGAACATCTGAAAGATAGAATCGCTTGCAGGTTGTTCAAACCTTCTTACGGGTGCACCGGTTTTGCTTGAAGGATCAGATTCTCGATCCCTCGCATCGACTTGAGAGCCTTCCAACCCGAAGAAGTCTTGTAAAGGAAGATCAATCAGTCCACATTGTCTATAGATGCTTTCAAAAATCTTGGTCGCCGGGACAAAGTAGGTCATCATCGTTTCTGCATCGTGGGCAACAACGAATCCGTAAACCATTCCATCGTGCGGGCGAATGACGACAGATCCACAGTCTCCAACAGCTGCCGATATCTTGAGTTCTACCCAAAAGACATTTCAGGGTGTTCGGGCTTACCAATTTCAGTCTCAGTTGACCAAGCCTGGGTCTCTTGGCTAGACCAGGGAAGCATGACCCCTCCGACGGTGCCCAATCCATTTCCTAGGACCTGGCCAGATACGCCAGCAGCAATTAGGACTGTGCCATCCGGCGGATCCAAATTCTGGCTCGGAGGTTTTAAATCTAACATCCTTTCAGGTGATATTTGGAGAGCGTTTGCTCCACAGACATCGGGGCCATTTAACTGGATAAGTGCCCAGTCTGACTCAAAGTTCCATATCACCTCGATAGATGCTCTTGGGTTGGGACTCTTTCGACGATGAGCGACTTGCGGCTCGAACAAGCCCAGCGACCTGCCAGGATCTTGTGCCCTGCCATCAGCGCTCGCCGCATACGGCCAGAGGCCCTCAACGAGAATTTCGTACAGCCCAGAAATCTCAGGCTGAGGAGCACTTTGAGTCCCTCCAACGCTGCTCTCAGTAGTCACATATAACCCGCTGTCCGCCCACGAGCCCGTACTTGCTATGTTCTCGAAGAAAACGTGAGCCGCAGTCAGGGCATAATACTTCTGTCTGATTCGGAAGACTCCACCAATGGTAGAAACATTCTTATTGCTACCGCGGGAGACACCCGTGTGGCTGTAAACAGCAATCCGAGCGCCGCATAGAGAATGCTGAGCGACACTAGGAATGTTGGAAGTCGAGGGTGGTTCACCAGCAGTAAGTCTCAAGCCTCCTTGACGGGCCATATATTGGAATCCAAATTTGCAGAGACGCGGGTGCTTCTGAAGGCGACTGATCGTCTCCTGTGCTTTTCTTAAGTTCCTCGAGGTAACAATCACAAAGGGTGTAGCGCTTTCTCGATTCGAGCTCGTGCTAAGGAGTCGCAATTCGTGGGACGCGATTCGATCTCTACCGAGCCCAGGTTTCCCAATGCGATACCTACCGTGCTCTATCACAGCGGAGTACTCCTGGTACCCATTCTCATTCCACTGCTTCGCTAGTTCTCCAGTCGCGATCCAGGCGTAATGACCTTCTACTAGGCGCAATAAATGGGTCTGCGCGATGCAAGAATCCCTTTGACTAGAATCAAGTTGCTCCCAGCACGTCGGACAAGTCCCGAAGAAGGTTACCACGGGATTACTGGAGGACGGCTGAGAAGAAGAGGCCATTCAGTGCATTGCGACTGGTTGTCCTAGCGACGGGCTGTATCATTGGAAGGTGAAAGATCAGGACGCCATCGAGACTGACAGCGCAATACAAGCAAATAGATACATGTCTCGAAACATGATGGCCTGCCTGCCACAATCATGGTCAAAGACTGCGCAGAATTGTCGGGCAAACCGCAGCACCAGGCACTAGGGGGTGCTGCTAAGGCTGTGCAAGCCACGATGACCTGATTTAATAAAGGAAATGATCAGCAAAGGATGGCGGGGCACTCGGGACCAGCAATTGGGGCGGCTCTTACTTCTTTAGAGTGATTCAAAGGTCCTTAATTCGTGGCTTATATATATATAGAAGGAGAGGAGCGAACCCAGAGCTCATAGCAGATTATGAGCTTTCTTAACTTCCTCACGAAGCATAATAGGCCCGCAGATGACCCTCACAAGCAGAGGATTGTCGAAAACCTACTGCGGGAAATATGGGGGTTTGGGTCACCAGCCTCTGTACCGAAAGCCAAGGCGGTGAGTCTCGAATCTGGAATTACCTGCTAGATATGTTTCTACGTACTCAAAACGGTCTTTGAGTTATTGCAGAAGCATGTATAGCTGTCTCGAAAGTCCAAAATGTTTCATGTGGGGCTGAACTGACTCCTTTTATCACTACAGGCATCATGCCTCTGCCATTACGAAAACTTGTTGATTAATCGTCAGCTACTGGACGAACAAAATACATGTCTTCACGACTCTGATACCCAATCAGCAGACGTAATTGCCTTAATACAATATCTCAAGCAAAATCCTCATCGATCGATCGCAGAGATCCGCGACTACCTCAAAGCTAGTCCACCACATTGGCTGCTGAATCCTCAGTCTGAAGAAGTTCTGGATCGTATTTTACACTTCTGTGTCCGCTTGTGGCTATTCACCAGGCCGGATTTGAGCAATAGTAACCTAACCCTGCAGCAAGCCGTACGCCAGCCTTTCGTAAACTTCAATCGACCTCCAAATGCCTGGCTCTGGCTGGAGTTCTCCGAGAAAACTTTGCGAGAAAGGGGGAATTTTCATTTCAGTTATACTAGCGATATATCCGAACACCTTACATTCGCGTCTAGGACTGTCATTAGAGTCTTTTGCCATGCTAGTGTCATGGAACAATATGAGATGACGGATGATGGGTGAGGAATCTAAGAACAACATCCAAGATACCACTTGTTAACTAATTCACTCTCATAGCAAGATATATCCTTCAGGCCTATTGCCAGAGATTCGTAGGACGCTCAATCTGCTTTGGCCTATTGAAGATATCGAGACTGCCAAACACGTCTACCATCTCGAAAAGCGCCAGGAAGTGGATATCGAAGCAGGAATGGGTCACGAAGAGAAATTTGACCTTCGGCTGTATCCTTTCTTCGGCGAACGTTTGGCCAAAATCCAGGAGAGGCTGGAGTCCGCTGAACATCGACGTACTAATGCACGAGGAATTAAGATCGCGATCTGGGGTATAGTCTTCACGGCTGCATTTGGCTTGGTGTCTGCAATCACTGGTGTGTTGCAAGTGTACGCTTCCTTTCAAGGCCTCGCGAGCAATAAAGGTAACAGCAACATCACTCATTAAGGAATGAAGCTCTTCCAACAGAAATATCTGAGCATTTCGCTCGTTACGTGAGAAGGCTGCCGTTGATATCGACAATGCATTTCCTTGCCACTAACCCTCCGGTACGGTCAGGGTAGGTCTCGCTCCCCTCAGCAACGAAGATCGAGTCCCAGAACCCCTGGAAGCCTGCTCCACCTGATCCAAGCCTCGCTTGATAACAGCAACTTGGTCTCTCTTCACAAACAAGATGTCTCCGTTTGAACCAATGCTGCACAAGATGTCCTCGTTCGTGCTTATCCAGTCAGCTGGGAGGAAGAAATGGCGATCATAGTCATCGATGCGAGAGCTTTGTAAATTCGCTGAGCAGACCCAGTTGCTGGCGTGCAGGAATACGAGTCTTCCGCCGTACTCTCCGATCAGATTCTTGACCTGGCTTGACAGAGAACGGTATTTTGGCATGGGGGCAGCACTTGCGGAGTTGACGTCGAAGTCAGACGTGCTCCAGAGCAGCAGTCTGGATTCTGAAATGGATTTGGATGGTTCGCTGAATGTGGTAGATGTCACAGTTGCACCGAGGCAGTGTAGGATAGACTTAATCTGAAGCTCTGGTAGTATGCTCCCTTCAAGCAGGATACCGTCGTCGCTCGTGAGTTTGTTCAATGTCTGCCAATCGTACAGATGCGCGACATTGTTTGTGACGAGTATCAGCTGGTCTGGGCGAGCTGGATGCGTAGCCCACCTGTAAGAATAGCGATCTTCCCACAAAAGTTCCTTTATATTGATGCTTTCGCCTTCTTGGATCGACCAAAGCGTATCTCTTTTCTTTGTACACACCAGGAGTCTTGTCGACGAATGATCACTAAGGGCTTGATCCACCACATCTCCTGCTCGCTGATCAAATAGAGTCGCACTTTTGCCCCATCCTGACTGTGAATGATTCAACATATGGGCCATGACCCGACTCGAAGTGTCAATACTGGTCACGATTTTGCTGTCCTCCTCTAGGTACAAGTACAATATGGCGACACCTGCAGCATGACTGAAAAGGTTAGAGCTTTGCTGGCCAGATTTGGTTTCATATAGGTACACTGTCCCGTCCTCTTTCCCACAAAGGAACGTGCCCGTGGAATTGTAGATTGCTAAAGATGTGATCAATGTTACATCATCCGAATGGAAGGCGCTGAAATCTTGGGCGAAGGTTGAGATAGATATGGTATCGCTGCTTTCATGGTCGGCGTGCTGTCTGACTAAGACTGTGGGGTCCCAAACACGACATTGCGACCCTCTGATATCAAGTAAATGATGGCTATCTCCACTGAAGGCTAGCTCTTGAATGGTGTATTCTTCTGAACTGATGCAGTAAAGAAGTTTCAAGGCCTCGAGATCGAATAGTTGTATGACTCCAGCAGCATTCGCACTCGCAAGCGTTCGGCCATCAGGTGAACAAGCAAGGGTTTGTGCGTTGGCACAGGTAGTTGCCATAACCGTGCCCTCCGAAGTGTCGAACAATACAAGATCGCCATCCGAGTAAGATACGGCGAGTAGGTGTGAGTTTGGCGCCGCACAGAAGAGAAGACGCGTGGCTCCAGCTGTCGTAGGCTTCGTTTCTTGACCAAGACTGGAGCCGCTTTCTTTGTTGTAAGTGTCGTGAAGCGCGTCTCTTTCCAAATCCCAGAGGAGTACATCTTGACCTCTGTATAAAACAGCCAAGAGTGTGCAATCTTCACAAAATGCTGCAGCGATCGGGCGTCGGTAAGAATGAGCATTTGGGCCATCGAGTTCGAGTGTCCAGTCAGCGGACTCTCTTAAGGAGCCATTCATAAGATCCCATACCATTAGATGATTGTTCTTAAGAGCTCCAAGTAAAAGTTGCTGTTCTTCCAGAAATCCAATTGACATGCACATTGAGGCAATATTAAACTCCCTTACTTGCTGCCAACTACTGATGTCCCAGATGCGGACCATTTTGAGACCACCAGAGGCGAAAACGTTGATACCTTTACCGAAGTCTAATACACGGACAGACTCCAAGTGTGATAGTATGTGTACCTCTTGACAGGTTTTCGGGTTATGAAGCGCAATATTTCCATTCGACATGCCAATTGCAAAGTACTTGTCACAACATGCAAGAGCGGTCATTCGCTCGTCCGTTTTGACGATAGTGGACAAGCAATCATCCCAATTTGCAGCAGAGAGCCCAAGGACAGAAATACTATGCATAGAGGATGCAAATTGTTTCCTCGGAGCTGTCTGAGGCGGACAGAATGGTGGTATCAGCCGGTAGATGGCAGGTGGGTAAGCCAATAGATTATCTCCAAATTTCGTAACAATTCTTACGAGATCGGTGGCCCACGAATCCAAAAGAGTCACATCTTTCCCGAGAAGGGGAAGCTGTTTTGATCTTCTTTGCAAGTATTTCTTCAGTGCTTCGCCAGCTAAGATTAGTTGATTGAGGCTCGTGTGCTGTGCTAAGTACTCAATCCAAGAGAGTACGTTTGAAGAGTTCAAAAATCTAGCGACAGCCGATAGAATCTCATCATCCGTTGGCGATATACGTGTCAGGTGCTCGAAGAATGATTTACATGCGTAATTCACAAATGAACATCTGTCCCTTACACCATGACTAGCGCTAAGTCTTCGGTGTTTAGGGCCCCTCATCTCGTTACCATTCAAATAGCGAAGGCAAGTCATCAATAGTCTCTTGTGTCCCAAGTTACCATTAATCGAGAACTCAGTCGTATCGCCATCCTTTAATAAGTGGTCGCGGGCTGTTTGATGAACCATTTGCACGCGCGAGTGTGAATCTACGTATACCAATTGACCACAACTTGATTCAATTGACCTTTCAATACTGTCAATACTATCACGCAAGTCCATTTGAAGCGCATGATACAATTCGTTAGTTGTCAGGGGTCGCACCGAACAGGCGGTCCAAGTCAGGATCGCTTTTGCAAGTTTCTTGCCATAATTTGCCGATGCCATGGAATCAAGTATACGGGAGTACAATTGATCCATGTCGGAGGGTACGGCCTCAAGCACCTGACGGATCTCAGCGGAAGTATGAACCCGCCTCAACTCCTGGAGCGTCAAATTGACCCAGAGAAAACACCCGGCAGATTTAGTCAGTATCTTAGACACCATGTCTTGCCGAGCTTCTTCGTCGATTGACGGCAATTGGTCCATGTTCGCCTCAAGATAGAGTATGATATCGGTTTTAGTATCATTTTCCTGGATATCCTCTGACACAACTTTTTGTCCTGGACGTATTACCTGCAAGTGTGACTCGAAACGGTCACGAGAAGTCAGTGCAATACGAATGGGAGACACCTCCGTCGTTTTCAGCAGCATGGAAACCAGCTCTGATCCAGCCTTACATTCGTCGAGAGCATCGATGATCCAGTACTGGGGTCGATTTATTTTCGTCCTCAATATACCTTCTACGAACAATTTGCGCCATATGGTGCGATAGTCTGCCGTGCAGAGCCCGTCATCCTTGCCGAATATTTCAAGTAGGCACTCAAACACATCTATATGCATATGCGCCATCTGCCATGCTACAGATAGGAGGAAGGAGTTGATAGTCGTCTTTGCTTTGTCACGATAGTCAAAGAAGTAGAAGGCCAGATCTTGGTTCAAATTCCTTAAATGGTGAATGATCTTGCCAGTCAGTACGGTCTTACCTGTTGCTGGTTTTGCGCTGATCCAATACAACTGCGTATTCATCGAATCACGCCATTGTTGAAAGCTGTCTTTTTGCATCAACCATTTGCAAGAACCTTTCATCCGCATAGTATCTATACCCATCAGGTCGTCCTCAGGAGTGTCCGATACTCCGAGATAGCTGTCGAGAAGGCGTCTCTGTTCAATATCAAGTCCTTTCTTGGTGCCAATTGCTTTTCCTCTGACCTCGTCGACTAGTGACGCCAGTGCATTTCTTACTGTCTGATAGTCCGGATTGGCCTGACTAGAAAATTTGCAGACCTCCCTGTGGTTCGCATTCAAATAAGCTGAACGTTCTTTAAGATAGTTCAAGGTAGCGGAATCTTTGTCGACGACCATGCTCTTCCCAATGTGGAAGCTTGTGGGTAACGTCTCATAGAAAGAACGTAGCTGCAATTCTTGGCAGTACTGAGGGAATTCATCATTGATGGATCGTATTGCAAGTGAATTGCGGTGTAGATCAGCGAGAAACGGTCGGGATCCTGGCGTTAGGTTGAGGATCCTACTCAGTACCTGGGCAAGATCTGCGCCTTGATGTGGGGTCGCGAGGAAGACAATAGCTTTAATACGATCTGCCAGTGCGTGGAATTCTTCCTTTTGTTTTGCTAAGATATAGGCACGCTTGATCACGAGCCCTCCCATGCTATGACCAACAAAGAAGACAGGAGTCTAAATATGGTGTCAGTAAACGGACTCGTAGACTGATGGTTGTGAAAGCGCGATGATAGCTCATCGAGCCTCGGTCTGAGGGCTTACTTTACATGACCTTGGGATCAGGGGGCAATCCTGTAGAGCACCAAGCAAAGATTTGGAGAAATCATGAAGATTGAGCGTGCTTCCTTTAGTCCAATTTGAATTGTACCCAAAGCTGTGGATCCTTACATCTCGGAACCCTGGGTCATTGGGCAACCACTCCAGGGGCCAGTACGTCGAAGGATCCCCTGATTTGGTCCAAGTACTATGGGAGCCTCCACCCAGGCCATGAACAAACACGAGATCAACTATAGCTGAGTCACTTGGCTGGTAGAGAGTGGATAGTCCGAGTGCTCCCTTCGATGTCACATCGATCTCCTCGCTATCTTCACGCCTTGTCAGGGGAAGGGAAAAGAAGGAGCGACTTGAGGTCGACGTTTGGCGATTCATAATGTCAAGGTTATCATAGATCACTCCGGCTTTGACGTTGCTTTCAACGACTTCAGCTCAATTGCCGTCGCAAGACTCTTTGTGATAGCATAGTTAGTACCCTTCAGAAATCAATTGCATCAGGCTTCAGCGATTCAAAGGTTGGGTCATCGATAGCTGTAGACTTGAATGACTTCCATGCAAAAGTAGTTCATTGTCAACATAATTGTTTGCGTGTAGGCGGGTACGGAACAACAAAACGCTGAGACGAGCCAATTGTGAGAAGCAGCGTGTTCCAGACCGGCATATGAAGATTTGGCTGATACGTCAGTGCACTTGAGGGGCGGAATATAGTCAATCATTTAATGCAGCATGAACCAATGAAGTCGAGGCTCGGACCTCTAGACCGTTTCCGCTATGCAGACAGGACGGGTGTGCTGCCAAACCCTTCCGATCGTGATCCAAAAGGAGTGATGCAGCATTGGCCTGTAAGTGAATGTAGTGCTAGGGGAGTCAATCGATCATTTGATCTACCGTGAGACTAGGCATAGCATCCCCGTGAACAACACAAACTACTCAAATAGGTCAGCAGAATCAGCATCCAGGCCCGAGTGCTCGCCGGTACATATCAGCCTGATGTTCCGTTGTTGCATCCTACCTTACCGCCCGCAGTCTAACGTGGGGGCTCGATTTTGGCTCCGCTTTTGAAGACGGGAGGAAATCCTCAGGCAAGGATTGCATTCACCAGGGCCACATTGCATGAACTATTCTTGAAATTGCGAGCACATCCGGGACCATGCGTATTGGAAAGTTAGCGGCCGTAGTGTCGGCCATTCTCGAATACGTCAATGGTCGACCTAGCCACTGGCACCAGCTGGGGCTATCACAGCACCCGGGCGCTAAGGTGGGTCAGCCAACGGACGGACTTAAAGATCTTGCAGTATGAGGGGCAATTTGGCTCTCAGATCCCTTGATAAAGGCAGAGTAGAATCCCACCTTCAGAGTGAGATTTGGCTCTTCTAATCATCCAGTGACGTAGCAATCTATGCTAAAGTCTCCCCTATAAATAAATATGGTATATACATATGATCCCGAACCAGTTTGGGACAAACCTGTCGATGTCCCTGAGAAATGGATTCAGACTGTAGACGAGCATGTCGTAGCAAGTCAGTAATGCAACTGAGACTGACCAAGTCTCTCATTGGCACTTCATTGGCACTTCTGACGGTGCCAGAGTTGCCACAGGGCTCACAGGTAAAGAGTATCTCGCCATATGGCGCAAGCTATTGGACCCGAACAGCCGAAATTCAGACACAACAGGCGGATGAGAGCGTCTCTTACTTCCTCAAAGTGAGCAACCTCAGCGTTCTCGAAATTTTCGAACTGATGTCCCTTCAGGTCACACAGAACGACACTGGAAGAGCAATGGTGTCCGGCGAGTATGTGTCCATGAAAGCATTGCATGATACGCTCCCTACTTTGACACCTAGACCCATCGCCTGGGGGACTTATGCAGCTGATGCGAACGTCCATTTCTTCCTTTGTGGTTTCGTGGATATGACTGACGATCTGCCCGATGTTCAAATGATGGGGGCATCCCTTGCTGAACTGCACAAGCGAGGCCTCTCACCAAATGGTAAATACGGATTTTCCGTGCCGACCTTGCAAGGAACGATTCCCCAGCATACCGATTGGTGCGACTCGTGGGAAGAATTTTTTTCAAAATCAATCAGAAAGGTCATGGAGAACGAAGAGAGGTCGCAAGGCGCAGATCTGGAAGTACAAGAACTGTGCGAGGCTATTCTCTCGAAGGTTGTGCCTCGGCTTCTTCGCCCTCTGGAAACTGGAGGTAGACAGATCCGTCCTCGTTTGGTCCACGGCGATATCTGGGACGGTAACGTTTCCACGGATACTGAGACCGACAAACCAGTCATATTTGACGCCACGTGTATATACGCCCATAACGAGCGTAAGTCAATCATGATAATAGCAGAGTATACCCCAGAGAACGTCTCGTAACGAATTCAGTTGAGCTGGCACCTTTGAGGCCGATTCGTCATCGCATGGGAAAACCTTACGTGAAAGCATACTTTAAGCATTTTCCTGTCTCTGACCCTGAAGAGGATCAAGACGACCGGAACGCTTTATACTGCCTGTAAGTCGCAGATGATTGCGTGACCAGAGAGTTACTTTATGAAGAGAAAGTTCCTTGTGATTGCAATTGCTGATGACCACTTTAGCCGATGGGATCTGAACTGCTCCACGCTGTATCCGGGCAACCTTCGGTACAGAAAAATGTGAGGTTGCAAACTCATTTTGAATTCATTCACAACGCTGACATTGGAGTCAAGGTGTGTGGATGTAATGCGGACCCTGGTAGCTAAGTATGCCGATGGATACGAGGGATGGGCAAAGGCCAGGGGGAAGAAGTTGTTGAACGATAAAGATTCAGCAGCTCCAAGCTTCACGTCGTCTGTCAACGTTGACATGATATTGAACCCGTCTGGCATGTAAGGGGAGCACATAGGTTCAATACGTCCCCAAGTCAACATCTAAAGTCCATAGAGAGTTTTGCCTAGTGGACTAGCCGTCACTCGCCCCAGCCAAACGTGCGACAGCTCAACCTAAAAAAGCCATGTATGTCGCCAATTTTCTGGCCAAATGGTGGGTTAATATTCCCTTTATGGATCGCATTCCCAAGATATGTAGATAGAACTGCTCCCAGCATCAAGATTCCGGCCCACAGCGAAAGCAAAGGGGCTTTTACTTCACCTGGGAATCATGGGAGTGCTCCATTCTCTCCCGAATGCTTCCGATCCATCGCCGGGCGGCTGCAGCGTCAGGTGAGAAAGTCCTCAAGAAAGGCCCACGCCATGTTTAACAGCAGGCTCATACGAAGCGAGCCGGGCCTTGTCCCTTTCGTCCTTGAGATGCTCATGTAATTCATAGGGCCACTCTCGAGTCACTTTCTCAGTACACCATTCGTACTATCGAGTCGCTAAAAGCAGTTCGAATCAAGCGCGGCCGGGCTACCTAGCCATGGAGGCTCTGTATAAGGCGGCTTTGGATTAATAGTGAGTAGCGGCAGCTTTTGTCAGAAGTTTGCCGCAGGTTTCTTCCGAGGACGTTAGCAGTAGTCATCAACTTTCATTATCTGCTGGCTCTTTGCACCTCTCCATCCTTCGTTGCCGCCATTTCATGCCATGCGTGACAATCACCCAGTTCGTAACTAGTCCACCTCCACCACTCACACCTGCCAACATAGCAAAAAACCAACCGCGACCCATGGCGTCTACAAGAGGTTGAAGGATTGCAACAGCCACCGCTGAGAGGGAACAACGTGTGATGTTACTTGATGTAGCAGCTGTGCTTGGGCTGGCTGGAAATATGTCCACCAGTAAGGCGTTGAAGGTTTGTTGGAAGCACGTGCAGAGAGCGGCGAGCACAAACTGAAGGATCAACGGCACGCTTTCGTGTGCCTGTGCTACGACTGACCAGCCATAGCCGGCTAAAGCGAAGATATAGACTGCTAGAAGCCACCACGATCCTCGTGCTCTCGCCATCTCAATTGGAAAGTCGTCGAGATTGTCCCCTGCTACCTGGTCAATCGTGCGCCCAATGCTCCTGGCGGTTTCCTTGTAATTCCAGTCCATCAGGCGTCCGTTCGCATAGCCACCGATGACTGTACCGAAGCCCCCTGGCAGGTAGGCGAGGCCGATTTGGAATTCGTTAAAGTCATATGTGTGTCTATATATCGTTGGAATGGAGGTCTGGACGCAGTACCACACGGCGTACGGAGATGCAGCCATCCACAGCACTAGCGCGGTATCTCTCCAGAACACAATTCGAATAGCAGCCAGCGGGTTTGTCTTTCTTAACTTCGCTCTCTTGGACACTTTCTCCTGGTCAACATTCTCATCCGGCGTCTTTGCGGGCTCGTCCCACCTATCTTTCTCGATACACTCGTCGGGTCCCGACCTGATTGTCCTTCTCTGCAATGAATCTTTGATCATGGTGTACCATGTACTAGCCCACCCAGACTTATTTAGGCTTCCATTTCCCACCACGTTTCTCGCTGTTTCGGGAAGCGCGATCCCAATAATGCTGAAGACTGCGCCGCCAAAGATCACCAACGCCCAGAATACCCATGCATAGCCTCGACTGCTCAAAGCGACCCAACCTCCGATCACTGGTCCTAGACAGACTGCTAAATTTGCAGCTCCTTGGGTGGGACCCAGCATCGCCCCCTCTCTGCAGGCGGACACACATCTGCAACGACGCCGAAGGCAACAGCAAGTACAGCTGAAGCGCCTAAGCTTTGTAAAGCACGCAGGATAAGTAAAGCTACAAAACTCTTCTTATTCAAGGCCAAGCCGAGGCTGGCTGCTGTGTATATTGCGTACGTAACAAGGTAAATTGGGCGTCGACCAAGAGTGTCCGAAGCTGTGGCAAAGACGAGTGGAGATACAGCTTGAAATACAATGTAAATAGTTATCGTTTGGTTGATGGCTTGATTTGAGACATGAAGATGAGTTGCAAGTAGGGGAAGGAGCGGGAGATAGATCGTGGCTGTCAAAGGGGAAGCAAGCATTGTGATGATGAGGATAGCAGTCAGAAGCCGCTTTTGCCGAGATGTGAAGGTTGTATAAGGAATCCGTGGAAGCTGTGTGAGATCGGTCGAAGCGTTTGGCGAGGCAATGCCATCTGAAGGTATGGTGGTAGAAGCCGACTGTTGCCGCACAGACTCATTCGTCAACATTGAGCCTCTGACTTCAACCATCATGCCGACACTGAGAACAACAATATCGTCTGGATTCCACAGGTAGTACGAAAATGAAGGTCCGTGCTATATGAGATGACGTAGTTTGTGCGTCTTCGCCACGCTTCGAATCCGCATTTTGATTGGAGTGAATAGCAAGGGGGACCTCCATTGGCGACGAGTTCGGCTTCTCGCCGATTGGTTAGGTCCTTGCGCGTAACGAATTGCAGATCCAAGCATTGCAGATTACAAACTGCTTCCCACCTCCTGCATTATCGTAGGAACAATCTTGACAGGGGTAGGTAAATGCGGCTTAAGGGGCACCCTGACGACCGGTCTTTTGTCATCGTGCTAGGATCAATGTCTCTTTTTTTTTGACCTTGTATCACATGAGCGTCATAAATTGAAGCGCAGTTGCGTTCTTCGTTTGCTGTATTTGATGTGCGCGTGCGCCCCAACAACCGCATCGTGTATGTATGTATCAATGCTCAATGCTGTCCCTCCGTGTAATCTTCAATATACTCCTTCAAAGTCCTCTCAAAAGGCCCGTCGCTCACAAAGCCCAGACCCCTTGCCTTTGTCGTGTCGAGCCTCGTGGGCCACCCCTCAACAATTCTTTGCGTTGCCTCATCTTTCTTCTCATGCACTAAACCTAGAGCCTTCTCGCCTCCGACTGCTTTTAGAGCATCAAGCATCTGCTGTACCGATATCGTGATACCAGGAAGATTCACGATCCTAGACTTGCGATCGTACTTCTCCGTTGGGATGTTCTTTGCCAGCAATAGATTTTTGACGACCGTCCGTGGAGAACACACCCATAAATCTAGATCCTTGGATACGGGGAGCACGCTTTGCTCTCCGCTTAGTGGCTCACGGAAGATACCAGATGCAAATGAAGATGCCGCACCTGTTGGCTTTCCTGGACGTACTGTGACCTGTAACATACTAAGGTTATTCCTATGCAATGAAAATCTCTCATGCACAAGCTCGTCGTATTGACATAGAGCACAAAACCGCAAGACTTACGGTAGGGAGGCGAACTATCCGGCCATCAATCAAACCGCGTCGGGAATAGTCATTGACCAGCGTCTCTGCAATATGCTTCTGGGCCCCATAGCTTGACCTGGGGTCTGGTGCTGTTAATTCGCTGAAGACAGAGTCTGGGTCTGGTGGCGGGCCGTAGACTGCCGTTGAGGAAGTAAAGACAAGCCTGACGCCTGGCTTCTTCTCGCGCAATTGATCTAATATGCGGCGAACGGAGTCGATATTCACATTGAGGCCCAATTCGAGATTTGACTCTGCCTGCCCGGACATGATGCCGTGGAGGAGGTAGATACAATCGAACTCTTGATCGCAAAGCCATTGTATGTGTTTCCCATCGGTGAGATCGGCTGCGTGAAGATGGACTGAAGGTGGTTTCCCATTCTCCTTGGAGGCGTTGCTTGAAGCGGGATGAGCGGGAGCGGTGGTGTCTGTGAGGATCAGATGGGAGACCTCAGGTTGAGCAAGTAGCGCCGATGCTAGAGCTTGACCTATGAAGCCTCCTGCTCCAGTGATCAGACATCGAGTCTTCATCGCACTAGCCGATGTCGTCATGCTCCTGAGGCGTCGGTATCGAATGTTTGTTCAGGTCCCACGGCAATGATTCCAGTCAGATCTTTGTGTGATGATGATTATGAATCTGCAATTGCTATTCGACTACGAGATGTGCGATGGGGATGAGTGCAGTAGTGTGGGGGAAGCAGCCAGGGTGATTTTGACGTATGCGCGCATACGTCATTTCAAGGCAAAGGAAAGTCAATGCCAAGAAAAATCATTGTGAAGAAAAAGAGGGATAGCGCTCTTCTTTCCTCGCTCAGTCCATCACCAGAGAGTGATTGAGTCATTTCTATCGCTCAATTGCTGGAGAAATGTCTGCTCCACCGAAGACGCTGACTTTCAGCGAAATGAAAGCACATGATAGTGAGAAAGACTGCTGGATAGCAGTGCACTCGAAGATTTACAATATTACCGAGTACATACCATCTCACCCTGGAGGTTCTGAGAGTATGCAGCCCCTCTGAAGGCCCTATTCTGCCTGGATGCTGAAATTCCCAAAGTCATACTCAGATACGCAGGGACCGATGCAACTGCCGCATACGATGAGATTCATGCTCCACAAATTATCGAAGAGACCCTAGCACCCGAAAAGCAAATCGGCCTGCTTGACCAGTCTGAGGTGGTCATTCTCCCTGAGGACCAGAAGTCCGATATCAAGCAAATTGAACGCAAGACTGACGGAACGATGTCTGGGGATACCCTTCCGAAGCCGGAGTTGCACCAATTGATCTCTGTTGAGGACTTTGAGCGGGTCGCTGAGAGGACTCTGACTCCAAAGGGATGGGCTTTCTATTCATCTGCCGCAGCCGATCTTGTCACTCATCGCAACAACAAGAATTACTTCAGGCGAATCATGCTCCGGCCGAGAGTGATGCGAAACGTAAGCAAAGCGAACACTCTTTGCAACATCTTAGGCTTTCCAAGCTCAGCGCCCTTCTTCGTCAGCCCCGCTGCCATGGCCAAATTGGCTGACAAGGACGGTGAGCTGACGCTAGCGAGGGGTTGCGCAAGGGAAGGCTTAACACAATGCATCTCTAACAACGCGTCGTTCCCCTTGCAATCTATCGTAGAGGCGGGCGAAACGGCTCAAGTCTTCTTTTTCCAGCTGTATGTAAATGCAGAACGGGAAAAGACCACGCAACTCTTGCACAAAGCCCGTGATCTGGGTGTAAAGGCGATTTTTGTCACCGTCGACGCACCGATACCGGGCAAGCGTGAAGCTGACGAGCGATTGGCAGCGGACACTGGCATGTCATCTGCTATTAGTGGCTCTCGAGCGTCCAATGATAAGAAAGGAGGTGGTATGGGGAGATTGATGGGCCAGTATATCGACAAGTCACTCAGCTGGGAGGATATTCCCTGGATTAAGGAGACCTCGCAATTGCCGGTCGTGATCAAGGGAATACAGTGCGCTGCAGACGCACGATTGGCTGCCGACTATGGCTGTCAAGGAATTTTCGTTAGCAATCACGGGGGCAGGCAGCTGGACACAGCGCCGCCGTCGATTTTGACACTGCTTGAGCTGCACGCCATTTGTCCAGACGTCTTCGAGAAGTTGGAGGTGTATGTAGACGGTGGTATCACTCGCGGCAGCGATATTCTGAAAGCGCTATGTCTGGGAGCGACTGCCGTCGGAATCGGAAGACCGTTTTTGTATTCCTTAATCTACGGGCTGGAGGGAGTCGAGCATCTCAGCCAGCTCCTTAAAGATGAGCTAGAGACGAGTATGCGCCTTTGCGGGGTTACAGACCTTAGCCAGGTAAGCCCAGCATTGGTGAATACGATGGAGATCGACCACCTGGTGCCAAGGCAGGAAAAGCATCCCTGGATCACATGGAGACAGAGGGCAAAGCTGTGATTGTCATAACAAGCGAAGAAAATTCAAGCCATTCCATCTTTATCCGTGTCGTTTTCAATGGTCTTCCAAAATTTCCAACCGGGCCCATACTCGCTGGCATGATCTCCTACCAATTCTTTGATTGATTCTACGCTCTCTGCCGCTAGGAAGCCTTCAAGATCAATTTCTTGATCTTTGAGTACCGCTGGCCACAGCACACCGACCCCGTCTGTTCCCAAGGTCAATTCAAAGCGTTCAAAGTTCTCCGCGTCAAGTTTGGCTTCCAGATCCTCCATCGCTGTGGGCTGAACTTTAGGTTTCAAAAGCGTGATAGCACTGCCTCCACCTCCGGCTCCGGTGAGTTTTGTATAACCAACTCCACATGAATCGACGAGCTCTCTGATGCGGTCCAGCCTTGGATGGGAAACGCCGAGAGACACAAGAAGACCATGATTGATGTTCATGAGGGAGCCAAGTGTCTCTGAGGTTGCTACGTCGTGAGGAGAGTAATCTGGAGAATTCAGAAGATCATGCGCAGCCTCTGTCACTTTGTCGATTGTGTTGAGAAGAAGTTCGGTCAAATCAGGTAGATTTTTCTTCAAAGTCGCAACTTTTGCAACCTCAGTTGCAGTTGAGCGTGATTGTCGAGTGTTCACCAGCAGTAGAGGCAGTTCGGGGAAATTTCTGAGGGGAACAACTTTCGGTGGTTTGGAGTAATCGAGTCTTTTAAACAGTACCGCCTTTCCATAAGATGTCACTGTATTATCGACACCGCTCGGATTACCATGTATACACATCTCAGAGACAAAGGCCCATCGATTTATACGTTCGATCTGCATTTGGCCTTCTCCAGCGGGCTGATCCGGGTGTGGACCTGCCAATGCCCGTGCTTGCAGGAGTAGAGCAGAACTAATACAGACAGAGATACTGGCGCTACTCCCAAGCCCAGCTCCAATGGGTATGGTGGAACGCAATGCATAAATGGTACCATGGGATGATTGAGAACCTAGTGACAGAAACAGGTAGAGAAAAGCTGCGGCTGCGTTTTGATGAATCTTTCTTTCTTCCGCAGGTACATGAAGAGAGATATCTGCTAGATGAGGCTTCATTGCCGCTGTAAGTTCATGATCTAAGGTTGTCACCAAATCGTAGTAGGTTTTCTTCTTCGATGGTTGGTTGAAAGTGGGCCATGGTAGCTCATCAATGTTCCACGTATGATTCAGTTTAACATCTGGAAAATTGAGTGTAATAGTGCGTTGTGACTTTGAAAGCGTGGTCACATGGAGATAGGAGCGCAGAGATATGGCCGCTGCCATGGCAGCCTTGCCATAAACGACTGCATGCTCTCCGTATACTATTACTTTGCCCGGCGCCGATGTCATGAACGCCGAGTTCATTGGCGTCGAAAGTCTGCGCTCAATAGTATTTCTTTGGGGGCTTTTTGAGTTCATATTTGCTCTGCTTGAAATTACTTGATAACTTAGGCTTTCAAAAGGTCAATATATCCTGTCCTCAATTGGCTGCTGGTCAACTTGAGGATATTCTATGACATTTCACAGACATGCATTGAGACTGATTCATGATGTGAAGAATGACTTTTGTGAAGTCAAGTTGGCAGGCACCAATATTGGTATAAAGTGAGAGAGGTTGTGCTCGCAAGAAAAGCTTTTTCCCCTTTTCTGTTCTACGACACCCTGAACGCGCTAGCCATCGTTGACGCGCATGAGGCTAGCCGCGTGGGGAAGGCTCCATCTTGACAGATTTACTTGCGGCAAACTGCTTCTACTCTTCCTCACACTAATCTGCAATCATAGCAAGAAGTAGTGCAGTATGGAGTACCTTCAAGTATGTCACATTTTGATCCCATCAGATCTAATCATGTTAACCTGTCGCAGCGTCTCAGCCGCTTTCTTGACCGTCCAGGCTTCCCATGGAAACGACTAATCGTCGGCTTCTCCGTTGCCCAATACGTGTTCGAAGGATTTCTCTCACTACGTCAATACCAGATCCTTCAGCAAAAGAAGCCACCAAAAGTCCTAGAGGGCGAAGTTCCTCAAGAAACCTTTGACAAGAGCCAGGCTTATGGAAGGGCAAAGGCCAAATTCGGCTTCTGGGCGGGCATATACTCTCAAATACAGAATTACGGTGTCATCTACTATGACCTACTACCGAAGATATGGGCTTTGACAGGCGTATGGCTTATAAAATATGTCCCTGAACGATTCGCGGGGGAGATCGTCCATACACTCATTTTCTTCTTCACCTACACTTTTGCGACTACGATCTTGAACCTGCCTATCGACTATTACAGCCATTTTGTCCTCGAGGAGAAGTTCGGTTTCAACAAACAAACGATCAAACTATGGGTTAGCGACTTCTTCAAGGGTCAAGCACTGATGGTGGCCTTCGGTGCTCCATTGCTGAGTGGCTTTCTCGCTATTGTACAAAAGACGGGCAACAGCTTCTTCTTCTATCTGTGGCTATTCTCGATTGGCGTACAAGCTTTTGCCATCACCATCTACCCTATCTTCATCCTTCCCTTGTTCAACAAATTGTCCCCGTTAGATCCAGGAGATCTTAAATCCGGAGTCGAAAGTCTAGCCAAGCGTCTCGAATTCCCTTTGAACAGTCTGTACGTGATCGACGGCAGCAAGAGAAGTGCGCACAGCAATGCATACTTCTATGGCCTTCCATGGAAGAAGCACATCGTCATTTATGACACCCTCATAGACAAGAGTGAGACTGAGGAGGTGATTGCTGTCTTGGGGCACGAACTCGGACATTGGAAGCTTGGACACACCACGAAGCTCTTCGGTATCGCTCAGCTGCATATTTTCTACATCTTCACTCTCTTCTCCGTCTTCATCAACAACCGGTCATTGTATCAATCATTCGGCTTTCACACGGAGTTCCCAATCATTATTGGCTTTCTCCTATTCTCGGATGCTCTAGCTCCCATGGACACCATCGTGAAGCTGCTCATGAACATACTCAGCAGAACATTTGAATTCCAAGCTGGTGAGTATCTTGCATGCATCTCTCTCTAGCTCGATGATTGCTGACCTTCCATCCCAGACGACTTCGCCGTCAAGCTTGGCTACTCCACCGACCTCGCCAAATCCCTAATCAAGCTTCAGGTCCAGAACCTCAGCACCATGGACGCTGATTGGATGTATGCCAGCTACCACTTCTCCCACCCCATTCTTCCAGAGCGACTCGGCGCTCTCGGGTGGAAGCCAAGTGAAAAGGCCGTCAGCAAGCAGCTGGATGATGAAAAGCCCGTCAAAGCCTCAGATAGAGAGTTGTAGGTAGCGTTTGTCGCAAATAGACTATGCCCGCCGCCGCACCTGCATCGAACCTCAAGTGAGCGTTGTCCTCGACTCTCTCATTTATCTGTGTTTGTTCCAAAGCCTTCTGCTCGATCACTTTTGATTACCTGGACGACGAAGACCTGAATCATCATTCAACAAAATTAGGCGATAAAAAGTCATCAGACAAATCTGTTCCTCTTTATTTTCCTCCTTCCCCGATCCTCTTCGCCCCCATTAATAGACACCACCTCCGCCCCATTCATCGCCCGATCCCCATCATCCGCAACCTTAACGCCCTTGACCCTCACGCCCCCCTCTTCCCTGTCCCCGTAGCCTTCACGACATGCGCCCCTCGATCCCCCAGATCCCCCTCAATCTCCTCCTGCTCGCGCTCAAACTCCCCTTTACTCTGCCACCCTTCGTCCTCCTCTTCCTCCTCTTTTTCTATAGAAGCCGCCATCCATTCGCCAGGCGCGCTGCCTATCGACGTCCTCTGTCCAGCATAATTTGCAGAGTGACCATTAACCCCGTTCACCCCATTAACACCGTTAACGTACGCTTTCCCACCCACTGGCTCGGGAGGTATCTCCACCGCGAGCTGCTCCCCGCGCAGTCCTGCCTCTAGTCGTGCAAGGTTGTGTAAGACGAGCCCGCCTTCGCCGGCCGCTGTGGGCGGGATGGGGCCGTTCTCTGTGATGAGCGCGCTGGGGTGCAGGGAGAAGTCCGTGGCGCTGTTTTCGAGGTAGGTTTGTATGAGGGCGATGGCGATGGATGAGGAAGCGCGAGTTGAGAGGTATGTGTGGTAGGGAGGGTGGGAGGCGTTCATTTATTTGTGGGCGCGGGGCGGTGGGCGGTGGTTGCTGGCGGGGAAGGGAGGATGAGCGTTGGGCATTGAGGTGGAAGAGGATGGTCTGTTAGGGATGACCGGTAGATTTGAGAGGCGAAAGGGGGTGTTGGAGGTGGTTTAGGGAATGTGCATCCGAAGTGTGTGGGGAGAATTTTTTTTTAAACTTTTTTTTGGGAGAGAAGGCGGCGATGTCGAGACTGAGGGGATTGGCTTTCGAATTTTGGAACTCGAGCTACACCCCCCTCTGAAGGTATCCAGCTTCAGTATTTTCCAATTTGACGCTTTACCCTTCCAACCCAGAAAATTTGATCAAGATGTCATCGTGGGCATGGTGGGTTGCGATGCCTAACTTGATCGAGGATTTTCGTACGTCTGGCGTCGAATCCGGCAGCCCTCGGAAAAAGGTATATAAATAGGACTGACTGCCCCCCGATTTTCTACCCAATCCATATCCATCCTCATTGGATCCATTACAGCAGTAACAAGTCACAAGTCGCAAGTCGATTGAAGCTCACAGGCCAGGTTCCACCCTCGAATCAACAAGCAACGGTCTCATGTGATCTCGCGATTGGCAAAGGACCTTGAAGCACAATATTAATGGTATCTCTGTCTCGTTAACGCCTCGCTAACGACTTGTCTAATGTACAAGTAGACCTTCCGCTTCCCTCAGGAGGCTGCTACTCTTCCTTGACCCTCTTCCTAGCAGGCAAAGCAGGCACTTTGAAGCCGTCCTTCTCTCCTCCACCCCCGCCGCCATCACCAGGCGCCTTACTCTGCGCCCCACCCGTCCCATTGATCTGCGTAAAAGTCCCTCCCTTAAACCATCGATCTGTCTCCTCAGCCGCCTTCCGCTTCATCTCCGCCTGCCTCTTCGGATCCGCCAACTCGAGCCCTTGCACGGGCGTAAATGCAATCGTACTCGCCGTCCCACCAACGCCCGCGCTTCGTAACCCGGCGCCGGGTCCAAGGACGGTAGAGTTGCCCGTCTGGCCGAAGCCGCGGAGGGAGGACGCCGTCCCAGAGCCAGCTGGTGTCGCCCAGCCTTTGTTGCTCTTGGAAAGCCTGGCTTTGGTGCGTGGATCGATCTGCAGAGCTCTGACTCGCCCATCATTTCCTTGCCCGATCATGCCTAAGCCTTTAGAGCTGTCTGCGTACCCGACTTCCTTCTCTTCTTTGCCGAATGCGAGACGGTTTTGCTCTTTCCGTAAATCAGTCATGGCCGTTTGGGCTTTGGCTGTCCGCGCTCTTCGTCCACCTCGCTTTCGAGCGGGTTTGTCGTCTGGGGCTGGTAGGGCTCGTGCGCCCCTGTTAGGGGGCGGTTCTGTGAGTTTCTCTAGACGTTCAAGGCAACTTTGGCGGAATTCTTCTCCCGCTGTACCATCCCGTGAGTGATGTGCGCTATCTGTTCGGACGGCAAGAGCTACTTTCGCAGACACGATACGCATGGCTTGGACCTTCTGATGGATGGGTACCGTCCGGACCAGGGGCGAGTCGTAGAGGTAGCCTTGATGCTTGATGCCAACGTTCGTAGCAAACCCGGTCTGCGTCTGCTTTTTTGAGCCAAGCGGTGGCAGATTACAAGCTGGTGTCTTTGCAAGCCCATTAATACCATCTTTGACGCTGATCAATTGAGCAGCAGTAGCGGATCCAATCAAAGCCGTCAGGTTCGGTGCGAAGATATTCATTCGTGATTGTACGTAGTCTCGAAGGATTTTCTGGGCCTTGTCAAGCGACATTGTCATCTCGCATGCTCGCACAATACGCTGCAGCTCAGATTCTGACATCTCCTGTCCTCTTGACGTAGAAGCTTCGACGGTGACAACCATGACAGATGGGGCGTCGAGCACCTTGTTGAGCGGTAGACCTACCACGTTATCCGATTGCTGTTTGATCCTCGTCATACTATCTTTGTCCAGCGGCCCGTTTCCTATTATTCCGACGGTTTTTGCATAGTCGAGGGGGTTTTGAACGAGACGTTCTAGCTCGGGAAACCGAAAGGAATAATGATCACGAATGTATTTGTGGACGAGCATGATTTCGCTGTCGATGGATGTCGACAGAGTGTTGGACTGCGTCAGGAGGTGGTATTCAGGATTGTCTTCGATTGAGCCTATAAAAGTCGTCTGCTTTTCGGGTGGGAGGTTTTGGTAATGTGCTATTTTCTGGAGGTGACGGTAGACGTCAGGGCTATGTTTGCAAGAGATGTAAACGGCATTCAGAGGTGCGGAAGGGGAACGAGGGTAGCTTACCTCTAATATTGGCTCCAAAGTCTTCGTCAGACTAGCAACATTTCGCACGTCGTTCACACCACCGAATTGCATCTTTTCTACTTTCGCTTTTGCATCCTCCTCATTCTCTGCGTTGGCAACATTCCTCTCCTCTATACTCATACCTTCATCGTCCGGCTCTTCCTCGTCGCCATCCAGAACCATGGAGCCATCGGGGTGGGCTCCGTTTGTTGGGGGTGTTGCGTCATTGTCCAAAGTCCCGTTCTGGTCCTCCTCTTCCCTTTCAGAGCCAGAGTCCTCGAAATCATTCAGCAGCTCGTCGGCTAAGGTAGACATGATGGGATGTAGAATTCACGATTTATGACAAAGCGCGAGGGAAGTGACAGGCTCAATAGTTAAATTACCGAGCTAGTGTAATATATTACTGCAATGAAACAGAGCCTCGTTCATGGTTCAGCCCAAGCGCAGAAAGCTACACAAGATACGCGTCCTTAAGCTCTCTAAGTTATACCTTCGCCTCGACATCTGTAAGCTGTTCGAGAAAGCCACCGAAAGCTAGCTTCTGGGAGATCCACCAACGATGTACTCCTTAACATGCGTTGAGCTCTAGAGCGCAAACGTGGATTTTCCTCAGGGTATTGGTACCATGGTACTGCATCGAGATGTTGGTTCAGTGCTAATAGGTTTTTGCTGGCGTGCTTGCTCTTGGCCAATTTAATTGGTAGCCCAATTTGCTTGACTATTGTGCGCCGGTCTTTTGAATAAATATGGCACTCTATTGAAAGGTTCGCGTATATTGGGGTGCATTAATTGTTAATTATTAAGTTAATAGTCTATTCTATAGAAAGTCGTCATGCTATGGGGTATCACTGTTTTACAACGGCCGTTGAGATGCCGTTCCTAGCGGTCCATGAGCGCCGTACAGTCATGAAAGCTCCTCCTGTTAACATGACGCATGATAGTAATGATTAACCTCTCACCGTATGTGGCAGAAAGAGAAACTAATACGCACAAGGCAGCAGTGATGACCAGCGGATTACTTCCCATTGGCATCTTCATGAATTTTCACATGCCTTGACAACGAAGAATACCGGTGAAAAGAACTGTCACAGTGCGGGCAATGGTACTTCGGGGCTTCATGTGTCTTCCTGTGTTTCGACAGATTGCTCGGATCGCCACAAGTATAGGAGCAATGTTCGCATTTCAGAGGCTTCTTGGGATTATGTGTGCGCATATGTGTTGTTAGGGAAGCCTTGCTTGCGCATCTGAAGTCGCATTGCTTGCACTTGAATGGTTTCTCGCCCGTGTGAGTTCGCTGATGGTCTTGTAACTGGTTGTGATTGTTGTATTCCTTGCCACAATGTTCACAACTGCCAATCATGTACTTGGTATGAGTGTATAGGTGGCGAGCGAGTTTGCTCCGCTCGTTGAAGGTGCGAGAATTGCAGTCTCCCCATTGACAGGTGAAAACTTCCTTCCTGCAGGCCAGACAATTGAGGTGGTCTTTTTCGATGTGGGTTTGCAATTCATTTCCGTTAGCTAGCACCTTATCACAGACTCCGTTTGGCAAATTCCACTTGCACCGTTTTGGACCAGCATTGCCTTCGGGAAATTGTTGAGAAATCGTCGCCAAATCGTCTACCGGCATGCTGGGGGCTTGTGTAGGGACTTTCTCACAAGTACAGGGCTCGACTTGAATTTGGGGTATTGGCGGAGGTCCTGGGGTGGTAAACAGTGGTGCTGTGGGTGTTCCGTCGTCTGTGGAGATAGCTGACACTCTGACGAGGTGGCTACCGTCCACGTGTTCCCTGAGCGCCATCTCGCTCGTTGAAGCCACTTCACAACCATTCCAATGGCAGCTCAAGTTACAATGAACATTTCTCAAGTGGGCATCTAGCTCATCTGCACAGGGATATTCCGACCCACAATGATCGCCTGTATGCCAGAGACAAACGTACATATTACCTGTAGGAGCAGGACTATGTCGTTGCCAGACGTGGGTAGGCAAATCACCAACCTCTACCTGATCAAGGCATTCATTGTTCCATGTGCACGGAAGCGTAGCTTGAGGCTGGATGTGATGCTGATAGACATGTTGACCTAGACTGTTACCAGAGGGCATGGATATGTCACATGGCTGGCCAGATTCTTGCCACTGGCAGTTCCATTCTAGATCGGGTAGGTTTCCGTACAGAGGAGCAGAATCATGTGTATTTGCGCGCTGAGCTGGGTTTTGACACATTGACTCAAAACACGTAGAATCATCGCAGAAGTCACCTGAACACAGATATTGATCGGTGCAGGGTTGGGTGCAGGGTTGAGTGCATGGCTGAGAGCAGGGCTGAGAGCAGACTTGAGAATCGTCGCAGCTGTCACAGGCTTCACTTTCGCAGTCCTCATCGCAAGGCATGTCACAGATGAATGCCGCGCGTTGAGGTCTGTCTTCAAGAATGGTCTCTCTTCCCTCTTGTAACATAGACAATTGAGATGCTAGTGTAGTATCATAAGACATGTGACAGCCGTTTGTCACGCAAGGGTGTTGCAGTGCCATGGCCCCTTGTTGATAATGCTGTATGTTATTAGTCACGTCGCTGTAATAGTCGCTCGGAGAAGATGTAGAAATTATCTTTGGAGAGAGACTTTCTGGACCGCTCGATACGTGATTAATTCTTGCCTTTGACTGTTGCCAGGGGTGATAATCTTCGGTTTCCTCGATTGTTTTTCGCCTTTTAGTGAGAGACATGCCATGAGCAGGACTGTCTAAGCCCAAGTCCACGCCAGGACTAGCTCTTCGTTTGGTTCGGAAACCATCAACAGAGTTTACAGAAACCTCCGATAGCATATTTTTCCTTGACTGATTCTCTTGTGGTTGCTTTTTTCCTGCATCTTCTGCATCTTTCGTGGGACATGCGTGTTGTTGAGGAGGTAACATGAGGCTCATTGGAACGTGCGGTGCAGGGAACCTTTTTTTCTTTTCGAAATCGGCCATTCGTAGCACGAGGTTGTGTCCATTCAGGCAGTTTTCTTCAATGCAGCACGGCTCTGCACGGCTGCCTTGTGCGCCATATACCCAGTCATCATCGCTCTTCAGGAAACATTCGACGGGTTGCGAATTTTCGTCCATTACTGCAGACTTATGTAGATCGAAGCTGTAGAGGCTGGGTTTCGCAAGAAAGGTATTTCTTGGATTGACGGGAGGCTCGATTGTTTCTTGCTAGGTCTTCAGTGTCGTCCATTCATTTGCGCAAGAATGATCGCAAGCATCCGGTCTACAGCTAGGAAGACAGAAGCCTCATCGAGGTTGCCCTGCTCTTATGTATATAGCTTCCCGGCAATCACCGGCGGAGCTTGACTCAGACGCCCCACAGCGCCTTGTCTTCGAGGCAGCTGTTTGGTCAGACCGAATGATTTCTGTCGGCGCTGATTTGTTGATTGGAGAAAGCATTAGATCTTCATGCAATGGCACCGTGTTCGAGAGCTGCTAACTGGATTGGATGTCATGTGGGGGGAGGGGTAGAGAGCCCTGTGGGAATGCAAGTCTGCGTAAGGCGCCAAGACCTGAAGGCGGCCTTGGCGCTGAAGCTTAAGGGGCGGGGAGCAGGCTGACCTCCTCTTTCACCTCTAGCTCAACAGTTTTTGGTGTTTATTCAATCCATGGTACCGTACTGCTCTCTGTTCTCGAAGGGTCGACAAGATCTCATGAAAGAAAGTATAAATCTTCGCGGCCTTTCGCGGTACAGATTTCGATTTAAGAATACAACTCATCGCACTCGTTGGCCGTATCTCCAATCACACTGTCCAAACTCAGCTTCCTTCAATGACTTCCCCTCTTAGGATATCCGCTGCAATCTTCTCTGCCAACGCGTAGACTGCGCTCTGCGGGTGCCCTGGCAACAAGAACGGAAAGGCGCTCGCATCCACAACTCTCAAGCCACGCGTACCGAATACCTTCGCCCCGCTGTCCACGACCGCCTCCTTATCTTCCTTCTTGCCCATTTTGCAAGTCCCACTAGCGTGCCATGTCGGTGCCACAGCCTTCTTGACAAAGGCTAGGATCTCCTCATCGCTTTGTGTCTTTGGACCAAGTAAATATTCTTCTCCCACCGTGACCCCCGGCATCGCCTGCCAGATCTCGCGCTGCCGTCGGATCGCCGCGATCGCGACTTCCTGGTCTGCCTTATGTCCGAAGAAATTGGGATCGATCTTCGGTAAGTCAGACGCGTGAGAGGAGTTCAATGAGACGCTTCCTCGGCTGAGGGGCGCAACCATGCTGGTGCCAAGCCAAGCGTAGTTGTGTCCATCGACAGGATCCTCCGTCATGTAGTTGCGTTGAAGACCAAGTGCAGCGTTGGCGGGCAGGAATTCTAGTTCTGGCCAATCTGCAGGGAAGGCCTCGTCCAGTGCCTTGCGGCTTTCTGCCGTCATCGATTGACGTAGGTGGGAGGGAATCTTTTCCCAGCCGATGAAGCCGGTGGTTGGGATTGTGAGTGGGCCAGCGGCATGATTGTTGTAGGCTTCTTGGGCGGCGACCATAAGCGCAGGGCTATTAAGAGAGGCAGAGATAGTGGGGACGTTAACGCGGAACTCCGATCCAAACAAGGGGTGGTCCGCAAGGTTCTGTCCCACGCCCGGGAGATCGATTGATACGGGAATATTGAGACTTTCGAGTTGTTCGCGTGGACCGATGCCTGAAAGCATCAGGAGTTGGGGTGATTGAAAGGCCCCAGCCGAGAGGATGACTTCTTTTTTAGCGTTGAGAGTGAAAGTGTTGTTCTTTGCCGACACAAGTACGCCAGTGGCAGTCTGTGTTTTGTCAAGGAGAACCTTCTCGGCAAGGGTATTGTGATAGACTTTCAAGTTCTTCTTATCGCGTACAGATGCCAGATAGCTTGTCTCGGACGACGAACGATGTGCTGATTGAGGGTCTACCGTGAAGGTACCGTATGAAGACCCAATCAAGCGCCCGGATTGGAAGCCATCGATAGCTTTCATCCCAAGCCTTTCCATGGCCGGCTGCACCCAAGTGCCAAAGGGTTCGACATATTTGCCGTGAGATACTTGGACTGGCCCTCCGGCAGGGCTCCATGCATTAGGATCTTGGGTATTAGTGCTGTTAGTGAAGGGCACCGTTCCAGGTGTATAATGTACACTCTTCTGAAAGAATGGGAAAAGATTGTCAAAAGCGTAACTCTCATCTCCCACCTCCTCTGCCCATTTGTTGAGAGCGCCAACGGTAGGTCTGCAACGGTCAATTCATGTTCAAGCACGCTGAACGGAAGACTTACCTATGATGATACATGAAATTCCTAGCTGACGAGCCTCCAAGTGTTTTTCCTCGCGGGTAATGGATGCGTCTATCCTCGGCGCCCTAGAGTTTTTGTGTCAGTACAAGCCTCAAATGCAACCTGCGCAGCAAGAGAACAATACCTTCTGAGGTTCTGTGACGAAACCCCAATCCACGAGTGGATTGAAGTCATCAGGATCAGTGCCGGCGAAGAAGGGACAATATGCCGGGACCACGCTCAAATTGCCATTGTCTTGCTCGTAAAAGCCGCCCGCTTCAATCACCGCGACACTGTGGGAGAACCCTTCGACCAGCCTCGCTGCCAAAGCCAGGCTAGCAGTGCCACCTCCAACTACGACATAGTCAAATGTCAGATCCTGGTCGATCGGAGTGTTGTAAGTACGGGGATCGAAGATGCGTGCTGCTTGACCTTGATGGACAATGGCCGCAAGGACGGATGTCGTAGCTGCGAGGCTTGCAAGCAACACTTGGTTAGAAAGCAGGGATCTCAATTGTCTCATAGACAGAATGGTTTGGGCAAAATTGAAATGCTGTTGTTGGTGGAACTATCAATGAAGGTTTTCTTTGGTACTCTATGCAATGACTTTGAAGTGGCGATGATACTCTGTGGAGGATGGATAGAATCACGGTTGTACGCAGTTTGCGCATCACGAAGAGAATTAATAGTCTCCAATATATAGTTGATGGATGGCAAAGCTCGAGTAGGCAATGACATTGTATAGTAACCCGGTATGATGATGTGACTTCCATGAATAGATATTGCTAAATTATCCGCTTCATTTCCATGCAAAGCATTTGCCATGACCAAGAAGTGTTGTCCGAAGCAGAGCATTACAAAGGCGTTGTGAAAAGAAGCCATTTGGAATGGATTGCATGCCTCGGAAATGTACCCCAGTCACGTGTATGGAATAGCAAATGTTGCGGAAATTTGCGGGAATCGTTCGGATGACTGTGGGAGAACTCTGCAGGCGGAGGCGGCTGAACAAGGCCCTTATTGCCCCTTGACTTCGCGGCTATTGGGAGGCTCGCCGAGGCAAAGCCTTGACTAAGGCTCCCTAAAACTCCGTCCCAATCAACGCCTTCCCTTTCCTCCCGAAGGTTAGGCTCCGCCCGGCGGATTCCAAAATTGAACACTTTTCGTCCATTGCTAGTCTTGCAAGTATTAAACCAATTCATACGTAGCCTATTACTATTCGACTTGATGGCGTCAGTAAATGTCCTTGGTGAAAGGTTGAGGTATTTGACCAGGGACACTCTTCTGCGGCGGTGATTACAAAAGACTTGGTATGTTATGCCAATCTTTATGCTTGCTGCAAGGGTTCAGATGCGAGGAAACTATACTTACATTCTGGAAATCGCGAGGTACTTGCTATCGGTCAGCAGTACTGCCGCCACCTGTGGATTTCATCATGAAATGTCACCTAGCATCCTCTCGTCCATCATATTAAGTAAAATATTGGCTGAGTCGAATGATGTAGGCTGCGAAAGGCTACTGATTGGGTCTTCCAAATAGAGAACCCACTTGTTTCACTTAATGTTAAGATATGGCGATGAAACCATGTCATACTCTTGCTTTGTGCCGAGAAGACGTGCGAACCAACGAATGATTCTGGGATTGTTTTTTCACTAAGATATATTCTTTTGCCCGAAACAATGTGACGCCGTGACGTGACGGAGAGTACATGTTAAATCAACAATCATCTGTGGGAAGACTGATCTGACTTCGCACAGAAAGCACAACATGTCCATAGCGGATTGAGACTTTCCACACTGGCAAACTTTGTCCATGAGAGAAATCTTGTCATGACTCGCGATGCAAACGATACTTGAGCAAAGTACCTTCTGATTACTCTTAGATCATTTGAGTAGCCAGTTGCAAGTGTCAAGCTTTCTTGAATGCGGTCAGGTCAAATAAGCGAATAGATTCCAATTGGCAACCATGAATGTCGGCATGGCTGGCCAGTGCCCATCTATTGACAAAGACATTTCAAGAGCGCCTCGCTCACATCTTGGCTACCTCACCGAAAGGTGTCTGCTCCTGCGGGCGGACACATTCGACTCTCAATGGGGGATGACGCTGAGGGCAACATGCTGATTAAATAATATCTCGGCCGAATTGAAGCTTTTCGTACCTCGTCATTCGGTATTCCTCACCCTCAGCTGTCAAGCCTAGGGCTGCCGTCGGAGCGCTATAAGGACATGGGATCAATCAACCCAAGCATGTTCACGAATATCGGCCCCCTGGTAAAAGGGAAATGGTACTTCAAAAAGGGGCGGGCGACAGGAGTACGGCCCGGCATTTGCCACTGCACAGAAGCTTCCATAAACATGAAGTAATGCCGGCGTACAATCGATCAATTCGGCGTCACAGGCTTGTGGGAAGTGGCAACAGAGGAGGCTGTCATTCTCCCAGCCAAGGTCCAAAATGCGAACGATGTGACCGAGGGGAAGCTCCTCAAAGCTTCGTCACAGAGACGCTAAGATTGAAAAGGCTAGTCCCGGAACAATCCACAAGCGGAAACCTTATTTGGGCGAGTCTCCTACTCTTACGTGACGGACATTGTTTGTTCTCGATGAAAGTATCTAATTGCCCACGAGACCCTGGTGCGAGAGAGGTAGATCATTGCAAGAGCATCACCAAGCTGTTGGTCAATGCCGCGATCTTCGTCAAGCACCCGCGCAAAGACTCCTGTAATGACCCTCGAAATCTGGAAGCATACGTCATGAACTGGCGTCGACAAGCTTCAGGCGATGATGTCTTGAGGGTACCGAGCTAATTGAGACATCATGACCGCGCAATCCGAGGAAACAAATCGTCTCTTGAGCCAAATATTGGATTCGATCAAAGCTCTGGATTACAATCTTCAAAGCCAGAATAAACGACTTGAAGATCTCGAGAAGGTCGGACCATGCTCAAAAGAAGCCGCCGAGGGAGCACCGCAAGCTCGGAGAGTGCAATCTTACAAGTCAACCACTGAGGTATGCGTTGCCTTTCTACCTTTGCCACTATGCTTTCAATGTTTTCGCACTATCTGTGGAGCTGAAGTTTTGCGCCAAGGATGACCAGGACCCGTTCTGTTTCCCAGAGCCTCATGAAGTAATTCACGCCTATCACGCACTTGCGAATGGTCGTACCGAGCTTGGTGAGCAAGCCAAACTATGGACTGCGAAGATTGGAGATATCTGGACTTTGCCTCGAGACCATCGGATTGACCTTGGATTTCAACGATACATGCTAGAGAAGCTGCAAGGTTACGACCTCGCTTTTCGACTCGAAGCCTTGCAAATGTTCAATAATCTGCTGCTAGATACGGAAACGCCTTTAAAGCCAAGATCTACGAAGCGTAGAAATTGGTTCAGACATCTGACAGTTGAGGACAGTTTCCCTAACACACCGTTCTGGACTCATGTGTACACAATTGGTCGAGCAGACTCTAGGGAGCTACATAAGCTAGGTGAGGATGCGGACTCGAGGCCTTTCGAGCAACAAGTGCCACCATCGACGGCTGGACGAATAATTCAACACGCCCCGTGGCAGAGATTGATGTAAGTTTTGCAGTTTTGGATGCTCTACTCGTTGATTCATCGTCGTGATTGTAACGGCTACGTAGTACATTGCAAGGTCTCTCATCGATTGTTCTGAGCACTTCTTCCACTGAATCACAACGGTGGGAGAGACCATACCTCTCATGGCGAGACGTTTGCCCCTTCGTCATGTCATACGACACGAGGGTCCGTGACGCTATCGATCTACATCTAAAGTGCGAAAGACGTGATTTCCAGCCGGCGCCTTCCTTTAAATCTTCAGGATATGGCGAAAAAGAGCGAACAGCGACTATGAAGTTCCATATTACTTTTTATGAAATCTATACGCAGGAGTTGGAAACAAAGCAAGACATTTGGAAGATTGGAGAATTGTACAATGATCCAGAAAAGCGACGGTTCAGGGAATGCTCATGTACAGTAAGTCCTCCCTCCTTTCTTGTCCCTTACAACTGTCCATTTTTTTCTAGCTGATCAGTGCGCACAGCTCCTAGCAATTGGAAACCCTGCTCCTCTTGATATTCATTCATGGCCAGATTCCCTGTCAAGTCCCGAATACTGGACTATTCTCTACCTGACGCCAGAAGGATTTGGAAAACCAATTGGAGCTACTGGGCATATGGATCTTGCAGTGCTCAGTCTCGTTACTAACATGCTCATGAAGGTCACTGACAGGTGGGCCGATTTGGTCGATTTCTTGCGTACACTTTTAGAAAGTAGTAGTCTCTTTCTGGATCCAGTACGCCATGATAATCTTCTCTTCGATAATGAAGACTTTACTAGATCCAGAGAGCAATTCTGGGCGATCAATTGCCTAGCAGAATTTGAGAGCAGTATTTTTGCCAATATCGAGCAATGGGAGGAGTTCCGACGCTACCTCACGCGGCTGGAGCCCTCGAACAAAAAGACTACCAGTCCCTTACGTGACCCAGATGACGAGCTACTTGAAGAGCTACTTGGGAGATCAGACGGCTACTGCACTCGCCTCAAAAGATACCATAGCTTCTTCCAGACCAAACGCGCAGCAACTATTACATTAAGAGACGGGGTCAGCAAAGAGTTCCGGTCAGTATTCGGATAGCGGCTGACGTACTGCAGCTTTTCAATGCCAGCTCTGTAATGGAGAGTAGAGCAGCAACGCGACTTGGCGAAAATATCAAGCTTCTCACATTCGTCAGTGTCTTCTTCCTGCCATTGTCATTCTGTACGGTAAGTGAACCGCAAGTTCTCTGTTTTGGGCGAGCTACTGATCGACATCAACACTCATAGTCAATCTGGAGTATTCAAAACGGACCTACAAGCCCCAGTACACTGATATACGTATGCGTCATCGTTGGATTGGCAACCTATGCTACAGTATTCAATTTGAACTTAGTTGTACGTGCATGCGCTCGAAAGTATAGACGTGTCAGAGATACCATCGTCAACGAAATGAGAGAAGAGAGAAATGACACATGGAAAGCCCGTGGGAAAAGATACGATCATTTTCGACCTGTTCATGAGGAACAGAAACCTACAGATTGGTTCATCCTGCTTTACCTGCTATGGCGAGCTACTGTCAGACCATGGACATATTTCCATCCAAGAGAGTCCACAGACAGTGGCAGATATTCGCAAGAATCAGACCTCGCAAGAACAGGGGCTCTTTTAGGCCCCCCTTGGACTTTTTCGTGGCTACGAGGTCGCCGGGACGAACAAATGCCATATGTAAAGCGAGCAGGGACCGATGATGTGGCCAACCTTTAAAAGGATATCAGTGCAAAATTCGGATTGCCTAATCAACTCATTAGGGATCTGATTGGACCCCCTTGCAAAAGACCAGTACGTCCATGAGTGTTCAAGTTGCATCACTGGGACTGCTGACGCATATGAATCGAGAGAAATACCGCGCAGCGACTGCCAACTGTTGGACGGAGCCAATCTCGGCGTCAGTGCAGCCGATTCCCAGTGGTCGTTTACCCGCTGTCAATGGGCGCGCTGGGCTTGCAAACAGGAATCAGCCTCCTGCCAGGACAAAACAGTCGGCGTGCTATTGGAAGTGGCGATACTGGATCGGCGCCGACATTAGTTCCCGCCAAATGTCAAGGCACCATGAAGGTATGCTGGAAGCCCTTGGAGAAACACTCTCTCGTACACTGCCCTGCCCTCCGGTGACGGCGACCTCAGCAATCTGATAAAGTCTAATCATGGCTTTTGGAGACTGTCAGGGAATCGGATCACGAGCGATCCAATGAGCGGTGTCTCAGCCGTTACATCGGCCCTATCTACCCCGCCATCTAGCCCTTGCATGGCACTATCGACCGCTATGGCATCTGGCTTGCATAGGTTCAGGCGTCCGGGACATACGTTTCAATGCCAGATGTGGTTTATCTAGCATGTGGGAGGTTTTGGCGGCTTGCCTATTGCTTAGCAATCTTTGCAATTCGCTTAGAAATCGTACTGATTGGCGAGAAAGGCAACGGATTCTGTGCTACTCAGGCATGATATCTTCAATTGACGGCGCCGCATTTTGCGTAGGTCGTTGCTGCCTGCTTGCACGGCTCCGTGCCTCGTGCACATTCAATTGGATTTCTTCACCTTGGGTCATGGATCTAGCACTGGCTGCATCAATACAAAACGGCTGGATTTCCCCTCCAAAACCATTCAAAACAATTCTCATTGACATCTGCACCATTTGAAGAAATAGAAATCACGAGCACGATCTCACTAAAATGCCGCACATCCTCATCTTCGGAGCCACTGGCACAATTGGTGGCGCACTCGCACACTACCTCCTCAGCAGCGGGCAGCATACGGTCTACGGCCTTGCAAGGTCCCCAGCCAAAGCGAAAGTACTCGCAAAGCAGGAGATCATCCCCGTTCTCGGCTCCATTGCCGAGCCTAAAGGTTTCCTGGATCTTCTTGCCTCTCACCCCGAAATCAGCGTTGTCGTCGACGCGGCCGCCGCATATGGCGAGAGCGCTACAATAGTGGACCTTCTCGTAACAGCGGGCAAGAAGCGACTTGAAGAGTACGAGAGAGTGGGCGCACCTTCGGGCCCCAAGTTGGGATATGTTTATGTTTCGGGGATGTAAGTCGTGGTCCAGGGGCAGCTGAAAAAACCCCCCACCCAGCTTTTCTATCGCACAAATAGCCCACAGTTCACTATATACTGACACTACTGTTCCGACTAGGTGGGTCCACGGCTCCAGCCACACTCCTGTCTCCGACATGGACGCCCTGACCGGCACGTCCGCCGCCGGTAGCCCCCCCGCCAACATGGTAGCCTGGCGCCCCCAGATCGAACGAACCATCCTCTCGCCCGCCACGCGCGCCGTCCTGGACACCGCAATCGCCCGACCTGCGTGCACTTACGGGAGCGGCTCCGCAATCTGGGGCGCTCCCCTTTCCGCCCTCCTGAAAGCCACAAAAGCCAGCCCGCAGCCCCCGAGCGTGCAGATCACTCTTGATCCGCTTGGTACCGCGGCGCTGGTCCATGTCGAGGATGCAGGCGCTGGGATCGGCGCGCTGGTGGAGAAGCTGCCGTTGTTGGCGGGCACGGGCGTCTATCCGGTCTTTGACTTTGTGGGGCAGATTGAGAGCGTGAGGGCGATTATGGAGGGCGCGGCGAGGGTATTTGGGTATAAAGGTGTTGTGGAGCTGACGGGGGTGCAGGAGGGTGATGTGCTGGGCGAGGCGCTTAGTTCGAGTGTGATTGGAGATTCTGGTAGGGCAAGGGGGTTGCTGGGTTGGGAGGCGAAGAGGAGGGGGTTCTTTAGTGGAATTGATCTGTATGCTACGTCGTGGCTTGCTGGTACCGAATGATCTGATCTAGACAATTCGGATTTACATGCTTCCGGGCCGGTCATAGAAACCATCTCGGCAGGCCAGAATCTGGTCATCCAGAGCCAACATTCGTTCATTTCGATTGATGTCTAATCCTCCAGATTGGGCTTCTTCGCTTGCAATCCATTTCATCAGCATCTAGACTAATTGCCGCGTCATCAGCGAGAGTAATCCTGCCTTGCATAAAAGGGCGATGATCTCGTGCTGCATCTGGAGGGGGTAGTGCACACTCTTATCTATGACACCCTTCTTCTCTAGAAGTATCACTCTGGACTTACCATTACAAGACCTATGGGCTGCCACACCTCTCTGGTCAATTCCACCTTGTCCAAATGACCAACAAGCTAGACTTGATGATTGAGTGTCTGATTCAGCATTCGAATAGTGTTGCTTTTATATAACCTGTTTACTCTTATACAGCCTAAGTAAAAAGGGACGTCGATCTCCGTATTTACATTCAGCTACGATAGGCTGCAATACCTCAGTTAAAATGCATTATGCCCAAGGCCAACCTTTCCTTTCTCGGAGGCAACATTAGATTGATGCTTAAGATATCTTAGTTTCAGATGACTTGCCAGTCTATTTGATTGATCAACAACTCGAACAGTTGATCGATTTGTCCAATCTGTGAAAGAGGTGGGACATCGGCTGCGATCGGCTTGGGCTGATACGTAAATCTGCCTCGCAAGGCTGAGGATTTTGAGAGGTTTTACAATTCCAGGGAAAGAACAATCATCTTGAATAACTCAAAGTCTTCGAGATCGCGAATGTTAACATTTAGAATCGCCCGTTTTCTTCAGGCATTTGGACTTCAAAAGGCATGGCCAACGCAGAGTCCAGAGAAGTCGACGATGATCCCTTCTTTTATCGCGCCTGTTTGCGATACGACATCGATCCGTCGAGAGGTTCTTACCTCGCCAGTACAGATCTCTCTGAATGGTCCTCTGATGACTTATGCCGAGTGCTTCAAAAGACTCATGGTCCTACCGCCACCGCCGACATAGTGAGTCGTCCATACTTTTGGCAAAGGCAGAATTGGGTGAGGCCTCCCAAAGACCTGATTCAACGGGCCGCGGAGGAAAAAATGGCGCTTTGCACAAATAGATCAGGTGAATGGGACGCCCGCGCTGACGGATACTTTGCAATATCGGATGTATGGGCGGAGGGTCTGTATGCAGACCCCAGCAACCGGGGCTTGCCTCGGGCAGTTATTGAGCAAGTTTTCGAGATGATAAAGCCTCTCGACGTAGAGTGGATATGGCTCGATAGTTTGTCGGTGCCAGGAGGCCGAAGGTATTTGTCATTCGAGGAAGAATTGGTGAGAGAAAAGCTCATCAACAACATGGGATCTATCTATCGCGGGGCTGTCGCTGTAGTCGTATTTGATAGGCTGACCATGAGTCTCGCATCTCAAGACCCTATCAACGTCGGTATCACGCTGCTTTTTAGCCGGTGGTTTAGTCGTATATGGACGCTTCAAGAAGCCAAGCTAGCTTCAAGGGTTTTAATCCTCACCAAGGTCGGCTTCACAGATCTCTTCCATGACATTGTCGAGCCACTCAAAAATACCGGCAACTTTCCTCATGAAAAAAGCAAGATTGACCAATTACGGACAACTCTTAGCCGTCTCGTTTCTTCCAGGGGCTTACCGACATCTCTTCACGAACTCGTACTCCTATCGGCACATCGTAAAGCTCGTAATGATCTGGACTTTTCGCGCGCTTTGTATGCATGCCTCGGTCTTGATTGGATAGAGACCTTCAACGAGGAGCAATCAACGAATTACATACTGGAGAATCACAAAGAGGAAGCTACACAGCTGCTCGGAATGCATGGCTCTCCCCTTTTGAGAAATGGCTATTCATGGGCTCCACTTCGATTCCGAGGACTTAAAGGTAAGTTTATTTCAGGTCTGGAATGGGAGGAGAATGGCATTCGAGGCGACTGGTGCTCATACCGTGTACGCACAAGTCATGAGCGGAGATCTGCGAGTTTACCACGCGAGTCTGTCCTGGAGCTTGAGCTTGAGAGCGACCCACTTGACACAGTGGTTACCGTCAGTTGTGCTTTGAGCAGTGAAGAGAGACCAGAGACAATTCAAGGTTTTAAGGATGCCATTTGTGATACAAGGGCTCTCCTACTTTCGCACAACGCCCTTGACTGGATCAAAAACCCTGTGCAAAGGGGCTCACGACAAACTGTGTTATTGACAAGAAATGAAGACTCAGCAAATGAAGCCTTTATCTTCATGACAGCAGGCGTGATAACATGTGATAAGCCAGCATTAACACACGAAGAGAGCTGGTTGATATACCACAGGAGTCCTCTCAGTAATCCCCTTGATTCCTCAATTGGTGATCTTGCCTTACTCGAAGGCCAGATTACTGAGCTTTGCAGGCTAGGACTAGAAGCTCGGTTGACAAGGCTTGATGCTGAAAGATTTGCATCTGTACAAAGCGCTGTGGATACCTTTATGGCTAATGGAATGACGGCAATCCATATCGTATGTACGACAGGCGATGTTGACGCCCTGAGGATTCTGCTGGATGCAGGAGCATCTATTGAGATGCGCGAAAAACACTTCGGCATGACACCGCTTCAAATTGCTGTCGCTGCACAGCGTATTGAATGTGTCGCTGCCTTGATCGATCGAGAAGCTCGACCCAACTTCGCCTCAAGCTCTGGACAGCAACCTCTAGCACTGGCGGTCATGCATCGCAACCTCAGGATTGTGCGGCTTTTAGTCGTTGCTGGTGCTAACGTTGATATCGTAAACGAAAGGAACGGCCGTACGCCTTTGCATACCGCTGTTGGGATGAACAATGCCGCAGTGGTCAAAGTCCTGCTTGAATGTGATGATGCTGAGGGGGCTCTGGGGCGAGCAGACGAAAACGGCTACCAGCCCTATTGGCTTGCTGTCCAGGATCCTGATGGAGATGTTCTTGCGCTGATTGCTTCAAAATGGAGCGTTGGTCAAGAATTCGTTGATAATGTCCGCCGTTGGCATCGGTTCTGGCATGTAGTTGCTCCATGTGCACTGTCATTCAGCATACCTCTGGCATTAGTACTAGACATCGCAAGTCTACTTCTAGCTCATAGGGGGAATTGATCTCTAGCTCCGACATGCTGAGAGAGTACAACGTGATCGGCCACCGCACATGGATGGCAATGGTTCTTCTATCAGGTTATTGGTCGAAATGGGTGCCAGTCATAGTTTGGCAAGTAGATTTCTTCATTCGGCCTGGGTGCGCTCGATACTACGAACACGTACAGGCCATTGATCACTTCCATTGGACAACGGATACAATATTCTTGAGTAGACTGTTGCCCCCGCTCTTATGGTTGGCTTCCTTCACGCTAAGGAGACTTCTCCCCTTCTACATTTCAATGCTTGCCTCAGGAGGTCTATTTCACTATTATCGCAGACAGATCGTGGGCCGTCAACTGTACGAAGAAATGCGATCCAATGAGGCAGGTAGATCTCCTGTAACCCGCATGCTTATTGTCACTGAAGGCTTCGTGATAACCTCATGCCTCACTGCTGGACTGTATTTGTGTCGGCTCGTCGGCTGGCTGTTGAGTTTGCCGACATGGCATATCATTCTACACTGCGCTTTGATAGTCCTAATTGGGACTGTGAACACGATCTGTTTTCGACCTCAGCTGATAGGTGAAGTGGGTCATCTGCATCTCCGACGATATTTGCCAATTCGACGTACTGTTATGATGACACTGTCACTCGGAATAACGCAATGGATATTTCTTGTTTTGTTCTACTTGACCTACTGCGATTCTCTCCTTGGAGGAGAGATCTTACTTGTCAGGGTTCTAGGCTATAGTGGAGAGTATGTGCATACTACACGTTTGCTCTTGCTTTTTCCGATCGGCTTCCTCTGCCACACCTTAACGCAAACTTACCACATGGATGCAGAGCTACTGAGGAGAATGCGAGCCATCCAGCAAAATTTGGGTTGGGGAAGTTGGATTTTTGCGCATTCATTGATGGGCGCAATGGTTTATGCTCCTGTTGTGGCTGCCTTTTCAGTTCTCGTTGGCATTGTGAACAATGCTAGCAAAACCCTTGGATGGAATATTGACTAGGATCATACGATCGTTGTCTTCAACACCGAATGAAAGCCAGCATTTAAAACCGGAAGCTGTTGAAACAGAGGCCACTGTCTACTTTCATATTCCATGAAGTTCCTCGATCAGCTTGGAATTCCTGGTGAAGACGGATATGCTTGATTGGAGAAGACGACAAAGGGGATTTTACGCGCTGATCATGCGAGATGTCCAAGGAAATCAATATTTCATGCTATTCGTACGTACACTCCCGTAGCCGATCTAAGTAACACTTTGACTCAAATTCAACGTACCGTAGGTATCAGTCACTTCGTGGAATCCAAGAATATAAATCCCGGTGTATGCAAATGAAGTTTCGATCTTCCTGAACCTTAAGAATCATTATCCCCCTTTTGATGCCTCTCAACACCTAGAACCGTCGCTACAAATTTTTAATGATGAGCCTCTCCTAGGTAATTTGTCTTCGTATCCTTTCTGTAATGCAGTGCGCCTCCAATCAAGCTGCGAAAGAGCAATAGTCAACGCTCCATTTGCTCTTCCACCCAAGATCGAAAGGAATAGGAAGCGTCAATGAAATCACGCCGGAGAAGAGTTCGTGGAAACAAGCAAATTTAATCTATAAAGCGGGTACGAGACCATTCAACGAGAGACAAAATGCGTCATCCAAATAATCCAGAAACATGGTGAAATGCACGCTCCTTCCCAGCAGCCCTCAACCTTATCACCCCCTTTTGCCAAGACAAAGCTCTGTCACTCAACCACTTTTCTAGGCAAAGCAGACATAGCTGCTAATGCGATCATTGAAATCCCACTCGCCATCTCCAAGATCATTGATGCCAGGGTTGACGATATTGTTGATGAAGCCGGAGCCGGTCTTGCAATTGATGTCACTAGCGAGTGTCCGTCAGTAATCAGATACTTGACACCCTTTTCCCGAGAAAACTACGGATGCTCAGTACTCACTTGAAGACGTTGCAGCTTCCCCTATCAGGGCCCAGGGACGAAATAGAGTCGTCGAAGCCATTTCCGAGATTTACTAGAGTGTTGATAGGATAGATTAGCTGGCGTGTCTTGGATGCACGACATACCTCCCCTCCCCTCCACCCCCTTCTCCTATTCTCTAAGGAACCCCATGCATAGTGTTGGGAAACGAAAAGACGGTTTGTGGTTGGGAACTTACGGCAGAGGCCCGAGGGCGAAGACAACGCCTGGCAAGGCCCGCTGAAGTCCTTGTCTTGGCAGACGAACAGGTTGACGCTCGCGCCATCGAGAGGCTTAGGGGAGGCCGCTTGCTCTTTAGTGGGGATGACGGTGGCGCCGACGGCGGGCGTGATGTAAGGTGCGCTCACGGCACTGCTGGGGGTGGATTGTGGGACGCCCTGGGCCATGGCTGCCAGGGTGGCAAGGATAGCGGAGGCGAGCGTTTTGGTCAACATTTTGGATTTGATTGGGGGGGGGTTGGAGGATGAATGTAGGAGGTGGGTTTGGTTGTGGGTGATTGGGATTTTGAGTTGAATGTCGTATGTTGAAGATGTAGGATGAGTTGGATAGAGAAACGAGGGTCTCGAGGTCTCTTTTGTAGACTGTTTAGATCATATGAAGGCTATCAATACTGCCTTGTCGGTATGCCGTGATGAGGAAGGACCGATTGAGTTCTATCGGGTCAGAATGAATCATCAAACTACGTCGAGTAGCATGTCAGGGCACTCGAAAAGTAACATGTGGAGTCTTTGAGCCCTCGCTTGTTCTCGCGTATACTCGCTTCGGTGTCTTTCCCAGCCTACCAGGTCTGCTTCTCTGCTCAACAACGAGACAGTTTTTGGACTTTATGGACAGGTTAAGCTTACCGTACTGGTTAATCCCCTCGCTTGTATTAGAAACTTGAGGTACACGGTACTTTCTGTCCGCCATTGATGAGACGGAGTAGGAAGAATGGGTATCTGGGCGAGAATTGCTGGAATAGCATCCGCCGGTAATATATTGAGCCTCATACCATGGAAGCGCCATAGGTCAAAATAAAAGAAGCCTCTTATAAAACTCTCTCTGGGGTGAAGGATTTACCTTCACGCTTCTACATCCGCAAAGCTCATAGCGCTACTGAGAGTGACCTGTTCTCTTTAGAATTCAGACGTCCGCGAATTAGAGGGGCGTAGGCGAAGAAGAGTAGGCACATATTCAGGAATGAGTAGAAATAGGGTATCGGATAAAAACCATTATGGAGCAGCATGTGTCAGAATTCAATCGAAGACTTTCTGATGAACATGAATACGCCACAGCGCTGTCACCTACATCCCAACCATTCTGATGGCCACATCAATGCTAGTTCATGCCAACGAGGGGTCAACCTTGTTCACGGCTGTTTGCGTCTGCATACTTCATTGGTCTCTGAATTCTGCTGGTCCATGCTCAAGGTCGAGAACGCATCGTCAGCTCATACAGTCAGACACGCGACATAACCCAAACTGCTCTAGAGAGTCGTTTCCCTACTTAGCAACGTGCGCGGGTTTAAGACGGATATGTGATGACCTTTTGAAGTGTGATACAATTTTCCGGAAGAGGCAGTCAAATCCACTGTGGGGGGCCCTCAGGCCCGTTGGAAGCGCGCTGACATTACACAGCGTCAGAAGCACGACAATGGTTGGGTCCAGTGATATTGCCCCTGACGTGCCCTGACATGTTAAAGTAATAAACGTGCTGACTTTATGCAATGTAATAGAGTGGAGGCTGCCGACGGTCAGCCTATGGTCGTACCGCTGGGTAACAATAATGTAGGTGGCAGCGCTAAGCTATGTTTGGTGTAGTGGACGTAGTCATAGTAAGTATTCGTCTCCTCCCAATTTTCTTGAGGCTGTTTCTCAAGATCATTGTCGAATATCACTGGATATTCAAAGCTGAAGTGAACGGCGAATTTGATCTGACAATTGCCACGGACGAAATCACATGAATAATTCGTATCATTCGGCAGACGTAGAAACCTATTCCGCAAGGGAGACCTGCTCAAAATCAGAGGATCTGTACTGTTCCCACTGCAATATCTTCCTCATAATAGTGTATCGGACGCGTCATGAGCTCATTGAGCTTGCTGTTGGCTATATAGTAAAGAAGATACCATTCGCAGACTTGAGAGACAAATCGATTTAAGTGGTAGACTCGGATTTGACATCGCTAGGACTGCTTTTAAGCAATTTCAAAGCGTATGATTTGGCTGTACGATGTTTTCAGAGGGCTTCCGTTAGCCAGCGTGCTACGTTCGTGTGAATTGATGCCTCAGCCACAACGGAGAAAATGAGACCGGCCATCTTCATATCATCAGGTTCCAGGAGATGGGGGTATATCGCAAGGTTGTTGCGGTTCAGCCGGTTGAATTGCCGAAGAATATACTTGACAGCTGTTGGAGCATCATTGCCTCCTGTATAGTCGGGGAAATCCCTATTCAATGGTGTCTTACTTAGTCCCTTTTTGAAATTTGTGTAGTCAGTTAAAAGCAGTATGACTGGCTTGCGCTTGAAAACTCTTGAGTTGAACAAAGAATCAAATAGCTGAAGACTTTGTTTCATACTGTTCTGACTTGGATCTAGCTGCTGTGAAGTCGCATCTTTATACGAAGTCAGTGATACCACAATGATTGCAGCCGTAATGGTGCCGTCAAATTGATTGATGAACTTTTGTCGCTGACTGGCTTGTTCCCCGAGTTCGACGATGTGTACTCGAAAGGATTTGTGGTCAAAGGTGTGCTCTTCAATGCCTCGTGTAAGTTGATCTGCAGCTTTAGAGGGCAATGCGGGTAGAGAATATGGTGTTGCCTCGCCATGGTGAAGATGATGAAAGGCCCGCATCTTCTGGAGTACTACTTGGGTTGCACAGGCCGTGGTCCCAATTAGGAGTACTTTTTCTTCCCTACGACTTGTCTCCTCATCTCTTTTGAGATGACGATCAATAGCCTCAGACCGTTCCCTTGCTTCAACTAGCATGGAATCTGTTCGATGCCGTCGCAACGTTGCCTTCAAAGAGCCACGGAAGACTTGCTCATATACCTTGGAGGTGAAAAGCTCGCGATCAAATGGGAAGATCCTCGATAGCTTTGACAAGTTGTCGGAGAAAGGGCTCGAGAAAGAAAGACTGTCGCGATGGACTATCAATGAAGCAGAATCATTCTCCGTTTGTCCGAATAGCTTCCTGGTACTGGACTTTTCGAGTAGTGATTGCTGCTCAGAAAGGGTTTTACTGCACCTATAAATTAGACATAATGCTATCTCCTGAGACGAATGGTGTCATACCAATTGCAAGCCGTCAAGAGCAAATTTATCGAACTTGTCTGTCGTTCTATCATTGTGAGTAGCTCGTCCATACTTCTTCCATTGAAGACGAATTTGAACTTGGTAGCTAGATCCAGGGTTTCATCGGGCTTTTTAGTAATATCCGAGAGCTGCCCGTCAATTATGCCGATAAGGGTTTTACAGCATGCTAAAGAGACATCCAAGTCCATGACCAGTTGATGGTGTGCCTCGTCAAGATTTGCATCGATCCATTCTTGTATCTTAATCAATGCAGCTCTGAGCGCAGTAAGTTGAGACATGAGACTCATAAATGTAAGGTCAGCAGCCTTCCATTGGATCCGAACTTTATGAAGAATGCTCAAGGTCTTGCCGAGGACGTCCACGATGTTTGATATAGCGCCGGCAGTGGCGATAACAGTGATCGGATCAGCCATCGCGAAACCAACCCAGCTTGATTTTGAAAGAAAACTCGGGGAGGTGGTTCAAGGTAATATATCGCGCAGCTGGAACGTTCGCACAGACCCTTTCAAAAAGACAATCGGTTGCTGAGCCTTACAAGCCACTGTCCACGCGTCCCCACTTCTTTGCTTTCTGATAAGAAAATCAAAGGCATTGCGTTTCTAGCCAAGTGTTGGACAGCTTTGGGCGTCACAGAATTGATTACGATCTGCCACGTACTATTTGAGAGTTTTCTAGAAAGGACTGAAAACAAGGCTGAAGGCATCAGCTAGCAACTTGTCTCACCATCGCGTATGGCAATGCACATCTCGGCTATTCTTGATGAACCTAAATATTCCTCTCCTTTGTCCTTGGGCTCAATTCATATCCAACAGGTTCTCAGTAGGTCTTTACATATTGGACGAAAAAACGCGGCTAGTACACGCTGCTGCAAGAGCGAATGGCTCGTGGGGGTCAAATGAAAAATTACTCTCGAGGGCGCTTTCATGTTGCCCGGCTAGTTCACGCACATGATGAATTTTAGATTATTTGGGTGCTAACGCCTAGCGGCTAGGAGACTATGTTCCACGAATTGGAGTGGCGAGCGGTTCAAAGAGTTGAAGAAGCTAGAAGTCTTGGTGTAGAACGACATCCACAAAGCTGTGAAACGTGGTGAGGACATATGATACTTTCGCGACAACTTTTTGGGAGGCATCATGACGCGAAAATACCCGATACATCTGCATAGACAATCAACCACTCATAGACAAGATTGAGCTCAAGCAGTCTCAATTCAATGAAGCACCGACTAACTGTGGTAGTATCAAATTCAAATCCCACATTCACGCCAGGCTCCTGGACAGCTTCGCGAATTCCCATACACTTCGAGGGTCTTCTTCCCACATCTGATCATCATGAATCCACGATTGACTTCGGACTCACTCCTAATGAAAATACGTCAGCACCCCACTTCTTGTCGTATTTTCCAAATTGCAAAAGCCTCACGGGATTGACTCACAATGCATTGCCCTGAAATTGATCCTTCGCGAAGCCAACACGACATCGTAGAAGCACACTTCATATCCCTCGAAGTCATCCTCGTCCTCGCCATAGTACTCCTCCTTGCAAGAAATATATCCCAAGCGGTCCATTCCTTCCAATCGAATGCCAATGACGCGATGTTTGAGCTTCGGAAATACTACCATGCTACACGGCTTGTCCTCACGCAAAGCAACGACCGCCTCTAATATTTTCAGCTTCTTACCATCTTGGCCGCCTAGTCCCTCTAGCGCTTCCTCAAGGTTATCATCCATGCAGAATTTAAGTTCCTTTTCGTCCTCATCGTTATTGCCCGGATTCCAAGTTTCTTCAAAAAATTGCAGCCTCCCTTCGGGACATTCGAATTCAATACGCGTTGGACGCGCGTTCCTGGAGTACCATTGCACCTCACGACCAACAAGGGTTGCTGGATCCCCGCCCCTGCCGTCAAATGGAATGATGGTCGTAGAGCCTGCGGTCGATTCTGAAGTGGAATCCGGAGGGACTGACGAGGTACCTTTGTCGTCCTGTTTGACTTTCTCGCCTGAATTATCCATTGCTCTGCCAAAAATACCGTGCACTTAGACAAGTCAGTGACCGAAAGTCCGTTAGAATCTATTGGGTCTCTGTGATCGGATCTGTTGGACCAACAAAGGGTTCACACACAACAAGTTGACTTGAAGAAAATAGAAACGCTCGAGCTGCAGACGACTACTTATAGCCTGCCTTCAATGAGTATAGAGACCTTTTCAAGACTTAGCGCATGTGTAATTTGCCATGAGCAAACAATATGAATTTGCCGTTGTAGATATCTATCAAAGTCATGGATAAAGCTTATCATCATCCAATCGAATTTCTGCCTAGGCTTTCATCATCCTTTTCTCGGTGATATGTTTGAAGGGTAGTCGGCAAATATTTGAGCGTCATGCGTAAGGTACTGCTAACATTTCCATGACCAGACAAACGAGCAAATAAAGACACTCGTTGATCCTATTCGCCCAAAATAGCATCCTGTTCTGCCTGAAGACCTCCTCCGGCGCCTGGTCCTTCCCTTCCTAGCAATTCAGCCTTCATATTGGTCAACTCCTCTAAATTCTCTTTCTCCAAATCGCTATCCATCAGCTTGTCTGGTTTCTTGAAGACTACTCTTGAGCTCTTCTTCCCCTTCACAGAGAGACCTCCATACGTCGTCGCTTTCATGGCCAATTTCATGGCAAACCCTCTTTCTAGGCCATATCTCACGATCACTGCAAATGACGGCTGCTCATAGATACCGCTCTTGGTCGCCTCATTTTCATTGATTGTCCATTTCACGGTCTGTTGGGCCTTGATGAGGCGACCATGAATGATATGTTTCCCTTCTCTTTGGAAGGTTCTTGATCCACCAATTTCCGCTCCTACGCCGATTGAGGCGGGCTCAGCATAGAGTTTGATGCCATGTGTTTGTACTGTGTGCTGTATGTGGCCACGTATGAGTTCTGGGTAGAACCGTAGTACAAGGGGTCTTTCGTAAGCTTTCTTGTCGTCATCTAGATTGTGAGGGCCGGTCCGTCAGCCTAAAATGGCAATATCATTGACGATCTGCCGCTACATTGGCCCAGACCGAAGGAGCCAAGCCAAGGAGGCTGACTTACCAGACGCCAGATTCTTACTTACTTCGTCTTGAGATGTGACTACATCCTCTACCTCCTCAAATTCGATGGTGATGATGGCGCTCCGAAACCGGAAAAAGCTTCTACCATTCTTGGGGCAGAAATCCAGCCGCACATGGACGAGGCAGGCGGGCTGTTCGTTGAACACCCCAAAGGTAGCTCTCTTGATGCGAGCAGAGATCCCGGTATCGCCTAGTTTCCCTTCTTGCAATAGTTGCTGTTCAGCTATGCGATACTTCTGGTCGATTATTGACCGCCCACGGGAGCCGGAACTTGAAAGCTCTTCCTTGCGGACTGCATCTTCTTCAAGATCGAAAGACAAAGCAAGCTCTTCTTCCCTATCTGCTTCGAAGGTCGCCGGCTCCATCTTAGCAGAGCAACGGAGTGTCCTCCATTGCTCTGACTGTCGAGGCATGAGGAGATTTTCCAGAAAGCTTGGCAGGGTCTAGAGTCTAGACTCTTTCAGTTGAATCTTTCACCTTTTCAAAAGACACATATTCTATGGGCGTATCAACTCGAGGGTTCTAGCCGGACGTCTCATTATATCGACCATGAGCTGTACTGGGTCAAGGCCCAGACACGACTCGAGAGTTGAGAGTCAGTAGACAACAATTGTTCTTGCCTTTAGAGAAGCAGAAGCAGAAGGAAACCATCCAAAGGCATGATGCGCGGATTCAATCTTGGTCACGTCAAGGATGAGGACACTTTTGATGCTCGTCAATTTCGATATACATCCTTGCAATCTCAGTATGACGATCTGGATGGTGCGACGTTCGCTCAGATTGAAGAAGCAGCAATGTGCTGTCATTTGCGTGACTTTCAGGCGGCTTCGTGTATTTTAGATGCGCTTCCTTTAGAGATACGCCAACATCCCGCCATTGTGTACGAGCGAAGCCAAATATTATGGCTAGACTGGTCACTGTTCAAGTGCGAAAGTGTACTTGAGGGGGGCATTGTTTGGGGAAAAGATCATATACCAGATTCTGCCAAGCCAGGGATCTATGCTCTCCTACGCATTGCTCTGGGAAGAGTACGAGCAATGACTCGCGGCGATCTTACCGACGGTCGGAATGCATTGAGGGAAGTCAGAGGCTGGCTCTTAGACGTACCTATCGAAGAATACACCGACGTCCAGGTAAAATTCTTGATCTTCCTCGTAAGGCGCTCAAACTCAGACTAATATCGATCACCTCAGACATACTGTATCTGTATCTACTATCACTTGCTTCACTTCCTAGGTAACGTCACAAATGACTTTGACAAAGACTTTTTCAAAGTCATTCCAGCAGTCGTGAAGTCAAACGGATGGGCGACACTGAGGCGTCTTCGAGAATATAAGCAGATGCAAGGTCGGTTGCTTGAAGCTCGAGTTGTTCTAGACCAGGAGCTTTGTCATACTCCTGATGCATCAGAGCAAGAGAAAGCATGCAAATCGTTGTTAGAGGCGTGCATAAATCAGAAAGCATCTACAGAGCCTATTTGGTGGATCTCTGGCAGGAGCAAATTGCGGCTAGGTCAAATTCTTCTCGCAGGGAGCAAGGTTCAAGCGCACGATATTGATGGATTTCAAGGTGCGAAGTGCGCTTTAGAGGCTGCGCGGGCACATGCATGTGAAAATAACACTCTACTGCTCGTTCGCCAAGCGGAGCTCGATTGTACGAACAAATCCGGACACCAAGATGCTCTGAAAGCGTACGATGAGTTTGTGCAACATGCAAGTGTCCAAAAAGACAATTATATCTACAGCACCACATTAAGTCGAGCATGTAGCATTGCACTCGCACAACTTGAGGGCAAAAGTTGTCCTGCAAATGCGAAGATCTTCTGGCAATGGAATAGGAAAGCAGAATCACTTCTGAGGCAACTTGGCGATATTGCGTACCTCTTGATATTTCATCTGGCCACTGGTGATATAGCATGCAAGCTGGAAGGGGACATTGGATCGATTTTGCAATGGCATGAAGAATTCCAAATGAGTTATCCGTCATATAGTCTTTGGCGTCAGAAGACAGCGGTAGGGAAAACGAAGTTGTTGATCTATAATCGCTTGAATGACAGGGACAATATTCTTCGGACTCTTTCCGAGATGCAATGCGTTGCAGCTGCTCAAGATACTTTCTGGGACGAAGATGGGTTTAAAAAACAGGCAGCCATCAAGGCCTCATCCAGCGACCGAAAGAGCGACATGACGTCTGGTCCGGCTGCCTTCCAAAATTGGGACCCTGAAATGGACTGGCTGTTAGAATGGTCGACTGAGATGCCTGTTTTCATGAACACTGGGTGGAAGAGAGTCGCGGTACAGGTAGAGCCAGATTCTGTCAAAGCGTCATCAATTTTGGAAGTACATCTGTGCTCATGGATGAAGGAAGAATTCCACGCCGGGGTCCTGACACAGCAAGATACGACAGATATTCTGTCTTTCGACTCCGTTGGCGATGCTGATACGCTTCAAGTTACCAAAAGTATTAAGAAAATCTCCATCGATCGTACGGAACCCGCCGAACAAGCTCGTAGTGCGATCAACACTGTAGCAAGCAATCTCGAGAGGAGTCCAAGCTCCACATTTGAAGACACGATAACGTCTCTGACACCGGAGACCACGTCCCGTAGAGTTTTTGGGACATCTGCAGCTCCGACTAGCAAGATTCGCTGGGAGAAGGCATATTCGGCCCTGTCCGACTGGCTTTTGCAAAAATCCACCCGATCTGAAGCCAGAAGACACTTCTTGCTCTACCAAATTCAGAATCGGCGGCTAAGCAACGTTATTCATGCAGCTACGTCTTACGAACTTCGTGCTCTTGAGGCTGAGAGATTGATTATTCTTTTGCCGAAGTTGAATGCCAAGGTGCAAGCTCAAATAGCTTCTGATCTTGCTTATTGGAGGAGTATACTTGCTGCAGCAAAGCATATGATGTATGTCAAGTCGCTTGGCGACGTGTTACGTGACATGCACAGTCCAGAGGTCAAAGAAATACTAGAATTATATGACCAGTCTCTTGTAGACAACCACGAGAAGAACGGGCCGCTCACTCGGGATATTCACATCAATATGGATATAGCGCATGTATACTTTTACGCTGCAGCGAGGATGGACCCAATTGCCGTTGAAGGACTATTAAATGCAGTGGCTAGGGCAGTACAAACATTCGAGAAGATCAGAGCAGGCTGGCGAGCGTTGAAGGGCTGGGATAGAGTAGAGAAATTGCTGCTGGCCTTGGAAGAAAGGCGAATTTTACAAATTGCACCCACGATTGTGACAGTGATCTGCCAGGTTCCTGATGATAGACGTGAGGCAAGGGACAAGATGATTTGGGATATGATCCAATTCGCAAAATCAATTGGAATTAGCTGGCTGATGGAATCGAATGCGGCTGACTTACGAGAGAAGAAAGCTGACGGCAAAAATGATAGTGGTCACAGTGGCAACAAGGACGCAGGTCTGCAAGACAAGTCCAGAATGACTAGCGATCCCGAAGAATACCCTAGCACACAGCTTAGAGCTACTCTCGACAGCCACGATAATCAAAGAGCAGACGAAAAGTTAGAAATTGCAAGAGTAGACGCTGCGAAAGCAGCCGAAAGTGGAGAAAAGCAAGCAAGCACCAGCCTTGACACAGATCAATTGCAGGCGGATCTTCAAAGCATCAATCACTTTGGCAGCGATACTGTCTTCGTCGACTGGTACAACAGTGCTTGTGGGCTGGCTGATTCACCTCGGCCTGTCGTCACTACGTTATCTGGAACGAACGAGGCGCCTAGATGCTCTGTTGCAAGCATTACGTGGAAGCAAGTGAACGAAGTAGTCAATCAATTCATGGAATTAGAGACAGAAGATCTCCAGGACGAGGACTCCACAGAGTTTCTGTATCAACTGAACCCCTTAGTTGAGCCGCTCGCTTGGACCAAGCCTGGCCAGACTCTCGTGCTATCACCCTGTGGCAATCTGCACCGCATACCGCTGCATGCCCTTAAGATTAATGGCGAAGTCATCATCAAGAGGAACCCGGTCGTTTACTGTAGCAGCCTGAGCGCTTTGGCCAGTGCATATAGACTCAGGATTCCATGGGAGGCACAGAGCTCTACGCGGCTCAAACCAGATGCCACAGCTAAGGAAATCCCAGATTCTTTCCCAGCGGAATATCTCAGTTTCAAAGTCTCTCTATTCGGCGACCCACCAAGCAAAGTCGGCCAAGCAGCCCTCACATCCACAGCATCAAAATTCAAAACAATCCCCCAAATCGGCCCCAACTTCACCGCCTCCTCTTTTACCCGCACCCTCCAAGACCCAGACCTCACCCTCCTCCACTACCACGGCCACGCAGACTTCAGCCCCACAGCGCCCACAGACCACTGCCTCCTCTTCTCCGACCGCGATCTCACTCTCCGCGACATTTTCGATCTCCCCTCCCCTTTAAGCCACGGCCGAGGCTTCCACGTCACGCTTCTAGGCTGCGGTAGCGGAATGAGCAAGACAGGGCCGACGGACGATGTTATTGGGTTGGTGCCGAGTTTGCTTTACGCGGGCGCGGCGAGCACGGTGAGCACGTTGTGGAAATTCTTGGATGGGGATGCGGCGAGTTATTCGGAGGCGTTTTATGAGGATTTCTTTGGGGGAAGGGCGGAGAGTGGAGGGGTAGGAACGGTGGGGGATGGGGTAAGAGGCGAGGCTGGGGAAGTTGTTGTGGATTTGGCGAAGGCGAATCAGAAGGCTGTTCTGAGTATTATGCGAAAGAGACCTGCGTTGTATCATTGGGCTTCGTTTGTGCTGAATGGGTATTGGATGATGAGGATGCCTCTTGGGAAGTGACACTGCTACTGTATTCATTCCGGTCGATTGGAAGCCCCTTGTCGAATTTCGTAGGCATGCCGCCAAGAGTAATCATCTCACATTGACGCGTGGAAGACAAAAGACAGCTACAGTGTGTCATATCAAATATGCGTACACCTGAATCGTGGCCTCCCAATATCCCGGTTTATTTAGCATGTGTCGTGGCGAACGACGTAGACACTAAATAATTGCCTCCCAAAGAATCTATCTGCTTACCATCTACCTACAACGCGATGCTACTCTTGTTATATCAGTCACTCGCAACGCACGCCTCTTTTTCAAACGGCGTCCCAGATCAGTCTACCCCGACACACATGTCTGTTCTACCTACACTTCTATACTAGCCTGCCCTCGCTGCAGCCGCAATCTTGCAACCTCCTCCTTCCCCTTACGGGTCTCCCACAAATGAAAGGTTGCCCATATGAGTAATGCGAGTAACGTCAGGGGCAAGCTCGTAGCCAGGAACATCTGCCAAGGTGTCAAATTGGCGTATGTAGTACCTTTTGTGGCGGATCCCGTAGTTGAACGGTATTGGAAGACGTCAGTGCTCATGAGCGTCTAGGTGAATTGAACCATTAGTAATGGTTCACTTATATATTGTCTGGCGTCCCTATAGCAGAAAGACGTCCTATAGTATCCAAAGCATTCACTCACAGATATATATGTGCCAGGTAGGAAGAAAAGTGTCACAAGAGTGATGACTTTCATTGATGTTGTCTCGATCTTAGTCTTGCGTGCAACATTGTTCATATCCTCGGTCATGAACATCATTTGAATCGTAGCTACCTTATTAATGACTGTATTCTGTGTCTCCAGTACGTTTCTTAGCTACTTGAATCATTAGCATGCGTTATGGCTTGGACCCTTTCAGGGGCTTACCCATTCTTTACGGTCATGAAGTCTCTGTTGAAGGCTACGGATTCGCTGAACTTGATTGTTAAGATGTACAGCGATTGAACTCAGCTCTAGGTCAAAATTCTTGAGTGATTCCTCACATTCTCTTGCCAAGAATGAAGGAAATGTGTGGGACGTCGTAATTTTGGCGTAAAAGTTCTTTATTTCAGATGTTATACCAAGATTTGTTTGCAGGTAGAGCTCGGTATCTCGGGCTCTCTCTATGAGGTCCGAGATTGCTGGGAGCTCATCAAAGGTAGATTCGTAGTCTTGATCAAGGATGACTGGTTGTTTACGCTCCTGCAATTCCCCTCCAAGATCAACGGTCACATCTGGTGGTAGAGGCTGCGAAAGGCCCGTGTTTGGATCCGTGTAGATGCCTGGTGAGTTCTCTGGCTCTTCTTTTTCACGGGTCGCCTTTTGCTTTGACCCTTTCATCTTCGCGGCCCACCGCCGTAATGTAGAAGGCCTATTAGAGGCTGAATTCTGGGTCTGATACATCTGCAGGAACCCGCTTGCGTTGATGGTCGGCAAGGAAAAGTTACGGGTCTCGACGGCGCTGTCCTTGTCAGACTATACAATTCGTCCTCAAGAGACCTGATAGCCCAGTGCCAGTCTCTGGCAAAATACTTGAAGATTGCCAGATGAGTCTCAAGTGAGGTAGTGAAAGCTTTCGAACCTCCATCAAGGTTCGAATCACTGCTGAACGAATCCTTTAGAAGGTCTTTGATTTCAACGCCGTCCTTGACAACCGTCCAGATAGTGCGACTGGTACTTATATCAAAGTAAAGGGATATCGCACAATTGCGGACTAGCCAAGCGGGTCCCCGAGTTTGGGACTGCTCCACGGACCTAAGATTATAGCACATCTGCATACCGCGACCGTAACGGCCGTAACCATTACTAGAGCCGCCTTTCAAGCGTAGTGCAGGGTCAAGCGTAAAACGTTGCTTGAATGAGCTATAAAAGCTGTCTTGTAACTGGGCATTGAGCTGTCCAAAACATGTAATCAGATCGATGAATTCAGGCATGATCCCCAGGTATACTAAGCAGCGCAGGAGGATGGTATATGTGCAAGGCATTTTGCCGTTTGGAAGACAGTTCAGCACTCTGATAATGTCAACAGTGTCAAAATGGATGATCTTCGGATGATTAGACGCACAATATGCGACAATGAGGCACGACCAAATTGGCAAAGTGAGAGTCTAGCTGAGCAGAAGATGTCACACAAGCCGACTGTATCTGTGCATGTTGGTTAGGCATATCCATGAAGTCAATTTTTAATGGGGTTCCATGGGAAAACAGTCGTTCTCTGTGGCTTTCGAGGCGGAGCTCGAGCTCTCTTATGCCCCTTTCTTCGTAACGAAAACCCTGCGAGTTCATTGCAACCGTCTAATTAGACAGAAAGGAGGCTCTATTAGAGATTTGGCGAAGCTGAGCTGACTTGTACGCGGTCTGCGAGTAGCCAAAAACGGATGCAATACTGATAGCGAATCACACAGCAATCTAGAAACTTCAATAGGCGTAGCCGCTCTTACGCAGATCCATTAGCTCGGAGCTTTCATCCTGTGGTATGTTTAGTTCGACAAAGGTGTTGAGAGGGCTTACAAACATACATTTGTGAGTTTTCGAGGAACCCAGAACTTGAAATTGTCGCCTTGTAACTGAAAATTCTGAATTAGAGACATAAAATCATGGCATTAGGTCATGTCTGACCTGCACAAAAAACTTGTAGTCCCCAAATAATTCCGTCAGATACCGCTCGACAGTCTCTTTCTTTAGTTGGTACGCGGAAATATAGTCATACTTCCAACCGTGGGACTTAGAACTCGACATTGAAGCGGAGTAACAAATCTCAAGGTCTAATGTCCGTCTATATATTTATAAGGTTGTTTTGCTGCCTGTCGCAAAATCAAGGCAGAGCACTGCCACCAAGGATGTACCAATGTAAGGCGCTGAACTAGGGTCCCAAAGCGGTATGTCCGGTAAGCTGAAAGAATAATGAGAGCATGCCAGATGGGCGCAGCTCGATCACTGTAAATGGCCGCGAGACCTGTCCGTATCATATCTTGCAGAGATGACAATTCGGCCTTGGCAATGAAATCGGACTTTGCGATATTCGCCTCCGGATCGCTTTTGCATTATATTTCCTGTCAAATGGTCGTGATTACTCTCACACCTATCAATGCTACTGGAAAGATTTGAGCGTCTCGGTGCTAGTCAATTTCTCCACACAATAGCATGATACCAGTCCTGCGATCAGCCTCTCGGTTACAGTTCAGAAACGGTTCCAGAAGATGCTACTCGACCATTCCTTCTCGAGGCGGAAGAACGGCGCTATACAGAAGGTTTTATCGAAGCACAAACCACGATAGATGTGCAGAAGCCCCTTGGAGTCTGCTGCTTCATTCCACCTCCCACTCTCCCCTACTCACGAAATCGTTCGCAACTACATCTCACATACGCGCCGTAAGTTTTCGAGATCTCAAGTCAGAAAATGCAAAGAAGACCAAGCCGGAGAAAGAGCAGCCGCCAAAAGAGCCAGATATAGATCCAGCTGAAGAGGCATATCAGCGAGCGACGCGCGCAAGCCGACAAAAGGCAAGCGCGGAGAGAGAAAGGCAGCAGAAGGCTCAGGCCGAACAAGAGGAACAGGACGCAAATAGCGGCGAGAAGGAAAAGGCAAAGTCTGAACAAGAAAGCAAGCAGAAAAAGGAAGAGAAGAAAGAAGCTCCACCGCCGCCGCACGGGAACAAGTCTCCATGGCAAGTCTTTACTGAGACCCTGAGGACAGAGTTCAAAGCCTCGAAAGAGTGGAACGAGTCGACGAAGCAGCTTTCAGATTCTGCCCACAATTTTACCGAGAATGAATCCATACGGCGCGCTCGTGAGGCATACAAATCTGCCTCGGGTGCAGCCTCATCAGGAACAGCATCAGCTTTAAAGAATACTGGCAAAGCCATCGGCCAGAGTGCAGCTTGGACCTGGGATACGCAAATGGTCAAAGGATTAAGGCAAGGCGCCAACGCAGCCGGGCGAGGTATCGATAAAGCCACGAAACCAATAAGAGAGACTACAGCATTCAAAAGCGTACAAGACGTGGTTGACGATGGTAGCAGCTCCAAATATGGCGGCTGGATAGAGAAAGAGGAACGTCGAAAACGAAGGGAACGAAGAGAGCTAGAAGAAGCTATGAGAAGCGGACGACCAGTCGGACAGCCGGCGGAGAAAGCTGAAGAGGATCCAGAGTACGTTTTCCCCCCATCTCCTCCAAGTCCCAACTAACATACGCAGTGCCGGCACAAACGTAACCCTCCACAAAGATTCCATCCTCCACACTAAATGGCGCGACTTCCGCGACGGCAATCCAATGATGCAACGTTTCTTCACCCTGAAATCCTCCTACAACGAATCCGACAACGCCATCATCTCGACAGCTCGCAGCATCACGGACCGTGTCGCGGGGTTCTTCGCGGAGAATGAATCTGCTCTCGTCATCAAGAAGTTCAAAGAGATGGACCCAACCTTCAAACTTGAGCCATTCCTCCGCGAAATGCGCGAATACATCCTCCCCGAGGTCCTCGACGCCTATGTCAAGGGCGATATGGAGACCTTGAAATTATGGCTCTCGGCTCCACAATTCTCGGTCTACAGCGCTCTAGCGCAGCAGTACCTGACCGCAGGCCTGAAGAGTGATGGCAAGATTCTAGATATTCGGCACGTGGACATTCTATCGGCCAGGATGTTGCAGCCGGGTGACATACCGGTGTTCATCATCACAGCCAGGACGCAGGAAGTACATGTGTACAGGAATAGCAAGACAAACGAGCTGGCAGCTGGAATGGAGGACAAAGTGCAGCAAGTCACGTATGCTATCGGCGTCACGAGGTTACCAGAGGAAGTCAGTAAGCCAGAAACGAGGGGATGGAGGTTGATCGAGCTGCAGAAGAGCGCGAGGGACTATATATAGTTGGACAAGAGAAAGCCGGCGAAGCGGGCTTGCAGGCGTCAGGCAGGTTTTGTGTGCTGCATTTAGCGAGCATGTCTCCAGCGTTCACTCCACAATGAGTTTTGGGGCTGTAGCAGGGGAAGAAAGGAAAAGGGTTCGGTCGCCACTCCACATACGCAGATTTCGGCTTCTTCAGATGTATATTCTTGACCGTATGATGTTTTAAATCAAATTATTCATGGAACTTAAGGGCATGCGTCTTGTACCGCACTTCGCTTCCTTTCCTATCAACCTACATGAATATGAGTATTTCACAGGATCAGTCCATGTAAAATAGAAGCGTCCTGAGCTTTCGTATGCGGCAGTTCTTCGCGAGTCATCCCCACTTCAACGACAAAAGATAGAAATTCCAGGAACAGTAAAGCACTCACCTCCCCTTACCCAAATTCAGCCAATCACCTACCCGCATGCACGGTTCCCTCCACGGCTTCACCGAGGACATCACCCAATCCAACGCTCAACCTTCTCCAATTCCTAGTACAGCCTAGTCCCACCCCTCTCCTCCTTTCCCTTTCTTCCCCTCCTCCCTTCTCCCCCGTTTCCCCCTTTCTTCTCTATCAGCCCCCCACTGCCCTCCCACGACTTTCCCACCGTACCACCGCGTCGGTGACTAGGTCCAGATACCCGCTCCCATAGAGAGACGCCTTCCCGGGCGGTTCAAAGCAGTCCACCGCGTCAGGAAATTTCCCGGAGGGGATGGGCGATGCTGTAAGTTTGACACAAAAGCTTTGGAGATTCGATGGGAGATGGGGGGAATGTCTCAGATTGGTTAGGTGGGTGGTCTGAGAGTGTAAGATCGCTGTACTTTCGATGGGAGATTGGGGGATTGATGGATCGGGATTAGTGGGTCTGTTTTTGGCGTTGATGGATGCATGGGGGGGATGAGAGGAAAGGGTGATTGGTGAGGAGGAAGGTTGTGGTGGTGATGGTGGTGAGGGGGCGTGCGTTGAGTTCATGCAGAGTGTAAGGGCCCGCATACGATGGTGTAGTAGGGAATGGTTGGATCAGGTTAGTCCGAATGTGAAGCGAAAGTTCTTCGTCCCACACTATCGAAATTTTGCCTTTGAGATAGCTGGGGCTACCGAGAATCGTCTTTGCTGTCTCGTTGTTCATGTTATCACGCCTTGGTCGACCCTCTTTAGGAGGTTATGCGGTCTGAACATCTTATATTAAGTCCTTTTGCCAGCTCTTGATAGTTACCGCCGGAACCGGACAGTGCGTACAGCTCTCACTGACAGTATCTAAATCAGGAACCATCTTGAGGATGTGTTCGCACAAGAGTTGGATGCTGTGAGCAACAACAAGGACTTAAGTGCAAGAAAAGCCGAGCTGCGAGTGCCTACTGCCTTTTCTCCTGGGCGTTTCGTCAGAGCCTCCCATTTCTCGTCAGGTATGGTTTTGGTGGCCATGCATTCCAGAAATGCATCTCTATCATCCCTTGCGTCTGCCGTAGATTTCGTCTCCTAGAAAACCTCAGTACATACTGTAGTATGTATACTCAGACGACCAGGCAATCCTTTCGCCTTTCATTGCATTATACACCACAGCATCTCCTACTACAGTCCAACCTCCTTTTTCCCTAGTTCGCAAGACCACAGGTACGCTGCACCCTTTGAATACAACGATCTCGTCCCCAATTTCCGCCTTTCTGTCAACCCAGCCAAGCGAGAAATCTCCCACTGCCAGACGCATGTCCAATGCCAAAATTCGTTCAAGATGCTTGCAGTTCTGCCGGGAAAGCACCCCAATTATTCCTTGTCCTATGAACGCGTCATACATGAAACCGAGAAAGTGAAGAAGTGCAAATGTACATAAAAACGATCCCATAGCAAGAAAGGTCCACGGAAATTTGGATTCTCCCTTAGGCCAAGAAGGCTTCGATCCGATAACCCAGTTGGCTGGACCACGAAGATCTATGTCTTCCCCCAGTAGATCCGTCATTTGATTTTCGGACATCCATTTAGACAGCATTGGGCTATGTTGACGCATTTGCTCTCGATAGTCTAGGCGAAATCTCGATGTCTCGGGTTTGTCTTGGTGGGATTCCCTGGTATTTTTCCACTGGGACCATACTTCGAAAAAGATTGGGGCACTGGGAAGTGTTTGGTTGGATTTTGAGGAGGCATCTTCCCACGGCACAAGGGACACAACGAATGCTAATGCTTTTGATATTTCGTTATCTGCGAAACGGTCTGATAAGCTCTGCTTTGTCGCTTGAGCTGGCCGCGGATGTTTCTGATCTAGCGAGTCCGAGATACTGGTGGAAAGTCTGTGTATTGTGCCAATCCGGCGACCTTGGGCTTTCAGCGTCATGCCTTCAATTGAATGCTTGGCATGGCTTCCCCGATGCGCGTTCCATTGCGGCCAGCAAGCATCACGATTGCCGCCCAGCGCCGCTTTCCATTCATTCCAGCTGAAAGATCGTTGTTGATATGGTCCGACTATTGATTGAGGCCGCAAAAAATGTCGTCTTCGTCGAGCGTCGCTCCATAGACTCGGTGCGAACCAATTTGGCGACCAGCTAGGTCCTAATTCGTGTCCAGCGTTCCCAAGCATCGGTACTATGTCAAGTCGTTTCGAAATCTCTATGATTGACGTTGTCAGGGCAAGAGCAATGATTGCAGGAGGGGCAGAGTATGTAGGCACAGGAAGGTGCAACTTAGCATCAAAGGCCTGTGAGTATTGAAGATTAGCAGTCCGTCAATTTCAGGCCTGCTCTACTCTTACCAGGCCATAAACCCCATACACACGGTCGAGCATGTTAGACGACTGCGATTTGTACGAGCGTTGAAGAATATCCAGTAGCCGGAGAGGGTCTGCGCTCCTGACTTGGGCCCTGATTTCAATGATTGTGTTGACTTGCTGAATGCCGGAGACATTTTTCAAGAAAGCAAGGCGTTGAACGATGTCAATTGCCTTTTCCACGCAAGCAAAAGGAATTCGCTGTGAACCACAAACGATGTCAACTTTCACACCAAAGGCCAGTTCCTGAAGGATCCATACACGGGCCCAGTATTGATGAGTGAAAAACTGATAGATTGCGCGCAAGTTCTTCTTCCACGGTTCACGATAACGAGCAATCAGATCCGATAATTTGACATGTTCATCTGGATCTTGGCTGGACTCAATATCGCCGGTGAGGCTTCTTCTTTCCAGTAATCGAATAGCGCTCTCGTACTCCCACATCTCACTGAAGAGAGGAAGGGTGTGTGTCTCTAGGCGGCCCGTGTCCGGAAGGCATACCACGACATCGCGTGCACTTCGGTAGATTGCGTCCATACGCAAAATCTGTTGGCTGCGTTCCTCAACATCCTGCTGATTGATACAAAGAGCATCTGCCCAGACTCGCTCGTAACCAAGATAGGCGAGATTTGAGAGAGCGTTGTAAAGATTGCGTCCAACGCGTAAGACATGAGTTTTAGAATAGCCGAGCGATTCGCCGGTATGATCGACGTCGTAGTTGATCAATATTGGTAGTTTATCATGTTGGTCGCCCCACGGGTAAGAGAGCGCAGTGTAGGCCGGAGGACCTACGAGCGAGAAATGATCTATGACACACTTGAAGGACTGGGCTTCGCCACTTTGACAATTAGAAGGCAGTCTCAAGAGACGTATCTCGCTCTTAGAGGTATCAAGCTTCTTATATTGCCAGTTGCCTGAATTATCGAGCTCAGTGTGGCGCAAATCGGCGTGTGCAATGTCCTGGGACCCTGAACTTCCGCTTGAATCATGAATGATCGGGGATTGAGGTGATGACATGCTTGTCCATGATGGTATTTAATGACCCTACAAACTCAACGGGCTGCCATAGCAATACGACAATGACAAGTGCGCCAGGATTGGTTCCAACATTTCAGCTATGAGCAAGGGACTGCAATCGAACCCCCAATCAATGTCGTGCTGCATTAGTCCAGATCACGATTAAAAGGGCTTCTGGTGTAACACACGATGTCAGATAAGTGCTCAGCCCTGGCCTTTAGGGCGCTAAGATCGTTGCAGTTCCCGTCGTATCACACATGCGAAAACCTTAGTTACGCCGCAGGAGTGTATTCGGGTGAGGACCTCTAGTTGATGCGATTCATTCTCTGAGGCACTTCCCTTACGTCTACGGAGGAGCACTCCTGTCATCCTGCCCATGTCGGGCTCAAAGAACAAGGGCAGATGGGAGCGCTGGAGGGGTTCAACGGGCCGACTCCGGGCGGTTCAGCCTTAAATACACCCCTAAACGACACTGCTGATGGAAGCCACAACGCGTGATTCCGGTTGCGGACCAGTTCTTTCACATCTCGTGTATCTCGACACCAAAGCAAATTCTTTCATATCCCCGGCTGAGAAATGTCTTCCGGCTTCGTCTCTGCTGGCACCATCGACCAACCAGTCCAACGAGACGAAGAATGGCTTAAAGCGCAACAAGACATTGAAGTCGCTCGTCGACAAAAAGAGGCTGAAGGTGTCCAGGACGGTGGCAAGTCCTTATACGAGGTGTTACAGAACAACAAAGGTGGCAAACTATCAAACGCGCATCTTCACGTTGCATTTCAGCTTGGCTGACATGTCAGGTTTGCTTTGCCCCTCATAGCTGCGAAACAAGACGCTTTCGAAGAATCAATCAAGTTAAAGAACCAATTTCGCAACCTAGAGGAAGACGAAGTTGATTTTCTTGACTCCGTTCTTGAATCTACGCGGGCGAAAGAGGAAGAGGTCAAGAACGAGACTGCTACGCAGCTTGAGATTTTCAGGAAGCAGCAAGAGGAGGCAGACAAAGCTGCCAGGGGAGCTGACGACGCTGACGGGCAAGAAAACGCCGGAAGCCCTCTTGAAGAGGTGCCAAGCTGGGGTGTTGGACCTCGAAAAAGGAAGAAGGGCACATCGAAGGAGGGATCGACGGGCTTTAAACTTAGAAAATCATCAACAACACATGATGCCCAAAGAGGTGTTGATTTGAAGGGTGTGGTCGAGCCGGCCAAGACACCACTTCATAAAGACACTCATCTACGTAGTACAACAGAGGAAAAGTCGCCAGGCGAGTCTCCTCCAAACATCAAAGTCAGCCCTGGAAAGCCTGATAACGATGCACCAAAATTGAACAAGCCGTCGGCTACTTTGGATCTTGGCTTACTCGCCTACAGCTCTGATGAGGACGGTTGAGACCCTTCCGATTACTATCTAGTAGTCTGCAAATATTAATTCTCTTTCAAATCAAGCCTATCTTCCCGTTTGAGCGATCGAGATCTTGTTGGGGTCTGATGTCCACAAGCATTTCAATCGCGTGCAAACAAAGGAACAAAGATGCTTGTGTCTCGTACGACAGGACCCGAACAATTCATTGTTCCTGGAAATATATGGCATGGATCCTCCTCACCCAAATCCTCCTCAAGGAAGATTGCGGAGCATAACGACTTTCTGACTCTTCTGTCTCCACGACAGCCCACCAAGAAGTCTGTAGATAGCGCAATGTCTACAGCAGTCGCTAGTGCTGCCACTGTCTTAGGCGACGGCGTCTTTGCGTTCCCAAATGTGAAGCATAACAAGAACGGGACAACTTATTTCGGATCTAAACCCAGAGATGCAAGTCAAACTCAACCTCGGGTCAGTGCGAAGACAACAAAAATCAAGGAGCGTGGAAACTCGGACGAAGAAAAGAGAGATAATGACTCACCACTAAACATCATACAGTCAGCCCATAATATGGATATAGATCTTCTAAGTGACATTCTGTACAAGCATGCCGTAATCAAAGATTTGGCTGTCCCGGAAGCAAGAAATATCAGCATACCAAAAGGCTACGCCATGGATGGTGAGATTAAGCCGGCCGACATTTACAACATGAGACAGGGTATCAAAAGCGACCTCAAGCGTAAGCGGCAAGAAGGTGTTCGAGTAAAATCTAGCGAGTCTAAACATCCTGGCGGTTTCCGTCCCCATGAAGTCAACAATTGCGGAGCCGTCAGCCTCAAAGGATGCAAGGCTAGCTCTCTAGACATTGATATACACCCATTGCTTGCAAGAGCTCGGTTTGATGACACACCCGACGCAGTCTATGATCAGCTCGCTCCCGCACTTCGTCTTGCGACGATGTTTCTGACGCAACCCTCCTGCATGCAATTCTGGATTACTGTCGCTTTGGGAGAGCGAGTTGACGATGACGAGATGACCTCAAAGTTTGCCAAAAATTGTCAGCGGATTCGGAATCATGTCGAGCTCACGGAAGAAAATGCGGCGCGAATAATCAAGCATCTGAAGGATGTAGGGGAATCAGACATCATACACTTTGCTTTCAAGCATAAGCTTCGTACTGGTACAGCGGACGTTTGGGCCAACTCTGGTCCAATCTGCGACTATCTCGGGGTGAAACGGGCCCCAGGACTGAAAGGCACACTCACCCGTTCGATAATTCAGCTTCACGCAGATTATTACGTCGTAGCAAAGAAGCTCAGCCAGCTCAAATATCCAGAAGTCTCCCAACAGCTGCGCTTCTGCTTCCTCTTCGCTAATCTGATGATGCACGAACTAGCTCACTCCATAGAAGGAGCATATATTCGAATGCGACACGAGCAATGGGCAGAATTTCAGCGCTCGAGGACTTATACGGAACCTTTTTGGCTCGACTGGCAGCGACCGCCCGAGTGTGGGAAAGCTTGGGAGCACACGATGTTCGGTGGCGAGATTCACCCAATCAACAACCGTGTCGACGGTTCCCACGGTATAGGTACGAGTGACTGGCCGCCTAGAGGTACAAGCGATCACCCGGACAGGCGGACGTGGTACACACTACCAATGAAATACATAGAGGGGCTTTTCCAAAAAAGCACGTGGCAAAAGAAATACGCTCTTGACGATACCTCAGCTTTTCACATACCGCGGACGGGAGCCACATCGCTATACATGAACTTCTTTACAACAATGCCGTTGTCGTCCCTTGCGAAGACAGTGTATGGGGACACGGATTTGATGGAAATCGTGACCGAGGAGCCGCCCTCGAAATTGAGAAAGAAGGCTACCGGAGCGAAAGAAGCACATCGGCCGACCCCTGAAGAGGTGGCTCCACAAACCTTACCCACAGAAAAGAGTCACCCGCCGAAATTTCAAAATACGAAGAGTCTGCTGTCTGTCATGTCTGGGCCGCTGCCGACGTCGCGAGAGGCGGCACCCACAGATAAAATCAAGCCTTTTACGGTGCAAGAGCTCCATTGGTTTAAAGAGAAGCTTGCATCTCAACAGACAGATCTAGAAAGCAGCAATGTCGTGGTTGAAAATTGATCTGTTTTTGTGAAGGTAGATTGTATAATTTGACAAGGATAGCGTGCATCACTGTTGGATAGAATGATATAATAATATGTGTATAGGTTTATCAAAAGGACAACAGTGAGGCTGTTTCATGCATGTTGAACTTGACGTTAAAGAGCATTTAGGAATATGGAAGCAGAGGAGCTCTTCCCCCAGTCGCGATCATCTGGTGTGATTTCGGGATAGCATCTGTTGGACACACACCTTCTTGACAGCCCCTATCAAAAGGAGGTCTATGAGATGTATACTTTATTTGACACTAATTCTAGTCAGAAACTTGCATCCAGGTCATACCTTGCGGTCGAATAATTTACGTCAGGAGAGCACACTCGCTTTTGCAGAATGAAACGAGTACCTCTTTGTTGCAAGACGCGGAGAGGTCTTCAATGCTGCAACACAAGATCAGTGATTTCTCGTCATCAAGCAATGCATCTAGATCCCCTTTGCTTGCTCCTTTGCTCGGGCTAACTTCATCTTGTCCCGAATTGGCAATTTGGTTCTATGATTGTTCAATATCTTCCCTTACCTTGAATCTTGGTTAAGCAACAGTTTTCAAATCTTTCATTTCACTTTGCAAGACATGTTTTCCTGAATGAGCCATCAGGCGCCCCGTACGCGTGTTCCTTTTAAGGTTTAGCATATAATGCAATCACTTGCATCAGGCTCTCCCCGAGGCTGACCCGCCGGCTTCACAAGGCGAAATTCACACCCACTAGAGTAGCCGAAGCTTGATTCTCCACATTGAAAACAAGATATAAAGCGGTCTTTGCATCTCATCCGCTTTCACCCATTTGACATGATCTAATCCACCATCTTCCTCAGCGTCAATAAACCCCAAACCCGTTTAACAAAATTTATTACCATGCCCAAAACATCGCCCAAGACCACTTTGGCATACCTTACCCTCCTAGGCCTTCTTTTCACCCTCGTCCTCACCGCTAATATTACCACCTTCCTCTCCCTCCAAACCTTCCCAAACCTCCCAACCCCACTGCCCAAAGCTTCGGGCCTCATCCTCTCAAACTCCCTCCTCGCAGCCATAAGTCTCGTTTCCACGATCACGCTCGCGCTACTCTGGAACCACACCCGATTATCTTTTTATCACGACTGCAACCTTCCCTGTCCCCCACCTTCCCAAATCTCCCAAATCTTCAACTTCTTTAACTTTCTCCTCCAATTGATTGGGGTGCCCACAACCCTCAACGCACGCGACGAGAGGGCAAGGGAACAGGAAGCTACGATCACACGACTGAAGGAGCTGTGCCAGCGACTGGAAGTTACGGTGAGTAGTCAGCAGGCGCAGGCTCAGGATATGGGAGTGTGGCGGGAGAGGCCGCCGAAGTATAGCGAATTCGGGGCGGAGAAAGGAGGGAAGGGGAAGGGGAAAGGTTTGAGGGCTAGATTTGAACGGTTTTTTGAGTTCGGTGGGTTGAGGGGAGGGAAGGGAGGGGGTAGGAGTGTTTGAGTGAGGTTTGTCCGCGGCTTGAAGCGGTGGCGATGAGTTTATAGGCACAACGGATGGAAAGGGGTAGGGATCATGAATTTGGATATGGGCTTTAGTAAATGTATAAGATCTTAGTAGAAAAAGTTCGAATAATATTTGAATATTAATCGAATATTTTGATTTTGCCAAGTTAAACCAAACAATAATTTTCAAAAATCAATGAATAGCTCGGTTGAACTTTAATTGAACTTTTTCAATCTGCCAAAAATTACCCAATGGTGGATCTTATACTTGCGATGAGACTGCGTAATCAGGTAACAGCCAGAGGGAAGGGGAGAATGAGAGAGTAGCAACATAAAAAACCATAGTATTCGTCGACTTGATGCTAAGCATCTTGAGCAATCGATAAGAGTATCCTGATGCTTCCCTAATCAATTGAGAGGACTCCATGGGCGTCGGCGTTGGCAAAGACATGCAGAGCTTTCCCAAATTTCTCTAGCACATGCAAGCAGGGCCGCAGTTTCTTCAGCAGCTGACGAGGTCGACTGGCCTTAGCATGCTTCTCCTCAACTAATTGATGTCATGTATGACATCGACGACTGTCGAATCTTCCAGAAACGCTCTTTGAGAATTAACTAGATCCCTTGTCTGTAACTCGAATGCTTTGATGGACGTCCAGGCATCCCAGGCTCGAGTGGCCTGTTTATTGAGGCTCATGACTATAAATGAATCATCATCAAAATTAAATCAAAGTGGTTATGACCATGGCATTCCTCTACCGCAAGTCAGTGAGATATTGCGAAATTCATGTCGCGGTCAGCTCGATGCTCCTCGGTACGACTCAGCCCTATTCATTGGGCTTCAGCAGCTTGACCCATTACGCAATGACGATGATGTCTACATAATTCCAATACTGCGTGTGGAGACACATGTAATGAGCTCAGGGTGTTGGAAATGAAACAAGAGAAGAGGTTTCGCGGGAGCGTGAAATGACAGGAACGACTGACGGTGGACAGTAGCTCACAACTAACAGCAGATCGGAGGTAAGTATTTTTATATATGAAATGTTTGACTGATCAATCAACAAGCTCCGGTGGTGCAGTGGCTAGCATATCAGAACTTCAGCACTTGCAGAAACCATTGGGCTGCCTTCGGGAGTAAGCACGAGCTTCAATGTTCACCAATGGGGCCTGTTGAAGGGGCCAACGAGCTTTCTGAGGACCGAGGTTCGAAACCTCGTCGGAGCAGAGCTTTTTGGTAATGAAAATGAAATGAAGGCCCCTTTCTTTTTGAGTGGAACATAGATTGCCACGAACAACATACCTAACCAAAGGAAGGGGGGTTGTGGAATGGTCTCGAAAAGTGAATAATTCTGTAGATTCAGGTGCCAAGGACGTAGATTAAGACCAAAAATCTGGGCTACTCCACGCCCTCACTATAAATCCTGCCGAGTATAATCCAGGAGCAGCGTATGGCGCACCCTCCGCTTTTATATAAAAGATGCGTCTAACGACAGGATTGGCGAAGGCGACTGTAACATGTCTTTGCCAGGACCAAATGCAGCCAATCATGAGTACGTTCTCTTCCGGTCTATGAAGTCTTTCGCCGTGAGGCTCATACTTTGTCATCTTCTCTCATCTCTTCCGCAGGCTCTTCATCAACATGCAGCACTTCGCCTCGTGGGAAGACAGGGCCGGGATGTGCCACATTAAGGAAGAACGCAGCTACGATAATCATCCTAGACATCTCAGTCAGCCAAATTCTCGCACTTCAGTAAGATCAAGGACTTACACTCCCTCCAGGCCAATAAAAAGCCCCTCGTTATGAATCAACGGCCCACTATACCCATCACTCAGCTCATCAATACGATAGATACACCTGATCAATATCAAGACGATCGCTCCTGACAAGAACGCCACAAACACCCTAAACTTCGTGGGCAATTTCTTCTCGTTCTTCGTCGCCTTGTAATATCTCCACGCAAACTCCAGCGACAGGCTTATGAAGACGCATAATGTGAAGACCTGGAAGGACAGCCCAGCAATGGAGATGCTCACGGCAGCGGAATTGTCGCCTGTGGATTGCGAGGATTCGGCCCCGCCGATGGCTTGTAGGACGAGTGAGATAACGTCGCAGGGGATGAAGACCCAGTAGTAGAATTTTGCGGGGAAGCGGGCGTATTGAGGTCCGAGGTAATTGACGATTTTTGCGAGGGTGAAATAGATGGCTGCGGTCATGAAGACGGGGGCGAAGGTGATGCAGACTATTGTACGTTAGTCTCATCTTCAAATCATGGATATTCCATGGTTTGAGGGTGGTAGCCGTACTGATCTGTATCAAGAACCCATTGAACGAGAACGGATCATCGTGCAGTGTGATCCTTCCCGGATATCCTATAAGTTCACATATACAGCCCGTGACCACACAGCCCATGAATGTCCACGTCCGCCATCTTATGCCTTGGTATAAGTGTATGAGGGCGCTGATGCCGAAGAGAGCTATAAAGACGGCTTGCGCGGCGATCGAAGGTTGATATTGGTAGACGCTGAGAATGATGGGGCAGATCTCCAGGGTGCAATTGGCGTCGGGACCGTATGCGACGTAGCTGTATGGAGGATCGAGGAGTTGTTGCGGATCTTGCACCCCTGCTGGGAATTTTGGAGGCAGCTTGTCCATGTCTCAGGGCTGGAGGGTAGGTTGAGGGGTTGTTTGCCTACTCGATTGCGCGAAGATAGAGGATGTCGTAGGGAACGATAGGTGAGCGGCAGAGGTAGGGAGAGATGGAATTAAAGGGCACACGGCCCTTTTGACGTCGTGGTTGCAGCCCATATTGATATGATTCATTTGGAGCGGTTAGGCCGTGGACGTTTTGCGAATGCGAGCCTTACGTAGGCTTAGGTAACCATCTGCGCTAGTCTTGTTATGGTGCATCTTGAGAGATCCTAGCCATGTCTAGTATAGCTGCCATCAGTACCGGCTTCATTGATTGGGGGCTTCGCGACAGCGGAAGGCTTGTTTATATCGCTAAATGTCGGTCGGTCTATTCTTCCGCATGTCGGCCGTACTTTCCCGAATACGCGAGAGGAGAGGCCCATGGCTTTGCATTTGGACTGTGGAGCAGCAACTGAAATACTTAAGGACGTGATGATCTCGTGCGGTTCCAATGCCTTTTTATGAATCCCATCGGTCTCGTCAGCCTGACTAAGCTGTGCCAGGCTTCCAATTTGCAGAAGGCCGATTACGTTGCTCTCCGGGGCTGATGTTTGTCGCCCCTTCGTTTCTTGGCAGCCGGATTAGGAAATTTTGAGCATATAATCTTGCTCTCTTCGACGAACTCAGCACCATCTGACAATAGCAAGCGATGAGCTGTGCATGGCAGGAGTATGTACCTCGTATGTCATACGTCGAGATGCCCGCGGTGATAATACGCCGTTAGCGAGCTGAGTATCGCGGTGTCTGTAATTCAGCCTTGATTCGCTGATGCGGCGTGCCTTTTAATCAAGTCTTGAAATTTCATCTTGTCCTTGTTGAAGACTTCAACATGCGAAAAATGCGCCTTTGACAGTGTTTGTGGTCTTTCCGGAGAGCGGCTTGTCCAATCGCCTTTCGTGCGTACGACGCTTCTGCGGTCATGGCCGAGTATCCTTTCACCGCGCAATTTCAGTACCTGAAGTCCTGGAAAGAGTTTCCCTATGTGAATGCACTTCATCATGTTATTTTTTCCCGTGAGAAGGGCTGTGTTCCTTGCTTGTATTTCAGCTGTTCAGCTGGCACCGTATTCGTGTTCACCTGGGTATGCTGGACCAGCACAAGAGAGAAAAGGGGAGGAAATGAAGAACGCGACATATGAATAGATAACCCGAGCAGAGGATCGAAGTAAAAGAAGAAGGAGCGGTCTTCTAGTCGCAGCCTTTCATTCGGACGTTCCAACGAAAGGCTCGTGACATATCACACCCCAGTCAGCCTCGCACACGCGTTGCTATCGCGGATATATTCAACACAGTCGCTGTGCCTCATCGACTTATGGAGTACTTGGTACAGTCTCTCGGAGCTTACTGAGGCAGGACGAATATTTAAGTGAGGCACATTCTCACCATTGCAGGGGCATACCCTATGGATGACCTAATCGTGTTAGGTACTTAAGACTCTTCTTTACGGTGCTCGAGTTGGTAGAAGCAGCTGATGTTGTATAGCAAACTTTCAAGATCATAATAATGTGGAGAGAAGACTGAAGTTGCTATAACAAAGCTGAGGACTGCGGCAACTCTGGTCCATAAATTCCTCTTGTGGGCTCTATATTGCGAACCAATCATATTGTTTGATGATAGAATCTACCCTGCAATCCTTGGGAGCTTGCTTCCTATCGGAAACAGCGGTGCTGCCAGGCTAATCAGGATAGCACAACCCGTCTCGCTAGCCACTAAGCTTACCAGCTATTGTTCGGCGCTTCGCATCTTGCAGTGAAAGGTCGGCCGCCGGCAAGGAGATACTACATTTCCAAAGTCGCCCATCTCCCGAATACGTGAACTAAACGTACGATTGCATCGAGTACGAGAGCGGTGACCCACTCCAGAGCTCTACGTAGCGCTAACAGGAAGGATTGGAACTTTCCTGGTAGGTATTTCGTATCAGCCAATATTCAGCCGAAAGACTAGTAGAATTGGCAGCCATGTCCTCAGGCTCCGAGAAGGACCGTGCGGATCTGAAAGGCGTGCGTTTCATCAAACAGATGTCAGCAGCTTCGGAGCTCAATTTCGGAATCGACGATTCAACTCCTCGCACCAATTCTAGTCCCGCATCTACATATGCGGGCCTGACGGAGACTTCTCTGAATAACCAAGCGAAAGAAAAAACAAGTGCTGCAACAAGCACAGCAAGTAAAGAGGACGCTGAGTCAATACAGTCTTCGAATCCGGACAAGTCAACCACCTCAGGGCAATCGTCGAGGACCAAATAGGTCAAACAGTAACACGGCTTGCTCTAAGGGATAAGCTGAGGCTCCAAACTCGCCAGAAACCGTGTCTAGCTCCATTGAATGTGTCTGCAGCCAAACCCTATGTACGAGAGCTCATCTTTCATCCTATTTCAGTTAACCCAGAAGTTTGATAGCCTGATTAGTCACAATGACAGACCCTGTCCTTCTACCACCCTCGAGACCATTGCCGCGATCAGCAGCTTGAAGAACATGAAGAGACAAGTAATACATGTGACTAGTGGCTTTGGAAAAAAATACAAGTCGGAGTTGCTTCATGAAGGCATCAATCTCTACCACGCTACCCATAACCGCGCGGTCGACAGCCATGTAAGAGCAGGGACCTGCTGTTGAAAAAATGGCGCTTGAGGAGCGCTATTTACAGCCCCCTCGGCTGTCTATGCAAGCTCATTTCACTACATCGATTGGTCTTCTCAAGGGCTAGCCTGCACCTGCAGACGAAAGTATACAAGAAGAGATCTTTCCGGGCTACTCGTCATGCAATCGAAAAGGGTTCTTCAGCATCGAGGACAAAGCGACCTAGGCGGTGAGCACGGCTCAACTTCCCGCAAGAGTCAAGCTACGGCTACCTACATTGGTTCTATGCTCGCAACTGAAAATCATGGCAATGGGCCACTTGAGATTTTCAACACCGCAAAGACCTGCGATTACACATGCTGCTCACCCAGTAGACACGTTATAGACGCATTGAATGATTGAGGCCAGAAAAAAATTCTAGTGACACATCATCCACATCTACGACAAAGAGGGGAGGCTTCTCCCACACCCCACCCCTATTCTTGAAGTTTGATGACACTACCGCTGTTCCCCCGAAGAAAGGTCTCAGTGAGCAACCCTCCAACGGAAAGCTTACGGGAGGAAGTTGGAAGCTCCATTACGATTTCAAGATATCGTTAGAACATCATTAGTTGCGGAAACATGAAGTCAACTGTTGCTAGATCGTATACTCAATTAAATAACGGGCCAGACGAGCGACAATCACCAAGCCCTTTTAATCAACTTGCAAGACATCTTTAAGTCGGCTGACGCCACCACCTCGCTGTCAATACCAGACCTTCCAGTCACAACAGCACATGACGCCCAGACTCACTATACAGAGCGGCAGCAGAGAAGTTCGTCCGATATGACGATGGCCACTGGAGCTCTCGTTTTTCCTATAAGATCAAGTCCGCGACCTTGGACCGGGAGACAACGGTGCATCTTCAAATCAAGGATCCGGTTCGCCGTGGGTTTTCCTCATGGTCGACGGCTTGCTATCCTTGTTCCTCCAGCTCCCAGTGCTGGTCGACGGAATAGTTCACTCCAATCCTAACATCTATTCGACATACGCAAGCCGTTTCACATTCGCTTGTCAGCAGACCTCATTATTTCTACTACTAATTTTCCACTTATCCAAGAAAAGATCTAATGTCACTACCACCGAGGACAAATTGCATTCTGTGCGGAGTTTCCACAATACAATTGACCCGATCCTTGATGGTGGTGACTTTCGGGGGCTGAGGCACGGTGCACCCACCTCATCGTGATTTCGATAAGGCGAGGATTACGCAGCGGGAACATCTTTGCATGAGGACGACAAGTCAAGGCTTGAATCAGACTCTAGGATGGTATCCTCATGGGGAATTTTCACAAATCTTCTCATCAATAGCCTAGTGAAGTAGACGAAGCGAGAGCATGTGAATTTCATTCATCATCAGGCCTGGAGAGCGATTCGTGGCATAAATGTTGACAAATGTATTAGCGAAAACTTGAGGTGAGGTTGCGTTCACGTGCTTGTGAGAGAAATGTAAACATTCGAAGGCACATCATTATGATCTGAATCGCATATGCTCGGGCTTCACGAAGTCAACCCGCGTGACCAACATTCCTGGAAACGGAGGATATCCACAAATCGATTCCCATCAGTCGAATGTCGTCGGAGAAAAGCCTCTTCTGACAGTTCAATGTCGATCACTGCTGCACAACGATCGTTAGACTGCAGGTGATCATCGCCTACAGCATGACGACGCCAATCAACTTCAGCTTTACACGAAATGCTTGTGAGCCAATCGATTCTAGCACGATCCTCTGCTCAACGACTTAGTATTATTATACATTGGCCGTGTGTCGCAATTAACATGGAAATGAAGGATGTACATCGTCTAAGACACAAAGGTGTGCAATCAAACAAGAGGTTAGAGATGTCCATTTGAATATAGCCTCCTTGAAGGACTGCACTCTGCAATTTATAAGGCTCCGAGCCAATGACACCGTTCCAACATGCACTGCATGCAGCAGTCAGCACACCAAAAATCCCTCTCCTCCCCATTCGTATCCCCAAAGAAAAAGGGGGTGCGGAATCCCTCCGCCCGAAACATCCAAACCCAATTCGAGCTCCTACATTTCTCTGCAGCCTAACCACCTTGGACTCCCAGATGCCCTCCCAGCAACCCCCCGATGTCCTTCCACCAGCTCCATAAACCCCCATACCCTTCGCAACAATGCTGGCGCGCTCCCGCCCCCGCCGGCGGCCCTTCATCTACGCCCTCATCGCCCTCACCACCGCCTCCCTAGTCTACCTCTTCGGCCCCCCCATCTTCTCCCCCTCCTCCCACGCCAACCACCCGACCGTCCTCCCGAACTCCGTCCACGAACTCTCCGGCACAGCCTCGAAATGGGCGCATTCCCTCGAACACGAAGTCTCCTCCATCTACCACACCGGCACCTCTTTGAACTCGTCCCCGCGGATTCGCCAAGCGACTATGCTTTACGAGGGGGACAGGGATCATTTGCGACCGATGTATGAGCGCGCGGTGAAGACGCATCTTGAACATGGGGAGCGCTGGGGCGTGCCGACGCACGTGATGAAGAGGCATGTTGTGGAAGAGGGGAGCTTTTTTAATAAGCCGGCGTTCTTGTTGATGTTGGTTATGCAGGAGATGGGCAAGGCGAAAGGGGAGAGGGGCGAGTGGGTCGTCTGGTTCGATGCCGATAGTGTGGTTATGAATCCAGAGGTTAGCTGGGAGATGTTTCTCCCCCCGGCGATTTCGCGGACAAAGATTTTTTGATGACGAAGGATAACAATGGGTTTAATGCGGGTATGATGATATTGAGGGTGTGTGAGCGGACGGTGGATATGCTGGCGCAGGTGCTGGCTATCAAGGGACTGAGGGATGAGGTGGAATTGCCGTTTTATGATCAGAGTGCTATCGATTGGGTTTGTCAGCGGGACGGGTTTAAAGAGCATTTTGTGTATCAGCCGCGACGGTGGTGGAATCGGTATTTTCATGATGCTGATGGGGAGGAGAAGGGGTTGTTCGTTGTGCACTTTGCTGGGATCAATACGGTGGGGACGGATGGGACGAGGACGAAGATCGATAGGATGACGGAGTGGTTGAATAGGGCTGAGGGGAAGGAGAGCGGGGATTGGGCGAGGAGTGTGAAGAAGATTGGGTTGGAGAAGGAGATTGAGGATTTTTGGGAACGGTTGAGGAGGGCGAAGAAGTTGGTGGAGAGGGGGAGGGAGAGGGTGAAGCAGGAGAAGGAGGAGAGAGAGGAGGAAAGTGATGATGGGGACGAGGGGCAGAGCAAGCTTGAGGAGGCGACGGAGAAGTTGATGAAATTGGTCCTGAGGGGGGCAGATGCGACGAGTAATATTACGGATGCCAGTAAGAAGCTTGAGGGGCTTTTGGGGAATTGAGTATCGTTTGAGGAGTGAGGGAGTCGACATATGCGTCGTTTTTGACAGCGAGGGGTTATGGATTGGAATTGCGAGTTGATTGTATTAACAGCATGGCCCGGCGGATCGTTTGGACAATAGATATCTGGAAAAAGCGTTGACAGGCAGGTCCCTTGAGGACTTGTAGTATTTCATAGAGAACAGCTTAGGTATTTCACTCCTATAGAATCCATGCCTACATCTCCCCGACCGCTAGATAATACCATGCCACCAAGTTTGACACAACGAGACTTATTATACAGCACCATCCTCTACCCGCACAAGCAGGTTTCATGTAGTCACCTTTTTAGGCGGCGGCACATCTTCTCCCAGAACGGTCTTCACTTCTTGGCGATATCTTAAATTATCAGCAGCAGCTTTATCCTCGTATGGCTGTAGTATGTAAGTTTGAGACTAGGAATCTAACAGCGTCCAGACTTACTTTCTTCGCGCTAGCACTGAGTTCTTTCCATTCTTTGCCTAGTAGCCCAGAGCGCGTTGGTACTGCCATGCCTTTGTAGTCGTTCGAAGCATTGCGCTCCGTGTAGAAATAATTGTAGGCAATGCGAGGATGCTTCACTTGGCGCTCATCCTTGAGCATGACTTTGTAGGCTGGAGGGACGCGGGCGTTTTTGTTTTGCTTCGCGATGCGTTTGAGCTGCCTTCTCGCGTTGTTGGCCTGCTTGATCTCGCTCGGGCTCTTGGACGCGATGAATTGCCGGTAGTCTCGAGTAGCTTGCTCCTTGACCTGGTTGGCGAGATGATTGTAGTGCTTCGAAGTGGTCAGCAAAGTTATGAAGAGTAAAAAATGATTTATACCTCTAAATCCTCAGGCTGGAAGCTCCGATATTTTACACCAGCGTCTTTGAAGGCACTAGCCATCGCAGGCTTCGTTCCTTTCGTCCCTTTGACAGATTCTGCGGCAAACACCGTCCAGGCTGTAGTTCGACTTCTTGAGGAAGGCGGCGTCAAAGCTTGAGCTTTGTATTTCTGAATTTGGTTCCTTCTCTCTTTCACCGCTCTGCTTGCTTTTTGGGCTTCGGTCAAAGTCTTCTTCGCTTTTGACTTGGACTTGGGCTTTGCTTTGCGCGCTCGTTTAGCTTTGGGTTTCTTAGGGGTTGCCTTCTTGGTCTTTGTTGCTGACTTTGCTGCTGGCTGTGCGGCGGGCTTTTTGGAAGCAGCTTTTGGTACACGAGTTGATGTAGAGCGACCTGTATGTTGCTTAGGTCGCGAGGCAGGCCGCCCCGCATATGTTCGAGCTGATACAGACGCGCAGAGGTAGCTACTCAGGGCGCTGTAGGGAGAGAGCAATGCAATTGCGCCGGCGACGCGGTCTACCTTCGAGCTGACCAGGCTCTGGCGGGAGTGCAGGCATTGAACCTTCAATTGAGATAGACAGGCGATGGAACGCCCACTTTGAAAGATCATGATGATAGTCGATGCTGCTAAGAAGTTTTCGACATCTTTTGGTCTTCTTTGCGCCTTAGAGAGGGACGAGGAGTAGAGAAAGAGCTGGCAATCAGGGTCGTGTGTAGAATCGCGCTCTGAATCCAGAGGGCTGGGAAGGGGCACTAGCCAAGAGCGGTTAGACCATCTTCAGCCCTATGATGCCGTCGTCCTGTCTGCTGCAAATTGAGTCACGAAGGAATATAGAGGGGCCTATTTCGATAGACAAAATTAGAGAACTTCAGTAAACTGAGGTGCACCTACATCTTTGACTTGCAACGACATTTGTGACGTTCACTCAGCAGCGCGCAAGCTGCGAGCCAGGTATACCGCTTCAAACTAAGAGTCATCAGCCCTTACCAACGCGCAACACAGCTCCGATAATGGCAGATCTTGCTTCTTGAATTGCAGTTATAATCTTCTTGTATAGCTCACTCACAAAGGCCGAATCATGGCCCGCCACGGGGGTACTCGCTCACCATCGCCCGTAGGCAGTTCATATTCATCCTCGAAGCGAAGTCGGAGAGAGGACGACCGGCATGAAAGAAGGAAAGATGATGGAAGGAGCCGTCGGCATCGAAGCCGAACAAGAAGCCCTGATGTACGTCTCTCCTTTATTGCTGACCAGACTCGGCTAACAAGACTGACAGCGGCGAAAAGAACGTGACTACCGCCATCGGGACCGTTCTCGAGAGCGATACCGAGACGGCGATGCATACCGATCATCTCACAAAGACCGCTCAAGGGAGCGTCGGAGGTCTCGAGACCGAGACGTGAGAGACTACCGCCGAAGGAGCCGTGAAAGAGAACCTAGGTCCTACAGGGATGACTCCCGTGATAGAGAGCGGCGAAGACGAGAAGATCCGGCTGACTCAAGACGAAAGCGAAGAGATGATAGTAGAGATCGAGCAACTAAAGCTAGTGCTGAAGCGAGCAAGGTAAGTCAGCTGCGCATTCATAGGAATCATTATGCTTATGAATGCAAGTCTGCTGCGCAGGCAGAAGAAGCAAAGAAGGCCGAACGGCTAGCGAAACTCGAAGCTTGGAAACAAAAGCAGGCAGCGGAAAAAGACCGTAAGCAAAAGGAAGCTGAAGCTACAGGTGGCACACGCAATTTACTTGCTGAGATCGACAAGAAGAGCCAAATTCCACCAGCCGTGGATTCACCCCAGTCGCCTGCAACTCCGGTAGAAACGAGCGATCCAAGTTCTCCGGTTCCGTACGCGGGGAAATTTGATCCGAAAGCTATTGCGAAGAAGACAGCTACAACTCCCTCTACCGCTAGCAAACTTGGTGCGGATATTGCATTACCGGGAACTACCAAGACGTCTGCTGGTGTGACCTCCACCAAGCCTAGCTTGACTGCTAACAATCATGTAGCCTCAGCGAAAGGCTCTTCAGGTACGACCGTCTTTGAATGCACTAGTCTATCTCTAACCCTTGATCTAGAAGCAAATCTGCCATTAAAAGCCCGTGGGAACGTCAGCGGCTTCGGCTTGTCAACATCAGAACCTGAGAAGGCTGCTGCTAAGCCTGGCATCGATCTCAATGAAGAAGAGGGACAACGTCGTAAACTAGAGAAGCTCCCGACGCCCCCACCTGAAGATGTGAAGATAGATGAGGATACTGCAATGGCTAACGGTGATAAAGACGAAGATGACGACGAAGACGATGATGAAGCTATGCAAGACGCGATGACAGAAGAAGAAGCAGCCGCAGCAGCTAGATTGGCCGCAGAGAAACGCGAAGAACGATTACAAACCCAAAATTTAGCTGAAGAGACTCAGAATGGAGACGTTGTCATGGCGGAAGCAGAACCTCAACAGCAAGAAGAGGAGGAAGAGGCGGATCCTCTTGATGCATTTATGTCAGGCCTTGGTGATCCTATGAAAACACTTAAAGCTCCCAAACTCAAATTGTCCAAAGGGAAGACACAAGAGCCAGAAGCCATATTCGCCGATGATAATGATGATATGGAGGCTGCTAGACCTGAAGATGATTTACTCAACATCACTAGCAAGAAGAAGAAAAAGGATATCCCAACTGTCAATCATACCAAACAAAAGTATGATTCTTTCAGAAAGAATTTCTATCATGAACCTTTGGAACTGGCTGAGATGAATGAGGACGAAATTTCTAACCTCCGATTTGAACTTGATGGTATCAAGATTCGGGGCGTTGATGCACCAAAGCCTGTGCAGAAATGGTCTCAATGTGGTCTTGGAGTCCAATCGCTTGATGTAGTTCAGAGTCTGGGCTACGAAAGACCCTCATCGATCCAAGCGCAGGCCATACCATCAGTAATGTCCGGCCGTGATGTAATTGGAGTTGCAAAGACAGGGTCCGGCAAAACCATTGCATTCCTCTTGCCAATGTTTCGGCATATCAAAGATCAGCGCCCACTTGATGCACTTGAGGGACCTGTCGGTCTAGTCATGGCACCAACCCGTGAGTTAGCTACTCAAATTCACAGGGATTGCAAGCCTTTTCTGAAGGCACTCAATCTTCGCGCTGTATGTGCATACGGAGGAGCTCCAATCAAGGATCAAATCGCAGATCTCAAAAGAGGTGCAGAGATCATCGTTTGCACGCCAGGTCGCATCATAGATTTGCTTTCAGCAAACTCAGGTAGAGTCACGAATCTGAAGCGTGTGACCTACGTCGTTCTAGACGAGGCTGACAGAATGTTCGACATGGGCTTCGAACCTCAGATCATGAAGATCCTGGCCAACATCAGACCGGATCGACAGACAGTGCTGTTCTCCGCTACATTTCCGAGGCAAATGGAGTCGCTAGCACGTAAGACCTTGGCAAAACCAGTGGAAATAGTCGTTGGTGGACGAAGTGTAGTGGCTCCCGAGATCACACAAATCGTGGAGGTTCGTACTGAAGAGACTAAGTTTCTACGACTGTTAGAGCTGCTAGGCGAACTCTACAACGATGTGAAGAATGAGGATGATCGAGTCCTCATCTTTGTTGATCGCCAGGAGTCGGCTGACGGACTTCTGAAGGACCTGATGAATAAAGGCTATCCATGTCAATCTCTGCATGGTGGTAAGGATCAGATCGACCGAGACTCATGCATTAATGATTTCAAAGATGGTATTTTCCCTATACTTATTGCCACATCTGTTGCTGCTCGGGGTTTAGACGTCAGGCAGCTTGTACTAGTGATAAATTACGATGCACCTAATCATCTGGAGGACTACGTCCACCGAGCTGGACGTACTGGACGTGCTGGCAATAAGGGCACGGCAGTGACATTCATCACGCCTGATCAGCAGCGCTATGCGCCCGACATCTCGAAAGCCCTTCGTCAAAGTGATCAAGAAATCCCCGAGGCATTACAGGAGCTGATGAACGCCTTCATTGAGAAGGTCAAATCCGGTAAGGAGAAAGTTAGTGGCTCAGGCTTCGGAGGCAAGGGACTTGAACGTCTCGATCAGGAACGTGACGCCGTACGCGCACGAGAGCGCAAAACTCACAAAGTGGGAGACGAGCCGGATGAAGACGAGAAAGACGACAAGGAGGACAAGAAAGGCGACGACCTCATCACAAAAGCCGCTTCAATGGTCCAGTCGGCCACAGCACCCCCTCCTGCTCAATTACCCGGTGTTCCGAAAGGCATCGATCTCGATGGAAAAATCATCGTTCACAAATCGGAGGTACCGGCGAAGGGCAGCTCGAATAACCCAATCGACAAAGTCAGCGCAGCGGTGGCTAATATCCATGATCGGCTTAGCAAGAACCGTGAACTCCGTCAAGGCGTGCCAATTGACAATAAAGGACCTGATGCTGGTGCTTTTCATGCTACGCTGGAGATCAATGATTTCCCTCGTAAGTTTTCTTCTGAAGTTCCTTTGTAGAATCGTTCTAACACTGTTACAGAAAAAGCGCGCTGGGCTGTTACTAATCGGACGAACGTGGCGAAAATACTGGAAGCAACAGGTACTTCTATCACAACTAAGGGAAGCTTTTACGGGACAGGAAAAGAACCACAGGGTAGTGAGAATCCGAAGTTGTATATTCTGGTGGAGGGAGATACTGAGCTTGTCGTCACGAACGCTATGCGAGAGCTTATGCGGTTGCTGAAAGAGGGTACCATTGCCGCCGCCGACAGCGATGCCAGAGCTCCGGCTTCTGGCCGCTACAAAGTGGAGTAGCCATCTGTTGTAGATTCTTGCTCGCTAAACCGCTATAACAATATCATCTAATGCGTCAAGCTATCTTACATCATGTCCCAAGCAATTGCGCCAGCCTGCCTCCCTCACGGCATTTATGTAAAAATAGTTGTAGCCTCCAGCTCGACTTTCCAGGCCTGTCAACCTTTACTTGATTCAGTGTGACATGTTTTCTCCTTCATTCTTTCGCTTCAGTTATAGTTTCTAATCTCAGCATTCGTATCGGCATCTCTTCTCCGTCGTTCATCATTACTCAGACTTCCCAACGTATCGCTTCTTCGCTGCGCTTTTTGACTCGCCAATTCCTTCCCCAGCTTTCCGGCGGGTTGCCGCTTCGCTTTTGATGCACGCTCCTATGAAGTTGCCCCGTCAGTAATGAACTAATTCGTGAATCCATTTGCGACTTTTCGCCTCCGCTACTGCCCCTCACCCAACGCTCAACTTGGGGCTTCAGTACACTCCATCACACTCTTTTTTGACGGCCGCCAATAATAGCAATGCTCCTCTCTTCGGTAGGCCCTAGTAAGTGGGTTGGCTCACCTCAGCGGCCTTAGCAGCAGCACTCCTCGCATCTCCCGTTCCGCCACCACCTAGTGTTTGCCCCTGCCCACCAGCCCCAACCCCACTACCACTGGCGATCTTCGGAATCGCAGCACGAGGCTCTGAAGGCTTTCGTGGTGCGGAGCCGAGGACGCGACCGGGTTGCGCGAAATGATCATCGGATGAAGGTGGGGGGTTCGAGGATTTGGAGCACAGGTTGCCCATTGTGGTTTGATTGAGGGGGAAGATGAAGGGTGGGTGTTACGAGATCATTGTAGAGCTAAATATAAGGCAGAAAGTAAGCAGATTGGGGTGGAGGGCGTAAATTTGTGCCTGTGGGTGGTGATGGGTGACGGGCCCTCGGAGGGTGAGTGAGGATATGAGGCATAGATGTCGTGTCCGTAGGTTTCATCTCTAATGCGGAGAGGACTCCACGGACTTTACTGTACGAGATTGCCCCTGTCCCACAAATTGCGTGGGACAATGGATCCTTCACACCCTCGGCCAAGGATTGTCGCACAGGAATTGTCCCCACCCCTCGGTCGTGTAAGTATTGATCTTGCCGGACCAAAAGGTCCTTGCCAAGGACTTTGGCTTCCACTCAATGTCGCTCTGCGGCGAGGGCAGATATATTTAGGCGTCCGCCTGGTCTACTTGCGATGTCAAGAGACGCGGCTCTTAAGAACTTCCGAGAAATGCGCATAAGCCATGGGGGGACAGGTGTACAGAAAGGCTGAAACGCTGACATGTATATTGCATAATTGTTAGGAAATACCTTCTGAGTGATCTGGTCCTTGCTTCATTTGTTTCCTTCAAAATATCAACTTGAATAGAAGGCTACCCTTCAATTACGTATCATGGCAACTTCTAAGCCGAGTGTTCTAACCCCATATGAGGAGGTGATGCCACAAGAACTACCGAAATGGAAGATAGATAATGTCAACAAAGAGATGCAACGGTTTCAAGACAAAGTCAGCAAAGCCAGTAAAAGCTCGGCAGATCCTGAAACGGCAGACATATTGAAGTGCAAGATGGAGAACTCTCAAGCAGCGATGTACTTTCACTGTTTCGTCAATGATATTGTTACCTGGCAGGGGTCATCCGCACAGGAGTATCGCGATCCCTTGGCATGGCTGCGAACTGAAGCACGTATGGTGGTATTTGATTTGAAGAACCTCATGTCATCCATGGAAAACGAATTTAAGAATGACAAATTTCTCAGACAAACCTGCTTTTTTGAATGGAGGGGCATCAACGTACTATTGAATAACCCAAAGAATGCTGATGGCGAAGCAAGCCCAAATAGCCTCTTCAATTATATCCACGCGTTGAATGTGTGCTTTAAGGACGACAAGGATTCAGTCTGGTCGGGTTTGTACCTAGGACTGTGTAGAAAGCTGATGCTTGCATTTCAAGATACAGAACTAGGCCTGTTGATGCTTATTGAGAGATATGATGGAGAGAACGTGTCTGTGGGGACGCATGGGGTACGCGAGACACCTGAATCAACGAGGCCGCAGCAAAGTAAGAGTTCTACTCAAAGGGCGCTCAAAGGCTTCATGCTCTGACATACTTCAAGGTGGCCTTCGGCGTAGACGCCCAAACGTAGAATCTCAGCCTTCTTCGTCCGACAGTGAGCTCAGCACCGCTGATGCTGATCCCAAGAGCCATGCTGAAGCGTGGCTACGATTAGCACAAGCGTCATACGGAATTATCAGTGCATATTCTTGGACCGAGTTGAAAGAGGCGCTCTGGAGAGACGAGCGAGCATCCGTCGCTTGGTCGATGATACTCACCTCTACGAGCAGCATACTCCTTGGCGTAGCCTTCAGCAAGCATTATCGCGACAGTCATCCTGGGTTGGACTCTGACTTCTATATACTCTTATCCGACACCATTCTCCAGCTTTTCTCTCTCTACATCTTAATGATACCATTTTTACGAGGCTATGAGCCAGCCATCCGAGGCACCTGGTTTGGCTTAAGTATAGCACTCAGTGTCGCATTATCAGTTGCGTGTTGCATTGTCCACCCCTATCAATGGCACGCTTCGGAAGTCATCCGGTTTGCAGGTACGTTGATGTCAATCACCGCATCATTGCTCCTTGTGCATGGCATTCACAAGGGCACGACTTCAAGGATCGCAGCAAATACAACTTCAGCAGTGTGAATAGTCGCCTGATGTGCTACATTTCAGCCTTGACACGGCTACCAGTTGCGACAGGTGTGTTGGAGAATCGGGGGCTTCCTTGGTCGTCCGATTGTCTCCAAGGCGACGCCAAAGACAGTCAAATGTACCCACTCATCTGTGCATGATCAGAGTATATGTACATTCCCCGATCTCTTGGTGTTGGCTATTTGGACGCAATTCCGAACCTCGTCGAACAATATCTGACCAGAGTGTTCCATCAATCCGAAAATACAGCAAAGTAGAATTGTGCTTACATCGCGCATTTTTATGCCTGGACGTATTTAGGATCCGAAATTACCTCAACACAAAACTGTGTTGTCCCCTATCTGGCTAAGACTTCTCTCGTCGACACTCGCCACTAGTGCTAAGCTCTTATGTCCAATATCAAAACACTAAATCCGAAGTCCCAGAAAGGAAATTTATGAAGTGTCAACACACCGTGATGAAGGACCTTCCTTAATTTAGAAATATTCCAGGTCTACCTTCGAAATGCGCTATCTATGAAGTTGCATTTACATTTGGCGCTCCCGCGAAGCTCCCGCTGTCATGTCAGTTGGTACCGCGCGGTATCAAAGTAGAGATGACGTATGTTGTTTTGCCTTCATTAGGACGAGATGCGTACTATCTCCCTTCTTGCTTTTCGTGTGCAACATTTTTACACTACGAGTGAAAGTTTTACATCTCGGCGAAATCACGGAAATATTTAGACCTAGGCAGGGCGTCGATTAGATGTCTTCGAAATATTGAAGAGCGCCAATCGCGACGAATGATCGGCCAAAACGATAGCCTCAACCCGTTTTCTCCCAAAGTGTCACTCATCTTTAATACATGCGCGATACAGTACTCAGGACCCTAGACATGATACAGACGCTTGATCTAGAGCCTCGCATTTATCCAGCCTTCAGTGAATGTTCTACCATTCTCTGTGTCCTTACTAGGAACCTACTTCATGGTAGAGCAAATGCTTCAGTATTCAGAGCTACAGACTAGAAGCATGGCAATGATGGCAAATTGCCTTCGCATCGCAATTTTCGTCGCCGCCATACTATCTCAACTTCTTGTCGACTCTACGCTTGCCACCCCAATCTTGCAGCCACCAGCATCGATTTATGGGTCTGTGACCTCGTCCCATGTCAAATCGAATGCGCTTACTAAAAGTCATAATTCATAGCCGAGGTGTTAATTTCCAATATACAATCGCAGGCTCCATACCCCAAGTCCAAGTCGAGCTCTATTACACCCGTGCATATCCCCGGGCTGTTAAACAGCCGTACATTTTCCAGCCATTTGAAGTGATTTACTGCGCCCAAAATTATATCGAAAAGATTCAACTTTTGATCCAACAGCCAGGCCGTGATCCAAGGACCGCACTTGGAGACTTCGACACTGGAGAGCGAGAGTACGCGTGGGGCGAAGTTTACATTGCTTTCGACCACTACGTAGGGCAAGAAGCTCTCACGCTAGGTCAGGCAGAATACTTATTGCAAGCTATCGTGTCGGGCGCACAGGACAGGGAAACTATTGGTCGGACTTTGACGGAGGAGGCGGCGATCACAAGTACATGGGTCAATCGTAGGTTTACTGGACCGATGCAATTGCTCAAAAGGCAGCCGCTTGAAATTGATCAGCTACCTTCTTAAGTACAAGCTGCGATGGCCATCTTACTATCTCTTGGCCTCAATGGCCGAAGTCAAGCCGAAGGATTCTTCCTATTTGAGGCGGTTGAAAGATTGTTGAAGCTATGCTCTCTATATGAACTTGCCCTGCAAGTACATTTGATGGCTAAGATATTTTTGATGGGGATTTTAATAATATGACTTCCAATTCATTCACTTGAACGCCGGGCAGCCAGCGTGGAGATTTGCAGAAATAATAGCCGACCTCAATGCTTCGAAAGACTGAGCAGATAAGACATTTCAAGGTAAATAACTTTGCCATCATAGTGCACGGTTGCTGAGCATGGGTATACCTGATTCCGAGGAAGCAACCGAGCCCTTGTTCGATAGTGATACCCTACATCAAGCAGCTACAAATGGGGACGAAAATACCATTCGATCTCTTCTTCTCCTGGCATCAAAGGACAAGCGAATGCTGAATATCGTCAATCCGGTTGATGGACGGACCGCTTTGATTGTTGCTAGCAGAGAGGGCCATCTAGAGATAGTGAGACATCTAATAGATGCTAGAGCAGACCCTCACAAACATGACCCAAGTGGATGGACAGCACAAGAATATGCTGCTTTCAGAGGTCATATCAAGCTTGCTCAGCTGCTTGCCGAGTATGCAAGCCAGGACAGCCAAGAAAGTGAGAGAATCATGGCTACAAATGAGACTGCGGCAAAATCTGGCAGGCCGTTAGAGCGTGCCTTGGACCAAAGACCGCAACTTCCAAGTTATCATGGACGAGATGAGCAGCATCGACGAATGAAGACTCAGGGTCTGAGCGAAGTCTTCGTGACTCTAGGCAGTAATAATAGCAGAAGCAGTGCCACGGTACTCGAGCTGAAAGGGCAGCCTTGGGATCAATTTGCTGATCCCATGCATTATTATAAGATTCTGGTGGGTATTGCGGGCGGCCATACTGGCGCAGACTCACAAGTCAATTACTTTTTGCCCCTTCCAAAAGACATGGTCAACAGACCGATGCAATTTTTCACCAAAGATCTCGACCAAGCAACTCTCATGTTTGAAGTTCATTCGACACATATTTCTCGTGATGGAGAAAAACCTAAAATACTCGGTAGAGCAACTGCTCTCCTCAGTGCCCTTCGTCACGGGTCAGCGCCAAAACGCGAGAGCCTTGTCAGAGATTTCACTGTTCCAGTACTTCACTTTGATAGCATGAATCGAATTGGCACTTTGACATTCAGTGTTCTTATTGCAACACCATATGAGGCATTACAGCCACTCCCAGACAATTCAAGCGGATTTCGGGGCAAAGATGGCCTCACTCAAATAGTCGGACACCGTGGCTCTGGTGCAAATTCAGCTGCAAGAACAAATCTCCAGATTGGGGAGAACACAATGCAATCTTTCATCACAGCCGGCAGCCTCGGTGCATCCTGCGTAGAGTTTGATGTGCAATTAACCAAAGATCATGTTCCCGTCATCCACCACGATCCCATCATAATGCAGACCGGTGGTGACGTGCTGTTGAGTTCACTGACATACGAACAGTTCAAGCGCTTGACTATTTCTCAAGCATCCAATGCCGCCCTGCTGAACTCGGCAGAAGCTCGCTACATCGCCAGATCCGGCCTGTCAGCCAAAAATCCTCGCCCAAGACTCCGCTCAAATTCACTACCCACTAGCAATCTCCCAGATCCACTTAGTGATAATCTGACAGAATTAATGTCGCAGACCTTGCCTTCCCGTCTCTTCGGCCTCAAAGGCAACATACGAGGCATCTCGATCCAAGAGCCATCCTGCACGCTTAACCATCTCCTAACCTCTCTTCCAGGAAACATAGACTTCAACATCGAAATCAAACACACCATGCTCTTCGAAGCTGAATATTTCCAGCTTCCCTTCGAAACCATCGAAGTCAATCACCTCGTCGACATAATCCTCGACACTGTCTTCCGCGAGCATAAAGGCCGTAATATCACTTTCTCCTCCTTCAACCCCGAAGTCTGCATCCTGCTAAAAGTAAAGCAAGACACATTCCCCGTGCTATTCATCAGCAAAGCGGGGGTGATACCAGTCGGCGACCCAAGAGCAGGGAGCTTGGAGGCTGCAGTGGATTTTGCGAAAGCGTGGGGATTGGAAGGGGTGGTTATGTTGAGTGATGTGTTCGTGCTGGCGCCGCGGTTGGTGGGGTATGTGAGGAGTCAGGGGCTGGTGTGTGCCAGTTATGGTGCGCTGAATGATCAGGCTGAGCATGCTTTGGTACGTTGTTAATTGCTTATTGAGGCTCTGTGGAATGTTGGGTGCTGATACGTGACGTGTGCAGACGCAAGCTGACGCAGGTCTTGATGCCATCATCACTAACAAGGTAAATTTGATCGCTAGGACTCTGAAGCAGGAGCGATGATGGTTTCTAAGGGGGATGGTTCCCAGAATTTGCTCTTGTGTGCTCTCAACATCATGTCTCGCGGCTGTCATCCAATCCGTGCACGGTCTTAAGAAATCCGATGTGACCGTTCTGGCTCCAGATCCACCTTAGTTGGTCACAAGCTCTGACGATACAGCATTACAAACATCTTGAGGACACTCAGCACAGATCTGGGACAACCAAACCGAAACATAACATCCTCGAAAAATTGACACAAGGCTGTGATATCTCTCATTTCCGGTGTGTAGGAAGACCCATGAGCCTCATTTCGGCACAAAGAGATCGATGAGAAGCCTGGTGAGCCCTACGCAGATAGCCACGGATATTACTCGCTTGCGCCCCTTTTGCATGCAGCTGGTCCCGCGTGGTGGCTCCTGGGCGCCATTAGCTCTGCGGCCAAGAATGCTGCCTGCTTGAGGCAGCTTATTGTGATAAAGAAGGCCCACAGTCGCCACAAATTCCAACTTTCTTTCCGTGCGAAAGTTTTGATGGTCTGATTGAGTTTCGACTTGCGCTCTTTGACTGCCTGCGCCACATGCCTCCATCTCCGCCTTTGATTCTCCATTTTACGAGTAGACCGCAAGATGGAGCACAGCCACACGGAGGCCGGAGCCTCGACGGAGGAGAATGACGTCATGGTCACTTCACCAGCACCAATCGTCCCTTCTGCTCCATATTCACCACAGTCTCCGACACCAAGCTTCGCCTCCTCCTCAACTGCCGTTGCCACAATTAATGGTCTAGAGTGCAATCCACCTCAGTCAAGAGCACAAAGTACGCCCGCTGAAAGCCTTTCGAAGGTGGCAACTTGGCGTTCATCTTCCTTCTCAAGGCTCGTGACCAACGCGAAGACTCTTGGTGGCAGAGGCTTGTCCGGAGGTTGGTTCGGCGTAAGTTTTCGGCGAAACAAGTCTGCCGAGGACAGAGCCTGGGTCATAACGATCACTAAGGCAGGACGATGGTTGATATATTTGCACATCCTCTTTTGCATGGTGAGCATATTTGATTTTGTGACCACCATCTACTCTTGGAAGTCAAACGCAGATAACGACGCGATGATGCAAAAGATCATGAAGACCGTGTCTCAGTCGGGCTCTCGCTTTGAAGGCCTTGACAATGAATTCACGAAATGGATGAATGCCACCAAATTACGCAGCGCCGAAGAGGAAGCTCGCTTGGTAGACGAACAGAATCGCTGGAACGCCTTATTGAAAGTCTTCGAGGGTTGTGGTGCTTCCCAGAGTCGCCCAAACAGCACGGATAGATGTGACGATCTTCGACAATTCTTCGACTCCAATCCGCTTCCTCACCCGGACAAGTCTCCCATCGCTAAAAGAAACATCGCACAGCTTGATCGTATTATCCGTCGTGTGCATCTTGGCGAACGCCATCATAAAGATCCCAATCCTGGCATCGGCTCGGCTAAATTTCCTACTGGGTATCTTGCTTTATTGGTGTCGATCGTTGTGTTCTCCCTCTTTTGCTATGCCTTTCTGGGAGCTCTGTGCAATCGCACGCGACGCTTTCGCTTCCGAGCGAAATCACGACGCGAAGATAATGCTGAAGATGAGAAAGCAGCGAGGGATGATAACGAAGATGCTTCTGTGGCAATCACAGCATCGGGCGGAGAATTCCTGACTACGCAGGGCAGTCTGATCCGGAGAAATCTCCGAAGGTTCGATCAGCACGCAGCAGCAGCAAAGGGATCCGTTCAGGATCTGAGAGACAATGAGGCTGACTTACGCGTCAACGAGATTGACGAGGATAACGAGTATGGGCCTTTGCTTGCTGCTGCCGCTCGGTCTGGGAGTCTGGCAACAGTGCAGTATGTCTTGTCTCGAAAGCCTGATGTGCAACTACGCGGTGGGCGCTACCACAACGTTTTGCAGGCCGGTGCTCACTCCGGTAACAAATCCATAATTGACCATCTGCTTGCAGCCGGCGCCCGTGATACCTCTACAGGGGGCTTTTATGGCACTGCGGCTAACGCAGCCGCCGAAAAAGCAAGTGCGAGAATGCTACAGAAGTTACTCGATAATTATGCTAATAAAGAAACTGTCTTGAATCATCCTGGTGGGACACATGGACGTGCGCTCATTGCTGCTGCAGCTCGTGGAGACGAAGAGATAATTGGACTCTTACTCGGCAACGGCGCTCGGGTCAACAATGCCAATGCAGCTGGAACGACTGCGTTGCACCAAGCGGCAGGGAATGGCCATGTGAAGTCCATGGAAGTTTTGTTGGCTTGTGATGCCGACGTCAATTCGCTGTCTTCTGTCTATGGAACACCCCTTCATGCAGCTTGCCGAAATATGCACGCAGAAGCGGCGAAAAGTTTGCTAAACAGGAAAGTGGACGTTTCAATCAAAGATAATCGCGAGCATACACCGTTGCATGAAGCTGCACCAGCGAATGAAGGGCTCGACGACATTTTCCTGGATATATTGAGGCTTCGGCCAGATTTGATCGATGAAGCAGATGTTGATGGAGTGACTGCACTGCATCACGCCAGCATCTCAGGCAACGCACGTATCGCAAAAATGTTGCTAGATGCTGGTGCCGACTGCTCCATCGGCGACAAATATCAAGCCCAGCCACTTTTTCGTGCAGCTGGCTGTGGACACGCAGAGATCGTAGAACTGCTCTTGCACACCGGCAATGCAGATCCAAACGCAACAGACTGCTTCGGCCGCGCAGCCCTCCACGGCCCCGCGCGAACCAACGACGTCCGAGTTCACGACCTGCTAATAAAAGCGAACGCAGACGTGAACATAGTCGGAAGTGACAGGAAGACCCCTCTCCACGAAGCCTGCAACATGGGCCGCATCAATAACGTTGAGCTGCTCCTTGCGCACCCAAGCATCAAAGTTAACGAGCTCGACAACGACCAGTTCCCCCTCTGTACAAGGCCCTCTGCAGCTCCGATGGAAATGGCGACAATTTCGACAGCTGCATCAACCGCGACATCGTCACGCAATTCCTCAGCCGCACTGACGTCGACGTGAACGTCTCCAACGCGATCATCGTACAGGAGGCAGCGAGAAAGGGGTTCCAAGCCGAAGTAGAAACCATGCTAGAGAAAAGTAAAGCTAGCATACAAATGCGCGGGGGCAAATACGGGGGCGTGCTGCAAGCCGCCGCCATCAGCGGGAATCTACAACTTATCAGTCTCTTGTTAAAACCGGTGTACTATGCCGATGTCAATGTCGAAGGTGGGGAATTTGGGTGTCCGCTTGCTGCTGCTGCGGCGTATGGGCATGTTGATATTGTGAGGAAGCTTTTGGAGGCAGGGGCTGATCCGGCGGTAGAGGCGGTGGGGAGGTATGGGAGTCCGATGCAGAGTGCGTGTCGGAAAATTGATGAGACGAGTAAGAGGAGGGAGGGGAGGAGGTGGGCGGCTGTTGAGGATCAGATTTGTGGGTTGTTGAGAGAGTACGGGGGTGGGGGTGTGGAGAAGAAGGGGAGGGTGGAGGAGAAGTATAGGGATTGGAGGTGGTTGTTGACGTCGACTGGGTGGGATTGGGTCGTTCCTGGAGAGATGTGATGACAGATGTATGATATATGTGTTGATGTATGATATCACGCTCATGATCCCGCGACGACGGCCAACGAAATCACGGAAACCTAAGCATTATACTGGATATATTTTGATCAGCGGCCACCGTGAAATTCGTTTGTATATTCGAAGCGTCAGGATCAATAGGTGAAGCTGTGAATAGATTTCCCACGCTAAACGGTTGTGGTTGAAATCCATCGGAGTCTTTCACTCGCTTCGAGCCAAGACGCCACTTGCAACTATCAGTCATATCTGCGGGAGGTACTGCGACCAAGTCACCGTCTCGAATACGTCTTTCGGGAGCCGTCTCAAGCCGATGACATCCTCCACCAAGATGTATATTCTTGCCAAGGTATATATAGCGCAGATGCCCGTGCAGTAAACCACGCCCCACGGTGGTAACCCAGTCGTCGATCGCTTGACCAAATTGGTGTCCTTTGCTTCCAAGGGAAGACACGTGGAGGATGTGTTCATTCGCAAGCCAAGGATCCTACAATGAAATTCGATGATCTTGCGTACCCAGCCACCGTCATTCCGTCTCTTCCAATCATCGAAGTGGTAATACTCGAAGTACAAGAGAACGAAGCCGCAGGGATTGGTGAAGATAAGTGTCGTCACGCTGGCTGCTCGCCAAATGTTGCGCTCGACAGGTGTAGGGAAGTAGAAGTTCCAGCCTGCCAGAAAACTGCATGAGTATATCTGCATCAGTCCGCCACAGTAGACGTCAGCAAGGAGGGAGAAGGTAGGAAAATTATCGCCGGGTATTCGATCTGGTAATAGTTGTACATCTTGCTCCGTAAGCGAGTCCTTGTCAGATGAGCGACGTCGGAAGAGGTGTATGATCATCCACCGCAGGATATTTTTGAACCATTTATACATCATGCGGATGAGCCATTGATCGTGGGAGGCTTGAGCATCGGACTCTTCGAGCTAGTAGTGATTTCAGCACTCGTCGCACTTGTCGTGTTCTGAAGTCACTTACAGCATTGAGCACTTCTCTCGATGTGATCCCAGTCTTCAGAACAATACCCGTGGTAACATCTTGAGGTTTGTGCCGCCAAAAACAGGATGTGGCAAGCATGGCGAAAATAAAGGCCAGTGTTGTAAGTTCAAGGGTGGTGATTGAAAGGCCTGAGGCAACTCGGCCGATAGCAGTGATTGCAAAGATAAGGGCCTGGAGAACGGTAATGATACTTTTCGTGAAAAGCAGTCAGATTCAGTATTTTCCTCCATTATGAGGACATCTCTTACCGCGCAAGGCCATCATGCTTGTTTTTGTCGTCGATCGCCGCCTTGTCGAAGCATTGCCGGTCATCCACGTATCCTTTCCTGATGAAAAGAAGCAATTGTTCTGCGTTCAACGCAATTGGCGCCTTGCCAGAGCATTCCACCAGAAACCCGCCCATGTCTGCAAAAAAGGCGTGCCTCATCGTCCATCCTCTGTAGCCGGCATCATGAAAGTTCTAGAAGCGGAAATGTCAGCAGATCAAAGACGATGACCATCTCTAGAAGCCAGAACGTAACATACCCGAACAGATTGCCTGGCCGATTCGAATTGGCCGACGGCGAGGATTATGAGGAAGTCGGGGCCTAGGAGTCCCAGTATGGCAAGCCTCAGCTTGTCGAGAAAACGCTGCCATCTGGTCTGAGTGACGGCTGGAATATTGACGCATACAGAAGTCCAGCAGCAAAGGAAGATGGTGAAAATGCAGGTCAAAAGGATGTCAAGTGTGCCTCGACCTCCATTTTGAGGGACCCATCCGTTCGTGGTTCGGCTTTCGGAAGAAGTATGGTTCATTTAACGAGGGTACGAGAGCAGTCAAGCAAGGCCACAAAGCAACGAGAGCAAGAAGGTTGGAACCTTCATCCATGGCCGACATTTGTAAAAGATGGTAGATGCGAAGGATGGCGCCTAGAGAACATGAAGAAGGCTCAGTATGGGGAGCCTCACAAGCTTAGCCCCAAAAGCCGCGCTATAAGCCTATGGCGTCCCCTCCTCATGCTTCTAGCTGGGGGCTATTGGCGACAATGAGTGCCAAGCGGAATATGTCATCGAGTCCTCGATAGGCGTAGGAAGCCTCTCAACGCAGGCCTCCACTGATTGTTTCATGTGTTGCAGGCATGGCAATTCTATGAATACCGCCCATAGTAGTGTGAAGTGGCCATGTCCATTCGTCCTCCATTCGTTTCACCGTAGCTAGAAGGGGGTGGTGCAGGTCTCTCCCCGAAATTGGGAGATCTAAAAGCCAACAATTGGGTTATTCATGCGGGTTTTACCGCTCATCACAGGCGGTACCGTCGGCACAATTTAGGCAGCGCTAAGTGAGTCCGAAGGAACAAGCCCTTCCCTGGCATTTGGTCTGCGCAGTCGATACAGAGCATTCTCTATTCGAGGTTGATGTTTGAAGAGTCTTGGTCTATTTCCATCGAACCTGGTAGGGAACAACCAAAGATCTCAGTTCAGTCATTCGATTTATGGAGTCTGCAATGTCGAAGTCCCCTGTTCACACCAGGGATCCCGGCTGTCCTTCCCAACCCTATTACCGAACGCTGCGCCAGTGCCGGGGAAGATGACTCCCGGAGCCGCCCAATGATTAGCGTGCGAGATCCTGGAGCCTTTCCACAATGCAGGGGTCATTTGGGGGCAAGATGGCGTCGCATTTCGTATGTACGCTGCTTGGTGCATTTTTCGTAACCTGGACATCTTGTCCGTTTCGCCTCTGGAGGCTTTCAAGGTGTGATGCCTAGGTTTCGAGGAGCAGTCAGCCTTTGACTTGGGCTTGCCAGAACATCTCAGGTCGTCGCATCAATCGGATCGGGTTGGCTTGCCAATCTCATCTCCTGTGTGCGAGCCATAAGTACTTTGATCGAGTTCATGGATGCTTCCACTCGAATTTCGACCGAAGCATCAGTTTAGGATGAATTGGGGAGACCTTAGGTAAAAGTCCATCTTGCCAGGAGCAAAGGTTTCTACCGTACACCAGATATCGTTTAAGTGGCGGAGAAAACATGGAAGGGATGAAAATGCTGCGCAAAAAAAGATAAAAGAATTTCCCAATTTGAATTAGCCCTAGGGCTAATCTATTTGACGGGGGCAGGAAGGTTTATCCAACACTCACGACCCATGAAATATATGACCACCAGAGTATTCCAATGACTGAGACATCTGAGCGTCGCTACTATTTGACATGTTGGGTGGCTCGAACCGCTCCTTTAGCGTTTCCATCATCTGAGGTGCAAAATACGCTTGCTTACCGACTATTCTAAGCGTGCTCATCTTCGAGCTTCACAACCTTGGCCAACCCACTTCTGAGATCTAGGACAGTTGGACGGTCGTTGAACAGAGTAGTGGGCAGATTGAGGCCCCTGTGTCCCTAGCAGCAGAGATAATGGTCATACTCATGAGCGAGCCAATTCCCAAGTCGGTGAAGACGGTGAAAGATTTCATGTCTTCAGTGGCGAAACCTGTCTCAGATGCGACGATACCGAGCAACTGTGCATACATACCGTCTGTGACTTCCTTGTTGGCAAATGAAGGTCGCTCTCCGATCGCCACAATCATACCATGTGCGTCAATCAAAATCACAGCCTTTTTCATAGCACTTTCTTCCCGACTTAGAGATGCTACAACAGTATTGCAAGCCGGACTACCCACGCTAGTAGTCAAACTATCTTTATGCATTCTGTGAAAACGAATTCCAGCGCAGATGCAGACGATCGTGTCGCCATAAAGACGTAGACGTCCCCAGAGAGTTGTGTACCCTTCACTGCCAGATCTTCTATGCATATCAGATGATATCCCATATTAAATATTGAAAGACTCCCATCTTGCCCGAACTAATTCCAAGGAACGAGGGAGATATCACAAGTGGGCACCTTGGGAAACTCTACAATATGTCCAGGAGCTCTCTAATCCGTCTTTCTCGTTCAAAGAGCAAAAGAGAGTCTCATTCATATTCTGGATGCTTTCGAAGCAACTGCGTTCATATAAATACATCTTACTAGCAATACACCCTTCCTCTTCAACCTATCAACGATTGTGTCTTGCCCTAGCTGTTTGTACCCTCCATGCCTCCCAACCCTCCACCGCACGCAATGCCTCATTCCTTCTCCCCCATCGGCCACAAGTGATTCAAGGACAGCTAATGAAAGCTCCCACAGGATTGCAGACATTCCGTCCTTTACCATTGTGCCACGAGCAACCTGCAACATCACTTCGTCAGCCTCTTCTGCTTATTCTTGGAGAAATGTTGAACACATACCATGCGCGCATACGCAATGATTACCGATGCCTTGATCGGGATCAGCACTGTTCGAATGTCAGTCAATGTGTGTGAGAATTCTCCAGGGGAAACCCGGAGAAGTGAAGTAGTCTTGGAGAGACAAGGTGGCGTACGAGTTATAGCAAGGCTGCACTTGCGCAAGGCTGACTGAGGCGAGCATGAAGGCGGTGAGGAGGGTAAGGTATTGCATCTTGATGGTTTGGATTGATTTCTTGTCTTGATTGGAGTGGTAATTGAGGCAAAGATGGTCGATGTTGGCTGATTGATGTTGTGGAAATGCGAACAGAAGAGTGCTGTGGACGTGAAAGCGTCTGGGGCAGTCTTTATATACACTCGACGGTCTCCCTGAAAGACACACTTCCCTCGCAGCGCATCATTGTTCGTAATAGAAAAACTGTACGAGGAATCGATCTGCAGCTGACGCGCTGCATTCCACCAGGCGTACACAGCATTCCTGCGAGCATGACAACACAAAACAGGGTTTCCATGCATTTCATATCGCGAAAAAATCCTCATCTACCCCAGATTGTATTCAGCTCCGTGATAATGTGGTGAGAGATGTTTCACGTGGTGGCAATCTTCAGCTCCACAGAATCCTAAGCCTACGTACGCATTTTGCTCTGCCGCGAAGGAATCTCGCATCTATGTCGCGATAAATACGTTCTCGCGTCCCTCACGCTGAAGAGTGCCAATCGAGTCGCAGCTAGCCTCGCGAACTATACTTGGATATCATGGATTCTTCACCGGGGGGACTCCACAATGTTGAGGCACAGTTATGTTAGGCGAATCTTCTTCGTTCTGGTAGCTGGAGATTGTTCGCATTTCACCCGATCCATGTGTCAATGGCTGCAGATCCCGCTGTCGCTGTACATGAGGTCAGCCATATGGACTCGCGAATCTCTCTTCTCCACACTTCTGTATCGCCCTTATTCAAGGTAGGATTTTGACACAAGGGTTGTACGCATCATAGTGGCTTTCTCTGTTTCACGTGGATGGGAATCTGATCCCAATCTCAATAGCCTATCATCATTTGAATAATTGGGCTTTAAATATCGTGTAAAGAAACTTTTCTGTCGGAATCTTCTTGCTGGTGTGGACCAAGAACTCGCGTGGACCGAGTGACTCCACAGAAATTCTGCACGCTTCGCGTATGTAATTCACTCAGGAGCTTCAGCTGCCCCTTACTTTTTGTTTCAAGCCCAGAAGCAGACATGTACGAATGCATGAGGGGTTTTATCTTCAGCGCAAGGATTTCACAAATTACGTTCGGAATGAAAGGCTCGTATGCGTCATAGCTGAAATTTGACTTCAATTTAACAAAGCTGAACATCGGGCAACTAACCTTGATAGGGAATCTGCACGATCCCTTGCACCCCAGTCCTCTAGGTGCAGAATCCTGGCGCCTTGCCGGTCTTGCTAAGGATTTTGGTTCTTGGAAAAGACGCGGGCTCTCTGGCTTGAACGACATAGATGGCTCTTCAGCCCTGGAAAGTCATTCTGCTATCGATTGAGGAGCTTTCTCGTCAAAGGAATATGGTTATCGTTGTTATTCAATTTGATCTGCCAACATCATTCTGCCCATTCTCTCAATACCATTCGCCATTCTTTCTCGTAAAGTCTTTAAATCTTACCCTTCCCAATCTTATATGGTCAAGGTGACAAGTATGCCATCCGTGTACCTCGTGCAAACGTCCAGTAGATTTATTCGTGCCGATCTAATCTCCCTCAATGAGACCTGTTATCACCTGTTCGCACCATGAAATCGAATTCCTGCACGTGTGAGAAGGTATGATCGGGATCATGTATGCTCTTTGCATCGTGAATGCAGCGGAAACAAAAGTCGAAATCATCGCACTGTGCGCATTTGTACCGTGGGCCCTGGATTGTCTATACATAGCGGTCAGATAGCGGTCAGATAAAGATTAGCTGCTTTCAAAAATAACTCTTTTTCATGTCTGAAAACGGGAGCTTTTGACACGTATCTGGCCTGATGGACTACCCAGGATATGGAAGAAGCTAAGACTTACCAAGTCGCAGCCATCACAACAAGCTGTGGGTAATTCGTTTGTTGGCTGTTGATTCTGATTGATCAGCTCAATGCAGAACAATAATGCTCTTAGGTGGATGTTGCCGCAAAACATTGCAATTTGCAAGGGGGTTCTGCCAGATCTGTCCTCCTTAGTCCTCGAAGCACCAGCTTCAAGAAGTAGTTTCACTGTTTCTGCTGCTCCACACTTCGCTGCCCAGTGAAGAGGAGTCCATTGGTATGAGTCTTCGTCATTGACAGCCCCTCCAGCTTCTAGCAATCGGCGCACACAAAGGTTAGACACTTTATACCCGGCAGCATGGTGTAAAGCGCTCATGCCTTGATAATCCTTCGTCGAAGTCGAAGCACCAGAAGAGAGGAGAAATTCAATAATGTCTAAGGCGCCGCTCTTTGATGCTCTGTGTAGGGAATTTAGTCCTTCAATCTGTCTTTCGACGTCCACGCCGTAATCTACAAGAATTCTCGCTAGTCCTGTGTCCCTTTTTTGACAAGCTGTTTGCAGTGGGGTACCGTAAAGATGACTTAGCGATTCAGGATCACTTCCCTTTTCCAAGAGCCTTTTAGTGGCGTACGTATTTCCAGTGTATACGGCTACGTTCAGTGCAGTTCCTAATTCTCCAGAAACGGTGGAGGTCGGAATATCGCGCGATAACAAAAAATTTAAGATTTGGTTCTCATTGTAGCATACAGCCATGAAGAGAGAGTCTCGGATACCGTCCGGGATATCTTTCAATTTATTGAAGACAAGTTCAGTCTGTCCAAGTAAGCTCGAAGCGAGTGCATGCTTGAGAAACATCTGTAGCAACACCTTCCCGAGAACTTCGTTCTCGGAAGCTGCATCAACAAGGTCTTGAGAGATGACAAATGCTGGCTGTCGTTGCCGGAAAAGGTTGTAAAGAGACCGGCCGCAGTAAATGTTCTTCATCGCAGCAATGAACACAGCTCGCTCCATGACCAGAGTGCTCGGAGCACATGCGAGCAGAAGTTCAACCAGAGATGTACCATGGTACTGATTTCCAGCTGCAGCTTGGATTATTTCCGAATTGACATCTTCTTTGTAATGTTCTAGAAGTAAAGAAAGAAGGCTGGGCAAAGCATTCGTATTTCGGGCAGCAGCGAGCAAAGCACGTTGAGTGATCAGCGTTTCGGGAAAGGAAGATAGAACGTATTGAATCAAAAACTTCCCATCATCGCGCTCTGCTGCAACTTCAACAAGATGGTTGCTGTCTATTGGCGGGCCCAGGTATTTCGAGAGCAAGGCGCGAACTCTCCGAGTTCCAACAATTTCTCTGGATGCTGCGGAAAGAATAGTGTCAAAAGTGGTTTCTTCTTCATCCTCTTGCCGCTTCGAAGAGACGTCGAGAAGTTCACTTGATATTAAAGGAGGATCTAGCACATCTGGCTGAGCCAAGAGTAGGTCAAGAATCGACTGATCGCGTTGGGTAATTGCGGCATCTATCAAAGATCTAGAGATTGGGAACTTGCGACGGAGTGACAAAAGCCTCTTCAGGACTGAATAATTGCTTGTTTGGCCCCACGAGGCTATCGACGTTCTGAGGTGGTCTTCTTGGACCTCAAAATGTGGAACTTCTCGAACGAAGTATTCCACAAAATCTACATTATTCGCCTCGATAGCAGCATGAAGAATGCTGTCAGTCAGACTTGCTTCCGTGCATTCGCAGTATTGACGCAGGAGTTGAAAAGTATCGTCAAAGTCACGGTTCTGTTTGACCATTGCTATCATCGACTTCTCTGTGACGGGAAGGCGCTTCCAAAGATCAGCAAGAATCTTCGTCATATTGTAAGCAGTAAATGGCCGGGAATGTGCTTGAATGAGCGCATTTTCAGACGGTTCAGGCTTAAAGCCAGACGTTTTGTGGACTAAATACTTGAACACTTCAGTCCCACACCCTCGATCGTTCTCGACGGCTGAATATAGCACCCTTTCCGAGAGTGAGAATGCTCGAGGTTGACTTATAATATACTTTACGTCATCAACGTTCATGGTTTTAGCGCAAGCCTGCATCAGAGCATCTGTGATGTAAATATCTTCACAGGCTTCCAGCGCGGGTACGACATTATAGAGAGACCTATGGTTGGCCATGATATAGAAACTTTCTTCCAGCACGGTAGGACAATCCGCTCTCGACAACAACACTCCTAGGTGTTGATGGTAATGATTCTTCATAGCGCCCTGTAACACTTCTTGGCTAATTTTGTATCCGAGACTATGGTCCAGAAGGAAGAGAAGGAAACAAGGATCCCAAGAATTGGAGCTGAATTAAGATCCATAGCGTTAACGGCATGACAGAGACTTCGATCCATTACTCTCTCGCATGGTACTGCAGAAGAGCAGAAGATCAAGAAAGGGTACACGTACCAAGCTGCGGCTACCAACAAGTCCTCTGAAATACTGTTGATTCGGCAAAGTGGAAGTAGGAGACTAAGACACATGATGTCCTTGCCAAAATAAAGTGTCTTTGTCATCTCACAAACCATCTCCTCGGATACTACACACCGAAAAGGATGCTTGAGGAGTACTTCGAGGATTTCTGTCCGCCTACTTGAGTCCGACAAGAGAAAGCAATCCTCAGTAACTGAAGACTCTGGAAAGTGGGTTAATAATTTCTGTGTAAGCTGTGGATTAAGCAATTGATTCTGAACCGAAGCCTCTACCAAATGATGGGGCATCAGACTTGTTGGACAATGCGCTAAGATTAGATCCACAGTCTCAAGCGAAGCAGCAACAACGAGGGCTTTGGTCAGTGTGTTTTCATCCGTTGGGCTGAACTTTTCCAGGAGACTCTTGACCATTTCAAAACTATGCTGCGTGTTCTGCGCTGCGGCATGAAGCCCAAGAGCGATTGGTGTACCACTGACGCGACTGCAAACATAGTTCCAGATATCTAGGTCGTCGCTTTTTGCCGCAGACTCAAGCCATTTTCCACCTCGTATGGAGGATGGATACTGAGCAAGAGATGCTTTGTACAATAAGTCCATTGCAACAAAATTTGAGCTCGCTGCAGCAACTTCGAGCGGTGTATTGCCATGCCAATTTCTAGCGTCGAAGATCGATCCTCCTCTGACCAGTTTTGACTCGATGAATTCGTTGAAAGCATAACGACAGATCATGAACAATGAAAAGTTTGATGTGGACGGTTTCTCACCAAGTTCTGCAGGTCCATAAAACTTGGAAATATCTCGTCTCCATTTATTGAACGCTTCATTGGTTGTATCGTCGCAGAGGAACGCCCGCATCAAATCTTTGAGTGGCGGCATTTGTCTCATCGACCCCGATTTTTGGCAATGTCTGCCGACATAAGAACAAGCATAAGCATGAAACCTGTCAATGGACGAGTCAGAAGACAGTTCGTTTGGTATCAAGTACGTCTTTAAGCATGCCTCAGCTGCGACGGCGTGAGCATTCTCCCCTCTGAATTGAGGCTTCTTCTCTAAGTATTCCCTGACCGAGAGATGCGAAAACACCAACAGATCCCTTTCGAGTTCGCGGATGATCAGACCTCGGCCCATCTTCAGGATCACATCAGGCTTCCACGACGCCTGCCGTGAAGACAGGAAGTACAGCCCCTCAACAATTTGCCTTACACTCATTGAACCCTCTGCACAAATGAGCAGTTGCAGAACCTGAGTGATAGCCTCCCGACTCGGTAGTGGCAAGCTTCCAATCTCCTCTAGAACCTGAGCATATGTATCTTCAAGTGTCGGGGGAAGCATTGGAAGTAAGTATTTGACGTCCTTCTCGCTGTACACACGGTCCGGGTCGCATAGAGTCTCAACCTGAAGGGCAGCCCAGCGAAAGACCCCATTAGCCTTCGCAATGAGCGTATCTTCGACGTGTTTCTGTATTGCAGGGCTAGCCCTTCCTCCTAGTAGTCGTTCACTCAGCTTCTCGTGAACATACTTGACTATGTCGCCTGAATTGTCGCTCGCAGTAATTGATAGAGTGGATGATTTGGAAAAATGAGCCTCAATCTCAGGATCGCTCCTACTTGATACAAGAGTTTTGACCACGGTCATCGAGTTGAACGTCAACTTTGTCAGAGTCTCCAGAAGATGTAAGCGTTCAACAGCACTACATTCGTCAAGCGCGTCCAGTACTAGGGTCACATTGTCGTAATGGTTCCGTATTAGATCATCCATAACTGCTACGATGTCGCTGATAGAGAAACACGCTTCCTGGCTGCCCCGTGCTCTTTCCTTTTCGTAAATGGCTACGACTGGTCTTTTGATCGGAAGACCAATGACTGGTGCTGCAAGCTGTCGTAAAATGGAGAGCAGGATGGATTTCTCATCGTGCTGTCTTAGGTCACCTGATGTCCTTGAGCAATAAAAGTACAAGAGAGTCTCTTTGCCGTCAAAATTCGGCTTTGCTAGGAATCTGTCGACAACGCAGGAGCTAATATGACATTAGTGTACGACCAGACAAATATTTCACGGTGAGATTTACATAAGACTAGTCTTCCCGGTACCGGCTGCAACGAACAATTATCTGGGGAATATCAGATTAATGGATATTTACGTACCATTGCCCCGTAACCATAGTAAGGAGGATTCATCACTTGATTCCCAGTCTCTAAATTCTTGTCTTGAAAGAAACCATAGCCCTGTGCCAGGCAAAACACTTATTGCTCGATGGTGAGAATACACGTCAACCTTGGATATCCAGTCGTTGATTTTCTCTCTGTCCTTGCCTAGGATGATGCACGTCAAAGGCAGCATTTACTCGTATTCATGACTGATGGGCTCACCTTCAAGGTAATCTTCATAGTTACAGAGCAACTTTCGTACCTCTACGTATTGATTATGAGACGCTGTGAAAGCTGCTTAGCATGCCTGAATGCCTTTGAAATCTAAAGATAGTATAGAATCGTTCTGGACTCATCAACTGTATCCATTGCAACCGACAGCGATCTCAATTTTTAAAACGAAAAGAAGGTACACTGAAACGCAAATGTTCGGACTTAGGGAAGTTTTGATATATCAACAATGCCCTCACAGTCTGAAAATCGTGACAGCGCCTAGGGTACAACCTACCTGATTTGATGCTCAATGTCTCATACTTGTTGATTTCGCCCTCGGCCTCTCTGATCTCTTTCAATTGTCTCTGAAAAAAATCCGGCAACACGAAGCTGCGTAGGACCTTTCCTAGACTGGACGTTAGTGCTCAGAAGCCAGATTGATGGCACCAGATGATCCTGCGATCGCACCTTTGGATGATTGTCGAAGAAAATGAATCACTTCTACAAGATATCTGAAGACAGCAGCATAGAGCTGTATGAGTGTGTCTCTAAGCCTGCTTCTGACCGTTTCTGATATCGAGGCGGTACCTTGCAGGTACATTTCTTCAAACACAGCATATCTCCACAAGAGCTTCGAGAAGTAGGAAACACTTTCAAGCACTTCTGCACGCAATGCTTGATGTTGAATAGAGACCTATAAGTTCACAATATGAATAAACGCATCTTCATGCCTTAAACAGACCGTCTGAACGCGACGCTCGAACAACGAGGAGCAAGTCTGACTCACAATGAGCGTGGCCCTGACCGCTGCCCATGGTATTCCAACATGGACAGGATTTATGTTCGCTAAGACGTCTCCAATGGTGACAAACTTCTGGACCCAGGTACTTATCTCGTTGTAAGCGAGCCAGAATCGACGCGTAGACGACTTGAGATCCCTCTTCTCAATTTCCATTTTCCTGGTCTGAGCGATTTCGAGTATTTCCTGGCAGATTTGCCATTCTCCCGATGCCTTCGTGCCATTTCCTCTTTGTGAATATGCACGAGAAGCTACCTTGCTTTCTTGTTGAAGCTCCTTGGCAATAGCTCTCAGATCCGGTGGCTCAAGGGATCCCGCAAGATACCGAAAAACTTCGCCCCACAGGCCACAATTCTGGTCACTGAACTCGTAGGAAGAATCTGAGTTTTCATTTTGGACTACAACGGCTCGGTTCGGCTCAAGCCTTTTTGCTGAAGTGGCAAGGTGCTCGGACGAACGATTTCTGGAACCGAGGAGTTCCAACAATCGCTGCCGCCTGCCCATCGAAGCTGTAATTCTGAAGGAATGAGGTGTCCTAGAGCATCTCTATAGCCAAGCAGAGGCTAAAATGAAATCCGTTATCCAGACCTTCAATACAGAGCAGCGCGCCAGTCGGAAAGGCCGTCCATTAGAAGGAAGAAATTCGAAGAGAGGCAACAGCCAGGGTCCGCCCTGCAGTATTTTAGCGCACCAATCTGAGCGTAGTGTGACCATCTAGGCAAGACCAATTGTCTTCTCGGAGCCTGAGCCGAAGACTAGCTGAAGTCCTTTGGGATCGGCGATCCTCAGTGAGCCACATTATCTGTTTTACGAAGAATGATCCCCGACGGCTCGCCATAAGTCTGGGATCATGGTTGACCATGTTCTCATGACTGTGAGACGATGTTCGCAAGTAATCAATCAAACCAAGCTGATATCCAAGGAAGCAAATCCCTGGAAATGTGGCACACCTAATTGGACGCCCCGGCAGCGAAGTAGGGAGAGCCATGGTTCCTCTAAATTAGTGTAGCCGTAGATTACAGCTCTACACCCATATGACACTCATCAAGTCGGAAAGTTGGTCTAAGCTAGAGAGCCTGGATCATTCATCTGTACACGGTCTGGCATGGTTTACAACTTGGAGTGAATTCCCCTATCGTTCATGGATCTGCATTGCCTCAATGACATTCATTGAGGCATTACCAGATCCTACGGAAACATCAGAGTATCCCTTGAAGTGGCCATTGAAGCACCCAAATGAGACCAGTGAGATCTCAATCAGGAACTTCTCAGGGTTCCATTTCGTCACTTGATCTTTGGCTTTTTCAATTCTCTGCATCTGGTGTCAATTTCTTTGAAACTCTCCTCCAAATTGGGATGGACCAGCGAGAAGTTCCGATACAGGCATTATGTTGTAGAAAGTACCTAGATCTTCTGTCACGGGATGGCGATCTTGATTCGTTCAAATGCCTGAAGATAAGTATTCTGTAGACGAAGCATGCATGTTATTTGACACCAAAGACATTTTACCATAGACCCAATCGAACAATTAGAATGGTATGTTTCACGAAGACAATCCGAAGAAATACTGAAAATCAATTAATTTGACAAAAACGCTACCGCCCGATTCAGCCTAGCGTATTCTATCCCCAAAGACCTTTTTCCCTACCAAACCAATTCAACACATCGCACCGCAAAGCCTCAACGTCTTCAACGATGGCACGCCCAATCCTCCCACCCTCAATGGCCCACTCGATCTGCCTCCCCTGCCGCCTCCGCCGCCTCCGCTTCCACCTCACGACCCACACACGCACCCTCACAACCACGCCAGTCCCCCTCGCCAAACCCAAACGCGCCCCCGGCCCCGCCAGGTCCCTCTCTGAATCCCTTTCAAGAAGTGCTGCCGGGATGAAAAACGAGCCGCCCAGACTCAACACGATCCGCGAACCAAGACACTCCTCCTTCCAGAGCCCGCCGGACTTCCCGCGCCCGCACCGCCTGCACATCTACAGCACCAAACACAACACACACATAACGCTAACGAAACCGAACCGGAATCCTATATTTGCATTGTCGACGGGGATCTTGCGGTTTAAGAAAGCGCAGAGGGGCACGTATGACGCGGCTTATCAATTGGCGGTGTATGCGCTGGGGCAGATGCGGAAGTTGGGATTGTTGGGGCCGGTGGGGATGGTGGAGAGGGGGTCAAGGGGATATAGAGGGGGATATAGAGGGGGATATGGAGGTGGGACTGCGAGGGGAGGAGAGGCAGGAGAAGGGGTCGGGGGAGATGTGATTACGAGTTTGGAATTGGTGTTGAGGGATTTTGGGCCTGGGAGGGAGGCTGCTACGAAGGTTTTGTTGGGGAGTGAGGGTGCGGTGGTCAGGGCGAGGTGTGTGAGGGTTATGGATGCGACGAGGTTGAAGTTTGGGGGGACGAGGGGGGATAATAAGAGGAGGATTTAGTAGGGGGAGGGATGTGAGGCATGGTTGTTGATTAATTGGGAGGGCTTGATATGGAATGGGGGCGGCAAGTAGCTCGTCGATGCAAACGCCTGCAAGACCGGGAAGGGGAAATATGAATATCAATATCTTGACTATTTTTGCTTTCAGGTTTGCAAAGCTATTCAATTGCTAGATCATCGCTTCCTATGCAAGCTACCCCTTAGCTGCTCCTGCTTTGATAAGTATAATGTCTCCATCCTCCACCACATAATCCTTCCCCTTCGTCATAACCTTTCCCTTCGCTTTCACCTCTGCCTCGTCCCCCAACTCCCTCAGCACATCATAATTGTATACGATCACCTGAATGAATGTTTTCTCGAAATCGCCATGAATGACCCCAGCCGCTTGCGGAGCCTTCGTTCCCTTTCTTATCGTCCATTGTCTTACTTCATCCGTGCCTGTAGTAAAGAAACTCCCCAAGTCCAACGCTTGTCGCATCGTGGTGACTACTTTCGGTAAGGCGCTCTTAGTGCCGAGTTTTTTGCATTCTTCCGCCGCCTCTTCTTCGTTGTGGAGGAGTGTCAGGCGCTCCTCGAAGGTAATGCTGATGGGGATTATGGGTTCGGAAGGTGCGTGAGACTTGATCCATTCCATGACCTTAGGGAGATGCTTGTTCTTTTGACGGATGTAGTCTTTTTCGGAGAGGTTGATGAGGAATACGACAGGTTTTGCTGTGAGGAGGAATAGCGGATTTATGATTTCGATCTGATTAGAGGCATCGATTAGCCCTTGGTAAAGAGAAACAGTGAGAAGGGACTTGTGTTATGGAAGGTTGCGATCAGACGGGACTTCTTTTCAATGCGATGACCGAACAGAATGTGGCCACCCCTCAACGAGCTGGGATTATGTCGAGCATTATAGCTCTTGTTCATCATGTAACGGGAACGAGTGAGTACAGATGGAAGAGTAGCTTACTTCTTTTGGCTGCCAATGTTCATGCCTGATATCTTTGCCATCGTTTAGCAGAGCAAGAATCTTCTCTACAGTGGCTTCTTCCTCTTTCAGTTTCTTCATTTCCAGACTCTGGCCTCCTCTTCTCGTCTGCTTTTTCAGATTTTCGAGTGCTTTCTCCACGAACTCGATGTCCTTGATCCGAAGCTCTTCACTGATGATGTCCAAATCTCGGATGGGATCTACATCGCCCTCTACGTGAGTAATTTCCGCATCGTCAAAACATCTGACGACCTGAAATATCGCGTCTACTGCTCGTATATGTGATAAGAAGGCATTTCCCAAGCCGGCACCCGTGGAGGCACCTCGAGTCAGACCCGCAATATCGTAGACCGTGAGATTGGCAGGCACTCTAGATTTCGGCTTGTATTGCTCGCATAGCCAGTCATACCGGGCGTCAGGGACAAGGACTCGAGCTTCTTCAGGTTCAATAGTCGCGAATGGAAAATTCTGAATGAGTCAGATGTGATCGAAAAGTATGAGCCAGGGAATAGCCTACAGCAGGATTGCCGAGGGAGCATTTTGTGATCGATTGGAAGAGTGTTGATTTGCCCACATTGGCAAGGCCAACCTGCGACTGTCTCAGCAACCATTCGATCTTCAGTTGACAGATTTCTCATACAATACCACTTTTGAGGTTATTGCCTGGCCTTCCCAATGGTACTTTCTTCTCCTCTACTTGTTTCTTTGGAGCCATTTTACGAGATCTAAATAGATTGGATGTGGTGGTGAAGGTGCAGACTCTTGTGGCAGGGTTTGCTCTGATAATGTGAAAAGTGACTCGCAAGTCAAGCGCAGAGCCGGCTGCAGAATGAGTAAAGGGTGAGAGAGAAGAGAAGAGTAGGAGGCACGAATGGGTGATTGTCTTGAAGCGGGTGGAAAGGACAAGCAAATGCCCCTTCAGTGAGTAATTACTTTGTGGAAGAGCTTCGAGTCGGGAAATTTGGTGGCCGCCAAATGTAGCCTACTCTAAGAAAGCGGGCCGAATTGGGGCTGGCGGGGCGGACTTCTAGGCATGCGGCGGGGTCCCACCAAGTAGAATACTCGTACCCCCAAAGTGCTCATTCCCTTACATTCTTGCTCCATCCCACAGGGTATATTCAATCGTTCAAATCAATTGATTGTATCCACTCACCAAATCATTCATTCGTTCACCCACTTACCCACCGGCACGAACAATGCCATCATCCTCCCGCCGTACCTCCCGCCGCACCTCCTCCACCCAAAACCCAACCACCATCTCCTCGTCCTCTTCCTCCTCCTCCTCCACCGAGATACTAATCACAATCTACGACCTCCTCCCACCCTCCTCCCTATCGACCCTCCTCTGGCACCTCGGCTCCTCCCTCCTCCATACAGGCGTGCACATCCCCCTCCTCTCCGCCGAATACGCTTACGGCGGACACTCCATCCCCCACCGCACAGGCGTCTACCACACGCCTCCCCTCACGCCCCCACCAGGCGGACACTTCCGCCAATCCCTATCACACGGCACTTGCTCCCTCACGGCAAAACAGATCAAGAAGGTGATAGGGGAGGTGAGTGAGGAGTTCTTGGGGATGCGGTATAATTTGCTGGAGAAGAATTGTAACCACTTTACGATGACGCTGGTGGAGAGATTGACGGGGAAGCAGGGGCCTGGGTGGCTGAATAGGGCCGCGAAGGTGGGGTTGGCGCTGCCGTGCGTGGTGCCGAGGGAGTGGATCGCGCCGCCTGAAGCGGGGGATCAGGGTGGGGAGTTGGTGGAGGAAGGGGACGGAGAAGGAGATGAGAGGACGGGGATGCTAGGAGGAAGGCGGAAGGGGGAGAGGAATAGCTTATGTGCACAGTCTGAGGGTGGAGAGGAGAGGAGGGTCGTGGGTTTGCAGGATGGGCAGTTAAGGGATACGGGTGGCAGGGAGATACCGGCTGCTGAAAGGGCGCCAGCGAGATGATGGGGACAAGGAATTTCAGGAGCGAGGCGCTGTTGGGCATGGACTTTATACTTGGGGAATGTATGAATACTTAGGGTAATACCCGAACGACGCTTTTGTATTTCAATTCGTGCTGTACCGTTCTACCCCCTCTGTGTCCTCTAGCCTGAGGACATACTTGACGGCACTAGCTCTTCCATTCTTCAAGTCAGTCAATGCTTTTTCAACACCATGCAGTCCACCCGGCACGACTTCGTAAGGATGTCCTTTAAAATATCCTTTCAGAAGGCCCCTGCCAAAGTATCTGAAGAAAGCGAAAGCGAAATCTTGGTTGCCAACTTGAGTGCCAGTGTCTTTGTTGCTTGGATAGATCGTATCCGTCTCCTCCTGCGATCCACCTACGTATGTCCTAATTGGCGTGATATTTTTGGGTATATCGCTGTAATCCTTCAATGGCAATATCACTGCGATCTTTCCTGTTTCTTTATTCAGCACTTGCGCAATATTCAGATAGCTGCCGTGTTCACAGATGCAGTCAAAGGCATGCTCGATAGACCCCCCGGCATTCTTGACTGCTGCAGCTAATGACTGCACTAATTGATCATTACCGACCCGATAATCTAGTACCTGATCGCCTTTGCTCTTGTCAATGAGGCTCTCCACATGAGAAGTGCTTTTCCCTGCAACGCAGATCAGAGGGTGGATATTGGACTGGATGGCAAGCTGAATGGCAAAGGAGCCAACGGCACTAGCAGCGCCGTAGATGATCAAGGGCAGGCGTTCTTTAGCAGGATGCCACGGTAGTGGAAGGTCAAGGCCTTGATATAATCCAAACGCCGAAGTCATTGCAGCGAGGGGAATCGTTGCTGCCTCTGTAGATCTTGTAAGTAAGATATGCGATTACAGGTGAGAGTATATTGACCTTCGAAGCTTGTCTTCTTGGGCAGATGGAAGGTAGTATGAGCGAAGCTGAGGGCATACTCTGCGAAGCTGCCATGTGGTGCCTGCATCTGGTGGAACGCCGCAACACGGTCGCCCGTTTTGAACTCGGTGACATCTGATCCGACGGTATGGACCACGCCTGCGATATCGTCTCCTGTGTTGAGAGCTTTTTCGTTGTTTTCCGCGCGTTTCCAATCCTTTGGATTAGTGCCAGAAATCACGACTTTGATAACGACCTGATCAGCTTCTGGAACAGGGATTGTGCTATCGATGACTTGGACCTTTGGTCCGGCGCTGACAAGTGCTTCCTTCATTCTGAGTATCGTTCTGATTGTGAGAGTCAATTGGGTGATTGTCTACCACAGTTGATTGAGCCATTGTACTTATAGATGTGGTAGCGTTACATCACTAGCACGAACCTCGGCTGACTCAGCCAGACCCGCTGTAGGATGCGGTTGGAAATCAAACTTGATATGTCAGCAGCCAGCAGCAGATGAATGTATCATGTTTCATTTGGAAGTCGGAGCTTTCGCCTTGCGTTTCTTGAATACGACACCGGTTCCTCTGCTGCCCTCGGTGCCGACCGCAGGCTTGTCCTCTCCAGTCAAAGATGAGGCATTGTTCGAAGTTGAAGGCCCAATCTCGGGACCTATCGCAGTTGGTGACCTGTCTTCTGATTTTACCATAGCATCACTTGAGGTCTCCGCCCGGCTACTGTCTTTGAGTGAACTGTTCGCATCACGTTCGGTGGGCCCTTTAGTCTTTTCAAGAAGTGCATCGAGGTCATTGCCTTCAATCCCTGGATATGCTCTTGTCGTAGAACCCCAGCCCCTCCTGACCACAGTCTCGGGAGTAATCTCACCATCGTCATCGCCTTCATGCTTTCGCTTTCTTACGCCAATGTTCAACGCGAGCTTTGAGTCCTCAGGCTCTTCCTTAACCCCAGCCTCTGCTTTTGGCACTGCATCATGGATAAATCGTTGCGATGTTGTTTGCCAATCTCCCGCCAGCGCAGCTTCTCTTCGAAATTCCTCGGGCACAGCGATGCCCATCTCAGCAAGCTGCTGCATTTGCCTTTTCCTATCAGCTGGTGTGGCCTGCTCGGTTGAACCTGAGGACGGAACGACGGTCTGTTCAGCTTCAGGGCCAGTCACTGGCTTCTTAACAGCGCCATTCAATCTTTCGACCTCAAACTTCGCTCTTTGCTTCTCGCGCACTTCTCTTTCATTGGTTTTGTGCAAATCCCGGAGGAAGCGCTGGAGATTGCCTTGATGTTTACCAGTGACTTCATGGTTGGCTTTTTCGAGCTTAGTATCTTTGATAAAAGTCTTGCAGTGCTTGCACCAAATTTTTGGCTGATACATAGTAAGCAACGACTTCATGTTGAGGGCAATGTCGGACTTACCGTAGACTTCCAGTACTCAGACATGCTTTTACTTGAGCTGTAGAATCAAGCTGTAGTCATGATTATGTGGCTTCCAATAAGTGGCATAGGTCCGCGTTGGCCCGCAGGCAGATGAGGTTGTAGGGCGCTGAACGAGTGGGAGGTGGAAGGAGCATCTCGCCGAGTTCAATGTTTGAAAAGTTTCCAGCGCTAGCGCGAAATTTTGCCGTTTGAAACAGTGACAATATGACTACTACATCACTCAGTCCAACTTGTTCATAGTCATTCTCGAAAAGAAGGCCCAAGGGCTCAAGAAATCACAGATGGCATCTGCAATGGCACCAAGGTCGGCGACGAGGCGAGCGAGCTCTCTTCTACAACTGCCCTCCAAACGAATTTCCCCCTCCCCCGTAGCCAAAGGTCTAGCCTCACGCTCTCTTCAGACCACTACTCCTGTCGCCGCCTCCGGACCCTCGCTTCTAGGCTTTCAGCAGGGCGGTGGTGCTCCCCAGTCATATTTTCAACGCCCAAGTCTACCCGCCAATACCATAATTCGCTTCGTACCCCAGCAAACAGCATGGATCGTCGAGCGCATGGGAAAGTTTTCTCGCATACTGAACCCTGGTCTAGCTATCCTCGTTCCAATCATCGATCGAATAGCCTATGTCAAGAGTCTGAAGGAAGCTGCAATGGAGATACCGAGCCAGAGCGCCATCACTGCGGACAATGTCACGCTGGACCTTGATGGTGTGCTTTATACAAGGGTCTTCGATGCATACAACGCGAGCTATGGCGTTGAAGATGCAGAGTATGCCATCAGTCAGCTGGCGCAAACGACAATGCGCTCCGAAATAGGGCGATTGAGTCTAGATCATGTCCTCAGGGAAAGAGCAGCTTTGAACACGAACATTACAGAAGCAATCAACGAAGCGGCCAGAGCTTGGGGTGTGACGTGTCTACGTTACGAAATCAGGGATATCCATGCTCCTCAAGGCGTTGTGGAGGCCATGCATCGACAAGTGACCGCGGAGAGGAGCAAGAGAGCTGAGATCCTGGACTCGGAGGGGCAAAGGCAGAGCGCGATCAACGTCGCAGAGGGACGGAAACAATCAGTCATATTGGCATCTGAAGCCATGAGGGCAGAGAACATCAACACAGCATCTGGAGAGGCGGAAGCAATCTTGATGAAAGCGAATGCAACAGCAAGAGGTATTGACGCCGTTGCTCAAACCTTAAAACAGGGCCAAGATGCTGCCACCAAAGCTGTGAGTCTGACCGTGGCCGACAAGTACGTCGAGGCATTCGGCAATCTTGCGAAAGAAGGCACAGCGGTCGTGGTGCCCGGCAACTTTGGCGATATGGGGGGCATGATTGCAAGTGCGATGGCTATGTTTGGGAAGGTGAATGAAGGGCAGGCGAAGAGTGCGAATGCCGCGTTACTTAAAGCGCCAGAACCAGACGCCGAGCTGGAAGGGAACACGGCTCCCGGCACAAAAGGCAAGACTGACGAGGTTGCTAAAAGCGTACTTCAGGGGTTTGAGCAGACGAGGAGAAAAGGCTAGGTATGATGAGTATTTCGGTTGTGCCAATTTCAGCGATGTATGTTTACCTTACACTCAACTTACTCCAGCGGGTGTATGCATAGGAACATACAACCCGTCAAGGCGAGTCATACTTTTCTTCGTCGAGAATTATATTTTGACCATGACTCCTGACCAGTCTCCTTTCACCAGTCATATTTTGATCTCGCGCCTTCCCATATAAGAAAGACCTAGAGTAATTCGTGCTGACTGGTCAGAGATGTTGTTTAACTCCCTGAGCTGGCGCCATTTTATTCTGTTCGATCTGCACTAAGGAGTCACTCCGATACTAATGTCTTTAAAAGATGTCGCTGGTTTCATCAAATCAGAACTCCGACCATAGTGAGCAACGGTTCTGACGGAAACCATTGGCCTAGTCTCTTGGGTTGCGAAATTAGTCGATATTCAATGACCTGTGTGCCATCAAGAGAGATCCTGCTGGTGATCGAGGCAACGTCGGGTAGAATCCATATACCTGGCCTGCCAAGTGCGCGACCAAGTGCACAGAATGGCAATCTCCACGTTCATTAGACGCCCGAATACTCACATGAGAGACCCTGTCTCAAGGCTGTGGAGCTGATCCAGGTACCCGTCCCGTCTACATCGAAATATCTGCAAAGCTCTGCTCTACCATATTCTCGTGAGGATCTCGCAAGATGCGAAATTTTTCCATCGTCCGGCGCATGTAACGGAGTCACAACCTTGCGAGCTGCAAAGAATACCCCTATCAGACCTCACAGACAGCGTATAGCAATGGACCTGAACACTTTCAGACGTTTCTGCGAGATCCAATTATCCGAACCTTGTTTGTTTCGATGTTTCAGCCGATGACCGCTGTATGCGTTCCACGGAATGTACGTCAGCTGCAGATCCATCCTCCTACGAATAACGGCAGGTTACGTCGACCTGGGACGGTCATCAGTATATAAAGCTGTCCTCAAAGCTCAAATATTACCCATCACCGTCCTGGACAAAACCCAACCCATCCAAACCAGACTTCCATAATCTTTACGCCATCCAAGAACAACCTAAAACGACACGACACATCCACATACTGGACAAGATGCAATACCTCACCCTCCTAACCATCTTCCTTTTCGCTGCCATGGGGCTGGGGCAGCAGCAGCCTTGCTACAATTCGTATGACGCCCCTATTTCCCCTTTCCATACCTATTCCCAAACATCATCAAATCTCACACCTCAAACAGTGCAGACCCAGACAGAGGCATCAGCAACCACTGTGTATGCGCAAACGGTATGTGTCACACTCTGAGCATGATTTCTCAATGATTGAGATTGCTTGGGCTTGAATGGGTCCGATTCTGATGGATTGGCTGACAAGACGTTGCGGTGGACAGGCTGCTGGTGGAAGAATGGGAAGGGATCGGATGTCTGCAAGCCGGTGGGCAAGTTTATCAAGTGTCCTAACTGAGTTGTTTGAAAAGGGGGAAGGAAAGGGAAGCGAAGTGCGAAGGAAACGTTTGCTTTCACGGCTGAACATTTGACAGTTGAGTCGAACTCTTGCAACCCAAAAATATGGCTGTTGGATGGGGGTCAGATCGACCATGAGCCATCCATTTCGAACTGTAGACCAATTGTGAAACTACGAGTTATACCACTCACTGTCCAGTCTGGGATTAGGACTGAACCCTGCTGCCGCCTGCGTATCTTATGTTTTCAGCGGCTGCAAGAGCATCCCTCTGTTTCTACTGGGATTCAAATTGAGCATCTATGGGTAGTTTCTTGCGCAGCGGAAACGCCACCCAATCTCATAAGGTGTTGTGTCCCGTTGGGCTGAAGTGTTTCGAAACCTATAGGATTATTGGTATTCCAGCACTGCTTCATTCGTCTCATGTATTGTCCATTGGATACAGATGCGTTTCTGGGAACTCTCACACCCAGACACGGCTGCATTCATCTGTTTCGAAAATGAGTCTGCATAAAATCATCCTCATTCGACTGGCTTAAGCACCGTACCTACCGGAATGACCTCGTGACTTATGCATTGCTTGGCTTCATCTCTGTCATTCCTACCTTCGGATGCAATGCCTTGTACAACCTTGTTGCCTACATGAGAGACCTGGACCCCAAAGCTTCCACGTCTATATTCACGCTCTACGAAACACCCATCAAAGCCTGAAGGAATAAATGCAGTCTCAGTTCGACATTCCCACCGTCTGACTGATCCTGTTGCGAAGCATGCCTACAGACCAAGCGAAATCCGACAATCAATCTCAGCACAATGACAAGCCTGACAACACGAAAAGTGCGGATTTTCAAAGTTGGAAAATGACCGATCTTCCACCGTTACCCAAAGCTAGAGCGCCAAATGAAATTCTGAATGATCTTAAAGCCCTAGTCTTCACGGATGATGAGGGTTTAAAGCTTTTACGAGAACAAATGTTTACCCCACGAGTGATGTTGCCCCTCGCAGGGGACTTTTACGTTTGGTTCGGAGGGCCTGATCTCGCGAGAGCGCCTCTGGAATTGGGAGACGAAATTGATAGTCGCGATATCCATCCAAGTGTGTCAGAAATAAAAAGACCCACAAGCATCATGTCCTGGTTGAAACCCAACAAGCGACTACCTCGTGAAGTCTTTGATATCGGCCGACTATACCTCAAAACGCATGATGCCACAAATGGAGGCCCTGCATATCAGTCAATCAAATACAGAGTCGTCCTAGACATGTTTACCGAAGCCGTCTGGTTATTCTACGAGTACCACGAACTTGATCCTGAGGACGACTCGATAATAAAGACCGATTTCCTGCAGAGCGAGACATTGAAGATAGGTGGTCAGAAAAGCTTCGACTCAGCAATGATTCTAAATTCAATCAAGGATTGGAATGAGGACCTGACCATGGAGGTCATAAGAGAAAACATAAAGGAATCTGGCTTCATGTCACACGTCTACATTGCACCAGCTCTGTCTCGCACCGTCGAAGAGCATAGCAAGTCCTCTCGGCAACGCCGCACACGTTCATTATCCTCGCCAAAGGATGAAGTAACAAAACAGAAAGAATAATCCATCGCAGAAGTCTCACCTACAGACACGCTATCTCATATGCCATCATTCCGCCGGATTTTCCGACTCTTTCACCGGCATAGTACGGAACCTGAATACTAGCATACCTTCGTTGCTACAAATGTTTTAAGTGGATCAAAGCAAATGCGTAACGAGTTTGCTCTTCTGTCGAAAGTACAGAGCTATGGATACGATCTACATCTTGCGTGTCTGTTTTTATTTTCGACAAAAGCAAAGGCATCTAAGTCCATAGTTCAATTCGAGATGAGAATGATGTGTAATAGACATAATTGGCAGTTTGATACTTAAACCTGCAAGCTCAAACTGATTCCCTATTGATTGATTCGAGTATTGGAATGTACAAAGCTATCGCATGAACTATGTATTTGCGAACGATATTTCGTATTAACAGCCTTACAGAGCGTATAAGCCGTATCCTTTGCACAGCTGCCAGCTGGTTACCCTTCACATGAAGATTTCCTACCATCTCCATTGAGTTGAAAACGAAATTAAACATCTGTTGACTTAACCTCCTTCGCTTTCAGGTGTATTATGAAAGGACATTGACTCTGGCATTTGAAACGGCCTCCCGATATCTCTTACTTCGGGGAAAAGAAAGGCTGCCGCATTATCTTCGCTGCAATGCGATGACTTTTCCATTTCTTGCACCTCCCCTCGAAGTTTCGCAATAGCTTGTCTTTGAGCCCGGACCATCCTGTCCACCGTTTCCTCACTCCCTGTAGATTTGTTGCACCTCTCATTCTTCTTGAAGACCTTTCTGAAGCAACCTTCGCCTGACATTTCAAACAAGTCCCGGTCGCGTTGCTCAACCGTTTCTCACACTTTGAGAGCTCTGTTTTTTCAAGTTCTCTTCTCCCTGGTCCTGGTCTTGGACGTGTTTCCTCCTTGAGTTCTAGGCCATATTTGCTATTCCTGGAAGCAAAGGTCAATGTTCTCTCGACGTTGCGATAACAAGCTGTGGGCCAGTCATTTTCTGATTGCCATCTGTCGTACGAATGCATATAAAAATGACTTCAGACATTTCAAAATATTCCAAGCCTGGCCGATGAAATTCTTAATATTCACGGAGCTTCTTGGTAACACACAGTTCACCTAACGCACTCTCGTAGCGTTCGAGCCTCATAGGGGGATCAGGCTTGACGAGCACTTGAGAAGGCATGAAATTCAAGTCAGAGGAGCCAAAGAGGACGAGAACGCTCTCGATCACACTTGAGAAGGCAAATAAAGTTATTTAAGGAATTCATAGAGGACGAAACAAATCTTAGTAAAGCTTGGACAAATTATGCAATTCACCTACCAATAGTAAAATTGCCCTGTCCATCAAGATCGTGAATTCCGGGCGTCACTTACGCACCAAATTTATAAACGAGAAGCCCGAACCCCAAATAGACATTCAAAAATCGCGTCACGGGAACAAGATGAAGATTTAGGCAAGCAGGCAAAGATCATTCCCGCCCTTCTGCATTGCACCTTCATGCATCGAAAAGCTGAGAGAGCCTGCCATATGTGCGGCTGAGCAAAGAGTTCACGGGATATCTTTCCTCTAGAAGTTGCTGGTCCAACCGTTTTCGCGCTTTCGGTCGAATGTTGAATGTCTCCTTCGAATAACGTCTATACAATGCCGAGTATTAGAAGCTTAGACTTTTGCGTAGGAAACCGAAGGCATGACTAATCTACTGATCGATAGCATGTCACACCAGAATACCGCAGAAACATGGCCAGAGAAGCTCCTAAAGCCATCGCACATCACGATAACAGAACTCTCCAACGCCTCATTACCGCCCAGATATTCGACGTCGACACCAAGACTAGCTGAATCTGGATATTCAACAAATTGCCATCGTATGCTTGGGGGCCTCTATATAACCCAGAGATAGACTAACAGACGAGGAAGGCTAGTTAGAGGAGCTTATGCAGGACTACTGCACGGCCACGACAACAAGAGTCCTTCCGTCCTTACTAGCTACTTCCAGCTTTTCTTACCATTTAGCATTGGAAATAGATGATTGCGTTTTCAGTCATGTGATGTTGGTGCTGACGTAGCGGTCTGTCAGGAGTTGAGCTTTCATTAGGATTTACTCGCCTTCTGAATACTTCAAATCATGTCTCTATTGCTATGCCATGCCATTGACTTCCAGTCTCATTATCCATTACCATCGGTAACAATGCTGTCATGCTGTAGGCACCGCGGCGACCCACCTACAACAAGATAACCCGAATTTCGAACCCGTATTTTCAACCAGGTCAATTCATCGCAAAAGCTTCACGTCTCAATTCCTCTCTCTCTTCCCCCTCAAGGACCCCTCCTCCACCAAACTCTCCTCGTCCCCCACCTGCGTCTCCTCAACATAAAACGCCTCCTTCCCCTCTCTCTCCTCCTCCTCCCTCTCCCCTCAGATTCCCTCGTCTCACTCTCCGGCGTCCGCAAACTCCTCCCCTGTCCCCTCGCGCCCTCTCCATCCGGGACCCCACCCCTAACCTTCCCACCCGCACCCTGACTTCCCGCCGACTCCGACGCAGCAGTGGATCCACCACGCTTGCCCATCGACCCACTCAAATAACTAACCCCCTTCCCCACACCCCTCCCAATCACCCCTACAGCCGGCACAACGACCGGCGCACACGCATTAACGACACTCAAACTGGTCTCTAAAAAACTCCACAGGGGCATCTGAAATGTATTCTCCGGCGTAAACGCCTCCCTTCCGCCCTTCAGCGCCCTCGAGAACGCCAATACCCTCACGGCCGAGATGGCAGTAATGATGAACCCGAGCATGAAAATACCAATCAGGCTTGCTTTCTTCGCAACGCGTAACTTGAGGGTCAGCAGGGACGGGATCGGTATAGCGATGACGCAGATGTCGAGCAGCAAGTTTATGCTGCCCAAAGCAATGTAGCAGTTCCGGGAGGTTTGCTGTTTGGAAGCGGATTCACCGACCTGGCACGCCAGGGCGGCGACGACGATGGCGAAGAGGAAATTCGTTAGGGTTGCGAGGGAGAATGTGAGAGTGATGTGGCGCATAGTGCGCGAGGGGAAGAGGTGCGTGTAGAGGGAGGCCATGGACAGTTTTACGAGGGTGTTGACGAGGGACCAGAGGATGGCGACGGCGACGTTGACTTGGAGGGTTTTCTTGATTTGGGCCATGGGATTTTGGAGGGAGGTGAAGGCGCGGCCGGCGCCGAGGAAGATGTTGAGGAGGAGGACGATGAAGTAGATTAGGTTGAAGAACTGGTGTGGTAGGTTTAGTCAGGGGTGAGATATTGAGGGGGGAGGAAGACGTACACATGCTGCAAGGGCGAGGTAGTCGTTCAACAGGAGTTGGAGGCATTTGATGCGCCGCGACCAGATACGGAAGCCTGTGAAGATGAGGGAGAGGGTAAGGACGATGGTGAAGATAATGATGAGCTGGTTCTGTAGCGATGTGAGATGGCTGACTTGCCAGATGCTTTTTGAGGGCCCTTGGGCCGATGACCACTGTGGAGACATGGTGGAATCTTTGGGATGAAAGAAAGGACTATGAGACGGTGCGTAGACTTGATGTCCGTAGAACAAGCAGCTTGACAAGTGTTTATGTATTCATGGGAAAACAAAAAGGTGGTGCTGTGCTGTGTTTCATGGCTGCAGTATACGAGCAGGAGACATGCAGCTGCAAGAATGCGACGAGCGCATGTAGTAGATATATGCAGGTACGAGAAGCAGAGAGGGTGTGGCCCAGCATTCATGCATGCTCGTGCCACGAGAAGAGTATGTCTCGGAGCGGCATTTGTCAAGATGGTCGTTGCCTCCTAGGTCCATTTGGCATCGTCATGTTCACAGCAATGGCACCAGATGGTTTGAAGTCAGTTCACTGGGCGGCGTAGAGCAAGCTATCCATACTTAGACTTCCCCTGGTCTCCTCCCGGTAGCCAGAATAAAGATTGAAACACTATGAGGCTTAAAGGTGACAAAATCGCGTGCTCGCAAAACACCTGCAGATAATAATGCTCGGCCCGAATCGCTAGGAAGGGGAAGTCTGTATAAGAATAGCCTGAAGATGCTGTGGAGGTATTGCGGCACAGCCTTCTCCTGCGGCACTGCACCAATAAGAATTTCTGACATCTTGCGAGCTCTGCACCACCACTCTTGGCTTCTTCGCAACCTCTTCTCCAACGGGAATCATATCTCCGAATCTTCAGCATTGAAACGACCTGCCTGAACAATATCGTGGTGGTGTATGAGAAAAATAGGTGGAGGTGGGGAACACTGAGGGATTTTTGGCCACTGTCGTGCGAGGGCACCCAATCATGAATAAGTCCCTCTTAGAGCGGACTCGATGGGAGACCTTCGGAATGCTGAACGCAGTATAGCAACCTTTGCTAAACGATAAACCTCGTTTAACACGGGGTCCTGAAGCCCGCATTGAAAGGGAAACAATGAGAAAGCCCCATTCGAGGTTAGCTCGTGCCTGAGGAAGCATCCTAACCGGAATCGTATATTCTGCAAGTCCAGCGTCCAAGCATCTGGCGCCATAACCACTCGGCCAACTTATCCTTGCTCCTCAGATTTCCAGTGACATACATTCGCAATACAGATCATTTCTGGATAGAGACAATTCCACGAATCATTGACCTCTAAAGTCGCTTTGCAAGCTGCGCTTGGTTCAGAATGTGTCGCTCTTTGTTGCGTTTGGCACAAACGCGGCACATTTGCTTCGGTGCAAGTGATTGCAAAGTCTTGCGGTCTCGGAGTGTGGATATCTGCCCTGGAGCGAACGTGCTGTGAGTTCAACACAACTTTGCAATTCTCGTTGCGTGACCTGATGCTGGCGGTGAAGACCTTACTCGTATGGGTCGTGTTGTGAAGGTTTCACTCGAGGTAGTAAATGTTTTGATGATCATTTCTACCAAATATTTCAGGATATTATGAAGAACGATTTCCTGGCGTGGCCATCTTCAGACTCACGCTCCTTGCGCATTGAACGGTAGATCGTGGGAAAAGCTCGTTCGGGGTTAGTTGCGAGCTTTGCTAGCCCGATTGGTACATTCATCTTGTTCAGCGTCGAATAACGGAAACACAGCCTGGCGCCATAACCACTCGGCCAAATGACTTTTGCTAGAGCATTTGCGCCTTGTTGTGCGCACCTCGCGAGGAAAGGTGGTCGCAGTCACCCAGGTAATACGCTTCTTTGGACCACAACATTGTCCATTTTGCACTTGTGAGGCTGATCGTTGGCTTTGAAGTAGTTAATGACACGCAATAAATGTCCGGTGCGACTTCATTGCAGGCCGAGGCGTTGCATCTATCTCAACCTCTGTGTGGGAAATTGGAGTGCTAGTTGGTGCTCCAGAGCAATGTCTCGGAACTGAAAGCATCGATACGGCATGCGAGATGGCAATCTTGAACCTTCGCTTTCATCGACATGTAAACCAGATATGGTTGGCTCCCCCGCATACAACGCGAAAACTTCGAAAACATTAGATATGGGATAGCTGGAGCAAAAGGCTAGCCTCTTTGGCGTATTTCTCATGTCCAGCTTCGAATGCAGGTACCGCCATCCACCACACAGGATGGTGCTGTGGTCCGGTGCGGTAATTCTACACCTTTATCACTCTACCTTCGACGCGAAGTCTTCATAATTCCAGAAACGATTAGCCTATATTTCCCGAGCCACTCGGAGACTTTTCGCAGGCTTACTACTCCTTTTCGTTCTCAAAGTCCGACTTATCCAGGACGTGTATGCTGCCGCACATTGATATAGCCTTGTGAATGCAATGTTGATTCGATTCCCTGCCTCTATACACGCGTCACCGCTTTGAAATCTGTCTTTCCGTCTCGTAAACCCCTTCAGAATGGCTGTGAAAAGTTTCCGAGAAAGGTCCGTGAGTGGGCATGCTGCGTTGAAAAATATAAAGAGCCTCCCCGAAGCCATCAATCTGTCTCTTTCTCCTGCTTAAACAGTTTCCAAGTCTTCTGTCACTCCATCTGAGTCATTTCCGTCTGTCCAAAGATTACCCCAAGACATCAAAAGAAAATCCCTGCTCAGAGCAAGCATGGCATCAACCGCCACCCCACAAGAGTTGCAAAACCATGCAGTCGACCTCCACAAGCACGTCCACACAGGCTTCTCAGGCCACATGGCAGAAACCTACAACCACCGCACAGGCGGCTGCAACATCCGCCTCGGCAAAGCCATGATCGCGAAAGCTCTCCCTCACTTATTACCCCCGTCCACCTCGTCTACAGAGGGTCCCGCGCGTAACCTCCGTATCCTCGACAACGCATGCGGTCCCCTAGTCCTCACGAAACAGCTCCTCGAGACCGCCGCGCTCGTGCCCACCAATGCGAAAAGCACACTCAAAATCGACGCTGTCGACTTATCCAAGGACTTCATCGAGACAAACAAGAAAAACCTGGCGCAGGACACACTGCCTCAGAACGTAACCATCGACACCGCCATCATGGACGGCCAAGACCTCTCTGCTTTCCCAGACAACACCTTCGACGCCAGTTTCACTTCCTTGGCGCTGTTCGCCTTTCCTGATCCCGTGAAGGTACGTCCCTGGGGTTCCTCTTGTCTTACATATACTCCAATCAATCCACGATTCCCTTCCTCCCCCCCTTTCCCCCCAATCACCCCCTCTAACCACCTCCCCCCCCACAGGGCGCACGCGAACTCCACCGCACCCTCGCTCCCTCCTCGCCCGCGCTCCTCACGACCTGGAAAAACATCGGCTGGCTCCCCCTGCTGCACGCCGTCGAAACCAGCATGGGGAAAACCCCACACACGCAATTCCCCATGATCGAGCCCTGGCGGCAGCCGGGCAAACTGCGCAACACGCTGATTGAGGCGGGGTTCAGGGAGGAAGATGTGAGCGAGGAGGCGGTGATGGTGGAGGCGTGGTGGGGCAGTAAGGAGGAGGCGGCGGAGAGCTTTTCGGAGACGCTGAGGTTGATGGTGGGGAGTGCGTGGACGGAGAGGGGAGAAGGAGGGGATGAGGGAGGGGTTTTTGCGTGTGATTGAGGAGGGGGGAGGGGAAGGACGGGGGGGGGGGTACAGGGGGTGGTGATTTTTGATGAGGGGGGAGGATGGGGACGAAGATGGAGGCGTGGTTGGGTGTTGCTGTTAAGAGGTGAGAGGGAGGTTGTCTGGGCTTTTGGGTGTGTGAGGTGGGAGATGTGAAGGATGAGATCAAGAGGTGAAGATGGAATGGGGCTGTTGCGACTTGGTGACCTGCGTGGGTAGGTATGTTGAAGCCTGTGTCCAAGTCTGGGTGAATGGGTACTTGAAATAGAACTCTCAAAAATATAGTATTGTCACCAAAGGATAAACTCAGGAAAGAGCCTAGAATGGACATAACCACGCTGTAATGGAAGTAGACCTTCGACCCAAATTTTGAGACTTCAATCTTTTGAGCTATAGAAACGAATCTAATGCTAGGTCTACAATCTAACCCATCCATCTATCCATTTCGCCAACCCATCGACAGCAACCAAACCAAAACCGCCAACGCCCATTTTCATCAAGAAGAAGAACCCGAAAACACAATCTTCACTCAAACCACCTTACAAGACCTCCTGATCAACTGACTAACCATTTTCGCCCCCTCTCCCCTCGTAATAGTAAAATGATTACTGCCCATAGCCTTCTCAATCTGTATCTGGCCCTCCACCAGGCCCTCCCACCCCTTGGTGCTGAAATCCGTCTTATCATCCATCAAGAATCCCAAATCCCTATCCTCCTGCTCCGTCAACGTATGCCTGAAGGGGAACCCGGCCAGGTTATCCGTCCCCTTAGCCGCCCACACAAGGTACGTCTCGGGACTCTTACCCTTCGGCAACGGACGCGCGGTATACCATCTCAAATTCTCATTGACGGCTTTGAAATGGTCCATGATCCACGGGGGAGGGGACGATCTTGCGCGATTCCGCCCGGCTGGTGGATCTCGCGCCAGTATTTGAAGAAGGATTCGGGCAGCTTGCCAAGGCCGATAGGGGCAGGTGCGTCGATCAGGAGTAGGGCTTTGACTTCCTCGCCAGCGTCTATTAGCATGCGAGCGGCGTAGTGCGCGAATGCGCCGCCGGCGGACCAGCCGCCGATGTAGTAGGGTCCGTGGGGCTGTCGTCGGCGGACTTCGGCCAGGAGGAGGGCGGTGATGTCTTCGAAGGTGCCGGTCATTTGCGTGGGGGTGGTCATGTAGGGGCAGTTCATGGCGACGACGGCGACGGAGGAGTCGACGCGTGGAAGGTGCATGTAAGAAGTTGCGGAGCCGGAGCCGTCGGGGAAGAGGAACATGGTCTTGGTGGTGGGAGTAATGGTGCCTTGGAGGAGGATGGAAGTGGAGCGCGGGGGTTTGGCGTTGGGATTTTTGGGTGCGGGCGTAGGTTCTGGTGCCTCAGATGCGGTGGTTGCTTCTGAGGGTGTAGATCTTCCTGATTGGGAGGATGCCGAGTCGCTATCATCTTGGCTTTCAGGGGTGATGGCACCTGTTGATGGGGCGTCTAGGCTTTTGAAGTAGTTCTTGATCGCGCCGATGGAGTCCACATCTGCGAAGAAGGAGGCGGAGAGATCGAGGCTTAATTCTTCGCGGAATCGGCTGGCGATCACTAAGAGTAGGAGGGAATCGATTCCGAGATCGGATAGGTAGTCTTCGTCCTTCATCTCTGGTATGGAAATGCCAGATTCTTCGGCAATGATGGACAGAGCTGTGTCAAGTTTCAAGGGACCATCTGTCGTTGGTACTTCAGTGGCAGTGGCTGTGACTGGCACCTCGACAATCTCCTCAGGAGATTCGAGGTCATTAAAGTATTTTCTGATCGCACCAATAGAGTCAACGTCGACGAAGAAAGATGCAGAAAGGTCGAGGGTCAATTCTTCACGGAATCGACTGGCGATGACTAGAATAAGGAGGGAGTCAATACCGAGATCGGCGAAAAAATCTCCATCCTTCATCTCTGGAATTAAGATACCGGACTCCTCTGAGATGATAGCGAGAGCTCTATCCAGCTTTGAAGGGCCAGCCGGCTTCTTGCGCATCTCGGTGGCAATGGCTTGCAACTCGGCATTCTGCTTTGCAGGTTGACGAGCTGAAGGAGCTTCAGTCTTTGGCTTGAACATGACGTCCATGAGGCGGCGTGGGACGCGTGTTACACGGACTCCTTCAATGCAGCCGATCAAGTTCCCGCCTTTCGTGATCAGAATGTCGCCAACACCAACTTCCTTGTTGCTAGTGTTCATCTTCACATAGGTCTCGTACTGTTCCTTCAAGCTCAAACGCTGGTCAATGAACATGTTATCCCAACCCTTAACGACATAGACCTCTTGCTCAAATTTGGAATTTTCGTGGGCATTAGTAACGAAGGTTGCGAGCTGTAGTATGGAATCGAAAACGCATGGGTGGACTGAAAAATCGCCTTGGAGACGGTGACGTTCCGGTGTTGCGATTATTGAATGTCCTTCCATGGTCGACGAATTGAGACAGGACTCTTTTACACCCTTGTGAGAATCGTCATAATGTGCAAGAGAAGCCACCATTCTATAGGCCATGGAGGTCGTGAAACGGTCTGCAAGGCCTTCTGATACATCGTCCTTGACCTGTTGTATCTTGGGCATAACTGGGCCAAGTTTTGACTGTAGATCTTTCTTTTCCTTTTGCACGTCGTTGAGAACCACAGTGGTCTTCGCATGCATCTTAGTAGGTTGTCCGTCCTTGCCACCAGAAGTGATTTGAATCTCGATGTTCTTTGATTTTTGACTGTACTTGGCATCGATCCGCATGATTTGAGGTGCTGGGCCGTCAGTGATGATCAGTGATTCTTGCATGTCCATGGCTTTGACAAGTATGGTGGTATCTGTCAAATCAGTCTGAAAGTGTTTGTAGATCGATTCGGCACAAGCAGAGGCCATATCAGCATATACAGCCTGATGCACGTTAGAGGAGTGGAATGATAAAGCGAGTAAGACTTCGAATACTTACACCGATGCAGACTGAGATGCCATTGACTTGATGGCCTGCGACAATAGGCTTGAGATCCGGAGACTGAAGGTTTGACTCGACGACAGCGTGGAAGACATCACCCTGGATATTCGTCAGCACGAAGCTAGAGGGGATAAAGAGAAAGGCTATTTCATTACCTCTGATTTTGCTGAGATCACCTTTTGGCAGGAAGTTGTGGTCAACTGCAACTCAGATGCCGCGGCTGCAATAGGCAATGGGTCTCCCTTACGTAGAGACCAGTCATTCACATACTGGATCCAGTAATCCTTGAGATCCCAGTTATAAGATGGTAGTTGAATAACAGCATGGTCATAGTCTCTATGGTATTGAGCCCAATTGATGTTGCAGCCAACGCGATACGCAGCTGCAACGCTTTTGCTCAGCACTAGCCACGAATCCTGATTCGTTTCAAGCGATGGCATGATTGTAGGCGAATGTTGCGTTGCGCGCTGGGTAAGCCTTGCAAGAACATTGCTTGGGCCGATCTCAATAATGTGGGTACGGTCGTTCAGGAGAGAAGCATCTTCACCAGCTTGCACGGCGCCAACGAGGTTGACAGCTTCACGACACTGGCGTAGCAGATAGTCTCTGTCCACCTCATCACCTGGTTTGATCACTTTGGACGTGAGAGGACTAAAGATTGGCACCTTTGGAGATCTAAGGGTGATTCCATTGAGAATCTTTGAGAAGTCCCCTAAGATGGGTTGCAGCTGACTTGAGTGGAAGGCATATGGTACCTTCATCCGGCTGAAGTTGATCCCTTTCGAAGTCAACCGAGCGCTTGCTTGATCAATGTCTGCATTTGAACCACTGATGACGGTCTGTTGAGCACCATTCATGCAGGCAATTTCAGTCGCGACGCCACTCAAGCATGCGTCGACGTCGGCTTGCGAGCTGCGTATCGCAAGCATAGCATGTGTGCCTGCCTTGCAGTGGGACTCAAGGAGCTTAGCACGTTGCCCACAAACCCATAAGGTGTCGAAATCTGACAAAACGCCGGCAAAGTTGAGGGCGGCATATTCACCCAGACTATGACCAAGCACGCCAGCTGGAGAAATTCCCCAGCTGTCCCAAAGTCGAGCTAGTGCCATCTGGAGGGCCACTTGGGAGAGTTGCGTGATTGAAGCAGCTGATTCGTCGTTTGCATCTCCAGTGCCTCGAATATAAGGGAGGATAGATCCAAATCCTTGAGATTGTGTGATAGTATCGAATCGATCCAAGGCTGTCCTGAAGCTGGAATTGGTCTCATAGAGGTACCTTCCCATACCGGCATGGGTGGAGCCTTGTCCAGAGAAAGCAAAGAGTATCTTCGGGGCACCTCGGGCCTGCTGGGGAGGGTCCGCTGTGTCACGCTCGAGAGACGCGGCGAGCTCTTGAATTGTTTGAGCCGGGTATGAAGCCCGGAAGTTGTAATGTAGGCGCCTGGCTGTCGACGTATACGCTAGATCGCTGAGCGAAATACTGTTGGAGGACTTGAGTAGACTAGCCAACGATTTGGTATTGGCTTCAAGTGCTGTCTTGCTCTTTGCGGTCAAAGTTACTACGTGGGCAGGACGTGTATCTGGACGGGTGTGTAGGTCTTCCGCTCCTGCTCCTGGTCCATCTTCGAGTAGTACACAAGAATTTCCACCGGCGGCAGAGAAGTTGTTTAGCAGCACCCTTCGAGGCTTGTTCGATCTGACCCACGGCTTTGGTCGGTCAGCAATGAGTACACGACGCTCCTTCAAGTCGGGTGGGAATGTTTGATTGATCTTGGTCTTGATGCCACAGTGAGGGGGGATTTCGTCCTTCTGCATCATCAACAGCACCTTGATTAGAGCCGTGACTCCGGCAGCTGCTTCACCATGGCCGACGTTGGCTTTCACAGAGCCAACATGCAGATCGTTGGTTCTGCAACGTGGATCACCTTGTGGCCAAGGAGCGAAAGTTTGTGAGACTGAGGCCATCTCTCTGCCATCTCCAGCTTGAGTGCCGGTGCCATGCATCTCCACATAGCTAATATCGTTTGGATGCACACCTCCTTTTGCTAGGACGTCAGAGAATAACGTTCGCTGCGCGCCCACATGAGGTCTTGTGATAGATTCCGCCTCTGCAGAATGGTTTGTGGCTGCCGCAAGTATACAGCCATGAATTGGATCATTATCGGCTTGAGCATCTTCCAGACGCTTCAAAACGATTATCCCTGTACCCTCTCCACGGCAGTATCCATCCGCTTCATCATCAAAAGTCTTACAATTTCCAGTGCGAGACAGGAAGTGACCGCGGTCAAGCCCAGCCGTAACGTCAGGGTTTGTCAAGACGTTTGTTCCTCCAATAATAGCGCAATCGATGTCGCCCCTCCAAAGTGCATTACATGCCAAATGTGTTGCAGCAAGGCTTGAAGAGCACGCTGTATCGACACTGAAGCTCGGTCCGCTAAACTTGAAATAGTAATTAACGCGTCCAGGTATAAACGCACGATTTCCGCCAGGAATGAAGTAATTGTCTACGTCCTGAGCGCTGTTGGTTTCGCACCAATCACTGCTAGTAGTGCCGATGAAGACGCCGACGCGGCTTTTCATCGTAGACGGTGTGGAATCGGTGACAATACCCGACATCTCTACCGCCTCGTATGCGCACATCATGGCCAGTCTTTGCGCAGGGTCCATCTGTGGGGCTTCACGAGGTGAGATACTGAAGAAGGAGCGGTCGAAGGCGCCAGGAGTGTCTAGCCAGCACCCGTATGCCGCCGCGCTTGTGTTTTTTCCTTTCAAGGTTGGGTCGACGTGCGTTTTCACATCCCATCGTGATTTTGGTGTGACCGCGTGCGTATCAACTCCGTTATGGATGACATCCCAAAAGGCTTCATTATTTTTGGCTTGTGGAAATCTGCCAGAGAAGCCTGTGATGGCAATCTTTGACTGCCTCGCATATTGCGCCTTTGTAGCATGACTTACGATTGTCTCATCGTTTACATAGGTCATTCTCTCGAGGCTAGATTCGGTAGTTTCGAGCACAGATTCCAATCTCGAGCCATAGGGTGCACCAATTGATATGACAGTGCAGGGTTGGGAGGCTTGAGATTGGGTCATGCCTTTGATAGAATGGAGTGCGGCGTCTGAGGCGAGGCTTTCAGACAGGATAGCACGTACAGCCATTCTGAGAAGCGAGGGTAGAGTCTGAGGCGGCAAGGCTGTTCCGTTATGATGAGACAACAAGGTAAGCTTGGACACCACGTGTGTCAGTGCTGGGGAGAACGATTGTGAAATAGCCTCGACATCATTTTCTGAGTATATAGTTGAGGCATGAAATGGGGCATAGACCGCAGATGGGGATGCTTTGAGGGAGTAGGCTTGGGTCAGCGCCTCGAGTGTTGCAGGAGGACCGCCTAACAGCACCGAAGTCTCGGAAGTGTCGCAAGCATATGGCTTTGACCATGGTTGCAGGTGCTGTTCAAGATTTTAATTATGATTCACATGATGGAATCATCTTTTATCATACCTTCTGGGCGCAAAAGTCCTCCACTTGGGAAAGTACCGACGCTGGCTTGTCAGTCTCTACTCTGATACGCCATGAGCCTACATCAGCTCGGTCGACAATTTGATCTCGTGTGTTAGCTGCGAGCAACCCGATTCGGAAGCTAATGAGCACTGTATCTAGAGCGATTGGTATGAACTGCTCAAGATTTGTGTAGCAGCTTGTTGCAGCTGCTGCCAGTAGACCAGTGCCGAGACCGAATGTATAGCTGGATGTACTCGAAACTGAATTCTTGGTCTCCCAGCTCTTTCGACTGTCACCCTGTAAGTACACTGATTGAAGACTTCATCAAATGCTACCACTCACCATATGAATACAGCGCAGTGATGCACGGTCGATAAAGCCAATTGCAATCCAGGATGCAGTGGCTTGGAGGCTTCGATGGCCAAAAGGTCAAGGAAATTGCTAAACGACGGGAAGCTATCTCGTTGAGACCATGGCAATCTCTGGATCTCTTGTCGGAGGGACAGGGCTGCCTGATCAAAGAAAGTGTTGAGTATTGGATTACTTCCAGTCAACATAAGCTCTCCCAAATGATCTCTACATTGGCTGTCCTGGTCCCCAAAGAGGAAGACTGATAGTGGACCAGCCATGCTAATGGTGTTTTGAGACAAAAATTCAGAGGTTTGCCATTGTAAAGGACATAATGAAGCGACCTTTATATTTCCACAACATGAAGGCTCGGTCGTAAGCTGGAGCCCCACAGCTTGGTCGCGGGGACATTGTCACACAGTATGGTTCCTTCTGGTGGAGCCATTATGACTGTGGTTCTTGGGTGACCACCTTGTCACTGTCCTGATTATGGGACCCACACCTTGGCAAGCCTCCTTGTCATCCATCTGGTGGCTTCGGCTGCCCAGAGGACAAGATTTCTCACCCCTTGGGCTAAGATTATCAAGGAGCGACTGCGCAATCAATCATACAATCCCAAATCATCCAATGTGGTGCTCCTTCGACACTCGCATTGCTCTCGTCATCTGGGAAGTTCCTGAGTGAGCCGTCTGTATTACTGAAAGAAGGTTCTCGGAAGGATGACTTGTCTTCAACCGCGATAACGGCATATCGCGTGTTAGGGAACGCCATGTGCTGTACTCCCCAGGTGCACCGCAATAGACATGTCCAAAAATGTCCCAAATACTACACACATATTCTGATGATTGGCCTGTTCGATTATAAGTGCTCCAGGCGTCAAGAGGCGAGTTTATTGGAACGTGGTCAAGTAATTCTCATGGTGTTCTAACGGCGGCCGGGTAAGGCTGCAGCCTCTGGCCCGCTACGTGAAATCGCCTGATAGTCGAGGAATCAAGTGCCAGGAACGGGGGTGAGAGCAATGTCGGTGTAGGGGTGCCAAGGCCTTCGGCATGATTCGCTGCTACGAGACTGAGGCTGCATGGAAGCCCAAGGACTGCAGTGCCTGCTCGCTTGCATAAGGAAATATCAGCATAAGCGCCAAGCACGTGTCAGATATACCCGCCCATCAAAAGTCGGTCGATGACCCTGACCCGGTTGGCGTCGTTAAGCCTAAGAATCAGACTAACATTAATCAGGCCAATACCAGCGTGGTTGGCTTTGCCGATAGTCGTACCTTATGTTCCGAACCACGCCTCAACGTGCTGCCATCTCCCACGCGATAGACCCAGTCGGCTACAGCGTGCGTGGATCTCACCCCTGCAGCTGCAGTCATCTCCCGGCTTGCTTGAATCTGACGTAACCTAATTCGCCTCATGAAGGGTCTTGGGAGACCAAGACAATGTTGTATATCAGTCTCTTGGCCATGCTTCACATACGTGGAGTTTTCCATGTATAAATGCTGGTCAAATTGGCAGTGGCGCAGGTAAAATCCTGTGACGGTCATCCGAATTCAGAAACCCGTCGAGAATAGCTTACATCCTCGGCCGTTTAGAGTGAGTAGATGAGCAAGATTACAAGGTGGCATGATTGATGCACCAGAGTCCAGATTGGTTGAATATCCTTGCTGTCGGTGGAGCCCTTCGTGGTAAGAAAGTTGCCTGGATTTCTTACGATCTGAGGTTTTCGGAGGGAACTCTATATGCGCAACAACGCAGCGGACAGTAATCGATAAAGTTTGTCAGCCAGCAGTCAGGGCTGTGGGCAATGGAGGAAGAAACCGTTACTTCCCACACGTAAGGATCCGCACGAATCTGGATGCTGAAATGCGATCAAGCTGACCACGAGGTCTTCCTCACACATCCTCTTCCTGCAATCAAAGACAGTCCACTCCCACCAGTCGGAGAAGCCACTCTTCAACAAATAACATTCTAGGACACCGTCAATAGTCCAGACAAACTCATCATCGTACCAAAGCATTCAAGCCCCACCTAGACTCTATCATGGACGCCAACCAACCTGACCTCGAAGCCCTCGCCCAAACCTGCCTCCAAGAAGCCAAAACAATCAAAACCCACCTCGCCGCCAACTCCCTCGGCGACCTCGGTTTCTCCCCCACCGCACTCCCCTCCTTTCCAAAGACCGACGCTCAAACGCAACAAGCCCGGACCAACCTCCGCAATGCAGCAAAGACACTCTACGACCTCACCACCGGGCCGCAGGAAGGCCTGACAGAATTGTCTCTGACATCCGTAAGCCTCGCCCAGCGAAATGGCACCAACCCCTTCCCCCAGAACCCAACCTGACCACACACCAGCTCCAATTCATTGGCTCCGTCCGCTACCTCCTGCATTTCAAGATCCCCGACTCCGTCCCGCAAGACAGCCCAATCAGCTACAGCGCCCTCGCAAGCACAACCAGCGTCTCCATCTCCCAACTAAAGCAAATCCTGCGATTCGCAATCACAAACCACATCTTCCTCTCCCCGACCCCGGACACAGTGTCCCACTCCGCGTCCTCCCTGCTCCTACTCTCCACATCCCCCATGGCGCCCATAATCCACTGGCTAACCTACGACTGCGCGCCCATGCTCGCGGGCCAAGTCGGCGCGATCGAAAAATGGGGCCACGGGTCGCAGGAACAGAACCAGACGGCCGTGAACTACGCTTACGATTTCGACGGCTCGTTCTATGATTTCATCAGCGCGGATGAAGGGAGGGAGAAGAGGTTTGGCACGACGATCCAGCGTGCAAGCGAGCAGCCTGCGAGCAGCGTGAAGCACGTGGCGGAGGGATTCGACTGGAGCGTTCTCGGTAATGGGAGCTTGGTTGATGTGGGGGGACATATTGGGTTCTGCGGGGTTGCTATCGCGCAGGCTGCGGAGGGGTTGAAGGTGGTCGTGCAGGAGCGGCCGGAGGTGGTGGCGATGGCGCTGGATCCTACCACTGCAGTCGTTCCGGCAGATGTGAAGGAGAGGGTGGAGTTCGAGGTGCATGATTTCTTTACGCCGCAGAAACGGGAGGCGGATGCATATTTCCTCAGGAAGACGCTGCTGAATTTTACGGACGAGTATGCGAAGAGGATCGTGGCGGCGCTGAGCCCGGCGTTGAGGAAGGGGAATAGATTGCTGATTATGGATTTTGTGCTGGTCGAGAAGGCGGTGGAGGCCACAGTCATGGAGAGGTATTCGAGGGCTGTGGATTTGCAGATGTTGTTGTACTATAATTGCAGGTATCGCACGCTGGACGAGTGGAAGGCGCTGGTGAAAGCGGGCGATGAGAGGTTTGAGTTTGAGGGCGAGTATAGATCGCCTGGGAGCTCGATGCCGATTCTGAGCTTTGTCGTCCGGTGAGATACTAGAGTTAACATCAATCTTCTCTATATCTGGGGCAAAGCAGACCTTCTATTGGACAGAATAGAGCGCTTCGTGTGAGCGGCCCATTGGTTCTCCCTCAGCTGAAATTGGTCAAATCAACGATCTGAGATCTTACTCCATGCAATCTCATAAAGAGTGGACCATTTTCATTGTAAATCAAGCCAGATCGTGATTTGTACGGTTCGGCTTACCCCTTGGGCTTTGAAAGTTCTCGCGTAAAGTCTGCAGCCTGCACCGACCACGCGGCATTATTCAGTGGTATGGGTCTGCTGCAATGCCCCGTCCTTCGATAGCATTTACACACACCGAATTCCTACCTCTTACCTGCGCAGACGAAACGTTCGTAAGCCCCCGAAGAAGGAACATATAGCTCCAATAGCAAGGCAAACTGCAGTCCCACTCAAGCCACTACTCGGGATCTTGGCATTTTGCTCTCCTTCTCCGCTGCTACCATTGGCTAGCTCGGGGCTCTTACCAGGTTCCAAGATTGAGAAGACCATCATTCCAATAAACGTAGCTATAAATTGAGGTATGGTTGCGAAAATATTCCAGATACCAAGATAGATACCGGCCGTAGGAAGTACATCCTCGTCCTTGTCTTTGATAGGTCCTGGCGCGGTTTGTCTGTGCTCCGAGATCGATTGAATGTTTGTCAGCTCGTGCTCATTCTGGTTGGTAATTGAATTGTAGGCTTGGCTATCATGCCCAAGTCTGTTGATCTCTTCTCCGATCATCGCTAGTGGTGCAAAGCCGTACATAGCCCACGGTCTGCAAGTAATGTTAAAATTTTCGCCGAGGAGGCTTGAGAATACCTTACAAACCGCAGAACGCGACAAGGATAGTGGCAAAGCTGAATGATCGTGCAAGCGGTGTCAAGACCATGCTGCCGGCAAACGCCATCTGCGATATGGCCCACGCAGCAGTGATTGTGATCTGATATTTCGATGCTTGATCGCTACGTGATGGATTGAGTCGTGAATTCCTTTGGTCGGAGGGTTCCACAAGAAGGGGCAGGAACAACGACCCAGCAAACGATATTAGTGAGAACAGGACAAGTGCTAAAGACCCTTTTCTTGCAATGTCGCCCACGACATCAGCCGAACCTTTGAGCTGCTCGGCCTTTTTGGCATCTTCTCTGTAATATGTCTCACCGACCCACGTAGTACCGTACACTTAGACGATCAGCATTACTATACATTGAGTGATAAAGCCCTACTCCTACGTACCAAAAAAGGGAGACCAGCCTAGAGGGTCCCTAAATCAGAGATTGCGCACACGGGGTAGAAGAACAGACTGACCTATCCACGATAGAAATGTTATCCAGCAGACTGCCTTGATCCTATTCGGTAGGTGCAAAGTTGTCTTAAGGATAGTCGAGACGAGACTTATGATTCTGGGGCTATCGCTTTCGGCGCTGAGCTAGAGGTCAGTGCTTCGTTTTCACCCTAACGTTCGAAAGTATTCACCGCTTTGATAGAAGAATCCGCTCTCGAACACAGAAACAAGTAACCGCTGAACATGATATTATTGTCATAGAAGCGATTACACAGATTTGCTTGAATTGATTGCCGCCGAGGCGATTCCCCAGAAACCGCTGCAAATCCATCGTGCCTGCGAAATAGCCAAGCACATGGCCAATGCCCAGCATTCTACCAGCTACACGAGTCAGCCATAGTTTTGATAATTATTCATGATGATTTATACCCCACGCTGAGCCCACTTGCTGCTGTGACTCTGGTAATGTGTCGACGATGAGGCTGCGGGCAGTAGCCTGTACTTCCTCAAATGAGCCCCATAATTTTACTCTTGAATGATTCTCGCATACCAGCATTGATCGCAAAATCCACAGCATAAATGCAAAACACCGCCAATCCTATGGTCAGCCTTCCCTTCTATCTCACGATCAGTAAGCGAGCGCAAAGTGCCATTGGTGACTCACGATCTTATCCTCAGAAGAGACGAGGCCCACAAGATCGGACGACCACGCGAGCGTGCAGAGAAAGAAGGCGACCAGGATCGAGCAAATCATGATGTAGGGCCGTCGTCGGCCCCATGGCGACGTCGACGAGTCAGATATCGTTCCCACAACAGGCTGAACGATCAAGCCTGACAAGGGCGGGGCGATCCAGACCAATGAAGTTTGGCTTTTCGCAAGGCCCAGCTGTAGGAGGTGAGGGGTAAAATCTGAGGTCAGGGCAGTCAGCGGCGTGTACCTCCAAATGGGTCGGGTCAAAATCCGTCCGCCTACATGTCATCTCGACACCCCATGTGAATCTGTAATGTTTGTAAGCGTCCGACTAGAGTGGAATGTTGGGATGGTGATGTGGGCTCGCTCACTGTAGACCGACTAATGCGAAGGTGAGAAGAATCATGCGCTGCCAGTCAGCGGAGCCTCTGACCCGAGGGCTCCCCCTCCATGCGACGTCTCGATTCATGGTAAGGTAGATCTAGATTACATAGCGGCGCCGGATTGAGCCTTCTACGGATCGTATCGTGGTGAGAATCATATGAAATCAGCGTGAACAGACAGAAAGTTTTTCTCGAGTAGTGAACACACGCACGACTACGGAGGTATGTGTTGTGATGTCATCCTCGCCGATTTTCGTTTGAGCTTACTGAGTATGCGGGCTGACTTTCCATTCGGCACTATGACTATGCATCCGACATCGACACGGCTAATATGCTTCAACGAGCGATTATAATGCCGATGAATTGATGGGCTTTGCTTTCCAGTGTTTATAAGCAACGGAGAGTAACTAAGGGCAGTAGTAAGGGGCTTCTAAGTTCCCCACTAACCGGCGCTCTCGGTCACTTCCGGGGCTAGCTTAGTGCCCTCCGGCCCCCTTTCAGCGCTTAGGGCTTCTCAAGGTTGCAGTACCACTGAGGTCCTGGAAAATGGTAATGGATCTCGCGCCTCTGCTTGTGTGTGCAAAATGAATGTTTCTATTTGAGAGCACTCAGGTAAAGTTACAAGAATGCTGCTCTTCCACGCGAGCTTCAGGTCCCGCCGGCGGTATGCCTGGTTCTGTTACCTCAATGTTTCTGCATTCTCTGTTGCATGTGTTGGATAGGCAATAGTCGAGCGGGATAAAATGAGTGTCTCCCTCGCTTGTGCCAGTTCTTGATCCTATGAGCTCTAATAAGCTATTGCAATGCAATGTGCTTTTGCACCGAGTCTAATCCTCGTCTGAATAAGGTGGAGTCGGAAGCCTAACGAGTGTTCAGCGTCGAATCTGGAGCGTAAAGTGAATCTGGATACTTACTGTGTCCCTGCAGGGCCCGAGATATACTCGTCCACATCCACATTTCGGGGAGTTCGATGCCACTTGCCCTTCGCCAATTGTCCCTGTTCGTTGCGCTCCTCTTTCGCAACGTCGTCCTCATGCCAAGAAACATATTCCTTTGGATTCCACATTGCGAGCCAGAAGCGTTCCCAGAAGTGTCCAGTCTCGGGGTTGATATGTGCCATATCGCCCAGAAATAGCTCGTTCAGGAGTTTCTCATAGAATGAGTGAGGATATTGCTGAATTGTGCTCTTGTGAACTGCAAACAACGCGCCAGGCTGAAAACCAATGAAGGCTGGTATTTTCATGTCTTTGTTCGGAAAGAAATGCTGCCAGTACTGCCCAGGTGTCATGGGAGCCCTAAGGCACTCCATGGAGTTCCACTTGGACCAGCAAGGGTACAATTCCCAAGGAAAGCCATCCCAGAGGTCGAAAAGCTCAAGCTCACGAAAGGGGAAGGTCATGACTTGGCCGTCTTTGGTCGTGAGGGAGCGCTTGATGAGCTCAGCAAGACTGATTGAGACGTGGTCGTCGATACGGCCCTGGAGAAAGATTGTCACTTCAGTAAGAGTGTCGTAGTTGTGCACGATGTGGTGCAGGTAGGTGTGCCCTTCGCGGCCAATGTTGGGGAGCTTTTGGTGCGGGTGTGTAGGGGCGTTTTTGTCGCCACCTTTCGAATATATGGTACATGCTTTGATTGCGCCATCGAGCCAAGAGAGGTCTTCATTGTAGTGCGCGACTACAATCTCAAAGGAAGGTTGATGGGTCATGGTTGCTTTGTTTTTCTGATAATAATAAACTGGGGAGGTTAAAAATATGTGGCATGCTCGTGGCAAAAGACAAGTGGTAGATGTTGGAAAGTCAATTGAATTTGTACAATGACACTGAATGGCATCAAAGACGCGTTGAGGGCAGTCGCGACTAACGTCATCCATCACAAGACCAGTGTCGTCGGCGGCTGTCCTCAAGTCTAGACGCTTCCTACTATTCGTTTCCCATTCACACATCATGCACATGCAGGGCATTGGCGAACCCAATTCGACTTGCGCCTATGGGACGAACGAATGGCCATCTGATCGTACGATCTCTGAACGAAGCAACACGGCGAATAAGGTGCTGGTATCGTGGCAAACGCGCATTCAGCGGCGTTTTGATGAGCGATCGAGATCCAAACGCAGCCAATGCTCGACTACGAATAGCACTTTTCTTCCAACCGTGAAACATCTCAGATTTCAAGATCTGGCTCCAGCATGACAAAGAGGTGCAGGTACATACCATGGGTGTCGAACAGACAGATCATACCAATGCATAGCAGAACTTCTGAGCCCTTTCATGCCATCTGATAATTACTCAGACTGTTGTAGACGGCAAAGGACTGGGGCATCTTAAAAAACACAGGGGACGCCAACGTTCTTTAGAGATTCTCGGAATCTCTCCTCCATTCATGGATGACGATGCAGCAACGGCATGATTGGTCAGAACCGATCGTCTTCCTTCACTCTACAGGTAATGACCAAGTTAGCTGGGCAATTGTGGGAAAAGTCGAGGAGCTGAAGGATATTAGCGCACCAAGATCAAAACACGTAGAGCATTGCGAAGTCTGTTCATACCAATGAATTCAAATAAAAGCAGAATCTTTACACGCACGCAGTCGTCGGTCTATCGGGTATACGGTGATCATCATCACGCCAATGGGCGCGCCTCCCCACGCATTCACCATGCTAACACCTTCACCTCCCATATGTAGCTTTTATGTCTCATAATCATCTCCTTCGCTATCCCTGCTTCCCACTTTGTACAGGCTCTCGCCGCTGGTTCTTCTTCGACTCCTCTCCAGACTCCCGTCATATCTCCTTTCAAAGTCTTTTACCATGCTGTCGCTTTCATCGCTCTCCTGATGCTTAAGTGGGGCCCTCACATCCCTCTCTTCCCCTTCGTCCTCCTCATCACTCCGATCTCGGATTTTGTGCACGAACCAGCCCGGGTGCGCGGCAAACCAGCGATCGATCTGCTCGAGCGACTTCCCTGCCGTTTCAACGATGAAGAAGTAGATGAGGGGCACAAATGCCGCATTGAGGACCGAGTAAACCAGGTAGAGGCCCCACTTGAGGTGGTGTATTCCAATCGGCGTCGTTTGCACGACAAAGTAATTGAAGAGCCAGTCACACGCCGTCGCCAACGCCGCGCCCTTCGTCCGCATGCTCAGGCTGTTGACTTCTGCTGGGTAGAGCCAGGGCGTGGCGACCCAGCCGAAGCCAAAGGCCAGAAAGTACATGGAGATGAAGATGGTGGCTACGATGCCGGGAATGTGTGCACCGTTTTCGTGACCGATTTCCGTGCTGATTGAGATGCCGAGGAAGGCGACGGACTGGGCGGCTGCCATGGCCATGAGCAGAGGTCGACGGCCGAGGCGCTCGATGAAGAGGAGGGAGGCGGCCGTGGCGAGCATGTAACAGACTGCGTTGCCAGTCGCAAGAAGGCGAGAGGCCAGTTCAGAGAGGCCGACCGATTTATGAAGGACGAGAGGAAGGTAGTAGCACAGGACGTTGATGCCAGTGAGCTGTTGTCTGGTAGATCATTAGTCAGCTGGTACGAATGAGAAGAGGTTGTGGAGGACACACGCTACTTGCAACCCCATCCCCAACAACATCCGCCTGGTGGCCGTTCCGCCTTTGAATATTTTTGCCCACGAAACTTGTACAGCCTGTTCTTTCCTTACGCTCTCCTTGATGCTCTTGAACTCTTCCTCCACATCCTCCTCACTCAAGACCTCCAGCATCGCCTTCGCCTCCGCATCTCGATTTTTAGCGCACAGCCACCTCGGACTCTCTGGCAAGATCGGCACCAGCATCAAAATGACCACAATGTAGAAAAGCTGGATCCCCAATGGAAACCTCCACTGCGCCTCCGTAGTGATGCCCGAACACGCGAGTGTAATGATATTGCTCACAACAAATCCAAGCACATTGACCACCATCTCCTTCACCACCGCCTGCCCCTTCGCGTTCTGATGACTGGTCTCCACATGCCACACAGGCGCCGTAGCCGTATTGCCCCCATTTCCAATGCCGGCAATGAACCTTCCCCACAGCAGCCATTGCATATCCTGCGCCACCGTCTGCAACACAATCCCAGACGCCATAATAATCGTGAACACGATCAACATCCTCTTCCTCCCCAGCATCTCCCCCACAAACAGCGTCAGCACCGCCCCCGCAAAACAACCCAAATCATACACGCTTGTCACGAACCCCACCAAGCTCGGCGACGGCTCGTTGAAATATTCATTAAACTCTGTCCCCACGATAATGCCCCCGAAGACGCCCTGCTCGTAGCCAAACAGACACATCACTGTGCCCGCGGCGATGGAAATGGCAGTGTGTGTGGCGGCCGAACTCCATGGGGGCTGTATGAACCATGTCTTCCCGGCGATGGAGACACGGGACCGTGTTGAGGCCCGCCGGTGGTGGTGATATTGTGGGGACCTTGGGGACTTGTCGGGCTGTAGGACATTGAAGGAGGGGATGCGGGTGATTTCGGCGTCCGGGGCGTCGTCGCTGAGGCGTTGGTATGACATTTTGAGGGTTGTGGAGGAGGTGGGAGGTGTGAAGGACGTAGTAGAGAGGGAATAGGGCGGCGGGAGTTTGGGAGTGGTGAGGGTGGAGGGAGGTTAGGCTGTCGATAGGGGTAAGCGGAGGAGGGCGGAGGGCATTTCTTTGTTTATTGGGGGCCCGGAAGTATCATCGAGGATGCCTGATGGGGTTGGTGATGCGTGAGGCAGAAGGTTGGATGGCAGGTCGTCTTGAGAAATGGGCATGTGATCGCTTTCAGGTTTCTGCTTGTATCCCGCGGGATCATGGAGTTTTTAAGGTTGATCTATTTGCATCGGACTGTTTAGGTCGTACCTGAGAGCCTTGGCATTACGGCGGAGTGGATATCTGTGCCCGCTAGAACGAATCTGATCAAACGTTCCGCACGACTGGAGCGTCCGTCCCCGTTCTCTCTGATGATAGCGGTGATTTGATGCCGTGCTTGAATCTAAGCTCGCTGAGAAAGTCGAGAGCACAGTACAATTATTCTCCTCTACCAGAAAGGTATATCAGACTACTCTATGTCTCCTCAAACCCAGTTTGTACCACGTACACATTGAAAGCCGTGAAGCTCAGAGATGCGGGCTCATACACCGCTCTTTCTTACGTATGGGGCTCTTCGGAGCGAACGCACAGTATCATCTGCGACGGAAAAACTCTGCAGGTCACCCGTAGCGTGTTCGAATTGCTAACCTCTGACCACGCCAAGTCCAACAAAGATTGGCCATATTGGATCGATGCCATCTGTATCAATCAAAACGACAACGAAGAGAAGGCAGATCAGATTAGGAAGATGCATCAAATCTTCACCTCCGCAGAAAAAGTCACTGTCTGGCTGGGACAAACGGACCAGAATAGCGACTTAGCTATGGACAAGCTCTTGGCTTTGTCATTCTGCTCTCGAGATCTCGAGGCTTATGAGAATGGCCGAGAACTAACATCTGACTCGCAAGGTTTAGGATATCTCCGAGGCTTGAACGGGGATGAACAGGAGAAAATTGCAAGAGCGCTGGGCTCGCTATGCTGTCGTCCATGGTTTCTGCGAGTATGGACATTTCAGGAAATCATCTTAGCTGGAAGACGAGCGTTTCTGACTTGCGGCTCCAGATCCATGAGATGGTATGAATTTGCCGAAGCTACACGTTTTGTGGCGCGTGCAACAGTTCACGGCTTTTCCTTCGTCTTTGAAAATGCGAGTGTTGGTATGCATAGCGTAGAAAGTATTCAAGAGATGCTATTGCTATCTCGCCTTAGAGAACGCGAGAGAAATGGTCTCCATCTCCCACAACTCCTTGGTGTAGCGTCGAGAAAGAGTACCACAAACCCTCTGGACCGGGTTTACGGAGTGCTTGGCCTAGCGCCTCCAGCTCTACGGTCTAGGATTCGCATCAATTACGGTGATGAAAGCGAGGCAGCGAAGCAGCAGCTCAATATCGAATGCTTGAAAGCATGTATCAAACATGATCCAGAGCTTTCGCTGCTGTACATGGTATCCGGCTCGGAACCGCAAGCTGGTCTTCCTTCTTGGTGTCCTAATCTCTATAGCGGTAAGCTTCGGACATTGGCAATGGGTCTGCAAGGAAGAGCTGGCATAAGCTCTAGGTCTGTCGTGAATGGGCAACTTCCTAAAGCTTCGTGCCAAGCTAATTCCAACCTTCTCCGCGCTCATGGTTACAATCTTGATACGGTCGGAACCGTCGCAAGAACGACTTATCATTGGTCGGATTTTGCACAGAACTTAGAAAAACCAACTGTTGATGATGCAAAGGGAAATCTAGCTTGGCTTCAAGAAGTTTCAGCATTGCTCAAGCAACACGAACACACAGACATACCCGTATCAACCATACTCACACTTGCAGAAGGTGATCTTCCGGCTTTCAAAGACGTCAGTCTTCAAGAAGCCCTCAAGCACAACATTGAGATCTGGCAGCACTCAATCGATCCCGATCACCCTGTTCCCCAGATTGAGGAACGTGTTCGCACCGCGGCTTTTGTCCTCCACAGCCGCTTCCTCACCAATTGCCACCACCGTAAAGTGTTCGTGAGTAAGAAAGGTCTTTTTGGTGTCGGTCCACCAGACACTCGGGAAGGCGACAGTATATGTGTCTTGTATGGAGCGGGACCGCTATACTTACTGCGCTTTACAGAGACTGGTACTAGAATGTTGGGGAACGTTTACATTCATGAGATGATGGACTTTGATGCTGTTCCTAAAGATCAAAGAGGGAAGACTGAGACCTTCGTCATTAGCTAATGGCTCTATCTGCAAGATGCAAAGGTTTGAAGCGGGAGAATCTGGTCCCAATGGAAGCCGTTTCGTTCGTGCCAAGGTCCACTGATGAGCTTCTTAATGAGGCAATAGATGCCAAGGCCTAGGGATGCTACTAGTTGGTCTAAGCCACGCTGTGCTGGCAGCAGCCTAGCTGGCGGCAGTATTAGCACAAGGCTGAGAATAGAAATCCTTCTTTAAGATGCCCGAGTTTCCCCAGAGACCTTGGAAGACCTACAACTCCTACTCTTAGCTGCTTTGCGGCTTTACATCAGATATATCTGGTGATACATCATGCCTTATCAAATTTTACCCAACTTTCCATGATTGGACGGCATTTAAAGGGCTTCTGTGAAGCACAGCTGTCACATCGATAGTCGACTGACTTGGAGCTCTCATTATATTATCTATGGTCGCCAAGACGTGTCTCTCCTTGCTCTTTCTTGCTGGAGTAGGGACCACCGGTGTTCATGCGGAGGAAGTGAAACGCGTCCATGGATGGCAAAAAGAACCTGATGGCCGTGGAACTTGGAGTATCATTTGGGGCTGCCTAGTGACGATCACTCTATGTACCTGGTCTGTCTTGTACCTTTCAGTCCCGAAACATCAAGGTATGCGGTATAAACTCCGCAGAAAACTTGAAACACTTGCCGTCACACTTCTCGGTCCCGAGATTACAATTGGGTATGCAGTTCAAAATTGGCTTGCCGCAAGGGCTTTCTTAAAACGTGTGCATAGCAGTGGCAATCGTGATTGGACCATGACGCACGCATTCTTCGCCGTTGCAGGTGGGTTTACTGTTCGTATGCCCGATAAAGACGACTACAGAGTCAAACATACAACATTGCAAAGACTCATAGTGGACGGATGTGTCGATAGATTACCCATCTTCAAAGCAGAGTTACAGAGCCGAGGCAAAAGCGATTGGGTTGTTAAAATTATTGCTCTATTTCAGATTTGCTGGTTTGCAGTGCAGACCCTTTTCCGAGCGATTCAGCATCTACACGTTACAGCTGTTGAAATCATGACCATCGCTTTCATCTTCTGCTCGGTCTTCATCTACGGTCTCTATTGGCATCATAACAGGGACGTTGAATATCCAGTGATTATTGAAGTACGCAGCCTCACAGCAGCGTCAGGTGAAATCACACCTACGCAACAGACGAGAACCTTAGAAGACATCAAATCTATTGAGACGGATTTCCTGGAGTCCGTCGGAAAGGATAATGGTCTTCTGTTTCGTTGGCTTAGTACCGAAATTGCGGCCTGTGCCTTTGGAGCAGTCCATTGTTTGGCTTGGAGCTCGCTTTTCCCTACGCCCCAAGAAAGACTTGCCTGGCGAATATGCGCTGTGGCAACACTTATCTTGCCATTACTATTTTCAGTATTTGGGCTCATACCATACTGGTATCTTGAGAGTTTTTGGCGTGAGGACTGTTATGAGCATAGCCTCTGGGCCTGGGCATGTTTTTATGTGGCTGGAAGGCTGGCCATCATTGTCCTGGCGCTAATGGAGCTTCGAAGTCTGCCGTCTAGCGCACTTGAAACGGTGCAATGGAGCAAATATGTACCACACTTCGGCCCCTAAGAACACAACCAAGTAATCACCTGGCAGCTCTGTCAACCAAGCAAAGCTGCTACCCAACTATCAAGGATTATTTCCAGCGCAACCTGATTGCTTCTCGTTGGCTTATGTCTTTCTATACATAAGTGCGATCAACAATGCCGAGGACGTGGTTGTGAGAAACATCGGTGGAGGAGAAAAGCAGAGATAGCTTGTGACAATCATCGCTGCCGTCAGCCTGCTGGCCCAGTCTCAAGTTCGAAATTGTATCAGCATGTTTTTCACGGCCAAAAACGTCGCCCTTTCAAATGTCCAACCCCGATGTCCTAGTACAAGACCCATACTCCCCCAACAACTGGCCCACAACAACGAAGCCTCCCACAGCCGGCACAAGATAGCCCAATATAAGGTACAACCACATCGCCCGACCCCCGCCCCTACCCCATCATACTCAACCCCAATCTTATCAAAAGCAGACCGCAGACTCATCCCGCCGATGATATCAAAGACGAGTCACATCATCATCAACACTCGCTGAGCAACAGTGCTACGACCGCGGTAGAAGTGGGTCAGGCCTACTATCACTGCGATATTGATGGCGCCGAAGATATAAAGGGCTGTTGTTATTACGAAAAACGTTTTGTAGAGCGTTCATCTTTCATTTTCCGAGAGTTCGAAGGGGATGATGGATGTGCCGTGTGTGGACGAGACTGTGTTGGACATTTCGACTTGAGATTCCCACTCCGGCCTGGGCTCTGGAATCTCATTTCCCAGATCCTTTGGAGCCTCATCCTGACGTTCAGTTTGCAATTGGTCACGAGAGTCGCACCTTTCCGAATGATTCGTCTCACAAAACCCTCAATTTCACCGCCCCTGTCCATTGCATCATCAAACTCGAGTGAGCGCACAATATAAAGGGTTGGATAATCCGGCAGCAAAAACGCTCCCCCTGATTCATAATCGACATGATGATATACGAAATCACCGTGAGTCCAAACGCCGCAAATCTGGACAGCTTGATCTGGCTGCCGCGGGTTCTACACAGCGTCACGGAACCGTAGACCGTCTGCACGATTGAAAGGATCGCTCGAGAGACGTTGTAGGAGCAACAAGGAATCTTTGATGATTTTTGCGTTTGAGGCTAGACTGATCAATTCAGAAAGATATATCGCCGTTGCTGAAGGCCATTATTTCTTCGCCGTCCTCGGTCCTTCTGTTGACCGCTTTCCGCAGAGATCGAGAAATCACATCCCGACCAGGCACCCGCGAAACCCGACCATTATGGGCAATGTGGCTGATTTCGTGATGTATCTTGCCCCGTCCGTCGTACCTGGTCAGTTGCAGCCAGAGATACTTCCTTCAGCAATTCAGCCATGAATGCATTCCTGGGAACCAATCAACCACTGCCTCTTGGTAGCAAACGCGGAATCCATACCGGAGTGCTGGTTAATCGACCGACACCCCGTGAATAGATATATCAAAAGAGCCATGATTCGAAGCAAAGAGCACGTCCGTCAAGCATGTCTAGCTGGATATTTCAACAGCCATTCAATGCTCAGGAATGAATGAAGGAATGGATACCACAATGACCGTCTCCAGATGTCAGAGCAAAAGAGCATCCACTGTCAGGGACATCCATCACATTAGCCAAAGATTTGGGCAGAGCCAGTTCGACCGGCTATCCGAATTTTTAGGGACGGCACTACACTCCGGTAGGAAATATACCACAGAGCGTGAGGAGACTGCTGTCTGTTGAATAATACCGTAGCATAATTTCCCGGAATGAGAATTTTGATTACGCCTCTATTGTTTGAAGCCACCACCGGGCTGGTGGTGGCGTTATATACATAACATAGCCTTCGCCTTTCTAGGGTGATCACAGGCTACCCACTCATATATAGTACACTCAAACACCCGACTTTTTACATCTATAATCCGAACCCCAGCCTGAACGCCTCGCTATGCCGTCCCCATACCCCCATACCCATACCCCTCCTCCTGTCATCGCGCTCTTCCCTCACTACTCTCCAACCTCCAACCCCGCTCAACCCCAATACTACTATCAGGCACATTCCGTCTCCTCTCCCCTTCGCCCCCAACACCCGCATGCGTACTCGTGCCCAACCGCTCCGTCCGTCCCTGGCCCAAATCCCTCGCCTCAGATCTCGGATCCAGGTTCGCGAGCGCAACATCTTGGTTCACGGCCATACCGCCCTTTCCCCTCTCCGTGCCCCCACCCGCACCATACTCATGATACCAATACCCCTTATCACGTCCCGCAGCGCCATTGTACTCCCTCTCGTCATCCTCATGCGTACTCAACTGGGCCTCGACATCGCCCTCTCCCTCCCCAAACCCATTCCCATTCCCGTATTTCGACGACAGCAGCGTCGGCTCCGTGTTGCGATTTCTAGAAAGCGGGAAGGGCGAGCCGGTGGAGGCTGTGGAGTGATCTGTGACTTTTTTGAGGCCGGAGCCCTGGCCTGAATCCGAGGCTGTGTCCACGCCGGTGATTTTCGCCATGCGCGCCCGCCCGGACCGGTTCAGGTACGAGGAGAAGAAGTTGTAGGAGCCCCAGACTAGGGGCCGGAAGGTCACGAGGCACGGGCAGAGGATGCCGAGGTAGACTTCTGTTACGGTCCAGTAGCCTGTGCGACCTTGGTCGTCTAAGGGGTACGAAGATGTTAGTGAGGTGATTTGTGTGGAAGGGCGGGTGAGAAATGGCGGTGTGCGCTTTGTAGTTCTGTAGATAGGGGGAGGAGAGGGGAGTGGAGGGGAGGGGTGCACTCACAGAGCGGATCGAAATTACTGCCCGTAAACGTGTAGTAGCATCGCATAATACTTGCGATCAACGTCAGCACTCCCAGGCAGAAAATCGCGCTGACGCCCAGTTTGTGCATTTTGCTCATTTGGAGGGACCAGACGACCATGAGCGGCATGACGAGCAGCAGCGCATCCGTTGCGATGTTGAAGCTGCAGTTGCCGAGTTGCAGCTTTCGCGGGTCGATTGTATGCGTGATCTTGACTTTTTTGTCCCACACTGCGTTGACGGGGAGCACCTGGATGGCTACGACGACTATCCAGGAGATCATGTAGCCGCAGTAGGCGGCGATCATGAACCAGCAGGCGTATTGGAACCATAATTTCACGTTGAAGATCCTTTTGTAGAGGAGGACGAGGGCAATGCGGGAGATGGGGAAGGTGGTGTTGTAGATGAATCCGTAAGCGTATCCGACCTGGAATTCTGTCAGTCTGCTGGCTAGGGCGCATGCGAAGGGGCAATTGTATGAGAGTAGAGGCTGTGGAATGCGATGGGAGTCTTACTCTTCCTCGGACTCTCGATTGCGCCGGCGTGACCGTCAGGGTGTGGTGGCCAAACCCGTTCTTTATATTTAAAACCACGCAAACACAATGACCTATTACCAGAACCTGCGTACCAGAGTCGCAGTCAGCATTGGATCTCGTATGCCCATTTACGGAAACTATCCTTCTCCGTTGCAGAATCTGAGGAAAGTTGGGAGGATAGCGCATACCGCAGCAACCATAAGGACATAGTCGTCGGCTTTGTATGGCGTCTTCTGGATCTTCCTCGCCCAAAATCGTAGGATGACTGCCACTTCAACAACACATAGACCGACGATATTCCATGTTATGAGGCCGGGCACGCTGCTTTCGTTCGGATGCGCCAGCTGATACGCCTTCTCTTGCGGGGTGATGCTCATGAGACTCATGTTGGTGGCGAGTCCAGCAATCTCCCAGCTCTTTTGCGCTTCAAAGGCTTGCTCGCCTGTTGAGAAATCGTGAGCGATCAAGCTTCAACAGCGAGCCATACGTGCGATGCTGTACCAGAGGCACTGTGATCTGTGCTGGGTAATGGATTGGACGTTGAAGAAGTTTGACAGGTGTGGGACCCAACATTCCTTCATCGGGCCGTCACGCGATTTTGTCCAAATTGATTGCCGGCTACGTGATTGAGTTTGCCATGGCAGTAGCCTACGCCTCTGGGCCTCGGGGAAGACGGCAGGGGCTGGGCAAGGTACAGGCCCTACCAGTAAGCGGAGCAATCAAGACTCCTTGCGGACTCTAGGTACGTAAAAATCTGGAAGCTATACCTCGAGAGGAAGGGTCGAAAGCTTTGTGTCGGCAAAGTCGGTATCAGATGCTGTGGTGGATACAAACGTCATCTATAATTTGATGAGTTGTGACGGAGAAGTTGAACGTTCAGACGCTTCCGATACTCTATCGCAAGTCGCCAAAATGCACAGGTGATTCCTTCAAAACTCTTCAACCTTCGTTGTGAATAATGATGACGTCCAAGAGGCCCATCGAGGCCAGTGACCTGATTGTCGAAGGAACGAATCTCTGTTCTCTTGATCCGCTATCGGTTCCTGCAGCAGCATTTGTTTCCAAGGCAGCGGGTGTGATCATGGAGTGGGGAAGGCCACGTTCTGTGCCTCAGAGCTGCAGTAACCCCGGTACACGCCTTTTGCACTACTCTATAGCGTACTTTCCACGTGCCGTCTTTCGACCCCAGCTTGCAGCTCTTGCCTTGCATTAGGGTGGGGCTTTACCTAAAGGACCCGCTGGTGGTTGGCGAACAGGCTGATCGCTACCTGAAGAGAGTGTAGTCTGAAAGCCGTAGCCGCGCCAACAATAACGGACCAGGTTGAAGGGCAGTTTGAGCCGGTTCTGCGACACAAGGGTGTTTGTCCGCATCACTACCAATTGCGTGATGTATGAGGGACTATATTATACATGCTTTTATGTTTACGAACTGATGCGACTGCGACGTCTTCGCTGAGCGTTATCTGCTGTTGTAGCAATCGTCGCAGGACGGTAAAGTGCTTGATTCCACCACGCGCATCTCGGATTCGATTGGTCATCTTGGACCTGTGTGATACCCTCCACTGTGATGTTTACTGCATTTGCCTGATCGCCCCATATCGGCCACTCGGTCTGGCCAGCTGCAGCAGGATCGCCTTTGCCTACGAAGTTGACGAGGTACTGTTGCAGTTGGACAGCCCTTTCTGGGTAGAAGCCAATCGTGGGATTGGTGGGATAGTAGGTGTATGCCAGGTCTTGCGCGTGGATTGCCGGTGGGATGCTGAAAATGTAGTTGTGAGTTTTGTTCTCAAAGGCTTTGGCAATATGATAGCTTCCACAGCTGAGCGTCTGCTCTTTGCGCATCAGTTGGAGCCGTTCTGAGTTGGTTGTGTATGGCAGGTCAGTTTGAGGTAGAGGCGGATAAAGAACATTGAAGATGTAATCCTTGATTTCCTGCGACGCCGCTGGGAGATTCGTATCAAGGTAGGTCTTAATCGCTGCATCGGTCGTAGTGCTCGTGCCAACGGAAACGCCAGTTTCGCGATTGTTGTTGGCAGCAATGACGTTCAGCTCCTTATTGAACTTGCCTGCGTTCATCAGACGGAGGGGCAAGTCGGGTATTATGTCTCCGTCAACGCCAGGTGCGAAGGACATGACCAAGAACGGAATTGCTGCATTCGCCTTCTTGTTGGCCTCCTGCAATTTCTCTGTCGGCAATTTTCTTGCTTCGTCTACGGACGTGACTCCCGCTGTCTGGAGAAATAGATTTGCTCCTATGCTGGCCTGTTCCGGATAGACCGGCTCGACACCTGCGCTTTGCGAAATGATTTGCTTGAATAGCTTATTTTCATCCGGCTTGGAACCGCCATATGCTACCGTATGGTAGACTACGCTTGAACCGCCAGCTGACTCCCCAATAATTGTGACTTGACTGGGATCGCCACCAAAGAGATGAATATTCTTTTGTACCCATTTCAGGGCCAGTCTCTGGTCCAGAAAGCCTGCATTAGGGGAGGTCGTATTACCTTGTGACTTCTCTAGATTCGAGAGGAAGCCAAATGCGCCAAGCTATTGAGTATCAGTAGATGATTGCGAAGTTAAATACCAAAAAAAATACCCTGTAATTGATAGACACGTAGACGAACGAGTCTTGACTTCTCTCTAACAGCCCTTGCGGCTTGTAAAAGCCGGCTTTGTCACCAGAATAGAACCCACCCCCAAATATATTGAACAGAACGGGAGCCAGATCCCATCTTTTCGCCAGCTTTTTGCCACTTGGTTCGCGGTTTTGGAATACCTTTGCGGGGACGATGACATCTAGAAACAAACAATCCTCGCTTTCAGCTTCTCCTGAAAGACCTGTCGTCACGGGAGACCCAGTGTTGGTGGTTGTGTTGCTCACAGCCCAGGCTGGAATTGCCTGTGGGCACGTAAACCCTACTGAGCCATCGTTGACCTTGTGACGGTCTTCTTGAAGTGGGGGTTGGGGGTCGGCGAATCGAAGATCGCCTAATGGAGGAGCTGCGTATCTGATATTGGAGAAGTTGTAGTATTGACCGGTCTCCTGTTGTGATTTAGCTGCAAGTCCCCCACATTGGCTTTTGCCATCGCTGAGAAGCCTACATTGAAGGAGGTTGGACGATACAGCGCGTAACCTAGGTCGATAATGGCCGAGTCTTTTTGTGCTCTTGGTATAGCGGGTGTGGTTCCTTCAACACCAATTGCGCATTGCGAGAAGAAGAGAGCTATGCCTATACGACTCAAGCCATGAGGGGAGAACATGTTTGCAGGGCAATTGAGTAGTCACTGTCCTGGAGAGTTGTTGGAAGGAGGAAGCTCTTTAGAAGACGACAGCAATGTAAGCAGTGGTTAGCGGCTTGCGCCCACGGCGCCGGAGATGCTGCCATGTTCAGAGCTTGTGCATGATGATTGCCTACCGTGCAGGTCGGCTTGGTCGGTAGGACGGGCAAAAGAAGCTAGACATGACGTAAACTTTGGTGGTAAGTTGCATCCTAGGATGTACCAGCGCAAGTAATTTTCCGATGTGGCTTCAGAACAGAACCACGCTTGAACACGCTTGTCGCAATGATCGCTGATAGGGCCTTGTACAAGCCTGTTTCTGCCAACTTGCTCCTTCGTGTTCTTTGCGCACAGCCACGAGATCGGTACCGTACTCGTAGAATGGTGTATTATTCTACGCGAGAGACAACCTTCGACCGTCTGAGCTTCCAGAATAAGCATCCCGAGCCGCGATATCCCTACTCGAACGGCTCGGACTATAACCGAACTCACACCAACAGGACGAACTGAAGGCAAAGCGGTCGCTTGGGTTGTGATATAGCAAGCTTATCGGCCTCTAGGACTATATCGACCCTCATGCTTTTACAATCATCGCTTCTAGCAGTCGTAAACGTGCGACTTGACGGGCGAACAAGCTGTTGGAGGAGGTCAGAGCTGAAAGATGGTGTCTGGCAACGCGGGGGAACTGTTTGGCTAAGAGGCCCGAATGACTCCGATCAACGGAGCTACCAGCTCCGCTGCAACCCCGGATTAGAGACCCGCTCACGCTGCCGAAGACTCATTTCGGCTGGCTTCCGGGCTGAAAAGGCCCTGAGACAAGTCTTAGTCTTCCCTGGGGCCAAGCTTGGATCGAGATATATATGCATATTATTATTAGTGATGTAGTTTGCGCAGCTTTTGTGCCTGTCAGCTGTATACCGATTCTTTCATAAAAGGGGACCTCCTTCTCACTTCCTCCCCCTTCCATACGAGCGCAACAGGGGCGAAGCTAAGAGCAAAGGCCACGAGTCCAAGTAGACTGCTTGCCCAATGGAATCCCAATCTAGTGTACATGCTCTGGCTTGCGAGCGGCAAAAATGCAGCAAAGATGTTCTCACCAAAGCAAATTGCCGCCGAAGCGCTCGCAGCATATTTCGCATAGGCGTCTGTGATGTACATCATGATGGCTTGCATGACGACCATACTGCCATAGCCAATGAGGAAGAGTCCCGCTGTTGGAAGCCACCACGAGAGAGTGGGGTAGGACGTCCATCCGTACCAAAAAAGACCCCCCATAAGCCCGACAAGTGAGCCTGGTATGGCGAGGTGAAGCCTTGACTCGGGGAGTAGAGGATTTGGAATGAGTGTGCTTGCAGATAGCGTGCGTGCGAAATGAGGATCTTGGATGAAGCAACAAGACAGGAAGCCGACGATTTCGCCGACCACTAGAGCTGCTTGGACAAATCCTGTCTGCGATTCGGCGAAGTCATAGTTGGTCGAGTATACTTGAGTGACCGATTGCGTAGAGATGAAGACAAGGCCATACGATAGGCCCGAGAGAAGGGTGAAGGAGAACACCACTGCCTCGGTGCATAGCAGAAAGCTAGGGCGAATGATATTTTCCCTTAGGAACACTTGAAACGAGTGTAGCGCATCACGCTGGTATAGCCGATATTCACCGTGAGATTGTGGGGGTTTCTCCTCTTGTCGTTTGAGGGTCTTGGACAAAATGACCGGAAGCCTTGTCTCGCGAAAGATCAAGAGTACGATCGGAGCAGAGGCCCCGTAGATCATGAGCTGTATATACAGTATCCTGCAGGATCCAGTCAAAAAGTAGATCTCATCATTGGGAAAGTTTCATACCATCGCCAATAAAGGGCTTGCGCAATGGCACCTCCAAGGACAGGACCAACACTCACTCCAGTAAGAAGAGAAACTACATAGCACGACACGGGGAGACTACGCTGGACAGGCCCATTCCACATGTCAGCAATGATACCATCCATGACGCCCTGCAGCACTCCACCGCACGACCCGGCGAGAAAGCGGCAAACGATCAGAGTGGTAAAATTCCTCGCAGTTGCCTGAGGGATGACGAAGATGAAGAAGACCACGTAAATGATCAGATAAGCAAGTCGCATACCGTGTTCCTCCATAATGGGCAACACCAACATCGGCGCAATCGCAGCTCCGGTATTCCATGCGGTGATTGGCCAGACTGAGTTTGGAAACGAATGATCGGAGATGCCAAATCGGGTGTTGGTTTCGCTGGCGGCTGCTGTGATGGCTGTCGCATTGATCCCGACGATGAAGGTCACGTAGCATGCTATTAGCGTTACAGACCATTTCTTAGGGATAGACCAATTGAATGGGTAATTCGGATCATTGGACTCTGTCTGCTGCGTTGTTGACGGAGGGTTTTCAACATTTTGCTTCTCTTGGTCAAGCATCGATGTTCGCAGAACCTCATTGGGACCACTAGGGGTGGCAAAAGCCATGATATTGGGGGTGTCCTGTTGATCTATCAGGGATGCAGCGTTCGGGGCAAAGTACCTTCGAGATTTTGATATGAGGGGAGGAGATATTGTTTTTGATTCGACGTGCAATGACAAGCGTGGCCAGATATACTTAGGGAGATAAGAGGGATGTACCAATTTGGCAGCAATTTGAGGACAGAATGTACTTCACCCAAAGATCGCCGAGCTATACCAGGCCCATGTGGTACTTGTCGAAAGAATATTCGGTGGCTACCACCAGCTAGACTAACATATCATTGAGAAACGCTGTGTGATTCTGAGCTTCTTCGTCAAATATATGCCTGTCTTTGAGGAACCGGAGAGCTAGTGGAGGCAGACATGGGCCTGCAACAATGTCTGCAGTATGGGCTAGGACTTGATGCAATCACTAGGCAGAGTACTGCCTGACTATGTAGCAGTCGTGAAAATACTAAGGAAGCATCGCAGATGATGGTGAGCGGCGAGGGGCGGGCTAGCCGGATGCAGCATTGCGCCTCCCTATAAAGGCTCCCTAAGCAGGTGCTCTGGGGGTGATCTTATAGGGGGAACTTAGGGGGCGAATGGCAACGACATTCCCAATCATAGGATTGAGAACAACATCTTCCAACCATTCGAGGTACAACACAGCACTAAGTCCACGGTGTCCTTGATGAGATGTCTCGAGTCCTGGAAAGATGAAGCAATATGGATTCCGTCGCGCTGCTCCGGTTGGGCTCACTGATCTTCGTCTCGTACCTGTCTTGGGATACCGAAGAAAGTCTTCTTGGATTGATCAATGTCGACACGAAGGAGGCAGCAAACGTTGTAAGGCGTAGTGGACGTTTCCATCTGCTCGTGCATTCAATCTCTATCTAACATTGCTAATACTTGAGAATCTGACGGCTCCAATCACGAAGAGGGAGTGCTGTGACGCAAGCATGCGACTGGTAGCTTGCAAGATCCAAAGCACATGCGAACGCGTCTTTGCCCCATTGCTGTAGCCGCTAGAAGCACAGCAAATGTTTTTGAATTGCCTCGTTAGCCCTGATGGCTCATCAGGTGTATCTCTTCAACTGATGACTTCACAGTCCATGACCAATCTTCGGACCAATGGAAAATGGGTTCTTCTCCACCTTGCATGTTGAATGACGACAACTCATTACTTGAGATGTAAATAAACCACAATCGTCCGCTCAGTTACTCTCAAACCAGCTCCCACGACTCCAGACCACACCCATGCCTCAATTGACGCTCTACGACCTATCCGCCTCCCGCTCCATTCGCACCGCCTGGCTTCTCGAAGAGTTGTCCCTCCCGTACGCCCTCATTCACGCCGATCGCAGCTCCAACGGTCTCTCCGACGCCGACTTCAAAGCCCAGACTGGTACCATACTCGGCAAAGCCCCTGTGTTAAAAGACGGATCCCTCACCATCCAGGAAAGCGGAGCTATCACCGAGTATCTCATCTCGACCTACGATCCCGAGGATAAGCATGGGCTCTTACCCAAGCATCCTGTGCCCGTGAAAATGAAGATCTTAGAATTTGTTCATGCTGCTGAGGCGACATTGATGCTGCACTGCTTGCCTTTCATCTACGCCAAACGTGTTGCTCCCTCTCCATTCCCGCCTCTGGAACAACTTCAACCTGGCCTCCAGGCGATCGTGAGGAAAGACCTCGATTGGTTGGAGGCGGAACTGGAGAAGAAAGGAGAAGGGTGGCTTGTTGGAGATGGGGTGAGCGCGGCGGACACAATGATGGGATTTTCTGTGATGTTTATCTTTGCTAATAGTCTTGCCGGTGAAGCGGAGGGGAAGTGGAAGCGAATCTTGGAGTGGATCAGGAAGATTGAGGATCGAGAAGCATATAAGAGGGCCGTGGAGAAGACGGGATTTGTGCTGAAGCCGCAATAGATAGACGAGGATGGAGAAAGAGTCGAGCTCACGGGTGGCGAAATCGTCTCACAAGTGTTGGCAGCAGAGGCTCAGAATTGTCATTCATACCGAAATTGCAGAAAAGGAGCATCGTCGAATCAGCACAAGGACACAGATGAGCAACTAGTCGAATACAATTCAGAGAATCATGGACAATTGCTAGAGATCTGGTAGTCTACCAGGCCCAATGCAAGCCTCAGAAGGAATGGGTCTGGTCGACCGGTCTCCAACATGACTTATATACAGAAGCGGACGCCCACAATTCGCTTGGTCGTTTTATTTCCATTTCCAACTCCGTTTCGTACCTTACTTGTACACGCCTTGCGACTTCCTGACTTTGCTCGCAAAGCAGGCTTTTTGTAATCTATGCTGTAGGCCCCCATTTGGAGCCGATTCCCAACTTACTCATACCTAGACTTCTCACATGGGGTGCAACATCTCGATGATTCGACACAATTTCGAGGGCGAATCAGTGATATCGAAGAACTGATTGCTTCTGCCTCGCTGAGGCCTGCCCTTTCAAACAGCAGAACCAGGACCTTTCACCTGGCTCAGTCCATGTTGGACATTCTCGACGGGATATTGCGTACGCTCCGCATAAGCAACATCATAGTCACTCTTTACAACAATGCCATGGCTTTTGGGAAGTATGTTCTCCTCGCTCTCACTGCTGCTAAGTATCCTTTGAGAAATCCGATGGCTTGCATTCGGCTTTGACCCAGGGATAGACCGAAGCTGCACACTGCCGCCTTTCGAAATACTTCCTGTCGTGTCAAGTCCGCCACTGCCTTTGCTCATTCGAGAGGCCCTGTACTCGCTCACACTACGGAAGAATTTGACGAAGAGCGGTCGCAACGTGGGAATCGTACCCATGATAATGATCAACCACATCTCCGTCTCTGCCCAATTGATCAAAGGAAGAATGGCGTAGGTGATATCGTGAGACGCTAATAGGGTAAGGATGTAAGAAGTTTTGATAGCAGCCGCCGTACCAGCAATGGCGCCACCAGCGAAAAGAATACAGAGACCGAGTCTTTTTTGCCAGTTGAGTTGTAGATTCCAAAAGATGACGGACGGGTAAAATGCGAGAAAGAAGTCGCATGCTGCCGACCAACTGCCCTGAAAGACACCAATGCGGAGTATGACACTCTGTGCATCGCAGTTTCCTGGTTTCAGTACATTCCAAAGTTTGTCTCTGGGCTCGCACTGAAACCAAACAAGGACGCTCTGATTGATGTTCAGAAGCATTGTCGATGCACCGATGAAGTACAGGATCCAGCGTCTCGTCCTGTTCGCTGCATGTCCTTGAATATGAAGCAGAATGTCGAGGATGGCAAGTTTGCCAAACCCAGTGGAGAGAATGGTGCAGACATTGAATATCCATTCGTACAGAAAGCCAATGCCTAGGTGAGTTGGATCGATTGCAGTCAAATGATTTCCAATCCCGTAATGAGTCGCCAGTGCGAGGAAAACCTGCGCAAGAAGTCCAAGTATCTATGACCACAACCGGTTGGTAGTGTTTCCTATTTAAAGAGGGTGAGACTTACGTAGGCTATGAATACCCACAATAAATCCCAAGTCGTTCGTCCAGTAAGTGTGATGCTGACATATACTCGAAGTCCCAGCAAAATAGTTGCTACACCCATAAGCCCTGAGGCCACACCAACGGCCACAGGTCCTCCACCACCGAAAGAACTGGAAGGCATTGGTGATGCCATGTGAGAAGACATGTTCGAAAGACAGTGATTCAACCCCCCAGTACCCTTTATTGCAGAACCCCCATCAAGAACGTCCACAGGATGTTATCGGCGGTGGAAAGAAAGTCCCTTATCAACCACGAAGAAATCTGCCATGGCAGCTTACTCCTTAAGAGTTTCGGGGGGATCACCTCCGATACGGCAATTGACAGGAGTAACCACAGCTGGGCCTGTCAAACAGACCCAACCATATGCTAGCTTGCAGTCTATGGATGCACTATCTTGCGCGTGGCGTCCACGCTACATACGGGGACTGCTAGCCCGGCCTAGATGTCTGAGCGAAGGCCACAGCGTCCCAGGCTAAATTCCTTTTAAGGTAGTGAGAGGCTCCTCCTACTGCAGCATTATGCAGGACAGGGGTTACAAGCGTGGTCTCCCACGTTCTAACAGTGGATCTTGTCTGCTCCAGGTAAGTGTGGCTGCGACCTGCAATCCTTTGCACACTTAACCTATTTTAACCCTTGTATAGTCACAAAACGTTCTTCGCAAGTTTCTTCCAAACGCATCAGGTCTTCTACGCGAGCATCGGTCTAGGCAATTCGGGACGATGTTGCTGATTACTATCCAGGTTCAAGGAAGCCCGTCTTCGTTGATAATTGTCGAAGAGACCCACACCTTTTCCCCAACCCTGCACTTCTCGACATACCATCCTGATTTGTGTACAACATGTCGTCAACACCCACAGAATCGGCAGAAAAGCCATACGAGCAGGTAGTAGTCGCTATCGATGAGAAACAGACCGCCATCGAAGGCTACCATGTCGGCGTTGACAACTACGACGACAGCTCCAACCTCAAGAAGTCTGCAGACGGGCGCTATGTGCTCATACCACAGCCAAGCAACAGCCCAGATGACCCTCTCAATTGGTCGCCAGCAAAGAAAGCTGTGACTCTCGCTATCATCGGCTTTATTGCATTCTTGCCCGATTACGCAGCAGGTACAAGCATCATCACATTGATCCCCCAAGCCATGTGAGTCTGCACCTCAATGACCCCTCCCAACCGTTCCAGCCCATACTAACAAGCCCCAAAAGTCAATGGAAAGCAACCCAATACGAGGTGCAAAAAGCCGTCGTCGGCAACATCTTCTCCCTCGGAATCTGTGGTCTCGCCGTCGTAGCCCTATCCAACTACTTCGGCCGCCTCCCCATAATATTCCTCTTCCAATCCCTCTCCCTCATGACAAGCGCCTGGTCCGGCGCGGCCACAAGCCTCAATTCCTACATCGCTGCGCGCATCCTCAACGGGCTCGTCTCGAGCGCTGCCCAAGGTGGTGGGCTCATGTGGATCAAAGACCTCTTCTTCTTCCACGAACACCCCCGCAAGATCAACTACCTCGAATTCCCCATCATCCTGAGCCCGTATCTAGGCCCCTTGATCACAGCCTTCATCACCTACAAGACTACGTGGCCCTGGGGCTTCTGGGTCTGCACGATCCTGTTTGGCATCGGCTGGCTGTTGATCTTCGCGTTTCTCGATGAGCCTTACTATGATCGCAGCATACCCGCGGACCAGCAACTCCCTCGTCGTTCGCGCTGGATGCGCCTCATTGGCGCTGAGCAGCTGAAAGCAGCTCGGTCGGAGAAACGGCCGTTGTCTGTGATGGTGCAGCCGATCCTCGCGATCACGAAGATTCCGGTCTTGCTTATCGTGATATACTATTTCCTGAATTTTGCGTGGGTGATCTCCGTGAACACGACCATCAGTATCTGGCTCGTCAACTTCTACCACTTTAATCCCAAGAATCTAGGTTTGTCTCCTCTCCCCTCCCTGTCATATTTCCCTCCCCATGCTTATCAGACCCTCACTGATCTTCACCACAGGCTTCTTCTACTTCTTCGGCGTCATCGGCGTAACACTCGGCTGGTTCGTGGGTCACTTCCTCCACGACGCCTTCGGCACCCTCTACGCCCGCCGCCACAACAACACCATCCTCCCCGAAGCACGCCTCACAATCTCCTACCTCGCAACCCTCATCTCCATGATCTCCCTCATCATCCTGGGCCTCGCGGTCCAGAATCACTGGCACTATATGGTCCTCGCCGTCTTCGCGGCCGCGCAGTGCTGTGGGATCATGATCTGCACGACGGCCGTCAATGCATACCTTTTGGATTGCTATCCGGGGCAGTCAGGGGAGGTGAGCGCGTGGGTCGCGGTTGGAAGGATTTGGGGCGGGTTTATGGCGACATATATACAGTTGCCGTGGGTGGGACGGATTGGACCTGCGAAGGTGCTGGGGGCGCAAGCGGGGATCACGGCTGCGGCGGCGTTGATCATTGTGTTCTTGCAGGTGTATGGACGGCGGATCAGGATGTGGCAGGAGGGGAAATCGGTGGTGCAGAAGTAGACTGCTGTTTGATCGGTGTGGGCGGGTAGATTCTAGCATTTGATAAATAGCCTGCTGTACTTGCAACTAGGATACCACCTTACAGCCACGCATACTTGACGCAGCCTCAACAGACTCAGTGGAATCTACCCCTATAAATTCACACCTTCCTACACTCCACAATCCCCTCATGCTCCCCATCCCCATCACTCCAAATCCTCACAATCTCCAACCCCACCCCTTGCAACAACCGCCTCCAATGCCCCTCCGTCCGCTCAATCCCCGCCAAACTAAACAGCATATGCACATCCATCGCCGCAGCCCTGAACCCGGCCCCCGTACTCGGCAGCACAAAGTCCTCAAACAATATGCGTGAATACCCCCTCTCCATCGCCTCCACCGTATTCTTGAAAATCTCCTCACATCTCAGATCCGACCAATCATGCGCAATGTTACGAAAGAAATAGATTCTCGCCCCCTTGATGGGTTGGGGCGTGAAGAAATCGTAGGGCATGCACTCCACCCCCCCTCCCCCTCCCATCCCCCCCTTCGCCTCAATAGAAGCAATCGTCTCCGGCAAATCCTGCAAAACACACCGCCCCGGCAGATGCGGAAACCGTTTCCGAAAGCCCGCGACATCGTGACCGCTTCCCCCCGCCACATCCACGAGCAACACATCCTCCTCCCCCGTCTTCAAGTCTGAGGGGGCGAGTTCGGCAGCGGCCGGGTAGAGGTGGAACCATTCGGGGACGAGATCGCCCTGGCGGCGAGACGCCATGTACAGGTCGAAATCGCGCTTGCTTTCGGCGTCGTTTTCGAGGTATTTCCAGAAGGATTGGCCCGCGTGCGAGTATTCCCACGGCGCGATGTGGCCCGGCAGGTCGTTGAATTGGTCGATGCGGCCGGTGCTAGGGGTGGAGGAGGTGGAGGTGGATGGGTGGGAGGAGGAGGGAGGGGTGCGCATTTTGCGGATTAGATCTTGGCCTAGTTGGGTGTGGAGGTCGAAGCTGGGGGTTGTTAGGGGTGGGGAAGTTGAGGTGGGAAGGGAATGGAATGGGGGGAGGAAGGGGGAGAAGGGAACTGGGGGATGACAATGGGGCGGGGAGGGCTTACTGGTGCTTCTCAGCGCCGGTCATGCCCGGCTGGTTCATGAAGTGCGTTATGGCGTTGGGTTTGTAGGTGTTCTCGGCGACTTCATCGATGAGGCCTACGGCGATGAGGAGGCGGATGAGTCGTTCTAGTCGCTGGTCAATGACATCCATACGGCATTTATGATACGCTCACCTATCAAGAGCTTGTCTTCGCCTGTAGCCTCCGAAAGCTGCGTCGACGTGATTTGCGGCTCTCCTTTCGCACACAACGTTGTCCAGACGCCATTCTCGATGCAGATGCGGACGGCGAATTGTTGGAGAAACTGTTGGATACATTCCCATAATGAACCAAATTTTCAAAGATGACGAGCAGAAAGAAAGCAAGACAAGACCTACGCCGAACCTGTTCTTGAACGCCCGCTCAGCAGGTGTCTCGATCGCACGCTGCAAAAGAGTGCTTCCATCTACAAGACGAGCCCGCGCTTCTCGGTCGCCTGCTTTGAGCGCTTTCACATCCTTCTGCAGTGTTTCGAGGAGGGTCTCGAGCTTCCCAACGTCTACTGGACCCTGCTGCATCTTATCGACTTGTCACGTTTGGATTTGCAGAAGGGTGGCTTGTCAGGGTCCAAACAATGGCTCCCTCTGATAGACGATTTCACAATGCAGGATACTTAGAGCAGCCACCGCAGCCACGGAATCTGGACTGCAGATGACGTCGCTCCTATCGCTATTCGGGCTAGTAAATCCTGGTGCTCTCGATTCCTATGATGCTGTCTGTCCAGGAACAGGAGCTCCGAATTGCATCTGCACGCGAGGATATGTTTAGTGCTTAGTGTACCTCGTTAGTCTTTCTGCAAGGGGGAGACCTGCTATAGTGGCTACACTAAATAAGCCAATGTTGCCGATCTCTGTCAACTTGTCAGGGGATGTCCTTCCCCGTAAACCTAGAGTGGCAGCTCTACAGGGGTGAGATCCTATCACACTCCGTTCGAGCAGTCCTTCCTACCTGTGTCATCAGCCTCCCGAACGACCACCATGTCACGACCCGTGTAAACTCATGAGCTGACTTGTCCCTATCTTCTCGTCACGTCAAGAACAATAGACGAGGTTGGTTAGTCTGCAGGTGGCGCCGCTAAATTCTACCGCCTTATCTCTAGGGGATATTACAAGGAGGGGAGCCCTGAAGCGTGCCCTAGAAGCTCGTCTTTACGCTTAAGCGCACCCCCTATCTCCCCTATACTCGTATAGGTTGGCGCCCTCGGGAAAGTTATAATAAGTCAAAGACTAGCCTTTCGTAGCCTAGCTTCTTGGTGGGCAGCTTTGGACGGACGAAATTCAAAAGTGACCGTCTTCATTTCCCTCTACCATAGCATGAGCAGTGTTTCCTTATGTAGACCATGTCAGGTAGTACAAGACCAAATACTCGTCAGACGCCCATCTAATCGTGTCTAGGCCCGCTCTCTACAGGAAAACGAACGCTTTCTTCTCAACATATTAAGGGATGCGGCACTGCTCATTAGCCTGTTGCAGCCTCTAAATGCCATATCGCGCGTGATTCTCCCTGCCGGACACATCTTCAATTGATGGCTATGACTGACATAAATGATGTTGGTTCACCTCTGAGAACGCCTAGTGTGTATATCTTTTCCAGACCTAGATCTGAATGCGACTAGTGTTCATGATTGACGTCAGCTGCAAAGCGCAAAGACGTAATGAACACCTGACAAGGACGTAGCTGCTGAAAAGGTACGAGGGTAAAATCTCCATTATTGAGGATAGGGAGTTGCACGTCTGCATCGAAAAGAGTAGCAAAAAATATCATGCCGATAAAGAGGAATTTTCTTGCTTGTCACACGCAGGCGGGCATACCGGAGATGCCTTCAAAGCAGGCTAATGTTTGTTGCAGCCATGAGTGTGTGCTTTGGACCAAAAACTACAAGCCCCGTCGGAAGACATCGTACATATACATGGAATACCTCGACCAAGACTTAATCCAACAGAGGATGCCAGCAGACTTGTCTTCGGGGCCTTTTCCAAGGCCGTCTTGATCGTTGATTTCGTCGTCACTCCATCGCTTTGTGAACATTCGCACGAGCTTTGGCGGATTACTACTACAGTATTTAGTTCCGGTACCCCTTGTCTCTTGTCTCTGGGTCTTCGGCAGATACGTGCCCATCTGACGGTAATCCAAAACTACGCAGCTGCCGTCGGCCTTGGATGCAAGCCCATATGGAGTGTCCTTTTCGCTGTAGAATGGAACGAGCTTTGGTGGTACAGCGATCTTGCTGTATTTGACTCGCAAGCCTCTTGCTGCATTGTCAGCTGCGGTATAGGCGTAGTCTGTCGCAGGGTTAAGCGTTCCTTTGAGGCCGCGTATGCCAATTGACGTCGCGGAGTCAACGGCATCTTCGAATCTGCGGTCGTTTTCGTCGTCATGTGGACTCTCTGGCTTGATTGCTGCCTCGACTTTTTCGAGGGACTGTGCGGCATTTGGTCCAACTGATCATTAACAAACGTAGAAGGAGGGAAAAGAGGTTGCCTCACTGACGGAAATCACGGTGTTTCTTTGAGCCAATTGATATTGCACGGTACCGTCTTGCCCTTGGTTGCTATCTGTAAGAAATCCAGCGTAAAGGAATGCTGACATGGCATTTGTGAGCCACAATTTTATGTTTGTTTTCCCGTTGTTGTTGGGACTACCAATCGTCGCTCGGACCTGGTCTGGCGTCGCAGTCCACTGTCCATCCGTCACCCTCACTGAATGATTTTCAGCAAGAGCATTGACAGACATCACGCAACCGTCAACTCACCAGCTCTTGCAGCCGTGGCGCCATTGATATTAGCGGCAGCGGAGTCCGGTACTTGGAAACGAAAGAAACACTTCGTTGCATCCCAGATCTCGAACCCATCTGCCACGAATGGATCGCGTTGCTCGACGATCACTTCGTTTGGATGGGCAGGTCTTGGGTCTGCACCTTCTGGATAGGCTGTTCCGGTAGTCTCGGACACCCATCCGTACCCTATCTCGTTGCATCTATACACAGCGAATGTAAAATTACTCCATAAACATAAATTGAAAATAAGGAAGATTTTATGATTACACATTTTGAAAGTGGAAGCCCTCGGTATGCCAATCGAAGCACAGCTGTTTTCAGAAGTGAAAACTGGGGAACCTCAGTCGAAATCTTTCAGCGAACCAGGAATTTCAAGCCTATTCATCGATGGGGCGATGAAGCGAGTGCCACGTCAGCACAATCATTCCACGGTGTGTTGCGAGGTGACGAAGCAAAGCAAAGCCACTACAGGTTATGTTGGATCAACCCTCGCATGAATAGGGTTCCTGTCGAAGTATGTCAGTTTGACCATCCTCAGCTCTAACACCAGCTTCCAAATAAGAGGCAAAGCAGTATCCAGAGGACCTCGATTAAGGTAGAGGCTGGTTTGATGTGGCCGGCGCTGATCGGTGTTTTGAATTGAGGGACAACAAAATAGAGTCATCTAATTCGTTGCCTGGCGGGCAGTCACGAAACTGTCGTTGCGAGAGTGTGAACAAAGCTCCTCTCTGCTTTGAGGTTTTGAGGATGCTCAAACGAGATGTTGTTTGAAGTTTCTGGCCAACGCCGCGATGTCATTCCCATTGGGGTTGAAGCATCTCTTTCTCACTCGTCGCTTGGTGAAGGAGAGATTGCAGGCACTTGTGATCAGCTCCTGAATCGACCAATGCAAGACGCTCATACGGCTTTGCCCAGTATCTCCTAGTTCGAGTGGTACGTCATGCAAGCAACTGTTGGGTTAGTGAGACTTTGACGGTACTGTTGCGAGGATGGAGGTAAGCATACTTTGTCGAGACTCGTAGACAACCGCTTTGGAGCAAGAAGCAAAGATGGCACCATCCTCAATTTCGTGGTCTAATAGCTTACGCGTCATTTTCGCAAGTTCATACAGCCTAGCAGACATCTGTCGAGGAGGAGAAGCGAAGAAGCTGTCCTGAAACTTGCAAAACAAGATCACTGCACCGGATTGAGAGCCACATTGCAATGGACATATCGGCCAAGGCTCCAGTGGAAGAAACTGCGCCGCACGTGCGGTGTCTGAAGACGTAGGTTAGATACGCCGCCCTTACCCTTGGTCACTAAGTTGCGACAGCGCTCTCTCGTTGCTCATATCATCCTAGCGTTTGGTCTATCGATCGTGAAACCTGAAGAAGAGTCAGATCTACTCGTAAGAATGTTGGAACATACACGGGTACTATGTCGTTCATTCGCGCTAGGAAACAATAACTACAGGTCGCTGGAGGCTTGCACTTCAGAATAAGAAGTTCGCTTTCCATGATGGGAAGTTGATTTCTCAACGATGTCGGCACCATCGTGGTATGCTCTTATACTGCTCTGCCTCGGCCACCTCAGCCTGGCGAAACCGCAACCGCAGCAGCCTTTCTACAATCCAGAACGTGTCTTATCTAACGCTCCAGACACAACACCACCGCCCTCCCCATTCCTCTCACCAGCGCTTCAAAAACGCAAGTATATATCGGTGTGCGACAAAGGTCAGACGACGGATTGCCCTCAAATTGGGGTCGATGACATCCTCACCGAGCCCAATGGTGGCAAGTATATCCCTGAATGCGATGAGGATGGAAAATGTCACTGGATTGGAATCGCCTCCGTAACAGTCAAAATAACTGGTAAGACGACTTACGAGATCGTGACGACAACAACCGGGCTGCCGTACGTCGTCCCCTTCCCCATTGGCGCAGAGCCACCACCACCACCACCGCCTCCCCCTCCCCTGGAGATGATATAAAGACCATCGAGCCCACCGACGAACCGACCAGCGAGGAAACAACAGAGAAATCCACATGTACTACCTCCACCTCCACCGGATACACCACGGTAACGTCAACAATAACCCTCGCTTTCAACGACGCTCGCTGGGACAGTATCTGGAATGCCGAAGACTCATCCACACTCGAGTACGACTACCAAGTCGGCGGCTTCGACTTTGAATGGCTCACAAAATCCAACAACAGGGTAACTGCGGGGCCGAGTTGCAAACTCGCATCTACTGTGTGGGTACCCTTTCCCCCCTTCCCCCCTCTGCTGCCCCCTTGAGTCCGCTCTCCCACTAACCCCCCTTCCCCTCCCAGCACCAAGAATGGCGGCGGCACAGAGTCCTATTGCCAATGCGGCGTCACCCTGGCCGGCCTCTCCACAATCACGACCAACGACCCGACTATCTCGCTCGTTTGCGCCGTCATCCCCACCCAGGTCATCTCCACCTACCTCAAACCCTCCCCTGCCTGCTTGACAACGGGCTCGCCCATCAACACCGCCAGCGTCTCCTATCTCATCAATGGATTCTGCAGCAACGAACAGCGCATGTATGGCTCCCCCGTCGTGGAGGCAGCAGCCGCAGCCTCTTACGCCGAGTGGCAGGACATCATCGACAATTTGCAGCCGGCCAAATCGGTCAATGCCGTTTACGTGACCATTATCACGACGAGGAGCGGGTGTAAGAGTGCGACGTATGATGTTGATGCCAGTAAGGCGGATTGCGGGGCTATGTTTAGGAGCGTGGCGGGGAAGTGTACGGCGAAGGGCGGGGTCATGAGTGAGGGCTGCTTTGATTTTGGGGTTACGGCTATTAACGTTCCCAAGGGTTGAAAAGGGTGGGGATGTTGCGTGGTGAGAGAGACGGGAGGGAAAAAGGGTTGATGCTTCGGATACTGTGGTCTTGCTCCAAGTGGGACGTATGATGCGGAGTCATCACCGCGGATAGTGTAGAAATATCGACTCACATCTTCTCGATGAAGACTGAAATTGAGGGAGAAGGCAAGTTCGGGAGGGCTTCTCACGAAGTCGTTCGACGTTCTGAGGTTGGAGGGTAATATTCATGTCGGGGACGTAAAAGATCGCCCGGACATTCTCCCTAGCCCTAGCGAAGTTCAAAGACCTCGACAACTTCCTAGAGCCAAATTTAATTGTATCACAATCCTTGCTCGGGGCCGAAATGCACCACAGTCGCCATGCAATGGAAACAATGTTTCTCCAAGCTACTCCCTCGCACCAGTCAAGTTTTTCCCAACCTTGATTCTCGTCAAGCGAACACCTTCATGCCATCTAATAACCATAATCGCTGTACATACCTATACTTCATCTCCACAGTAAGTCCCCTATAAAGCTTGCATATGAAACCCCAGAAACCAGACTTCCCGATCTGTAGACCAGCAACGACTTTTCGATTCCACACTCCTCTTGCGTCTCCGCCCCAAGTCTCACCTACTTCTCCACCCGTCTCCCATCCCTCCTTCCACAGTACCAGGACCCCGATCCCTACTCTCCGTTGTAAGGTACTGACAGCTTTCTATTACCACCCTCATCTTCTAATGGTGTGGGATTGTAGCTAGGAGGGGATGGAGGGGTTGGGTGGTGAAATTAGGAGAGGGGGAAGGGGGAAGGGGGAAGGGGGGGGGATTAGGCAAGGGAACAGAGTGCAGTACCTATCTGAAAATGGCGACCATGACAGAGAAGAGGTAATCGAGAACGTGCTTGATGTGGATACTGGAGGTGCAATGGTCGTCGGATTTGAATAAGCTTGACTGGAGTGGAAAGGGTGTGGGATGTATGGGTCTGTGGAGGGGGGACAGGGGGGGTGGTGGGTGTTGCTGATGATGTCGTTTACGGTAGACTCGGTGTCTGTTACTCTATCGATGGTAGACTCGGTGTCTGTTACTCTATCGGTGGTAGTATCTGTGGGCGTTGAGAGATGGTCTAGCGTTAATCTTTAAAGGGGCTACTGCTTTGGACTAGAACATTGAGATTTAAGTTGATGTGAGGCTCGTATTTCACATTTTTGGACCGAGCGTACCAATATGGCGTAGGGGCGTGGTAGGGGAGATGTTGCGAGCAAGCTTCCCAATCTTATGTTGGGTATCAGACCAAATCTTGCCGTGCTGAGGGAGGTCATGATTTAAAAACTGTTTATTCTGATGTAGCCCGAGTGAATTGCAGCCTGCTATTTTGGTTGATCGCATGCTGGAGCTTGAGGGGTATAAACATTCTTTTTCAAGCGGAGACCCATGAATGCACATCTTGGTAGGTAGATATGGTGCCAGCGAAGGTTATTTCTTTATCAGAAGACTCCAGATCCATCATTTAATCTTTCCTATTCTCTTATCGTTCAAATTTGCCCTCAGCGTTCGACCTTGAGACCGACTTATGCCATGTATAAATCTTCATCTCACATTGCACGCTCATCCCAGAAATTGCCTCTTCAGACCGCCAGTTGGTCACCAGATAGCAGACTGCAGGAGGAAGTAGATCAGTTCCCCACCTCTTGAGGTAGAGACGTAATGTACCTCATGGTCGTAAAGCACAGAGCTGAGCATCGGTTGAACTCCGGAAAAGACAAAATGTTGAATCAGAACGCAAGGTCCTTCTGCCTGCCTCATTATCTGTAAGAATATCACCAAATGGTCTTCTCGTACGGCCGATAGATCGTAGTATCGTCTTCTCTGGGGTACGAGTTCGCCTATGCCGGTCGACTTCCCTGGATGCAGCTTTAGGTTCGGTCATTGCCGCTGTCGCCGTAGTGATGGACGCCCATGGTACTTGAGCAGATGGGCGTTTGCCCGCATATCGTTAGCCATTCCGAGTATTGGATTTCATTCGCAGACCTGTCCGCACAGTCCATTGTTTAGTCCTTAGTGTGTCTCACCACGTGTAGGGTCTTCAGCATCTTTCGCATTGAAGACACTGGTCTTGTCTTCTTTGAGACGTGAGGAGGACCATAATCTTCTCTAATCAGGTAGGTAACCTCTGTACCTTGATCGTCACTTTGACCTGCAAAGATCCGGATTATGTCCCTGGGAACCCGACAATTCAAGCTCCTTCTCCCAACTTTGTAGTCTCTCAAGAGAACGTTTTGTTTCGAAATGCTCTTGCCCTTGGACCTTCAGCCTTAGCTCGAAGCAATGTCTCTGCAATGAGATAGCTTCTTCGCTGCTGCCTTGCGACATCAATGTGAGAGCTACGTTTTCGACGTAAGTCAACGTTTCAGGATGCTCCTCGCCCAGAACCTTCCGTGACGCTTCCATGACATTTAGCCTGAGTTCGTCAACCTCCCTATAGCGTCTTTGGCCCTCATAAATAGTAGATAAATCGGCTTTGCTTGATAATGTAGATGGATGCTCGTCGCCCAAGACCCTCATACTTGCTTCTACTATTGATGTAGCTAGCTTTTCAGCTTCATTCCCGCGTCCTGTATCAGTGTATATCCTAACCAGATTGCGCTTGCAAATTAGCGTGTGGTCATGCTCTGGACCAAGCACTGTTTCAGTCAATGCTAGCACCTGAAAGATCAATTTTTCTGCCTCAAGATGCCTTCCTTGCTCCGTCAAAATTACTACCAGATTGTTCATGTATCCCAGCGTATTGGGATGCGTTTTGCCAAACTCTCTTTCACTCGATGCTACTACTTGACGAGCCAGATCCTCGACCTCGGTATAGTTACGTTGATCACGCAACACCATTGCCAGACCAGATTTCGTAAGATGATGCTCACCACTTGAAACACATGTGCTTGACGCTAGTACTCGACGAAAGGTGTCCTCAGCCTCAGTATACTTGCCTTGCCCGCTCAATGCCTCTCCCAGACTGCGCAGGTATCTCAGCGTACAGATATGCTCCTTGCCTAAAGCTGCTTCGCTCAAGGCTAACCCATGGCGATACAAGTGCTCTGTGTCCAAGTATTTGCCTCGTCGATTCAATATAATCCCTAAAAGGAGCATACAATTCAATGTGTCCGAATGCATTTCCCCTGACACCTTCTTTCTCAATTCTAACGTTGTTCGAGCCATCTGCTCGGCCTCTATATGCTTGCTTTCTTTCATGAGTAAATCTGCCATTTCTTGCATACTGTCTAGCGTTTTCAGGTGTTCTTTACCGAAAATCGTCCCCACATGTTTCAAATGGAACGCCATTATCTGATACGCCTCTGACCATTTACCAATGGTATCCAGAAATAGCCTTAGCCTTTCAAGGACGGCGAGTACCCCCTTAGTATTCTCTCCAAGAGGTTCAAACAGTTGAGAACAAGTACCAAAGCTCGCCATAATGTGTGGCACCATACGAAGCTTGTAGCTATGGTCGACATTACTCTGGCACGAACCATCCGCAATGAGTGCAAGGCCAAGGTCACTCACTTGCCTCTGCCTGTCCACTTGCAGTCGATCTTGACCCCAAGCATGTACAAGCTTGTGCATGGCGTAGCTTCCCTGATCTGGTCTCCACTGAATTAGAGAATAGTTCCGCAATATTTCGAAAGCTGACTCGAGCTCAAAAACTGTTTGCTGTTTTTCGCCGAAAAGGTATGATCGCCACGTCACGTTGACAGACCCTATGTCATTCACTTCGCTTGCAGCGTCCCGAAAATCACCAGTAGAAATAGTAAAGAGACTCATTTGGATATCTTCAAAGCTTATAAAAGCCAGAAGACTTAGCAGCCGGGTGGCTACTGGGTTCCGGTTTTGAATAGCTTCAAATGATACTTCCCACGTACCTAGTACACTTTCACCATAGCGATGTATATGTTGTTCGGGCCGTCGCTGAAGCAGCTCTTTCCGTCTTTGCCGATACTCGGGGAGGTAATCTCTTATGTCAGATGACAAGCGTGGAGTCACCGACACGTACGACCCAGCCAGAGTAATAGCTAAGGCAAAGTACCCTAACTCTTCAACTATCTTGCTGATCTCCTGTACCTCACTCACATTTGCCTTCAACATCTTCGCTGATACTTGGAAAAGCTCGATGGCTTCCGAAGAGGCCATCTCCGCTACATATATAGCATCCAATCTTGTGATTTCTTTGACTGTCGAGCTCCGGGATGTGATTATTATATGTAGACTCCGCGCCTCGGGCAAGAAATAATGCAAGTCGATGAACTCTTTATCTTGACTGTCATCGATCGTGTCCGCACTATCCAGTACTAGTAGCCACCGCCCTTGCCGTCCCTGGAACCATCGCTTAACCCCTAGCACCGCATCCTCCACCTTTACGGTCCCCTGATCCGCAGCGGTCAGGCGACCATAGAGTAGTTGATATATCTGAATGTAGTCACGCTCAAGTGTCTCTTTCGATCCAGCTTCGACCCAAAATACCCCGGTGTAGTCTTGCTTATACTTGTCGATGTAGTTGAGCACTAGTTGTGATTTGCCTGATCCTCCGAGCCCCCAGACCACCAGTATTCGTGTGGTATCCTCTTCATCAATGCTGTGATCATGTAGTTGCTCTTTGATTTTGCGATGGAGCTCCGGTCGAAGGATGTAATTCGAGACTGGTCGAAGCGACGAGTTGGCATATTGACCCACAAAGTCGGCGCGGGTAGCGAGGGCGGACTCTGGAACATCTCAGCGTTTGAAAGCATGAAGGTGTTTGAAACGTCTGACCAGTGGTCTGACCGATCGTGTTTCCCAGCAGCACTCTAGCGTTGCCGCTGATATGGATGTCGTGGTAGGTGTTCCCAGATGAAGCAGCCATATCAAGTACACGTGTACAGCGGCTTGATCTCGAATCTCAGCATACCGATGGATCTGATCATGGCGTCTCTCATATGGATGGTTGCGAAACTTACGACGGAAGTCAATCTAGACCAGGCCATTTGGGGGCCTCTATTGCGGGGCCTTGGTAGCCTTACGCAAGGCATATCCTTTCGTCCTTGATTCAAACATCCTCTTTCACCTTCAATGAAGAATGAAGCTACTAAACAGCTGCTTCCTGGATACTGAGTCGAGATGTACTTGACATGAATGTTGACATATCACGAAGTTTCGCAGCGACTCTTCGCATGACCAGCGTCGATAAATGCTAGTGGCAAAGACAAAAAGCTCTTAACCTAGCAACAGACACAACTTTTCTAAGGTCTAAGCAATTGTGACAGAAGAAATATGGCAGAGGCAGCTGGACTCGCCATTGGCGCGATTGGTCTCGCTGTATTGTTTACCACTTGCGTTGAAGGCCTAGAGTACATTAACTTAGGCAGAAACCATGGCCGCGATTTTGAGATGTCAATGACAAAACTCTTACTGCTCAAAGCCCGGCTCAGTGCGTGGGGTGAGGTCCTTCAGGTTACTCAGGAGGGTGAGGAGAATATCATGTTACGAGACCGCTGGCTTGAAGAAAAGGAGACTGTCGGCAGATGCCTCGTGGGAGTTCAAAGCATGTTCGATGAAAGCGACCAGATGGAATCGAGGTATGGCTTGAAACGAGAGTCTTCGGATCAGCCATCATCAAGTCTGCAGGAGCAGAGATCCAAAGCCTTCCAGCAGATCGAAGACAAGTTCAATTCTGTAGTAAGAAGAAGGCAGGAAAGTGTCTCCATACCGAAGAAAACACGCTGGGCCATTCACGATAAGAAGAAATTCGACTCGCTGATAGCAGACCTAGCGTTCTTCATCGACGGACTCGAGGACCTAGGTGATCGACTCCAGATGCTGAGTCTCCAGCAAAGGCTTGTGGAGCTTGAAGTCCAAGAAATCACAGACACTGAGAGCATGAGCTTGATGGAAGACGCTTCAACCCAGATTCAAGCACTGCCCTCACCTCAGATCGCCGTAAAAGAACGCTCACAAGGGGGAATTCCAGGCCATACGTATGTCGACACAATAATCAAAGACCGAGCAAAAGTCCTGAATGCAAATGTGGGACTTCAAAGCCAGAGCTCCCATTCCTATCACGGTACCCAAGCCTATGACGATGCACAAGTCGTGCAAGGCGATGTGTCGAATGAGGTAGCTCTCGCCTTCTTCAGATGATGCTATTGAAGCTAGAGAATAAGGGAACAACGGGACCCAAAGGCTCTTGACATTCGGAACCACGGGATATGAAATCTTTCTGTGCCGGATTATATATAATCCGACGCCGGTATGTTGTCTGCCATAGTGGAACAGACTAGTGGTATACGATGCTGTAGCTCAAAGCCCCCGCATCACCTGCAGTATCCCTTTCATCATGGCGTCCACTCCTTTCCGAGGCCTCTACACCTCCACCCTATTCATACCCTACTCCTCCGCCTCCACCCTCAACACGCTCGACCTCCACCGGCGGACGGCTCCATCCAACCTCACTACCTCGCCCTCATTATGGATAATGTACCTCTCCCTCCTACCCCTTCCCCCACCCATGACAACCCTACGAGCCTCAAACTAACCCCCAACCCACCAGCTAGTTACCTCCACGGCGGCGCCTTCCGCGACCCTCTCCTAACATCCCTCTCCCTAACGCCCTCCCTCCCCTCACTCTTCGCGCACCCTCAAATCGCCGCCGTCGCGAGCATAAACTACCGTCTCTCGCCCTACCCAACCCACCCGACCCACCCCTCACACCCCACCTCCTCTAACGAAGATGGCAGAAACGTCATCTGGCCCACCCACATCAACGACATCCGCGCCGCCATAACATTCCTCCACGACTCGCACGGCCTGCACGACCAGCCATATATCGTCGTAGGACATTCAGTTGGCGCGACGATGGGCATGATATTAGCCATGAATCACCCCGCCCCCGGCCCATCGCCCAACCCGGATAAATGGGGCGCCCCCACCCCCACCCCCAACCTACCATCCTCAATCTCGCAGAATCTCGTCGCCGTCGTGGGGTTAGCGGGTATCTACGATTTCAGCGCGTGCAGAGACGCGCATGTAGAATGGAGGGACGTGTATGAGGAGTTTATTACGGCGGCTTTTGGGGCTGAGGAGTTAGGTGGGTGGGAGAGGGGGGATCTGGTACGTTATGGGGAGGTGTTGAGGGATGGGGTGCGGGTTGTGGTGATGGGATATAGTGAAGAAGATGAGTTGGTGGAGGTTGCGCAAGCGGAGGCGATGGAGAGAGCGTTGGAGGGGCGAGAGAAAGAGAGGGAAGGAAAAGGGGCGGTGGTGAAGAGGGTCGAGGTGAAGGGAGGGCATGACGAGATGGTCGAGCAAGGGGTGGAGATTGCGCGATGTGTTGGAGTGGCGCTTGAGGTTGTGCTTGATCCTGCAGGAGGATCGAGTGAGAATTGCTAGAGATAATAGAGTATAATGATATTGATTCGAGTTATGACCACGATAAATATGCTTCATCATCTACTTCGAGCTTGAACCTTTGGCTCCACCTATCAATCGGCGAACTGTACTCACACCCTCTTCGTGAGCCTTGTCTATCGCTTCCCTTTCAGATCTTGCGAGCTCGGCCTCTTCTTTGAATTTCCGCGTCTCAGCTCCCAAGTTCCACAGTCGCTCTTGCATTTTCCGTTTACTCAACGCTGGAGTCAGCGTGGCTTCTGCGAGGGCCACAATGAAATCCATAGGCCTGTGCTCTATCAATTGGGTGTTCTTAAAACGATCCGCATAATTCGCCCAGCGCGCAGCCCATATCTTGGCATTCCTATGTCTCCGTAGTCTGCGTTTTGCGGACTTGTTATTATGCCGTGGGAGGTTCAGAGAAATTCGTCGCCATTGAGTGAGATGCGGAGATCCAGAGGCGCGAAAGGCTTCTTCTTCTGATGATTCCGTTTGGATTCTCGGTATTCTGGGCGTGTAAGAGGCCTTGCGGATCAATTTTCGAGCCACATGTGCTTCATTCGGAATGAACGCTTCCGGTCCCATCGATCCTTCGTGTGTGAGATATGGCAGGGCTGTTTCTTTGAACTCGTTGATTTGTGCTGCGAAGTGCAGGAACTGCCGATCACGTCTGTCGTCACTACTGTCACGAAACAGTGACTCAGTGGACTCTCTCTGAGCAGGATGAAGATCCTTCGCCGGCGTAGAAGTTACCGCGTCCTCGTCAACGGTTCTGTCTCGACTTTTCAATTGCTCGAACCGAGCAGGTACATCGACATCGACTGGCGGTGGAAGGAGCGGAAATGAGATTTCTGCCTCCTCGGCGTTTTCGAACTCGAAGAGAACCTCTCTGAATAATAGTTTAACGAGTCGTCGGTTCTGGAGATACCGGAGCCTTCCACGCCAACGAAGGATCTCGACCTTGCCTAAGAAGCCGCCTTTCCTTCCTCTTCTTATGTAGCATATCCTTGCGCTGGCGTTGGTCTTCAGCAACTAAAGCTTCCTCAGCCTCGATTATTTGGGTCATCTTCTTAGCCATTACCATTCTCTTCTCGATTTCCCGTGCACGAGCCCTCTTGACTTCCTGCAACGCATCTGCAGGAGCTTCTGACCATGATATAGACGTATTTTCTGCCTCTAATCCCAAGTCCTGGGCAATCAAAGAGTCCCATTGATCTTCTTCTCGGCCAATGTCCATCATTCCTTGATACCGCTCGATTCGAGTAAGGCGGGCTTCTCTTCTTTCAGCACTTTGTCTTATCATCCGAGAGAGTTTGGCAGGTTGAGGCTTTTTGATTCGTAGGTAAGGAAACTTGTTGGCGCTAACGAGTCTTGGCACATGACGACGCCCGGAAATATTTAGAAAGGGGCGCTCGAGGATGGATGTAGCAGGACGGTCTGGCGTCTTTTTCGGTTTGGCTGGGATGACCACTGGCTTTCGAATTGCACTGGGTGAGGGCAATTGGAAATCGAAGAGACGATCCAACGCAAATTTGCGTTTGTTGTGATCATGCAAAGCGGTCAAAGCCTATCATCAAAGTCAATTGGGAATCGACGGCTGGCACTTAAACGAACAGACCACATAGCCGAGCTGTAGTGCTTCTGTAACTTTGGTATGACCAAGGAGGCCTCTATTTCTCTCAAAGATGGCCCGAATGCGAGTACTGTATTCATCTGGCCGACGGCTCTTGTCGAGAATCCGTTTTCTGGGCCGTAACAGCGCACGGAATAATCCGAAGCCTGCGTCGCTTGTTAGCGGTACGCAAGAGAGTTCATGACGTACTTACATGCTGCACGGTGTACTCCAGATTTATGAGGGACCAGCGGTCGTGGCATTAATCCATTGCGTGTGGGTGTGGAGAACAGAAAAGCATTTCAAGCATTATTTGAGGGGGAAATCATGATTGAAGGACGTGTCGCGTCATTATAACTTTGATCTCTATTTTGTCCATTTACGGAATAGCCTCGTTCATTCGCTCTCCTTGCAACTGCCGATTTTGCCTGATTTGAAAAAGACCTGGTTACTTTGCTACAACAAATGGTTGATGTAATTCATTCGTTTTATAACTATTGTGTTAAAGTAGAAGCTATTGTATCTCAACATTCGCCCTTCCTCCCTTCACTACCTCGCAGATCGATATTTAAAGAGGGTTTCAAAGCAACCAAAACGCCATGCTAAAGAGCGACTGAAATGAATTCATTCATTTGCTTCATTACCTCCTTGCCCCTCTCATCATCAATATGCCACAATGCTTCCTTCTACTTCCTAGTACCCATTGCACACACCGCTGACCTGCACCTGTGGCGGTCCGACATCGGCAACGTTCGACTGAGTCCCTCTAAATGCGGCAAATGTGTTGCTTCCATCAATGCCGTAGAGTGAGCATGTCGCTTGTCCTATGACTGTGATGTGCGAGACTGAGATTTCGGGATGATCGATCTGGAATGTTGAGCCATCTGCGGGTACTGTGATCGTATAGGTTGCTTCTGGGGTGGCGCCATTGAAGATGAGGAGGACATCTTGGCCGGGTGCCGGCACTGGAGTTGGAGCAGCGAGGGCTGTTGAGGCGAGGAGGGTGGTGAGGATGGTGGTGAGGAGTGTGAACTGCATGATGGATTTGGCTTAAGGGTTGGGTTTGGGGAAAGACAGGTGATGTATCTGCTGTGGTGGACTGAGTGTAGCTGGAAATGTAGCAAGGTAAGAGGACTGAACTTGTGGGATAGAGATTTTGAGACGATAGGAAAAGCTTTATATATACATCATACGCAGATTCGCACTGCAAAAGGCCTTAGGGTCACTAAAAGACAGTGGGAATACGGTCGCGGACAGCCTCGAGCCCAGGGTTACACTGTGGCTTCTTGGGATGCTACTCACGATGTCTCTGTTCTTGTCTTTACCACTCTGGAAGACTCAGAGTAGTGAGAATGGGAGCAGGCCACGACCCTTGGCTCAACCAATCAAGGCACCCACGAAGTCTTGGAACGTGATGGAAGGGCGATGCAATTCTTCGGTCACAACTTAGTCAACGGCACAACCACTCACAGACGCAAGGAGAGACAGCCACGCAGCCGAAAGTGGAAGCCATGATGAGGGGAAATCCACATCAGGCCATCGTGGGTCGTGCGCTGGCTCGGGCTCAGCTACAAACAGGTGACGCCACAGTTATGGCAGTGAAATGCGGAGGATGTAAATTTGGTCTATATTTGAACGGCTCAAGCCATCGCGGGGTTCTAGTCGGTCCAGACCATCAAGGAAGAGGCCTAGTGAGCCTCGAGAAGCCACCAGCCTTACAAGGAACGCGGTGCTGCTACGGTGGGGTGATCGTAGGAGTTGGCGCTGTCGATCATGTGAGGGCAATGCCACCACTGTCAGCATTCAAGACTGATGATCTGATGGCCTTATGCATTTTACGTTGGGATGCATCTCATTGAAAGGATACGAGGAGGATGAGGCAGGGAGAAGTATTTTCGGCCTTTCGCAGGCAGCAGCTCACTAACCAGAAAGGGAATTTTGCTTGGTCGGCCGTTGAATCTTTTCACCGAGGATGACAGAGGTCTAACCAAAATCAGAAATTGGAAGATCTGCCATCGAAATCGCGTCAGCAATTTGCCGGATATTTATCACATTTCACACTGCCGATAGAGACCCCACAAGAACCGTAGGCTTAACTTACTCCATTGTATCAACGGGTATCATCAATCGATATTCATTTCATTCACTGGCATACAGACCCATTATTCACACAGGGAAGGAAATAATCACAGTTATGCCTCATTCAATTCTACCATTCAGATCCATTGGGTTGGAATCGATCCCGATCTAAATTGTATGCGCCGCGGAGACAGCCTTCTTGTCGATGGCGGAATGTTCTATAGCAGACACTAAACTACATTCATCATTTCTTACTTCCAGCCTTGTGTCGTTGGGTACAGACGATCGTTTGATAATCGATTGTCAAACACTTCTCATCTGATTCACTCCGTGAAAGAGCCCCTCGGAAAGAGAACGGTAATAGCCACTAGACTTGATCCATCATTATTCAGGTTCAGCTTCGTGCCATTGGGTACAGGCAATTGTTTGGTAATCAATTATCAAATGGTTCCCAACTGGCATGCTGATAGACAAAATTTCTTCCAGAGAAAACACACTGGAGACTAAGCTTCTTTTGGCTTTCTTTGATTTCCAGCTTTATATCGTTGGGCGTGATCGAAATTCGATCGATTATTCGAAATTCGATCGATAATCGATCGAATTTTGATCATTCCCCGCCTAGAATACAAAATCCTGCTTGATAAGGCCAACCACGCAAGGACCTCGAACACAGCCTGCTCCTTGTCATTGGTTTCAATCGTCTTCCAATCGATTGGCATCCGATCCTAAGAGTGTGGAAATATGGTGCCCCTAGATCTCTGACATCCGAGAGAAAAGAGATGCCAGAAAGGTGTGTAAAGATTTGAAATGCTGTCTTCTCCCAGTCATCACATATGAATGGGCATCCCTCATCCATCTTCAGTCACAACCCATATGATTATCACTAGCAGGACTACAGGAATCCACCTCCTCAACAATATCTCGAATCCCACTTTTCCAGCCCAACCCTGCCCTCCACATCCACCTCAATCATCTCAATCATCTCCTCGTCCCCCACAACCGCTCTCAAATCTATTCTTCTCACAATCCTTCTTCCTCCTCACACAGAATTCCGCCAAAAGCTCCCCCTCCCTCTCCCCCTCCCCCTCCCTCTCCCCCTCACCACCCCCCACATTCCTCCTCACCTCCCCCACAGCCCCCCACGCCTCCGTCCCAGACCTAACATTCTCCCCCACGAGTCCCCTCAACCATTTCAAAACCTCCAACTCATCCTGATCCTCCCCAAAGAAATCCACACAAACACACCCCTCATCTACCCCACCGGAGGAATAGGGCTGCGGTTTGTGGTGAATCCTACGACACTCCCCCTTCACCCCACTCTCCGACCCCGGTCCAGGTGGGTATTCAAACAGGTGTCTCCGACACGTGTCGTACAGCCCATTCAAGATACTGAGGAGCAAGTCGGCGGGGACGGTGGTGTTGGAGGTCGTGAGGTTGAAGGATAGCTTGCGGTCGGAGGAGGTGGAGGTGTAGGTGGTGTTGGGGAGGAGGGAGAAGTAGTTCGGGGTCTGCGTGCTGAGGTGGGTGCGGAAGGGGTTGCTGAAAAGGTTGTAGAAGGGGGTGCCGAGAAGAAGGGGGATAGGAGGGGGCGGAGGTCTGTTTGGGAAGGGTGCGGTGTTGAAGGAGTGGGATTGCGAGGAGGGGGTTGGTGGGGAGGGTGAGGAGTGGTTTGAAGGGCTGAGGAAGGGGAGGAGGGAGGTGAGGAAGGTGGGGAGCGTGAGGTTCATGGTTTGATGAATGAGTCTTTTAGTGGGTTGGTGGAAGGTGGTGATTTATTGACGAATGGTGAGGAGCGAGCAATGGTTCGCGGAGAGCGTGACGAGCATGCATGAAAGTGTCTGAGAGACAGTTGAATATATACTGCACTGATTTCAAGGCTGCAGCAAATGAGATAGTTGGCTTGAAACGCGCGGGAAGGGAGAAACAAGATATGAGACTTCTTGTCTCATGGACCTTGTGAGATGTAGAGACAATCTACCACCTTCGGCACGATACAACATCCTTGGCTGGAAGTAGCGTTCGACATGCAAAAAATTTCTTCCCTCCATGTTGCCGAATGCAATTTTGGCCGTGGCAGATCGATGTGTGATTGTTGAGTCTGACTTCAATACTCCTCCTACAACACCATATCAGATCCCAGGAAGTGAAACCTTGAGAGGAAATAGATCGTATTGCAGCAGAGATTATCTTACAGCTAGACCGCATCATTCACAGCATATTGAAAGTCTCATTTACATGTCAACTAGGCTTCCATGGTCATCTCTGACCCCAAAGAGATCAAATTTATTATCATTCAATAAAAAACCTCATATCTCAAAGTCATCCCCAACAGCCTCCAGCACTTTCCTAATAGCATCAGTCATCTTCTCATCTCTCCAAGCCGCTTTCAAAGCTCGGAGCAAAAATGGGTACAACACATGCAGATGCCTTCTATGCTTTGACCTCACGCTTGTTCCTGCTGGTATAGCCTCAGCCTCGCTTTTCAGCTCCACCAACTTCTTCAAGATATGGTACATCTCGTTCTCTTGGCTTCGCGGCTGCGGCATCTCTCCTCGAAGAGGTTGATCGAAGATATAGGTCTTCAAAGTCAACCCAATTCGTAGGATGAAATATGGTCCCGCTGCTTTTGCGACCCTCTTCCGATCTGGCGAGTCGCTCACAGACACAAGCTCAAATAGTTCGTCTAGGAGAAGATAACTCATCTTTGATCGCGGTGAAGGGTGTAAATCATTGACACGGCCAAAGTGTCCATCGTACTTCAATCCCGAGAGTAGCTCCTCACCAGGTCGGGCTAAGTCATCGGGGTGTGGCTCATGGATTAGTGAGTTTTGAAATATAGACTCGACGTAGGTGCGACGAAGCTCATCTTTGGCTGTCTCCGAGCTCAAAGCTGTGGTCATTAGACCTTTGACATCTGTAAATGCTTTGATGTCAAAGTCCTCGTCTTGGCGGATGTCACTTTGACCTTCGCAAAGCTTGCAATCTGCACTGACAATGCCATTCAAGATAGTGACAGACTCGGTCCAAAAGGTTCTTGGGTCGATGTTCGATGGATCAAAGACTTGAGTTGACGCTTGCATTATCGTAACGCTGGCTGCTGTCGCTTTTTTCCAGGGTGAAGGCTCCCGACCGATTTTTCGCCACCCGTATTTCAGACGCAGTGGTTCTTGCAAGGCTTGAAGTGCCGTTGCGAGCAACCATGGGTCTGTTTGAGTGCCTTGAGTTTGGACTCTATCGATGACAAACGTCTCCACCATGCTCATTGTAGCCTTCGACAATGCTACATATGTTCCTTGGGGCGAATCATCGCTTAGCCCCGAATCATATGCTAGGTTGGCCAGTGACTTAAACGACTCCAAGATCAATAAATCGGTCTTGTCGTCTATCTTCGGGAGCATCTTCAGACTCTCTAGGACGGCTTTCTGGACTGGGGTCATTACATCTATGTCCGTACTATATGCAGGCGCGCTTGCGCTGCGGATGGTTGTCAGTAAAATACTGAGAATCTCAGCCACCTTCTCTTGATCAAGTCGCTGACTTGTCAGCCGCAATAGCTGGCCTAGACAATACAAATGCGCAAGGAGAGCCTCATTATTGTCCCCAAGTCGCACTCCTGGGCCATCATGATAGGCAGGACTATGGTCACGCCACAATTCCCATACTTTATCAATCACGTTATCCTCGACTTGCTCAATTTGCTCGAACTCGGACAACAGATTTGTCATACTCCCAAAAACAGCTTTGCTGACGCTCAGAGCTTGTCGAGCCAGATATTCCTCCAAGCGACACAATAGGTCATGTGTCCTGACTGCCAAATCGTGGTCGGTTTTATCTATGTCAAGCCACTGTGAGAAAAGCCTGACTGCGCCTTCTAAAAGGAGGACTGCGGTTTTGTTCCAATCGGAGGCGGTCGCACTTTCGCTGTCATTGTCGGAAGGGGCTTCTTTGAACTCTTCTTGATTAATTCGAAGCATCGGCTTAATAATCATGTCGTATAAGTATGGGACACTACCCTCAGAGACTTTGCCATTTTGAGATTCCAAAATTCTGAATATAGTGTAAACACTATTATGTCGGGCTTCCAACCTAGTATCACGGGTCAAATTAACTAGATAAGCTAGAGAGGAGAGCCACAAGAGTGGTGTTGTAGGATTTCCGTGGCTTCGTCTGATCAGTAAGGTCAGACCCTGCGTATATTGATCATCTATTTCAAGAGTCTGAGTATCTTGCAAGATATACTCCGAGGTGGCACGGAAAAATGTAGCGGTAGTCAGGGAGATATTCAGATCGTAGGATTGTGCTGCGAAATGATAAAGAGTATCGAGAAGTTGCGATAGATTTGAATGTGGGACGGAGGAGAGAAAGTCGGAGCATATCAATTCTACAGAGCTAAAGGACGCCCGAATGAGTGCTGGAGAATGCGGCTGGATATCGAGGCTCCGACTTGCATTGGGGGTAGGAGGAGGAGAATGACACTGAAAGATGCTGAGGGTGATCGAAAAGACTTCTGACCACCCTTCTTTTAAGGAGTCACCGCAGTGGTCTAGAATGGCCCGCAATCCGTCCAAGACCGACCGATGAATGGCGATTTCGCTTTGTGTTGAGACCTTTGACGTGTCGCTGGAATTATAGAGGCTGCGAATCATTTGAGATAAAGCTATCAGACTACGAGACCTGATGTTGGCCGAAGGGATCTGTCCGTCTGCTTCGACAAAGAGAGCAGTAAGTACAAGCATGTCTTTGAGGCAATGAGCGGCGGCCACACGAACATATGGTTCATTACTGCTGATACGAATTGTCGCCATCAGAATATTGGAGAGAAGCTCCCAGCCACTCTTTTCGGGTTCAACTTCGACCAGACGTGAGACATTATGACGTGCCACCTCTGTGGTTTTTCCCAGAGCAAAGGTTGTGTCATGCTTTGCTGCAGTGCTTTCCATGTAGGTTCCTGATATGCTTCGGAGTTTTTGATGCTTCTTTTGGCCTGGGCTTGGTGACATAGGAGACAGTAAATTCTTGGAGGCTGCTTGATCATTGCTGTTGCTCTGATCCGGTAGAAAGGCGCAAAGGCCTGTCAGATGTGCGACGAAAGCACCATCACTCAGATCGTTAGTGCTTTCAAACAGTCTTGATGCTGCGGTCTGAGCAGCCGTGACCTCAAGACCTAAATCATCAGGCTCAGCTTGCTCGCCTACAATCTCACTTCCAGATCTGGATGTTTGCCGTTGGCGCATGGTTCCGGAAGCTGACATGAGCAACTCTGCTTGTTGTAAAACTTCAAATATTATGCTCCATGACTTGTCCAGAAGCGGACCGAGAGCTATGCCTAAATTAAGTAATGCACGCAAGCAAAGCAAATGCCTACTGTCAATGGTAGGCACAGCGGCATCCAAAGTCTGTTGTCGTTTAACAGGTGGCCTGACGGGCGAAGGACTAGGATCGCGAGAGCTGTCACTAGTATGATCTGGTGTAAATCCATCCGCAGTGATTGTTGGAGTTGAGGATGGTGTACTTAAAGAGTTGACGGTTTTCGAGGCCGGAAGTGCGTGCTTGCCCAAGGTCGTAAGGAACGCATCTCTGGGTGTAACAAGGTCAAGTAAGCCTGCTATCTGAGTGAATTTTTGAAATGAGCGTATCAATACATGAAAATTTTCAGAATCCATGGATGCATTGAAAAAAGTGGAAGAAGCAGCTAGAATCGCTGGCCAGCATTGGTCAATCATTGTAGCTGCAACGGAGATCTCGTTGCGCAAAGGATGATCTTGCAAAGTGGTTGGGTTGACGAAAGCTTTGCGCTTTCGTGACCTCGGTATCTCTTCCTCTGCAGGTCTTATGCTATCTATCGAGTCGGATTTCTGCGGCTCTAGTTTGGTAATCTTCTTCCTCGTTCTCTTTTCGCTAGGTACCGTAAACGGCATGAGGAATCTAGCGAGACCGTCTTCGAAAGTCGTAAGACACGTCAGTGCAAGGAAGTAGACGTATGTCATTGGTAAAGCAGATGGTTCTTGTTTGTCAAGCTGTTCAAGAAGCGGAGTCCGAAGACAACTCCAACGACTGGAAATTCCAGGTGTATTACTGTCGATTGTGGACACTGCAGCGCCGATACTACCTACAAGACCACCAGCTTGCATTGCAGCTTGTTCATCTGAGTCATCAGTTGGCGCAGATGGTACAGAAGATTGGTGACCGAGGCCGATGGCGTCCGGCTTTTCTGAAGCTACGCGTACCAATGAGCCTAGATGATCTCTGACCGTATTTCTTCGCTCTCCCTTGTCATCAAACAAGGTATACAATTGACGAAACAGCCTTGAATCTGCGTGAAGTGATTTGAATACTTCCAAGCACAAGGCTCTTTTCCAGGGTAGAGCATTCTCTGGATCCAAAAGGTGATTGAGAAGACTTAGTAGTATTTCACATTCCGAGGCTAGGGGTACAAGGAGCTTTTTGAAGGCCAATTCAGTAATTCTCATGCAATGGACCGTCACTGCGAACGAAGACTTCTCGGATATCACTCTAGTGAGCATTGGTAGCAGCCGAATTCTCAATAGGTGCACTTGTTCCGGCCACTTACACATTGTATCAGCGTGCTTCGAGAGAATTGATTCGACCAATCCAAGGCCAAAGTTCTGCGCTAATGACGCTCCTTGAATATACTTTGGCTTATGGCCATCATTGATCAGACATAAGTCGTCCAACGTTCGATAAGCATCGAGGCGCGGGCCACCAATCGAGACAGTGCCATCACCGATAGATACTTCCGCGACCGCTCCATCTCCTGTAGATGCACTTGGCTTGGTCACAGCTTTTTCGAAGGTGAGGTCGACAAGCTGCTGTATTGCTGCGGCAGATAGATTCACCACCACGGCCGACTTGTTCCCATGTAACAGGAAGCAGACTTGAAACGTTGCAATAAGTAGAGAGCCCGTCAATTGATCGCCATAATTCTGAAGCAGTGAAGGTAGTGCTTGCAATACCTTGAGCTGAATATCAAGAGCGAGACTGGAGCAATCTCGAAGAGCCTCAACGACATCACCTAGCGTCTCCCTAGATAACGCATCGGTTACGATCAAACGTTGGAGACAGGCGGCGGCGTTGCCTGCATATTTTGCATTGCGAGTACCACAAGCGATCAAGAAGGGTTTTACAAATGCAGGTCGACATCTCAGATCTCTTGAGAAGTTAGAGTAGAGACCAAACCGTCAGTGTAACGATAGAGACAGACCTGCGGCTATTTGAGCTTCAGATGTACGAGGAAGGTTGTTGAGGTCAGATAGCGACTTTTCGGCTGCCTTTGTCCCTTCTCAGCAACAATTTGAGCTCATCCCGTAGAATTTACGTACTGCTCTTAGCTCAGGGTTCTTTCTCTTCGATTCTTGTAACAATGTTGACAGCTCCGAAGTCAAAAGCTGCGCCGTCATGCTCTACAAGTTCGCAGGCTTACATTGCGTCGCAAAACGTCTCGTCAAGATTCTTCACCAGGCAAAGCATCAACTGACTATGTAATCGGCTTAGAAAGAACACTGAGTTGTTGCTTGAGACTTAATGAAGGTGATACTTCTAGGCATCTAGCATCAAAAAGAATGATACTTTTGGTAGGATACGACTAGTGTAATTTACCTTGGCTATTTTGACGTAAATAGTGGGACCTCAGCCTAAATACCTCATTCACGTCCCTTCCAGCACAAGGAGCCGCGATCTTAAAGGAAATACGAGCTCGGCACTAGCAACTAGCGACCGAGAGACACATTCGCTATTATACTAGCACAACCTCATCGATCAAAATGGGGGCGAAAGTTCCCCGCAACTTTCGCCTTCTGGAGGAGCTCGAGAAGGGCGAGAAAGGATTAGGAGCTGGTACGAGAAGCAAAGGCTGCCTCTATCGAATAACAGCTGACTCTTTACAAATAGAGGCTTGCTCATATGGCTTATCGGATGGCGACGATCTCCTCATGTCAAATTGGAACGGCACGATCCTTGGCCCCCCTCACGTACTACCCCACACTCGCTGGTTCAAACAATGTCAAAGCTGACTTCTCCACCCTCAGAGCGCACACGAGAACCGTATCTACAGTCTCAGGATTCATTGCGGTGATCAATACCCTGACAAGCCTCCCGAAGTCAGATTCGACTCTAAGATCAATCTGCCATGCGTCGACCAGAGATCAGGAAAGGTATGATGGAGCAATAGTTCTTTCAGGTGCATAGTCTAAGCATGGGGAACAGGTCGATGCATCGAGGCTACCGTGCCTGCACCAGTGGAAGAGAGACTTTACCATGGAAACAATCTTGATTGAGCTCAGGAGGTTTGTACCGCTGCCTCATTCTCAGAGTCAGCTGGGCTAATGAGGTGCTGTCAGGTATATGGCGCTACCGCAGCATAAGAAGCTTCCACAACCACAGGAAGGCACAACCTACTCCTAGAATCTTAGAAGAAGCGGCGGAGCGACTTGAGCTATAGGAGGAGATGTTACGATGATATGACTTGGATGGCCGTAGACGGGCCGCATTATTGGCGCTGGGGGGAGAGCAAACGGTACGCGTGGCTTGTGACTTGAGATACTTCTAAAGAGATGTTCTTGCCAATCTACATTGATGCATACTCAATACTCAAAACCGTTATTCGCGAAACCTGTCACCCCATTTCGCTCGCGCTACCAGGGTGGAGGAGCATTGCCCTTACATACTCCGTGATATTCTTTGATTTTACTTTGCTGTTTGTGTCCTAACCGCCCACATCCTTCGACCCCTTGGAAGACATCCAAGAATGGCTGCGACGGTTGTTTGGAGCATTTTTGTATCAGAAGCGCAACGAGGTCAGCCTGAGGAGCAAAGCACGGCCAATGAACGGCTATCAGCTGATCAGGAATTGCTCATACCAAATATTTGTATTGTTTCTTTCTATGGACATAGCGAGCTGCTCATGCTTGCCTAAGCAGCGAATATGTATGCAGGTCACTTTCAATATCATACCTCCCATCTTCCATGCAATGTTGCAAGTAAAAATGCCATCCCAATCATCATCAACCGAAAGAGCAAGATTGTAAGCCAAATGGGTATCTCGCATCGACACGCTTGCTATGCAAATGAACCTTACTTGTTTTCAATCTTCACATTCCACCTCGATTCAAACCCTTCGCACATCTCCACGCTCACTTTCTCCTCACTGACCATTTCATGCTCCAATTCCCATCCGCCTCTTCTACACAACTCCGTCACGATGGTATCGCAATTCCCTAACAAATCCACATCAAACGCCGCATGTCCACATGGATCCCTATTGATATATACCTGCGGTACGTCCCCTGGTATAACACCCACAACCTCACTCACAGGCGCGACCTTTAGACTAGTGCCTATCACAAGCACCAAATCCACCTTTTTCCTATCATGATTGAGAAGCCGCTCATGAAACGCGTCCGGCAGATCTTCTCCGAAGAATGTAATGTCCGGTTTCATGACGCCAGCGACAGCCACGTTGTCATCCTCACCAGACGAAGAGTCTTCCCACTCCTGCCGCTTCTTGCGCGGTTTGCCATTGCTTTGCGGGCTGCGCTTTCTCTTCACGCCCGCTGATTGCAGGCGACGGATGTGGGCAAGACAGGCATCGCAACGCGCCACTTTGCCGGCTTTGAGATCGGTGTGGATGGCGGAGCCGGGGACGCGTTGGGCGCATTCTAAGCAGGTGGCTGTGGCGAAGGAACCGTGGCATTGAAGTAAGTTTTCTTTGGAGATCCCAGCGTGAGATTCGAGGTTGTCGATGTTCTGGGTGAAGTTTGTAAGGAGTTTGTTCTTGTCTTGAAGGAGCTTTATGAAGGCGTGGGTAGGCGAGAATTTTGTTGATGAAGGAAAGATGTCTTTTGCGACGGTGTAGAAGATTGTTGGGTCTTCGCGGAAAAGGGAGATGTCGAAGACTTCTTGTGGGTCGGTGAGACCGAGATGCGCGAGTTGAGAATAGAGACCTGTTTCTTTCGAACGGAAGTCAGGGATTCCGAGGGAAGTAGAGATGCCTGCCCCGGTAAGGACAATGATATTTTGGGATTTCTGGAGGAGATCGACTACGTCCGTGATGGTGTTGTACTGGGGGAGCTTGTTGCGTTTGGAGAGTTCGCGATTTATAGCTAGTTGAAGGAGCTGATCGTAGGCATCGTCTGGTTGACCTTCTAGAAAGAAAGGTGGACGGATGCCGAAGGCAGTGATGAGCTTCTTTGAAGTGATCGCTCCGGATTCGATGGTTTCTTCAATGAAGCGACGTTCGCCAAGAAGTCTTAGTCGCTTTCTGAATGTGAGAGACTCTTCAGTTGTGCAAGCTTCGCCTATAGAGCGTCAGCGTAAGTGAAGGTGAGCGTGGCGAGGGAGATCACGTACCGCCATTTACATCCACCTCTTCATTATCATCGGCATTCAGCAAGTCTGCATAGAGTGACAATTGACTATCGGCGTCGCTGCCGTCCGTGCCGTCTTCATTTTCATTCGACGCGTCGCGCGTTGCTTCAGGCTTGATACTCGAGACCAATGGAGGATCTTCTTCCCTCGAAAGCAAGTCGATGACTTCAACAGCTGGGCCCTTCAGAGATAATTGCCATGGTATGCTGTCCTCCGCCTCCTTGGCTGACTCCATGGTGCTGGACCACTAAACCTCATAAACTGAGAAAATTGCCTTCGTTGGCGCGGTAAGCTCCTACGTCAATTATGCGCTAAACTAGCGCATGATGTATTTTACGGCAATTTGCAAGATGAAGCTCCCGTCCTTCACGCACATCACACAGTCCATTCTTCCACCGTTATGAGCTTTGGAGGTCCTGGTGGAGGACAAAAGGTATCAAAGCCAATCCCGCCAGAAAGGGGCAGCTTCCCACTCGACCACGACGGAGATTGCAAATCAATCATAGCCGGTTATTTACGTTGCTTGAAACGGGTGGGTGGAACAAATGACCAAGCCTGTAGGATGATGGCGAAAGACTATCTGAAGTGCAGGATGGATCATAACCTAATGGCACCGGACAACTTCAGCAACCTTGGTTTTGGAAGGACGGATGAAAACCCAGTCCCAGTGCAAGAGGGAGAAAAAGCATCCAATGCAACAGGAGAACTACCTTGATATTCTTGAGTCTTTGATATCTTGGAGTACCGCTTCATTGTCCTGTCTCTTCATTCCATCGATACGGAATGTCTGCCGCCGTACTGCCATCGAAGTCATGCCTGATTGCAGTGCTGTTGGTTGTTCAAACAACTTCCGAGCCTCGACTTGTGTTTCAATACCCTCCGAAACCTGAAGAAGACAATACTCGCTTTCATGAGTTGCTAGCGAAGATCAATCGATCAGATGAATCATCGTCGTCTAGTGAGGATGATGAAGCAAGCTCTAGTGATGAAAAAGGCAGCACAAAGAATGATAAGGTAGATGTACGGGAGAATCATAGCCCTCCAGAGCTCGACGAGACTGGCTCGGCCTCTCCAAGCAAGAGAACAGAAGGGCACGATAACGATGTTGACACAGAAGAGGTTCGTATCTTTGGTTACCCTCCAAACGTGCTAGCAAAAGTACTCTGTCCATCTGCGTCGAGCCACAGAAAGAAGACTGAGATTGGCCTTGATGGCAAGGTCTTCGTGGGACAGCCGATGTTTGTTGGAGCGGATGGCAGTTGGAGAAAGAGAAAGACTAGAGCATCCTTTGGCAAAAGCGTAGCCACAGATTCTGGCCTTGGCCCTCTGAGTACCGATTCTGTTCCACTACACCAGATGGAAACGAACGAAATTGAAATATCGGAGATTGAAGAAGGTGATATGGAGGATGATGAACACATGGCTAGAGCTAAGAGCGACGATGATCAAGCATGGAATGATGGCCCAGCTGAAAGCCTGAATATATCAACAAAAACGGAAAAAGCTGTCAATATGTTCCACGTCTCCTTTGTACTTCGACCTGCACCGCTAGAGTTTCACCAGAGGGTGAAGGATATCTATCATAACATTGTCAAGCCTTTTGCAAACGATCTCAGGTATGAGCAAGCCCGTTCAAACTACGTGGGGCGTCAGACGTCGGTCATCAATTCCATCAACAAAAAACCAAAAACCATGAGAGGTACGTTGAGATTCGGTTGCTACTAGCATTCTTAGAGAGCCTCTGTTGACTAATAAAGGTCATGACTCCGATCTTACGGCTCGTTATCGAGAAGCCATCAAACAGTCCAGCTTAGCCAGAGCGATTGCAACCGTCTTCAATAGTATTTCTACTTCTCAGATTGCTCAGGTCCACCTTGAAGTCAGATCTCGCCCTTTGCAAATCCCACAAGCCAATTTTCTGACATCACTGCCGTCTCCGCTGGCCCCTCAACGTCCCGGATCAATGCTAACGACGGCACTTTCAACCCCCCACGAGGATGATGCGACGAGTGCTTTCTCTCATTTCGGCTTACTCCTCCTTGACGACCTGAAAATTATTCTTGAAGATATCAAAGCTGTAGGTCAGGAATACCAAAAATACCTAAATGCCTACCTACGAGTTTCGAAACCCACGAAATCGTTCCAACAAATATCTCACGCTTCAGACATACCGCTGCATGCGATACTTCATATGGCAACTTATCTCATATCCTGGAGGCGAGCCCAGACTATTCCGCCGTTAAAGCAGCGCGACATTTATATTGCGTCTCCTAGCGCAGATATGCAAAATGTTTCTAATGCTTCATTCAGCTTTGCGAAAGCTTTTCCGGCCTTGCCTCCCCTACCTAAAATCTTGAGCTCGCTCTCATCAACACCCCGACCTTATTCTACCCTGATTCCTAGCAAAGACTATAAAGAGTCTTACATGCACGCTTTAGCATGGCTTATGAGAGGAGGCTGGGTTGCGCATTTGAGATGCTTTTCATGGGTTCGAGTTCCTTCTCACATCATCCGCAGCTGCAGCGAGAGACCAACGAGTGGAATGAAAGACTCTACATCACAGATAGAGGAGCAAAACGCTAATCATGATTCAACAAGTTCCAGTTCTCCCGCTTCAAACCAGTCCACTGCAAGTATCACTGTACACTTAGCTTCGAAGATTAAAGGCTCTCCAATAATCATTTCAAATCCTCGACTTGCCAACTCCGAACAGTCCAGATATCTCTCAGCAATTTCGGTTTATGTCCGTGAGGAACAAGGCGAGGAAGCGAGTAGTGCATGGGATATATGCGTCAACTACTTTGACGGCAAGCATGCTCTGGAAACAATTGCGGTGGCACAAGGCTGGAAAGGGAAAAACACTGCTAGCCTCCTTGCAGGGTGGGAGGAACTCGGCATACTTCTCAAGACACGGCATTGGTAGGCTTTAATAAGATTCTCCGTCGTGAAGATCAGGTATCGACGTCCGAGGTACAAACCAGCGACCGACTAGAGCATGCATGTGCTCTCACCATGCACACGGACCCACTTCTTCTTTTAGGGCTTATGTCTGGATACGCCTGCCTCTTTGCGGCTCATTCGAGAAACGGTGATACGGTTCGTGGCGTACACGGCCTGCAGCCACCGCGTCTGAAGCCATTGCCGCGATCTCCTCGAGTTTTCGTAAGACTAAAGCCCCCCTCGGCTCTTTTCCAGCCCAGTCTGATGCTAGACTTTCCAACTCCCTTTCCTGGTCTAGTCTATCAGCTGTCTTCAGCCACCATTGCTTAAGCCATTGCTCTCTCTTCATAAGTATAAAGGCCTCCTCCCAGGTTTTTTCAGCTGCTTCAACGCAAGACCTTCAATTCCCTACTTCTGGTCTAGTCTGATTTTTGAGAGTAATGTCCGGGAGCTTATTCATTGTAGCAAGGACTTCTCGTGGAACTGCATGCATCGATAATAGAATCTTCCATAAGGACACGCCGCACCTTCGGTCAAGAACTAAAATGGCGTTGAGCCATATCAATGTTCGACACCGCAATGAAAGAGATACAAAAATATTACTCAGTACGAATGAATTGGTCGGTCAGAATGCGAGGCTGGCCATTACCATGTCAAGTGTAAATAAAATTCTGCTTATCCGATAGATATGTGCCGTCCTCAAAATTTGCAATCTCGGCGCAGAAGGCGCTTTGAGGCCTCTATTTTAAAACAGACACCGCAAATGCTAGCCAAAAAGATACTCAAAGCCTCAATAGCTTCCATTTGAGGCTCATCAAGATTAACAGCATAATAGAACCCCAAAGTCTCCCACTCCTTCAGGTTCAGCGACCACGCTGTCTACAAAGTACCTTAGAATAGCCAAGATTCTCCCCCACGCCCCTGCCCTCGCTGCCACCACTGTCTAGTTCTCCAAGTAGACCTCTCCCATTGAGTCAAAGCGTAAGTTACATCCATAATATCTTGATAATGCACCAGCGCCTCTCAACATCGAACTCATCTTGCCGGCAGCAATGAAGACATTTACGGCGGCGCCTCGGCCAACATACGTGTTCCAAAAGTATAGCGAATATTGGGCAAAGAAACATCGAAGTATTACAGCATCGATATCAATATACTTTAGGATCGAAAGAGATATTCTGTGATGCTTGACAATATGCCAAGCATTCTCACACTTGGTGCCCAGCGTCGATCATCTCCCCGGAAGACTTTGCGGCCGGCAGGCCTGGGCTGATAGACTTGACGACAGCTGACGACGCCAGTTGCTTTCTCAATGGCGCTATCAGGATCAAGAGGTCATGTTCTCGTTGACATTTCACTCTCCTCAAATGACAGCGTACTGGTACCTCAAGTATAAACACCATCCACTTGTCGGAGACCGAAAGCTCCCAAAGAACCAATCAACACCATAGAAGAAACTTTGCGGAGAATTGAGGCTCCAAAGTCTCTTTTCTAGCGCAAAGCACATCATGATCCTTTGGAATTTGCTGCTAAAAGCTGCCAACTTTGGCAGCGCAATCACAAGTACCTACGATCAACAATGACTAAAGATAAGGAGGACCAGAGTCCCTGAAGCTGGTCCAACAAGTCGCCGCACATACTAAATATGCTGGAGCGACAGTAGAGTCCAGTCTAGAGAAGCCACGAGCAGCAAGGGTTTCTAAATCGCTTTAGAAAGGCACAATCATAATGCGGAAGTCCTTGACTAGAGTTCCTGTGCGATGGAGGACGTGGTCGGCACAGCAATCCATTTCCCCCACCCAAAAGGCTATCAAGGAGCGGACCGCAAGGGCTGGCTACTTGGACCACCTCTTGGCCTGGTGTCCTTCACTAATTCGTGGCACAGTTGCAGTGCCGTGGAGCCGACTCGTCCAGTGCCTCAACCTAAGACGATTCAAGCTTAGAGCTATTTTCCACGCCCGCACAAGCGTTCACGCTTCATCAAGCTAGCAACGTCATTTGGATGTCCGGCATGAAGCTCTTGAAATGAAAGAAGTCCCCTAGTGGTCTGGATTCATGCTAAGCCGTTCGGACCATGGCTTTAATCTTGAATCGTTGACGAAACCAGGGCATGGAGTTGAACTAAGCTTCACACGTGCATTCATCACTGCCGGTCTGGAGCCACACTACTCGGTAGGCACAGCAAATTGAGGTGGAACGTACTTTCTGTTAGTACTGAGGTCCGCCCTGTCTCGACATTGCGGCGCCAATTACTTGACCTAGCGCCATTACGTTTGCTACCCAGCACTTTGATCATGGCTAAAACCCTGGAGCTCCCCCTTGCGGACCTCATCGTCTTCGTGTTGGCACACGAGGATGGCAGATACCACACCGCCGTTAGGCATCGACCTGAATGCTGACCAAGGGGGTCGTATCGTCTCATCGTGTATTGTCCTGATCGTCCTACCGACTCTCTTCGTAATTGGGCGGTTCGTGTCCAGGTACTTGTCTCGAGCTGGCTACTGGGTATGAACTCTTAGACTGCGCCTTCGCACACAACCATCGCTTACACTCTGTGTTCTAGTGGGATGATCTCTTGGTCGTCATAGCTCTGGTGAACAACATCACCACGCTTCTTCCCCAGACGGTGTCTGACTTCTGGGACAGATACTAGGATACGTGCCTTGCATATGTGTGCTTGTCTGTAAGTGAAGCTATTTACGCTTGCCTGTAGAGAGTCGAATGCTCATTCTACTCAGCACAATCACACAATGGGTTCGGAAGGCATATATGGGTCCTGGGGCCGAACAATACCGTCGTCTTCCTCAAGATTCTCTACGTATACGTATTCTTCTACTACTCAGCAGTCAGCGCGATCAAACTCTGCCTGTAAGCACACAAGACCGCATTGTAATGGAACAACCCTGACAGGCAAACAAAGGCTTCTCTTCTACCGTCGCATCTTCCCCATTAAGCAGCTCCAACCAGTCTTATGGTCCTTCTTCGCCGCCGTCGTCTGCTTTTGGATCGCGACAACACTGGCCACGCTTTTTCAATGGTGGGCCTCAAAGAGTTTCGAATCCCGATTTCTACGGTTGCTAACGCGACTACTTCCAGCACACCTATAAGCCACTACTGGTACAGAACAAAGCCCGGCCACTGCCTCAACACCGACACCTTCCTCCTCGGCTCCGGCGCCGTCAACACTATCCTCGACTTCCTGGTCATCATGCTGCCGATCCCGCTCCTATGGCGACTCAAGACCACCGCGTCGCAAAAGGGCGTCTTGACCGGCATATTCATTTGCGCAGGCTTGTGAGCTTCCCAAATCCCCTTTTCAATCCCCGTCCCCTTTTCCCACCTTCCCCCCGCCATTGGACCTCATCTTCCCATTCTAATTCCCGCGCAGCGTCTGCATCATCTCCATCATCCGCCTCGTCGTCCTCTCCCGCCTCACCTCCGTAGACGTCACCTGGAACTACGTCGACTCAGCAATCTGGTCAGCCGCCGAGCCCTCCATGGGCGTCATAAGCGCCTGTCTGCCCTCTCTACGCCCGCTCGTCTCCATCCTCCTCCGCGGCACCGTGCGCGGGCTGGGCGTCAGTAAATACGGCCTCGGCTCCTCCGCGACCGGCAAACTTGGTAGCAGCAATGGGTCTGGGTCAAGAAGTGGGCGGTGGGGCAGTAGGAGTGATGGCGCGGGGGCTGCAGGTGTGGGCAGAGGTTTGGGGGTGGGTGGTGGGGAGGGGAAGAATGGTGGGGATTTCGAGGAGTTCTTCCGTATGGATGCGCCCAGTGATCCGGGGAGTAGGAAGGTCGGGCATCGGGTCGATGTGAGAGGGGGAAGGCCGAGGCCGGATGGAGGGGAGAATGGGAGGTTGGAGAATGGAGTTGGCGGTGGCGTGGGCGAGGAGGACGAGATTAGTCTCGAAGCGGTCAATCCGCCCGAGGGGGTAATAAGGATTAAGAATGAGGTTACGGTTACGAGTAGTGATTGGTTAGAGTATAAAGATAAGGTCTATTGATGGGGGTTTGGTTGCGAGGAGTTTGGGGGTTTGGAGGTGTTTATGACGAATGAGAACATTGTTATGAATCTACTATTTCCTGAATTTCATACGATTTAGGAAATCGCTGAAGAGTTGGCTTGGTCATCAGTGGCTCGATGCACTTGTCTAGGTGTCTTTGAAAGTCTTCGAGAGGTAACTAGAAACTCATCTCGATTTCGAGGTCTGCACAGGCGATACCCGGATATGGTGCCTCAAGTCCATTTCTTGGCAACTTTGCAAACTCATCAGGCTGAGCTTCTTCCATTACCGTCCACGATGGTGTTCAGATCCATCAATCGACTATCATCAATGTTTGATCAATGATAATCAAGTCATCAGCCCGAAGCGTATCCACGAGGACTTGTTGTGACGTTCTCTCGCCTAACCTGTATAGCTAAGCAATTCGCAGGTTGTCGGCGACTTGAGCAGGTCCATCGTTTGCCATAGGTTGGTAAGTAGTCGTTTCGGTCCAGGACTCTTACCGCGTCGAGACAGCCCAGTCCGGCCTCTCGCTTCAGGCACTGAGGTCATCACGTTCAAAGACTTCATATTCATAGGTATTTTCTTACCAGGACATAAGCCTCGGAGAAAAAACCTAGGCCATACCCAAAAGTGGAGTATTCAAAATTCATATATTTGGCGATAGTTGGTCAGCAACAAGCACTTCAACAAAACTTTGTATGCAAAATACATTCAAGATTCAGTGCAGAGAATTCTATACGCAATTTCTTCATCATAAAATTTGACCTTGAATTGATACTGAGCTTGCGAGTTCTCGCCAAGACCACGTTATTCGTTTGGGGTACGTACCTGAGGACAAAGTCAGCTCCTATCGTCTTTTGAATCCAAAGCTCCAGACGCGGTTTTATTTCCTCAAGCGCTACTCAAAATCTGTGGACTTTTTCTGGACTTTTCCTTGATTATTTCCTTGATTCTTTCATGAGAATCGAAAACTCGGCTGCCTCAGCTGCCAATTAGCCATTGATACAGCTCAAACTTTATATCAGCTGTAGATCACGCGACGCGGCGACGGATCGTTGGGATGTTGGGGACCGTAAATCATGGCTGGCTACACATCAAACGGCAACTTTGTTTCTATCCAGACGAAGCGAGTTCAAGAAACATGAGGTCTAGACAACATGGCTGTAGCCTTGTCATATTTGCAGTCACCTGAGAAATACTGGGGTTAGTGTTTAGCTGCAGCAACATGCCCCCTGTGTAACCGCTCTAGACTGTTTGGTCGCCTCACTCTTCCTTGTAGTAGCTTTCGAAAAGTGATGTCAGCAGAAGGAAAGCAGCCGAGAGGACGGTGAGCTAACCCCCGCACGCAACAAGGCTGACGCTAACGCATGGTCTGTCGAACGGCACTCGGTCATTTCAGAGCTCATACTGTTGCATACTGTATCATCAATATGGATCCTCTTTCTGTAGCAGCTTCAATCGTAGGCATATTGGCCGCTGCCGCAAAAACGTCTTCTGTCTTGACTGATTCTATCCGGAATACTAGAGGTGCGCCAAAGCTTGCCCATAACGTTCTGGAAGATGTCAACAGCCTGAGAGCTGTCCTCAGCTCTTTGCAGGAGTATATACTTGGCACTGCAAAGTTGCCTCAAGCTCAAGCGTCGCTTATCCTGGTGGAGCAAGTGGTCGTGACTTTGGGCGATTGCGTAAAGCTTTTCTCTGAATTGGAAGATCTGCTTGGTAGTTCCAACGAGGACAAAACTTTCCGGGCTCTCGAGCGCTTGAAATGGGCATTTAATGACTCAAAGATCGCTGAGCTTCAATCGAGATTGGAGAAAAATAAGACATCACTGGTTCTCATGCTTGCCATACTGCAAAGGTATGGTTGTTCAGAATTTGGTTAGGTGAACTTCCTGACAGTTTGGAATCAGCAAGTCGATGACAGATACCGAAACTGCTGTCAATCGTCTCTGTGGACTAGTCGAGCAGATCCTATCAAGCAATCTGGATATGAGTCGCCGGCTTCGTACTCTGGACGAACGAGGAGCATCTCACGGATCCACTGCTTTACTAGACCATTGCGATGAAGCAAGTCTTACATTCGATGAGATAGCAACACCGGCTCTGGCCAAGCAGCCTCAGACTGTGGAGCGCAGTCAATTTGGATTCGCCTTCGAAGAGGATCTCCTGGAATCAAGAGTGTATCAAAAGCCATCTTTCAATGACTCAAGATATTCCTTTGTCTCCTCTGCGGCTCGAACTACTGCCACATCTGTCCTATCCGCATACAGTTTATCGGAGATATCCAACGTCGCTATTCTGGCAGTGCCGATCTACGCATACGAGATCCACAATAGTGGCCGTTACGCTTGGGAATCGTCAACCACTTCAGGCACGCTCTCCTCTCAATCGCAACTTAGGGTACCAGCAGCTTCCCAGAACCTAGAGAGATCTTCCCCCGTGCAAAAGATTTGGCGAGGACTCTTTGTCTCGCATAATCCGCGACGCAAGACAAACCAATTACAGAGCCCAGATAAATCAGTAGCCTTACACGCTTCACAACAAAGGGTCTTGGGAGTCTCACTCTACGAATCTGTCAAATACGCTTATGTCAGGGTGAATTATATGCCTTCGGGCGGTAAGCCTTTATTTGGTGGCTACATACCATCTTTTATCGCAGGAATATGTCATCATCTGGTAGAAGAAAAAGGTCGGGTGACACTTTCTATTCCTGCCCATACTTCTCAGCGAATTCTTGATACTGATACACAGCCATAGCATACAATGTCGAACACATCTTTCAGAAAAGCGGATCTCCTCTTCGCCTGGGAAAGCTGGAGAAGATCTTTGAGACTGGCCCATCTTACGGTAGATATCTCGACTGGACCGATTTTTCCGTACATGACGCGACGTCGATACTAATTAGATTCCTACTACGATTGCCAGAGCCTATCATACCCCCATCATTTCATTCGAGATTCCTAGAGCCAGCGTTTAGATTCTCACCTCTCCATGATAGGGAACCGGATGATTCTACCGTTGCAATCTACTGTAATATCATTCTCGAATTACCAGTAGGATCGCGACTAGTCTTGCTCTATTTACTAGACTTCTTTAGACTGTTTCTTTCCCGTTCGATCTCCAATGAATTAACCGTGGAGAATCTTGTCGCGGTGCTTCAGCCAGTCGTCCTCTCGTCTCAGAGAGGTGGCGACGAAGACGTCAATACCCAGCGGACCAGCCGAGATGTTCTTTCATACTTAATTACCATATTCCAGCTTCATCATAATGACTTCATGGAAAAAGCTAGCGATTTTGCGGCAGGAGGCACGCTAGTGTGATCCATTTTTTCCTCAGCCGATGCAATTTGGAGACCTACAAGGCACAAGCAATCAATGCTATTATTGAAAATCGATTCCAACATTCACATACTCATTTCTATCGGAGATGTGTCATTATTATCAAGACTCAAAGGACAAGATACGACGTCTGGCTTTCAAATGGTTATTTTCTAGAATAATGTTGCCTGTCTACTGTGTCGCCGGCAATGTGAAGGGTCAATACCTCATCACAAACCTATCGATCCGCTCAAACTCAGCTGCATGCGAGTATCATGGGCCATGACCTGCCATCTTAATATGTTAGCTTGAGCACTGCCGGTAGTTGGAAAGTAGCTTTATCTCGGAATTGACAAAGTCTCCGCTGAAGTACGTATATCTTTATGGAGGTTCTAGAAACGGCTTCATCACAATCCTTGCGTGTGCTCTGCACAAGCCTTAGAAGTTGAGCAAGGCGTTTGATCTCACAGACGGTTGTCTAATAGGCTCGCGTCAGCTGCAACAAAGGGATAAAGAACGGATAGTCATGCAAAGCGCTGGCAAAGTACGACAAACGCTGGAATCGCAAAAGAATCGACTCCGAACTCGTCGAAAGCCAATGAACGTGGATCTTTGAATGTCACAGAGGATATTTATTGCTGACGAATACTGTAAAGCTCTGATTAACACTACATTCGGACCCACCAGAACCCTGATTGCAACCTCTATGACTTTCCATTTCCCTACATTGTACTATTGCTGATTCCCCTCCTTACCTAAGGGCGCGGCAGATGAGTTGGCTGCTAAAGTCAGCCTCAGTTACTCAGCAGGAAGAGCGAGACACATACCAATGGAAATGGAAGAAGAGGAAGAAGAGGAAGGAGGTCTGGTTCCGCTTTGCTACCTTCGACCGCGGCACCATCTGGTGATGCCTAAGATTCAAAAGTCAGCTCGGTTATTCTTCTCCTGTTGCATATCTTCCAGGCAAGGGACAAGTTGCTCGAGACTGACTCGGCAAGTTTGGGATAAAAGAGAGTGCAGCCCACTTACTGTGGGAGCAGCGATAACAGCTGTCAGGAGAATCGCTACAGCGGTCAAGCTGACGCTATAAACTGGGAGACGCATGGTTTGGACTGCTGGAAACTTGAGGGGAAGGCGAGTATGGATGCTTAGAAGGAGTTTGCAATGATTTCTGTAGAAGGAAAATTCTAGATAATATGTTTAATGGAAAGGAACTGAGAAGGGCCCAGACGGTTTATCAAGCGGACGACCGGAAGATTTTCTGGTTGGTGTGCACTCATGACGCACTGGGAAAACCTCTAGGAGGGTGCTTCAGTGATATTAGAGGTCAGCAGCGGCACTAATCCGTGTAAGTAAGGTGAAGTGACGATCATTATAGTGAACGCTGATTTCTACCCACTCATGGATCTGATATAGACACCTCCATCGGTCATGCTCGGACTGACAGTAGATATTCATCCTAGCTTCAAGCTCTTGGTAGCAGCTGAGGCTGGATGTTTGTCGGCTTCTGGGTTCAATTGCCGAGAATCCAACACAGGGATCTGATGAAAATGCAAAGGATTCTATCCATACGGCGAACAGTCTTTGTATGGCAACGCATCAATGTGGTTCTTCTCGATAAGAAAAGCTGTCAAAGCTGAGCACAATTCTACCTCCATAACCAAATACTTATTTGACTAATACAGATTGTCAAGCCTCGTCCTAGATCACGAATGAGCGTACAGCTACTGATTCTTCGATAATGGAAGCCTTACCCTTTTCGGAAGGTATCTATACTGATCAGAGCAGTCTCCATCGACACTCGATCTAGTGTCATTTTAAAAAAACCTGCCATCGCAGCCTTTCCACTTTTCATTTTCAACCAGATCAAAGCTACACAACAGTTCACACTTCAACAGCTTACAGTTCAAGTCTCCTCGACTCAGCCAAGATTCATCGAAGTATATTCGCCTCCACAAGCCTTTAAATCACAGACCCCACAGCTCTCCAACCCTCTCCTAGTACTGACTACCGGACTTCTACTTTATCAGAGTCTCTTAACAATAAATACTAATAAACATCCTAAATTGACAAGTAATACTAAATCATCTTTCCTACCTACCATATATTTCTACTAATCCCCCAACTGTTTCACTGTCTCATCTTCCGGAGCCAGCAGAACGACATGCATCGCCCTTTCAAGTCTTCTTCCAACCCAAAAGGTCTCGTCACACTCCTCCCTCCCGAGGTACTCCTCCACCAAAAAGTCAGACGCCATCCCCACCCTCCACGTCAGGCGGCGCCACAAACTCTGATCGCGCCCCAATTGAAAACAGAACCCCACTTGCTCTCTCCACTCTCTGCTATATAAGAAGCAGCAACTTCTCTCTCTTTCTTTCTTTCAATTCCCACCCAACACTCCAAAAACAAATACCTACGAACATCCTAGACAGACATGTATCAGCAATCCTCACCCACCCTCGCACCCTCTCTCCCCACCTACCATTCCCAGCTCCATCATTCTCACCACTCAAATTCCGGATACAACTGCACCACCCCATTTATCCTCCAACAGAAGCATCCCCACCTTACCACCACCCCCCAAAGGGTATCCCCTCTAGCACGACTTAGACCTCGCCACCTCGACCCCCTTTCCCCCCAACACGTCAGGATACGGACAAGACCATTTCCCTCTGGCCGTTCCCCCAGGGCCCCCTCCGGATGGTCCGAAAGAGGCCCTGGGGCAACGGCCAGAGGGAAATGGTCTTGTTCGAGGCGACACTTTCTTACGCCCTTGGAGTAGGTCTCCGGGGGGCTCTCACCTCTCTCACTCTCTAGGAGGGTCTTTCCCTTCTCACCCTCTTTACTCCTAACCCCTGGAGAGGGGAGGGTGAGAGGGGAGGGGGTGAGAGGAGAGAGGCGGGTCTCTAGGTGACGAGAGACCCGCCTCTCCCCTCCTATCTTCTCCCCTCATACTCTCTCCCCGGCGGAGACCTACTCCGGTGGGGTGCCTCCTTTCTCCTTTCTCCTTCTCTTCTCTTCTCCTGTATCTCTCACCCCCTAGGAGGCTTTCTCTCTCCTCCTCTCTCCTCTTAGGGGGTGGAGAGGTAGAGGAGAAGAGAAGAGAAGGGGAAAAGAGGTTCCCCTGACGTGGGTCTCTGGGTGGGGGGGCTCACCTCTCCTCTACCTCTCACTCCCCAGGGGACATCCTTTCTCCTCCACTAACTCCCCGGAGATCTACTTCAGGGCGGGCCTCCTCTCCCACCTTTTCCTCTCTCAATCCCCAAAAGGCCCACTCCTGAGGGGGTGGAGAGGAGGCCCCCCTGAAGTAGGTCTCCGGAGGGTAAGAGGAGAGGGGGTAGGAGAGGAGAGGCCCCTGAAAACCTACCTCCCAGGGACCTCTCCTCTTCCACCTCCCTGTCTTACTCCTCCCTCTCTTACCCCCTCATCTCTCACCCCCCCGAGACCTACTCCAGAGGGGGGCCTCCTTTCTCCTTCTCTTCTCTTCACCTCTACCTCTCGACCCCCTAGGAGGCCTCCTCTCCCCTCCTCTTACCTCCTAGGGGGTGGAGAGGTAGAGGAGAAGAGAAGGAGAAAGGAGGGCCCCCTCACGTGGGTCCCCGGGTTGGGGGTGGGGGGCTCTCCTCTCCTTTCACCCCATGGGGGCCTCCTCTCCTCTACCTCTCACTCCACAGGGGACATCTTTCTACCTCCTAGGGGCCCCTCCTATCTTCTCCTCTTAACCCCCGGAGACAAACTTCAGGGGGGTTTCCTCTCCCACCTTCTCCTCCTCTTTACCCTTGGAAGCCCTTTTTTGTGGCAGATATCAACCACTGACACGACACCAAAGACCACGCACTCTGGTTCTCAACAGACGATGGATCTGTGTAAAAGACTAGAAAGATATTGTTTTCTACAGTATCTGACGTTGACACAGCTTGGTAGCCAGCATCAGCCAGCAAAATCCAAGAATAAGGGGAAACAAAAGGCGTACCATTCACATTCATATACTCGAAGCTGCATCAGCGACGACAAGACATATCTACGTATCAGTGACAGCTAAGCTTACTCTGCATGAACAAAACACAAGCCTTACATTACGGGATAGAAAGCCATCAATCCCCCGTCCATCGCAAATGGATATCTCCACCACCCAATTAAGCCTTCACCTTCAACAAGACATTTCACCTTTACCCTCCAATCCCACATTCATATGACTTATTCTATCACTCCAGCCCACTCAAAACATACCCACCATACCCATCCCCACCCCACGCCCTCTCAACATCCGCATTCCACCCCTCCTTCTTCTCCACCAATCCCCCACCGCCAAGGAACCGTCTAATACACGTATCGGCCGGCTTCCTTTGCGGACTCTCAAGCGGCACCAATTTATAGAAATTCTCATCCAACCGCGTCGGCTCACAGTCACACCTATGCGCACTGTTCGGCGGACAGTGCCGATTGATATCATGCTGATACCCAATATCCCTAAAGAACCAGATCTCGCTCTTCGGCACGAACATAGCGACACTAAGAGTGTGAATGGGCGCGTCGCCGAAGCGCTCGTAGTAGAACCCGCCGGCTCGATCGAGCCAATTGAAGTAGGCTTCGTTGGCTGCGGAGCGGAAGAAGGCAAGGGAACCGACTTCGAAGTTGGAGAAGAATTGGCAATTGTTGTATTCGCCACTGCCGCCGCCGCCGCCAGCGCTGGAAAACGTGGCGGAGGAGGATGAGGAGGGCGAGTCGTTGTCGAGGAGCCAGTCGAGGTCAGCGTCAGGGTGGATGTGCTCCGGGTGGGCGTTTATGAAGGAGCGGGTGCGGGACCAGAGGGAGGGGAAGGAGCGCGCATCGTCGAGGATATTCATGTTGAAGCCGTATTTGAGGTTGTTATCGCGCATGAAGCGGAAGATATCGTAGTCGATGGAGCAGAAGAAGTGGACCTGTTTCCAAGTCAGTCAGCGATGAGCGGAGGGAAGCTGGGTGGGTGTGGCAAGGGGGCGGGGGAGAAGCGTACGTCCGGCTCTACTCGCCAGTACCAATCGAAATCCTTAAGACGGGGATGTTTGTAGAAGAAGCCACTATTCCAGCGGCACATGTGTCGGTAGCTTACCATCCAGCCTTTGCCTACGCCGATCGCGCCTAGATACTCGAGGCTGTTCATAAATCGTCCTTCGTCAATCCAGTCGGGTAGGGACCAGTGCTCTTGTGGAACGACCTCATAGTAGCATTGAGCGTTGGTGAGATTCTGGGTCGCTGCCTGTGACGTATATCAGCATCAGCATCCTCATAGTCAAGGCACATATAGAGATCGTCATATGATTGAATGTAGGTCTGAGCCTACCTTAAATTCATCGCTGAACTCTTCATCATTGAAGAAAACCCATGGATAGTTATATTTCCTATTCCAATGATACTCCAACTGCCGCATACTCTGCATCAGCCCCTCGAGCTCCGAGTTCCTCACCAACGAGATAAGGGCCGCACGAGGCTTGGGCGAAATGTGCTTGCCCCACGCAGGAACCGATCGCCAGAAGTCTCTCTCTTTTGCCGTCTCCGCGTACTTGTTGTTCGAATTCTCTTCCAGCCACTTCATTGGATCTGGTGCATGCTTGTTTGGCTTCACCGACGCGTCAGTGGGACGCAGGACTTGGTACGGGTTCGAGATCGGCTGATCAAGGGCGTCAATGACTTCGCTGCGTTTCCAAAGGTGAGGTTGCGGCATGACCCATATCAGCAGTGCAAGAAAGATGCAGAAGATGACGGCGATTTGGCGTTTGGAGACGGCATTGCGGATGTTGGAGGGGATGTAGTAGGCCAATGACCATCGTGAGGGCTTTGGTGACTTCCAAAACACAGAGGAGGAGGATGCTGAGGAGCAATTCGAAGAGATGGAGGAGGATGTTGATGATTTTGAGGGGAGAGAGAATCGTGAGATGGAGCTCTGCGATGAAGGAGTGGCGAGCAGCTTTGGCGATTTGTCGACGAAAGGGTCCCGGGGTGGGGAGTTGAAGAGACGCCAGACGGTTCTTTCGAGCAAACCCATCATGCGCAGTATGTGGCGTACGCGTGGTTGTCACATCCACTAGATTTGAGAGTGAAGTAGTGGTGGCAACAAGGATACAAATTTTTTGGTTGAAGTGTTGATCAAGCAGACGTCATCACACATTGATGGCGACTTCCTTTTGTGCCTCCATGACCCTCATGTCACCTCCAGCTATTCCTCATACCACATTAAGACTGCGTATCTGGTCAAAATAGCTACTATCAAGCAAAATAGTGTGCAAATTTGGCAAACGCCTCGCTTCAAACTACGCTCAATGGGTATCGATTCATGAGACCATCGCATCCTCACTCGCCTTTACATGCTCCTCAGTAATGCCCAGAACCTTCGCATAAGGTACCGTGATTCTTTGTAGATCGCGGTTTTTCCCTGGAAGAATTAGCTGTTGAGCTCGACAGCATGCAAACCGTGGGACTTACCCAGTATCAATACGACCTCGCGAAGGAGCTGCTGCCGTGGCCATCCACATAGATTGGCCGATTTGTTTTCCCAGTGCCTGTCTCCACCTATCTGTTTTGTGGCCCCATCAGTATCGGTCACCTCCTCATCCTCGTAGACGTCGCCCATCAGGATACGTAGCAGCTCCTCAACTTTGCCTCTGAGTCCTTCAGCTCCGATCCGCTTAGCGTACATGTACAAATAGACTTGGAAATCCGCCTTAGCCCCAAGCATCATAGCAGCAGCGATTCTGTTCTCCAGGTGTGCTATCGAGACAGTTGACTCAAACCCCTCGAAGCCCTCCTTGGACAACAAGACACTCACAATGTTTTGCAGCATTCTGGCTCTGCCTCTTGCGAGGGTCGCTTGCGTGGTACTGCGCTCTAAGAATGGGATCACGCCAGCCGAAATTTTGGAGTCTTCACCCACCGCCGATGTGGACTGGAGGTTGCCGACAGAGCTGTCTGTCGTGTTCCAGTACTGGCTTCCCACAAGCCACCAGAGCTCCGACAGTCGCTGCCAGACGAACATGTTCGGATTGTATGCAAATCCTTCTCCATTGGTGAGCGTAATGATAATGCGACCCTCTGAGTTGAGTCTTGCGCCCGTCACAGCGGGAGCTCTAGTGACATGGTCTTGGAGACTGTGAATCGCGATGTCGAGGATTGGGGCCAGGGAGACCGGAGGATGTGGAGATGTTAGCGTGTTCATGTCCCAAACATAGCACATTCCAACCGCAGTAAGGCACAGCAGATACTGATTCTGGCAATCGAAAATGACAGGTTGGCTCTCAAGAACCAAAGCATTAAAGATACGTCGGCCTGATGGGGTCCAGGCGTATATAGAGCCGTCTTCGCATGCAGCAGCCCAGTAATTGTTATTTCCTGTTACTAGCAACGTGCTGCGTGGAAGAAAGTCCTGGAATATGGGCTGGCCCCGTCTTGTGACTGTGATACGACAAGGTTCCTGATCCCGATTTGGAGCTGGCTGCTGTGTGGCGTTTCTGGCCTCAAATACAAGATTCTGGGACTGACCACGACTCGAACCTTCGACATCATCTACATCGGCAGCCTGCTCTTTTCCCAATGAACGAACAATGTGTGTGCGAACCTTGGGGACTGCAAGTCGGACTTGACTGACGGTCAGACTAGGATTTGTCACCGCAGGACGAATGAAGTCTGGAGTTGCTTGTGGGCCGGCTGGAGCTGCCTGCGCTTTTGCGGGCACAAGTCCAGTGGCTGTATTAGTGACGATTGGAACAGCTCCATCTTTTCGTGCCGTAGCCAGCTTCTTATCAATGTGATCATCCTCAACGCCTTCCATTGGTGCAAATTTCCGTTTATTTCCCAATAGAAGGGCTGCCAAGCCTCCCTGGGGCAAGCCGTCAACAGGCTTGGAGAGATCAAGGATCGTTTGTGGCTGATCGGACGTTGCTGCCTGAGTCCCTGAAGTGCTCATCAATCGAGTCTGAGGAAGGGACGACTCGTTACTTCCGGCCGAAGATACTAACAACGGTGCGATGCGTTTCTTTCCGTCTTTGGTAATTGTTACACGGTTCTTCAATTGCTCTAGCTTTGCGGCAGTTGGGTCCTCTTTTGGCTTGTCACTTTGAGTGACCTGGACTGAAGTCTGGCTCGTGTTGGCATTAGTCTCTTGCGAATCTTTCACTCCATTCGTCGTAAGGTTTGAGGGAAATCCATTCAGAGTGCTGGAGTTACTTCCCAGAGCAGCATCGCCCATTAAAGCCCCCATGCGTCCTTCAACACCTCGCATCTCGCCCTCCTTGCTCTTTTCCTCCAAGAGCAGACCTTCTGGGCCTTCAAGGATTCCAGCGCCTCGCCTACCTGCTCCGTACTTTGCAAGAGCTTCCTCGTTTTGTTCCACTTTCATCTCATACCCAATCTCATCTGGCTCAAATATAACTGCCGTTATGGTACCATCAAGACTCGCAGCAAATAAAGTCCTTCCATCAGGCGTCCATGCTAGGTCTACCACAGATTTTCCAGCGACGTCTTGCACTATCGTCAGGGGCCTTGTTTTTGCAGTCACCCAAATGCTCAACGCCTTGTCCTGGCCACTGCAAGCTACAACAGTGTGTGGGCTAGCGGTGTCTGTAGGTGATTTGGTGAAGAGTCTTGGAGAGAAGGCGCAGATCTCCGTTGGCCCTTCATGTCCAACCAAGTGTATCTCTCCGTCCCACGGACCTCTGTTGATGATACACACAGTGCTCACGGGCCCGTTGACAGAATTAGCAGCCGCAACATGTGCACCGTCGGGTGACCATGCAGGTCGCCGAAAGTAAGTCGTAAGAGGAGAAAGCACAAATGGCGACAGGATGGTCTTCTCAAGCATGAAGTTGTTGTGCTGGTCATGAGCGGTAGAATTCGGTGTTGGCGGGTTGAAGCGCCATATCTTGATCGTCCGGTCGTCACTAGCCGTAGCAAAATACTTGTTGGCAGGGTCAAATGTGACACCTTTCACTTGACTTTGATGTGCAGCAAGTGTCTTGAGCTTTTCGAATGTATAGCCTGACCAAACCACCACCTTTGAATCCAGCCCGACAGAGACCATGATCGAGGAGTCGAAGGACCATCCCAAATCTTGAACGTCATTGTCGTGCCCTATCAATCGTCGAAAGACTCGCCATGATTCGACTTGAGGTGCATCGTCACTGCCTGTAACGTGTCAGCCTAGCCGGCGATTGCGTGAATCTTGCGTACCGAATCCTGCCTCTTGCGGTTTGCCATGAGGGTCAAAACGGTATACTACCACAAGCTTGTCATCTGCACCAGAGGCTAGATATTGTCCGTTGGAGGAGAAGCGAGCTGTGTGGATGGTCCCTGAATGATAGCTCATGGAAGCCAATTGCTTGGGTTTGGTGTAGGTGGGGTCGCCAGCATTGTAGATTGCTTCTGTCGACCATATCCGTACATAGCCATCTGTAGGATATATCAGGGGAGCTCGTATAATGAAATAAGAGAAGTGAGCTTACCTCCAGCTGCTGTGACCAGTCTCGAGCCATCCGGCGAAACATTGCAGCTGTAGACCTCGAAGTCTTTCTTCTCCCCACTATGTGTGAGCCATGGCGGTCTGATGAATTTCATTCTGACGTTGTGAGCTCCTACTGTCCAATAGCATCTCTCTAGGCTGGTATTAGCAGCCCAACTCGGTCGAAATGCGCGTGAAGAAGCGCGTCAACAGCTCATTGTCACTGAAAAGAGGGCAACACAATTACCCGAAGTTTTGCCGAGCGGACATCTTGAGGTTGCGAAAATTCCAAGCGACGTCACTCTTCAGACACCTCAGGGACCACCAGATTGTGACGGCGCTCAATCCGCAGTACAGGAACGTTCTATAGAGAGTCATCGCCGTCATGGTACGTCCTCTCTGCCATACGTCTTTCACAGCCTTTACTGACCCTCCCTAGGCATCAAACCTTGATACCAAGAAAAAGCTCGCCCTCGCTGTCGTCGACTTCCTCCAGACCTCCCTCAAAGATGGCACACTCCAATCCGAAGACAGCGAATCGATCGAAATAGCGACCTCGTGTATCGCTGACACCTTCCATGTCGACCCCTCCAACCCCACCTCCATGAATGAGGCTGTCTCCCAGCAGAATCTTCTCCAAATCTACACGGTCTACGAGAAGCTCAGGTCTAAAGCCTCTGCCCCTGCGCCCTCACAGCCCCCAACGTCTTCATCGACCTCCACAGCCGGTGCCCCCTTCGCAACAACAGAAGAGTCCGAAAACCTCAAAAAGCAAGGGAATGCAGCAATGCAGCGTAAAGACCACGCTGGCGCAATCGAGTTCTATACCCAAGCCCTCAAGATTTCCCCTACAAATCCCATCTACCTCTCCAATCGAGCTGCGGCCTACTCAGGCTCCGGCAATCATAAAGACGCCGCTACGGACGCCGAGCTCGCCGTCGCTGCGGACCCGAAGTACTCTAAAGCATGGTCCAGACTCGGCCTTGCAAGATTCGTCCTTGGAGATGCAAGAGCGAGTATGGAAGCGTATCAGCAGGGCATGAAAGCCGAGGAATCCAGCGGTGGCAAGCCTAGCGATGCTATGAAGAAGGGTTTCGAGACCGCGAAGAGGAAGGTGGAGGAGCAGGAGCGAGAGGGGAAAGATGGGGGTGATTTACCAGAAGAAGAAGTGGATGAGGCTGTTGGGTCGTCGAGAGGGGGAGGTGGGGGTGGCATGCCTGATTTGGCGAGCATGATGGGGGGAATGGGAGGAGGGGGAGGAGGAGGAGGGATGCCAGATCTAGGGGGCATGATGAATAACCCGATGTTTGCACAGATGGCGCAGAATCTTATGAGTGATCCAGATAAGATGAAGGGGTTGATGGAGAACCCGCAGATTAGGGCTATGGCGGAACGGTTTGGGATGGGAGGAATGGGTGGAGGTGGAGGAGGTAGTCCTGGGCCAGGAGCTGGAGCTGGAACTGGGGCCGGTGCGAGGGGAGGTGCTGGGGGAGGAGGTGGAGGCATGCCGGACTTGGCGAGCTTGATGAGCGATCCGAATCTCCAGGAGATGTGAGTTTGCCTTCTGCTACTTTCTGATATCGAATAGATCTTGTCTAATGGGTTCATAGGGCGAAGAACTTCATGGGTGGCCGTGGTGGAGGAGGTGCTGGTCGAGGCGCTCCATGATCAAATTGATGCTGGGATGCAATGTCAAAGTACGCGGCGGACTACGATAGCGAATTGAAAAGAATGACTATAGGGCCCTCGGCCTTCGAACTTATGGTTCAGTACAGAGATTTCTCTAGGTGAGTGATCTATTGACACAGTTTTGACTCCCACAGCATGGTGCCCCGAGAAGCTTTCATACCAAAAAGGGCATTCCTGTTTTCTCTTCAAGCATCCCATCCTCCGCTTCCCTGAAACGTTCCTCTTTTCGTCCCCTCGAAATGTAGGATAAGGTGGGTAGGCAGTCTGTTCTTCATAACACTCCTCCAATCTCTACATTCAGCTACCTGAATCTGAGACAACGCAAAGACAAGGCCTTGTTCACAGGGTTTAGCAAGCGTCACGTACTGAGACCCGAGCTACTACTGGCATAAGCGCGGACCAAGATCCTCACGCGACAGTCAGACATCTCATACGGATTATGCAGCTCTACATCAGCGGCCAACAAGGCATGTGAAAGAGTCCTGGGTGGACCATACCGTCCAACCTTAGTATCGCTTAGAACCTTATAATCGCCGTCGATATGCACGGCTTCGAAATGGTACAGCTTGTGAGGGACTTGCCATGAGTGAATATTGCCTCTCCAGCATCAGATCTCTGTATGCATGGGTGGAAACCGTGGACGCGATCCTACAGGATTCTGGGTTACTCCACGTACTCGCTCCCAAGTAATATCCATTGGAACGGTTAGAAGCACCGTGCTGACGAGATCGTCCTCTTTGCTAACCTACGACGTCCGCGCGAAATGAGGCTCTTGTGACTCGCTAATCGTGTCTGGATTTCTGCGCGAAGGAGCATTCGGAATATTATATGGGTAGCCGCAAGACAGATTTCCAATCTGGTAAGTCGCTCTTTGCATCCAATTCGGGATATATTCTTCTTACTGATGTGGTCCATATGGACGAGAATAAGTTCAAGAAACTTCCTTTACTTCTTTGCCACTCGTCCTCCTCAATGACTGTACAATTCAAGCTTGTACCTTCGACCGAATTGCCACGCGCCTATGTTTGCCATAACGAGCCTTTTCAACACTGTCTTCCTTATTCTAGTCAGCCTCGCCATGTTCACTCTAACGGTACCAACATCTTTACAAATTTCTCCGCTCCCCAATCCACACCAACAAGATATCTCCAGCCTCCCCTCAAGAGCTCTCAACCTGTCACAAACCAACCTCTCAGACTCCGACCTCGCCCCCGTAACATGCTACCCTCCAAACCCCTCACCCGGCTTCATAAAGAGACAAGACTGCACCTTCATGCTCCGCGAATACTTCATCAAACACCCCGAAATCCACCGTCGCTACCGCTGGAGCTACAATTACGGCCCCCACATAGAGAAGGTTCTACCGGATGATGGTCGATGGGAGTTCGGGACCTGTATCATTGAGGTTCTCAACTTCTATCATGAGGAGGAAGATGTTTTTAGCTTGTGGTTGATTGCTACGACGGCGGGGCGGATTCTAGAGAAGTGTGTCGCTGCGGGTGATGAGACGGAAAGATTGGGGGAAGTGGATGGGGGCCATTGCCATATTGGGTGGGTGACGGATCATTTCTATGTTGCTGTCAGGGCGCCGGTCGAGGGGGCGGTGGAGGGAAATGGAACGGCGAGCGTTGTGGCGCCTTTGGATACTGATTAGGCAGTCTATTCCAGACCAAAGATCAATAAGGAGCTCTCGAATAGAAGAGGCTGATCGGAACATTTCTTCGCCAACCAGATGACGATTTTCTATGCTAAATCAAGACATTTGGGGGTTTCAATGTATCGCTTGTCGCCTACGAGCCAGCATATGCTCTAATTAAGGAGCTAGCACGCGACATCTGAATATCGACGTGTTGAAACAAAACAATAGGTATTGAAGACTCAATCTCTGGATCATGACGCAAACGATTCTCCGCTCAATACCTGTGAGCGAGCTGATGAGATTCAAACCCCCATGACTCCTCGCAACAGCCACTACCAATGACGACAGCAATACCGATCCCTACGCCCCAATATCTCTCCCCGCTGAATCAGCTCCACCCGAGATAACGACAATGGTGACGTCGACCCCTCACCTCTACATCCTCTCCACCCTAATCACCGCCATTGTCGCATCGACTCTAGCATCTCCTCCCCCTTCACTCTCCCACACCACATTCAACCAAACAACCCTTCCCTCCAATCCAAATAATCAAACATCCTCCTCCCCTAACCCCAACCCTAATCCCGACCCCAACTCCCCCCGCTGCACCCTCCAACCCCCCTCGGTCTCATCGACAAACTAACCTGCCTCGACCTCATCCTCTCCTCCCTCTTCAACGCCCCCGACGCCGACGAGTCCTACATATGGTCGAAATCCTCCCTACCCTCCCCCCTTTCCCCCTTTCCCCCTCCCACCCCTCCCACATTTACCAGCAAAAAAACTAGGCGTAGACGACCAATGGCGGCGACCGCACTGTTTTATCCGCCTTCTGAGTGCCCGGGCGCAGAGTGTGGAAGTGTTTACGAAACGCGATGTTGGGGCGGCGGCGCTGGAGATTTTGTTGGTGTGTTTTCAGATTGGGGGAGCTGGTGGGGCTGGTGGGGGAGGAGCGGGTAGTGGGGGGCAAAGGTTTAATACGGGGCGGGTGAAGTTGTTCATCGCGGGAGGAGGGGCGGGAGGGGAAGGGGGCAGGAGTAGGGAGTTTGGTGTTTTGGTGGATCCGGGGGGTGTTTTGGTGGATCCGGGGGGTGTGCTGGGAGAGGTTGGGGAGGGGGAGGGGGAGGGCTGGTGGAATAGCAGCGTTGAGCTTGAGGAGAGGATTCTTGATCGTTGAGATGTTAACGCCTTCTCAGGGCTATGAGCTGGAGTAGAGTCTTGGCTGATCTTTTTTTGTGAGCGTTTAATGCTGCTGAAATCATGGAAACCCAATATGTTTAGAAAGTATGTGGGGCGGAACAGGGGTGAATGGACTCAATCATGGTCCAAAGAGAACTAGCATGATGTTTCAAAATGCTGTGTGGATATAAAAGTCTCAACGTCAGTGGAGATGCTCAAGATTGAGGATAGAATGGCTTCGTCGATGAGGGTGCACGCTTGCAGTCCTCGCTCTTAATCACTATACCTTCAGCAGAATGATCCGAAGTAGATCATGACATAAAGGAAGGAATAGAGCTGCAACAATGCTCACATCACAGTCGGTGGATTCTGTGAAATACCTTATGCTAAAACATCGTCAGAGCTGGTGTAGATACACCTAATATGTAGGTACATGCAGAGCATGCAAGCCGTGCGCCTGAGTACCTTGCACTTGCGGAACTTCAATGCCATCATGTGATTTCCAGAAAGCCGTTGGCCCTGCTGGGCCATGCTCGTCGAAGTCCCTATGTAGAGTCAGCTGGAACGCAATTGAATCTTCGAAGCACGTATGACAGACTTGTCAAACCAATAGCCCAGTACGCCTCGTGCAGATTGTACACCACCCACTTGAATGCCTTCACTCTTCCATCGTTCCTCGCCGTAAAATATCGACCAGCTAGTCCATCGAACTTCACCTCGAGGGGTCAATCTGACACATCCTGGTGATTTGATCAGTACATCGCTTCCTATATACAATGAGGGTAGGATGATATACCTCGTATTTTCGAGCTATTAGCATTTTGATCCCAGCTTGGCCTCACACTTGAAGACTCTCCTTTGAACCATACGACTGGCAAGTCCTGCCCATTCTCGCGCCCAGGTCGCTCGATCTTCGAGACCACGAGTTTCATTGTTATCAATCTGATGGCTTCATCTGTATCTAAAGGTAGTCTAGGTTGGTTGGGTGGTGGATCACCCCCAGTAAAATTGAAGTCAAAGAGCTCGGTATAGTCCAGAAAACAGACGACTCGCATCCACGTGCCTGTGATATTGTATGGATCTTGCGCTTCGAGGGGAAGTGCAGGCTCCTGTGGGATATTCGTCTGCAGCGATACATAACTGTAGGGATTCGTGCCCGCAAAGGGTGTAGTCCAATCTGGAACAGCCAGTGGGGTGACAGGTTCATGTGTATTCATGTATTGTCTCATGTTGTGGTCAAGGATCAACATTATGGCTTCCACCTTCTCCCAATCAACCTCTTGAGTATTATCGTTGAAAAAGGGGCCCCAATGGGTGGCCTCGGTGTGCTGACGGAGATCGTAGGCTCTCGAGCGGGCATAGGAGTGGATTGGACCAGTATCACTTCGGAGACTGTATCGTTGAGAGCTCGTTGTGTCACGGTGGACTTCTTGAATCGGGACGCCATAGAGGCAGTGAAGTTTGGCGCTAATTTGACGCAAACGAGAGAGTCGATTGTTCTGTGGGTGGAAGGCTGTCAAGCCGAGAGGAGGATTGTGATTGTATGAGTGGGGTTCCTGAATCTCACGGTGTCTTCGCGGGAATAGGAAAGGAAGAGTAGAGGTGTGGGGAGCGTGGTCCGGCTGCTCGACCTCCGTGCCATCCGTGGATGGCTGCGAGGCTGCTTCAATGCCCGGCTGTTGCGTCGTGGGTATGTTGGGATGAATTCTCTCATGATAGTTTTTGCAGGCCAAGTTCTGTCGTCGGGCATCAGTTGCAGCCCATTTGTAGAGCGAGGACCCTGTCAGGAGATGTCCCTTCTGGAAATCATGACTGAATTGTGCTGAGAGGAAAGCAATGTTATGGGACTGGGACGACGAAGTCGCGGACGCCCGTTTGGAGGTTTGAAGAAGATAGTCGATTGTTTCATTTATGAATTCGATCTGGTCTCCCTGATAGCCTCTTAGTCTGTGTAGACAATTCCTCGGGCATAGCCTTCACCTTCAAGGAAGCATTGTCTGACTCGAGGATTTTGCCCAATTTGACGACTATGTGTAAGGTCTCCTCCCAGCTTGGTTCTGTTGTGCCGTCCTCACGCCGGGGATCATCCTGCGTTGTATCAATTCTTGCTCGACGACTGGAGTCTTGGTACTCTCACAAAGTACTTTAGGTACAAGCCCTTGAAGAGCAGGGTATCACTCTTGATGAATGCATGTAGAGTCTTGCAACAAGAGAGACGCGCGACGTCATCGGGATTGACGTGGCTGAAGATGCAGTGGAGGACTTCGTGAGGGAGATTGAGGAGACAGATGGCCATGACTGTTGCGGTGGTGGAAGTCGATTTGCGGGCAATGCATTCTAGATGACTTCAAGTAGTGAATTGACGTGAAGATGGTTGCGATGAGCATGAGCTTTACGTTCACTCCGTACTCCCCTCCCTCTCCGAAATACGAAATAGCTGCACGTTGATTCGCTCGGAGCAGAATTGACCAGGAGATATGATATCGCCGTCGCCCCTACGGCATTAACGGATTTTGGAGAGAGCTACTGCCCCGCCCCACAATGAGTCTTGGCGCTTTTTTGTGTATCGAATCCTGTATGGTATTTTTCTTTCGCCGAGCTTCTCCAAGTCGTCCACCACACCTCAGGTTTTAGAAGGATACCATTGCAATGTCAAGCCTGTTGACCGACTGATATATTGTTCTGCACAGGTGCAAAACATGTCGGAGCGCGAATCACTGCTTCAGAGGCAAGAAAGCAATGAGGCTTCGGCGAGTCCAAGAGATGGGAAAGACATTGTGAATACCAAAAGCCTGCCTCCGGAGCTACAAGACCTCAAGAGCAATGCCATGTTGAAGGCTCAAGGCCACGAAGCTGAAATGAAACGATCTTTTTCTCTTTTCGCTGCCCTAGGATTGGGCTTTAGGTCTGCGGCCCTGGATATTCAAAGCAGTACTTTCCATGATGCCCTTGAGGCTGATTGGAACACGGTGGCAGTATCACAAACTCGTGGGTTGGCTATCTGAGCTGCTTTGGCCAGAACCTTGTATATGCTGGCCCCAATAGTGTTGTCTTCGGTCTCCTGGTCGCTGTCATTATACAGTGGATCATCAGTCTCGGCCTTTATGAAATTGCATCTTGCTTTCCATCTTCGGGGGTAAGCGTGAGACCGCAAGATCTAGTCGATCCGTATTTACGTATTCTGACAGGGGCAATATCACTTTGTTTTCATACTTGCCCCACCGCAATACAGGCAATCCGCTGCATTCGCCATTGGCTGGATGAACATCCTTGGATGGGCGGTCGCTACTTGTTCTGCTGTTTCGTGCGTTGTGTCGTCAATCTCTGGATTGATCGCGTTCTGGAATCCTACATTTACCGTTTCTCAGCTGCAGTCCTACATTGTATATGTTTGTGTAGCCGTGTCTAGCGGTAAGCTCACTCTGTTCTTCCGACCATCGTGGACGAGCTGACATTTCCGCGATATAGCATCTCCTGTCTTCCTCTGTCCCAGAGTGATCCCCAAAATCTTGCAAGCAAGCTTGATATTTTCTGTCGTGGGTTTCATCGTGATACTGAGCCTCCTCTTATCCCTTCGCCAACAGTCTCAGCCGCTGTCATTTCTCTTCGACACCGAAGGACAAGCAGGTTGGAGTCCTGGAATAGCTTGGGCTCTTGGCGTAGGAAATGCGATGTATCCCTTCACATGCACCGACGCTGCTATTCACATCGCAGAAGAAATGGTACTTCCGGAGAAAAGACTTCCCCAAGTTGTTATGCTGACATTAGCGATGGGCTTTGCAACAGCATTTCCGCTTCTGCTTGTCATGATGCTCTCTACGGTCGACATGGGTGCTGTTCGCACTTCGGCCTTACCTTATGCTGAAATCTTCTACCAGATCACAAGAGACAAATGGATTACAACGTTCATGATCTGCTGGGTCACTATCGCTCTCTTCTCGGCTTTGATCGGGGAATGGATTACGTGTGGAAGGCTTGTCTGGGCTTTTGCGCGGGATGGTGGGCTACCGTTCTCATCATATTTCTCGCATGTCAGCAAACTCTACGGATTTCCCGTTAGAACCACCCTACTGGCTCTAGCCTTCTGCTGCGTATATGGATTGCTCTACCTCGTTAGCACTACCGCTTTCAATTCAATCGTGACATCTGCGGTGCTATTCTCGAATATAACTTATTGCATACCTCAAGTCCTCGTCGTTCTCAGGGGTCGCCGCAACGTCCTACCGGGACACAAGTTTGATCTGAAATGGGCAGGCCGAGTTTGCAATGTGCTATCCCCTCTTCTGGTTGTGGTGGTTGGCATCCTCATCTGCTTTCCACCAGAACTACCATTGACTAAGAGTAACATCAACTACACGCCAATGGTCCTTGTTGCCAGCTGTATAGCTATTCCGAGTGCATGGAGGCTTTTTGGGAACCGCTTCGAAGGTCCAAAGATTGATTGGGACATCCTTAGGAACATCAAAATCCCTTGAAACATGCCTAGACTTCAAGGCATTTGGAATGACTCAATATCAATAGGGTCGCAAAAGAAGATGGCCAAGCAACTACCTCCAGCGCAGACCTGTACAAGAAAGCCTGTCCCTCCTACTGAGGACGCGGAAGGTCCCAATACTCCGTGCTTAATTTGAAGAGGAAACTCTTGATCAAAAACGGAGAATTACGAAAGTAAACAGAGACTGGAGGGATCACATGTTGATTGCAGAGGTGCCTGAGGCTGCTGGGACTGACGAAGGAAATAGTATTGAAAGTACTAGAGGGTAGCTCTATCACTACAAGACATTTTGAGCATTCGCAAGTAGCGCAGTGATCGTTGCCAATGTAGTCAGATTAGCAAATCATGACAACAGTTCTCTTTCTTACGGCTTCACTGTGTTTGAATGTTGTACCGCGTCGAGGAGGCCCTCCGCACAGGCTCCCTATAGAGATCCCCTTTGGGGGATGTTTCCCGCAGCGCGTTAGGGTCACCAGGCGCTAGCGGACTTACCGGTGATGCCTGTCTCCTACTGAGGATCCGTTCTTTACTGACAACTTGATCAATATATTCTTACATGAGTGCTCTGGAGAGAGACTTTGCATGAGCTACAGTGCTCACACCCTTCATCCAACTCACAATTCGAAGTCCATATGACCATCAGACTGACCCAGAGCTTGCCCTGAGCTACCATTTTACTTGATGCGACTCGCCCGCTCATTTGTCGCCAGAAACGCACCTACACAGACGTCCACCTGTCACGGTATACAGAGGGGGAGGGAAATGTCGTGTGGATGCACTCAATCAATCCTTATCTTCGTGCATTCTTCAAGAGTAACCTCCCGAGCCAATGCAGTCCGGTCACCAACCACATCCTGCTCGTGCCAACGACCGACTGCCTTTTCGCAGGCCGAGATCGAGAAGCAAATGCTACATACACGGAGGTAGCCACTTCAGAAGATTTCTTAGCTAGTCATGTTCTACGCATTCGGAACACGCAAGCGCCTGGCGAAGGAAGCATACGAGACAGCAGGGGTAAAGCAAAACAGTATGATACCTTCAATGGCAGAACGGTAGTGGTCAAAGAGTCGTTCGTGTACAGTAACAAAGGTATGAGTGACCAGCTTCTTTTCTGTAAAGAATCATGCTGAGTGCAGGATAGGATTCAGGAACCTGAATCAAGCCCAGCTCCTCAGCGACCAGCTCTTTTACTCGGATAGCTTGGAGCAGCAACAATGGCTCATATACTACATTTCCAAGCCCTTAGTAGGGTCATATGAGCCCATCAAAATTACTCCTGCTATCCTCCCTGATATCTTGAGAGGTTTCCCACAACCCTCGCGGGCCAATGGGATCGCACAAGCTGCAGAACCTGCGGCCTCTCCAAGTGAGGAGAGGAAACATGTGGAGGGCTTCAATGACCTGATGAATCAATTTCCAATGATAGCACGCCATATGCATCCTGGTCTTGATAAGATATTCAAAGACTTTGCCAGAGCAATGAATGATTGGGTGCCAAGCTCGCCTTCCCAAAGGTCTACAACATCCAAATCATCAAGCTCTGTCACGCTCAACAATAACGGCTCTATACATAGCGGTCTTTCAAATGGGCGAGCCAAATCTCCATCAATCGCAAGATCGCAGCTCGTGCAGGAGGCAGACTACATGCGTACAAGGCTTGAAAATGCAGTGAATAATGCGGTTGAATTGTTTCAGAACAGTGATAAGCACCAGTTGACGCTTTTAGGAAGCTCGACTCAGCTTACAGGACTTGAGGTCGACAGGATGATCGAACGCTTCGTCACAGAGCAGCTTCATGAACCGTTCCTATTTCCACGTCTTTGCAACAGTAGCATGAAAGAAGACCTTGAGCTAGAATCTAGGATCCATAGCCTACAAAGTATTGATGTTGCGCAAGTTGGGATCGATATCGAGAATGGGAGGCAGAACAAAGATCAATTGATCAGCCGCATCACGAAAGGAGTGGAAGAATTTCGAAAACTTGGTGTTTCCGGTGGCCCACAGCAAATGATAGATATCCTGCTTGCTACGCAAAAGATTGTGACTGGTCAATCGAAATCTGGAATGTCAGCAGATGCTGGAAAGGATATTCCAGATGCTGAGAAGCCTCCACCGCAGACAATGAACGCGGACACCCTGGTTTCCTTGCTCCTGATGGTTGTCATTCGCTCTCAAGTACGCCATTTACACGCACGCCTGACATATATGCGTGACTTCAACGTATATCATGATGTCGACAGTGGTGAAGCAGGATACACTCTCAGCACTTTCGAAGCCGTCTTGTCTTACTTGTCAAGTGAATCTGTAGGACTCAAAAAGGCGAGCTTAAGGAATAAGCGGCTCTGGCAAGCCACGAAAAGGGGTGACATAGATACTATGAGAGAGATACTTGAGTTTAGCGACCTGAAAGCTCATAACAGCATCTTACGCCGTTCCTCACGCGCCAGTGAAGAAGCTATAGATGACCACGAAGCGAATTTTGCTGCCACGAGCGGCTTCTCTCACGAGAGCAAGATTGAACCTAGTCGACAGAGCTCATTGACCCCTACGGAGGCTAGCTACGCTTCAGAAGCATCAACTCTAGCCCACGTGTATCCCCTTGAGCTCACTGAGGCTAAAAGACCGAAGAAGGTCACAATAGATAGACGCAGTCTATCCAATGCCTCTGAATACTCTTACCTTTCTCGAACGACGACTATAGACTCGACTGTGAGCGCCATCGAGGGTGACACATCTGTCGAGACTCTTGCTCAGACCCAAGATATTGACAGCAACTCTGTGCCAATGATGGCCGTCGAGTCACGCCAAGCTGGAGCCTTCGAATATCTCCTTTCTTGTGAGGGCTACTTTCCGATGAAATTCATCCTAGAGGATGAGGGCCATGAGGGGACGACGCTCTTGAGCGCAGCAGTACAACTGAATGCCCATGATATAATTCACACGCTGCTGAGAAGGCTGTTGGGAGTGAGGGATAGGCAAATTATCTCGCAGTACTTCGCTCGGGCTGATCATCGCGGTCGAACGGTGGCTCATTATCTTTTCAACGCGCCTTGGCTTCTACCTAGGATTGGCGAAATGTTGCCTTGGACACAGAAAGACAAGATCGGGCAGACTCCTCTCCTGGCATTGTGCAGATCCTACGACCACCCTGACTATCTCAACATGGTGGATGCTGCTCTGCACTTCTCAGCACTGCAAGATCGAAACAAACAACTTCATCTGGACGATCATGTGGATGCCAAGAGCAATACTCTATTGCATGTGGTGAATGACGCCGCAATTACTGTCAAACTTCTGCAATGTTGTGACACTGATACGAATGCCACCAATGATAAACGCTTCACGCCCTTAATGCTGGCCAGCAAATTTGGCCGACTTGATGTGGTCAGAGCTTTGTTTGGGGATGCACGTGTAGACTTTCTAGCTAAAGAGCATAGAGGTCTGACTGCAGTCGAGCTGGCTAAAGATGATGAGATTCGCAACCGAATAGATGATATGGTGCTTGTCTCCAATGTTCCTCAGGCAGACGGCCGCGTCACAGCAATCGTTCGATCATTCTTTGTCGAAGATGCCTCTGTGCGCATGATCATCAAGTCTGCTACAAGGAATGAAAATATGATCAGCGTGACAGCCGGTAGACGATCTTTGACCGACTTCGAGAACCTCGCGAAATGGCTTGCTCTGGAATTGCCAGCTTCCTGGTTGCCTTCGATCTTCAATTTCCGCTCGCCTTTTCAGATAGCTTCAAGGCCGTCGAAAGCAATTCTGGAGGATATTCAGACCCGGTTGGACAAATTCATCAATCTGATGCTATCGCATTCAACCTTCTCTACACATGAATCGTTATGGGAATTCCTACTCTTTCCAGAAATCCAACCAGACATGATGGCCGAGCGAAGTCGCAAGAAAGCCGAGATCCGCGCCGAAAATGTCAGAGAAGAATACGAGCCCGTCGAAGATGTGCGAGACGTAGCATCCTTCGTGGAGCACGCACGAGAATCTATCCGAGGCATCGACCAGTCCACCAAAAGCGTAACAAGACGTGTTGCCAATATTCGCCTCGGACTTTCCAGTACATCCCTCCTCCTCATCCCTGCCTGCTCATCACTAACAACATTTCATTAGACATAGCCATCGCGACCGACCTCCTCGCGAAATCCTTCTCCACCCTCCCCTTCCTCCCCCCTCTCACCTCAGCGCACTCCGCCGCTACGCAACCAGCACCCAACTCCACGCCTCAGACCCTTACAAAGCCTTCCACGCCGAACTCCTCTCCATCCACACCAGCATCCTCGCCATCCTCTCCTCCCTCGCCCGCCCCCACAGCCTCATCAACTCTATCACTACCCTCCACAAACAAATCGAGAAACACGCGCTGTCCCTCCGTCGCTCGGACCGCTGGCCCCTCGGTCTGCTCGATGAGACGAGGAAAGGGATGCAGGCTGATGCATCGGAGAAGGTGGAGAGGAGTCAGAGAGAGCTGAGGGATACGGGGTGCGAGTTAAGGTATACACAGCAAACGGTGGCGAGCGAGTTGGCGGGCTGGCAGGATTTACATGTCAAGATTGGGAAGAGGGCGATCACGGGGTTTGCGAGGGGGATGGTGGTTAGGGAGAAAGATCGGTTGGTGGGGTTAGAGCGGGCGTTAAGGGCTGTGAGGAGGGATGGTGGATGAATGCCTTCGTGGGTAGTAGGAGTAGGACTGGTCAGGGGTTGGATTTGGATTTTGTGCTATTTATCTCAGGGAAGGGAGGGGAAGAAAAGGATCTTGTGGTTGAAGTTGGATGATACCCCCCATAGAACGTATTCTTCATCTTGATTATTCAACCGTTGTTGATTTTGAATACCTTACCTATGTGATTGTGTTGTGCGGAAAGAATGCAAGTAACGCTATGATTTCTTTGAATCAGTGTGGTACGGAACTGCAAGGCAGGTCTCCTGCCCCAGACAGATTTTGCAGGATCCTCACAAGTCCTTGGAAACTCTGCCTTTGCATCCGCTTCATGGCTTTCAGTGCAGGCGTATTGGGATTCTAGCAACATCACTGATTTCTTCTACACTACTGAGTTTTTTTGGGTTTGAGGAATCTACCTCCTACTCCTAGCCCTCGCAACCCATCAACTACTAGCCACCGTCTCATTCCCCAACCCAACTACTCCGATCCCACCACCCCCACCACCATCAATGACGCTATACCCCCCCACCGTAATCTTAAGCCTCTGCAACGGCCCCGCGAGCGTCCACCCGGCCCTTACCCCTCCCCCGTCCCCGTCTACGCAAGTCTCAATCACAGCCTCCATAGCACCCACAACCCAGATCCCCTGAATGATATCGTAGTCCAACCCCTGCCCCCGCAGATCCATCACGATCTCGCACCCCAGCGGGCCCCCGTGGTCGGAATTCTTGTTCGATGTCGGGACTTGGACTGAGATGATGGGTTGAGAGGGGTCGGGGTTGGGCTCGGGGTTGGGGTTGGGGTTGGGCTGGGGAGGGCCGCGTTGGAATTTGTACAGTTTTCCCGACATCGAGGTGGAGAGGTCGGTGAGGATGTGGGCACAGTCGGCGATGTGCGAGGGAGGGGGGTGGAGGGCGGACGTGGACGGGTAGCATTGCGGTGGGATTGCGTGGGTAGGGGTGAGGGTGGTGAGGAGGACGGGAAGGAGGAGGCGGAGGGGGGTGATGGGGAGGGGGGTGGTGAGGTATGAGTTTAGCATGGCGGGATCTGTGGTAGGCGGGATAGGGGAAAGGTTTGGGGAGGATTGGGTTTGTTGTTTGTTTGGGAGGTAGTGGAGGGTTTGCGTTGTTGATGGAATTAGAATTGGGGTGAGCGAAAGAGGTTGTGATATCATGGGCTTGTGAGTTATATGGGTTGTCTTGTTACCATTCCTTTCAAAGGGAAGGGTTGGGAGCGCTGTTGTAAGTCGGGTTCGTTTGTGGTTCATTTGTATATGCGCTGGGTGAAGCGAGGCTGATTTTGCAGTATTGTTCTGATTTTTGATCGAGAGCCTTGATCATGTCTTATCTTTTGAGAACGTGGAGAGAAGGGTCGAGGTGTGTATATTTGATTAATTTGGCTCTCTAAAGGCGCCTGCCCAAATTGCATGGATCTTAGGTATCATTCAGAAAGCTGAAATGAGTCGTGTACCTTGCCTGACAGAAGCAGCAAATTGTCAGGCTAGTAATTCCATTCCGGAAGCAAAGTTACCTGCTAAGATGTATGAGCGCGTGTCACATTATGATGAGTACGATTTTGTTTGATAAAATTCCCAAAAAGGTGTCTCTTTCTCGAGGGACTGCTGAGCGGCTTTGTGGTATCGAACGATCTGCTTTTACTCAACCTCCTCATAAGCCTGATGTGCCCTGTCGTCTTCACTGTTCCACTCCCATTCATCCACTTCTTCTACTTCCATCCCTTCGTCTGCCGAGTCATTACCTGCCTCAGCACCAAGGACAAAGTCCAATTGCTCCACCAACTCTTGTGCGTGCTCCTGCAGTCTCTCGTCTTCATAGTCGCATGAATCATAAAGCTCAAGGCTTTGCTTCAACCAAATCCGACTGGCTGACAAGACGTCATGATTTGGCTTGTGCGGCTTGCTATTCCCATTCATATGGCCTCTAGCTGTCTTCCCGTCGAGATCAACATGTTTCCCATCACTGCCGAGGAGGTGTAAGCACCATCCGCCCAAATACCAAGCCTCGACGCTTTGATCGTCCTCTTGCACCAGCCTGTCCACCACAGTCAAAGCCTCCTGCAACAGCTCAACTTCCATGAGCAATCTGGCAAGACTGATTCGCGTAGGGAAGTCCGGTGTTCGGTCGTCTAATTCTGGGTCCTCCTTCCATACGCCTAGACTCGCTTTCAACGCTTTCTTCGCCTCTTCGATCCTATCCTGCGAGATCCTCACATTCGCAAGCGTTTGCAGGACTTCTGGCGAGTCAGGAGGGGCGACCATCATAGCCTCCGCAATAGCTCTCTCACATTTCTCCTCAGCGCCAGTTTCATAGGATAAATCCGTCATGTAAATCTCCACAATACCACACAGAGCCTGTGCAAGTTTTTGTCTCTTCTCCTGCAGCGGTGTGTGTTTCTCCTCCATGCTCCCACCTTGCCCATCCAGCATCGCGATCTGTCTTCTAAGCACCTCGCAGCCTCGTTCAAACCACTCTACACTCTCCTCTCCGCCCTCTTCACTCAATTGAGCCAGCCAAAGGAACTTTTCTGCTCCGCCGCCTGCATATTCTGGTATCAGACCCTCTGGGTCGAGTTCAACTGCCAGCTCAAAAAGACTTGCAGCCTCCTCCACATCGCCTTTCTCGACTGCAATGTCCGCCAACAGCGTAAGCGCAGGCAGCGTCTCGACTTGCCCCTCTTTTTCACCGTCTTGCAATAGCCCCAGTGCTTTCCTGCCCGCTTTCCAAGCAGCTTCCAAATCCCCCTCCGTCAACTTCTCCTGCGCCTTCGCCACCATAGCAAGCGCCTTATTCCTCGACCTCACATTATCTGCCATTCCCTTGTTCGACTTGCCATTCATACTGAGCTTCTTCATACCCATCAACTCCCCGGATGCCTCGGCATTCCCGGATTCCTTTCCAAGAACTCGCGATCCCTTTCCTTTTCTTCCCGCCTTATTTCGTCCCATCTGTCCGCCCTCTTCTCCGTTATTTCCTGCTCTGCTCTCTCTTTTGCCCTTCTCCGTTCCAGAAGCTTGGGATTGTAGTATTCTTCTTTGCTAATGTCGCCAGTCATGTACGCTCTCCGTCGCGCGCGCCCTTCAAGCACAGCCTGGGGTTGGCCGAGGTAGTTGAGGAGGAAAGTGTAGCCTATGTAGACAGTCCACGGAGCTATTGCGAAGAAGCCGACGCGGGTTGCCCAATAACGAAGATTTGGCATTGTAGGAGCATTGGATGCGCATGGGGTTGGTGGTGACCGTCATGTTCAAGGGAAGTGTCTACGAGAGGTTAGCGCTAGGGCTAGAGTGAGCTTTAACCCTATCTTGATATTGCGTGAGGTCGAGCTTGTCCACGCTGCATCTGCCTTACACAAAAATTGGGAATTTGAAAAGGACATGGAACTATGGGGAAAGAAGAACAAGACGAGGAGCGCGAGATCCTCGCCTCCATCTACCCCGATGAGTTCACCGGTACCCCTCGACCCTCACCCCCTATGAGCTCCCCTCCAACTGACAGCCCTTCAGAAATCTCCCCCGACACATTTTCCATCCTCCTCCCCCTCGACCTTCCCTCCTCCGATAACGACCCTCCATCCGCAATCCTGACAACAATCCAACTGCCCCCCGACTATCCCTCCCTCGCCCCCACCCTCTCCCTCTCCTTCCCCCCTCCCCCCATCCCCCGGCCGCCTCACCTCTCCCTACCCGCCGACACCCCTCTCTCCTCTCACCCCTCACAGCCCCAATCGAAGAATCTCTCGGCACAGCCATGATCTTCACGCTTCTCTCCACCCTCAAAGAAACCACCGAGGCCCTGATAACGAGTCGTATCGAAGCTGTCCAGCACGAAGCAGAGGCAGAAGCGCGAGCGGCGGAGAGGAAAGAGAATGAGAAGTTTGAGGGGGAGAGAGTTACACGGGAGAGGTTCTTAGAGTGGAGAGAGAAGTTTAGGGCGGAGAAGGAACGGGTGAAGGAGGGGGAGAAGGCGAGGGAGGAGGAGGAGGGAAGGGGGAAGGGAAGGAGGCCGCTTGCGGGGGTTTTGGCGGGCGGTGGTGCGGTGGGGGGAGGGATGGGGGAGGAGGGGAAGTTGACGGGACGAATGCTGTGGGAGAGGGGTTTGGTTGGGAAGGGCGCTGAAGGGGAGGGGGAGGATGAGGATGAAGAAGAGGGGTTGGGGAAGGGGGTGGCGGAGTTGAGAGTTTTGGATGAGTGAATTCGCTATACAAAGGGGGCTTAAATTGGCCTTGGGAAGTCTAAGAAATGACGGACATGAGAATGATGTGCGAAATGGAATCATACCGGCTTGGTTGCTATATAAAGGCTGAACGATACGATACGAAATGAATGATGGAGGAAAAGGAGGAAACGGAGGAAGAGGAGGAATATCCAGAACATCATAACGGCCACTCGACATTTCCGCAGATCTCCCTCGTCCACCGCTCCAATGTCTGCAGCTCTTCAACGATATCGGTCAGTGCCGCAGAATACGCATAGTGATACACATCTTCCCACCGTCTCCTCCGACTGGCACCCTCACCTTTGAGAGCCCGCTCGCCACCACGACCAGCGCCCGTACCATCGTTGACATTCCTTTCCGCTTCCATCTGGACCTCCTCAGCCCGGACCCTAGCCGCATACTCCGCCTCAACACCTTCCATCTGATCCAGCAACTTCTTCCTAGCTGCAGCAGCTCCGGGTAGATATCTCGGCACCTTCTGATCTGCTCTCAGTGCGCAAGACAAGATGTAAAGGTTCGTGAGAACCACGGCGACGGCATCCCGGCGTGGATTTGTTAGTGACTGGATGGTAGCAGGATCTGGTGTGAGCAAGCCGGGGCGGAAGTAGAGGGAGGATTGGCGGACCTGCACGAGGTGGTTGAAGAAGGCTTCCAGAGAAGAGATGAGAGCCGCGTATGGGGTGGGTTTGAAGGGGCCACGAAGACGCTGCAGTAAGAGCGTTAGCATTGCCTCGTACTCGACACAGCATGAGCAGATGACTGTATCGTAGGTAAATAGAAAGACTCACAAGCTCGTGCGAGGACAAATCAAGTAGCTGTCGCATCCTGACAAACCCCTCTCTCAGCCGTCCCTCCAGCATCTCGGATCGTTGTATGTCTGCAGCACCAGGCTCCTCGCCATCCGTGTAGTACACGTATGTTGCAATAATTCCACGGTACAGCATAGCAGAATGGATCATCATGGTCGAGATCGACTTGCGAAGCTCATGGCGCGCAATAAAAGGCCAGAGAACCCAATTAACGACGACAGCAGCGATAGTACCGATCACGAAAGCCAGACCGCGCGTCCACGCCATCCTACTAATCTCGGACTCCTCCTTCACAGTATATATATCCAACGAAATGACAACAAAGCTCACACAGCCAATGAACCCCGACCGCGGATGCGAGCTCTGCGTGAACCGATAAAGCATGGGAAGGAGGTAGATGGCAGCGAAAACGGCCATCACGTAGGGATTGCCGTTGCCGGCTCGATACGCGAGACCGCCCCACACCGCACCGAGGATCGTGCAGAAGCAGCGCGCGAAGAGGTCGAGGAATGTGCCGCCTACGCGCGGGTGCATCATTATCCAGGCTGTGACGACGACCCACCAGCTTTCGTTCTGGGTCCACCAGGTGCGACTTTGGAGTAGCCAGGCCGGGATGGAGAGGAGGGTTGTGACGAGGGTGACTTTGAAGGCGAAGCGGCTTTCGAAACCTTGGAGCCGGTGGAGGATCTGCCATAGCCCGTGGCGGAATTTGGAGGTCCTAGGTCCATGCTCCTGAGTCTGGCTTTCTTGGGGAATATGCCTGTGGTCGTGTTGTTGCTGCGATATTGGGACGTAGGCCCTGCCTAGAAGATCTCCGATTGTTCGGTCAAGGTGGGCTTTGGTGCGGAAGTAGAAACCGGCTGTGAGGCCTCCGCGGTCATGACGGACTTGTGCGTTTGAGCGGTTCAAAGATTTGTGCCACGGGTATGAAGGAGCGCGAAGTCGCCAGGCTGGATTGCTTTTCTGCATTTGCGAGACGTGTTCTCCCAGACTTTCGACATTGTTGGCCATTTGACGTACAGGGTGTACGAAGAGGAATAGCTCAATGGTCTCTTGGCTATACTTGTAGGCAGTCTGAATGTCTTCACGCATGAGTAATAGTGTATCTGCTTCGTCAAACGCTTCCTTTGCCACGCGTAGATCCGCGAGTACCTGTTCTAGGGGTCGCGTCGCTCCACGCATGCTTCTTTTGAGAGGAAGGCCGGCCATTTTCAGTATGACAGCGTCGACTGATTCTACGGATGCTTGCATTGCTTCAATGAGGCGCTTCAAGGGCTCACTAAGACGAGTTCTGACAATATGATTCAGGTCAGATCGAGAAATGTCGCTATCGAAGGCGTTGTCAAACAGCTTTGTGTCGGGTCTCACATTCAAAATGGATCGGATCAAGGCTTGGATCAAGTTGCGCAACTGCCGGAGATCTTCACCCTCGAACCGAGACGCAGTGAACTCAATAGTAAAGTCTCTCACAACTGTAGATAGCTTGACAAAATGGAGAGTTAATTGGTTGTGAAGTTTGGAGGAATCTGGCCTTGGGAACACAACGCCTTCGCGGACCACTTGCAATGAATCATGGAAGCAAATCCTGTCAGGAACTTTAGTTGTCTTCTGATTCAAGCAGGACGATGGCCAACATACCCAGCGCTTCTCGCACCCGCACTCGGGAAGACTGTGAAGGCGACAATCAGACATATCACTTGACCCAGAACCCAGGGAATCCCATAATCAAACACCTTTCGCCAACCAACCTGCGTCCCTACGTCCGCAAGACATATGTAGCAAATTGCGACACCAGCAGAAAGAACCGCTTGATAGAACCTCATATACAAGCACCTGAGAAACGCGACCGATGCTGTGAACAGGACCAGGAAGGCAGCCAAGACACCCCCATACCCACGCTGGGCCCCTTTAGTGGAAGTTGAGACATACAGAGCAAGACTTCCCCAGCCCAAGCCAGCGATAGTACCCAAACATGTCATTGCAAGACCATCGAGCTGGCTACCGAGTGACCGGCCAGGATGATTGACGATAGCGGAGAGCACGAGCATGTAGCTGTACCTGCCTAGCCACGCACGTGAGGGATGGATGAGGCAGATGATGTAAGGGATGAAAACACCGAGGAAAGATTTCATCAGCTTGATTGACGCTCGTGATTTCACCTGGCCAAGTAAGGATAGCCAAGTTGACTCAAGAAGCCCGGAAAGAGGCGTCTTTCTGTAACTAGAAGACTCTTTGGGCGTTTTCTCTCGCTTTTGCGATGCACTTTCCTCAGACTTCTCCGCTGCTGGAGCAAGGAACGACGCATCAAAGAATCCATCCCGAGACTCCTCGAGGCCGTAGTCCTCGAGTTCCAGATCCTTCGTCTTCGGGAGGAGTTCGTCGAGGTGGATGTTGTAGATACTTTGGCGTGGTGACGCCGACGGTGGTGTTCGAGGACTGTTTCTTCCGCCTTGAGGAGTGCTGGCCCGACTACTGTGCGCGTAGGATCCATGGTATATGTTGTTGTGTGGTGTGACGGATCGGGAGCGGGGCAGCCGGGATGGAGATGTGTCACGATACGGGATACGTTGACGAGCTCCATGGTCTTCTACATTCTCGGTGGAATCATGATCCTTGGGAATTGGCTCAGCTGCCTCTATGTCATGCTCGGCGGAGCTGATAGTTGGCCGCTTGATGCGGACTTTGGGCAAGTTGCGTCGGCTGCTTTCGGCCATTTCGAATGAGCGACATTGGAGCTACAAAACTTCCCGATTAAACTGATATCACTGTTATTGAGCTTTTATTAATACTTTGAAGCGTCTACATGATGATGGGAATATAATACTGGCATAGTCTCGCAATTCATGAAAGCGACATCTAGCCCTAGCGCTAAGCTTCATTGATTTCTATTTAGTAATCCGCAAAATGTCAAAATTTTCGCTCTCGCCTTTTTATCAAGGATATCATGAGCTCCCGACATGGAAAGATTTCCTCATTCATCCGTAGAAGACCATAGCATGATCTTGCGAGCTGTTATTGTATATACAGGTGACCTAAATTGAATTACAAAGGGACGGACCTAGCAGCAAGGAGATATGGCGCGAAAGAGAATTGGCGTTACAGCAAGAGTGGCTCGCTGAATCATGCCCTCTTCAAACCACCTTTCAATTTTGCGTCAAAGTGGCCTGCAGAAGTAGTTATGCCTGCCGGAGAGGAAAAGTATGTCACGCTTTCATGCGTGACGCCTACATTTTCCGGCAGTGTCCTGGGTTCGACGTTGGATCAGCTGTTTCGTATTTCGACATTGTTATGAGACTTTTGGGGAAATTATGAATATCTGCGTTGATTTCTGCGTGATCACAATTCCTCTTTCTTTTAGCAGTGAAGAACCGATGCAGGGGAATGGGGTGCAATCTCCGTTCAGACAGTTCAAAGTCCGAGGTGTGTTGGCCCCCTCTTTGGAAACTCTCAAATAACTGCATCGGGTTAGTTGTGGGATTGTTTACCGTTTCGGTGGAGTTGATGTGTGGGGGTGAGAGGGGTGCCATTGCCTGTTCAGGTATTCTGGTATATTTGCGTTGGATTGGTCGTGGGGGTAACACTTCTTTCGGAAGTATAAATAAATGTGGTGAGCTTATGTCGCGACTGACTCTTCTTCCTTTTCAAATAGTCTCTAGGATCCTGCGTCAGATCAGGTGCGAGAGCATTTCTAAAATTTAGGGAGTAGGCGTACTGACAGAAGTGACCTTTGTAGCAGGCTTGACCTCCTGCGCACCAAAGGACACCATATAATGACTTTCTTAGGAGATTCTCCGCAGAGAGAGGATTCTAATGCCAGTAAAAAGATGGTATTTGTGACTGAGAGACCGTTAGCATTGAGCACGCGAAGCAAGGCAGTGAGCACTGTCTTTTCTTTGGCGTCCAAATTAAGACACAGGGGTACTCAGTGGGGATTGCTGCTCATGTTTGTCTACTCGTACTGTCCATTTGCCCTCGAGCCTCAGCTGAATATCGGATTCTGTTCGGGAGGGTATGAAGTCATAGGACTCGGAACATCGTTAGCTATTGAGCAGAGGAGGCGAACTAGTGGGTACTTCCCACCAATCCCGATAGTTTGAAGGCGCCAAATTCGCTGCACATCAGTATCGGGAGTATGATCGATTGATATTCAACGGACGTGGCCGGGATGTTGAGCTCGTTCATAAGGGTACAAGCACAGACATCTCGTGGATCATGAGCAAATGAGTAGAAAGAGACGGGTGAATGGGTACGTCCTTCTCTCGACTGGAACATCGAGCCGCCAGATTCGCTGCACATCGATATCGGGATCGTCCGCTGTCGATCGGACGTAGGCTGAGTACCGACTCCGTTCATAAGGTCATCAAATTCATAAAATCTTCAAAATTATAAAGGTCATCGACATCATAAGGCCGTAAGATCATCGAAGTCATAAGAACATCACGTCACAACAACATCACGATCATGACATCGCCAATATCATAACTATCGCAAGCTCATCAACATCATGAAGTCGTCAAACGTGGCAACTAAGAACCTGGTAAGCAAGTACACATATGATAGGGTGTTGGATACATCCCTCTCCTGGGACAGATGTCGAGCTGCCAGATTCACTGCACCTCGATAGGGGAGACGCGGGAGAGGAGATGAGAGGAGATGAGAGGAGATAAGAGGAGATGAAAAGAGATGAAAGGAGATGAAAGGAGATGAGAGGAGATGAGAGGAGATGAGAGGAGATAAAAGGAGATAAAGGAGAAAGGAGTAAAAATAAGAGACAATAGAGGAGAAAAGAGAGGGGAGAAGAGGGGGCAAAGAGTGACCTAGTAGCATCATTAGCTTGGGTTTAGGGACGATGAGTCATTGGGTTCGTACCTCTTATGCAAGAATAACAAGCCGCCAGATTCCCTGCACCTCGATGGGGGAAACGCGGGAGAGGGGAGAAAGGAGATGTGAGAGAATAGAGGAGAGAAGGGAGAAGAGATTTTCTTGTGTAGTGCCCAAAAACTCTTGACTGAGGACGAGGTATGATCTGGTAGCATCTTTAGCTTGTGTTTAAACACGAAGTCGTTGGATCCTTACCTTTTCAGCAAGAATACCGAGCTGCCAGATTCACTGCACATCGGGCAGGGGCGGGGATCTTCGGGGGGAACCCACTCCAGGGGGTGAGAGGAGGAGAGGAGGAGAGGAGAGGAGGAGAGAGGAAGCCCCCCGGAGTAGGTCTGTTCCGGGAGGGTAGAGGAGGAGAGGAGAGGAAGAGGAGGAGAGGAGAAGAGGAGAGGAGGCTCCCCTGAAGTAGGTCTGATCCTGGGGGGAGATGCGAGCGTTCGTATCGTAAGGTATCTATTCTCTCATTTGAGGGCAGCGAATAAACCGGTAATGTTATCAGCGATTATGTTTGCGGGAGACAAGGGGCTGGGTACTGTCCTTTTGTCACCAAATTTCCACGCCGCCAGATTCACTGCACCTCGATCGCTGGCTCGCCGTCGCTCGTCTCCTACGGGTATAGAGAGGAGCCACCTGGCACCGTGGTGATTGTCGGATGTTGCTGCCTGGCACCGCAGCCTGCCCGGCACCGCAGCTCTGGTTATGAATGCTATCCGACTCCGTGGCGCTTGTTGGGAGAAGGAGCTGCCCGACACCGCAGCTCGTGACGAGATTGCTATATGAGTGCTGTCAGCGACGAGGAAGAGAAGAGAATA